GGTCGCCTTCGAATCGGCAGATACGAGCATTTGGGAGGTGGTGACGCGCAACGCACTGTTCTCGCTGTTCGCCGGCATCCTATTCTCGGGTTTCCCATAGACGTCGATATCGAATATTGAAATCGCGGTCTTGGTTTGATACGATTATTGCATATTGAATATTACCTACGGCTACGGGATCATTTCTAGAGAGATGCGCCCCCGTTCTGGTGAGCAGGAGGATCGTAGACGATGACACCTCTACTAATTTCTCACACCAGCGACAACTTCCTAACATGGTAAACCGTGTCATTTCGATCATCGTGGACATCACCTTCCTTGACCGATGACCCGCTGTGGACATCAACTACGACGAGGGGTACGTAAGTATAGTGGGCGATTGCTGATGAATACCTTCGAAGGCTTACCGCTTTCTCGTGAGAAATGTGTAGGAAGGCACTTTAGCCTGAATGGACGTAGGGCGGATATTGGTATCGTGTCATACTAGAGTGAAGGCGGATTCATGAAGCCGACAGCCGTCAAGCCTCAGTATTGAGTTAGGAGTAAGGTGGATATCTTCGAAGTTCGCAACAACTCACGTGAATAAGGTGGAATAAGCCGCCGGCAGACAAGATGGATCTCGTCTGTCTAGAACGTCTTCTCCAAGTAGCAGACGTATGTTTCCGACGGCGGCAAGAGGTCATACTCTCAGTTAGGCAAGCCCACGCGTGCATCAAAAATGGTCTCACCGTAGATATATCTTTCGATATTTATTCCCGAATTTTATATACTCGGGGTAGGATATATATCTAGGGTTACCATCGATGCATTAGCCCGCTTGAATCAGGAAGTAAAGAACGAATGTCGGCTCGTTCCTAGACTAATTTGTAATGACATGCCGTAATGGTATCGAGATATGTCATGATCTCATATATCTTATGAATGCTTCATAATTCCCGATTGTCAGGTAATTTAACCTTGGAACATAGAGTAAGAAACAATCGGCCAGATAATTTGTATTCTAGCAAGTACGCCTTCTTCGCCTTTTGAACATCTTGAACAATTGATAATGGCTACTAGGGCTGCACCGCGAGTGTTCCTTGCGTTTGTTGCACCGCAGAAATTCCTTATGGCTTCGTGTCGTAGAAAACTTTTGCAGCTTCTATCGAAAGTACTAAAGGCTTAATGTCACGGACTGGCCATATCCCCTGCAATAGATCGCAAGTTGTCCAACTTGTAAATTCTCGTCTTTTGATGGTTTAGCTCAATTGGCAGGTGAGAATCACCAAGCATAGGGCTCAGTCCTTACGTCCTGACACTTGGTCAAATGAATAGGCGGGGATGGAATAATAATACTACAACGACGAGAAGCCTCTCTCTGTCTTGTTTGACTGCTGATGCCAGACACTTATCTTTGACTATATCAGACACGAACCAGACTCTAAATGGCCGGCAAGCGTACGATTAGGATCTGTTAGAGTTAGCAGATTTGCTGTATAAGATGTTAAAGATGGATACTGCTCGAGCTCTTACTGAAATAATATCAGCAAGGAAATTATCGTGATCCTTGTCGATTGTCATTGATCCATCTCTAAGCACCATGGTCAGCGGGCTTTCCGCGGAAGTGCCGCTCCAGTTCATCGATACGATCACGAAATCTCTCGTATCTATATGTTGACGATTTGAAAAATATAATTTCTATACAAATTAGAATCAACCTTTCGAAGAGAAGGAGAGTTGATATAGGTATCAAGAAGTAGCTCTTGCGTGGTAAATGAGTGTAACAGTACTTTGGTACTTATATGACGTTGATTTAAAGTGTATACTTCGGTACATATATGCACAGACCAGGTGCCTTGCATGTGGATCCGTAGGCGCGGTGAAATAGCTTTTCCACTTCCCGCGGGGAGCTCCAAAATTTCTAGGTCGACAAGCACAATTTCGAGATTGGGATACCGGCTACGCGACGTGACATCTCAACCAGATATTGTCCTTTAGTCACTTGTGCAAGGTTCCATTTGGCGACTTTTATTCTGGTCCATTTTAAACATCCCAAGGAACCCTAGAATACACAAAAGCTACGCCGGCGAACCTCTTCCAAGATGCAGGCTCCCGTTGTGGTTATGAGTGAGCCCCTCCATAATCCATGAGCTTGCCTAGGTAGCTTCTACAAATCCGAATATGGCTAACCACCCTCAAAATAACAGACACCCAAAGCGGTGAAAGGCAAACTGGACGAAAAGCCCAGCTGTCGAACATCGCCGCCGCGAAGACGTATGATTACTCTTTCTACCCCTTCTACGCCCCGTGCCCCGCCCGCTAAACCCAATCTCTAGCGTCGCCGATATCATTCGATCATGCCTCGGCCCCAAAGCTATGTTAAAGATGTTACTGGATCCTATGGGTGGTATCGTCTTGACAAACGACGGCCATGCTATCCTGCGAGAAATCGAAGTGTCACATCCAGCTGCCAAGAGCATGATCGAGCTTAGCAGAACACAAGATGAGGAAGTAGGTGACGGCACAACCACGGTCATCATCATGGGTCAGTAGTCCAATATCTATAACTAGGTGTATTTGGCGGGGTTTCAATGCTGACAATAACATAGCTGGTGAGATTCTAGCATATGCCCTCCCGCAACTGGAACGAAACATACATCCCGTCGTTATCATTTCCGCCTTCAAGCGTGCGCTTAAGGATGCACTAGAGATCATCGACGAGATATCCTTACCTATAGACATTAACGACGACAAGGCCATGTTTGGCCTCATCTCCTCTTCTATCGGTACCAAATTCGTTTCGAGATGGACGGACTTAATGTGCAGCTTAGCTCTTAATGCTGTCCGGACAGTCACTTGGGAGGCTGGAAGTGGCAAGAAAGAAGTCGACATCAAGCGATATGCGCGTGTAGAGAAGGTCCCTGGTGGCGAGATTGAGGACAGCAAGGTCTTAGACGGTGTTATGCTCAACAAGGATATCACCCACCCGAAGATGCGACGGAAGATCGAGAACCCGAGAATCGTCCTTCTGGACTGTCCGTTGGAGTACAAGAAGGGAGAGTCTCAAACGAACATCGAGATTACGAAAGAAGAGGACTGGAACCGTATCTTGCAAATCGAAGAAGAGCAGGTTAAGGCTATGTGCGAGGCAATCCTTGCCTTCAAGCCTGATTTAGTCATTACCGAGAAGGGTGTTTCGGATCTCGCCCAACACTACTTCGTAAAGGCAAACGTTACCGCCCTACGTAGAGTTCGAAAGACCGACAACAACAGAATAGCCCGTGCAACTGGTGCAACCATTGTAAACAGGGTGGATGATCTTCAAGAATCCGATATTGGAACCAAGTGCGGCCTATTCGAGATCGAGAAGATTGGCGACGAGTACTTCACTTTCCTAACACAGTGCAAAACGCCCAAGGCCTGCACAATCCTACTTCGCGGCCCCTCCAAGGATATCCTAAACGAGATCGAGCGAAATCTCCAAGATGCTATGGGAGTAGCTCGCAACGTTATGTTCCACCCCAGATTAGCGCCAGGCGGCGGAGCAACTGAGATGGCAGTTTCTGTGCGGTTAAACCAACTGGCGAGAAATATCGAAGGCGTGCAACAATGGCCATACAAGGCCGTTGCCGACGCTCTGGAAGTTATCCCCCGAACCTTAGTTCAGAATGCCGGTGCTAGTCCAGTCAGGGTTCTCACTGAGCTCCGTGCCAAGCAAGCAGAGGGTAAGAGTTCGTGGGGTATCAACGGAGATACTGGAACGATTGTGGATATGCAGGAGTATGGCATCTGGGAGCCCGAGGCGATCAAGCTTCAGAGCATCAAGACCGCCATTGAGGTAAGATTATGTGGTTATTTTATTGATATACTGAGGTGCTAACATTGCCACAGGCTGCCTGCCTCTTGTTGAGAGTTGATGACATCTGCAGCGCCAAGAAAGCACAACAAGCCGGAGCCCCAGGACTAGGCGGCGGAGACGACTAAAGGAAAAAAGGAAAATAATTGAAGATGCCAAGCAAGCCTATTACATATGGAATACCAAGAGGACATACCCCTGTACTATCGACTGGTCTAAAATTCACGAGATAGATGAAATAGATGGATGGCTTTGCTATACCACTGACTGAGTCACGACGTTTGTGAAACCTTATTCACTAAATATTAGGGCTTTTCTTGTTTGATAGCACAAGATTAGTTTGTCCCAGGTGAGGTGGCGTTTGCTTCTGGCGTGTTATAAGTATCCCAAGATACGTGTTTCTAAGAACCTCATAAGCTCTAACATGTCATTATGAATATAGGCGATATCTCATGACTCAGATCCATATAACAAACCTCATCACGGAGAAAGAGCAAAGTAGATCTATTATCTGGTTTCTTGAAGCAATTCTAATATGTATAACACGTCTTACTCTTTCGAAGCTGGATTCTGCCTTGTTAGCGGGTATATAAGCTCACCAGCATCGCATCTAAGTGTTTGAGATCTCTACCCCTGAGTATAATTCTGGTATGTAACCTCTAACTCTTGATAAATATAGTATTTCGAAAGGTAACATAGATTAAATAATGAGTGAGGCATAATAACGTAGTCGAAAATGCAAACACGACCTCGTCACTTTCATCCTATATAATCGTATCCACAGTAGGAATGATTAGGGAAAGCCGTAGAGACATGCATCATGATACACTCACTGACTACTCTATGTATCAGTTTGACGCAACCATGATTACCGTAGAAGATAATCTATATTGCTCATACTTTCGCTCTCTCCTAGCAGCTAATATTTAAAAATTATATCTTCCATACACTCATCCTCCTTTTTATTCTCTTCCTTCTACATACACCGAAAACCTTTGTGCAACTCAATAACAGCAAGAACAACAAATACTTTGCGTATCGCAACAACCATACTCGGTACCTCTAAGAAGTCTCTGCTTTTACTTCTACCTTCACATCCATCATTTCATCATTTTTACGCCCCTTTCATTCTTCTATTCGCTTGCATCTAGCACCTGTTCTCATCATGCCTGTCCTTACTAGAAAGCGTAAGGCCGAACTTGAGGCTACAGATAGAGAAGCACAAGAGCAGCTGCTAACGGAAGCAGAGCATGCTGCGGAAGAACCTCCCTCTAAACGTCAGAAGCGTGATGATCCATTCAAGAGAATAGATCCATTCCGCCCTCTTGTATGCATCCCCCTTTTTATTTTCCTCTCCTGCTTTCTGTGTCGTCCAGGGCTTCCCTTATCAGCTCATGGGAGCCATCATTCCTGGGCTTACTTGGAGCCTCGAATATCTAAGGAAATATTAATTTCTCTTGTTGCAGTCTCCGCCTCCCAAGACGGTTATGCGCCGACGTAATCAGGTCAGGCTCTCCACGTTGAAGAAGAGGCCTGCCAAGTCGCAGCACCCACTGCCTATAGTTTTCTTCACCGTGCCAGAAGCCAACCCGGCTCGACAAATTTCAGCCAAAAGCCGAAGCAGCAATGATGTGGCCACCATAATAGCCACCAATTCTCTATTTGAACATGTAGAGTAAGTCATCATTTTTAACATGTCTTATTCTCCTCCCTCTTCACCCCTTCTAAATTCATCAACGCACAAGCTATTTCGAAAGACGAAGAACGAAGAAAACATGTACACATCAAAATATATACTAACAAAATGGATTAGTAGATATGGCGTCGAGGCGATGCCGAGCCACCAGGCTCTCGAAAACTGGCTTGAAGAGAATAAGGATAAGTTTGTTCAAGCCAGAAGACAGAGAACTCGTGAACAGCCCACTGCGGTTCGCCACATCCAAGCAGCACCTCACACCGTGGGCCCTACTGGATCTGTATCAGAAGCTCCAGGTGTCCACCATCCAGCCACGAGGCCTCATAATGACCGACCGGTAGTTCCCGTAGCTAACGGAGGAATATTTCGAAGGATGGCTCGCTATGGTCGCCGTACAATCGACGGCTTCTTGAGCCGAGCCGTTACAGGTCCCGACGAGCCTATGCCTGAAGAGCCGGCTCTCATAGTACATATATCTCAAGGGAATCTAGAACATCTCGACCACCCCGAACACCTCATTCAACTCAATCGCCTAAATCAGCCTGTCGCGGAACCTACCCAAGTTAGGCCAATAGTGCCCCCTCTCGACCCTCGCTTCTTCCACCCTAACGGACAGTTGCATTCCGTCTACAAGTATCTCACCGCTCAAATTCCCCTTCCACGACAGTGGGTGAGATGGGCCATTACCAATAACATCACCACCGTTCCCGGGCGAGGAGATATCCGACATCCTGGGACGTACATCGCCGACGACACTTTCGACTACGACGCGCTGTACCAAGCAGTCCACCGCGGCCACTTCAGGACCGGGCGCATAGAGATCGATTACCACCTGGACCATTGGCCGGGAGTGGAAGGACGGAGAGATGATGTGGTCGCGGACTTGGAATTATATGAATTCCGCGCCTCGCCAGACGAGAAGAGGATTAGTGATCGCACGTCAGAGAAGTCTGGTGCGCCGTCACCTGAGCCACCACCGCACGGGGCACTTCGAGTATCACCTGGTCGGCCCGAGCCCGGACTTCCCCACTCCAATCGCATGTACAGCCTCCTGAATAGCTCTTTCGACCCGGTCAACATTTGCAGGTGATGAGGATAAAGATCATCAGACGGCTTGGACGACCTAGGTCCGTGGAGTGATTTGCCGTATCAAACCCTAGGCGGCGGCAAGGCTACCATCAGCAAAGCCTTTGCAGCCGCCTGCGGTGCCCCGTCCTCGTTGATGGTGGGATATATATAAGAGACGGGTGGAGGGAGTGGATTCACTTACCTATTTACTCGTCAATTAAATGGGATAATATATAGGCCTGCCCTTTTCCCATTCACGAAAAAGCTGGCGACTAATTGTCAAGCACGACCTCGACGTCTGTGCGATGGGGTACAGGAGGTTAACAAATTCTAAGGGAGACACCTACTGTCCATATCGTAGGCTATAAACGGAAAGAGCAGCAGTTGATACGAAAAATACGCTTAGCTCGGGTTGTACCCGAGGAGGATGAGAATAAGAAGGGAACTCTCGCCCCTTTTCAGCAATCGACCGCAACCATGACCACATGGTGAGAGAAAAGGAACAACAGTAACCACAGCCAAGTTTGTTCGTAATAGAGCTATTATATTGACCGCAGTCCAATATTAGAAGTTCTTATTACAATGTCTTGCCCATCGGCATTGACCCAAGGGTTACATAGCTACCTAGCTGCCCAACCCATACATTTCTAACATACACACACATATATATTTATTCTGCCCCGATCTACAACGTAATGAGATGGTGCCTTCTCCAAATACTAGGATGAAGAAGATAATGAAAAGGTTGAAAAGAGGAACTCTCCCTCAGAACACCTGCTCCCGTTTAACACCATATCTCAGAAGATATAAGTAACCGCTGTCCTTCTAAGCGGAAGATGCGAGCCAGAACCTGAGCATAATGGGATGATGCTTAGGGCCGCTGCAAAGTTTCTGGTTAGACTTCTAGAGGTTGACGTCGACGGTAAGAAAGAGTTACAGGCTCCTTGGGTATAAGGAGAGGGAAATTCATGGGTGAACGGTGTTGGGTATCACGCCCAGTTTCCCTTAGCCGCCATTACGCAACACTACCGTATGTTATCGCAGTAATTTTCGTCGCGTTAGTCGGCATACACAAGCACCTGGAGAAAATCAACCGGAACACTTTCCTACGCTCGCCTGGCAGTATTCGTCTAAAGATCAGATTGAATAACAAAACAAACCCAGCAGCTTTAAAGGCTAGCTGTGCTCTGGGCCAACAGGGATGGGTTTTACCGAGGAATTTTTATCTATCATTCCATACAACCCGTCTGTTTGTTCCTAACAAGAAACAGTTCTGTGGACTGTTATGAAAAACTCGAGCTGAGTTTAGAGACGTGCGGATGGCCATCATCCGCATAGTTTACCACATTCCGTATCGAATTCGACGTGATGCTTCCACTCGTCCTAACGAAAAAGCAATGGATCAATACCACAACGACAATGTGGATTTAATAAGTTTTTTCTAATACGTCTGGCGTTATGACCACCAACAGTACAAGAACTCCATTGCTCGACAACGTAAAGAGAGACAGCATCAGAAAACGAATTAATCTAAATCACAAAAACAATAATATCAATATCAACAACATCAACAACCATTTCCTTTGGGGACTCCTGTCGATACGATCCTGGCCTGACCAGTGATCAACATGCTCAAGAGACTCGCGAGCAAGCGAGCGCGGTGGAATCTGCTCGGCAGCGAAGTTGATAAGAACGACGCCGTCCCAGAGTATTCCTCCGCCCACAACTCCACATCTACACGTGGACACACCACCCACATTCCAATACCATACCTCGAATGACAAAGTCGTGCAACGCCTTGGGGGGGAAGCCGCCGCAGTATGACGGCCATACATTTCCCACCTTTATAATGGATGCTTAGCCGAAGAGAACTGACCTTCCGTCACGAGGTGGTGAAAAAAGTGACGAGCCTTGGGATCGAGTTAGCAATGATGTGCTGAAGTTATATATACATTAATTAAGTCGATACGTATTTGACCTCAAGGTTTTTCTTTTTTTCTTTTTACCAACAAAATCCGCAGCAGAATGACGCCCAGGAAACCTGACACCGTGTTCTCGCGTGAATCGGAGAGGTACTTGGTTATCCAAGAGAATGGATATCCGACAATGTCAGAGGCACCCAATATAAGCGACGAGATCGCCGCTAGGAGCCTTCAGTGACATTCCTCACTCGGTAAATCACATCACACCGTGCGTCCTGGAGGCAACGGCAAGCTCGGGAAGGCTAACCGATACGCCAAGATGATTACGCTACGAGGATACCAAACGAAGGTATGGAGATGGGAGGCTAGACGGAAGGCCTTTCGATCGCTTCGGTTTTAACTTAACAGCGACCTTCGCCATCACAGATTTCAAATCACAAGGTATGACCTCGTCCCAGGCATACCTAAGCCTAACCAATAGGCGTTCCCCGACTTTGAATTCGGATTTCATAACTACATACGTGCAGTTATCACGGGTGATAGATCTGAAGGGGTTGTACTTGCTGTCAAAAGTAGACCCTGACCACTGGATGAGATTGAGCCTCCCCCACCGGTTGGCGGATGGGATAAGAAGGTTAATGGAGTTGGCGTTAGAAACTACGACGACTTATGAAGATTCTAAAAAATAAAACTATAAAAGTTTCAGTATTTCAGAGTTCCTTTTTCAAGAGCATGCGTAATTAGCAGCTTACTATTCAAGCACGAAAGAAAGGGTCGGAAAAGGTCCTAAAGTCGGGTTATTGCGGTATCCCAACGGGGTGCCCTCCAGTAGAGATGAGTGACCAGAAGGCTAATAGATAAGTTACCTTCCGGGGGAAAACTACGAAAAGAAGTTCCATGGTTGTAGTAGAAAGCAACTTACAGTCCAACACGAAGCTCCCATGGCGAAAGGTTATTACAATGGCCTGAAGGCATCAAGGGATCAGATGCGAACTATCTCCAGGAGAAAAAGGGATATATACGTACGTATGCGCCAAGAGATTGGGTATTGCGTGTACGACGGGAGCAGGGAGAACATGAGCCATTTTATGATGGCCTATGAGTCGTGTGCGGTCGTCATCTCGGGAGCACATACATGATTCGAAGCTCTGGCGGCTCGGTCCTGGATAGCAGATACAGTGGGACCAACTTATTCTCTGCCTGCGTAAACGATAGGCACCACATCCGAAGTGGAATGGCATGCTAACGAACGGATGACAGAGCTAGATAGACCAAAAATTACAAGGGCGACTCAATGAATAGGGATGGTTATGAGAGAAGGAGAGGGATGTGGATCCTACAGCCGCGGGTTTCTTAGGGTCACGTTGTAGACTATATTCTACGTAGCTTGGTTTCCCACAGACCCAACTTTCGATTAATCAAGTCATCACATATAAAGGTTTATTAGCCTAGTCTATCATCAATAGATTAGACCCGAACCCTTCGTGTTCACCATCGTGTATACGCACTGATATGTCTCAAGAAACAATACTCAACCTATAGACTCTCCTCTTCCTCTTCTCAACCCCAGCCAGAAAGCCCGTCGTACCATTCACAAGCAGCCTCGCCACAAGCCTAACACCCGTAAACTCATCGCCAGACCTCTCCTCAAGGCCATCGACCCATACCTCGCCGCTCAGCAGACCCGCGGTGCGGATACGAGCCCAGATGGTCCTGGTGGAAGGCGATATCTTTCCCGAAGACGTCTAACTGTATTCGTTCCTCCCTGTCCGGAGCATACACTGCCGCGCCCGCTCGGCTCAGGGGATTGCATAACCCTTTTCGTATTCCGCGTATTTAACGATGAGTAGGTTTTTGTCCGCCCGGATCTCCTCGGAGATGTAATGAAGTTTCCTTAAGTTGGGGAATGGGTAAGAGATTGGTTGTCTTGTTTCTCGTATACGCCCTGACATCGTGGATCCGACTGCGGTTCCAAGCAGTTCTAGCTTCAACGGACAGCTCCATATTCGCCCACAGCCAGGAGGCAAATATATCTTGGGGTGATACCGCTTCGGGCTCATCATGTTCTCGATGTTCTAGAAGCTGTTCCACCGCCAAATAATAGCTTGTCGTAGGAGGAATTGAGCCGAACGATTCTCTGGTCTGCAGCGGTATCCTGTATCGGAGTAGATTCAAGGAGAGAAATGTCTCCTGTTAGCAAGAGACCTGGTCTATGATGAAGCATGAGCTAGGAAAGACAGGGAAAAGTAAGAGGGATAAGACGTTGGGAGAAGTGAAGTGAATAGTAACGATAGATAACCGTTTGTAGAATGATCTCAGGTTGGGCGTCACGAGGGCCAAAGGATTCTAGTTGACCACCAGAAGCTTTGTGAATAGAAAACCAGCGTCTGAAAGTGCAGTACGTTCTTGAAAATGTGCACTCTTAGCTATTGGCACAAGAGCATCATACAAAGGTCTCGTATTTTCCAGTCTATTCATATGCGCAAGTCGTAAAGGGTATCTCCAATAGGCCAGAAAGAGGTAACATACATTGAAACCAACCACATTCCGCCTCAATAGACACTACCTCTAATACTTTTATCCTCGCGTTCTGCCTTGTCGATATCTTCGGCTTCGTCACCTCCGTCAGATCCTTGGTCGGAGTTGTTCGGCGCATCACCAAGCTTATTGGCATGCGCGTGTCGTGTAGCCGACGGATCTCTACCATTAAGCAATGACCTTTCACCATTTCTAACTCGCGCGACTTTAGCAGCAAGGCGTTCGCGGGCATCGTTTTCTGAGAATTCCTCCTCACTAGCGTGCCCCGATAACGTGCCGCCGAAGTCGCGCCCAGTATGTAAAAACGTCGACTTCTGTGGAGTCTTGAGCGCGTTTCGAAGCCGATCTTCGATCGTGATATATGAAGGTGTTCCATCTGGCGAGGAGACAACTTCTTCCTGGGCCTTAGTTACGTCGATGTGGGGTGCGACTCTGCCACGAGGATCATCAGAGTCGTCGTCGGAATTGTTAGGTCCTTGAACTCTCTTGGCTGGAGTACGGCGACTGGCTATAGTTCCATTCGTCTCAGGAACAGCATGGGCAACACCATTCGTAGCGTTGTCTTCGTCATGCTGGCGTAGCTCGGCTAGATCACGTCTTATCTTGAAATCCTTCCCATGGTCACAACCGTGAGGGCAGCCGCCCCATCGACGTGGTGCAATCGGAGTGCTGTTCTGCCTCTCTATCTTGCTTAGTTCCTTCTTCTTTCCGGTATCAGTTAGTTCCTTGTCTTCTTTTGCCTTTAGGGCTTCTCTCTCACGGCGTAGCTCAGACCACGTCCTAAGCTTATTCTCGAGGTCGTATCTGCCGCTGTCCTGCTGTTTCTTCATGATGAGAAATTCGCAGTGGTTGACATTGCGCAGGTCCTCAAAGTACTCGACGGAGAAGTGGTACCACTTCATCAGGAAGACTCGAGACATGAGACCATGGGTTACTAATCGGATGTTAGAGTGTGTTTTACTTGGTAAGGGCAATGAATGGGACGAAGACTTGTGTTCTTGTTACGTACCTAGGACGCAGACACTGGGGAAGTCGTCCTCCCCGAACTGGCGCCACAGACTCTCGTTGAAGCCCGATACACGGTCGTAAGCGTCGGCGGCGCTCTCACCGTTTGGAATACGATAGAAGAAATGTCCGTAGTCAGCGCGCTCTTGCCACATGCGTTCCATCTCAGCACTGCATGGTTGGAAGTTTCCAAAATCTTGTTCTCGCAACCGCGGCTCCTCATATACCTTCATGTTCCTGCGTTTGAAAGGTGAAGGGTCGGGGTCGTCGGATGTCAGGGTTTCTAGAATCCCTTCGGTCGTCTCTCTTGTTCGTCGGTAGGGCGATGTATAGAACTGGAGGGTGTCTTCTGGACGGAGCATGGCTCGTAGCCGGCGACCGGCATCACGAGCCTGCTGCCATCCTTCCTGAGTCAACTTGACTCGGTGGTCAGGAATGGACTGGTGAATCTCGCGATTCTCTGTTGTTCGTATTTGTAAGCTGCTGAACTTGAATCTTCGGTGGGGTTGGGGATTAGAGGTTAGGTGACGACGTACTATTGCCCTCAGACTGGGCGTGTCTGATCAGTATAATCAATCTCGGACGACCCATGGTTCGAACTAAATTAGATATTCGAGATCTTTCCCTGCAATGCGCCAACGATGACGCGATATCCTGGAGAACGAGGTTATGTGCTAACGAAGTTCGGGTGAGATCGAGTTTCGAGGTTGAGGAGCTTGTCGATTCAACTAAAAAGACACCGAAAATGTTCTAGGAGTTATCAAAGTAGGTGTGGCAAGCTGAGCAAGTCACTCGGTCGAGAACGTCAGAAGATTGGTCGGGGTAAAACAGAGCTTTGGCCTGCTCTGTGTGACTAAGACGGGTGATTCCAAATCATGAATAGATGGACACTCTCGGGATTTAAAGTATTTAGATTATATATCTCTTTACGGACTATCAGGCTGATCAAGGCAGCGAGGGCAGTGGCCAGGTGAGGTATAAAGTGATATAGAGTACCGCAACACGTTGCAGGCGTTGTGTTGTACAAGCGACTTTCAGATGATCTGGATGATATATGTATTGGAAAGTATTGGAGAATATTGAAATGTATTGGATGTGACGATTTTAGAAAATGGTGATTCTTGGAAGTAGGGGTTTTAACGCTGCAACTATGTTGGGCTTTTTGTTTCACTCCTGCCAACCATATTCCATGTGCTCCTTCTGCTGTGCCGAATTGTCGGGGTTTCCCTGCTAGCCATGCGTTAAGAAAGCCTAAAACGCTCAGTCTTCTGTAAATGCGAGCACCTGATTGGCCCCAAACACGCTTGCCATCTGGCCGACCCCCTCCAACCGATTTCGGCTCCAGCGTTGGGCTACGCTTGGATCTGCCTTTTAGCGCAACGCTGCAGGGACAACCCGGGGTCTTCTAAGCTTCTTATTCCTTACTGCTGTACCTTTGTACCGTAATACAATACAGAATGTACATCCGGTGAGATGTGGCGTTCCAATCCCGTTCTTTTCTCAGATCCACTTTTATTTTCTCTGACAGCCTCATCACCTTCGTCATCGTAAAACATTTCAACTCTCCTAATTTGCAGCCTTGCATCAAGAACTAGTCGCACAATCTTCTCACCACGTCTTAGAGTCAATAAGGGATTGACGCACCTGTTCCTTCGCGCAATCAGACTCCGTCGCATGCTTCTAGAAGCATCCAAGATCATCTCTTTTCGAACCACTACCTCTCGCCATTACAAAAAAGGCCATCGTGTCACGCCATCAACATACGACCACGTACTTCGAATCGCGAGAGCCTCTCATCCCAACGTCCCGACTATCGACGCAGAAAACGACTCACTATTACCTCGCTACCACCTACACGGGTAGGTAAACGGGAAAAAAGGGGGTTGGCGTCAAGCTCCACAGCTTAGCTCAGCTGTCATCCAGACGTGGATAAGCCGCCAATAACGACCCTACGTGCATACAGCCCAGGCAACCAGCCAAGGAAATAGATCCGCCTCCAAGTGTCCCGCAGCCTCCCGCAGCCTCGGCCGTAGCCTCATCCCTCCGGAAATCAGCCCATCCCATCCCACATCCCACCGCACCCGTCCACCCCATCTCGCAACAACAAAATGTCCGGCGAAGGCCCCGAAAGCATCCCAACATCCGCAGACCCGCGCTCCAAGCGCCCAACCAAAAAGCGCGCCCTCACGCCCCTCTCCGCGCAAGCGCGCGAAGTAGAAGTCCTCTTCTCCAAACCGGACCAAGAGATCCGAGTGCCAGACCCCTCTTCCTCCTCCGCGCTCTCCTCCAAGAAGCGCGCCCTCCCGCCTCCCCCCGAGATCGTGACGAACGTGCAGGGTTCGAGCGCGGGCGCCGGTTCCGGCGAGTTCCACGTGTACAAGGCGAGCCGGCGGCGCGAGTACGAGCGGCTGCGGCGCATGGACGAGGAGGTCGCGGACGAGCGCGAGCGGGCCGCGTTCGAGCGCGCGCGCGAGGAGCGCGAGAGGAGGGACGACGAGAAGACGCGGAAGAACCGCGAGAAGCGGGAGAAGGCTAAGGCGAGGAAGGCGGGGAAGGGGAAGAATGGGGGAGGAGGAGGAGGAGGAGGAGGAGGGAATAAGAATGGTGGTGGCGGGGCACCCGGTGCTACTACTGCTGCTGCCGCGCCGACGACGAAGGGAGTGAAGGCTCGGGTCGATGTGAAGAGGGACAAGGCGGATGAGGCGGAGACGGAGAAGACGACCGATGCCGAAGCTCCCGCGGCGGGAGATGCGCCGGCGGAAGAACCGAAGGGCATTCTCATTGAGGAAGACTAAGGGATTGGAATTTAATACCTACCTAATGATACCCACCAACCCATGATCTACTTGAGTGTGGAAAAGATACATAACAGGATCGGGAGGGCATACTTTGACATCGGAGTTACGGGTTGACTGAACGGACATCCAATGTTAATAAAAATGCCAACATTACTGTATTCTGGTATTGTAGCACCACCTGTAATTACAAAAGGACATATAAACTTGCAAAAAGGTATCATAAAATTACCTAAGCCCACGGTGAAAACCAAGTGATATCGCTCTCATCAGAAACCTTACCTGCCTACTAGCAAGAAAGCAAAGGCAAAACAAAAGAACATATTCAAGTCTCCGACCCCTTTATGGGAATATGAACATCTTCATCAAGGACCTTCGTGGCTGGAAACAGAAAAAGCCCCCTTATCCAGCCATTCCTTGAAGTCATTTCTAAGTAATGGAGAGAAAAAAAAGAACTACCCTGGTTCGCTTTTCCTCCAACGAAATTTCTCTATCGAACATCCCATTATGAGCCGTGAAGTCATCATGAATGCTAGCGGAGGGATATATGGGCCGCCGTCGATTGATTGCCGGCCTGCTTTTTGTACAAATTCCTCCTAGTAAAGTAGTAAAGCATCGCCAATCCCGCAATAAAAAAATAAAAAAGAACCCCCCCGATTGTCAACCCTGGCGTCTTTGGCCTTTGCCCTACCTATCATAGTGGTACATGCGCCAATTCAACAGAAAATACAAATGATTTTTTAAAATAATCTCCATCCTCGACCGCCCGACGATGCATTCGTGGTATACAACGCTGTCCTTTTTTAAAAAGCTCTATCTCCCGGGAACGCCGTACAGATGCACTTATCATGTCTTAAAAAGCACCCATTTGCTACTAATTGGCCGCCGTGTCATCGGGCTGATCAGAAGAACTTAGACATCGCCGTGCTGAGGTCAACGAAGTCGACCGGTTTCGTAACGTAATCGTTGAAACCTGCCGCAGTGCACTTCTCTTGGACGTCCGACATAACATTTGCCGACAGGGCGATTATAGGCAACTTGCGTAGGTTAGCCTGCTCCTCCCATTGTCGAATTTCTCGGCAAGCTTGATAACCATCCTTGCGAGGCATGTGAAGATCGCACTATCACAACCAAGTCAGCTTATTATCATAACAAATGATAGCACCGGGTCATTGACTTACCAGTATTAAGGAATAATAATAAGGGGGGTGCGCGAAGACCTTCTCGGTGCACTCCACGCCGTCTGCAGCGATCTCTGCCTCAATGCCCACCTTCCTCAGATACCTAACCAACACTTTCTGGTTGACCGGGTTGTCCTCGACAAGGAGAACCTTGTACCCCTTGTTTCCGATCCGCTTTTCTACATCTAGGTAGCTTTGTTTCTGGTTTTCGACCATTTGTGCGGCGCTGGAACGGTTTAAGTCGACGCTGAGGTCACGTTCTCTCCCGGGGTCGAAAATCACTGCAAATCGGGACGGCTTCACCGGCTTGTAAACGAACATGATTCGTTTTTCCGCCAGAAGCTGTTGGTGTTCGGCATCCGACGCCAGTCTAAGAACCGCTTGCCTCTGTACAGAGTCTGTCAGGACAAGTACTGACGTCTTACCGCCAGAGCCTGCGATTATCATATCAACAACTCCTACGATCTCTTCAGCCGATGGGAGGTTAAGGACGATATGAGTGAATGTTACGGATTCGTGTCCTCCGATCACCTCTTCAGCTTCCGACACGCTTGCCATCGCTGTAATCTGGTGGGGAACATCTTTCGGCAATGTCATTTCGATATGTTTCGTCGTGGCCTCTCTGCTATAATTCTGAGGGCAGATGATGAGGATCGAATACATCGGTGGTCGGAATTGTATTAATTCTGTGGGAAATTTGGTCCCATCTGGAGTTGGCATCATCTGGGGCGACATCTTTCCAGAAGGCATCTCAAGTTTCATCTGGGATATGTCTTGCCCACTGGCCTTTGCGGCTTCACTGAAATGTGATAGGCCGACATTGATAGACGAGACTGAGGACCGTATAGTATCCTGGGTACGGATGGAGCGGAGCGAAGGGTCTGAACTACCAGACGACTCTAACGCCGGTGATGCAACATCCATTTCCGAGCTGGGACTAGCAGTCGAGACGGAATCCATAGTTCTGTGCAGCAGAAGCGGTTTGATAGCATGTATTGGCTTGCCTTCTGTCGGAGATCGCATGGACGCGGTCATCGGCGGAGTGCTAATGACACTCGGATGGTCTTCAGAGCTCGGCAGACCAAATTTAGCAGTGAATGTAAATGTTGATCCCTTGCCAGGAACAGCAGTCCCGTCCATTCTCCCTCCATGGAGTTCCACAAGCTGCCTTGAGATCACGAGACCTAGCCCACTGCCACCATGCTGGCGAGTGCTGCTCCCGTCGATCTGACTAAAGGGTTTAAATATGAGTTCGGCCTCTTCTTTGGTGAAACCTCGCCCGGTATCGATGACCGAAAACTCCAGCATTATTTGGTGTTCGCCAAGCTCAAGGGCGTCACAGGCATAAACTCTACACCGACTGAAGACCTCCCCTACGGCGGTAAACTTGATGGCGTTGCCAATAACGTTGAGAAGTACTTGTCGAATTCGCACTTTATCACCTTTAACCCAAGATGGTACGTTTTCCTCCACGATGTAGTTAAGCTCGAGCCGCTTAGCAATTGCCATTGTCGAAACCAATTCGTTGACGTCCTCGATAAGGGATCGGGTGTGAAACCATTCGAAATTGAGTTTCATCATACCGGCATCGACCTTAGATAAGTCTAAAATATCATTTATAATCATGAGAAGACTGTTGGCGCTGGTCTGGATTGTGTTTGTGTAATCTCTCTGTTCTTCGTTCAGTATTGTATCCTGTAAAAAGCTCACCATTCCGGATATCCCAATTAGCGGTGTGCGGATTTCGTGTGACATATTACTCAAGAATCTGCCCTTTGATTCCATGGCTTCTTTCAGCTTCCCCTCTAGCAGCTTGTGATCGTTGATATCGGTCGCCGAGCCAAAGTAGGAGCTTGCACCGCTACCAAAAACAACGTCGTCGGTCTCCACGCATCTTATTAAGTGCCACCGATACTCCCCAGACTTCGATCTGAGTCGTACTTCAGTAGTATAAGAAAGTCGCCCATTGCTATCTGTTGCAACTTTGAGAATACCCTGTCTGAACAGTTCGCCTAGATCTGCCGTGACAAAATCACGTGCTGAGGTAGGACCGTTATTTCGAGATACGGCTCCAGGTTGTTTTTCCGACGCGCCCGTCAGTAGCAATTTAAATCCTGTTGATGTAGGGTCTTGTATAGACGCATCAACGTTCTCCTCGCAAGGCTGCGTTGCCAAGCGCTCTACCGGTATTCGACATTTCGCTAGGTCATCAGGATGCACAAAGTCTATAAAACCAAGACCTAGTGCATCTTCGTCGCTCTGGCCGGTGTAAGACAGCCACTGCTCATTTGCAAATGTTATCCCATCGTTTTCGGTCGCAGTAAATATTATCTGAGGAATCAAGTTCGCAAGTAGGCGATGCTTTGCTTCGGATATTTCGATTTCTTCTTGTCGGAGAGCCAATAACTCGGCAACCTTCTGATCGTGAATATCCATATATGAGCCGATGAATTGGACGATGACACCTCGCTTATCCCTCGAAGCTACCGCTCGCGCCTGATGCCACCGATATGCACCGTCGAAGCGACGTAGGCGTACGGATTGAGCGAATTGGTCACCGGATCGAAGAGAATGACCCCAAGCACGCATATACTCCTCGCGATCTTCCGGATGTAGACTTCCCCAAGGGTCTGCAACCAAATCTGCAAGAGTCTGGCCCCTGTAAGTCAAGTACCTACTATTAACCCAAACAATTTCCCCGTGTACCGGCAAGGCGACAAATACGTGTACCGGTAATAAGTCGAGCATAAGTCCTTTCAAGCGGTCTGAAGGCGGGAGCATAGTGACTTGTGGTGCAGACGAAGATCCAGGCCGAACTGGCGCTGTGGACTGTGACGTAGGTTTTGTGAGAAGGGATGTGCTGGGAGGTAATGACTGAAAGGATGACGAGAAATCACCACCGTAGGAATGCAACATGGTATGTCTGTGGCCACCAGATTGCATGCTCTGATTAGATAAACGTCTCCGGCCATCATCGACGTCTTGCCTGGACTGCTGGTTCTCGATTCCGGTATTCATATCTGAGGAGTCTTTCGACGCAGGTCTCTGTTTTGATATCTGACTAATGGTTGCTTCATCAAAGACGCCACTATTTCGAACGATATCCGAGCCTTCAGTATCCTTCATAAGTGAACTGAGATCCTGTTGGTGATGTAGAAGACTTCCCGACCGTCTTATTTGCTTGGCCATCGTAAGCCCACTTTCTTTGGCGCCAGCCCTAGAAGCGCGTTGAGCCTCTGCAGAAATGCTTCCACCTCTAGGGACCGAACTGAAGTAGCTGTCGCCGCCAGGTTGATTAGGGCTAGCGCCGGTGGTTCGCCTCTCAACAACGAACCCGAAAGAATTAGATTCCCAAAGTGGCGTCCCACTAGGAGAGGCATTGATGCTTCGGGATGGTCCTGAATATTCGCTGGGGCTGGTGAGGCTTCCGGTAGCTGAACGTTGAGACAGGTCCTCGGGCGAGGCGGCATTAAAGTGAGCGAGCATGGCAGGGTCTGCTACTGGTCGTCCGTCATGGCCAATAGCACCGAAGCCACTAGTAGAAGGTCTTTTCCGATGAATACCCATAACTTCTGTTTCGAGATTTGAGTAGTGTCGAGAAAGGGAAAAGGTAGCCGCTAAGTGAGGTGCGAGGTGTTCGAGTGAGTGGCGCAGATTAGCGGGATATGGTATAATGGGGGTTAAGATCGACAAGATTGCAATAGGCAAATTTTTGTTCTTCTTGGCTAATTCTTCGGTAGATGGACGGTCATGTAACATCGCAGAACTTACACTCGGCTCTGGATGGCTCCGTTGTGAAGCCTTGTGTTCCAACGCAGAGGGATCTAACTTAAATTTTTGAGGCGGCTTGGATAGGAGGACATGGTTGAGGGGTATATGGAGGACAGTCCAAGAGTTATCAACACCGATAGTCTCAGGCGGTTGAGTCGATGAGTAATCGTGAGGGCTCGGCCCAGGGTTGAACGACTCCTCGTCAACTACAGCATCCGTAAAAAAGGGGTTCTCTGAGGGATCAGCTCTAACGGCAGGCGAAGGCGCCGGTGATTGGGACCACGGAGACGGGGGTGCCTGCTCGTACTCTTCGTACCTCGGAGTCGGAGGTCGAGGTAGAACGTCGTCGAACGCTGAGAACAAACTAGGGATTTTCTTATCTACCGACAGTGATTTCCTATTCCGACTCAGGGAGCGTGGTGCGCCCGCGCTGGCTAATAGCGAGGATAGCTTCGTTTGGGACTCGGATCTAATGAATTTGCTTGACAGTTGTTTCCTATGGTCTTCCATCGGGACGGGCTTGGTGATCTTGGGCTGCTGCTGTTTCTCTTCAGAAGTTGAGTCAAGATAAGGGTAGGTGCGAGTTAAAGCAATCACTTTCCCTCGCTCGACAACGCGAGTGATGCCGTCATGGTCGATGAGCGGGTCAGCTTCAAAATCGAGACCTTGCAATACCTGAAGGAGACGGCCCTTCACTTCCTTCTTCGGCTCCATCTTGGCCTCCCATGTGGGAACAGGTTGTTGCTCCTCGATGGCGTCATGCTCTTCAAGTGTTTGCCTATTCAACGCCGGGTGGGGTGAGGCCGGGTCTAATCTGTCTGTCCCTGGATAATAACTTTTGCTCCTTTGAGTCAAGCCAGGCCGGTGAGAGTTTGAGACTGCCCCCTCCGTTTTGACTTCCCGGTTTCCCTTTTGATCTTCATACGTGGTGAAGGAATGCCGGTTCTGTATCACCGGTCGTGTAGGCTTGTCACTCTTATAAGGGTCCTCGGAAGTCGATCTAGGGTCAGGCTGAGACTGATCACCTTCACTACAGGCGGCGGTCCCTTTCGCGAGGTACCCCATGCTCAGATCATCCTCCTCCAAAGCGTTATAAGTAGCCTTCTGTCCCCAAGGCACATTTTCGACATCTGTTGGGTCAGCTGGCACAGAAAGAGTTACCCTCTCAGCTTTGTAATAATCAGTCATGATCTGGACGACACTAGTCCACCATGCCTCCAAGCCAGGCTCGGCGGATAGCATTAATGTTAAATCATAAAGACTAGGTGTAGGGAAGTCGAGGTTCGACGGTTTGCTAGACACGCCGGCAGGTAAGAATGTCATGGCCGATGCGGGGGTTGACGGATCGGATCTAATTTGGTCTTGCGTCATGAACCCACCAAACTGTGCGCCCACCGAGTTGACGACTCCGGTCGGAGGTTGTTGGTTAAGAACATGCTGCAGGTATGCCGCGGAAAAGTTGGGTGTGGTCATGCGTGGGAAGGGGTACGATGGTGTCCGAGCCGAGAGGCCGGGGGTCATACCGCCGCGGACTGTTCTGTTAGATTCTGTTGAGGTGGTCGGAATATCCGAATCAGTCGGCGGGGACGGCGTGGTACTGGATTCCTCCTTTATGGGCGATACGCGCGTCGCCTCTGACGCATTTCGCGTAGGCGACGGAGGGCTTCGAACGGCTTGCTCTCGACGTTCCATTTCTCTAGCGAGCTGTGCCCGGTACTCGTTAATAGATAATTTGTTATCTATGACTTCCGGCGAACCTCCTGCAATGCTAACTTCTTTACTCTTTCTCCTTGCACCCGAGCCAGCTCCTGTCGTTCCTCTCCTTGGCTCATCCTTTTCCGATTGCACATCTCTAGCGACGGATGGGGATAACCCAACACCGATCGCGTCTAAGCCACCACCCTTCAAATTAACGTGATTTACACTTGAAGATCCGAGAGTAAGCCAGGGTGCATCAGGATTCGTCGGCCCTACCGCGTTGCCTGGCAAGTTTCGCATGGAATCGAAAATGTCGTCAGAGAAACTAGTCCGGAGAGGACTACTCTGTTTCTCGGTATTCAATGGTTGAAATGTAGTTGGGTCATGGCCAGGGGAATAGGAGGCCGTTACGGTGTTGTGGTTACGTGGTTCGTCCGGTCCTGGGTAGTGGTGATGAGATGGCATTCCTCATTCACGGCGCCCCCATGCGGCAAAGTCGGGGACGAATCTCACTGCGTGCTCGTGATCTCGGCATTCGCATTCGTTTAATACCTATGGGTTATGGGATTTATCGTCGCTGTAGAGGGAAATTAGAGTATACGGACTATACAGAGCGAGCATACGACCGTGGGGAGGTGTGTGTTGAATTGCCGTATGTTGGTTGGGTGACAGTGAGGAATAAGGATGGTGATTCTTTTTCGGCTAGAAACAGTTCAAAACCGGTAAGTGGCATCGTCTTGTGTCGATTGCAAGGCTCATCGCTAGCGGTCGGTTGGGTCACTACCTACGTCAGACAGTGCCCCTGGTGGCAGTTTGATACGGACTAGCCGCGACTCGGGTACATCCGTAGGCTGTAGGCTGGAGCTGACGGTCCCTTAGCTTTTCGAAGTATTTTAGGTACACGTTCGATGTACGTAAGCAGGAGGCGATGACGATTTATCTGGGTTCCCTCTGCCTATCCTCCTATTTCTTCCCTTTTTTTAATTTTATATATTTCAGGTTGCAAAGGAAGGGTAAGGTGCTCAGGGTACGAAGGGTTACGAAAGTGTATGACAGGTCGACAAGTAAATTATTAGCAGCAAGTAATAATCATGATCTACCATTACCACTGGCAGCACTGGCTAAACAGAACAAGAAAAACGTCAGGCGGAAAAGGGAAAAGGGAAAGGAAGAGCATAAAAGTTGCATCGGTACATCAATACAGCGGGTACGCTAAAAATTTAAAAAGGGCAGGAAAGGGCAACATTGGCTAGTGATGGTAGGGAATAGGGCAGTAGGGGACATGGCAGGTGGGTTTTCTGTCCACGTTGATAATTGCATCTGCTTACCTAGACTGCTTAGACTTTCTCTGGATCCTCTCTAACCTAATCGAAGCCAATCAAGGAAGGCCTAGGAAAGTACTAGGTAGGGTACAATGGGTACAATGGATACAATGGATGCAGTGGTTAACGATGGTAATCTGCTTCCCCCGCCCAGCCGAAGTGTGAGCCAGTTCCTTCCAACTTCTGCATACCCAGTATCCAGCATACCTTGATCTTCAATTCTTCATTTACAGCCCACAGCCCACAACCCACAGAAACACGATTTCCATTTAACCACTTGACAACCACACCCACTCCCGCCTACCACCTCTCCCACCTTCTTCTCAGCTACACACTAAACTAGCCCTCCGCGTTCTCATATGACTTCGCCTTGTCACGAACTCGCTAGCTGCCAAGTTGCGTTACCGAAAAAAAGTCCGAGAGGTGGTGGTATTGGTGTCGGTGGTTGTGTTGGTAGTATCGTAGTATCAACACTTCAAATTTATTTATAACCTGCGCGTACGGAGAGAGTACGAATACATCACACCTCAAGCAGGGTCCGAAAGTCCCGTCATAATATATATTTTATATTTATTATATTACTCTGGTGTTATTATTATGTATTTATTTGTTTTACCACTTTATATTTTTATCGTTTAAAATGTTGAAGTACCGGTACTAAACGGTTAGCAGCAACACACCGCGTATCGATGCAGCATTATGTCATCGAAGAGGGAGAAAAAAATAAGAGAAAAAAAACTCAATAATAAGACCTTGTCGAAATAAGAGCGGTCAAGCATGAGTATAAAAGTCACACACGTAAATACGTAAATAGGGGGTGGGGGTTAGTGATCATGACCGGACGAATACCTAGGTACACGATCTTCCCGACCCCAGCCCTCCTCGAAGCTAACCAATCGTCATAAATACAGCAGATGCAGCTAAGAATCAGCTAGTTCGACTGGCGCTTTTTGCGGGCAGATCAGGTCAATGAAGGGGACTGAATCCAATGGTCTTTCGTTGCTGAAACGTCGTCCTAACTCTCTTATATCTTAGAGTGTCCAATCCAACTTGGGACATATAAGGCGAAAGTACTGTAGTTCGACGCAATGCATGGGAGGTGAAGAGGCATCTCTGCAACTTTGGTAGCACGAGCCAAGTGCGTCATTGCATTGTGTACGTCATCTTACCTGCATGGATGAGGGATGGAATTTTATAATTTGTTGCACGGTTGCTAGCTGTTAACGGATAAGGATGTCCGACGGGAATCCGCGTTTAAGAATAACTGTCGAACTATGTATGTCGCGGGAAAATACTTAGGTAGGCATTTCACTTTTCTTTGGTAGGTAGGCTTTGAGAAGTAAATGTCAAAGCGATGGAGTTATGGCGTTGCTGATCCCGAAGGAAGAGAGACCGCTGATACCTACCTAAATCTTCCGAATCTCGGTGTTCTACAACGCTGCAGGGCGGGCTGAGCGGGTTAATGAAGCGATTAGCAGCCGATGGACAATACCTGGGTACGAATCAATACCAAGCGCGCTCAGAAATCATGTCATTTATATCCAAGCTTGATGAAGATTAGCATACAAGCATGCGCACATTGTTGAACACGGTGTTCATTGGACTGCACCATCACAGAAACTTGCTGATGCCCCGAGGCTCATACATACATACCAGCTTACTGTACTCCAAACAGATAGCAACTCGCAACTCGCCAAATTCGCAACATTCACGTTTTCAAACTCTCAGCTGTTTCACATCTTGTATACAGTATATAATAAAGCATAAGCCCATCTACCATTCCAGTGTTTCACAATGACGAAATGTGTGTCAATTCGCGTGACACCGCAGGTAGCTCCTCAGCCTATCAATTGACGTTGTGAACCGAAGCATTTTTTAAAATGTTTTTAGTGTTTGCGGCCAATAGAAATACAACGGCAATTTTTAGGGGTCTCAGTTATCTAAACCACTCACACGGGTCATACTAAAGTTCAGGAACCTAGGTACCTACCTCATACCTGGCAGCTGCTACCTAGATAGGCACTTAGGTGGTATAAAAAAACCTTGACAGGAATTAAGGGTCTTGCTCTTCTCTAAACCTATTACAACCAAGGGACCGAAGCAATAAAATCGTCATTTCAACTTCTTTAGCATCTGGCATAACGAGTCGTCATCTCAGCTCTCGTATAACCCAGGTCGTCGGAATTAAGGCTCAATTTGTAGAAATCGAAATCTCAATTCCTGATTTCGATCGATAATATCTGGGTAGGTATTCATTCATACCCGGTACGAGGAAGAGATTGAGCTAGCCAAGAAAGGGCAAGAAGAGAACGCGTTGGCTGGTCGGGCATAAGTGACGATATTAAGATGCTCTATCATGTGCCCTAATCCCTGCATTTAGTCCTAATATTAGGATAAATACCAGGGACACCATTCGGTTCCTTGCGCAAGCAAGCGACGCTCACTGACAACGTCCACGCAGCCTTATTCTAAAAGAGTCCTAAAACAGTCTAAGAGGAACAAGGTAGTCCCGGTATGCCCTATAACGATGCAAGATTTTCAACCTCGCCGGCCGAGTCGTCCCCTCTTCTTGCTCGTGCCCCGTCAATCTACTGCTAGTAGTCTCCTTCACCATGCAGCCCAGCGGCTAAGAATACATTGATGGTCACTGCTCCAGGTCCACAGCGCATTAATCAGGCTATTATCCACCTCCCAATTAAGTACCGAGCACTGCAATGGGCCTTTTCTCGACACGGACGATGCTTGATGGGGTTAAGAGATGCGCTTAGGGCCGGCCACGGCATCACCAAGGGTCCTTTGCGCGACTATCGACTTCCCACGCCCTTTGGCTTCAATATTCGATATACCGTCCATTGACAGACGGGAAATCGTACGACGAATATCAGAATTGGGGTGTTTGACTAAGATCATTACGCACGATCTACGTTGTCTCATACCAAGTTCTCGGGTGAGTATTGTCGCCACGTTGAGCGGCATTGCTGGAGAATTTAGTGACGTGCCTACGCAGTCGTACAAACAAGATCAAGACGGGGGATACGCGAGCCTTGGGGTGTCCCCCACCAATGCCGGTCCGTAGATGACCTTCCGAGATAGTTACACGACAGCGTGCGCGGAGGCGGAAAGCCATATTCCATGTGACACCGCATGAGACTATCGCGCTCGGGTGGCTTGCCCCTTACTAAACTAGGTACAGCCATGCTGAAGATAGCCTCGTTTTCCCTCGCATAATATTAGTATTCCGGAAAGGCCAAAGTTATATTCATACAGTGTTATAACCCAGCCAGCCCGTAATCGCCACAATATCCCTAGCTTCGAGACGCTCGATATACCTTATGTCTCTGAAGTAAGAACGGAGCTGCCAGTAATGGACGCTAGGCCAGGAATCAAATATCGCAAACACTGTGACTTCATAATGAGGCGAAAACAATGGTCTTGTGATCCGCTCTCACGCGGTCACGATCTAGCCAAGCCAAGCACAAATCGATCCTTTGTTCCGTCTAGTAAGAACGCTCCACCTCGGTTTAGGCTCATGGATGAAGATCTCACTTTCATCTTCCTCCCTAAGAAGCCGGGACGCCATGAATTGGTTATCAGCGAAAGCCTCACCATTTCCCGGGGCGCTTATATGATGGCGATTTCGAGACAAACATGCTCAGATGTTCAAGCCGGACGGAATCTGGGGTTAGTTGGTCATAATTTGCCACGCGAGCCTCAGCTGGCGTCCGAAGCTGTGGGTCCGAAGCTTATGACTTAGTGGCCTGGAAAGAAGGCTGGTTCTGGAAATTCATATCTAGTAAGGGATGGTTCAAATGTGTAAATGTGTCAATATTTGCTGCATCTGTGGTTTCTGGTAAAGGTGAATGCATGTATGAACAGAATTAGGTAAGTAAGGGGAATGTGTTGAATAGGGGTCGGCTTTTGGCTCAGTCTCCCTGAACCAACTACATATACCACAACTAATTACCAACTGACCCCATCGAATATCAGGAACACTGGGGAACTTGACCATTCATAGTTCAAGGGATAGAAACAATATATTCATTCAAAAAGAAGATAAAAGCGTATACCACTAGGGATTCGCTAGTCGTCGCCGACCTTAATTACTGATCTAGCAGTATCTAATTTATCTAAGAGCAAGCGGACGGGATCCCGAGTTCCCCAGATCCTATAGTTGTATGCCGGGGCAGATAGGATCATGGCTGCCATTCCAAGCAAGGGTCTCCTTGCATGTATAAAGTGAGATACCTAGGTAGGTAGGTAATCAATTTACAACCCAGGGAACTATGCTTCCTCAGCAAACCTGAGAATCTACGCTAACATAGAAGATCTATTTGATAGGTATTCTGTCGTGCCCGGTTGGTATACTTACTAAAGCCACAGACGTCGAAAAGGTGCAGAAGGACATGCGAGGGTGTGATACTACGTCTCAAGAAGCCCGTCATCCGTGAACTTAGATGCGGAACAATACTTAGTCTGCAGGCTCCTCGGGGACTAGTGATAGGAGTTGACGTTGAGGGCACGGATGTGAAGTGGGTTTTAGACCCTGTGTTCTTCAAATCCATGAGGCCCGATCTTGTTTTAACGTGACGCTATTTCTTTCCCTGGGAGTGATGGGGAGCTTCACAGGGTGAAAAAAGATAGAACAGAGTCACTGGTGAAACTGTGCTATTTTATCTTAAGTTATCAGACTTGGGGGAACGTTTACCTATGGGTTATAGACATCTCGAATGGAGTGATGGACTAGATGGTAGTTTCGTTTGGACTAACACGTTCTCGACTTAAATGTTCTGAGATCAAGCAAAATGAGAAAACGATTGAAGTTTGGTTTATTAGGTTATAGAACGCCGATATGTATGAGGCATATGCCGTCTCTTGGAGACGTCGGCTATTGAGCGTGAAAGATCCTATTTTCTATGAATAGTATGCTACATTATCCCGATGATTAAGAGTTGGGATAAATCCTGTGTCAAGCATGTTGAAGCATACCTACCTAGGTACCTAACAGGTAGACAGACTGTGGACTCAATGCTGATTACCCAACTCAGCTAGGTTCAGCGATCTACCAGGTCTCTCAGATAGGGTCAAACTACGATGTCTCTATACAAATGGATGAGGTAGCAATTCGGTGATATGCCTCTGCCTCTTCCGCATTGAAGTCGAGTATGGCTCCTAATAACCGTACTCAAAGTTTCGGTTGGGGTCTTAAATGATGCCATTTTCCTTTGCCCCTGTCAAGTGAAACCTGGCATAGAATGACGTAGAATAAGTCTATTTTATCTGGAAACCAACTGATCTTGAAGATATTATATGATGAATTAACTCACTACACTACCTGGAAGATTGTCCAGATGCCCACTTTCTTGTGTTGATTCTGGGTTCGCCCTAGATAAATCCGATCCCGCTATATCAATATAGAACGTGCAGCAGTCAGTACACATATTTGATAGATATCGAATCTTCAGAACCCGCATATTTTGAACCACCTGCCGAACATTATTTAGTGGTACGATATGAAGGGATCCAAGCCTGGATTTCTTAATGAGTTCCACGCGTCGTGTTGCTTCACGCCATCGAAAGACCTGTTCAAACTCAATATTCTCAACAACAATCTGAATGAAAACCGTGGAAACTAACCGATATGATTAGAGGGTTGGAAGCGGTGATATATACAAATTGCATATCGATGAAGTTTCGAAATTGCCACGACGTTGAAAGTTGAACAGCACATAATGGATCCATCAGCTGTTTCGCCTTTCTGGGCGTGCTAGGATAAGCTTCCGCTAGCTTTAGCATATGACATGTCCTAAAACCAATCAGGTCCCGGCATTCGTTATAAATAGAGTAGCTACCCCAGAAATTGGTGCTTTTAGGTACCGGATGTGTCACTCACCGTCCAATCAAATTCGGCTTGTGGAGACCTTCTTTGCTCCGCCAACAGCCGTTGTAGATTTCTTGTTACCTTTCCCATTTACATGCCATTGAATCCGAACGTCACCTCATATATTATTCATTGCTACACATAAACGACCCCATTAACGCGGATATGTACAAATCTCTTGGATAGACATATTCGATTGTACTATCACGCTGTGGGCTTTGTCTGCGGGGATCGGGTTATACAGCTACGTTGATCGTAGCTTAGAAACTGGAGTCGACTTTGCCGGTGTCTCTTGGCTCGAATCCATCATATCCATCGTCACCAACTAGGCTGTAAACACAACATTCGAACATGGCTGACCGAAGTCGAGTTCAGAATGACGAACAAACACCCCTGCTTCGTGGCACGGGAAATAACCATGCTGACGGGAATGGAAATGATGCTGTCGGAGATGAAGATCCCTCCCAACTCGACGACGATCAGGTTAAAACCTGGAGGCGTCGTCGTTGGATATCGCTCTTCGTGAGCGCTTTCATCATTATCGCCTTTATCGTAATACTAATTGTATCTGGAGGTAAGTAATACCCATTAACTCCCAGCTCCAATGTTACTACCGTTCTCCAAGGCATATTCGAGATTGGACTTGCCGTCCGTGTTGTCTATTGTGGACACAAGTATTCTCCTAGCCACGTATCTCAAGTGCTGTATCAACCTCGAACTCTATCGTGTTACACTGCTTGCCTAAGACCCATCAATTCAATGTTCTCAGCCTAGAGCTAAGGTCACCCAAAATTGTATTCATATTCTGAGGAAATGGCAGAGTGGGAAAAAGAGAAGAGACCTATTCACCCGCCAATTCATCCTCTTCACCGATCTTGGGCTCCACTCGCACCTACACCATCGCGTCTGTACCTGCGAAACCTCGATCTATGCCTGCTTTTCCACTGAATCTCGAACTCCTCTTTTACCTATCCGCTTTCAAAGAATTCATCTGGAAACTGGCCTCTAATAGCTCGCGTTTATATAGTGCTGTCACGTGGTCGTCAGAAACCACCACCAGGCATGAATTCGTCGTTGTGCCTGACGCCGGCCTGCATTCACGCAGCGTCTGAAATTCTCTGTTAGTAAGGTCTAATGATACAATTTGAGAACAGAAGAACTTATGAAATCATTAGATAACTTGTCTCCGGATTATCAAACAATCGATGCTTGTACTCATTTCGATAACCTCGTCTGTGATGGCTTCAGCGACCGCCATGATATCCCACAGGATAGATCCTCCTACTCGACGGGAACTATCATGTCTGAAAATGGACAGACTACCTTGAGACATATCCTAGAATCTCCATATCCAACTAAGTCTGAGGTGAGTAATCATTTCGTATGGCTGAACACTTTCCAGACATAAACTTCCCAGCTCCTATCTCTTAATTCATGCTCGATCTACAGCTTCAATACGTGCTTCGAAAAATCAATTTATTAGACCGCAGCTGCGCATATCAAATATTTTATATGTATAACATGGTGGCCCTTACTAACGCTGATTTAGCATTCTTCGTTTTCGCCTCAGAATCTTATGAAGGTTGCCGCCTCCTCGGACGAAGACAACTTTAACATGATACAGGAGGCTTACAATTCATGCATGAACGAGACCACCCTTCAGAAAATAGGTGTCGCTCCTCTCGTTAGCTTGATAGACCAAATTATCGCCTCCTTCCCTGTTGCCGAGGGTGCGTCTGGATCAGTCCAAGAAGCAGATTATGCTGCCCTCAGCGAGACTATCGTTTTCCTAGAGAAGATCGGAGTTGGCTCATTTGTAGGTCTTGGTGCTGGAGCTGACGATAAGAACCCTGACGTTGTCATCGTCCAAGCGTACCCTGCGGGACTTTCGCTGCCTTCACCAGAGTATTACCAGGATGCCGACACCGTAGCCTCATATCAGACCATGCTCGGAGAAGTTTTTGCTGCTCTACTTCCAACTAACTCTTCAGGAGCATCGGCTCAAGGCCTTGCTCAATCTGTTGTTGACCTTGAAAAGAAGATTGCGGCTATTACACCGCCCCCTGAGGACCAGTCAGATGTTACTGTGAGACTCTAAGTTTATGCCTTAACTGACGAGGGAATGCTGACGAGCCTAGAAATACTACAACATTGTCCAACTTGCCGATGCTGGAAAGATTGGCCCAGCAATTGGGCTGGATTCAATTGTGAAGGCTTTGGTCCCCGAGAACTACACAGCAGACAGCTTAATGCTAGCATTCCCGGGATTTCTGAGCAACGTATCTCAGATCATCTCAAACACGTCGAAGTCCACTATACAGAGCTATCTAGTTTGGAAATTAGTTGACGCATACTCCTCCTATGTCGAGGGACCAGAGGTTCAGCCCATCGTCCAGTTTGGTAATGTTCTATCTGGAAAGGTACGTGTCCGTCCCGGATATACTAGGGTGGTAAAATGACTCATCATTCGTAGGATCCAAATACAAAGTCCGAACGGTGGAAGACTTGTGTTAGCTACGTCGATAGTACCCTCGGTTGGATACTCAGTCGATTTTATATCGAGGCAGCATTTTCTGATGAGGCCAAAAAGTACGGCGACCAGATCATAATGGATATCAAGCACCAATTTATCTCAAAACTGAACGATTTGAGCTGGATGGATGACTCGGTTAAGAAATTGGCCGCGAACAAGGTGAACAACATCGATCAAAAGATCGGGTTCCCCACGACTTCTCCGGACATTACGAACCCGGAGGCGTTGCAGGCTTACTATAGTGGCTTGACTATCTCGGACTCATTCTTCAATAACACACTATTGAGCAACAAACAGGAAACACAAAGAAGTTGGGCAGCCCTCGGAAAACCTGTTGACCATGGCGAATGGGGTATGCAAGCTGACATTGTCAATGCTTACTATAACCCCGTTGGCAATGAGATTGTTTTCCCAGCTGGCATCATGCAGTTCCCCGTCTTTGAATTGGGCTTGCCTGGCTATGTGTCTTACGGCGCCTTTGCCTCGGTTGCTGGCCACGAGTTATCCCACGCGTTTGATAACTCCGGTAGACATTATGATGAGCATGGCAATTTCACGGATTGGTGGACAAATAACACGGTCCAGGAGTTTGACAAGCGCGCCAACTGTTTCGTAGATCAGTACAGCAATTTCACAGTCCAGGGAAACAACGGCGAACTCCTGCACGTTAACGGAAAACTTACCCTCGGTGAGAACATCGCCGACGCTGGTGGCGTCTCTGCAGCTTTCGCAGCGTGGAAGGATCGCACGGCGTCTGCGCCCGATCAAAGCCTTCCAGGGCTGGACTTCTTCACACATGAGCAGCTCTTTTTCGTTTTCTACGGCAACTGGTGGTGCGGTAAGGTTCGAAAGGAACAGGCGATCCAGGGCATCTACACGGACCCGCATTCGCCAGCGTTCGCTCGTGTGTTAGGGACTACGGCGAACTCGAGGGCATTTAGGGAGAGCTTTAACTGTCCAGCGAAGGAACCTACTTGTGAGTTGTGGTAATCGTGGTGGTAAGTTGAAGATTGGAAGAGCATATGTAAGAGGGGAAATTGATTGACGTCCTCCATTTCGAATCTTGTTCCTAGGGAATCTTGGAGTTATCTAAATTGAACGAATTTGACATGGAATCTTCCAATATTCTGTTTATGCATTTGTGAGTGACGGTAGACGTAATCAGCCATTAAGAGGTACTTGGAGAGTATATTGACTAAGACCGTCTCTTTTCGCCTCAATGTTATAACGATGCCCGTATGAGTTGTTAGGACTACCATGGATCTGGTTTCAGATATTATTAATCGTATCTTGCTGTCATTGCTACATCAATCTCGCTTGCTTCAACCCTACCATAACATCAATAGTATCGTGTATTGTCGATTCATGCTATTTTGGATGCCGAGCCAGGACGTAACTAGGTACCTATCCATACTTCCAGTTTTGCTAGAACTCCGTCAAAACGAATGCCCTCAGTACCGTGGAAACCGGCCGTGCTACCTAATGAGCTAACGCCATAGCTAAAACCCTCAAGACGAGAACCAGAAAACAGAAATTCGCCCAATTTTGCCTTGAGACAGTAGAAACGGGAAAATGAATATCGCCGTTTCGTCGTCGTGCGTCCCGTTATCCGCCAGTCGGAGATACCCTCTTCCTACTAACTGGACGACCAAGTCGCCGTCGCCGTCATCGTCCCTTCACAAGCCGAGCTTGTGCTTCTTGATCCTGGGGAAGACGCCGACGATGAGGAGAACGAAGATGACGATGGTGGCCCAGAGCTTGATGTTGAGGACGTTGAGGTTGTAGTCGGTCTGTGTGGCGCTGATGACGGTGGCGGAGAGGAAGAGCAGGAGCGCGTAGCCGCTCGCGCGGTGGTACTTCCAGATCTTCTTGGCGGCGGCCTCGCCGCCGTACAGGGCGGGCGTGGCGAACATGGTGAAGCCGACGAGGTACTGTGCCAACAACCAAAAAGAAGCGATCACGCCCAGGTACCCGTGCGCGGAGTGGAAGTGGGCGCCGTTGTTGGCGACCTTGTTGTACTCGATGCTGATGACGCCGACCGCGAAGATCAGGAACCCGAGAACGTTGAGCCCGGCGTGGGCCCGCGCGCCGGCCTCCTTCTGCGCGCCGGTGTGCGTCGGCTGCACGACGAGGATGGACTGGATGAGCACGAGCAGGCCCGCGGACTGCGCGAGCGGGTGCACGGAGAAGAGGATCAGGGGCCCGTTGAGGAAGACGGCGGCCCAGACCGAGGCGACGAGCAGGACGCCGGCGGCTTCGGCGATTATGCCGGTGCCTGAGGATTGTATGAGCTGAGGCATGTTCACGGGGTGATGGATAGGCTAATATAGATAGGTATATATGGTATGTAACATCAAGTGTATATTGTAGCTAATGTTAAAGCGGAGGGACGAGCGTACGTATGCTCCAAAGGGAACAGCGAATCTAGCGACAAAAGAGGAGAATATCGTACCAAGAACGAGATTTTTGATTAAGGGAGCATCTTCTCTTTGAGAAGCATCTCCCGGCCGACCCAAAAGAGGCTCTAGATCCCCTTGTTCACCGCCGTCGTCCGGATTATTAATCGGGGGGTGTTGGGGTATTCCCGTCGCGGAAGCCATTCTGGCAATATTTCTTATTTAAATTGACGTAGCGCCGTTAGAGGGGTTCTACCGCACTTCCAGAAGGCTGGCGTATTATTAATGACGTTTACGAGGAAAAAGCTCGGTTCGCGATTCGCATCCGACAAAGAGTAATGTAATGATGTAGTGGAAATATTGGCAAACGTAGGCCCGTGGGACAAGAAAAACTCTCTTGGAGTTTTAGGAGTTTCGTTTCACATATTTTATCAAGTCGGAGTCGGAATTCCCTAAGGGCGAGGAGGCTGGCTAGGTGAGAGTTCGGAAAAGGATCGAGCTCACCATCGATGACGGACATGACGGAGTCCTGCTTAGGCAAGCTCCCGCCTATCAGAGCGCCGCGATTCTTAAGCAGCACACTGTACGTAGTGCAGGGCCCCATACCTAGTGCGGGCTGCGCGGGGGAGCTACAGGGAGCTACACAAGCAACCCCTTAATCAGGAAGGTTGTTGAGACCGCGAATGTGCGAAGTACAAAGAGCCTAGTCTAGTCTAACAATTGGTTTCAGTATTGACGTATCACAAAGATAAGCACATGTATATAGACTCTTTAGTACCTATATAAAAGAAGAGCATGATTCCGAAGATGAAGATGGGATATCAACCCTAATTCGCGTGGACCCAGGTAATTCATGAACCATCCATTTTAGGGGACATCCGTGCTGAAAAGGAGGGGAATATGGGGCTGAGATAACTGGAGGTGATATTAGGTGATATTGCACATGTCATAAGTGCCTCCAATCGCTGATTGCTAGCACGAACTTCATCAATTCGTCAACGCACACGATTGGTCGGTAACTCAAAGCGTTCACACTCAGTTCCATAATACAGCACTCCAATACATAGTCAAATTGGCAATGAGACTCCATATCGGGTGTGGCCGCATTCCGGAGCTCGCCCCACCAGGTTAGCGCTTGGAGGTTTCGAAGTCGGAATGTTGCTGCTTCGAGGTCGGAGGCTTCTAAATCGGGCAAACAGGTTGAAAGATTCCGCATTTGCTGTTCGTGCCATCCTTCTACATAGAAACACCACTCCGATCAGTGTAAAGCAAGGATATCATCCAATATGGCTGAAGACATCGAGTACAAGTTAGAGACCGTTAAGGTCACCCCAATTAGTTCGGACGAAATCGATAAGACGTTCCGATCCAGTTCCATCGGTATGTGTTCATAGCAACATGAAGGGGGAAGAGGAATTGTAAAAAAGATAATCCAGAACACAAATTTTCTAAGGCTAACTCATCCAACTAGACTTGATTTCTGGAACACTGGGAGGTAAAGTTCTAGGCTTCTCAGACCAATGGTTTGCCGATGCCGACAACCTATTGACGCCTACGCCCCCTATAAGGCAACCGGGAAAGATGGTCTACACAGGCGCTTGGTATGATGGCTGGGAAACGAGAAGACATAACCCAGAACCTTTCGACTGGGTTGTCATACGACTTGGTGTTGCATCGGGTACCGTGAAAGGAGTTGAAATCGATACCGCTTTCTTCAATGGTAATCATGCTCCGGCAATTTCTGTCGAAGGTTGCTTCTCTGAAGACGACAAGGTCCTGTCCTGGAAAGGAGGAAGAGGGGAATGGGAGCCTATTCTAAGCATCCAAGAGTGTGGACCCTCCCAGAGGTTTGGTTGGAAACTAGACAACCCTACTTCGAAGCAGTACACCCATGTTAGGCTCAACATGTATCCTGATGGAGGAATCGCGAGATTTCGACTGTTTGGTCATGCAGTGCCAGTCTTCCCCGAAGACGTAGATGCAATTTTCGACTTAGCTGCTGCTCAAAATGGTGGTGTAGCAGTCTCGTGTAGTGACCAACACTTCGGCACTAAGGACAACCTCATCCTGCCAGGTCGAGGCAAGGATATGGGAGATGGTTGGGAGACTGCCCGTTCCAGATCCAAGGGTCATGTTGACTGGGCCATCATCCGTTTAGGGGCTCCAGCTTTCATTCAAGACTTCGTGGTCGACACGGCCTTTTTCAGGGGAAACTTCCCTCAGAAGACGAAGATTGACGCCATCGAATGGAGAGAGGCCGGAGAACCTGGAGCTGATGCTGAAGGGTGGACTGAGGTACTGGAGCCTAGTAAGTGTGGTCCAGATCAGGAACACAACTTTACTAGCACGATAAAGGACAAGCCTTTCACCCACGTGAAATTGACTATTATTCCTGACGGGGGTGTGAAGCGATTGCGTGTTCTGGCTAAGAGAGCAGTCTAACCCAAGCTCTTTGGAAAAGGAATCACCTTCAAACTCATAACTCCATATTGGATCAAATTTTGAAAATGTACTCAAGTTAGGATGATGCTTAAAAGTTATACACGAAGACTTGTGATAAGTGCAAGTGAGGTTTAATTTGGATTATGACGGTCCTCCATAGGATTGCAAGTAGTTGCAAGTGAGAAAGAATATAAGTATAACCCTAGAAGAAGATTCGATGTTCGAGAAATAGTGGAAGTAGACCAATGAGATTGAGAATCCGGGATATAGTACTTAATTGGGATGGAAGGTAGGACCTGATAGAAGGATTGCGCACGGGCCACAAGCACTGCCATAACTGTGGCAGTTCCCAATGTGGCTACCTCATATCATCATCCTTAGAACCTGTCCGAACATTGAATGTCTAGTTTGATTGCATATAATACCTGATACTGTTTAATGACGAACGCCTAAAAGTCTGGGACGCAATATTAAAGAAAGACCCACAGCTCGACTAGAAAACACTCCTGAGAAGAATGGTTGACCTCTTGTTTGTTCCGACGAGTTCCTGAGCGAAATATTCCTATGCCGCCTCCTATCTAAGCCATGGATTTTGGGGACCTGGACTCTGATGGCGGGGGATTCGGCAGCGAGATGCGGACGAAGCCTCGTCCTCTCCCGGCTGACCTCCCCAAGTCCCTAGACGACCGTAGGGTAGTGTCGACCGAGTTGGTCCCGGAGACTGAGATGTACGATGGCTGGCAAGGTTAGCAAGCAACGGTTATCTATTAAATGACTACGTAATATACCTCCTAGATGCTAATTGTGACAAACTTTCCTTTAGGCCAATCGCAGTTTCTGACGAGCCCGATGATAGCGAAACCCCTTCAGTTTAGCAACCTAACTCTAGACGATCCAAACTACGATGAAGACTTGACTAAGGGCATGCCCGATAGCGATACACGACTGATGCAGATGCTCGCGGCGCAGGCACAGCATCTTGGAGGGCAAGCGTTCGGTGACGTAAATGCCATCGCAACAGACGATAAGCTATCGGACGACGAAAAGAAATCGATGCTACAAAAGGTTCTGATTATGTCCGCAAGCAATGGAGACCTCGACAATGTAAAGAGAATACTTGACGGCAAGGCGAGGCCGTTCGTCGACATAAACGCGCCTGATGATGAGGGGACGCCATCCCTAGTTTATGCAAGCTGCTTTGTTAGTCAAGAAACTCATACCAACCTTGTTCTTGTCACTAATGGTGCTTAGGGACACGAAAGTGTCGTGCAGGCCCTTGTAGATGCCGGTGTTGATGTGGACAGGCAAGACCGCAACCATTGGAGCCCCTTAATGTGGGCGATGACGAATAGGCACAAGAGCATCGCAAAAATATTGCTGGACAATGGGGCATCCCCGGAGGCGAAGACTTCTTCTGGGAGAACAGCTTTTGACTTCGTTCCACCAGACAGCGAGATGTCCTTCTATCTCCACGATAACGGCTACGGCATTGGAAACGCTGGGGTGACAGATGATTTCTACAATCCAGGCTTCTCCCAAGACAGATTCGAAGAAGAGATGGCCGAGAATGAAATACGGCGGCGCATGATGATGGACAGTGCACGAGATCTTGAGGTCGACTTAGGCAACATGGGAATAGATGACCAACCCGAGGTAAGCTGTTCCGAACTCAACGGAATTAAAGACGATATATTGACCGCAATAGCCCATGGACGAATTCGAAGAAGAGCTGCAGGAATTTGACTGGAGTCGATGTTTACATGATCAGATGTTCGTCTTTCAAGAGAGCGACCTGGATAGGATACTCGATATTGTTATTACCAATATGCAACCTCAGCGCTCGCCGTCTCAGAAGCCTGTCCCGGCAAATATGATATTCCTTAGCGCTAGATATGCTCACTACCATTCTAGTCGCGATTTATTGACAAAGTTGCTCGTCACTGCTCAAGATAAAATTAACGAAGTCGTGGAAGCTCATCAATGGGACATGACTATCTTGGCCTTTTGGATGTCAAACGCAACCCTCTTACTACACTATCTAAAGAAAGACGCCGGTTTAGTTGAGGCGACAACTGAGTTCCAAGCGCAACTTGCAGAACTCATCAATGAGATCTTCATCCTCGTCGTCAGGGATGCAGAGAGACGATTAGATAAGGTCCTAGATGCTGCGATGCTTCATCATGAGACCATTCCCGGATTAGATGATGTCACTTTCCAGCACGAATGGAAGATATTTAAGAGAAAAAAGGAAGTGAAAGAAGAGCCTCTCGAGAAGCGATTCCGACCTCCTTCGCCAAAGCAGCGAGCCAAGCCGGCTCCCCGAAACGTGACATCGCTTCTTTCATCTACTTTATTTGTCCTTGACCTTTACGATATTCATTCAGTCATTACGGCGCAAATCATATCACAGTTGCTTTACTGGCTAGGCGCGGAACTTTTCAACCGAATTATGAATAATAGAAAATACCTCGCCAGAACTAAAGCCATGCAAATCAGAATGAATGTTTCAGTACTGGAGGACTGGGCTCGTTCCAACAATCGCCAACCCGAACATTATGAGCATGGGGAAACAAGTTCATCCGGCGAGACGACGATGGAGGCGGCGCGCAGGCATCTAGCGCCTGTTGTACAACTCTTGCAGTGGTTGCAATGTTTCTCATCCCTAGATTCGGATGACTTGGAGGCGTTGGTTGGAACACTACAGCAGCTCAAGCGGCTAAGTCCGCAGCAGCTAATATATGCCGCTAAGAACTATCGACTAGAAGTTGGAGAAAAGGGATTGCCTAAGAGCGCATTGAAGTACCTTGATGCGATTCAGAAGGAGGCCGCACTCAGGAGGGACCGCAGGAGGACGGTATCCCCCATGCCGTCTAGCACGCCATCGACACCTGTCAAGACCACGTTCAACGGCGTTACCGCAGAAACTCCAGGCAGCTTCCAAGGCACACCGAATCCAGACCAAGACGACGACGATGATGTGCCAGAGGGCATCAATCTAGATCCCTCCTTGATGTTACCGTTCACTCTTCCAACTGTCACGGACATGCTTGTGACTTACGGTGCCGGATTTGGAGGAGTTAACCGGGAGCGGGAGAGGAAATACATACCAACAATCCCACCGGAGTTTCTTGATAAGCTAGAAGTGAGCGGTAATTCAAACCGACCAATCTTCGGCGAGAGAGATTGGGAGAATGAAGAAATTTGATGAGCTGACGGATGTTCGCTTAGTAGTCAGCGAATGAGTAACGACCGGTAGCTAGGGCCAGCTCAGCCTGCATGAAGCTCTACTCATCGCTACAAACCTACATACCTACCTAATACGTTGACATCACCGAAAGCCGTCGCGTTGGCGCCAACGGGAAGGTTATAGTTATCGACGCGGTAATGAACCCTATGCAAGCTGCAAGGGACAGACGCGTGGCGCAGGGGGAACTGGGGGTTTCAATTGCATACAGTAGCATGGATCTTTCGGGAGAGGCAACGGGATGAGTCAGATGAAGCCAGTAATACATCTCGAAACTAGCACTAGTGCATCTTACCGTAGTGTGCTGGACACGATAGGGATGCCTATTGGCGGACGTCTTAATAGGTATCAATTGGGAACCCTTAGGCAGATAACTTGTATGCACGGACAAGGAAGAGAAGATAGAAAAAAACTTTTTTTTTCTACCAACAGACTGGGCTGACTAGGTTCATCTCGACGGGAATGTGAGAAATGTCGTGGCTGCTGTCTAGCGGTCCCGTTCAACTTCAGGTAACCAACCAATGGAATTTTATGTTACCTACCGCTTGCAGAGTTACTCTGTGGTCTGTGATGCGGTCAGAATATATGCAGGCATGCCATTTGCCAACTGTCACGGTCAATATAGTGCAGCCACGTCCAATCCGGTGTTACCAATTCACTCCGTCCCTCGCTTTAGGGGTTACCGTTCGTGCTTGGCACGCAACCTGCCTCTCGGTCTTGGCAACCGGTTCTACGATGGGTTCAACTGAGAATCACAAGAAACTATATGGTACAACTAGCATCACGTTTCGATGCTACTATATCCGAATCACAGAATCAATTAGACACCGTCCAAATTTAGGACCCATGCTTCCTTCGGTTTTCGTAAAACCACCCGGACAGAGGTAAGTTCTAAAAGCCATCGTAGCCTTGGAGGTTACCTCTAATCAACCCCCGCGCTATTTAATTTTTTTTTTCTTTCGCCGTTCGTCTAATTGGTGGCGGGCGATGGAACTGACTCGGATGAGCGCTGGCTAAAATGGCCACGTCAATAATCTAGTCGAGGTCGGAGTTGAGGGACCCGCGGGATTATTCGAGCGATTCCTCCGTTTTTAGGAGGAACTTCTAGACTTGGCCCGGTTTCCCTCCAGTTTACGAGAGTGACGTATACTGATCGCTTCTTGATCGCTTACCCCGCCAGAAATCGGTGGGCATTCACTATATACCGCGATGACCGTTCGGTGGTCTCTGAGCATATAGTGGGCGTCGTTTATTAGTCGAATTATAGGCCAGAGGATGGTGTAGCAACGGTGGTATGGGTGGAATTTTCCCATCTGTTTTATCCTCCGCGCTCCCGGCTTGGCTAACCTGAGGTTGATCCTGGGATCTCGCATCCTTAAGGTAAACCAATAGAAAAAGAGAATGAGAGGAGCCTAGCCCCATACTTGCCGGCTTAACAACATTTTTCTACTTGACCTCCAATTTGTGTGGGGTTCTCTATACAGCATGAACGGACTTGTCGAGAGAAAGCTTGACATCGCGGACAGACGGAGTACCTATACCATTATTGACTACACTGAAGCCGTTTGCCACATGTAGGTATTGGATAGATGTGACGGAATCACAGAGAAATGACTTTGCGGGGAAAGTAAGATCTACCTAAAGAATTTAGATGTTCAATGTTGCTTGTTCTAAAGTCTATAGCTTCGGTGTTGCCAAAGTGGCTGTAAAAAGTGAAGTGATGTGACAATGTTGAACAACGGCTAACTCTCACCTATTTCTCTTAGGTGCCTACCTAGTATGAAGTGTTTATTATGTACCTAGTAGTTCCTGCAATCAGTAAAGATAAAAAGTCTTGGCAACATTAAATTTAGCAAATTATATACCGCTACTAGGTAGATTTTCCCATTCGAGTATACATATCTAGAGCAAACGGGAAAGAACGGTATGTGACCGCTCCCAATCTATCGGTCTAGCTTCGAAAGTCGTAAGTGCCGCAACTCGGCCAATGCCCAACCTTGTGAGCGGGCCACCTGTAAAGAGTGGAAACTGCGTCTCTCTATTCTGGCCAATTGGGAGAAAGGGTAATGGTGGTTGTAAGTGGTTGCGAGGGCAGACATGTTCGATGATGTGCATTGCTTCTATTGACGCCTTCCGCGTCCTAGTAGATGACCTACTAAATGACCTAAGTGACCTACTACCTACTAGGTATAGTAATACCGCAATACCGCAACACCGCACAACGTCCTAATGGAATTGCTGCCGCCACGACATCCGCTTTTGCACCTTTGCAACCTGCATGCTGGCCAGATCAGATGAACCCTGGCTAAGTCCAATTTTCCCTGGTTCTTCAAGACAAACATATTAAAGCAACCCGCAGCCACGGGCTTGTGATAGCCCAAGAAAAAAGTATGTACTTGTTTGCAAATTCACGACGTCGGTTGTGTAAGTCACCCAAAACATCCAAGACATTTCAGTCACAAGCACATACCTACATGTACTAACACTTAACAGCATTGGTTGAACATTGAACGCATGCCATTTCCCAATTCGTCTTTTGGTTCCAATATTTTAAGTTCACAAACATTTTTTAACGAAAGAAACGAGGAAGGTATAGATCACAAGCTTCATTTTTAGTCTAGGCTTCCTTCTCCCCAGGTACTGAAGGCACTGAATCGTGCTTGGTCATATACACACTAAACTTTCTCTCCTCATTGCACCTTTTCTATAATTGGCTTTTTCTCTCCTTGAACAACCCTCCCATTACCTAGAACAGAATCGCGCTAACATATAGCTAGTTATTTGGATCGGTGGGAGTGGGGGACTAGGCTTAAGGGACCTTATGCCGTGACTCGCAACGAAAAACGGGGATACCGTTCTTCACGAAGTAAATAAAGAAGAATCGCCATCTCTACCACGATCCCTTGGACGTGTCTTTACTACTTAAACAAGCTCCTCGCAGCTTGTCAAGGTCAAGCCCTTCAACCGTTGCTGGCAGCTTATGCTCAAGTGTCACACCAGACACCATATAAGCCATAGGCCAATTTCCGGAAATTGATCCTTGAGCGCAGTCACAGAGACAAATGTATTCGGTACACTCAGCCACAATGTTCGGAGTTACACCAGGCACAGTACCTTATGTGCCTCCGCCAACACCCCAAAAGAACTCACCCCCTCGGTACAGGTCTAAGTCTTCGAGTCTTGTTCCTTTCAGGGACGAGTCCAAGTTAGTTGCCTTGCGATACGACCAGACCGTACAAGCTGAGCCGCCAATACCAATACCACCACCTCGATCTTCTCGTCGTCCACCACCACGCCCTATTTCTTGCGACACGGCTCGGTCTCCCGTAGTGGTACCACCTCCTCGACCCGCTCCTCCTACCGAGCAGCACCCCGCTTTGAGAACCATCAGTAGCCCGCGAATAGAGGCAATTGAAAAGCGAGATTCCGGCCACTCTCCCGCGACACCATCAAGTTCTTGGACCATTCGCGAAGATAGCGAAACAGATGACGAGGACCCTTTCGCTTATGAAAACATTCAGAAGTTTCCTGAAATTAAGCCGCTCGCTTTAGTAACCCGCTCTGCATCCCCTTCCATTTATGCGAGAGTGAGCGAATCCGGTAGTAGGGCTAGCGCTCCTTCTATCTCGCCTGCGCTGTCAGATGGCGAAACTGTTTCACCGACATCACCAAATACGCCATCTTCTAATTTCTCAAGGTTTGCTCGAAGCTTTAGTTTGCGATCGAGCCGATCAAACTCGTCTAAATCCTCGTTTACGAAAATGAAGCGTCTACGGAAGAAACCTGCAAATGATGGACACGATGGGGGCCCGGGCGTTGGGAACCCCGGCTATCCACTAAACGGGCAGGACCGCTCGGCGCCTAAATCCCTTAGCGGCAGTTTATCGCCAGTATCTGACCCCCATGGTTCTCCAATTATTTCTACGACTATCCCCACCGAGAGCTTATTAGAAGACGACTTTATGACCCAGCTGTCCTTCTCCAAGCGTGGTAGCATCATCTTCGGTGCCAAACATCCGCGTACATCTTTTAGGGACGCGGGCACCATGGCCGACCAAGAGACCGCTGTCGCGAACGAAAACGCCGACCTTGAACAATCTAGAGAACCGCGCTCTTTTCCTCTTGTTCCTACGAAGACCTCTGCCAGCGCAAACACGAAGGAACCTGCCAAATCCTCAACGTTAGCCTCAGGGGCACCCGACAATGCCAAAACCAACTCCCTACCGCCCACACCTCGTCACCCCCCTCCTAGCGTCCGGGTGATATCTGCCGAGGCCGAGAAGGAATCTCAAAAGGTGAGATCGCTCTATGAATCCGGGGAAGGTCTCAATTGGGAAGAGGGAGCGGGATGCTCGTCGATTGACGGACGTCCCCAATCCTCAGCAGAACACCCACCAAGAAAGAATGAGAACGACGCGTACGGTTTCCTTATCTATCCAAATTCAATACCTTTTTATCGTGCTAACAAGTCGTGCTCCGTATAGGTCAAGCGAGCCGGCTGGAAACCCTATACCACTCTCGGTTTCTATTTCGTCGCCACAAGATAGGGAGTTGCGACGACAACACGAATTAGCCGGAGGAATCGAAGATTGGGAAGGGGTCCACGTTGGGGACGTCGATCGTTACGGTTTCATTTCTGTTCAACAACCACGCGAAACGCGACCGGCCACGGCATACGAAACCACATCTGTCCACTATTCGGAGCGCAAGCAGCGAAATGTTCTGGTCCGCAAAGATGCGGCGTCGCTTTCGTCGAGACTTAAGCGCGGGCCCCGAAGAAAGCTGTCGGCCCGCTCTTTGAACACGCAGGCGTCGGGATTATCCACAGCATCCCACCGATCCGCTCTGTCGGCAATTCGCCAAGCCACGAACTTATTGCCGCACAACCGGGACAGGAAATTGTTAGATGAGGCCGGAGATATCCTTGCCTCACACCCAGGCCTGTCGCATACCGACGAAGATGGGTCGGCTGAGAAAAAATTGACCGAGTCGAAGTTGAAGGAGACGGAGCGCGCTGAGAAATGGCGAAGGATGGCCAAAATAGTGAAAGCCGGTGCGGATGGGCAAGGTATGGTGTTCGAGTTTGACGTGAAACATCCGAAGCTAGTCGAACGGACGTGGAAGGGCATTCCTGACTGTTGGCGATCGTCAGCTTGGTACTCGTTCCTCTCCGCCAGTGCCAAGGCTAGCAACGAACCGTCTGCCACAGACGACGAGCTTAAGGCCGATTTTCACCGGCTCATCGAGGAACCGTCGCCGGACGATGGCCAGATAGACCTAGATGTACCCCGGACCATCAACCAGCACATCATGTTTCGAAGGAGATACAGAGGTGGCCAGCGGTTGCTTTTTCGAGTACTGCACTCTCTATCTCTTTACTTCCCTGAGACGGGCTACGTTCAGGGCATGGCACCGCTGGCAGCAACCTTTCTAAGTTACTTTGACGAAGAGAGATGTTTTATAATGCTGGTGCGGCTTTGGAAATATCGCGGTCTCAATCGAATATACCAGTCAGGATTTGTGGAGCTCATGGCTGCTCTGAAAGACTTCGAGCAGGATTGGTTGGCTAGCAGGGACGTGGCTTCGAAGCTTGTAAGTTATTAACTCTTGATACCTGATTCCAACTTCTGCTGACATCTGTTAGTCTGAGCTCTGCATCGATCCAACCGCGTATGCTACTAAGTGGTATCTTACTCTCTTCAATCTATCGATACCCTTTGCCGTCCAACTTCGTGTATGGGACGCTTTTCTTTTGCTTGGTTCATCGCCAGACGTTCCCTCTACTCCGAGCAAATCTGCAGTAGAGCAGCCGTCATCCAAAGGACTGGAAATTCTCCACGCGACCAGTCTTGCCATTATCGACACGCTCCGACCTGCCCTTCTCGACTCCGATTTCGAGAACGCGATGAAGTCTCTTACTTCCTGGATTCCTATCAAAGACGCCCAGGGATTCATGGACCTTGTGCAATTAGAATACAAGCGGCATCAGAGCAAGCAGAAGATCTAGGGGACACTACTGCTATTATGATGCACTGCTTGAATTGGACTTGGTATTTATTCAGCGACTTCCACGACTCCAGAAGGCGGAAACACGGGCTGCCTTCTTCAAACTAATATTCTCGAATGTATAATCTCGCTACAAGCTGGGTGGAATATATCATACTGGCTGGCGAGCCAGCGACGACGGGATGATCTCGTCCCCCAAACATCGTTCAGGTCGCGACAAGGACTTGACCTAATATCAGATTCCCTTTGTTTTCCGGAGAAGCGGTGATGTTTGTTGACGGTGAACTACATGGTGTAGGGCACGGGAGAGGTTGATGGATGGTTCTCGCACTATACCCCCTATGCATTCGATGGACGGTTAACGAATGGGAAAACTGGTTGCTCACGTTGATTATTCCTCCTACACAATACTATTATTTAATAAGGAGTCATACTGCATAGCCGAATGGAAGGCCTGTTGGCTATGCTCCCTAAACTATGGTCTAGTACTTTGTCCTAGAACTACTATGATAATATAATTTGATTTACCTCGTTTGCCTGTCTTTGATCGTGTCTCCGGACTTAACTCCAAATTATATTCTAGGCACCGACTTTTTTATATGAGACTTTTTTATATGAGACTTTTTTATATGAAGTAGGAGTAAGTGGCTTGAACATGGATTACCCTCCCTTCGGCTAAGGCGTTATCTTGGGCTAGCTTGCCACCATGGATCTCACTGCAGATAATCATGGCGTCCGGTTCGTGATAGCCGATATTAAATAACCCCGATTGGGAAATCGGGCAGTTGGAGAAGTTTCGCGCGGATAGGGCTGAATTCACGATGGCTTTTAGTTGATTCAGCTTATCCCACCATTCCAGGGACCAGAAATTTTTACTCAGAGCTCTGAATACCGCTATTCTTCTCGTAACATTGCATTAATATGATGTTATATGACAATCGACAACGTTGTTGCCCCGGGATGATCCCAAAGAATATCCTAATTTGGAAAGATGCTGCGCTGGGCTGAGACTTTAGCCCACGCGTAGTTGGGCAAGCAATTGGTCTGTCGTTACACAAGCATCCATGCGAGTTATCGAAGCCGTCGAAGGATCTGGCTTCACACCACACACCCCGGGCGGTGGGGGCTGTAAATGCTGGCCTGATAGGTGTATCTGGTAGGACTTTCTATATGTAAATGTTATAAGCGCGCTTAAGGATAGTAGCTGAAGAACGTGTATCACGAAGACCTTCTTTTAAGAAGCTAAGATACCTATTTAATTGACTAGGCCTCCCTCACCTTGTCCTTCCTTTCACATACACGTACGTGCGTACAGAGCACATACTACTCATTTCCATTCCCTTCGATTCAAACACACCTTCAAACATCTAAACCTCTAAAAATGGGAGACAAAACGGCAGAGAAAATGGTAGTAGACGCAAAGGCGGACTCCAAAGCCGGCTCGTCATCATCATCAAAAGCAGCAGACTCGAAAGACCCGCCGCCGCCGTACTCGTTCGCGGCGCCTCCCGGCGAACTCCAGCCACCGCAGGCGCAACCGCAAGGCCGACCGGCCAAGATCCCGCGCCAGTTCCCCCCCGCGTTCAACATGTACCGCGACGGCGGGCTCGGCGGGCGCCACTACACGCTGGGCGAGCACCAGGACCGGCCGCTGTACGCGGTGGCGCTGCACACGGGGTTCTCGGGCAAGCCGGACGTGGTGCTGCATAACGGGCCGAGCGATAGCCGCCCGCCCCTCGCGGCGGCGGAGAAAAGCGGCTGGAGCTCGCGCGGCACGGTGTACCTCCCGCCCGTGCCTGGTCTGAGTCTGGGTACGGGACCGGGAAATGGCGGGATACCGGCTGCGCAGGAGAAGTTTGAGACGGGCGGGGGACCGTTCGGGCATAAGACTTTTTCGTTTGGGATTGAGACGGGTGTAGGGGAGGGCCAGAGGAGGGAGATGTTCGAGTGGAGACACTCTTCTTCGGGCGCGGTTAAGGGGCTCGGGGGGCGAGGTGCCGGGTGGAAGCTTTGCCGCTTGGCGAATGGGCCGCCGGCGGGTGTGCAGGCTGCGGAGTTTGTGCAGGGCGGGGAGAGGGGGAGTGATGGGCGGGAGGTCGTTGCTGTGGTACGTCGTATATTTTTTTCGTTCCTGTTCACACATTTACCTACCTACCTGCTTAACTAGTATACATACTGACATCGTGGCGATAGTGGGCCTGGGCTAGCGGGAGCATGACGAAGACGTGGAAGTTCCAGTTCCTCGGGTCCGGCGCGAACGGCGTGCTGGGCGAGCGCTGGGCGGTCATGGCGGTCATGACGGCGCTGAAGATGTGGGACATCGAGAGGCGCGCGAGGCAGAACGCCCGCGCTAACGCCGGTGCGGCCGGTGGTGGAGCTTAGGTTGCTCTGGCTGCTGGTATGTAGTCCTCCGGGACTACTTTCTTTTGAAAAGGAAATATGCGTGGCTCGCGCATTGCTGTTGCTTGTTCATCATATTCCTTATTGTTCCCGAAGTCTTATTATGGCGCGTGGGTCCTCGACTGCTGGACTGTCCCCTGAGAATTCAACTCTAAGTATGTACTTATACCCTATGAAGTAACAAAATCTATTTATCTCGTTGTTTGAACTTGTTGTCGAAAAGTATCTCCTTATGTTCAATGCTATGAGCGTTGCTTGGTTGACAAATCAAGATCTATGATGTTTATCTTTACCATACCAGTACAGGCCCATAAAGGACCCTGGATCGACTCCCTGTCTGCGGCGAGGCTTAGCTCAACCTCGATTAACGTCGAGTCCACACTTTACATAGTGGACAGAGTGGATGATATGACATTCTATGCAAGTGAGGACCAACAATTTTCTTCTTTTGGATTCATGGTCCGTTGATTCCCAACCACCGTACCACCGTACTCGTGGCTTATCACCGTCGACTCCTCTGCTCCTGTAACAAAACTCACCGCATCCATACTTGTGGAATGGGTCTCTTATTAGTGATCACTAATCGCTAGCATCCTTCGGCCTTGCAGTAGTAATTGCTTGATGATTTGAAATAGTATAAAAAGCTCCGCTAAACGGGTTCTAATGGGCCATTGAAATACTAGACAGACTAGATCGACTAACTATATTTTCCAACCGCGCGGTGCTCATCGTTGACGGTGTCGATCGAAAAGTCCCCGTGGAGTAAACTGCTAGGCATACAAATTACAAGGGGTGTTGTAGGGCGCTGGTCAAGGGTATGGATGGACAGCTGAAGCTGATCATTTTGCTGTGCCGCATGGTGTAAAATAACATATCGACTCAGGGGATCGCGCACGACGATTTCTTTTCGTCTAGAGAAATCTCGATACACGTACTCCCTCTCTCGCGACCTTTTTCTCACTTTGGCATCGAGTAGAATCAGCCCTATGGCATGATAAGTCATTACTTTACAGACAGCGAACTCGCCGCCCTAACCCACACTAATTCCCACGTCATCGACCTTCTAAGAAAATATTTTGAGTTCACGATACTACCGTCATTGACGAGTTAATCCGGCGGTAATCAACAGCGAGTTCCAGCGCCATCACGGAACCGCCCGTGGTGACGGACATGCTATGCCGCAAGACGGGCACCTCTCTACCGGCTCTATAGTCGGTATCGTATTCGCCGTCATGGGCTTCCTCACCTCCATCTCACTACACATATTCTTCCACCTACGCAGGGAAAAGAAAAGAGAGCAGAAGGAGAGGGAAGAGAAAGAAAAGGCAGATAGGGAAAAGGCGGACCTCGAGAAGGGAAACGCGGACGGCTCCACCCCTACGATCGAGGAAGGAGGCCTCGCTCCCAAGCCGGAACTCGAGGGTACTATGGTCGGCGCCGTGATGCCGAAGATGGAACTCGACTCGCAGCCCGTAGCGGAGCTTCCCAACGTATCACGCGTAGGAGAATTAGACGGATCGCCGTCCGCATCAACGTCGCAGCTTGGCCAGAAATCAGCATCGACGCCGACCAAACAGCCTGGTGTTGCATACGAGTTACCTGGTTAAACCACTACTTCATTCGAAATCGATTACATACTTGGCGTTTTATATCTTGGATACGGAAGGGTTATATACCACGGCCTTTCAGCCACACGGAACGGACTTCCCCAACTATCGTCGAAATCCAGAGCGAGTATCTTCAGCGGGTGTTTTCGGGGAAGAATCTAGATTATACCATGTTCATTTAAATACAAATACAGAAACAATTGAGATACCCAGAGGGTTTTAGCATGGCAGTCCAATGGCTCGAATTTTGATACGCTGTCTTTTTTTGCCTGACCTTAGATCGCGGAGGATCTAATCCTCGAGTCTGACAAATATGCGAGTCTACCGAGAGAAAAGATTAGAAGGGATAAAGATGTTGTATTGGTTAAGTTCTCTTAGACCTTGGATCTCATTGTGGAGATCTTAAATACTAGTACAGTATTAATCGCACCTTCCTGCCAAGTATACTCCATCTCCGAGACGGCAACGCCCATTGTGGTACCTTGACTAGTACCTAGATTTGAAGCTTATTTTGCTTGGCATGACACATGGGGGTCTTTAAAGGTTTTATTGAATTGGAAGTCGCTGACGAAATATAACCCTAGAAATCTATAACAGACGGCTCACCACGAATACCTAAACATGGCATGTATGAATGCCGCCAATAACATCATGAACAAACACATCTCTTGTGAGGATACCTACTCTTGCGCTGCGGGTCTAGTGGCTATTTTTTATTGCTATTCTTCAGTAGGTATGGTAAATTAACGCCAAGTGACATCCTCGAATATTCCGCGTTTCTCCTCTAGCAACTCCGTATCTCAATGCTAAGTGGCATATCGAGAATATCCATTGAAATCTCGACCAAGAGTTCCCCAAGACCGAACCGCTTCAAGGCAGACCCCACCAGCTCTCATGCACATCCCTCAGATCGACCGTAGCCGGGTCCTTGATATACGGCGTAATGTCACTGCTCAAATCCTCCTCCTTCCTCGTGCTCCCGTTGCCGAAGTACCAAGCCAGCCTGTTGCCACTCTCGGACAAGTACTCGTACTCCCAGTCCTCCCAGCGCGGGTCGCGCAGGACGATAGTCACATGGGCCGCGCTGCCGGGCCAGAGCCCGTGTATCCTGCCGCCGGCCCGGCCGCCGTTGTACCAGGAGCTGCAGTTCTCGGAGAGCACGGTCGTAGCGAAAAACGCGTCGGAGTACGCGACGAAGTCGTCCGTAGCCGCGCGCGAAGGCTGCACGGTCCTGATGCCCTCGCGCGCCACCTTGCGCAGCAGCTTCGCGAAGAAGCTGACCTGCACCTCGACGCTGTGCGGCACCGTGCCCGACCTGCCGGACCCGTGCGGCCCGTGCACGAAGCCCAGATTCGGGAAGCCGGGCGTCGCCGTGCCCAGGTACGAGTAAGGGAACCCGAACTCGCCGTCCTGGCGCCAGAGCTGCGAGAGGTCCTTTCCGAGGGCCCGGATCGGGAAGGGCGGCACAAGGTCCACGTTGGCGCCGGTGGCGCAGAAGACGGCGTCGACGGGCCGGTGCTTGCCGTCTACGGTCTCGATGCCGGTCGCGGTGAAGCGCGCGATGCGCGTCTGGATGTACTCGACGTTGTCCTCGGTGATGGCCTCGAAGTAGTTGGGCCCGGGCGTGAGGCGGCGACAGTGCGGCGAGAAGTCCGGGATGATGCGCTCGAAGAGGTCCGGGTGCTTGGCGAGCCGCTTCCGGATCAGCTCCGTGTACTCCGCGCGCGACTTCTGGCTCAGCTCCGAGCCCTTGAGCCAGCTGGAGAAGCCGCGCCAGTACTTGGCCTCGAGACCCTTCCGGAACTTAATGTACTCTTGGGGGTCCTTGAAGGACTCGCGCAGCTCGGCCGATATGGGGATCGGCTCGATGGAGGTGTCGTCGCCGGCGAAGGAGGCCGTCACCCAGGTCTTGTTCCGCGCGTAGTGGTCCAGGTGCTTGACGCGCTTCTGCAGGTTGGAAGTGAGTTGTATGCCGCTTGCGCCGTTGCCGATGATCGCTACGCTCTTCCCGTTAGGGTCAAATGTCGGATCCCAGTTGGACGCGTGTCGGAGAAGGCCCTTGAAGTCGTTTATGCCGGGGTAATTGGGTAGTTTCCAGGCGTTGAAGCGGCCGATGGCCGTCAGAACAAAGTCAAACTCTTGGCTAGACGTCTCTCCGGTGCTGAGGTTATGCACCTTTACGTTCCAGACCGACTTCTTCTCGTCCCAGCTTAGCTCTTCTACCTTCTGCGAGAGCTGCAGATGCTGGTACACGTCGTACTTCCGCGCAAGTCCCTGCCAGTAATCGCGGATCTCCCGACCCTGAGCGAATTGCTCCGACCATTGGGTATTCGGGGAGAAGCTGGTCTGATATACGTGAGCTGGTACATCGCACCTAACTCCTGGGTATATATTTTCAAACCACGTTCCGCCCTGTATTAAGTTAGGTTAAATCTCTTGGGCTTTTGACAGCAATACTTACCACGTCGGCGTTCTTCTCGAATATTGTTAGCTTTATACCAGGGACCTTAGCGGGGAGAAGTATGCCAGCTAGGACTCCGGAAAGCCCTGCGCCAATGACGGCAACTCTTAACTGTCTTGGTTCATCGATATACCGGTTTTCTAATTTGAGGGTTGGGACAGGATAGCTTGAGAATTCTGGCTCTTTAAGGAGTTGCTCGGCCACTTCTTCCGCCTTTACTACCGGTACTTTTACGCCATTAGTTGACTTGTCCGAGGCTTCTTGGGGTAATGGAGATGGCGTTGCTCCATTTGTATTAGGAGTTTGTTCTAAGCCCTCGACAGTCATATTGCCCAAGTTAACCACCTTCGTACAGCAGAAACAAAAATTCAACCAAATGAATTTTATGTCTAATCATACTAAATATGACAGGTCAGGATCCGAGACTTATAGCCGCCAGACTGAAGTTATCTTGAAGCGCGTTATCATTCGACTAGAGCCAAGTCGCCCACCTACTACGGCATTTATAGGCAAAGCACGCAATAGCCCCCGCGTCTTTGCACCTCCGCTATAGGACGTCCGGGTAGCAATCAACACTCACGACTGACACCATCCCCTAGTTACTATTGTTGCATTGAGATTAGTTCAATGTCGTGATACACTTGCCGACATGGAAGAGACCTCTCTATATCATCTCCAGCTAGGCCCGTCCGGAACGTATGATGATCGCTTATCAAGAGTGGCGTCGTTGACTCTGGGCAAATTATACTGAAACAAGCTTCTTAGAATAGCGCATGTCAATAAACTCAAGATGGCTTCCCCGGAGAAGAAGCAGATTTTCTTGAACGCATTTGATATGTCCACTATTGGTCATCTCTCACCTGGTCAATGGAAGGTAAGTGTCTAATACCTTAATAAGACGTCTCACTAACAACTCATCAGAATCCCGTAGATAAATCAGCTACAAAGCGCAATCTTGACTATTGGATAGAGCTAGCCAAGCTACTAGACAGGGGAGGATTTAATGCATTATTTCTCGCTGATACATACGGAGGTTACGATACCTATGAAGGGAGCCTTGACAACTGTATCAGACGAGCCGCTCAATGGCCTGTCACCGATCCTACGATCGTAGGTTAATTAGAAATATTATTCAGTCAAACGGCAAGAAGTCTAATCATTTCGAAATAGCCAATCGCAGCAATGGCAGCGGTGACGAAGAATCTGTCTTTCGCCATTACCGCATCAACATCATTTGAGCCCCCTTTTCTGCTAGCCAAACGATTTTCTACTCTTGACCATTTTACGGGAGGTCGTTTTGGGTGGAATATCGTTACCTCCTGGAAAAAAGCGGCCTTCAAAGCCATTGGTCTTGAGAACCCTATTGAGCACGATGAGCGGTATCGCCAAGCTGACGAATATTTGAAAGTGCTATACAAGTTAGTTATCAGAAACCGCCCTTCGATAATGCGATGAGACTAAAAGAGTACCTGTAGGCTCTGGGAGGGGTCGTGGGCAGATGATGCCATATCCCCTGACCCGGCGAACGACAGCTATGCGGATCCGGATAAAATTCGCACCATTAATCATAAGGGGAAATACTTCTCTTTAAACACGCGACATATCGTCGATCCGTCTCCTCAGCGGACTCCATTTCTATTCCAAGCCGGAACCTCAGCGGCGGGCTCCGAATTCGCCGCGACGCACGCGGAAGCTATCTTCGTGTCCTCGCACTCACCAAGTATTCTCCGGCCAAAGATAGCCAAGATCCGGGAGCTAGCCGCGTCCAAAGGCAGGGACCCGCGCTCGCTCAAGTTCTTCGCGACATACACGCCCATCATCGGGCGCACGGACGAGGAGGCGCGCGGGAAGTACGAGGAGCTGCAGAAGTACACCTCGGTGATCGGGGGCCTCGTCCTCGTCAGCGGGTGGACCGGCATCGACCTGTCCAAGATCCCGCTGGACCAGGAGCTCTCGGCGGCGGACTCGCTGGAGGCGAACAAAGTGCGCAGCATCCTGGACGCGTTCACGACGACGAGCGAGGACATCCCGAAGTGGACGCCCCGCGTGGTCGCGCAGAAGGCGTCGATCGGCGGCCTCGGACACATCGCGATTGGGAGCCCGCAGACCGTCGCTGATGATATGGAGCGCTGGATAAGGGACGGCGATTTGGACGGGTTCAATATCGGCTACGTGACTACGCCCGGCACGTTCGAGGAGGTCGTCGACCTCTTGATCCCGGAGCTGCGGCGTCGTGGGCTTTACCCTGATCCGTTGCCGGAAGGGGAGAAGTTGACTGCGCGCGAGAGGATATACGGAAAGGGGCAGAATGGGCTGAGGGATGACCATGTTGGGTCTACGTATAAGTATGACCGGTACCAAGAGGAACCGCCATTTGTTGAGGATGAACGTGCTCAGGGTGGAGATGAATAAGGTCTTCTTGTAAGAAAAAAGCTGGAGGCTGTCATTTTCTAAGGATTGCTCTTCTACGGTCAATTAAAGGAGCTCGGAATAGTTGCATTATCATACTGCTCATCCAGTTGTTTCCGGTGAATATAGGTAAGTATGACAACAGTCTCAATAGCAGAATAACTATCTAAATGTGAAAAAATCCATTATATTGCTCATAGAACGGCTTGTTCCGCTAATCGTTCTGGTTGATCCAATGCGAGGAGACTCGTGATAGGGGTTGGTTCTAAGGTGACCTCATCTCACTTAACATCAATACCTAGCCAGACAACGATTACCAATTATTAAAAGCTATTATCTATCAATTCCCCACTCCCCATTGGATTGATACCTTCTCCTTCTACCGGAGTACGACGATGATCGCGGTTGCGACAATCTACCTAGAACCCCGCCCTAGTAGCTCCATTGCGTGATCGAAGTCGTCGTGTTGCGTGATCACAGCCAAGCAAGCCGGGACGCCAAACCATGCGGATAGCAACGCGCACATGCTACCGATACGATATCACGTAGTGCCGGCTAGCGGGCAAAGGTTCGCCGGCATTCGGAGGCGATGCTATTCGACTACCAAGGTAAGATGTTTAGCTTCGGTATAGTCAAGGGGGTATATCATCCGTTCTCCCGACAGCAGTCACCGAGGGGACTTTGTCAGTAATTCAACTTCCACATACGTATCTATTCTATCGAAAGAATACGATAGGAGCAGGAAATATGAGTAATGAGTCAAAGCCGAAGAAGAGCCTTGTGCTCAATGCTTTCGTGGAGATGTGTAAGTCCCAACCACCCTCAAGAGTGAAATATCACCGGCTTATACCGTATTTCAGGCAGCGGGCACCAGAGCCCTGGTCTATGGAGACACCCCGAAGATGAGTCGTGGCGCTTCAACGAAGTATCTCACTGGGTTGAGCTGGCAAAGTTACTAGAAGATGCCAAATTCCACGGCATCTTCATCGCTGACGTTCTTGGTCTGAAATACCCAACGTCTCGTCAATATCCACCAGACAATAATCGCTAACCGTAAAGGTAGGGGGATACGACGTCTACCGCAACTCCTTAGATCCGGCCAAGATCTCAGGGGCTCAATGGCCGGTAAATGAGCCTTTCGCGGTTGTCGCTGCCATGGCTGCGGCGACGAAGAGTATCGGCTTCGGTGTCACAGCTTCCACTACATACGAGCAGCCGTATCATTTTGCAAGGCGATTATCTACAGTCGATCACTTAACTAAAGGACGGTATGTTCTAACGTCTCATCCCTGACGAAACTTGACTGATCGCATGTAGGCTGGGCTGGAATGTTAGTTAACAAGACCTATGGAATCGTCTACCTGGACATTAACTGAATAAATATCTAGATTGTCACAAGTTACCTCGACTCCGCCGCCAAAAACTTGGGCTACACCGAGCAACCAAAGGTAAGATCATATAGCCCCAATAATACTACGTGGGGGCGCGGTACTAAGAAGACACCAACACCAGCACGACGACCGCTACGCGCAAGCCGAAGAGTACGTCAAAGTAGTCTACAAGCTCCTCGAGTCCTCCTGGCGCGACGATGCGGTGAAACTCGACCGCGAGAAGGGGATCTACACGCAGCCGGACCTAGTGCGACCCATCAACCACCGCGGCAAGTACTTCAGCGTCCCGGGGCCGCACATCTGCCAGCCGAGCCCGCAGCGCACGCCGCTGATCCTGCAGGCGGGCACGTCGCGCGCGGGCAAGCGGTTCGCGGCGCAGAACGCCGAGGCCATCTTCGTCTCGGCCCACGCGCCCGAGGTGTGCGCGCGCAGCATCGCCGAGGTGCGCGAGCCGGCCCGGACCGCGTTCGCCCGCGGCCCGGCCAACATCAAGGTCCTCGCGCTCGTCACGCCGATCCTCGGGCGCACCGAGGACGAGGCCCGCGCCAAGCTGGCCGAGTACCGCAGGTACGCCTCGCACGAGGGCGCCCTCGCTCTGTTCGGCGGCTGGACGGGCATCGATCTGAGTAAATACGGGGAGGATGAGGAGCTGAGACAGGTCGAGAGCAATGCTGTGCGGTAAGCGATGTGTTCATGCACCACCCAACCCCCTATTCCTATTCCTATTCCTCTTCATGATGTTAACGTTGGGTGTTTTAAGATCAACTGTCGAGGGCTATGCTAGATTTGCCCCGGGTACTTCCAAGTGGACGAGGCAGACAGTTGCGGAGCACGTCGCTATCGGCGGCAACGGCCCAATCTTCGTGGGGACTCCCTCGCAAGTGGCTGATGGACTCGAAGTCTGGGTCAACGAGGCGGACGTTGACGGGTTCAACTTCGTAAGTATTGCACCAATAACACCCCCTTAGCCGAATCCGCCTTCTTACATGAATTTACCTAGGCATACGCATTATTCCCACAGTCGTTCAAGGACATCATTGAGCTCCTACTTCCTGAGCTCCGCCGCCGAGGCCTGTTCTGGGACGATTATGCCGTACCCGGAGGGACTTACAGGGAGAACTTCTACCAGAAGCCGGGCCAGGCCGGCCCACTTGACGAGCATATCGTTTCGTCGTATAGGTGGAAGGCGGGCGTGCCTCCAGGAGAGCACGTCATTCCGGAATAAGACACCCCCTGAAAACGTGTCCGTGGGCTATGGGATCCATATCATCAACGAATATCTAGGTAGCTTTGACGGCGCGTAGGTACCTAGGTAGATAGGTATCTTGGGATGATACTAGGCGGAAAAGCTTAGGACGCAAAAGTTCATGTACTTGTAAATTCTCACTTACCCATAGTCGGATAACGAAACAAAAGTTCAAAGTCCTGCAATTAGTAATAGGAACCTATCATAGCCCATATCCTCTCCCATCCTACTCCTCTCGTAACGACGCCCGCTTGCCCCATCCAAATATCACACGTGCGTATACGAGGCCTCCGGCGCCCGTTTAATTACCAAAAGACCCAATGTGAGATCGTGAGGCTTGATTTGACGTTGGCATACGGCTTACATACGGCTTCACTGCCGGGCGATCATCACAGCCGCACCAAACCCTAACCATTCCTGGAAACAAAACACGAAGAGGCCCCGACTAAGCAGGAAAGAGGGCCAGAAAACGATATTAGCATCGCAAGGCTAAACGAAAGAAGGCAAAGCAGAGACGGGCGAGACCATTAAAATTCGGAGGAGCGTCGATAGATAATCCCACAAACATATCCAAAACGAACAACGAAACTAAGTATCGAGCCCCCCCATCGCGGCCCATAACTTCGATCTTCGTTGACGCCACCGTAGAAGGATCCGGCTAACGTCTCCCGAGCGTACCAGCTTATGTACTGCGCCCTAAGTAACTAGGTACGGTACATACACACTATCCCCATATCTATCGACAGGATTCTCGTCCCGTACCCACCGCTCGCTGCACGCTCTTTTAGACGTGCGTACATATATAGGTAGATACACACATATGTACCCGCGCGCACGCACGCACGTTCCCAAAGCGTCCGAGCACCTCGTCCCCATTAGATCATCGTGCGCCGGGAAGGACATGTGGCTGCCCTGCCTAGACAGGTCTCTGGGCGTCCTTTTTTTTCGTGGCTCCCTCCCTAGCGGGTGCCCGATTCGGAAATATCCTCATCCCGAATCGGGCAGGAAAGGAAATCCTTCAGCTAAGCTAGCCGGGGGAGGAGGGGTTTAGCTGAGCTTCCTCGTCTCCCGCTCTATACATATACCTAGTAGCAGCAGTAGCAGCAGCAGCAGCAGCAGTAGTAGTAGTAGTCTAGGTATGTATGTAAGTTAATAAATGGGAACCTAGGTATTGGGCGGATGGGGATCCTCCTCCTCTTCCTCCTCCTCCACCACCATCTCCTCCCATTTTCGGGAGTTGTAGTAATGTGGGCGGCGCCCGTTAGGGGAAAGAGAAACGTAAGGCTCTCGTCGCATTCGGATGAGGGCAGCGCTCCTGTACCTACCTAGTAATTTCGCGTGCGTTTTTTGCGCCCACGACCACGCGTTTTTGGCTTTTCTTACCTGCCGCGACACATGCGGTTGTAACGAAGAGAGAGAGAGAAGCGTCCACTGAGCCTCTCCCTGCCTAACTAGGTAGGTACCAGGTAGGAAGCTAGTAGGTAGGGCGCAAGGCAGAGGAGGCGTATTTGGCTGGGGAGTGATTCCGAAACTCATCTCATTACATAGGATGTATCTGTGTATGTAGGTAGGTACGTATGTAGGGTTGAGATGAAAATCCGCATGTCATGGCATGCCACTGACACATCAATCACACATGCCGACAATCAAATATCAGATCAGCCACGGGGCTTGCTTTCGTCAACAACAGCAACAAATAACAGCTTCGGATCGGAAAACGGCCGAATAGACGTTCCGCGGGGCTTGCTTGCCCAATGCCATTATCCAACGTTCTTACGTTCTCTTTTTGCTACCTTAGCTTGAGGGTACCGTTGCATTCCTTGCCCTGTATTGAGTATGTAGGTGTATGTGGGTGCATGTAGGTTGTGTTTCGGATAGATTGCTCTTATTAAGAAGCAGCAGCGCCAGAAAAGACAACCTTGGAAGAGAGACACCCACCACCAAAAAGAGCCAAGCTTTTTCTGCGCCTGCGAGGCGCTGCTGCGCCCGGCATTGGCTGCTCCCGTTTTCTGCCGCAGATGGGTGTTGCTCTGTCGAATGAGCGAAGAGGTAATGGACATGCTCTGCTGCCTACTAATTGCACCTAAGGGACCTAATGTATGTAGGTACCGGGGCGTCGCGCATGCAGTCAGCGTCTCATGCCGCCACAGCGTCGCATCGCAGCTCCGCTTTGGGCTGTTTGTCTTTCCCTGCTGCGTGAGTTTCTGTTGGAAAGGAAAAAAAACAAGGACGGTTGCTGACGGCGACGGCAATGGTGGCCTCGGGCCGCCTGTTGTGGTCGCGTCGCGTCCAGTCCAGCGCCAGAAAGGGTGAGCCAACCACGCTTCGATGTCGATGTCGATGGGATGTTCCCGCGAGCGGCTTGGGTAACAGTAACAGCGGAAGAGGCGCCCGGCGTTATTGTTACCTACCTACCTATACCTGCCTACAACCTCCCTACATACGTACATGCAGGGCCAGACGCACCCGGGAATTAACTACCTGGGCAGACAAGACGGAAATATTCTCGAAATCTTGGTTACTCTTCGGTGAGAGCTATGGTTCCTGGAGCCGTCTTGGTCTGGATCCTCTCCACTACGTTACCTACCGACTGGAACGCGCTTGTGTGTCGTCATCGTCGAAAGAATGCGGAAGAAGAAGAAGCGAAAGAATACTAAGAATACTACCTTTCTCTTGTGCCGGGACGCACCCATCTGGATTACATACCGTAAGTCTCTCTTCCTGTCCTAAGATCCGATGGTGAGATATCCGCCACGGGTTTCGCGAACGAGACGGCAGATGACGCCGGCCACATTGCTGAGTCCAAATTGGGATCTAAATAAAGAAAAGGCGCAGACTACGGAAGGTAGTTTTAATGCAAAAAAGAAGGTGATAAGTGTTCGTGAGGAAAAATTGACCGATTCTGGCTCGAAGGAATCACACCAAGCTCCCGAAAGGGGCCCTGATCTGCGGTCGCACTTCTCATACGCCTACTCGTAACCGGGTGTCGTCATGGTTCAGAGGCCGAGATGCGAGCCGCTACTGCGAGTCATCATGCATCTTCGTGCAATTGATATGCAACCCGTGGCGGCTATATAGCGTTGCCTGGGAAAGAGGACGCCCGTGATGCATGTTTGTATGCATGTAGGTCTAGGTAGGTAAACAAACAAACATGCAAGTATTTGCGCAGGTCGTTTCGAAGGCGGCTTTGTCGCATGATTTGGAATAGCTCGAACGGAGTCGCGTCGGTTCCTCCTGGAACCATCCCATACATAGGGTAGGGACCATCTCCGCGGTGTAGGTGAAGAAGTTACCTAGGTAAGTAGCACTGACGGGGTAGCAGGGAGTTCCGGCGACTAGCTTAAGAATCCCTCCCCCTTCCGAGGGGAAGGGATGCGTCTTACATCCATATCTCGATGCGGATGTGTATGGAGGATTACCTCGGCATTGAAAATGCTGTGCCTTTTTGTTCTTTCGACTGAGGCGCATCCATCCCTAACCCCGGAATGGTCAAAGGGCTGGTGAGTAGTTGGGAAGGAAGCGAGAGTAAAGCAAAAACTGCAAGGTTAGTGATGGTTGTTTCCCAAGTGCCGTCGATATCAGGTCACGGATGGTGGGTAGCGAGGCGGAAATGGCGTCGAGATGGTGCTGATATAAGCTCAAGCCTTCGAGAACACTTAGCTTACGAATCCGCGGATGGCGATAGGCATTGCCCATAATACAATTGCCGTCTTGGCTTGATCCCAGTTTAAGCCCGTCAAGGTAGGTACCTACTTAAGGCTTTTAGTTCTCATCTCGTGGTTTAGATGAACGCACATCTGTGGAGTTGACAGCGGCAATTGCAACATAGGGCCTATTCCGTCCACGCGACGTCTTCAACTCCTTAGTGCTATCCGATCATGTATATCTTGCTAATAATAGCAGATTCTAGATCGCGACGTAGGAACGCTATTGAGTAGTAGCATACTGCGGAAGAAACTTAAGCACCTAGAAAGATCATGGTCAGCAAGTTTATTCTATTCTCGGAGACTTGTCCACGACCTTACGTGCGTCGACCGCAGTTGCATGTCCGATTTGGGATTTATGATATGAGAATGATGATGGGATGAGGTGAGAAAAGAAGAAAGGGGAAGAGCAACCTCGGATCTGCCACACCTTCCCTCCTCATCCCCTAAAAAAAGAGCAGGAACTCCCCATTTCCCCCACGGGGGAAGGTAGATGAAAGAGGTGGTTACAATGTACATGTCGTTGCATCGCTTGATGGGATAAGCGGTTGGGGCGCATGTGGGCGCGAATCACGATTTGGTCAGACTAACCTACTTAGCCGTCTGGCGCGCGGGTATTTTCGCATCTTCTTTTGATCACTTTTTTCGCTTATCCTTCCTCGCGTTTCCTACCCTCTCGTCCGCGGACGGTGGACGGAGGTAAGTAAGTAAGCAAGCAGACAATGTGTAGGTACCTACTTTGGCAGTAGACACAGTCAAGTATCGTGCATGGGAGCCCGGGCATTGCTACGTGCCTCTAGGCGTAGGTGACACATGTGGCTGGCGGTCGTGTCGCCGCCACGACTCGGATAAGAAAGCCCGTTCTCTTGGCCGATGAATCACTTGTCGACCTTCTCCCTTCTCCTGTATGCGACGGTGGTCGAATGTGCAACTCTTAGCGAACAAGCACCTTATTCCGTACATACATACAGCCCTCTCACCTCTCTGTTGTGCGACGGTACCGAAGAACCTATATTAAGCAACCGACCAATCTTCCCGACGGCCTGCGCGCTGTCGTGCTTAATCAGTCCAGATTTCTCCAGCCCTTTCCCGTGTCACCCAAACAACGCCTGTGGACAAATCATTAAATCTCCGATAATTGTCAGGCCTGGCCGGCCAATGGCATCGCGCTAGTAATATATCGTAGATGTACAAATAACAATACGAACGTCCTGGGCGTCGGAAGAAGAGGCGAGCCATTGTATTAGGATACGCGAGAAACTATCCGCTTCTGGTGTCTCTGCGTCTCTGCGTCTCTGCATGAGGCTCTCATCAAGCCATTTTTCTGCGTACGAAAAAGCTTGATTTTTTTTTTTTTTTTTTTTCACACGAGTGACCATTCTCGAGAGAAGCCAGAAATCGATGAGTAAAAAAGTTTCAGTTCGTGATCGGATTGATCATCATCATCTCTCTGAACTCGACTGCGGCTATAACCATAGTTACCTAGATATATAATACACGCCGCATGAATAAACTCCCAGTCTTGTCCCCAACCGTAAAGACGCCTACCCCTTTTTTCACATGGTATCTATTGTAATGTACAGGCTCAAATGCGAATTTCCCGAAAAAAATGATGTGGAAAAAAAAGTCCGGTGTCCAGAAACTCCAGGTCCTCTTTTTCCTGACCCTATATTCTCCACACCGTAGAATGCTTTTTGTCCGTCGTTGTGTCCCCAAGTATGCAGATGGATGATTTAATACAGTTGTGATGCGAGCTAGTAGTTACAGTGAATTCCAGATGATCGTCGTAGCCGAACCATCTCATCCTAGACTGCGTTCTTTCTTGACAATATTTGGAAAGTTGACCTGGCGCATCTGTAGTCGCTTGTGTCCAGCCGTGGTCTCGATGGTCAGGTATTTGAGGAGAAAACCACCCTCTTCGATTGTTTGTTAAATTATCGCGTGCTAGTAACGTCCAGGATAATCTAAGCAATATTAGATATCCGAATTTGTCTGTCGTGAGATCTGGGCTCGCTTCCAGAATCTAGCATGAATTCCCCCTCTCCCAAAATTCGCCTCGGAGGCTGAAACGCGGTCGGACGCCATTATCCCACGCAAAAAAGTATGATCTTAATCAGTTTCCCGCCCAGGACCAGGATGACCCGTGGCTGATCCTACCCCAGCTGCGACACCACCACGCGACCTTTCTTCCGACGTCGCCGGCGAATTTCGTCGTTCGCCCTCGCCCTGCTGCGTCCTCATTTCCGACGGATATCGTGGAGATGGCTGATCTGACAGTAACGACGAAACCGAGTGAGCACCGCTCCGAGGTTGCTGCTGCTGCGATGGTTCGCCCCCGCCTGCTTCTCTCGACGGTCCAAGGCCAGGTGAGAGTCCTCGGTGAGGACCGAAAGGTTCAATTCGACCACGTCCCGCAGATCGATAGGTCGAAATGTCACTTCTCTGCCGGGAATGGCCTCGCCGTCGACCCGGTGGAGGGTTTGATAACGGTGATCCTCCATGTTGCCCGAAAGGTGGTGACCTAAATCGCGTTTGGCTCGGCGGAGGCGCTGGTTGCTGAGGACCAGTCGCTTTTCGTTTCTTAGGCGATTCTACTAATTATCGAAAGGCAACATTAGCCAAGACAAGGTTTTTTTCACTTGCTCGTTTTGGATTTTGACAAACCAGAAGGCGTTCCTGGCTGGTTAGAGCCTCCGTGGGTAGTCGGTGGTTGCCAATGATGGAAATATATCGATGGTGACTGAGTCTCTTGTTGTTGAGGAGCTCCCTGTTGCTGCGCTAATGCGTGTGCTGGGTGAGGAATACCAGACGGCCCGCCGGGCCCTTCGCCCGTACTTAATCGGGGCAGAGCAGAGCCTCCCAATGGTCTTCCCACGCCTCCACCCATACTCAAAGTGTGCGCTCTCGGCCTTGGAGAGCCAGGCCCTGGATAAGGGACAAAGCTCGCCTGGGCGCCCGATCCAGATCCTGGCGTTGACGGAACTCCGTACTGCTGTCCTCCATACTGTTGAGACTCTCTCCGGGCCTCCGGTGACGGCATAATCTGTGCTGTGTGCGCCTGCTGCGACATTATATACTGTTGCGCCCAGTCGAGAGCCGCCTGTGGGAGCGTTCCGCCGCTCATACCAGCAAACATAAGTGGCACCATTGGCGGTGGGATGCCGCGATCCAAAGATGTTCGGAGCATATCGTATTCTAATCTTCTCTGTTCTAGACGCAACCCCTCTTGTCTTGTCTTCTCTTCTTCCTGTCTCCTCCTCTCTTCTTCGGCCTTAGCCATCAGCCAACTTCTCATCGACTCCTCGGAACTCTGGTGCGGTGGTGGTGGTAATGTACCAAGCGACTGACTATGTGGTGAAGGGACTGGTGCCCCTTGTGAATGTAAAGGTGGCCCCGGAGCTGGTGGGTGAGGAGGGCCAGGAGCCGGGGGCGGTGGTGGTTGAGCTAGTGTCATGGCTGCCGGGAGAGGCAGGCCACGATGAGGCGCTGACATGGGCTTGGTAGATGGGCTCTGCTTCTGTGGGAGAGCTAGATATGGCTTCTGCAAAGGGTCCTGGATACTCAAGGGGGGCGAAGATCGAGGCGGCGTCGGTAGGTCATGGACAGGCCGGTACCCGTGATGAACTGGCTGCTTGGATGTGAGCATCATCTCGGTAGTAGAGGTGAAGAGAAACTAGACGATGACGTGGGGATGCATGCTAGGGGTTAGAAAAGAGCCGAGCGACGAGAAGTTGAGGGTGTATGCGGGAAACGAAGAGGTGGTGAATAACCTTTGCATAAGAAAGCTGGTGAGGGCGGCCAGCTAAGAGAAGGGATAGGACACGATCGGGGCTTATGGAACTTTTGGATCCTTAAGCCCAGCCTCATTTGAAGATCGGTGCCAGACACATGGGTAGTACTTTCTAAAGGATTAACTAGGGGGGAGGAGGAGTTGTGGTAGTTTGTTGCGTGGTATTTTGGGCGTTGCAACTGGACATGCGCCGACACAGCAGCGGTCGAGGAACCCTGGACGTCCTGGGAGGATCGGTGCCCAAAGTAGCTCCAAGTCTCGGGAAACACCAAGTGGGAAAGATCTTGGAACGGGACGAGAATGTGTGCCGATAGACAGATTCTACCACTTGACGCCGTTTTAGGCAATGCCCGAAGCGGAAAGTAGACGTCGTCCTGAGTGTGGAGTAAACGAGGGCCTGGCTTATCTAGAGGTAATGTGCGAACGTATGGACCTGGGAGATTTCATACAAGAACCGTAGACCGTCCTAACCGGATAGGAAGGAAATGAAAATTGAGAAGAAAACTTAGGTAGCTGAGCCGGATAGTTGGAACAGTTCTTAGTACCGGGTCCGTTTACGAAAGCCGCGATGAGAGTCGTCCGAATCAGAGGTAACCACTCGCTGTCAAAGTGAGCCGTTGCCTAGGCATGTTAGGTGAAACCGTTGCTAGCAAGAAACTAAGTGGTCTAGGTCGCCGGTTCAAAGAGTAGAACAGGAAGCTACTAAAGTAGAAGAGTGAGAGAAAAAGAAGAAGCTGCCGAATAGCAAGCTCGAGAGCTAGAGAGGTTTAGCTACGCAGGGTTAGCTCGAGGTAGTAGTTGAAGAGTGGCTGAAGAGTTGACGAGGCGTGCCTGAAGAGAGGAGGAAAGAGGAGGGGAAGCCTTCTTTTCACGCCACTACAATGACGAGGCTGATCAAGCTGGCGAGTACAGATCAGATCAACTTGGCCTGTCCTTGCTCTCCGTTAATAATTTTTCCAGGGTTGAGAGGCCCTGTCCCTCGCACAATAGGGCAGGGTTGCCAGCCCGACCTTGGACCTTGGGATGGCGTGTTTATAGGGCTAGTGCGGTATCTTTTCGCCGCAGGACCCCTTTTTCTAGTACATTTTCCATGGTAAATACATAAATACATCCTACATGGTGACATAGTAAACGACTAACCTACCCCGTTTCGAACTCGAGTTTGAAGGAAGCACAGGGCCGGGGGGTGGAAGACTTACCATGCAGGGTCGATCCCTCGACGTCGGAAAAAGAATGTCAAGGAGGATCCAAGAGTGACGAGCGAATCAGCAAGTGTGGGGGGGTGTGGGAAGTATTAGCAAAGCGGCTACCTAGCACTGTTTAGCTGCTTGCTTGACTAAGTAAGTAGGTAGAGGTGAATGGAGAATGGTGAGTGGTGAGTGGTGAATGGAGGTGGATGGATTGAAGAAGTGGAGTCTCGTAGAAGAGTGAAGACTGCACGGCGCATATGTGGGCAGATGGGACGAAAACTAATAAATAGACGCTTTTCTGTTGTAAGACGTGTCAAGAGCTCGAGACTTGGGCATAAGACGGCGCAGAGAATTCTCGCGAAGAGATCTAGAATTCGGCCGATCTCTTTTCTGCTCTTCTCTCTCCGTAGCGCTCTGCCAGGTTGAACGTGTAGGTATGTAAGTGTACAAAGTGTAAGTGTAAGTTGTAAGTTGTAAGTGGTAAGTGGGAGGAGTTTTACCAGGTTAATGAGCTTGGTAAATCTACTTACATAGCAGTATAATCGGATACATAATACCTGATACCTGATACCTGGATGGATATAGGCAATACTATGTAGTGTAGGCAGGCACACAACGTAGAAGCTAGACCCGGGTCTAGGTATATGGATCTATATTATGTATTTTTATGATCCAGTATACATAGCATACCATGTATGCATGTATGTGAGGGTATGTACATAGGTGAGAGTTATGTATAGACATTATGTATATTTGTATATATGTAGTTAGGGGATCCAACAGAGACCGTTGGTAAGTGCGAAACTAATATGGATAGGTTCTAAAGGGGCAAGTACAGTGCAGAATGTACTTGCTCAGCGTTCTATACCGGGCTTGGAAAAAAGAGCGTCAGCAGCTGAAAAGTGGAGTACCTTTTTTTCGCGCTCGAGGTATGTGGATAAGTACATGGTTACAGGAATATCTACCTACATTCGATAGAAAATAGCCTAGATCTATTGGTTACTTGATGGGCTGAGCAGCATACAATCCACATACATACATACGTATGTACCATACCATATGTACTTTCTATACCTAGTCAGGAGGCCGCCTTAGACAAGACCCAACTCTCGAGTCATGCCGCGAGAAGGGATAAGAAGGAGTGTGCAAATAACTGATCTCCTCCAGTCTCCCCCCAGTCAACAGAGCCCGTAACCCAGGTAAAGTCGTTGTTTGTGTGGGTGCGTGCGTGTACATATGTATGTAGGTAAGTATGTGTGTATGTGTGGCTGTACGAAGCAGACATATCTATCTACTACATCCATTGAAGCTCTCCCACTCGCACTCTCCCCCAGCTCGTGTACCCCAGCTGCCTATGTGCCGTATGTATGTTGTATGTATGTACAAGACCGAGAAACTAGAAAGTTGCTAGGTCGGGACGTAAGTACTCCATACCGTGCGTGACTGTACGGAATCGACGCCGGTTCTTCCAGTTTAGCGTATGCAGGCATGTAGGCATGTGTAGGTAGTCTGCATGGAAGAATGCACTCGACAAAAACCCCAAGCTCAAGTGATGTGAGCGAGCAGGTAAGCAACGAGTTTCAATACGTCTCGTTGCATCAAAGTATGATATACGGTAGATACCTAAGTATGAGGTTTGAGACTCTTGTGCAGTGTAACCTACCATAGCTTGGATATAGTCTAAGTGTATACTATGTAATGAAGTCTTTCATAAAATATCAAGGCATCATGCCTAGCTGACATGCGTCCCTCCACGGTTCGAGCAAAAGCAAAGTATGCACGATGGCGGGGTCTTGCTATTATTCCTCAAAACCAGGGGTTCGCCCATCCTGTAACCAACCTGTAAGATTCCAACGCCAACGATGTAAGCTGTAAGAGGGTTGTGAATATTCCCGATCTCGCAACAACCTGATAACGCGCAACGCGCAACGGGAACAAACAATCCTAGCATCTTGGCAGCTGACTTCCCCTTTGGAAAGATCAGCATTACCCGTATACCTACATAGGATCAGTCTAGGTTGGGTAGGTCGAAAAAAGGGTAGTTGGATAAATAAGATATACGAACAACAGTAATACAATTACCATATTACATTAGAGAGGTAAAGTTCGATACTGCGGCTGCTGCGGCCGCGTGGCTGCGGGTGCTTGTCCCTTGCCTGGGGGAGGAGACTAACACTTAGGAGAGATCTGACCTGACTAACTACCTAGGTAGACCTGACTCGACAAAGAAAAAAAAATGGCGATTTATTTACATATCTAGCAAGAACGCCGTGTCTCGGGACCGAAAGTCTTGACCGTGTTATGTTGTTTCGATTATGTATGGGTAAAGAAACAATCTAGTCTACTGTACAGATCTGTAGGCATTGAGCAATCAAAAATCGAATAGGCCAGGTATTTGCATATCTGCATGGTTTCGCCTTCTCGCAGCCCTTGTCGGCAATGTTTCAAAGTCAGCCTGATTAGGCAAGTCGATCTTTCATATTTAGACGTTTCAACTAAGGCGGAAGACTGGGGGGTTCGGGGAATTGAAGGAGGGCTGCAATAACGTGGTAGTAGCTCGTCACATACATACTATGTACCATAATACCATACAATATGTAGTACATAGCGTATAAATTGCGGTCATTTTCCAGAGTCGCTCAGCCGGGTCGACCATCCCAGTCCGCGGAATGAGAATTACCTCATCTAGATCCGACATTCGACATTTGACCAATGCTGTCCTGTGGAAAGAAGGAGAAGGAGAAAAAGAACCCGCTCTGAAACATCGATCATGTACTTTTACTGTTTTTTTACGACAAGGGGTTTCGGGTTTTCGATGCCGGGGGTTGACAATTATGTCGAAATAGGGAAAGGCTATCGTTGTTGCAGACATTTCAGTGGCGGAGCGTAGGGCGATTGACGGGAGGGGTTGTGGATTAAACCAGTTAGATCAATTGAGACTAAAGGAGGGGCAGGAGTTCGAAAATGCGCTAAGCCACAAGAATTCTTTTCGAGTCGAGTCTCTTTCTTCTCCCTCCTCCTCATAGGACGAACCAGGATAGCGAAGGGAGAGTACATACACTTGGTATGTACATACAATCCCAACGACCCTGAACATGCAGCCCAAGTGCTTCACACCTTACATGGGATAACATGGGTTGCATGCAGAAATCTGGTAACGCTGCTTATTTACACGAAGCCATCGCCCAATGTCCATGTCGTATTCTCGAGCGTTTCCATTCTCTCGTCACGACCTTGATAGTTTTAGAACGGAGTCCTTACAATTAACGAGTAATTATGTTGGTAAGATTCGTCGTAACAGATAGACTCAGATGCAACTATTCCCAACCGAATACGGTCTTTTCGTCCTTTTATCACGCCCAGCTTACATAGTATCCAGCTTGTCCAGCTCATCCCGCTCATCCAATTCCAACCCCGTACTTTCTTCCGTGCTACATGTGGCACCCCTCCGTGTAAGCCAGCATACATACCTACATACATACATGATGTAGTGCCATAGTTGACCTGACCCTGGACCACTTCAATGTTCCTTACCCGGATTTAACTCCTTGTCAAAAGCCTTCCCGTGTGTGCTGAAGATAGCGAACATGTCGAGTCATCAGGTGATGAATGTAAATGCCGGCATTCAAGGTTGCTTTTAACCTTACGTCATGCCTGGCTCAAAGCCCTGCCGAGGGCGAAGAGTTTACCATATGGATATGGACAAGGAATACCGCGTGGATTTTGCATTGATGCTACTGTTTTGGGTCACGTTCGCCGTTGCGATTCTCGTTATAGTAGGTTTTTGCTAGGTACGAATTTCAGCTTCGTGGCTACTGGGTGGCTGCCAGGTATGTTACAGTAGTCTATCGACGCCATAACCGAATGCTGCCGCTTGGCGCTAGGACGCAAATTCGGTACGGCAGAATTTGCTAGCTGTCTGGGCCCTTATAGCCGCAACCGTTTATAGAATAGTATCGATCACTGTCAGTCGATACGTCAGTTTGTGGCTGATGATGGACACAAGCAACATGAGAGCCTCACTGGACGTCGAACAAACGTTATCGACGGGGTAACACGGGATGCGGCACATGAATCCAATGCTAAGGATTCAATAAATATCGAAGATACAGAACTCCAGGGCTCCAGAGTTCATTCGTAAACGAGCCAGCCAGTTCTCGACCTACGGCGCAGTGGTTGACAACCTGGCTACCGCCTGCACGAGCACGTGTAATGTGGTGCAGCACAGCGTGTAACCAATAATTCCTGGGTAAACAGATCGTCTCTCGAACATACCTAGTTCCTATGCGGCACACCTCGTAAACATTGTCGCTCGTATGGGCCGTTGCCTTAACATTTAATGATTTATGACGGAGTGCGCAAGCATTGCCAATCGCTTCTTATCTGTGATACCGGAAGTTTTTCATAGGCAACTGTAGATTCTGTCTTACAGCAGCATTGGATACGAAGCACGGGCTCGATATTTATATGATCTTAGATGCCTATCAATATGTGTGGCGTCGTCGACTACCCATTCTCGTGCAACCGAATATACATAGCTAGCGATAAAAAGGTTCGACGAATGCGCTTAAGGGAACGTAAGTGGCTGTAACCTGTATATTCTGACAGGTTACTCAATATTCGCTCGCACATTTATGAACATGGCGTCTCATATATGCATCGTTTAAGTATGTATAAAATATCGTCATGCATGGTTGAAAAGGCTAGCCTACAAGCAAGAAAGAGATGTGTTGAAGGATTCCATTAATCCCATTTGAGCCGGAGGTACGGGAGTACTTACGTCTCGTAATTCCTAAAAAGGGAAGACGAAACGCCAGCAGGCCAATCAGCGACAGGCCACATAGTATAAGTCTTGGCCGGGATAGTTGGTAAGCTAACCTAGAAGCTACTAGGTGGAGGCTAGCTAGACCCATCCATATTCCAGGAGAAGCTACAACCAACAGGCAGATGTCGTTCGGTACGGAATAGAATAGTTAGGTATTGAATCAGGCAGGCTCGAGTAGCAAAAGACGGGAATGCATCCTTAAACCTTGTCCGACCCCTAAGACATCAGCACAGTATGTGCATCACCGCGCCTTCTTCAATGTTGGCTCTTACGTTTTCGCCCAGTTTGGAGATTAGGGTTTCCCGATGGAGACGAGGAGGCCACCTTTGAAACGACACCATTAATTCTAGACTTTCTCAACTCTAAAGAGTCGACAAATGTATCATCCCTTGAGCACTTGTTACCGGCTCCACGCTCCGTTACCGATACCAGTCCTCTTGCATCATCTACGCCGTCGTGGTGACCTCATCTGTGTATGTATGTTGGTAACTTGATTGCGCGCCATGCAAATCAAACACCAACTCGGCAACCGTTACCATGCCGGCCTAATCCATAAATCCGAGACTCGTCAGCCAGAGCCAAACAGGCCAGCGGTCGTGAATGAGTACAGAGATTCTCACGTTTTAACTTGTCATTTTCAAAGGGTTCTTACTTTTGCCCTTTAAGATTCAAACGAGCGGAAGTTATTAGTAGCTCATCTCGAATTCTATAACGTAGGTATCCTTAGGGACTCACTATCTACACAAATAGAACCTGCAGATACAGGTGCTGAGCTGATCTCCTTACAATCTCTGGTAGCGACAGCGACCTAGTGGAACCTATGAATGTTCCAGATCGAAAGCACTGCCCAGTTCCGAGCTTGCATGGTACAGCGCGGCTCTAAAAGAACGACAGCAGGATGTCTTAAGCAGGACCATGCAAGTTCATCGCGATGTTCGAGAGCAGCTTGACACTTGAAGCGTCGGCTTGCGGATGGGGTTTCCTCATTGGGGTTATTCCCTCCCTTCTAGCACCTGGCTCTAAGCGGCAGCGGTTCCTATTGCTCGGTAACTTTCGTGGCCATACCGACCCAGTTAGGTCATTGCCCTAGGCTGATGGGTCGTATACTTTGACCCGGTAATTGTCGCCTTACCAATTATAATTCGGGTCCCCAGGACTCGCTGTTACAACCGAATGGGCCTCCAGACTGGAGATAGTGGAGAGCCAAGAAGACGCACAACAGCGGATAGACTAATGTTAGTTTATTCGTAGCCGCCGACGCCTTGAACCGTCTCGGGCAAGCTAGCCTTAACTATTCGACCATAGCGTGCCCCGTTCCCTACATTTACTAACGTTGAACTAAGCATGTACGTACATATGTGCTTCCCTGTTACGAGAAACGCTGATATCAATAATACAGACAGGAAATATGATTGTACACTACTCACTTGACAACGTTCTCGCGCCTAGAATGTTGGCAAAAGGTCCACTTACAGTATCGAGCGCTCTCTCAGCAAACTGAGCCGGTAGCACGGGTGGAATTTGAACGGACTTCCGGAGAGCAGTACATATCTAGGTACTTTGCGGTAGGCTAGCTGCCGAGAAGCGCATACTGCATTCAAGTGATGCATCCGAAATGAAGATTGTAATCAACGTGTAAGCAAGGACTGAAATAGAAGGTATTACTAAACTTCTAATGTTGATTTTCTGCTATTTCCAGCTAACCAAGATCCCAAGGAAAACTTTCTAGTCGACTCTTCAGAGCCTTTACACCACTAACTTCTTAAATTCAAACCGACCTAGATAGTCACCATAAGTACGGTTTTATTTTTTTTATTTTTTTTCTTTCTTAATTCTTAACGATAATCCCGAAATTCTCACGAACAAAATGCAAGGGCTGGTTCTTCGGAAGTCTCATGGTCTCGTTATTTCCTTGGGATGGCTTTTAGTAACTCTACTCCCAGAAATGGCGTCGTTATCGCCCTCGTGGGCATCCACGAACCCCCCCTAACGATGCATTCCTCGAACGATATAGATAACTACCAGCTCGCATCAGCGTGAGCAAGTTTGTTTAATCCAACAACCGAGGTCCGACCTCATGCAAGAGAGGTGGTTAAGTATCCATTCCGGTATAAGCTGGACGAACTGATTGTTACCAGTCCTGCGTACCTACCAGGTTATTCCTGCCCTGGTGGTGTCTCTTAGAAAGGCAAGAATCCCGGGAAACAGTATGTACCTAATAAAGCAGGCTAGCGGCTACGGCGGCCGATCGTTGACCGCAGCGCGAGACCACGAGATTCCCAGTCGGGATGTCAAAATATCATACATGGAGGCGTGTGCTACACGACATGCAAGTATATACTGGCAAGCTTCCCATATTCCTGGCTCGCGCCGATCCTTTGCGTGTGAACCTTGACCATGGCATTGACAACGAGGTATGTAATCAATACGTTATGGTCAGTCTCTGACAGGCCTAGCAGCCACCTCTACTACGATCATCCCTTTCATCACAACGGTCAAACTTTTAATCTACCCAAGCGGCGGTCTGACCAGATCCTGCACCGAAAATTTGGAATTATTGGAACTACCGCTCTTTTGAAGCCTCTTTCTAACCCCCCACATGTTAACACGACTCACCGTATCTAGTGTGCGCGTGGACGCCACACCCTCCCGTTGCCACGGCCCTGTATCGACCGGAAAAGCAAGTATTATATATCTAGTAATTTCCATGCTTATTTGCCATTAGATTGGATTTTAGGTACGTGGCTGAAACACGCTATCATAACGCCTCCCGCTCTTCGGGGACGGGGTACTCCTGGCGATATTCTTTACTTCACTCCCACATATGGGCTAGGCTCCGAGCCTCGCGTGTGAAAGAAAGGGAAAGAAGGAGTAAAATGGATCGAAGGCACGTGCTACGCCTTGTTCGAGCCGCAATATTCCTTGTATCGTCGGCCGCCTGGTTCCGAGCCTGAGAACTCCATCGAGAAAAGTCTAACTAGCCCCGTTGAGTTGAACTTGGGGGATCCGACTACAGAAACTATTAGCCCTCAGACCTAGGAGGCTTGTCCTTGCTTATACATGGCCGTGAACCCTCGGTGTTCAAACACACGCTATCTGCTTTCAAAATATTCTCGAATACCTACTATCTATGGCATACCTAAACATGATAGGTACCTACCTACTCTACCAAACGCATTAGCACCGGAGGGCTTACGCCCTTTACTAGTCAATTTGGTTTGCTTGACTAATAAATAACGACAAGCCTTAAGGTCTCCGAAAAAGGCATCCCTAGAAGCCTAGTACCCCGACCGTTTGTGCTACCTGCTGTTTTCGTCCCTCGATGGCCTTTGCCCGGTTGATGGAAGACCCAACCATGGGACCATACAGTTTAACCAAGAAGCGGCCGGAGATAAGACCGCCGCGTAATTTGTTACACCGACTCTATAGTACCTCCCTTTCGCATCTATCCCGATCTACATCAGGTATCACAAATCGCAGAGGCGATCACGGCTACATTTTACAGCGGACCGACTAGTACGACTTATGAACCCGTCCCAGACTGTCGGGGCTATAGACGTCCATACACGAAGTGTGTACGTGCCAATTCACCAACCTAATTGGACGAAAACAGGCTAAAGGCCTTTAGTGGTGGGTCGACGAGCTCTTCTTTTCCTTCTAGATTTTCTCTTGCCTTCTCTTCTCGTTGGAGTAATTCTTTTATTTCCGGTGGGCCGCCTCGGACCGACTGGAAATCTCTACACGAACCGCCGTTACTTTTTTTTTCTTTCGCTCCGAAGCCTCGGGCCTTTCTGAGCGGGCGCCTCCTAATGAGATAGAATACGTAAGTCTCGACCACTGCTGCCGCTAACAGCGCCTCCCTTCTCAATTACCGCTTTAGGACGTCGACGGATCTGCATTTTTGACCGGCGAAGACTGCGCCTGGCGGTGGGAAATGGGCCTTCCACGTGGATTTTAGACATTGACTTAGCCAAGTGTATATCTAGGTAAGTGGCAATTCTCGCTAGCGAGACGTCGTCATCGAAGAGGGGGGAATAAGCCACGATCCGTCGTAAGTTGACGCCATCATGAGCGGACATCACTCACCGCAGGATTCTTAGTATATAGATTATAGCATAATACCTAAAAGTAGTCACATAGATCAGCACATCCAAAGACTTGTTTCTTTATTCCTAAATACGTATTCGCGTGTCCGGAGACTCTTGGCAACGAGGCTAATATCCTGACCAGGCCAATCCGACCTAATGGAAGGAAGGGGGCTTAGATCTTTCTTTCTTTACTACGTTCTTCCCTCGCCTCCCAGTAGGTTCGTAACTAGACCTGCCAGCTCGCCTTTTCACGAAGTGGAAAGACTTGCTAGACGATCGTTTAATAGGTAGGTACCGAGGCAGATATCCCGTCAAAACCACCGCGTCGCGTCGCCCAAACCATATGTGTATGTAGGTAGGTAGTTATTATCATGAACCAAACCCACTTTGCTTTGCCCAACGAAAAGTCATCTCCCCGTCCCGGAAACACGCCGAGGACCACGTAAACTCCGTGTGCGTATGTGTGTATATGTGTGTACCTAGGTAATGTATGGTGTATGCGTGTGCGTGATCATGTAACGCCGTGCCCGTGCCGTATGTGCGTGTCCGTCCCCCTTCATGTGTACGTATACGTATTCTATACTTGCGATGATAACGATCTCGACGAAACGCTCGCTAGACAACATTCAAGTAAGAAAGCACATTCGAAGCCCGTTCCACCATCAACCAATATCCCTTCCCGTTGATATTTTTTTTCCACCTGCAGAGAAAACCCGATCCGAAAACACATGAATAATGATGATAATAGTAATAATAAAAACATGAAAAGGGGGTTACAATAGAGAAGAAATGCCGTGTATGTTCCATGATCCCAACACCAAAATTCGCCCCGGCCGCCCCCGTATTCCTTGACCATGACGATTAGATACCGATTTGTTATGGTAGAAAAGGGATTACCCGCACGAGTTATCTTTAAACCCGTACGGGCGAGAAGTGAAGTCAAACAGAAAATAGCGTGGAAGAAAATAGACAACTTGAATAGATTCTAAACAAGCTACTTAGAATGAGCCTGTATGCGATCTGTCCATGAATAATCATGGTTCCATGGCAAGAAAAAAGAAGCATTCATGTTGACTACTTAGGTAGACATGATGTTTCTATAGAAGATGATGGGATTGCCATCAACCCATCTCGATGTACTTCGAGTTTCACTTAGACGCCCATAACTCCAGAATGCGTCTATTTGGGACTAAAAGCCCTCTACCGATCAACTACCGGCCCTGCCTGCGTATTCATAAAGCAACTTTAACCCTTATCATCAATCGTCATGGCTCGTATCGCTTTCTAGAAGAGACGAACTGCTTGAATATGGTTTCGGGTTCTTCTTAGTTAAGACAGCCCTCGGCTTATCGGCGCTACTGGTGTATACGATCTTCGTCTCGCTGTTGTTCCGGCTCTTCGTCAATTTCCGCGGCCGGCGCGTTGTCGGCGAAACGATCTCGTCCGATGTTTTCTCGCTGGATGAACCGCTGGGAGTGTATGCAGAATCTATATTCTGCATTGGTAAGATTAGAGGTGGAGAGCGGGCCATGAAATTGAGCGGATTCACCGTAGGAGGACTAGGGACGGGCGTGTCATTGCTACCCGATGATTCTGTCGGAGTTGTTTGCGTAGAGATAGGATCAGGATGGTGTGTAGCAGGTGGTGTTGGAGGTTGGATGATCCCCGTAGTGTAGGTATCTAACTTCCTCTTGAGCAAATCTGCCTTGACCGGTTTGGCAAGGTAGTCGTTCATTCCCGATGCGAGGCATCTTTCTCTGTCGCCTTGTATCGCAGAAGCTGTCATGGCGATGACCAAGACTTTTCTCACCTCTTCGATAGGATCTTTGCGGACAAGCGCTGTGGCTTCGTACCCGTCGAGGATGGGCATCTGAACATCCATCAAGACTACGTGGTAAGGAACACCCTCCCTAGCCTTCTGCCGTAGACCTTCTACCGCCTTAAGTCCATTCTCATAAGCATCAACCTTGTTATATCCAAGCTTGTGCACGAACTTGATAGCAATCTTCTGATTTATGAGGTTGTCTTCTGCGATGCAGATGCGGATTTGATCTTTCGGAATTTTGGCTAGGTCCATGACCGGGTGCACCAGATGCTGATTGTGTGTCGGCTGAGGAAAGTTGTTACGTCTTCCAACCACTGCAGGTGTAGTAGCGGGTTGGGCTTCTCCGGCTGTTACATCGGGCGTCGTCTTTTTAAATGTGACCGTGAACCAGGCTTTCGTACCCTTATTCTCTGTACTCTCCAACTTGATCTCGCCTTTCATCATGTTCTCAATAAGCGATTTGCAGATGCTGAGGCCGAGCCCGCTACCGCCATATTTGCGAGCAGTGCTTGCATCCGCTTGACTGAAGGGCCTGAAGAGTTTAGCCAGCTGTTTGGGTGGGATACCAATACCAGTATCTTCGACCCAGAAGGTAAGTTTCGCTTGTTCTGGGGTATTCATATCCACCTTGGTACCAATAGTGATAGAGCCATGTTCTGTGAACTTGAGACTGTTACTAATAAGATTCCCAAGGACTTGGTGTAAGCGGATTGGATCTCCATATATGAGCATTGGCGGTATGTCGATGTTTTGAATGATTTCAACGCTTTTCTTGGACGTCTTTTCTCGGTTGCTGTACGAGGCAGCTCTGACTACCTCGCGTACCATCTCTTCTGGGTTGAATGCAGTAATGTAAAGCTTCATCTTGTCGGCTTCCATTTTAGAGAAATCAAGGATGTCGTTGATAACCGTAAGGAGGAGGTCCGCCGAGACTCGAATGGAATCTGCCATCTCGAGTTGTTCCTTATTGAGATTACTGTCTCGTAAAAGCTCAGAATTACCGATAACACCGTTCAATGGCGTTCGTAGCTCGTGGGAAACATTGGCGAGGAAGATACTCTTGGCTTTTGCTGCTTCTTCGGCAATCTTAACGTTACGTTTAGCTTCAGCTTCGGCGTCTTTGGCTTTGGCCTCAGCATTTCGAGCTTTAGCGACAGCTTGTCTTTGTATCCGAACCATGGCCTCGTTCTCTGAGGACACCTTCTCGACTGCCTTCATGGCGAGAGCGTTGGAATAACTGATGCCAATCTGATTCACCAACAATTGCAGAACAGTGACATTCCTATCAGTGAAACTACCTGGTTCGCCCTCCAGGTATAGTACTCCAAGCAGCGGCTTTGAACCATGGCAGATGGGTATCGCAATGACGGCCTTGCTTAGCGAATTGCTTTGTAGCCAAGAATGGCTAACTTTCCCAAATCGCTCGTCGCTGATAAGATCAGGGATGAAGACAACTTCGCGGAATCGAGCGCAGTATAAAACGACGTTCTCGGCAACGAGTGATGAACCGATGAGCGGTTGTCCAGGAAGGTTGGCTGTGGCACCCCTTTCTGGATCCCCGCTAGCCGCGATACACCAGTTGTCCTCCTCGTCGTCTTCGTCCTGAACAATGATCGCTGCTTGGGTCGCGGACCCACCACAGGTTTGGAGGATAACGTTACACATCGTCTTGAGCAGGTCGTCAACTCGTAAGACGGATGAAATAACTTGGGACGAAACTAGAATGGCGTGCAGGTCGATCATATCAAGAGCAGGCAAGCCAGCTCCAGCTTCGGGTTGTGTTGAGCCGCGCCAAGCAGCCATCCGGGTTTCCTTCGTTTCTTCATTGACAGGTTGGACTGACTGTGGGACGTCTTCAGTATCCGCGGCAGCATACGTCACTGATGCGGAATCTCCGGCAAAATCGGTCTGTACGGCAACTTCGGCCGTTCTCGAATGGCGAGCAGGACTATGGAGAAGGAATGCGTGATCTTCCTCAATACGCTGTGCAATTCCAGCCGCCCCTAATTGTCGCCAGAGGGCAACTGATTCTCTCAGGCCCGCCGTTGCTGATCGCCTTGCCGACTGCCTGACGAAGAAGCCAGCCATTAAGGAATTCCCGAGGGCTTCCTCGAAAAGAAGACTGTACTCTGAGGCGTGGTCTAATGCTGCTTCGTAGTGCCGTATAGCAGAGCCATGATCTTCGCGGAGCTCTGCGATTTGAGCGTCTAATAATTTTGACCAAGCAAGATAGTTTGCGTCTGAAACGACCTGCCAATCTTTAATCTTTTTATTCAAGCACTCGAGCCGGATGATTGTATCTTGGACTTCGTTCTGCAAGTCTTCAGTAGCTGTTCTCGGGTCGTTAAGTTTGCGCTGCATCAGACCCGCAAGGGAAAGGCCATAGAAAAATATGACGGCTCGACTGTTTCGGGCGGACCAAATTAAATCCAACTTATCGAGACACCTTCGCCCCATCTCGCAGGCTTCTCTGTGATAACCGTACAAGTATAATGCAATAATTTCCATGGTCTCGTAGATTAGAATAGACCTGCCACCGTTCCGCGTTTTTATGCTAAGCCAAGACTTGTAAGAACTCGAGTTATGCTGATCGTCTGTCATCACCGTATCTGCCTTCGTTGCCCCCGTCTTGCCTTGGAGCGCACGACATATCTGTCTAACCGCTATCAAGAAAGTCCCGCCCCTAGTATCTTGGTGCCAAGCCGGTACTTCCTCACAGCAATATTGGCAGATCGATTCTAGATATGTAACATTCTCGCTCGCGAAAAACCTCATCTGAGTCGAGAGTCCAAAGCTGAGGATAACGGATATGCGGTCACCGGCGTTGGACGCGAATTCGACAGATTGCTCGGCGTGGTTTAGAGAAACGCTGATAGGAACTTGAATATGGCTGACGAAGCTGGCATACACCATATAACCACGAGCCGAAGAGAAAGAATCTCGGGACCGCTCGAGAAGCTCCAGACATTGGCTGCCGAGTTCGGCGGCAAATTCGACCATGTTGAACCGAGATAATGCGATCATGGCGACGTAGAGAAAGGCGGTACTGGAATGAGGGAAATGCTTTTGTTTCAAGGCGAGGACAACATGTGTAAGTGAAAGGTTGTAGAAATCCAAGTTGTCACTCCACCAAGCAGCACTGATGGCATCTATGAGAATAGCCCCAATGGTAACCTGGTGACTGTCTATAGCACCAAGGGGATCCAAGATCTCCGTCCTGTCCATACTTTTGATTTTGGTCGCTAACTCCATGAAGAGCGCATCGCACTTCTCCAAGCTAGGCTCTGGATCGACTTCAACTTTCAACTGAGACAGGCTTTCTTTTAGGATAGCAAGCGCTGCCTCCGCATTTCCATTCTGAGATTGAACTCGGGCCAGGAGAAGCCAGGCGGGGGCTTTGTCCTCGGCGTTTTTGGCGCTGCTAAGAATGGTATCCGCGAGATCGTGAGCCGTTCCGTTATTTCCCATGTAAATATAGCATTCCGCCGTACGCAAATGAAGTTTTAGGGTTTCCTCGTAGTCGACATCTTCGAGCCCATCCGTCCACGGGTCTGGTTGTAGAAGCAAGATAGCGCTGTGGTAATACTTCGCAGCGGTCGGTCTGGCGCCATTCTCTACAGACCACAGAGCACAGTCCATCAGATGCTTTCGGTATGGTTGTCGAATATGGACCTGCCGCTTAATTATGTGAACTGCTTCGGTGATATGCGAGGCGGTGTTATCTCTCGATTTGACTTCGGGTCGACCATGCCTTAACAAGGTTTGTGCGATAGCGAAATGCATTTGAGGGGTGTTACATTCTTTTAAGGACGCCGCCGCTTGAACATATCTATCGTGAGCAAACCGAAACCTATCATCAGTTTCACCTTGAACTATGATGCAAGCATTGATTGCCGCTTGTAGCCCTGCCACTGCCTCTTCTTTGGAATACTTGGTACGGTAGAGTATCCCGCTCATCTCATGGCCTTCTTCATCGTCAGTAAGTTCGTAATCGCCAGCTAGAAGCTGACATATCAGGCCAAATGAGAAGGAGTTTCCCAAAAGGGCTGCCCATGCCAAGATAGCTCGCGATGCCGCTGGAAGCTCGCTCAGTCGGCGTGTGATGAAGTCATTATTCAAAACATCATAATTATCCTCTCCTTGGAACTGTTCGAACAGCCAATCCAGGTCGAAGCGCCACCTGTTTTCCTTATAGTCATACCATATACACCTTTTGCGGTAGCAGGCATTCAACATCTCTCTCATATAGAAAGGATTGCCAGCGGTCTTCGACTGAATCACGACGGCCAAAGTAGCAACGTCTTCTAGGGGCCGACATAACGTCGACGCAACATACTGCAGTATCTCATATTCGGTTAGTGGCGAGAGAACAATTCTCGTAATTCTCGGGCCACTAGATTTGGGGCGTTCTGTTTTGACTTAAAACTTAGCTTTTATCATTGAAAGTGGAAGAGAAAAGGAATGAATTACCATCGGACTCGGCGGGCTGGAGTATCTTTTGGACCTTGTCAGGAGATAATTCTTCAGGCCGGTAGGTTATAATTAACACCATCTTCAGCCGAGCCGAAATCACTTGGGTGATCAACTCTAGAGACTCGTCGTCGGCAAATTGGAGATCATCCAGGCATAGACAAACGAAGTGGTGACTTGTGAATATTCTTAGTAAATCCAGGAATGTGTTCATTAAGCGGATCGTTTTTGTAGATCCGCCAGTTCGTAAAAAATCTTGGGAGCTCTGTGATGTTACGCGTGGACTCTGATGGCCTGGCCTCCCTGGCTTCCCAAGTGAGCTCACAGGGGATGAGTTACGCCTACTCGAAGGGATTTTGTTGGTTCGTCCGTTCATAGATACTTGTGGCAAAGGAGACGGGGCCGGTGTTGAGTCTTGCGGACCTAGGAGAAACTCGGGGAGCCCTAGTAAATTGTGAAGCATCGGCCATATCGGACGGACATAATCTTTCAGAGAACGGTGGAGAGGAGTATCGGTATTGCTTTCACCCCATACTTGTTTGAATAGAGAGGATACCAATTTCAGCAGTGGCCCAAACGCGGTTCTCCTGGCGGTGTCGAACTTCGCCGTAGCGCAATATCCTCTCCGCCTTGCATCAGCCAATACTTGTTGAACAAGAAAACTCTTTCCCAGCCCACCCGCACCCTCGATAGTAACGACCTCGCAATAGCCCCGTCTTCGAAATTTCGCTGACCCCAATTGCCTTGAGAGGCTGGAGGTCTCAGTGCCGCTGTGGCGTGAAGAAGTTTGTCTTTGCTCACTAAGGGTATCGAAGACTGTCTTAGGCTCAAGTGAGACCGATTGATGTCTATCCGAAGCTTTGGCTAACTTGGGGCCTGACTGGCTCGAGGAGATCGTTTCACCAGAGATGGTTTGAGTGTCGGTCCCATTGACCGAAGGTGGGAGAACGCTTCTCGCTGGCCTTGAATCTGAGAAGGATTGTGAAAAGGAGCCGCTGCGTCGAAGCCCCCCTTCCACAGAACTCGCACCTTCGCTAGAAACTTCAGCGGTATCGATGAGCTCGCTTGATAGGGCTGAATTGTCCGAAAATCGATTGGCTGCTCCAATACTCGCAATAGCGTGGCCCTTTGCGACTCTTTCGATGACTTTCACGATCTCGCCGTGCTCTTTCTGACGTCCAACCATAGCCGTAGGTAACATGAAGAATGATGAAATATCCTTCGAGGCTATGTGCCATTCTTTCAGGGCCGTCCAATCTCCATTTCCCAGTAATTTCTGGACCGTTTGTAAATCATGACGCAGACCACTAGCTGAATGATATCGGTCGGAGATATTCTTGGATGTGCATTTCTGTATGATGCGGCCAAGGACTTCGGGCACATCCGTCCGAATACTAGACACCAAAGGAATGCGACGATTTAGCACGCACTGGACGATATCTAAAGGCGTGGTCCCGGTAAACGCAGGCTGCTGAGTTAGAAGCATCCAAAATAGGACACCTAAAGAATAAATATCAGTCCTCGTATCTGGCTCTGCTGGCATGCGACCGGTCTGCTCTGGACTAATATAAACTAGTTTGTTCTTCGCTCCGAGCTCTTTAGAGAGCGTCGACCATCCAGTGCTAGTGAGCCCGTGTTCGAACGACCTTACTCCCGAGCCGAAAGATATTAGCTTTACCTTATTGGTTTCGATGTTGAAGTGAAACGCATCTGCTCTTATTTCTCCATGGACCATACCGTGGCCATGATGTAATATCTCCAAACACTGCGTAGCACCAATCGCGAAGTCGAGAAAATGTACTAGACTGATGGGAGGCTCCAGAGTGAAGTCGGTCCTTCGATAGGCTTCGAACCGGTCCTCGACTTTCCTAGCATAGTAAAATGCTGGCCCCAGATCCAAGGTTTTAAAGAGATAGTTCTCTCCTGGATGCTCGTAGATCGACACGATTATGGCCGCACGGTCACCCGGTTGCGGACTCAAGCGAATGAGGTCGATCGGCTTTACATTATGTATCCCATCTGGATCAGCCGTGGCCATCAGGTTCTTTGCTATATGAAATGTTCTCTCCTCGCGAAGGACATGGTAAGATACCCGCGCAACGATATGTTGCTCTTCGACATTGGAAAGGTCGGTATTTAAGCTAGAGAAGGCGGGAGGAGAAGTCGAGGAACGTTCGCTGCTCCCATCGCTCTGCGAGGTAAAGCCAACGACGTGGACGTCGCCGGGCGATGGGCGACTCGGGACTAATTTGACGATCCCCGGCGGGCTGTTTAGGGCTTGCAAGGGTGTTATCGTTGTAGTGGTGGAATACGGCGATACAAATCTGGTGCCATAGATATGCCTAGACAAAGACGATCCGTGTTAGACAGCTACCATTGTAATTATGCGAGACTCATCGCATTCGGGTCATAGGATACCAGTTGTCATAGCTTGAATGGAATGGCCTTCTCGACTCATCCCAAGTAAAACCGCCTAGTTGTCGGAGCCGATCGAAGATACGGGCTGGGGGATCGAGCTGGTCATCCGGCATGACCGCGGTCCCGTCCATGATGATATCCCGGCATACATAGGTAGGCAAGGTAGGCAGCGTAGGCAATGTAGGCAATGTAGACAAGGTCGGCCGGCCACGGTGTCGTTCAGTGGGAAAAGAGCAAGCGTGATGCCACCGTCGCGACACACATGGCTTGTCTGGCCACCTTCAAAACCGGAACCGAAGAATTCAAGTGTTTTCAGTGTCTGGGCTGACGATCTCCGCCCGGGGCTTTTGTGCTTCGGCTCGTGTATAAGTTGGCCCAGGAAACAGATGCACTAGTGTTTAGGGTCGTCATCTGCTGGTTTGACTGGTTTGTGGAATTCTGCAAGTGGAACTTGGTGCTTTGGTGCTTTGGTGCTTGTCGCTTAGTCTCTCCTAGGACCGGTTTGCTCTATTGTACATTACAGATCCAGGATCCAGTGATCCAGTTCCATAGCGCGGGACCTTGGTAAATATTGTGAATGGTCGGAATGGTCAGAAGGTCTGTGGTACAGGAAAATTTCGTTTAATCAACTAATAAACTAATACAAAGAGAGGAGAGACAATCCACCTCTTACCTACATACAGAATTGTAGATGAGAAGAGTTTATAGGTACGTTTATACATTCATACATCCTTTAGAATGTACATGGCTGGATGGATGGCTGGCGACCGCCCCTCATTGTGTCGAGTATTCCGCTAACAAGAGTTACATCTGAAACCTTGCTTTCCCCTCTTTCCCTCGCTAGCAAAACCAGCACCTAACCTTGGTCATGGAGATATGGGAGAACATTTGCCGCTCTTACCAAACTTAACTCCCTACATACCACCATGTACATACATACCTAGATTTACTACTTGGAAAGTGCGGGAGCTCCGAGCCGTGGCAAGCTGCGTGGGGTGTGACGAACATCGCTCCTCCTGCGGACCTGGCGCAGTTACGTAGCTTGAAAAAACTCCAACTCTAAACACAACCTTAGCGGATATCCTTGGCAGCGAATGGGGTCCCTTCGGCTACTTTTATTTTAGTCGACGCAAGTGGCATACTTAGGTACTTACCAAAGAGGATTCCCACGACTCTTCTTTTGACAACATTTCTTTAATTGCACGTAAAATCGTCTTATAGGACGCCAAATACGTCAAGTGTACTATGCGCGGCCAAGTTGTTATAAGAGGCAAAAGCATGATCAGGTACGATAAGAGACTTGTCACTTGTTACATGCCTCCAAGAGATCATCTACGAGCCACCTACGTAAACTACTTGTGTAGTAGCGTAGGCATGTAAGACTTTAAGAGCTGCAAGGCTATTGATATTTTCATGCAACTCTTTTCACTTATAGGTAGGTGGATTTCCCACCTTGTCCAAACTCATTGGCTAAGCAAGCCGAGTTACATCACCGTACATGCACTATGCGATTATCAAATAGCAATGGGTTCATAAATCTAATTTCTTTCTTTCTATTCATCAGGCTCTCTAACGCAGAGAAACATGGGTTTATAATGCCATATCATCACATGACCGCGTCTGAATCATCCTAACGTTCCATTACCGTCGCACTCATCAAACATGAATTGCCATATGCTCAACATAACTCTTAGAAGTTCCCTGGTGTTTTTATAGAGGTCTCCGGGAGACACAATATTAAGCGAGTATGTACGCCTTCAAGGACTACTCGTTATTGAGACGGACGTTTATTTGGGGTGCGAAGGCAGGCTCTTCTTAGCGGCCAACGGGCCTTGGTCAAGACGACGCTCAGTGTTTTGGCGGCTGTTGACGAAGTCGGGGTAGTTAAGCGTAAGCTCAACCGCGCCGTTTACGATGTGGTCGGCAGCCTCAACACCCAACATGAACGAGTGGTCCTGGTTGCCAACCTCGTATCTCCAGCTGCCGAATCGGCCACGAGAATAGATGTCGAGGTCTTGAAGCTTGGGGAGAAGTTGCTTCAGGACACCTTCACGCTCTAGCGAGGGAGTGGGGTAACCGTGGTCGAACTTGCGGTGGTAGGTGGAGACGATCTCATCCGTAGGCTTGATCATGTCAGTGTTGACCAAGCCCTGGATGCAGTCCTTCAGTAAGTTGGCCTCGTCAACGGGCTTCATCGAAGATTGAGAAACCTCCAACATGATAGACCAGTAGGGACCTTCCTTAGGTTCTGTGCTTGCAGGCTTGCTGCCGTCCGCGATCGAGATCGTCGGGAGCTTAGCATCAGCCTGGGGCTGGTTGTAGGGGGAGTAGTTAGAGAAGATGGTCGCTCGGTAGAACGGGCAATTGTCTTCGGGGAAGTATAGCTGAAGATGGTTAGTCATAATTGTTGCGGTTCAAGAGATTTCAATTTCTAGGAATAACTCACCCAGCACTTGTCACCGATACGCTCGGGTCGTGCGCCACGGAGACCAACACCGATGACATGGGTGGAAGAGTAGAACAGACCCTTGCTAAGGGTAACGAGCTCCTGGTTGCCCATGGACTCGACCAATTGGTCAACGTTCATGGTGGAGATGAGCTTGCCGTAGCCAATTGTCGTGCCGTCCTTGAGGGTGACGACCTTCTTGTCGGCATCGACCTTAGTAACCTCACCCTTCTTGCCGAAACGCTTCTTCTCGTCAGGGAGGGTGTTGGCAACAGCAATCCAGATACCACCAGTACCATCGCGGGCGGGGAAGCGGAATGTAGCATTGGGACCCCAGTTACCAGCAACCTTGTTAAGAACAACGTTCTTCACAACGTTCTTGACATCAGGGGCGGCTACACGCTCACCGAGCCATTGACATTGCATCTAGGGATCGCAAATTAGACGGCATGTTACGGAGCAATTCGTGATGTTATACGACTTACCTTAGTGGTGGGAACAGCCCAGACCTTGTAGTTGTATGGTCGCATGAACATGTTGGCAATGCCAGTACCAGTCATGCGCAAGATCCACTCATCGAAGTCCTTGGGCTTGGTGTTCGCGACGCGAACCTCCAAGGCAGCATCGATTAGACCGTCAATAGCCTCGACCTGATCCTCCTTAGGCAGCATGGAGATGTTGTTCTGGAAGGGGTAAGGGACCCAGAGGCCCTTGTAGCGGACGTAGGAGATACGCTGGTGGGTGTACCAGTCATCTTCCTTAGGAAGAGCCTCGTCGATGCAGTCGTCAAAGTACTTGTAGTGAGAGAAGATGACATGACCGCCAACATCGTAGAGCTGTTAAACAAGGCCAACGGTTAGCTTTCCCTGCTGGGCGGAAACGACCTTGGGTTCAATAAACTTACGAAGCCCTCAGGAGTGACGTCAGTAGAGGCAAGACCACCGGCCTTTTCGTTAGAGTCAATGATTAACCACGAGGGGCCATTCTGCACGAAATTATTAGTTCACGATACTCCAGTGTCTGAATGGCGGTGTGGCATACAACTTGGTTGAGGCGCTTCGCAGCACCTAGACCCGTAGGGCCAGCACCGATAACGAGAACGTCGACGTTGCTATGAGTGCAGATATTAGTCAATTGAATTTTTCCGAAGGAGCTCTTGCCAATTTAGTGTAGGATTTCTTTCTCCAATGTTCAAAGGACTAGGAAACTTACATGTCTGCACACATCTTGTCTTGGTTTCAACACAAGACGGGGAAATATGCCCGGGTCAAGTGAATCTCTATAAGCAGAAGGGTGTCAGAAAGACGAAAATGAATGGATAGACTATCCAAGTCAACGAAGGCTGAAGGATAAAGTCTGTCTAAGTCTATGGTTTACGCGAAAGAAGTTCGTGTGGCAGACGAGAAGTCTTGAGAAAAGGGACCGGTGGTCAGGAGAGAAGCGTGGTGTTTTTCTATGTATAATATTTTGCCCAGGTGGTTTATTTTGGAGGGGTACTAGACTAAAAATTGTGGAATTGTGTGTTAGCTCCAGGCCTGCTGGGTACTATATGCAAGTACCTAACTAGGGAGTCTGGGAGTGTACTAGGAGTTACCACACTAAAACTTGTGTAGGCCATCTATGGCCATGTAGTAGCCAGGTAGCGTGTGTGCGACGACCCGCTTATCACTACCCCTCCATCCCTGTCTCTCCGTCATGCAACTTGGCAGCATTTGAACATTTCCAATCTTCATCCGTCCAATTAGAGGGGGTCTTATACCAGATACGGTCAAGACGCTACATTATACCTGCATATGAAAAGTCCTCAACTTGACTTTGCAGCAGCTTTGTTATTCCAAGGTTATTTGGTTATTTATCACTACTGTTGCTACTGTACCTTATACACACTTGTTGAGGGAGATTCTGGAGCGTTAAGTGTCCATTTCAAGACTTGAAGCAGTCGAACCAACCAAACATGTGAATTCCAATGTCTTATATCCCAAGGGTAGGTATGGATGAAACATAACAATTACGATATTCGAATCATCGAGGCATTTTAGTAAAACGATGCCTCGTTTCTAAATTAGGATTGAAGTGAAGATTAAGTTGGCTGTTATTCCAGATTGGTTTGATCAATCTACTTTTCCCCTCGCTATTAAAAAACGGATTTGAGGCGGCTGCAGGGACCAAAGTCAACAAGTTTCTGTTAGAGGCATGTCCCTGAAAGCAATGAAGTAGCCTCGCTGTTGTGATTCGACCAAGTAGCACGAATAGTTAAACACCCAGACACCGCTTAGTTACCGCTAGTTTCCCCCCCCTCCTTTAGAAGCCACTGAACATCAAGTCAGGGGTAAACTTGGGAAGACTTCTCCTCTAACTTCCCTAATAGGTGAGATATGGATGATTATGACGATCACTCGCTACTATTATATTGACATGCTGTGCGTAAAATGCATAACCGACATTAGACAGACGTTAGTAGATGTCCGCATGTGAAAGGTGGTCGACCTCAGATGCTCTGATAGGAGCGAATTCGGTGTGCTACTGCAATTAAGAGCATAAGAAGAGAGGGTTGGTTTACCACCGGCACAACCAGCAACCACCAGGAAACCCCTGCTCGTAATTTCATAATTAAGATGAAGCTCATACCCGTCCCTTGCACAACGTCGCCCTCAAGCATCTCAGATATCGAGCACGACATACTGGTATGCGTATACTGTCTTTGCCTAACGCTACTACTGTAGGGGCGTTACACATTATCTAGATGAGTAAGTAGTCTCTTTTGAGCTGCCGAGCCTTAGTAGCATTTGACTAAGGCACTATATACGTAAGGCAAGACGAGTAGGTTCATGGTTTTATTCGTAAGCTTCGTCGACTCTGTCCATTCCAATACCCCCCTAACCGCATCCCTTTTCTCGCAATTGTATGTGTTATACTAAATCTGTGCCACGACAATTTGTCGAATGAGTGTGGCAACGGCTGCGCGAGTCAAGTTGTGGGAACGCTGATGAGAGTATTATCTACCAGTACCTATCTACCAAATGCTACACAGCCAGCCAGCTCTAGAATCCCGGCAGCTAGGTTGGCGTAGTGTACATAGTAGTGCTGTAGTGTTAAATCTACCTACCTATTAAAATAACTAATATCGGAGTAGAGCATTTCTCTTACTCTAGTTCTACATACTAGGCAATGTAGGCATAACTACTCCCACTTATCGCTCGCGATTGATGTGTTGCATTCGTCAATCAAATTGGGTCTCGAAGATCGTTTAATTTCGATAAGGTCGTGTCCCGTCCATGACCAGGTCGATGGCTATTTCTACCCACATGTACTTGTACTTCCACCTCCGACGATCTTGTTTTCCGCTCTCGATACTACCGAATTTGGGTCGGTAAGACTGTATCCCTTCTCGAACTTTGACTTCTAGTTGGAGCCTCAGGACCGGTTAGCTCCGCGAGATCGACAGCGAAGATTTGCAAAGTCGCCAAAGCCGCCGTCTCAAGTTGATGTTTTGGCCCACGGGACCACCGGGCGGCTCAAAAAGAAAACCCCCAAGTGGAAATACCGAGTTGATCAGTTCCGCTGGGTCCAAGTTGAGAATAGTTTCTTCTTGACCGTCCCTACCTACTAGGTATTTTATAATAAGTGAAAAGGCTGGCTCTCGGCCGGTTCTTGTACATGTTCGTAGAATGTCCGAATCGATAAGCCAAGAAAAAGTCGAATACAACGTAGGTACATCAATGATACGGTGAGAAATAATTTCTTGCATGTGTACATAGATCTTATCATCTTGCCGATGGCTAAGCACTATTTGGGTGGCTACTATAAATACATGTCATCAAAATGAAGTGGGCATATTACGCCATAATAGGGGTTAACCGTTTTCGTAGTGCATTCGATGAGAAGAAGGTCAGCCGTAACGACAACCAGAAGACGATCACTGAATAAACTACTCAAAATCGCAGAATCAAATTGGAGATAGGTATTATATATCATGGATATATATATATATATATTTCTACTAATCTAACTAAGCACATAAGCACATACGCGGCGATCCCAAAGACAATCCTCTTGCAACCATTTCATCATCTTGCATGGCCTGCCGTAAGAGTCGAATAGGTACCTGACCTAGAAAATGGCCCGCCGTCCCTATGCACTATTGATAACTGCATACAAAGCGAGCCGTCTACATAGTAGTAGGAAGGTCAGACAAGCCTTTGACTGCACGTGGCTACCAACCTTCGGCTGCTAACGTATGACACGGGTCTAATCAGCTTTCGCGGTTAGCTGACATGCAGCTGACGCGCCGTAGAAGCTTTCTTTGGTTGAAGGAATAGCTGTCAACTAGCGGGGGGGATATGCCGCGCCGTAGGTTTATCTACAGTACCTATCTGCAAGATGAGCAGCCATTCGCTTGGGACGTAAGATGCTGCTCAGCTACATAATGGATGGGGAAGATATTACAAAGAATAGGTTACCAACGATTCATGTAACCCGACGAACAGATGTAACCGGCCATGAAGAAACCTTCGAGGAGCTTGGAAACACACGTGTCGAAGAAAAGAATGTTAATGGAGTAATGGAGAGCCGCAAGCCGTAATACGTGGCCCCGAAGTATATATCCTGCTTTTGCATCTCGTATTTTTTTTGGCTGAGAAGCCACATGATGACGACGTTCCATACGAACAAACCTTCAACAGGTAAGGGGGGTATCCGGGAAGACTAGCACCCCGCGGAGCCTCAAGTTCACGATGATTCTTTTAATAGCCTAGTCAAGAGCTAGTCCCATCCGAGATGGAATGTTGGAACTCGGAGGTTTTCTTTTTTACATATATAGAAATTAGTAGGATATGTACTTTTTTTGTTTTCTCCATCATCTACGCCACAGAAGAGATATAATGGCACGGAGCACAATCATACTATGTAATCATAATCACCGACTACCAGACTACCAACCCAACAGCCCCAGCCTGAATCTCTCGGCTTTACTTAGCTTTAGATTCAAGCGGCTTCTAAATATGACGGGCAGGAGATGAAACATCCTGACATCGTGGTTAGCGAACGGCAAACATCCCGCATCCGTCTACGTCGATGTTTCTGTGTTATGCGACGTACTAGGCGTACTAGGTGTGTATACGAGTCTAGGCGAGTGGCCAATTACAAAACAGGAATAGGAAGCATGTAGAAAGCCTAAACCGAATCTTGCATGCCTCTTGTTAGACAGCTAGACTCGACTTACGAATTCGATATTAGGACGAGGAATGCTATTTGTTATTCGGCCCAAGATGTTGGTATGCGTAGTCTTCCACGTCTCCCGCGTCCTCTGCGTAGGGCGAAAGGGTTGTAAGAGTCCCTTTAAGTGTTATGATGAAACAAACTCTTAATTATGAACCGGCACATCAAAAGATGATACGCGGTTACAGCAACAAGATCTAAAATTGGATTGGACAGATTGGATAGAAGAGAAGCAAACGTGCTGATGTTCCAAGACTTGGTATCCTGTGGCTGGCCGTGGGGAAGGGAAGGGACTTTGTAAGGATTTGAAAAGGGATGGGCATTATGGATACTGTGGATGTATGCTGAATGCCCGTGATGAAATGAGAGCCTCTTAAAACGACATCAGTGGCTGCTACTGCTACTACTAGATTCAGGTTTTAGCTATTTTACCAATCGCATGCTATTCCTATTGGGGTAACACTACGCAATTACTTGCCCCTGGTTCCCCTGAGCGCAGGAATTCCAGGGAATGAGCCTTCAGCGGGTTAACGGGCTAGCGCGCCTGTTAGTGGGGGTTTCGCAAGATCAAATGGGACGCGATTATGTACCGGTACATACCTACATATCTGTGTACATACATCCATATACCTACTAGGTAGTATGGATATGTTGGTGGGGCTTGCCTAGTGCTCTTGAAATCCTAAGCACTTTAAGGGTGATTGGGGTGATTGATAGCCAGACGATGTGCGGGCTGTGCTTGCTGTAATTGTATGTGAAATCAGCGAAATCAGTGAATTCACTGATTACAGTACACGGCACGCACTGATAATTGATGCGACCGTGTCTGAAAGCGCTCATTTAATTGGGGCAGGTTTTGGGGCTAAAATTGTGCGGGATAAGCTCAAGCTCCAATTTGCTCCCTGTATCTCCTTGTATCTTTCCCCGTTACCACCCCCCTGTTCCCCTTGTATCCCCTGTATCCCAAAATTGCTAGGTGTGCCTGGGTTGGCCTTGTCGTAACGCGAAGGCGACTCGGTACCTTTCATAGTACCTTTCAAATTGAAAATTTATTAGCCGTACATCTCTTTCTTACCCTTCTTTTTTTGTCCTTTTTTCTTCTCGTCAACCTCTATCCCTCCAAGAGTCGACGACCTTTCTCTCCTCCGCACATACAAAACAGCCTCTATTTTAGAAGCTTCACGGAAGAGAGAACAAGAGTTCATCTGCACCGTCATCTCGGCATCGTGAATTCTTGAATCGTAAACGCCCCCAAAATTTATCTAAACCTTTAATTGGTCTCAGCAGGCTTGGCCTAGTCGCTCATTCTATCGTGTCATCTTCAATTCACTCACTACCAACCCCTTTTCAATTACATCGCACACCGCGACCCTATTCACACTTTTAGATCAAATTAATCAAGTCAACAATGGCGGACGAAAAGAGTCGTACATCCGGCGAGGTCCCTCGACCTGAGCCCAAGGGGCCTATCTTGCCCACTACGAACCCTGACGCTGACAAGCCCCAACCTCCTAAACCGGTCATTCACCCGGCTCTCTACGTTGCGTACGTCGAATTCTAGATAGAAACACGATCACTGTCGAGACGCGGAAGGATAGCTAGCTGACACCGAATCGTTACAGAGTATGGATCAGTCTGTCGTCATCCGTCATTCTCTTCAACAAATGGATTTTGGACACTCTCGAGTTCCGTAAGGAAACCCCCATTTTATGATAGACGCCGAGGTTGCGATCGTGAACAAGATCTAATGGCATCTTAGGTTACCCGGTTATCCTCACCACCTACCATCTGTCTTTCGCGACTGTCGCGACGCAATTGATGGCGCGCTACACCACCCTCCTTGACGGTCGCAAATCCGTCAAGATGACCGGTCGCGTTTACCTCCGTGCTATCGTCCCTATTGGTGTCTTCTTCAGCTTGAGTTTGATCTGCGGTAACTTGACCTACCTCTACCTCAGTGTTGCTTTCATCCAGATGATCAAGGTACGAATATCGATCCACCGTTGCGAATTTCGAAGTAGCTTGGTGCTGACATTGGAATGTTATAGGCTACCACTCCCGTTGCTGTCCTGCTTTCCAGCTGGGCTATGGGTCTTGCACCCCCCAACTTGAAGCAGCTCGCGAACGTGTCCGCCATCGTCGTTGGTGTCATGATTGCCTCGTTCGGTGAGATCAAGTTCGTCTGGATTGGTTTCCTCTACCAGTTGGGTGGTCTCATGTTCGAGGCTATCCGTCTCAACTTGGTTCAGGCCCTTCTCAGCTCTGCCGAGTACAAGATGGACCCCCTTGTGTCGCTGTACTACTTCGCCCCTATCTGCGCTGCCATGAACGGTGTTGTTGCGCTCGCCTGGGAAGTTCCCAAGGTATCCATGGCTGAAGTGTACCACGTTGGTCTTTTCACCTTCTTCCTGAACGGTCTCTGCGCCTTCATGCTCAACGTCTCTGTCGTCTTCTTGGTAAGTCTTCGAATCCATCCACTAGTTAATCGCGTCACGGTCGCTAACAATTTTGCAGATTGGCAAGACTTCTGCCGTCATCATGACCCTTTGCGGTGTCCTCAAGGATGTCATGCTGGTTGTTGCCTCCATGCTTATCTGGGGTACTCCCGTCTCGGGTCTCCAGGCCTTTGGTTACACTATTGCCCTTGGTGGTATGGTCTACTACAAGCTTGGATTTGAGGCTCTTAAGGGATATGCTGGTGAGGCCAACCGACAGTGGGCTGAATTTGGCGCCGCTCGTCCTGCTCTTCGCAAGATCATTGTGGTCGCCGCAGTCGTACTGTTCGTCTTCGTCCTCTTTGGTGGCTTAGCCCCTACGTACGCCCCTGACTACGACCCGTCGCAATACCTTTCCAGCGCTGCTGGCAAGTTCGGCGTCTCCTCATAGGCGAATATGTGACAAGACCGAACCTCCCATTTTCGCCATACGCATTTGTAATATTCTGGGTGGACGGAGGTTAAACTGAAGCTTTATAGAGCTTGGTATGATGACGGGTGAACGCTACGTGATGACCTAGTACGCGTTCTCCCTGAATTTTCGAGTACATACTTGCACATTTTCCAATTCATCTTCGCCGGGGGTGGTAGTAATTGGAGAGACATTTTTCTTTGTGGCCGTGGACACTGAAATGAGAAAGGTAGCCACATGGTTTTTTATTATTTTTGTACGGCTATAGAGAGCAGACAAAGGCGTCAATTGCAAAGGGCCGGGTTGCATCTGCTCGTATCACGATAGGGCTAATTCATGTAGCTTAGAAAGGTCATAGGGGGAACTAGGCCTGAATGAAAATGAGACTTAAAATTTGAACATGAGCTTGTCCATCCCCAATTCCTCGAGTTCTATGCGTGGTTGAATGAGTGTCTTGCTTGAATGGTGGAAACACTTTGAGTTCTAGGTCCGAGAAGATGTACATTTAGGCTATGTGCTTCGCATCTGGGCCATCAGGGTAATATAATCCTTCGTGACGGAGCAGACGCAGAATTGCCTGGAACATAACTTGATCAACCAGGGACATATCCCCGAAGTAGACCGGATCATGTAGTATTTCACGGATCTCAAGAATACGTCTGGCAACCCTCTTCTGCACAGTCAACGGACCTATCTTCTCGGTTAGGCATTGAGTGGTATGGAATATGGACATCGTCCTAGAAATCGACCGTTTTCACCTATATGCACGTTCACTCCTAGGCTATCGAGAATCCGGTGTATTGGCAAGTTCGGAAGCTAGATCATTATAACACACAAGGATACCGTAGACTATAGACCCTGTATACCAAGCAGCCTAGGATGTGTACGCCGTCATATCCATGGTTATGGATTTGGTCACCACTTGATGTAGTAGTGAAAGGTATAATGTTGATATATCCTTATCTGGACAACCAGATGTTCTTTCCAGTATTCAAGGGCCTAGGATTACAAAGGGTAAAGGGTATGAGGATTGGGAGGCTTGAAGATACAACTTTCGTATTGTCCTTGAACATCCGGTCCTTAGCCTTCCTCGTGCTTACGTTCTATCCCATTTCTCGGTAAAGTAGAAAACTGTGGAATTTAAAGAACCCGAACTTTAGCTCCATCGTTAATAATCTTGACACGCAAACTTCTAGCTCATGCTGTAAGCAGTAAGGAGGTGGGTTGTAGTTGAAGATATCCGGATAGCTTGGCACACAAGTCACATGTAGGCGTACACCCGGAAGCAAGTAGGTTCATTCGTCAAGTGTGTGTTTCATTTTCATGATTCTGAATTCAGAGCAAGACCCTTGAGGCTCCTAATGCCATTGATGATGCGATTTACATCCCAGACCGAACCCCCTAAGACCGAACGATGGAAGTATGCAGACGAAAGGATTAGAATTCTGTTGGAAGTATTGGTTAGTTCTCAAGTTTTCGCAGCAGAAGCTATGAGCATGGCGGGAAGAAGGAAACATACTCAGGGGAGTGAAGAACCATCGGTTCTTTCCACTTGTGTAGCGCTCCTCCAAGACTTTCTTGACGTTCTTCTTCGCATCCTCCCGTTGGCTGACCTCCTTGAAGGTCTCGCCGGACACAACACCCTTCAGGCCCTCAAGCTCGAGGGTGTATCGCGTGGGCATCAAGTGGTTGTAGTTGATGGCCTTGATGAAGGGCTTGATCTTGTTGCGCTTCTCTTGGCGCGTCTTGGACATGCGTCGGGTGATCTTGGAGGGGTAGCGCTCGATACCGGCGACTAGAGCGTGGCCGTAGGGGTGTGCCTTGTTGCCGCTGTCAACGGGCTGGATGATGACGACCTGTGGGAGAGAGGGTTTAGTTAGAAATTTGTTCCATTGCTTTATCAAAACGAATCATCGAGGAATGTGTAGATTTCAATTCTATGCGGTTTGTGGGAAAATTGTTTGCGTTGCGACTCGGACTCGGACATGTCGAAGGTGTAGGTATGGTGGTGTAGTGTGTAGTGTGTAGTGTTGTGCTCAAAACTTCCATCTCCAATCTATCACAAATGTCCGCGTATCTTCAATTATCATCATCATTTTTTTTCCTTCTCAATAACGTACCTTCTTACCGGCATATCTGCCGCGGGTGATGATGGCAACTCGGCCGACCTTGAGGAACTTCATCTTTTCGGCTTCGCTATCGTGTGTGTCGAAAGTGCGAAGTGAGTCGGGGGAGTTGAAAGTGGGTTGGCGTAATTGGTCGTTTGAAGATTGCAGTTCGGAATTGAGTAAGTTCGCAAGATCGCGATGGCTAAGAAAATCCAAAATGTGCCTGAGAAAATTAAGCGAGCTAAGGGTTATGATCTTGATTGGACGAAATTCTGTTAGTGGGGTGTCTCTTGTCTTTGTTGCATGTGGTCAAAGCGTTATACAATTAACGGTGGGGGCAGCTGGGGGGTAATGGTAGAGAAAGTCAATTGCGGGCGACGACAGCACCTGAGTTTTTACAATATACCTACCTAGGTACAATACACAATAGAGTACATAAGCGCACTGTGAAGAACGACATCTGGGTTCAACGAACAAGCCTGATAAATTCAAATACAATGGCTCCTCCGACGTATATCATTTCCCGCGTGGCAGACCCGATCTTCGCCATGGTCATTGGTCTCGGAGCAGCTGCTACAAGAATCAACCGTGAAGGGAAAGAGAAAGGGAGGACAACACAGCAGACTATCGCGGCCGGGAAGAGGTATATAATCGATATAAATAATCATGGTCTGGTCAATCTGCTAACATGTTTTCTCGTCTAGACGAGTTAGTAACATCTTCAAGTCAACATAATGATATTCTACCAAGTACCACCAGCCATTAGGTATCCAGCTTCATGCCATGCCCGTATACTACCTATAGTCAACGGCTACGAGATTCCTTGTAATCCAACTTCAAGCCTCGGAAGGGCTTTGCTACCAGGATCACCCACGGTATATATACTATACTGAAATGGCTGGAAAGAGCCAGTTTCCATATGCGCCTAAATCGGGACACGAACGATACTAGACAATATGCTGGATCCTACGGATAAATATTAAGACGAGCAATGATATTATTGTTTAAGTCTAACAGTCATTCCGCATAAGCCGGGCCATATTCCTTCTTCATAGCTTCCCTCACCATCTGTCCGCACAGCTTCGCAGTTGGGTTGGTACTCACAGCCAACCCTTTTGCGATCTCATTCCCATATCTCCCTCCCGAGGCGAAATCTCTTGACGCCGCCTCTTCAAATTCCATCTTTTTCCATGTCGCTTCCTTTCTTCCAGGGACACTAGCCGCATGGCCAGCTTGGAAGGACTTCGCAGTCATATGATAGATCGCTGCTCGTTGGGTATGCGCCAGCGATAGGGTCTTTCCAGCTTGTGGCGAGATGGAAGCGAAGAGGCTCTTCGGTGTTAGCAACGCGATGGCTTCATCAAGATCTAAAAGTGTCGACGCTGCTGCTTGAGACTTCTCGGAGTTGTCGATGTCCTGCAACAGCCGATTCGAGTCACCGACACCGGTTAGGAGCATTGTATCCCCGTACAGTCTTCTGAGAGCTTGTGCTCTGTTGTTTCGTGCGCTAGCATAGTTGGGGTATTCCGAGATGAGTTCTCCTAACCTTGACACACATTGGCGATATTCTTCTATCGGTTCTGTTGTTGTTGCAGGTCGCAGACCAGCTAGTTGCATCTCTAGTTGTTGCATAGCCAACACAATATCTCGTTCTTTCTTGGAGACGCGGTCGTACACGGATGTGTCCGTTATATTCGGATCTTTGGGCAACGTCGCGTCTACGATGACAGCTGTCAATGGGTTTGACTCCGGGTCTTTGATCTTCTCAAGCACGTTGAAGTCGCGTCGGCTAAGAGAGCTTGCCGCCGCCATGTTGACGATCTATATGAAGATATCGAAATTGTCGATGCGAAGGAATGCTGAGGGACTGCAGAACTGTTGGTACTGCAAGGTGATTGATGATGGTGACTTGGTATGGGATAGGCGGACGAGATATCAGTAATCTCGATGATACGAACTAATAGGCTACACGTGCATGGCCTAGAGGTAAAAAGCGACACGACAAGTATGCTACAGAAGGTGTGCTGACTTCTAAGGTTCACAATGGTAGACCGATAGTCAAATAGTCAATTACATATATCCAAAGAACAGGCCTTCTTCTCCACCTCGGCCCCTATTTCCAGTGCCGACAACCACTTACCTGCAGCTACCTAAGGTCAGTGCTGGTCAGCGTTGGTCAGTGATAAGGGAATAAGGGAAACAAGCTTTCGTCCCCCTCTAACCGCGCAAAGCCATTTCCCCTTATTGGATATGCCGTGGATCTTAGTGGGTGGCGTCGGATAGCTGCAGGGCGGAAGCGTGGAGTTCGGGTACGGCTAGCTTCGGCAAGCCATCTGACGTCTTTGTTTTCCGCAGCTTCATAGGTAGTTTCGCCCTTTCTCGCGGTCAGCAGCCCTGCCACCTGCCACATTGGCCGCCAAATGCAAATCAGAGTTCGGTAACCTCATTCCACGCATCAAATGCCATTATCGGCGCATATACTTTTGGAGATCTTACGTATGACTGTGGATTTTGCGTCCTGCCAACAAGGAACATCGAAAGCCGCCCAGATGCGCGGAATCAAATCCGACCCCCGAGCTTTCCATACTTAACCGCCATAAGGTCAGAGGTAGGTGAAAGTATAATGTAGGTAAGGGAGGTAGGTGAATTGTCTATATCTGTGTACTCGATTCTATTCCTTTGCTTAGGTCTTGTATGAATCTTATTGTAAAATCATATTAGTAGGTAGCTAGTCTCTGCTACCCCTATTCATCCCATCCCATCCTATCTATCCGCCCTTCTCTTCGTGATATCAGTGAATCAAGATATCTACCATCAAGCAAACACACGCAGACACACACATACATACATACACAAGCAAACAAACAACCATGGCCCCCTCGGCAATCTCAGAGTCTCCTCCCCGAGACGCAACCGTCCACCCCCCTCACACATCATCAGACTCCTACGCCGTCCAGGCCGGCGTTCCCGAGTTCCAGGGCTACGACCACATAACCTGGTGGGTGGGCAACGCCAAGCAGGCCGCCTCGTACTACAACACACTCTTCGGCTTCACCACCGTCGCCTACCGCGGCCTCGAGACGGGGAGCCGGTACTTCACCTCGCACGTCGTCGCCAACGGCGCCATCCGCCTCGTCTTCACCTCGCCCATCCGGTCGCTCGCGCACCTGCCCGCCGACGAGCCCATCACGGACGACGAGCGCGCGCTCCTCAAGGAGATGCACGACCACCTCGAGCGCCACGGCGACGCCGTCAAAGACGTCGCCTTCGAGGTCGACTGCGTCGAGGCCGTGTACGCGCGCGCCGTCGAGCAGGGCGCGACTCCCGTCCGCGAGCCCAGGGCCGAGAGAGATAAGATGCACGGCGGCGAGGTCCGGACCGCCGTCATCCGCACGTACGGCGACACCACGCACACGCTGATCTCGCGGCGCGCGTACGCGGGGCCGTTCCTACCGGGCTTCATCGCGCGGTCTCCCGCTCCCTCTAGCGTGAGCCTGCCGCCCGTCGAGCTGGCGCAGATCGACCACTGCGTGGGCAACCAGTCGTGGAACGAGATGGTGGCGGCGTGCGAGTTCTACGAGCGGTGCCTGGGCTTCCACCGGTTCTGGTCCGTCGACGACAAGCAGATCTGCACCGAGTTCAGCGCGCTGTCGTCCATCGTCATGAGCAGCGCCAACGGCGTCGTCAAGATGCCCATCAACGAGCCCGCGCTCGGCAAGAAGAAGTCGCAGATCGAGGAGTTCGTCGTGTTTAACTCGGGCCCCGGCGTCCAGCACGTCGCGCTGCTGACGCGCGACATCATCGCCACGGTGAGCGCGATGCGCGCGCGCGGCGTCGAGTTCATTAGTGTGCCGCCCTCGTACTACGAGACTATGAAGGAGCGCCTGCGCACGGAGAAGCGCAGGTGGGAGCTCGAGGAGAGCTTCGAGACCTTGCAGCGGTTGCATATCTTGATCGACTATGACGAGGGCGGATACCTCCTCCAGCTCTTCACCAAGCCGCTGATGGACCGGCCGACTGTCTTCGTAGAGATCATCCAGCGCCACGAGTTTGAGGGCTTCGGCGCCGGGAACTTCAAAAGCTTGTTCGAGGCTATTGAGCGGGAGCAGGCTCAGCGGGGGAACTTGTGAGATGAGATGGATACGTAGAAAATTTGAAATTTGGAAATTGGGGGGGGTTAAACAGCTCATTCCCTTTCGAGGAGAGGAGGGTTGGGCGAGAAGGCGGCGAGAAGGTGTACGATATGCTACACTATTATTATTTTGACGAGATCATGACATAGCGCGGCGGGTTTGGTCCATTGAATTGCATCGATGTATGCTAGAGGACCTGGGTAAACCTAGCATATGGTCCTGGATAACGGGACATCATAGTTTGAGCATAAGCAAGTACTTATAGCAATCAAGCTCCTCACATTAGCGGTATAGTAGCTAGTTTTTCTGTCATTCATTCGGATGCCCTTCCTCTATAGTTCTTAATAACATCATGTATCGTGGGATGGATAAAGTCCCCAAGCTCCTCTATGCGAAGACAAAGTTAGAAAAATACCGTAACCTCAAAACGAGGACGGTCATGATCAATCCCGTATCCTGTATGCGAGTTCCGCCAACGCCTCCCCCTTTTTGTCCATGCTGTGATGTGATATGATGTGATTGTTATGCCTGGAGCTCACTCAAATGTCGCCCCTCTACCACCCCAACATACCTCGTAGACTGCTAGAATGCAGACTATCGGCGAGGGTCTACCTACCTATTCGCTTCAAGCAATCCCCCTCAGCCGTCTCAGGAGTCTATCTCCATAGCCCCATTCGCATCACCATTACTCGTCCCAACCGCATTCCCGTTCTGCTTCTGCTTCTGTTTCTGCTTCTGCGCACCCCCACCGCCCAAACCCCTCGTATCGCTCTGGCATCCGGGACAATTATGCAAGACCTCATGAGCGAATAAATCGCAATCGATACAGAAATGGTTACCGCAGACCTCGCAAGCGTAACGCCCAGACTCGCTGAGTCCCTTCGGGGGCTGCGTCTGCACCACGCCTCCGGCTCCGGGCCCAGCACCACCGCCCTTAGCCGCCGGACCCTTCCCCTTCTCCGGCGTCTTGCCTTTGCCTTGACTCGGCTCGGCGCGCGGCGCCTCGGGGAACGCGGTGAGGCACGAGTAGCACGCCCTCGAGCGCCTAGCCTCAGCCCACGGGACCTCGACCCAGTTGCGCAGGGGGAAAAGATGATGATACGAACGCGCGAGATGCGTCGACAGGATGAGCGTAAGTCCACACCCGGGACATTCCGCGGGCAGGCGACACACCCTACTCCCGCAGCGCGTGCACTTGTACCCCTCGCGCGTGGGCCGGTTGTGGCACGCGCAGTAGTGTATGCTGTCTCCCGCGGCCAGGGTCCGCGACGGAAACCCCATCATGAGCAGGCTGGCGTTGCTCTGCTCCTGGGTGCGCGTGACGGGCGGCGTGGTGACCTCGAGCAGCAGGCTGCGGAAGTGGTCCTCGTCGAGCGCGATGGTGTAGCTCGAGCTGTCGCCGCCGTTGGTCTTGGAGCACAGCTCGTCGCAGATGGCGACCTGCGCCGCCAGGCCGACTATAGACACCCGGATCCGGTCGTTCACGAGCGCGGTGATGGTCTGGTGGATGTCGCCCGGGTCGCTGGACATGAGCGCGCCGTAGATGATCACCACTTCGCGGGTGCCGTGGGAGGGGGTGTGGCTGTCATTGGCGAATATTCGTTAGCTATTATTACATCCAATGGCTTCATACTCAAATTCATAATTCCTCCATCCTTTGTCATCGGGGTTGTAGAAAACGTACAATAGAGCACCCCGACACATCTCCAGCGCATTCTGCAGACTGGGATTTCCCTGGGGATCCTGCTTGACCCAGCCCTGCAGCTTCTCGAGGTGGTCGGCCGGGTTGCCGCTCATGTCGCTGATCCGGATCGCCACGCCGTCCCGCATCCCTATGACGGCGAGCTGGGAGATCGGGTTCTGCTCGAAGTACTCCCGCACAAATTGCGATGCGTACGCTATCGTCAGCTCGTACCGGCTCGGCAGCATGTCCTTCTCCAGCATGGCGAAGGACATGTCGACGACCAGCACCAGGTGGCGTATTATGCCGCGTTGGAGGGGCGTGGTGTCCCTAAGCAGCCGCGCCCGCTTCTCCGCCTCGGCCCGGCCCTCGATGGCCCCCGTGAGCGTCCCATCTGCGTCCTCGACGACCGCGTCCCACGAACGTTGGATGTCTTCCCAGGCGGCCTTAGCGCCTTTTCGGTTTCCCTTCTTGTTCTTGTCGGGTCTAGCGCGCGATCGCGTATCATGTTTCGAGCTGGCCGTCACTTGATGGTCCTCGAAGTCGTCGCTAGCGTCGTCGGCGTGATATTCGCCGTCGGAGTCGGCCATGGTCGAGTCGCGGTGGAGATATGTTTGTGTCGAGTCCGAATATCAAAGACCCGCAATGCTTAATTTGAAAAAAACGTCGTTTCTATCGTCTAAAGTTCGTCAATGCAGGTATCGATTGTCAAGTGAAGGAGAATAAAGGGAGAGAGAAGTGAGTAAGTATTAGGATGTTGCTATGACTTGACGCGCGACCGTTTTTTTTCTTACAACACCTCAAGGCATTGTTGACGGGTGAGTCAAAGGGCAGCATAACCCCAATAGACTACCTTGACACACTTAATAGATCGCTCCCGAGGCAGAATATAGCAATGGACCTTGAATGTGGAAATGGCAGGATTTTTATTACAAGGCGAGGCTACTTCCTCTTTGTTGAATGCGACCGCCGCAATTGCGCAGCCTTGTATTTAGCATCATAAGCTTTGGCCAATCAGACGCCTCGAAGATAATACTTTTTACGGATAAGGTACATAGGTACTTGCATATGTCTTCCTGTCATACATGTAGGTATGCTCATATGCATTATATACAATTCACTTCACTCAGTCTCATACACATTAAGGTATACGATAAGTATTGAAACTCAACAAACACATTACTGGCTTGACTCGTCTGCGTTGAGACTATTCAACCCTCATCATACGACGTCATATACATTAGTCGCGTATCTCCATCTCCTGGGTATACTATCAACCACGCTCCAAACTCTCCGCTAGCCAGCGAAGGGCAGATCTGCCACCATATGTATATGAATATAACCACCAACCCCCCTCCCCAAGCGTACTAACGTCGTTTCGTGTAGCGCATGCCATCGTGCTCCTTCGAGGCTCACCCCTTGCCCAAGCTATAACTAACTTTTTTTCTAGGTGATTAAATCTTCGATGTATTTTTTATCGCCGTTTCTCTCGAGACGACGCATTTATAGGACGCATCCAAGGAATGAAAAGAAACGAACATGAACGGGTATATTGGTGAACCTGAACGCCGACTCCGTAGTCAAAAAGAAGGACAAGAATTAAGGGTATCCCGTAGGCTGGCTGGCAATCGGCCAGTCATCTTCTGTGATACTCGACCAGAATACCCAGATCATCACTACTGAAAGCAGGGTGAAGAGCGTTTCGAACAACGCTCCGTCAATCTTGCCCGACGTTCCATTGCAGATGTAAGGGCTGATGACGTAGTTGAAGATCTGTCCTATGGCGAAAAGAAGAGCAGCACCTGTAAGATAGATCATCGGTCGGACCTCACCAAGGATTCGGAGCACGAGCACGGCCTCTAAAACGTAGAAAGCTACGAGAAAGATAAGCGGCGCGAGTTGATAGAGGACATATAATGCGATATTCCGGTAATGATTGTTCGGATCCGGAGTAAACTCGTTCGTCCAATGATACCCCGTGTCGAGCGTGATATAGCCAGTCCCGACGAAGAGAACGGCGCCGGAAATGAGCATTAGTCCTATCGAGAGCGGCGTTCCGTCGTCAAGGATTTGATAGCCCACGACAGCATTAAGCAACAAAATCCATGTATTTGCAATTATCATTCCAATATGGATTCCGGTGAAGGCCTAGGCAATCATGTTAGCTCGTCTTAAACACTACTGTTTTATCTTAAGGTATCGCGTACCACCCGGACTGTCCCACTGAGAGGGAACTCCCCAACGGTAAATATTTCGCATATTTCCATGATTATATAACCGAGAAGGAATAATTGCATTTCTCTGTAGCTGAATGAGTTGAATAGTCTCAAGATTGAAAGGATTCGATACGAACCTCCTACCGACCGCAGCCTTCTTTCTCTCCGAGCGCAACAGCAGTAAAGCTGACACGACAATAGCGACGCCGCATAGTAATATGGACCCTGTACTTCGTTAGCAAGGACTAATATGATGTATTGCTTGTAAAGGTCAAACAAACCTAGATTTCCTAGATACCGGCCACCAGACAACGGTATGCCTTGCAAATCGCAACCACCGAAACCTCGTTGGTCATGATTTGTAGAAAGAACCTAGCTTGGTTGTTAGTAACCTCGGACCTTTGGCTGGAAACCGTATAATTGTATCACTCGATGAACTTACATTGCAAACCGGCAAGGTCGAATCGCGACAGAACGCCTGCGTATACCAAGATTAGCGTTGCGCACAAGCATAACCAGGGCGTATCGATAATTATGTAGCTAGAAGGAGATACATACGTCGAAATTGCCAAAATTTGTCGACCCCATTTGGCTTGCGGCGCGAGGGGATCGCGCGACGATCGGTTCTGGAGGGGATTAAATGGCGTATTCGAAATGACTTGCGCTGACAGCGCCTTCTCCCGCTAGTTCAATAATCGAGTCGTAATATTCGAAAGCGAACGACGAGATAAGCTAGACGTCGCCCCTAGATCTATACCTGGAAAGTTGTAATAGAAATTGATGGGATTTTTCTTCAGCCGAGTTGAAGACAGCCTGACTCTGACTCGTGTTTGTCGGATTCGAAATGCTCGATTCGGATTCTTGCTTCAGAAAAAGTCGAAGGCTGGATTATTATGATGTAATTCGATTTATCCCCCTCAAACTCCCTTTCCACTCCAATGGTCGTATCCCGAACCTAAGCGTATTGTATTTTTTTTTTTCGTTTCCAAAATTAATGGTTTTTTTCTGTGTTTTGAATCTTCGAAGGAGAGAGAAATTAGATGGATTAGACTAGATAGGATTAAGATGGTAAGATGAGAGGAAATGAGGGCGCAACAAGGCCAGGGCAGAAAGGTTGTTAGGGTGACTGTTACTTGCTAAGCCAATCTTGGGGTCCCCTTCCTGCGCCTTCTACAACAAGAACAAGAACGAAAGAGAGACGAAGCTACCTTTAGCCCTGGGAGGTAGGCAAATCCTGGGTAATCTATCGTAAGTAGGAAGGCGAGGAAAAGCTAAGTCGAAGGCTCTGGTTGGCACAAGTCAGGAACAGTGGGTCATTTTAAATTGTCCCAAGCCTATTTTGGTCTGTCGATTTCTGCTGTTCCTGAGCGAAAAGGCAGGAACAACGCGATTCGGCTAGTGGACAGGGGTCGAAAATGTGGTTGTCTGGGTCTCGCAGGGGTGATGGCCCCAAATTTGAATTTCTCTTTCACACTCTCTTACCACTAGGGCCGCGCCAAATATTTATTGAGAGGAACATTTGAACTTAATTCCGATTCCATTACGGTACGAATATGAAGATATTGGATGGATCAAACGTTAATGTTAAGTTAATGCAACAATGCAATGATGGGTAAGCTCGGTGCTGATAAGCCTAAGTTTCCGGCCTCAGGCTTACCTGCTTGAAAAGAAAACTTACTATTATGTGATGACCTATCGAATCAATGCGGTGGATAGGAACAAGAAAATCAAGCAATTGGAAAAATAACGGCTCAATCGTTCGCGAACTGGCCAGCAGCCGGCTTCAGAGTAGGTAGATCCACGATGTCTTGCATAAAAGTGGTTGTGCGCCCTTCTTGGAATGGGCTTAGAAGTTACGTGTAGAAGCAGCTAAGCAGCTAAGGAATCGAGGGGGGATCCATCCCTGATCTGTACGTAATTTTGGATTGGATCATCTTCATGCGTGATGAGCTGTAGCCTCGAATGAGATAAGCGGGTTGGTCCTCAGCCACTTACAGCTGATACCATCCTTCTATTTTTTCCCAATGCAAGCTAACCTCTTGATATCAGACTGTCTCCAACAATGGCAATTGGGCGTTTAGCACATATCCATTGTATGAATGAAGGTGTACGGGTGGTTAATATGGTAGCATATTTCGAGGCCATCGACACTTGGCCATTTGGCTACTATGGGTGTCGCATACCTAGCATATTTAGGTACCTAGTGTAGCCATACGCAGTAACTTGACCGGGACGGCCCTAGAATCGAAAAGGCCGATCGTCTCGAAACTCTCAGGTACTTTAATAAAGCTGGTTAAGACACCTCTTTGGCGCCGTATCTCATCCCAGTCGAATGTTACTTCTACCCGCCGACCCTTGCCCCTTCATTTTTGCAATCTTGGATGAATACCCGCTTACGGTCCGTTTACCACAACGGTCCATTACCTAGCATTAGATAGTTGCGAAGTCTTACGTATATGAGAGATAAAGCGTATCGAAATGTTTGATTAGTGAAGAAGTGATTTGATGGCATTGTAGCGCACGGTAGCTACAGGAGAGGGAGATGCTATGCATTCCGAGACATGAAAAATTACCAAAAATGCATCGGACAATATAACCTAGACGTGACTTACCTAGTGGTGGTGAGTATTCATAGTTGGTAGAGTTATTGCATGATCTTTTCAGCCCTGGCGTTCTTCCCTGTGGCTTCATACTAGTATGTAAGCTCATAAATCCATAAGCCCTTCGGGGCGATGCATCCGTCACATGTTCTCGAGGCTTACGCCAGTCGTCCTCTTTAGCCACTACAGGAGCGAAACCTGACTTCACTTCCGCGATGGCTTTTCAAGTGAACAATTGAAAACCGAAGTGTAATAGAAGAAATTGTGTGCGTGACCATGAAGATAGCAGGGAGTAGAAGCGTTTCAGCCATCCCTCTTCCGTACCAACAGCATCCAATGTCGATTGTCAGCCGGGTTGATCAGCCTTTTTGTAATTCAGCGCCCTCGTTGCCTCCAGCCAGTCAACGCTCAAGAATGGCTCTTCATGGAATTAACATCGAGAGGCTCTCGCAAGCTTCCTTCTTGGGACATAGTCCTCAAGACACATGTGACTGTGTCCGAACCAGCCCTGAAGGAAGTAGTGGCCGCGGGGCAGCAGGGGGCGCACAGGCGACAGGCTATATCGGGTGTTCTAGATATTCCGTAGATGCTTCAAGCCGGGTCTATGGGATTTGGGTGACGTAGGTTATCTGATCGAATCGGTACAATCTTATGTCGATGTAGATATAAGTAGGTATTATCTTGCTCGACGCTCAGACTTAACCGATACGCTCGATATTGTTAACTTTAGCGTTATTTGTTAGTTTACATACCTGGCCAGGTATATGTAGTTTAACGTCTCCTATAGCGGCCTAAAGATGATGATCATGGCCAAATCAAACGAAAACGTTGGACCGAGATAGGGTCTGCGAACCATAGCGTACGTATCGGATCTCGACGAGTTGAGCAGCATCCTAGGTTAGTATATTTATCTTCCTTTCACGTGTATGCGGGTTGCAGGGAATCTCGAGGCTGGAATGAGGGGGCTTGGGGGTTAGAAAATCAGCCGAGTGATGGAGACGGTTCTCGTGATCAAGCTTCCCCAAACTTTCCAACAGCAAGACTAAGACACCGATAGAACTGGGAAAGGGTTCATTATGACGAGGAGCAAATCCTGGGGTGTTGCATCCCCGAGTGACATCCGTGCTGACCGCCTTGGTCCAAAGGTTTATACTATGATGCCATCGTGGGTCCTTTCTGCATATTCTGCACAATCTGCATGCCGGAGCCGCCATACCCAGATTGCAAGAACTGCTCGTCTGGGCTGAACATGCATCATGTCAACACCTGACCCGACTGGTGTTCTCGAATTCGCCTCAAACGATTTGCTGAATTGAGTATAGGATTTGACATGTGTCGTAGTGTATCGTATGCGGGTTCCCAAAAAGGGACTGATTTGCGCAGGCTCGTTTTCCAACTAGAAAGGGTTCCCCCCTTTCAGAGAAGCGAAGCTTGACACTGCACTGCACCGACCGACCACAGTCTAACCCCACAGACTTTAGATGCGTCATGTGACTATCCGTCCGCAGAAGTTGTGCTCCAAGGTTTGTGAAAAGACCCGGAGGTGGGTATAACGGTTCAAGAGAGCGAAACAGTAGTGTATGATCGCACGTGGTGTTTGACAATAGGCAGCTTACTTGGCTTTATAAATTGAGCATCCATCAACGATTCCAGACCGTTGGTAAATAATATTCAATGTTCTGGATTCGCTGACACGAATCGACACGAATCGCATCGCCATCCCGTGGACTTTATACAACACAGTTGTTTGGAAGAAACGGATACAGTACAGTACATTGCATAGTACAATTATATCGTATAAATAATGAAATACGGCACAGTACGTCAAATCCAGGTATCGAGACATGTCTTTCGTAAGACCTTGTGGGGGGTTTATTACCCCACATCCAGAATTGCAACTACCCTGAAACTCCCAAGGCTAAGGAAAGCTAAGGAAGGCTAAGGTCGCGGTTACCGCAGAAAAGGGATCAATTGGTCGGTGTTGGATTGTGTAGCACAGTATGCAAGTGGACGGAGTACATCCATTGAATTGTGCTTGGCTGGCTCAAGGCCAGTATCCAAGGCAAGATCAGCGACCAATTCTTACTCCCTGAACTTCAAAAAAATAGGGGATTGCAGATAGGAGCCCTGGAGGATTCTAATCGATCTGTCCGTCCTGTCCGTCCCAGACGGCATTGAACCCAGATTTTTTTTCTTTTTGTAAAACTTGCTTCACTCACTCACAATCCATACACATACGTACATTCATTTTTTCCAGTCATCGACATTGAATATCGAATTATATCCATACGTACTCCTCTCGCATTACCGACTCCTACATGCCTATGTAAAACTTTATCGCACCCCCCTTACATCTATCGAATTATAATCAATTCTTTCGCTATTCGTTACGGGAATTTATCGATACATGTTGTAACTTTATTACCTACTACTCTTTCTCCGTTCTCGGTTACTTTTTTTGCTGTTGTACCTACAGTGTGCGGTACCTTTTTGGTCGAGATTTTCCAAGGTTGCCTCTAGGCTACCTAGGCTCGTTAGGCCAGTTCAGTTGTGCATGTGTCTTGTGCTTGGTGATCCACCTTGGTGCGTTGTGGTCAAAAACTTGTCGACGCCTTTCGTCACTCGTCAGGCCCGGATGACACTGAATCTCGGGGCCCTGTCCTATATACACACTCCACCCATTTCCACATTCCCCAACTCAATTCCAATCAACATTATCATCGCGGGAGGGTGCTGCTGCCTCACAGCCCCAAAACCTCCAAAATTCCTTCTCCAAAATCAAACCGTCTTCCCTCAAACATCCCCCTTCGGACCCTAACCAATCGATCCGATCACGACCACGGCGCCCAATCGACGTCATTGCTGGCCGGCCACCACCGGGACCAGCCATCCCACGAGAGACGCTCTGACGACTCTGCCGATTCCGACTCTTGGACGGATACCGGTGATCTCGCTGAGCAGTTGGCGGACGAGGAGGATCCCTTGCGAAAGACTATCGCCGACACCTCCATTCATGAAGACCTCCTGTCAGGCGTGCTAAAGCGTCATCCTAAACATAAACGCGTCCAATTCAGAAGATCCGTCTCCGAACATAGCAACCATCGTTCGTCGAGATCTTTCTCTACAACCATCGATAAGGAAGCCATCCAGGTTCCCAACGTCCCTCCACGCCGTATCGGAAGAGCAGAACGTTTCATAGCCGCCATCATGCCGGGTGCCGGGGTTCACGGTTTCACGGGCAAGGCCCTAATGTTCGTAACCCGCTCTCCCAGATGAAGGGAATGAGCTTTGCTAATCATGCCACAGCTACTTTACGAGTATATTCGTATCGTTAGGTGTTTTCCTATTCGGATATGACCAAGGCGTCATGTCGGGTATCATCACGTAAGGGCTCGACAATGATTTAGGTTTAGCCAGACCGTTTTTCTTGTCATCTAACCGTATCTTAGTGGCCCGTACTTTAGAGATTACTTCAAGAACCCCTCCAAGGCGGAAGTCGGTACTATGGTTGCTATTCTCGAGATTGGCGCCTTAGTCTCGTCTCTAATTGTCGGGAGGGTTGGTGATATCATCGGTCGAAGACGGACAATTCTCTATGGGTCAATCATCTTCTTCGTCGGTGGTGCCTTACAGAGCTTCGCTGCCAACATGCCTATGATGATGTTAGGTAGAATTATCGCCGGTCTTGGTGTTGGCTCCTTGTCCACCATTGTTCCCGTCTATCAATCCGAGATTTCCCCTCCCCATAACAGAGGTAAACTGGCCTGTATCGAGTTCTCGGGTAACATTATTGGTTACACGACATCCGTCTGGGTTGATTACTTCTGCGGTTTTATCGAGAGCGACTTATCGTGGCGTGTTCCTCTACTGATGCAATGCGTAATGGGAGCCCTCCTAGGTCTAGGTAGTCTGGTCATTGTAGAATCCCCAAGGTAAGACTTCTTCATAAACCAAGGAGTTACTCAAAACTAATGGCACGTCTAGGTGGTTACTGGACAATGACCACGACGAAGAAGGCATTGTTGTCATTGCTAATCTATATGGTGGCGGCGACATCCACAACGCAAAGGCAAGAGAAGAATACCGCGAGATCAAGATGAATGTCCTACTCCAACGCATGGAGGGCGAACGAACTTATAGCGAAATGTTCCGACGCTACAAGACTCGAGTCTTCATTGCTATGTCTGCGCAAGCTCTGGCCCAACTAAACGGAATCAACGTCATCTCCTACTACGCCCCGTACGTTTTCGAGTCTGCCGGCTGGATTGGCCACGAGGCGGTCAAGATGACCGGTATCAATGGTATAACATACTTGCTCTCAACTATCCCACCATGGTATGTGGTTGATCGATGGGGCCGCCGAGTCATTCTCTTAACCGGTGCCGTCGCTATGGCAATATCCCTATCTATGGTATCATACTTCATCTACTTAGATATCAAGTCTACGCCGACATTGGTAGTCGTGTTCGTTATGATCTACAACGCTGCGTTCGGTTATTCATGGGGACCTATCCCTTGGCTCTACCCACCCGAGATCTTGCCGTTGAGCATTAGATCCAAGGGAGCAAGTTTGTCAACCGCTTCTAACTGGGCTTTCAACTGGCTTGTTGGCGAGATGACCCCTATTCTCCAGGAGTGGATTAAGTGGCGACTGTATTTGGTACACGCATTCTTCTGCGTTGTCAGTTTTGTTGTTGGTGAGTATACGGCCTTTTATTCCATTGGGCAATATTGCTAATTGCAAATAGTGTATTTCATATACCCCGAGACTTGCGGTGTACGATTAGAAGACATGGACTCGCTCTTTGGAGATGCAAGCACTGCAGTAGGGACTCCTGGAGTAAGGTCTGAAACGGGCTCTCTAGTTAGAGCTGGATCGCCCGTCCCGTCCCTCGACCTACGTGGACGACCTCTAGGCTCGGACGCCAACATTCCCCCAATGGATATTGACCCACCTGTGCTTAATATTGTTGACGGGAAGCCGCAGCTAAGGTCTGAAAGTCAAAGTTCGCGAGGCCGGGTAGGCGAATGGCTGACGAGAATGGTTGGGCAAAATCGGGGGTCGAGCAGTAGCCCAGCCGCCGGAGGCAGATATGCGCCATTGGACCAGCGAGATGACTAAATTCAAGAAAGATGTGGCATTAAATTGGTTAAGGGAGACTACTAGACTCTGATTCATATAGACGGCGCTACGGCGCGGCGGGGATTTCAACGGCCACGGCGGCCCGCATTCTAACATTACTGTACAATGTTTTGCATAGTCGTTTTCGGCGACTTAGGCAAGGGCCTTCACGGAGAGCGACAAGGTTCGAAAGAGAAACGGGGAAATGAGTTTCATAATGCATCGTAACGGGCGAGTTGTTTTTACTTTCGTATATTCGACGTAACCCTTGATGAGCTCGCGGTCATCAACAGGGATACGGCCTCAACTTTCGGTACTGGAGCAGAGATTGGGAGCATTAGACACTCGAGAAAGTCTGTTGAAGTTAATGCCAATACGCGGGACCTGTACAATTGCGCAATCAGCAGTCTGCAAAGTCCCTATTCATACTGCTGATACTGATTCTCAAGATTTAAGGTCGGCTACGTGCCTATGTAATAAGCCACGGTTTCTGAAGGTGGGAAGATGTACTGGGTTGGAAAACTAATGGTACGCAGGCGGAAGAAGATGGTTAATACGTTTGTTGAGAGAATATATGTTAAATATAGGTTGAAATGCAACGATGAAAATGACGTCTAATTCTTCAATTCGCAATTGCAAGTATGGAATGTCTTGTATCAATGGGAGGTCTAAACATATATATAGTTTCTGCTATCAGAACTGACCTCATTTTCATATGATCGGGGCTAAGGTACGGAGGTACGGAGGTATGGATACAGATTGGATTGGATTGGATTGGGCGGTACCGACTAAGTGGACAGGCTCCTAGAGTCCTGGGCAATCTGGAAGGTACGAGGTACATGTAATCGTACTGATCTGTACGCATAGTACGCGCGTGTCAGATAAATGAGCAAGGTGTCCCTAAGAAGGTACAACGAGGCAGGATTAGGTGCTAAGGTGCTAAATAAAGCTAGCTGTGCAGGGGTTTAGGGGGTGTTTTAGCGTAGGCTGTCCCTCACTTGTTATAATTGATTCAGCTGAAGCAGGAATTAAGAAAAAAAAAAGAAGTGAATTGAAGCCGGACCACGGCCCAGGGTAACCCGTATTTTGTGTTCCTATCGTCGTTTAATCGTACACGCCACGCAACCTTACCTCCCTTTTCCACTTCTCACTAACCAACCTTTCTTCGAGGAATCAGGTTCCCTATTCTACTTTCCTCATAGACAAGATTTGTCTAATTGTTCCTTTTTTTCTTTGTGGAAGAGATGCTCTGCTTTTGCCATCTTTGACCAACCTAATCTATTCTCTTCAGGTCCCTCCTTTTTTCTTGACGTTGACATTGTGTCCTCCGTAAGCCTCGTTCGTCTAACCTTCGACACTCGTTCTACCTAGTACCTTTTTATTTCTCCTATTCCTCCTTTCGTCCTTGGAAAGCAGGGCCGAGAGGTAATCTACAATCATGGCCGACAAGAAGGCCGCAGTCGCGTCCGGCGCTGATCCAGCCGGCGACGCTGCACGGCGACGAAATGTGCCGGGTGCTACCCCTGGAGCTTTGGCGCAACAGCCGGAGCTCGACGAGAAGAAGATCCATGGAAAGAAGAAGGTATTTAAGATGCACCATACATATGACGAGCTTCAAGCTTGAATAAAGACAGGTGGCTTACTTTAATGTGAATAGGGGACCTCCGTATTAGAAGTACTCGATCAGTGGGAGTTTATCATTGCGCCCCTAATTTTCACGGCCTTCGCCGTCTTCACACGTCTATGGAAGATCGGTCTTAGCCCGATTGTTACCTGGGATGTAAGTTTAACTATTCTACCAAGCTTCGAAACGCTCGCTAACAACTACATAGGAAGCTCAGTTAGTCTATCCCCTCTTGCCGTTCCCGTCGTTCCTTGACCGCCACGCTAACGTTTATGCCACGATAGCTTCGGAAAATTCGGATCGCATTACATCAAACGTGAACTATTCTTCGATGTGTCAGTACAACCCGAAATAACTCGATTGCAGTATAGAATATTGTTTTTAATACGTGTAACAGACATCCCCCTCTTGGTAAAATACTCGTCGGCCTTTCTGGAGTTCTGGCTGGTTACAATGGATCGTTCGAGTTCAAGTCTGGTGAAACGTACCCCGAAGAGCTCGACTACACCTTCATGCGAGCCTTCAATGCCTTCTGGGGAATACTATGCGTGCCATTGGCTTACTACACTGCGAGAGAATTGAACTTGAGGCGACCGGCTGTCTGGCTGGTCACGCTTATGGTTCTCTGTGAAAACTCTTACACGACGATCAGCCGATTCATCTTATTAGATTCTATGCTTCTCTTCGGCACTGTCGCGACCGTATTTTGTTGGTCCAAGTTCCATCGCCAACAAAAGGAGAGCTTCGAGCCCGAATGGTTCTTCTGGCTGTTTATGACGGGACTGAGCTTAGGATTCGTTTGTAGTATCAAGCTTGTCGGACTCTTCGTCACCGCTCTTGTTGGCCTCTACACGATTGAAGATCTATGGAATAAGTTCGGCAACGTCAAGATGCCGGTTCCGGTACTCGCTGGTCACTTGGCTGCTCGAATCGTCGGTCTCATTATCATTCCTTTCTTGGTGTATCTGTTCTCCTTCGCGCTCCACTTCGCAATTTTGACCAAGAGTGGGCCGGGAGATGCGCAGATGAGCTCGCTCTTCCAAGCGAATCTAGAAGGTAGCGAAATTGGACGAAACTCCCCACTGGAAGTCGCCATTGGCTCCAAGGTAACTCTTAAGAACATGGGCTATGGCGGTGGTCTACTCCACAGTCACGTTCAAAGTGCGTATATTGCATTCCATACTCTCGTATAAAAAGAAAACTAATTTATTAATAGCCTACCCCGAGGGTTCGGCTCAGCAACAAGTTACTTGCTACCACCATAAAGATGCCAACAACGAATGGTGGTTTTATCCTAACCGCCACGAGAAGGACTATGACCCAGAAGAAGAACCCCGATTCATTGGAAACGGTGATGTTATCCGTTTAATCCATTCCCAGACCGGTCGAAACCTCCACAGTCACGATATTGCCGCCCCTGTCACAAAGAGCCAAAAGGAAGTTTCTTGCTATGGCAATCTTACCGTAGGTGATGATAAGGACCACTGGCAGATCGAGGTTGTGAAGGATGTTGCTTCTCGCGACAAGAGCAGGGTTCGAACTTTGACTACTGCTTTTAGACTTAAGCATCCTATTATGGGATGTTATCTGCGAGCTGCCAACGTCAACCTTCCACAGTGGGGTTTCAAGCAGATCGAAGTGACCTGCGACAAGACTAACAACCCCCGCGATGCCTTCACTCACTGGAACGTCGAGGCCCACACCAACGAGAAGCGTAAGTTCTTCGGAGTAAACACGTGTATGCCCGGTTGCTAACCCATCCATAGTTCCTCCTGGAGACCCAGGCAAATATAAGTCGCCATTCTTCCACGACTTCATCCATCTGAATGTCGCTATGATGACGTCTAATAATGCCCTAGTACCCGACCCTGATAAGCAGGATGATCTTGCTTCTCAATGGTGGCAATGGCCTATCCTAAACGTTGGTCTACGTATGTGCGGATGGGATGACAAGATCGTCAAGTACTTCCTCCTTGGCAATCCTTTTGTCTACTGGGCCTCGACAGCCTCCTTAGGCGCCGTCGGCCTAGTTACTATCTGGTACATTCTCCGATGGCGACGAGGATTTTATGATTTGACCCAGGACGATATCGATCAGATCCATTATTCTGGTCTTTACCCCATTCTGGGATGGTTTCTTCACTATCTTCCGTTCGTCATCATGGCTCGAGTTACTTACGTCCACCACTACTACCCAGCATTATACTTCGCCATCTTGAGCCTTGGTTTCCTTGTTGACTGGGTCCTAAGGAACCAAAAGAAGGCGATCCAATATCCTATCTACGGAGTCCTTTACACTGTCATCATCGGACTCTACATTTACTTCATCCCCATCTGCTGGGGCATGACGGGTAGCAACCAGAACTACAAGTACATGAAGTGGTTGGACACTTGGCGCATTTCCGACTAAGGGACCAAATTTCAAGCGCCGATAAGCGAAAGGGGACGAGCCCGAGGGCCGAGGTAGGCAGTTCGGCCTCGGGGCTGTGATTCTCATATAGAAGCAGGACTAGACTAGGTAACATGGTCCGATCTGGTTAAAATGGCCACACGTCGATTCAGAAATCTCCATCTCCTCTACTACTATCTTCTCCGTTGTTTGATGTAACGATACGAAGGGCAAGCTTTGCATGAAAAAAGGGAATCAAGAGAGTGGAGTTCACGGCGGTAACGTGGATGAGGCATATTTGGGAACACAAAAAAAGATACTCATCAGTATACCGCTTTCTAATACAACACGCAATTTTTCCTTTTCTTCTTAAGAAAATTAGGGGGAGTTCTTGATAATGGGGATAAGCTGCAATGGTCACAATGTGAAAACGGTGGAAGATGAGTTTGTTGCTTTGTTTGTTTGCTTGGTATACTCAAGCAAAGTAGACATTAATACGTAGGGTATCATCGAATGCGCATGGACGATGCTTCCTCCTCGATGCTTCCTCCTGAGTGCGTGTAGCAAGTATGTAGCCTTTATGTACAAGTCCCCCAGACCGGAACACCCAACCCCCTTTAGTCACTCAGCGTCAGCAATAGTAGTAGCTGTTCAACCTACACGGGACGAGACCCGACATCTCATGAGCTTTGATCCGATCTCTGTAGTTTCATCTTTCATCTCATGGGGCGTTGAATTCATCCAATCCGATCCAGTCCGGTTCGCGTTCCCAGTCCCAATCCCTAAAACATCCCGCAATCTCAAAATTTCAACTTCGACGTACGTAGCAAGCGTAGCGTAAAAAATATAAATAAAAATCAGTCAGTAGTTACTTAGTTATTTTAACAGCACCCGCCTAGAGCAGCCCCCCTACCCGCATCCGGGGATAACTTGACCTGCTTCCCAGCGGCGGACCCGGGCCCCTTGACGCCGGAGCGGCGGTCGTTGAGGTCGTACTTGCCGGCGTTGATGTTCTCGAAGATGCGCTCGGCGACGCGCATGAAGGCCTCCTCTACGTTCTCGCCCGACTTGGCCGAGGTCTCGACGTACTGCAGGACGCCGTTGCGGCGCGCCCACTCCTCGGCTTCCTGCTTCGTGACCTCGCGCTTGTTGTTGTTGTTGTTGTTGTTGTTGTTGTTGTTGTCGGGGGAATCGGGGGTGGGCTGCGCTTGGTCGAGCTTGTTGCCGACGAGGATGACGACGATGTCCGGGTCCGCGATCGCGCGAAGGTCGGAGAGCCAGTCGGTTACGTGGGCGAAGGTCGCCTTGCGCGTTATGTCGAAGACGAGGAGGGCACCCGAGGCGCCACGGAAGTAGGACCGCGTTACGGATTTGTACTAGGTAAAGGGAGTTGCGGTTAGTTACTTGCGGCGGCTTGCGCTGAAACCAGGGGGGGAGAGAACTCAAGGCGCGGCGCATGACCTCGACTTCGAAGATTATGTATGCTCTTAGGCTCGGCGAGCTAGTGTGCTGAGTGGTGTATAGTGTAGTCTAGTGTAGTGTAGGACATACCGTCTCCTGCCCTGCCGTATCCCACAGCGATAGCTTCATGTGTTTCTGCGGCGTGGTGTTGGCTCGCGGGGGTTCGGGGAGACCTCCGTTGGCCTTGGGCGCGGCGGCTGGTTTGGAGTGCGGCGGTCCGACCGGCACGATCCTCGACCCGAATTCGACGCCGATGGTGACATCGTGCTGCGGGCTGAAGCGCCCCTCGCAGAGCCGGATCGTGAGGGAGGATTTACCGCATCCCGAGTCGCCGATACATACGAGTTTGGCGATATAGTCCCAAGGCGGAGAAGACATCGGGATTAGTTAGGGAAGAAAGGTATCGAGGCGAGCGAGCGTGGAGGGCGGTGGCAGCGATCACGAGGGCCCTTGGGTAAAGGGGGGAGTGAAGAGCACCTAGGTAGAGGGTGGTGTCTTCGCTGGTAGGCGGCGTTTCTAATGCGACGATGATAAGCAAGCCTAAAGAGCTCTATCGTTCCGAATGAAGAGTTAGCTTTTAGGATATACAACTGCGAGGTTATGCTCATGTGATAGGTAGGCGAGGAGAGAGACGGCAGAGATAATTAGGATAAATTACCTTAGCAGTATAAGCTTGGGGACAAAGAAGCAAGTCGTGTAGACAGATGACGAAGAACGAGATACTACGTAAGTATCGAGGTCTCAGGTCAAGTCAAGTGGCACTTAACATTCGATGATGTCTGCCGGGTTCTGACCTGGGATCGGCCTAGGTACTTTTAAGACCGCCTGGAGTTAAAGCTCCCCTAGCCTCTAACCCCTAGTCTATCGATAAAAGCGCCTTAACTCAGGTACAATGGCTACCGGTACCCATTTACCCATATAAGGAAGTACCTAAGTATCCAAGGTTAACAGGGGTTTCTCCTATCACAGGCTACTAGCCGAGTGAGGCGAGCGTCGGTGTTTTGAGCAGCTGGCAGCGCCGATAGCGCCTGATTAAAGGTGGATGACCTCACCGAGTCAGACACCTGGTATTCTATGAGAGGCTCGTGACAATGTAACACCATATATCGACATCTGTTAAAGGGTCATAATAGAACTAATAAAACAAGCAAGATAACTAATGACTTTAATGGCTATTCTCCTTTTACTTTTCTTATCTATATCTTGGCACAAGATCCATCATTATATCTATTGGTGAGGTGGTGAAGCGACAAAGTGACGTACTGATTTCTAGGCCTATGAAGTACAATATCCTACTTGCTCTTAGGCAGCTATGCCTACTACGTTAACAGATGTACATTGGATATCCAAATATCCATATATCTTATCGTAGATAAGCCTTTTTGAATGTGCAAGAGCAGGGGTTCGTTAGGCTCACAATCACCAGTACATCCGCTATATCCACTAGAAACATCCACTTTGACCGCTTCCGTAACGCATTTACGCATCTACAGGCAGCCTCTCAAGTCCGGATAAGCAGGTACTTGTACCTACTAGTAACCTTAGCTGCATGTGAGCAATTCAAGAGTCATCCATCAATCCTCCATGTCCCATCCTTATCCTACGTGCATCCATACCTACATTCGTACATCCACTCTTCACAATTCAAAGCATTTCGACGACGGTTGTTGTTGTTGCTGTTGACACAACGACCTCCATTTAGCAACTTATCTTTTTAACGTATTCTTCTTTGAACTTCATTCTTCCCTGTTGCGGATTATTCAAAGTCGATTGTTCATCGTTTTTATGCTTCTTTTATTGGCGGGTAATCCGTCCCCCCATTTAACGTCCGGTTTACGGTTTTACGATTAGCAGTCAACTGTGTATGGTTTGCATCACCGTGCCGTCGTCACCGCTAGTGATTAATTTACTTTTCTCACATCCTACCTCATTCTCCCTAACTATCTTACCTCCTTCTTAACCTGCTGGAGTCTACCTCCTCCTGCGCCGACCGAACATGTTTTCTGAATGTAAGTTGGGCTCCTATACTCATTACGCCAGGAGCATTTCCAGTCTGACGCCTTAGCTCCTAGATGCCTCAAGGTTTTTAGCCCAGTCGCAGTCCCGATTATCTAACTTCGGCCAACCCGACAACAACGACACCTCGAACCGACCATCACAAGGAACACCAGGTCGTTTTGGCAGACATCCTTCCCGATCTTCGTATCAGACCCGGCTCGGAAATCCTTATCAGCCTGCTGGTTCTCGATTCGGAGGCTTCTCGCGATACAATGCTACTTCGGATGCCCCGCTCTTCCATAGTGCTTTGAACGAGTATCGGGAAGACGAAGACGACGACGATGCGAGGGAAGCTGCCGATCTCCGAGCCCTGCAACGATCTCGCCGAGTATTCGTCTCAAGTCGGCTGGAGGAAAGTTCGGCTTCCGAAGGCGATGGCCTCGGTGCGTCGTCCGGGCACAATGGGAGTGAGTCACATGGCAACATGTATTCCAGCGCTCGTCCCATAGGAGGAATCAAGAGCAGTTGGAACGGTGAATCAAGCTTCAAGGATAGGCATTTCAAGCGCGGCGACAGCGGCATGGCAAAAGAGCCAGATGGTTTGGGCAACAGGCGACAGGATTCAGGGAGCGATGAGGGTGGAAAGATGGTTGATATTGGTTTAGAGTCGACAGTGCTAGACAATGAGGTACCCGATGACCTCTTACAAGAGACCCCTACAGATTCGTCACCGCCCGCCTTCCAGCAGTTCAAGTCGGCCTCGGGTGGACCAAAAGGCCTAGCCGCCGGCAGGAGAGGTTCGAACTTAGAGTACGACCAACGCATGATGCGTCAGGCTATAGCGGAGGAGGATGAGGATGAGGAGGAAGAAGAACGAGCAGAAATCCCTGCACCAGCGCCCGCTCGAATGTATGGTGAGATATTTGTGCATGATCAGTTCTTCGCCTGGATTTACCTTATAGCCGTCGCATCCCTCCTCGCCACTTTCGTGCTAGTATGGTTGCATACATCTGTACCTAACAGGAAGATTGGCGACACTATCTACACGACCCTTCATTCTTCTTTCTACCTCCTGGCAGTGGATACCTTAGTTTCGATTATCGTCGCCTTGGTTTGGATGGCAGCACTGAGATCCTTTGTTCAGCCCTTAGCCCTACTTATTCTGCTAGGTGTTCCCATCGTTCTCGTCTCTTTCTCGTTATACCCGATGATCTCTAGTTTCCAAGGGCCAGACCATGGGTCGCGAGTACAGGACGTTGTCATGAGATGGGCAGCAGTTATTCCAGGTATCTGCTCCGTCGTCTGGGTATGGCTATTATATAAGGGGCGTCATGAGATACAGAGAGCGATAGACATACTGGACTTCTCGAGCCGCATTCTCGCTGCCAACCCAGCACTTGTGCTTCTCGGACTTGGTTCGTTAGGCTTCGTTGTTGGATGGACGTGGATATGGCTGTGGATGTTCACCAGGATCTTCCTCGGCGGTTACTTCTCCAAGTCTATCTCGGCCTTCGTCATCGGTACTGCGACTTGGTGGCTCGCGGTATTCTTTTTCCTCATGTACGTCTGGACCCTTTCCGTCATGAGTGGTGTTGTTCGCGCCACGACGGGGGGTACCGTATCAAACTGGTACTTCTTCCGCAATAACCAATCGCCTGCAACATCCAACGCGATCGTCAAAGGCGCATTAGGACACTCCACAACCACGGTATTTGGTACGATATGTGCCTCTACACTTCTGTCACTGGCGGTTCGGGTTCCCATATTGATCCTACCTCGTCGTATCTCGAGTATATTCGAGTTCATAGGATGGCGACTGGCTCCCCGTCCAGTGTCTGTTTTAACTAACCCCCTGGCGCTGACGTATGCGTCGATTCACTCGTTACCCCTGATGGAGTCAGCATCACAACTTAGTAGGATCCAGTTTCTAGCTACAGGGCCGACTACGACTCTTACACCGAGCGCATTCTCCCGTCGCGGACAGTCAACGGCATCGTTAATGCCCTACCGAATGGCGAAGATGCTCCTCCATGCCGCCCGGTTCGTTATGTCGACAGCACTAGGGTTTGCGGCATGGGTTATGACTGCACGGCAGCTGCAGATCCAACTTCCAGATGGTCCTGGTATCAGGGGAAGCGCATATGCGTACGTTGTGGGTATGGTGGCTAGCATGATCGGTTGGGGTGTGTTAGGGGCTATGGAAGGTATTCTATCCGGCATTCTCGACGGTGTGCTCATATGCTATGCTAGCGAAAGGCGGCTAGGTAGTGAGCGAGCCACCTACTGCATTGAGGCGGCTAGACTCTTCGAGGAGAGGCGATATGATGAGAGGGATATGGTTTGATAACCTTCTTTTTTTTCTTCAACTACAGTTTACGCATTGCACTTTTAGCCTCGGCGTTTTGCGTCTAGGCCGCCAAAGACGGTGGATAGGAGTCTCGAGATTGGACAGGACAGCTTAGATTAGGTGTATTGAAACGAAACTTTTCACAGCATAAGCAGTACTTCCAATGGTGGCATATTGAGTTTGCACTGATCCCACAGAACGGGAGGGCTAAAAGTCTGCAGATATAAGATGGGTGCCCTAAGCACGCGATGTCTGTTCGTTTTTCGAGTCTAGCGGGGAGAAACACATTTTATATTTCCCACTTGGAATTCCAGACAGTCTTTCTCGCTTTTGTCATCATGGCTACACAAGAAGACAAGCCCGCCGAAGGCACCCAAGCCTCCGACTCGAAAGTCGCTGACGGCCCCGAAGGAGATGAGGAATGGGATAGCATCGAGCTTCCAGGTACATAACATCTTATAGCTTCAAAGCAGATGTCAAGTGCTAACCGGTATCAGATCCAGACACTGAATGGGAGCAGGTCTACAAGTGCGCAGCTGATCCTCGTAAGATATTCCCCTTCGCCCAATTTATCTACCCCATTCTCCTGGTGGGCTCATCGTCTACCTCTCATTTTATAGACGCCGTTGTGAGCGGTCAGTCTATGCCTGACCTAGGCGGCTAACTCGATAACTCCTAGATGCCATCGACTACTACCAGGACGAAGGCCTCGTCGAGAAGCCGATCGAGGACGGTTGGACTAGCGTAACCCAGATCCCAGAGGAACTCCGGAGGGAGAAGAAGGGGGAGAAAGTCTTGTCTACGCTGAACCTTGCCGGCAATCTTGCTGGCCTCAGGGCTAAGACTAGGAGGCGTCTCGCTAGGCAGAGAAATGTGAAGGAGGGTTCGCACCAGACGACGACGGCGGCGGCGGCGGCGGCGGCTCCTCAGTGCTCGACTAAAGACAGCGCTACAGCGGCTGGTGCCGGTGATGTCGTCGACGAGCCTGCTCCGGTTACAACTACGACTACAACTACGATTACGACTGCTGCTGCCGCTGTCGCTGCCGGTACCGAATCGCTAGTCAATGGATGGATACGTGCCGCATTTTCCTAGTGACCGCCTCCCTCTAGCTTTCCGGATGACACGCGATAGGACGTTAAGTGATATGGCCTATGGGAATTCCGGATTTTTCAAGAGTCGGAGGTTTCAAGAGACTATCTGAATACACATAAATCTCTCCCAATATCTATATGTTTCCTTACCCGGGACAATAAGGCTTGCTCATAAGTCCCCCTGAAAGCCACCTTGATAAATCAGAACGCGTAGGGGAGGAGACATCTACACTCACTTTAGCTCTCTGGGGATAAGATTATGATAAACTTAGCAATAGTAAAAGCTAACTTTGATCTATCAAAATCGTATTTCTGCAATTGTTTAAGAATTTGGACCTTTTGAGTTTATATTTCTAGTTTAGTTGATCAACAGCTTTGCCTTCCATTTCGGACTGGCTACATATTAGTTAACGACAATGAAGCTATTGGAGCCTACTTATGTATGTACCCGTCTTCCCGCTTTGCTCTGGTGGTATGAGATGGTTACTTCATTCAGATATTAAAGAACACTAGTCACATCCATAATTCAGATATATCTGTGTAAAATCCGACCTAGTTTATTTCGATCGGTTTATTATGGTTACATACCTGATCTACCCAAGAGATATGTACCTAAGTGATGCCCGACTGAGCCATTTAAGATAATGTGTGTAGGCACAATTACATGTACCTCGGAATGTATGTTGTGCACCGATATTGAGTCTAAGTATAGAATAGTACCTAGTGGCAATCTTTACTCCCCCTGTTTTCTAAACACCTCTAGACCTCTTAGTAGTACGCCACGTGAGGAAGATCCAAGCCATCCAATTCGTAAGCCATCGGGCACGGTTAGAACAGAATGTCAAATTATACCACTAGCACTGGGAAATGTCGTCAGCACCGGCGTCCAGATCTCCCGGAGTTTAAGACAGGAGATGTAGTATGTGTACAGCTCCGCCACGATATTTGTAACTCATGATTGGTTACAAGTTGAGGACTCCAGCAGTGGGGTCGAATGTCACTTTCAGTTACAGCTGTAACACGAAGGCAAACTGCTACTTCCAGGTTTCTAGTGGAATCTTAATCAATGCGTACATCCGCCTGTACATGATCGGGCTTGGAGATGCCGAAACTTTGGTATGCAGATATGCAACTGATGACTGGTAAGAGAGGCGGTGCTTTCCATTCAAGTCAGGTTGTACAATAGCTTGTTTGTACCTTACGTATTGCACATGTGTCCCTTCCTCGAATCATCTATCCGTAGTAGAATCTAGAAGGCCGTTTCTAGTCTTTGAACAGGAACAAGCAGCAGTAGCCACCCATCATGCAGTAGGCTATTTAGAAGCTACACATATTTAAATCGCAATAGAAGGACCCTGCATCTTGTCACCTACTTCTCTCACACATATATTGAACCTAAATATCTCTCTACATATCTGTTCAACCTATCAGATACTTTAATTCCTTGGTCCTTTTTCTAGACTGGCACAGAACCCCTCCTTGCCACAGAGGACCCCGCCCTTTTCGCTCCAGTTAACAAGAGTTAACAAGACCTACATACAAGCCGACCCATCAGTCGATTACTCTATCCCTACCTCATTTCGATAAATCGATATCACAACACCGTATCATATCTCATCACATTACATCGCCAAGTAAAATCTGTACGTATGGCAGATTTCGCGCCACCTACGGGCCCGCCGCCCCCTAAGGTACCAGCTGGTTGGGTCGCCCGCTGGAACGACCAGTACAGTGAATGGTAAGTTCTGAATTTCCGCACTTCCTCTTCTATCTACCCCATCCATTTCACCATCTAACCTCATCTTATTTAGGTTCTACGTCAACTCATATACCAAGAAGTCGCAATGGGAGAAACCCACCGAGCCTGCCCTCGATCCGAACGGTCCAGACGGCATGCCCCCAGGCCCTCCTCCGGGATACTCCCCCGGTTCCGGTCCCACACCTAGCGATTCCAAGTCTGCGACCGGGCACAACAACCCCTTCATCAACGAGTCCACGAAACCCGGCTCCAGCACTCACGTTGACGAGGACGCCGACGCGCGATTAGCGCGGCAGCTGCAAGAGGAAGAGAACGCCCGTAGTATGGGAGGAGGCACTGCGTCATCGTACGCTAGCACCCCGGTGCCGGGCCAGGGTTACTCGTCTTATCCAGATCAACTGCCCACGCGAGGTTCTGGCAGCGGGACTACCGACAAGGCAAAGGGCCTTCTAGGGAAGTTCTTCGGCAATAAGAACAAGCAGCACGGCGCGGGCGGATATGGTGGAGGATACGGCGGCGGATACCCCGGACAGCAATACCCTCCCCAGCAACAGTACGGCGGCTACGGCACACCCCCGCCACAGCAGGGCTATTACCAAAGCCCCCCGCCTCAGGGCCAGTACGGAGGATACGGCGCACCTCCACCGCAGCAGTATGGCGGGTATGGAGGTTACCCTCCGCAAAACCAGGGCGGGTACTACGGCCAACAAGCCCCGCCTAAGAAGTCCGGCGGTATGGGTGCTGCCGGAGGAGCGGCGCTGGGTCTGGGCGCTGGTTTGATCGGAGGTGCGTTGATCACCGATGCGATTGAAGACCACGAACAGGACGCATACCAGGATGGTTACCAGGATGGGCAGGACAATGACTATGGCGGTGGTGGCGACGACTTTGGTGGTGGTGATTTCTAAGGTTCTCTAGGACCGACTGAGATTATGGGAATATGGCATTTGTGATTCTAGGGCTGTGTTTATATCGCAATGTGTTTTTAACCTTTACACCCGTATGCATACTTCTCAGAGATATGGGAAGGGGAGAAGGAGAATGAACAGGTTAGACTGGAGATTCAAGAAAGGAAGCAATAAGCAATAAGCATGCATACGTTGAATTATGAATGATACGAGCCAGAACCGGCAATATAAATGGGATGAGAAATAAATAAGAAAAAGCAGACGGATGTATGTAAAACGTGAAATTTCGGCTTGTCTAGCATGTGCAATATAGTTCCATTTGTTACTTCGTCATTTATGTGAATATTGTAAATCTGACGACCGTCTTGTACGGAGATTGTCAGCAGAAAGGTAGGGATTAGAACCAATTGTTCGTCTATCTCATGCTCTTCTATAACCTGGAGGTGGTTGTGTATTCTATACTCTTTAAGTTATTGTTTCATGGTCTACCTCTTCCCACCTTTCTTTCCGCCACCACTAGACGATTCGCCCTCGCTCTTGCTGCCCTGTCCCGCTAGGAACGCGGCCATGTCGAAGTTGCCCATGGGGTTGGCGCCGGCTTGCTGGCCCCCGCCCATCAAGCTGTTCATCGGGTTGTTCTTCTGCTGCTCCTCGAACTCGGCGCGCATCTCGGGATCCACTAGAGGGTCGTTGTGTTAGAAAGTTACTCACGTACACACGGGTGAAAGGAGTGGATGGATATGAGGACGTAGAAGAAGGGCTGAACTTACTATTATCGATCAACTTCGGCACGCCGAGGAACAACACCATGCTGACTAGGCCCATGAGGATCATGGGGTTCTTGAGGATGCCGAAGATGGAGACTAGGTCACGAAAATTAGTTACCAGTTCAGCCCCTCGTGTATACATTCATAGGGTTGGACGAAAGAGAGGAAAAAGACGAAAACTCACAAGACCCCCTCTCAATATAATACTCCTTCGGCCCCAGCACCCTGACAGGGAACCTTCCGTACTCGCCGCCGCTGCGCGGCGCCTCCGCGCCCTTGTTATCCCAATCGTTGCCGCGGTACGTCTCCCAAGCCCGTACCAGGAGCCCCGTCCAAGCCTCTTTCTTCTCTCCTCCTCCGGCTTTACCCGCGAACACGTCGACGCGCAAGGGAGCGAAGGCGTGCGTCCCGCAGTGCACGTCCGCGAGGTAGGACCCGGGCGTCACGTTCCGGAAGGCGAAGGCGTTGGCCGCGGATAAAGGTGCGGTGTACGTCTGCTGCAGCGAGGAGAGCGTGGCGTGTGTTGAGGGCGGCAGGGCGTTCGGGTTCGGGAGAGCGGGCGAGGAGGGGATCCAGAGCGTGAAGGTTGTTTGCTGCTGGGACTGGGGAGAGCCGGAGGTGGCGGAGGCGGAGGTTAGGGAGAGGGCGCTTAGGAGCGCGGTTACGAGGGTGGTGCGCATCGTTTTTTCTTTCTTTTCCCCTTCTCGTGGGGGTTTCGGGGGTGATTGTGAGGATGTGGGTAGCTTGTAAGGTGTTCAATGGTGGTTTGAAGCTATGATGGTATATTGTAGAGTTGAAGTTACATAGACGTATGCAATAATTATGTGGGACCAGCTAGCGATTGGTCTTGGCATCAGCTATGCAGCTGGAAGGCACGTCCCAGGATGTGTTATGTTGGCTTCAAATAGGTAGAATCTTGAAGTGTATAAATTATGTAATTATCTCAACCTATTTCTACCTACTATATAGGTAAGTAGGTATTTTGCACATTGCAAAGTCTGTAGAATTATAGTGTTCTTATTGGATTAGGCTTGTTGTACGTTTCTCTAGCTTTCAATTATTAAAGCAAGGGGTTGATGGATCTCAAATCAGATAAGGCGTGAGTCTTAGGGGACTAACTACATTGCTACGGGTATAATCATATGCATAAAAATGCATATCAAGGGATGGGAATTCTTAGACCACTGTTGGTGCCGCTTCTTCCTTCTTATCCGCTCCTGAGCTTCCCTGCCCATCGGTGGTCGCAGCGGCAGCTTTCTTGAAAGATTGCTCGAAGTCAGCAATGATGTCGTCAATGTGTTCCGTACCAACGGAAATACGGATCAGATCCTCGGTTACGCCAGAGTCGATCTTCTCTTCGTCTGATAATTGCTCATGCGTCGTGGTCCACGGGTGAATAGCCAATGTCTTGGAGTCACCTACGTTGGCCAGGTTGGAGATCAGCTTGAACCCGTCAACGATCTGGCTACCAGCCGCACCACCGCCCTTGACGCCAAAGCTCAAAACACCACCATATCCCCTCTTCAGATATTTCTTAGCCAATTCGTGGCTGGGATGATCTTCTAGTCCGAGATACGACACCCAGCTCACGTACGGGCTAGCCTGTAGCCACTTTGCAAGCGCAAGGGCGTTCTGCGCATGCCTCTCGGCTCTCAAGCTAAGCGTCTCGAGACCAAGAAGGAGTTGTTGCGCCGCGAAAGGGTTCAAAGAAGCGCCAAGATCACGTAGAATCTCGACTCTCGCACGAATGATAAATGCAAGGGTACCGAAGGTCTCCCAGAAATTCAAACCGTGGTAACCTGCTGACGGCTTAACAAATTGGGGAAACCGGGCGGCGTTTTCGCCCCATTTGAATTTTCCACTGTCGACGATAACACCAGCAATTGTCGTTCCGTGACCACCGATCCATTTGGTCGCAGAGTGTACTACGATGTCCGCTCCGTGGTCGATGGGCCTGACGAAGTAGCCGCCCGCTCCGAATGTGTTATCGACCTGTTCAGATTAATAATGGTACTCTTATTTTATGTCACCGAGAAGGCACTCCAGCTACCTACCACGACAGGAACACCCTTTGCGTGTGCAATTTTAGCAATGGCTTCAAAGTCCGGCACGTTATATCGCGGGTTGCCAATGCTCTCGAGGTATACGGCTTTGGTCCTGTCATCGATGGCTGCTGCAAAGTCCTCGGGTTTATCACCCTTGATGAACTTGGTATGAATCCCGAACCGCGGCAGGAGAACCTTGAGCTGGTTATAAGTGCCACCGTAAAGGTTGCTCGTTGAAATAATGTTGTCGCCAACTTCTGCGAGAGCAGAGATGGCAATGAATTGAGCAGCTTGGCCAGACGCAGTTGCCAGACCTGCAGCACCACCTTCTAGGGCGGCAATTCGTTTCTCGAAGACATCAGTCGTCGGCTATTCGAAATGGGTTAGCATTGGCTTATATATGCTGAGAGCGGATGGTTTCTACTCACGTTCATAATACGACTGTAGATGTTGCCATTCTCCTTGAGAGAGAACAGTCTAGCACCGTGTGCCGAGTCATTGAACGCGAAGCTCTAGTGGTCGAGATTAGTCCATTGTACGTATACCTTGTACGAACTTCTAGGTGAACTAACGGTAGAGGCATATATAGGAACGGCGCGCGCATTGGTAGCTGGATCTATCTGCTGGCTACACAATGGTTAGCATCGAATGTTTCAGATCTCATATGGTATCATCCATACCCCGCATGGAGCTGCAGAGTCTCGAAGTTTTTGCTCAATTCCTCTGCCATTGCGACTGGCCTGGGTTACGGTCTAGTATAATCAAAGGTTTTGCGTATCAGGGAAACAAACAAGTGAGCGAGGAATAAATGGATGAGTAAGTCGTATGATCCGGATATAACGAAATATTTGAGTTCACAAGCTACCTAGGCAATGGCTTTACTCAGCTCTACGGAAGCACGGCTACTTGAATCTTATAGGTATTTCCCCGTCGCAAAGGGCCTTCCGATAATGGGATTTGGCGTTCGAGTTAATACTCACTTTCAAGCCCCTGTTTGGGGTACTGTGGAGTAGGGACACCAAGCACGCCATCGACCATCTTCGATAGGCTTGCCTTGTAAGGATTTTACGTCCAATAGGAAAAGGGACAAGACAGAATGCAACGGATAGCTACTGCTTTGGTAGCTATTCTAGCTCTCTTAGCGAGACGTTGGTTTAGGAAGCCGCTCATATCGAAGGGAACTTGGACGGATCTCGCTTAATTGACTAATGTCAGAGGTTAATTCTCAACATCTAGCGTATCTTGTTCCCCTTACATATGGCATTTGAGAGATCCATGAGATAACTCAAAGTCATATAGCTACTGATTTTGGGTTACACGCATAGTCAATGCTTATGAATTAATATATACGAGCTCTGGTTAACGAATATGGAATAATCGCGGGGGAATGCCATTGGATCTTAGAAAACCATTAGAGCTGAGAGGGCGTTGGCGGGGTAAGCGAATACATCATCCCACGGCCGTATGGCGACAGAGTCTAAGTACCCACCCAACCGGTAGATTGTGTATCACACCTATACCAAACTGTCGGAATCTGCAGCAAAGTTACCGAAGATTCAAGGTCACTGATTTGGGATCTATTAGTGCGAGACTTGCCGACATCGCTCGACGTCTTAACTTCCAACGTTTATCTAATTCACGACGAATAGGACACGATAGCTGCGCTGACGTCAAACAATGGTGGTATATTGGATTTAGTTCGTCCCGCCTTCGTGAAATAAGAGAGCACTACCGAATCGCTTTTCCCCTAGTCGAGGTATAACTATTACTCTGTTCGAAAGTATCGCATCCCAATAAAACTCCTAAACTGCGCCCTTTCTCCCCAATTCCGTGAACTCGTGGATCTTGTACCGGACGGCTAGTCATCTAGACGAAGCCTTGAATATCCGGCTCTCACGCTCGTTACTACCGTCCCTTTCCTCCCAAGTTTTGTAGTCCCAGTGATTGGGGGACCGGTTCGTTGAAGAAGAAGAAGATTATGATGGGAGCCTAGCTTTTGCCCAGTTGCAAATACACCTTATCCCAACTCCCCGCTACCGGCGCTGGCACCGTCTGATAATCAAGCGACGGCCGGTACGGCGACAACGGGATATCGGTGTACCTAGTGTGCCCAGGGGACAGCCAACCGACGCCCGCAGCGACGCTCATCCGGCTCACGCTTAGGCGGCCTGGGGGGCCTCCTTCATCGGGGGCACGCTTAAAGGGCCCTTGCTGCTGCCGGCGCCATTGCGGCGCAGCTTCGGGAGCGGGAGCGAAAGCCCTAAACCCGACTTCGACACCTCCTTTCCCACGAGGATGGCGGAGGCGGTCCAGAGCAGGAACTCCATGGCGCCGAAGGCGATGCTGGCCTGCGCGGCGCCGCACACGGAGCCCCGGCAGAAGAGCAGGCGCGACATGAAGACGGAGAGCGCGATGAAGCCCGCGAAGTAGAAGAGCGCGTTGCTGGCCTCGAGGCCCATGGCTACGAGTTGGTGGGACACTAGGGGGGATGTGAGTAGGTGGGTTTTTCCGCTGAGGGGAAGGGAGAAAGAGAAGCGGGGGGGCTTACACTTGGGGACGAATCGTGGTGTTAGTTCGAGGTATAGGACTGATATGATCGTGAAGATCGATACGGCTAGCAGCCAGTTGATCTGGGAAGGAGATGAGGTTAAGGTGTCCACGTTGTACCAGTGGGCGACTTGTTAAGACTCATGTTAGTTTCATGTTCAGTTCTCGTGGACATTGATAGAACATACCATAGGCTGTAAGTCCCATAACGACGACGGCGAAGACTACCTGCGCGGCTCGAAGGCCGAGGATGATGAAGCTTGAGGAAACCATGTTGGCGGCAGGGAATCGGGGTGTACGGTTGGGAAAGCGAGCGTCACGGTGCGTAGTAGTCATATAAAATACACTATTGTTTATACGACTTGTAAATAGGGAGCGACAACGGCGGTAAAATGTAGAAGAAGATTCAATATCCCAAAGAACGGAAAGAAGAGCACCAGGCACGTCGCAGACAGATTAGACAGAACGGATATTGTAGTTTAAAGAGGGAAGATCGAAAAGGAGAAGAATTAAGAATCAAAAACAGGAAATGCTACCTATTACCGGACGGTTCATGCGAGAAAACTCACGGGGGGTATCACTGGCTAATTATCAAAAAACAGATTTCATCAGGGTGAAAGGCGATCGCGTGGTGCGTAACGCAGTCGCACCGGGGCTCTGATCGCCCACAGCGATGCGATGCCCTTGAGACCCTTGAGACCATCTGAAACAAGCAACGATCAGGGGTTGCGGTGCGATGGCTTTATGCGCCGGCCGCATTTGAGAATTCCGAAAAGGGGAGCGGAACGTCCAGCCCAGGCCAATGATCTCGCAGCCATCTGCCGGGCCCGGTCCCACAGGGGGGTTCGCTATGCACAGAAGGGGACTTTGATACTTTGGTGCGTGGACAAGCTTTTTCTTAGATGTTTGGGGATTCTTGGGGCCGTTGAAAGATGAGAGATCCGAAAACCACATGTTTCTTTCGAGTTTTGGGTCTTTGCGAGAAGATCACTTCTATTTTGAATTGACACTTCATGATGAGAAATATATATGTAATTTTTTCGTATCTTGTGTTGAGAATGAATATTTCTACGGATTCAAATATCTCTTCATTTTTGAGGACATCCAGGCCCTGCTTATGTTGGCGGCAAGACACGAATTAGTAGCTAGGGGTATGGAACATGCCGTCGAGCGCCTACATAGTACATGCGGACGCTTACACACGCAAAAGCCTGCGTGATACATTCGTGGATACAAGCGCCCAACCGCCAATATGTATGTATCCACCCGCCTAGGCCTGAATATTGTTTCCATGTATGTACTCCTCCTATCTAGATGATAATAATATTAGCTAGAAACCGATGGTGACGAAGAAATTCAAGGAAGTGATTCAGAGATGGAAACAGAGATCGTGGGGATTGAGCCAAAAATAACTAATTGTTTTAGAAACAAGCCCGGAATCTTGTATCAGAGATGGTTCTGAAGTCTTAAAGCCATCTTGGCTACAAGAGCCAAGTCGTCTCGAGGTTGACATCATACACGGCCAAGAAAGCATTTGTACGCGATCAGACCTGGGGAACATGTGCTATGTAAGAAGAGAAAACTAATGCGGAAACGGGTTAGTGAAGAATGCAGCTATTCCGGGGCACTTAAAAGTGCTCTTTGAAATGGCCGGCCTAGACCAATGCCCCAAATTATGTTGGTCCCGAAGAACTGTGACCGCTCCGAGCGACCGTTCCGAACGGAAGTTTTATTAAAGGTCACACATAAGAGACCGACTCCGACGCACATATATAGGTATGTATGTACGCCCGTCTCCTGATACGATGGATTTGCATTTATATCTATCTGCTAAATGACGTTTTGCGAAGTAGGGGAATCTGGTCTAAGTAGAAGTGAAGGCCATGCTCGTTATTGCGATGAGTTATCGTGGCCTTTAGACTCTTATCAAATTTGACAATGCCTTCTAAGCCATTCCTGCTTCTAGGTTCTGATTATACTGACGATATAATCGTTAAGAAATCGAACGATCTTGCATGTACCTATGCCATGATTTCGGCGTTGAAGCTAGAAACACCGAGTCATTATCGGGTTGACACCTGTTCTCATTGACCGGAAACATTCGCTTAATCGCCTGACGATGAGTTAGATACCTAGGCAATCCTTCGGAAAAGAGTTACGACAACGGAAGGCCTCTTCGGATGTGAGCGCCGCGTGTCGGCCACGTATAATGAATCATTCTTGAGCTAGATGCCAAGTTCGGAAGGATTGAATTGTTGAGATTCCATATCGTACGTTTGAGTTACCGAAACGGTTAACAGTTAAACTCCGAGGCCTTCAGCATCCGGCTCAGCCACCTCTGCTTTTGTTCGACAAAGCAAGGCGAAAGCGAATGAAGCGAAAACCGCCAAATTACATGCAGGAAGCTGACGTTTATGTAAGCTCCTGTACGCTTATGTTGTACCTAGACTCCTGTAGGTTGATAAGAGTGACGTATTTTAAAGCATCTTTCACTTATATTGCTCCTTCCGACCAATCAGATCAATGATTTTGAAACCCCATAGTACGCTATTGCTCCGAGGTTCACGTAGCGACAAATCATATTCATTCGTTCTTTCCAAGTTGAACCCAAACCTCGGCTCAGCCAAACGAGTCCCTTGGCAATTTCGTGCATCGTTGGAAAAAGAAGCAAGAACATGTGCTGCGCACTCGACTAGCTTTATTCAACCATTGCTTATCCAGATCCTTAAAGAGTGGATAGGTGCGCAATGTTTTCAGTCTCGGGTGATTTTGTTTCCCTCTCGAAGTTTACATATGTTATTTCCAAGGTTGACAGGTTGATGTTTCCTTCTCCAGATATATCAAAGTTTAAGAGCTCTTAGAGCACTCCACACCTCGGTATCTATCATCCATACTAAGTGGGTCGCAGTTGCGGAAGTACACAAGCTTTAGAATAAAGATCGCGACTCGAGAGTAATAACTTAAACTTTCCCCCCTTACGTCGCTTTCTTTCATACATATCTCATATCTCAACTGCCGTTGGAAACCTGTTGCACCCAACCAATCCAATTGCAGCTGCAGCTTCGCCTCCAACATTCGATACACACACACTCTTACTACCCTTGACCCAATTATCCGGAACATTCGCCAAGTACATAACGATGGGAGGAATTGGCACTGATCAGCAGACTCTTGCCTATATTAAAGAATTATCGAAACCGCCGCCTCCGGGCTCACCTTACGCTTTACCTATCCCCGGTACGGAACGTGAGGGAAGAACTCCTATTTATAGGCATTTTAAATTCACCGACAAGCCTCTACTCGAAACTTACAATCCCGAGCTTCGCACATTTTACGATCTGTTCCAGGATGCTGTAAAGCGATTTCCCGACAACAAATGCCTTGGTACGCGACCCTGGAACCCGGCTACTAAGTCCTGGGAGAATCACTTTGTCTGGCAGACGTACACCGAAGTTGCCGCACGAAGCAAAAACTTGGGTTCCGGTATATACGAGCTACATCGTCGCATTGGAGTTCCTCCCAGCGGCAGCCATGGCGTTGGTATTTGGAGTCAGAATAGAGCCGAATGGCAGATTACAGGTAAGGACCTATTCTGATCGGAATAAACGCGACTTGCTAACTTGCCTAATATTCAGATCTTGGATTGACTTCGCAATCGCTCTTCTCCGTCTCGCTTTACGAAACCCTAGGTCCCGATGCTTCCGAATACATTATCAAACATTCCGAACTCTCATGCGTAATTTCTTCACTACCTCATATCCCAACCCTTCTCGCCCTTGCGCCTCGAATACCTCACCTGAAATTAATTATTTCTATGGACCCTCTAGACTCTGGCGAGCCAGAGGGATACTCCAAATTGGCGATGCTGAATGGTATCGCTGCTCAGCACGGCGTTCAGATATGGTCTCTACAGGATGTCGAGGAACTCGGAGCGAAGGTTGCCCACCCCCCGCGACCTCCTCGTCCGGAAGACATCCTCACTATCAACTATACGTCCGGCACTACCGGCGATCCCAAAGGCGTGATGCTTACTCACTCCAACTGCGTTGCAGCTGTTGCAAGTGCTCGCTCCAGCGGGTCTTACTCCGAAAGAGATGTCACATTCTCGTACCTACCCCTTGCTCACATCTACGGGCGAATGATTGACCAATGTGCCGTGACTACGGGTTGCGCCGTTGGATATTTCCATGGAGATATGCTGGGTGTTGTTGACGACATGAAGCTCCTAAGACCTACCGGGTTTGTCTCGGTACCTCGTCTGTTCAACCGCATCGCCATGGCTATCCGATCCCAGAGCGTCGAAGCGGATGGTGTGAAGGGTGCTCTATCGCGGAGAGCGATAGATGCGAAGAAGGCCAGCATGAAACTGCCACCTGGCCAGGCGCACAACAAGCATTTCCTCTACGACAGGATATGGACACCTAAGGTACGAGCCGCCGTTGGCTTGGATCGGTGTCGTTCTATGGTGAGCGGAAGTGCGCAGCTCGATCCTAACGTTCACGAGTTCCTTCGGGCAGCCCTGGGAAATTATTTCTGCCAAGGTTATGGTCTTACGGAATCATACGCCGCGGCATCTTTCCAGCTCGATGGCGACTTTTCGGTTGGTAACGTGGGTGGCCCTATGCCCGGCATAGAAGTATGTCTAGAATCCCAACCGGATCTCGAATATCTGGTTACAGACAAGCCCAGGCCACGGGGTGAGCTGTTATTGCGAGGACCATACATTTTCAGTGGATACCTGAAGAACGAGGAAGAGACCAAGAAAGCCTTGGAGCCTGACGGATGGTTCCACACGGGTGATATCGCCGAGATCGACGAAGTAGGTCGAATCAAGATCATCGACCGTAAGAAGAACGTCCTCAAACTGTCTCAAGGAGAATACATCTCTCCCGAGCGAATCGAGAATGTGTTCATGGGTAGCTCGCCTTTGATTGCCACCGCCTTTGTCCACGGTGAACCTAGCCAATCAACGCTAGTTGGTATTTTCGGCATAGATCCGGCTACGTTCGGACCATTCGCTGGCAAGGTACTGAAGAAGACTATAGAGGCCGGGGACATCGACAGCATTAAGGCTGTCGCTAAAGATCCTCGAGTGGTGAAGGCGTTTGTTAAGCATCTGGAGGAGATTGCCAAGAAGTATAAGTTCAACGGCTACGAGCGTGTACGCAACTGTCTTCTAGCAGTCGAGCCCTTTACCGTGGAGAACGAGCTCCTAACACCAACGTAAGTTTTATACCGATTTCCAACTCATCCATATTTCTGCTAACATAAACGGTCGTAGTCTGAAGCTCAAGAGACCGCAGACGGTAAGGAAGTTCCGGGCTGATATCGATCGGATGTATGATGAAATCAACTCAGAGACCGCAAACGTCAAAGCAAGACTATAATTCGGTAATCGAGTTTGTATAGGGTACAAGCTGTATATTCTGGTTCACTTTGTGTATAACACCGATGGCGCTGAGCCAACTTAAATAATAATGCATTGTTGCTTAATGTTTTAACATCATTGATGGTTTGATGGTTATGGTTACTTCGTTATAAGAAGTGAGGTTTCGTCGATTGTTGTAACTTTTCACTTTATACACACGTTTCGTTAATTGCATTACTTTGTGATTCGAACCGATCCGATTTATTTTTTAAAAATAACGATTTTTTATTTAAAAATATTTAATGTAAAAAATTTAAATAAAAAATTTATTATAAATATTTAATATTTAATATTTAAAATAAATAATATAAATATAAATATAATAAATAATAATAATTTAAATTTTAAAAATAATAAAATTAAATAAAAACTTTAATTTAAATTTTTAAAAAATTAAAACTTATCGAATTTAATAATTATTTTAAAGTATGATTTTAAAACGTTATGAGTGGGGACAACATGCATTATGGCCGTGAACGCGTCGAGCGTATTATCGAAGCGTAAAAAAGTTATCGACTTGACTGGCGACGATGTTAACGAAGAAAGTGATGTTATCACTCGAAAGAAGTCTGACTTACAATTATCTGCAAAACGGTTGAACCAGCATTCAAGCTCGACTCATGGCCATCGTTCGAAAGCGAAGTCAAACGGAGTCTCGATCACCAGCACATCACCGAGTGCTCCCATATCGAAGCGCAGCGAGTCAAGCTTTCCTATAAGGCCATCTAGCCAGCATAACCATCCTTCACCATCCTTACCATCGCCCTTCTCCAGCCAAGCTCAGGAACACCCGTCAAAGCGGCGAAAGATACAACACGGTGCTAGTCGTAGAGCAGCGTCGTCCTCGTCCTCGTCTTCGACCAACACGAAAGCCTTAACAAAATGTTTACAAACTCAGGTGTTCCCACACCTTGAACGTGCCACGAAGAAACTTGATCAAAATGTCTACGATGTCGAGAAGCTCGGTGGGAGGATTATCGGCAGAGTTGCCAACAAAGAATTTGAACGTCATTTCCATGATGGCAATGGCAGGCTGGCCCCTGACGTGGAAGCCTCCGTGATAATACAAATCCACGACCTAGTAATAGAGTTTACAAAGGGAAATGTAGGCCTCTTCTAAGATCTGCTGTATAGCTGTGGTTCTTTACTCACGCCTTTTAGGAATTTCGACGTTATCCTGCTACTGTAGTACCGGCACCAAAACCCATAGCTGAGCCTAAGACACATATCACAACCTCAGTTCTACCTTCTATCGAGCACCCGGTAAACGATTTCCCGCTCAACAGAAGTAGCGGGCACGAGGAATGTGGTAGAGAAGGACACTTTCGAGGTGATATGGACACTCAAGAATCTAGCCTACAGCATGTCCAGGCATCGCCCCGAGTCCCGCTGAAGAAGAAGCCACCACATTCACCACAGCAGCAACGGACAAGAACAAAGGCAACAGAGTGGCAGTCAGGTAGAAGTTATGAATTCAAAAGGGACGGGTCACCATTACAGATGAAAAACCGGTGGTTCGGCCTATCTTCAAGGCCATATCTACCTGCTGAGGAACGGCAGCTGATTGCGACGGGCGTAGGCAAAGGCCGGAGATTCCACCTTGAGGATGACGAGCTACGCCAGCCAAGTGTGTATCACGTCGACTTCAGCGACGAAGAAGTTAATTTTATGAGATACCTCGCAAGATCATTATACGGCAGACCATCTCGCGGCCAGAGGTCAGACTCAGAAGACCTACGTCGTATACTAAAAAAGTCTGACACCGACGCTTTAACAACTCGTATCGTCGACGTTCATCGTCACAGATATATCAATTTCCAACATCCTCCTCTATCCTTACTACAGCGTTCCCCAGATGATATCCAGAATTTCCTACATGATCTATACCACAAGCAGGTTGACGAGAATCCGAAATTGTTATTTCTCGAACGAGACGACGGGAATTCTCAATATGATACCGCGAGGACAACCGCGTTGCCGTCGTTGTTAATGGCAAGAGAGGTCGTCGGCAACCGCCTCGGAGCTACTAGACGCTACGTAAACTTCAATACAGCGTTCAAGTGCAATAGAGAAGATTATCTCGAGCCAAAGGTCGAGTGGACCAACTGTGCCGGTGATATCATGACTATTGCCTGGACTCCGGATTCTACCCACTTCGTCTGTGGCACAACCACACACTCGGACTCTCATAACCAGCAGTACAATAAACCCGGAAACCTTCTATTCGGTTCCGTGGCGGAGAATACCTTGCAAGCGTATCCTGATCACCGAATCCCTCGCCCTCTTGTTGAGCATGGCGATAATGCTTTACCATCGATGAGAGAATCGCAAGATCCCTGGCTTTACACTTCGGTAGTTTCGTCGGACTATGATCCCACGACCGGTTGGCTATTCACTTCAAGTTTCGATCACACAGTCAAGGTCTGGTGCCCTACGACGACAAACAAAAGCGGCATGGCCCTTCGCCATACTTGGGAGCACGAGGGACGCGTCAATTTTGTGGTGACAAACAAATGTGAAACCATCAGCAAGGTAGCCACAGCCGCTGATGTTCCTGAGAATGCGGTACGGGTCTACCGTGCATCATCGGGTGGAGACCCTTCAGAATATAATTACGACGAGTTGACTTGCAAACGAGTCCACGGTGAAGACTACGTACCTTCAAACAAGTGGGCTTACTTCCCGTCAGCGATCCGCTGGGGAGTAGAATCAAGCGTGAACCACCTTCTCTTAGTCGGCTACTCTCCGCGAAGCCTCAACGGCGACGATAACGATATACCGGAAGACAAGCTCAAAACAGGAGAGCTTTGCCTCTGGGATACGAATACCAATACCGAAGTCAAAGTGAACAGCGCCGCGACCTCGAACGTCTTCGAGGTGGTGTGGCATCCATCTCGGCCGAGTTTTGCCGCGGCAACCTCGGCGTCCCTGAATTCGGAAAAGATCGAGGAACATATCCGAACTCAGATCCGCCTCTTTGAGCCGAACGAGACCGGGCAATATGGCGTGGTGAAAACACTTGACTGCCCGGCTATCGATATCAATGAAATTCTAATCAGGTATGATTACGTTTTGCTCATAACGGGTTACTCGACTTGGAACGCTAACATAGAAGCAGACCCAACAGTATTCTGTACTCGTACATCGCTGCTGGGTGTACCGATGGCAAGGTCTACATCTGGGACTCGGCGAGGAGCGAGGACGACGATCCTATGTGCGTCCTCAAACATGGCGGTAAGAATCTAGTCTGCTTCTATCCTAATATATATCTAACGGTAGTTTAGACCCAGTCGAGGAAATCATCGGAGACAGAGAACAAGAAGATGTAGGGGTCAAATTCATAGCTTGGGCCACGACGACCGACCGTCTATACACCGGCTCATCCGACGGTGTTGTAAAGGTGTGGAACATACGACACGGGAAGGGGGTCTTGGTGAGGGACCTCATCGAAGTAGCAGCACCCATCACAGCCGGCACTTTCTCTCCAGATTTCAACAAACTACTCATCGGAGACGGCAGCGGACGCGTCTACCTCATGGATGTGGACAGCGACAAGGAGGACGGCCAGAATCAGAACCAAGCCCATCCAGCCGCCCTCTCATCGGGCTTCTTAAACCTGCAGCTCGGCGGGCAGCAACGTGCCATCCGTCGCCCTCGCCCATTTATCCCGCACCCCACGCCCCCACCTCCAGATTCGGCTGGGGAGCTCGAGGCAGAAGCCCAGATCGGACAGCAAACAGCCAAAGCCTATCTCGACAAATCAGAGCTTGTCCTGCACCCCGACCCCACCATCGGCGCCGTCCAGGGGCCCGCGTACGCCGAAACGAACCTCTTCCGCGTCGAAGCCCACCTCTACGGGGACGTGGAAGCCCCGCTGCTAGCCGCGTTCGAGGCCCGGCAGCGCGCGAACCAGGGCTTTGCGCGGAAGACTCGGTTCGCGAGGCAGAGAGGGGCGAAGGACTTGGATGTGGGCGAGATCGCGCGCCACAGGCATAGGCTGAACTTGTCGAAGGATGCGGGGGTGAGGCTGGACGAGCAGACGAGGAGGGTGCTGGAGAGGGAGAAGGCGGAGATTGAGCTTGATTGGAGGGATTTGGATTATGAGGATGATTGAGTTGAGTGAGGAGGATGGGAGAAATGAAGAAAAAGAAAGAAAAGATTGGGTTTGAGGGTTTGGAAGATTAAGAATGGGTGTGAGAGGGAGAGGGAGAGTGAGAATGAGAATGAGCAAAGGAGAGGAAAGAAAGAAAGAAAGAAAGAGACTGGAAGTGTTTGTGCGTCGGTTTGTTATAGCCATTGCTGTTGCTGTTGCTGTAGCTTGATGAACGGAGAAGAACGGATAGGTACTTATTATTAATTCATGGTGTGTTTGTTTAAACCTCGGATTGGAATCGTAAGAGAACTTTCCAAGTGAGATGTCAAGTTCTATGATGTGAATGGTATATTGATCCTTCACTATGTTGGTTTGGATAAGCTAGAGAGGTATAAGGATGTGATGTATAAATGTTACTAACTACAAAGTATCTCTAGACATATGAAGTAATTTACACGAAGGAGGTCATACAAGGAGCCGCATCTCCCCTAGCCTCTAACCCCGAGATAGCTTCTCGTAGTCAACGTAACTTAAAGCAGCCTTGAAATCTAAATCTATTAAGGCTCAACTTACGTTAAAGACGAAGGCTCGTGCAAGCGAGATTTGCTCCTTCTCGCTTATCTGGGTCAACATGTATGTGTGTATGTACAGTCGACACCTAGATCTCATATCTCAATTCTCGTACTGTCTTCTTGTCCCGTCTACATCAGATACGATACAATACGTACAGCATCCATCCATACGACCCGTCCATTAAAAAAAAGGGGCGCGCTAATACCGGTTACTAAGGTTTAATATATCGACAGCTAGTGTAGGTAGTTTCCCTCGCGTTCATACTTCCGAGTCGATAGTTCCCAGGCTCTTGTCTCACAGTAAGCCCGCGTTCTCCCGAACTCCCCGAAGATTCGGTTCAAGAGTGGCCAAGCCGGCTGTAGAGAGCTATTGGCTGTTGTGTCGAAGGATTTGTATTTTGTATTCATCCATGCTACATAGTAGATTCCAACTAGGTATGTACAGATGTGTTCACATGCCCGGAGGACATCCGGATGGTCCGGAGAGAACCCCCCACCCCTTCCATGTGTGACCCCCACCTATGGCGTCGGTTGGTCTCGCGAAATGCCTCACTATATCAGTGTACATAGATGAAAAATTTTGATATCGCCGAGAATGGGTATAGAGTTTTACAGTGGCGGGTTGCGACGTGGTAACGATTGGGTCGGGCACCCTCACAGACAGAAAATTCTTGATCACGCATGATATAGAGAGGGGCGCTAGAAAATATATTACCGGCTACAGCTATCCCTCTGCTCGTACTGCTACCACAACGCCGGAATCGAGGGTCTCGCAATCTACTGGGAGCGACAACGTGATACAAATTTGGCAAATGGGCACCCAAGAGTCCTGGGTATCGAGGTGGCTACAGGTTGCAACGCCCCTAAGCTACGTCTTCAAAAATGGACGTCTACGTAGTTAGGTAACTTGCCAATCACATAATTCACTGATTAAAGTCCATATGGAATCAACCTATTATTGATTCCCGCAGATACCTAATTTCCGACACAGAAGTTGACGAACAGCCGCCCCCTTCCTTTTTGTTTGCCCTCCCCAACGCCTTTCGTGCTCCGAGTACTATACATTATGTACTCTACTACAGACTCGAGTCTGAATAGAGTAGATCGTAGACTCCGTAGGGAGGGAGGTAGGCCAATGCTAGACCTCGAAGAAAGATAAGCATCAAAAACGGATGAAACCGCATACCCTGATGTGAAAGTTCGTCAAAGCTAAACTTGACAACTCGAAAGCAGACCGATATAGTGACATGTCAAGAAAGACGACCGTGGTCCTGTGGTCTTATCAATCTTAACGCAGAATACCTCCAACGCCGATCCATGCTACGTGATTCGTAAGGTGCTATGCACGTCTTCGCACTGCAAGCACCGCAACTACTACGCTGGTTCAACAAGAAACGCGAGTATCTCTGAAGCGCCAAGGAGAAACGCGATAGTTGAAAGCAGACGACAGCTTCAATTTTGCCATCCGTAGTCCGGCCACTGCTACTGGTCGGAGGTAGGGGGAGGAAAGGCAAAGCCAGGAGGGAAGACCGGCATGCCGTTAGGGCCGGTTCCGATTCCAAAAGGGAACGATGGGACAGCCGGCCCATTGGTCACACCGTTTCGGTCGTCTTGCTGCTCATCTTGTCGGCCATCTCGGTTTCGGCGCCATCGAGAGAGGTCCGCTTCATCGTCACCACCCGGGCCACGGCTGGATTTGGGTCCATGTCTTCCACCCTTGTCGGTCTGCATGCGACGACTAATTGCTTTCGATGAGACACCAGCGCCTATTTCGATGTCCGGCTCCTCAACCACCAGTCCCGTCTCGATGGGGCGGCCACCGCTGCCGCCGAATTCGGCGGTTAACATCCATTTTCGGTCCGCCTCTGTCAGCTTGTTGATAGGAATAACGCTAATACCAGTCTGGTAGTCGCTACAGTCTCTCGGTCCAAAGCCGACACCCCATCGAGTCTATTTATATGTTAGCACTATGAAATAGTAATAATGGTCTCAAAGACTACTCACTCTGAAGGTACTATTCTCCATGGCCTCCTTGGCGTTGACGGCATCCCGTCGAGTGATCATCTTGACAAACGCATGGCGCTTGTCCTTGTTGACGATGCAAGTTTGCACCTGACCATGGCGATTGAAAGCGCTGCGTAACTCGCTCTCGGGGCAACTATATGTTGGTTAGCAATTATCAGATTATTACAATTTTAAATATAAGGGCATTGCTCACGTGACGCCTCCGACGAACAAAGTCCTACTCAAAACCTTGATGTGACCTTGCGGGATAGTTCTGTCATACTCGACCCATTTGGTAGCCGGGGGCTGAGGGTATCCCTGGAGGGGCGTGCTAGGGCTACGGCCACGGCGACCGGGACTACGCTGCCGATAGTCGTTGCCTCGAGCGCGGCGATCACGATCGTCCATACGTCCTAGGCCGGGGGAATTACGACCATAACTGCCATATTCACGGTCAGCGCGACCACGAGGAGAGTCTCGAGTATCCCAATGACGAGGAGGCGATCGCGACCTTGAATGGTTGCGGTATCTACCGGGCGATCTAACTCCCTGATAATCGTGGTCACGTGAATCAACAGGTTGAAAGCCGCCTTGACCCCATGAGCCAGCATACTGGGGCTGGCCTACAGGGGGTGCTGCAGCTGAAGTAGCAGTAGGGGTCGATGCAGGCAAAGCGACACTACTGCTCTGCATGCTAGCTATGATGGCTGGAATCTTATCAAAAGGCACACCTTGGTCGACAAGAAGCTTGATCAACATAACCTGCTGCTGGACACCGGGGTCCATGCCAGGAACCGGCGCCGCAGAGGCACCTGGGGCTACACCAGGAAAGCCGGGAATTAGATTACTGGCAGCTGACGGCGGCGCGGGGGTTGGCGCCTGGACTTGACCTGGTTGGGGGAATGCATACGGCATGCCCGGCAAATTTACAGGTTGCTGAGGTGTAGTAGAATAAGGAACAGGAGGCTGACCCTGTCCCAGAGGCAGGACTGGCGACTGAACTGCGGTCGTCTGCGCGGGCGCTACGTTATACGCGCTAGTCGCAGCTGGCACACTGTTGTTAACTGGTGCAGCGGCCACGTTCTGTCTAGCGATGTTGGCTAGAGCCTCCATAATGGCGTTCGGAGCTTCGGTAACAGCAGGCTTGGATTCAGGCAATCCTGGGAGGCCAGGACCCGGCGGGGGACTACCAGGCGGTGTCGTGGACTTGGCTACAGAAGCAAACAAGGGTCAGATACGCGTCCTCAGAGACACAGCAACAATGACGAATAAATGGGGGTTTCTTGTTCATCAAATTTCAGGGTTGGGGGACCGAGGGGGGATCTGGAGGAACCTACTTGGATTGAGCTTCTGCTTGAATGACTCGATCATATCGAGTGGGAATGTCTGACCCTTTTCCCAGATATCAATGAGCTTCTTAATTTTCTCCTACACGGAATGATTAGGTAAGTACTTTCTTTTTAGGTCAATGTTGCAAAAAATGTCTTAGTTAGGCCAGTAGACGCGAGGGAACCAGAACGAATATTGGCCTAATACTAGGAAATAGCACGACTAAATATCTTGTGGCTTATCTCAAGAGCACCACGACCGATGTTTGACGATGCTGATGCTATCACCAAGACTACTACGACTGAACGGGCGACGAGTATATGATATAGCGTACCTTCTGTTCTCCGGGAGCATTCTGAATAATGTCATTCATCAGGACAGGAAGCAATTCCGTTACTCTATGCACACCGGCAGCGTAGGTTCCATCCTTTGCAGAGCTATTGATAGGTTGACCTTGATGTTTAGCTTGCTCAACCCATTTGCGAGTTACGGAATCTACGACGTAGAGAACGCCTAACTTGTGTGTGGCGGGGGCCTTCTTGAAGTGGGTATAGATCTTCTGGATGAGTACGGATTCAGACTGCCATGTTGATGATCCGAGTTAGCATTCGTAGACTGGGAAACCAAAAGAACGGGATGTACGGTCTAGGGACTTACCTCAATGTTGTCAACGCATAGGCTTGTAAGTGTTGAAATACGGGACGCGGTAACTCCAGGTGGCTTTAGGTTTTGCATGGCATTCAAGCCCGCCTCGAGCTCAGCTACGGGCGACGACATGATTGCTCTAGTGCTCTCTTCAAGAGGTTGGGACGATGACAAGCACAGTGTACAGCGAGGTCAGGCTCGCAGCACCTGTGAAATGATATACGATAGTCGCGCGATTGTCACCCAAATACCAGGGAGTCTCTTGTTGTCTTTTTGGCTCTCGGGCGATTACTTGTATTTGTGCCGCAACCTAACGAGTTACAGCTGTGTCAAGAGGCAAATTCTAGGTAGAGTCGAAGTGTGATGATCCTTTTTTTTCTTCTGTTTTCCAAATGCCTTCTTCAAAGTAGACCAGATTTTAGTTGGGTGAATGATGAAAATCTGCTTGCGAAGGTGAAGAATTTGAAGAATTTGAAGCGACAACGATTGGTACCATCAAAAAAAGATCTTGGGGTTCTTCTTGCACCTCTACTATGGCGCGTGGGAACGAGGTCCCAGATACAGGTTGTACGGGGTCGAACTTGGGAAAATTAGAAATCCTGTGGCTAGACTGCGACGTTATTGGTAAGTTTGACAATGCCGGTGCAAAGGTGCAAATGTGCAAATGCGACTTTGGCGCGGCAACTATGTGAAGATGTCGACGATATTTACAAATGCTGTGGTGATGGTAAGTTGATATGGGGAGAGTTCACTTGCGGATGAGACGGGTTGGGTTGGATGGATTGGAAGGTAGGAAAGAGGAGATGGAGAGACGAAGCGCATTTACTCGAGGTTTTAGCTTGGGTTGGACGGCAAGATTTTTTCAGTCGCGTGTTGCAGAGGTGGGGGGTACCTATGTAGTTGAGTAACTGAGCTAGCACTCGTACTTGCCCAGCCACAGTGACCCACAGAACAATTAGATTTACGTCCACTCGTCTTCAGGGCTGCTCGTCCACCACATACTTCGCACCTACCAAACTTAGGTGCCCAGACTGCCAGAAACTTAAAAGTACAGCAGGCGCAGTACGGTTTTATATTTGATGTCACAAAACATAATGATACGGCACACAAATCATCGAAGATCAGAAATATTATGTACCTAGGTAGCTTTGATCTTATTAACCTTTTTGATGACTGATGAAGTTACTACATATACATATCCATATAACAAACCAGAACTGATAGCTTTCGATGTTCCAAGCTTGTGCTTAGGTACTATACGTGTGCGCTTAACTACACCAGTCGCCAAAGGTACAATTCAGTATTTTACAACCACCCGATATAACAAGGCATGTCACCATATGTATAGGTAGATATTACTGTTCAACACATAGTATGTACCTTGAATCGTTCAACTTGAATATCCACCCAAGAATCAAATCACAGAAACTTGACAGGTCAAATTGTGAAAAGACAGAAACCTGTATACTGAATTTCAGTATTAATTATCTATATCACCCTGATCACCTAACTATGTAAGATATCCCGTAACGATAGCGATCTCTACCTAGGTATGTTAGGTATGATCTCGTGCAACTGTGAAGCTAAATTGACGTCAACCCTACAACAACCAAGCTACATGTGAATGGGAGGAGCTCTTGGGATCATGCTACGACTGGTCGGAAAAGAGGCAATTCCTACGGTTTTATGCGCGGATATGCGGAGACGAAATATCCGTTACGGCGCATTTTATTGGCTAGGCTTTCTACCTGATGTGGTATTTTTTGCTGAGGCTTCGGCCCCAATTGGCAATGACCAAAAAAGAGAAATAAGAAAAAAACAGTTGAAACGGTGCAGTGCGATGTAGGCCAACGTAGGTCAAATAGAGGCAGGTACGAACATGAAGTATTTCCGTATATACTGTCCTTTTAGTTGCCGGGACCACCTAAATTTTTCATCGGCTTCCCCATCCAACCGAAGCTGCCCCTAGTCCGTTCGCTCGTCAATTTACCTTGGTAAGGGCCACCCTAAGTAGTTTTCGTCTTGAGGCATTTCATCACTCTTTTTTAACCTTTTCTAAGAATTGTTGCATCTTCTGACTTCTTCCCAACACCACCATCACCACTCAATTCTTCTCCACTGCACCTCGCGCAATGGCTACCTCTCTTCGTTTGAGCACCTCTGCTCTCCGAACTACCTTACGGGTTCCTAGTTTCACTGCCCGTACCACTGCTTTCAACGCCGTGCGATGCTACTCTTCTTCCAAGAGCCAGGTCAGCAAATTCCTAACGACTGCTAACTGCTTATATATCTTTCTGCAACATCCCAAGCTTACCAATTGGCCTAGACTTTGAAGGAACGCTTCGCCGAGCTGCTCCCCGAGAAGATTGAGGAGATCAAGGCCCTACGAAAGTAAGTATACCTGTGTGCCCCTCACTCGGTACTCATAGCTTACGGTGCGGCGCATAGAGAGCATGGCTCCAAAGTCGTAGACAAGGTCACTCTCGACCAGGTGTACGGTGGTGCACGAGGAATTAAGGCCCTAGTATGGGAAGGTTCAGTCCTTGACTCCGAAGAGGGTATCCGCTTCCGCGGCAAGACCATCCCCGAATGCCAGGAGGTTCTCCCCAAGGCTCCCGGTGGCAAGGAGCCTCTGCCAGAAGGTATGCGCCCAGCTTGCGATCAAAATAGCACATACTGATTTTTCATAGGTCTCTTCTGGCTTCTTCTGACCGGCGAGGTCCCCACCGAGCAACAGGTTCGTGACCTATCTGCTGAGTGGGCTGCTCGATCCGACATCCCCAAGTTCGTCGAGGAGCTGATCGACCGCTGCCCTACCGACCTACACCCGATGGCCCAATTCTCGCTCGCCGTCACTGCTCTTGAGCATACTTCGTCGTTTGCCAAGGCCTATGCCAAGGGTATCAACAAGAAGGAATACTGGGGATACACCTTCGAAGACTCTATGGACCTGATTGCTAAGCTGCCCACCATCGCGGCTCGCATCTACCAGAACGTTTTCAAGGGTGGCAAGGTTGCGGCAGTCCAGAAGGACAAGGATTACAGTTTCAACTTCGCCAACCAGCTTGGTTTCGGAGAGAACAAGGACTTCATTGAGCTCCTACGACTATACTTGACTATCCACACCGACCACGAGGGTGGCAACGTCAGTGCGCACACCACCCACCTTGTCGGCAGTGCTCTCAGCTCTCCCTTCCTGTCACTTGCCGCCGGTCTGAACGGTCTCGCCGGTCCTCTCCACGGTCTTGCCAACCAGGAGGTTCTGAACTGGCTCACTGAGATGAAGAAGACCATCGGTGACGACCTCAGCGACGAGAAGATCACCGAGTACCTGTGGTCTACTCTGAACTCCGGCAGGGTTGTCCCCGGTTACGGCCACGCCGTCCTCCGCAAGACAGACCCCCGATACACCGCCCAGCGCACTTTCGCTCTGGAGAAGATGCCCAACGACCCCATGTTCCAGCTCGTCAGCCAGGTTTACAAGATCGCCCCCAAGGTCCTAACCGAGCACGGCAAGACCAAGAACCCGTTCCCCAACGTCGATGCTCACTCCGGTGTCCTACTTCAGTACTACGGTCTTACGGAAGCTAACTACTACACCGTCCTCTTCGGTGTCTCGCGTGCCATTGGTGTGCTGCCACAGCTAATTATCGACCGTGCGGTCGGCGCGCCGATCGAGCGACCCAAGAGTTTCTCTACTGCCAAGTGGGCCGAAATCGTCAAGAAGCTATGAGGAAATGGGAAGGATGGCATTTTTCCTTTGGTCTGAAAGAGCATGTTTCACAAACGGAAATAGAACGGTCTACTGAGGGCTCAGTGGTGTATCACATGAAGGGGAGTTGAATTAGAGATGCTCCTAACGATACCAAAAGCTGTGCTTGTACAATAATGCGTCATGATTATTTTTTGTATAGGTAGCTGCTATTCAAAGTTAACTAACTACATGCAACACTCCGCTTATTACATATCATTAATGAGATAAAATCCCCCAATGTAAATGCGTACTAAAATTAGCTATCGACGGAGTATAAGTCCATCTTGAACGCGCCTGGGTTTTAATAAAGGTCTGGCGCTCCGATAATTGATATTGATAGTGAGGAAAGATTGGGGAAAGTCCGGTCCGCTTGTTGAGCGTAAGACTTGCCCTAGCAAATTCGATTGATGGGGGAGCCGCAAAAATATCGGGCGGAGTATCTAGGGGGGTCCTTACTTGGAGCTTGGCAATTGTTGAGAAGGTAAGATCCAACAACTTCGAAGCGATCTGTACGTAACTTGGCAAGAGCACTGAGACCTCCTTACGTGGCTTGAGAAAAGAAAAATAAAAGAGAAAAATTCAGTTCATCTGGACCCAGTCTTACATAACCTCCGTAAAACATATTGATGAAGTTCACCAAGTAAAAGCTCCATCATCAAACTTCTACCAAATCAGGAAGTTTCTTTACTTGGGGTTCAACAGCTAGAGGAGCTACATAATAGGTATTACTCCATTAATTAATTGCCCCCTCAAGGAAGACCCCGAACAGGCCTAGGTTGGACTAAAATGCAATAATTACCACATGTGTCCGAGGCTGTTGAACCTGATTTTTGCTGACCACGCTCCCGGTATCAGCTGCAAGCTTACGGGTAATCCGAATATTCCTACACCGACACCAATCACAAGCCGTTTGTAGTAAAGCCCCCCCGACTCCGAACTACTTGGTCGCTTCGACTTGATTCCGTCTTGAATCCGTCTCACAACTTTCCTCTCAAATTTTATCCCTCACGCCGTTCCGAACATTCGACATTCTCCTCTAAGGCCCATCGCCGCCCTTTTTCTGCGAAGAAGCACCCGACTGCCTTGGTCAGGCCCCCTTCCGTCAAACGATCCTCGCTTGAGATGTCCACCGCCACCGCTGCCGCCTCCGGGGTTACTCCCCCCTTGACGGACAAGAGACTTGAGAAGAAGCCCATCAAGTTCTCCAACTTGCTTCTCGGTGCCGGCCTCAACTTGTTTGAGGTCACCACTCTCGGTCAGCCTTTGGAGGTCTGCAAAACTCACCTCGCCGCCAATCGAGGTGACTCTTTCGCCTCTGCGCTGCGCTCCATCTGGAACCGTGGTGGTGTCCTTGGATGTAAGAACACGTCAACTTCGTACCACTCCGTGTCATTTTCATGTCGCATACACTGACACGTAGTCCTCCTATCGTAGTTTACCAGGGTCTCATTCCCTGGGCCTGGATCGAAGCCTCGACCAAGGGCGCCGTGTTGCTCTTCGTCGCCTCCGAAGCCGAATACTATGCCCGAGTTGCCGGCGCTTCGGAGTTCGGTGGCGGAATCATCGGTGGCGTGACCGGCGGTGTCGCGCAGGCCTACGCCACCATGGGTTTCTGTACCTGCATGAAGACGGTCGAGATCACCCAGCACAAGATGGCTGCGTCGGGCGTCAAGCCCCCGAGCACGTTCGCCACCTTCATGGACATCTACCGCAGGGACGGCATCAGGGGCATCAACAAGGGTGTCAATGCTGTTGCCATCCGACAGATGACCAATTGGGGCTCCCGTTTCGGTTTGTCGCGTCTTGCCGAGCAGGGTATCCGCCGTGTCACCGGCAAGGAGCACGGCGAGAAGCTTAGTGTCGTAGAGAAAATCACAGCCTCGGCTCTAGGTGGTGGTCTGTCCGCCTGGAACCAGCCGATCGAAGTCATCCGTGTCGAGATGCAGAGTAAGAAGGAGGATCCTAACCGTCCTAAGAAGATGACGGTTGGCAACACTTTTAAGTATATTTATGAGACCAACGGCCTCAAGGGTTTGTACCGTGGCGTGATGCCGCGTATCGGGTTAGGCGTTTGGCAGACGGTTTGCATGGTGGCTATGGGGGATATGTAAGTCTTTTCTCTCCTACCGCCGTCTTGTCTTCCCTACCTAGTATGATGTGAAGAAGAACCAGATTGCTGACAAGTTGCGAAATAGGGCCAAAACTTACGTGGAAAAGTTGACCGGAGAGAAGGTCACTGCTAAGCATTAGGCGGCGTTATATGGAATGGTTGTTCATGATATGACAGATCATGAAATGAATGTGTGCTTTTTGATTTTCTGGTACTTGCTACCTATAGATCTTAACTTTTACCTGTAATTCAGGTAACTTTTGAGTGGCCCGTTTAAAAACACGGCGACGTTTTTACCCTCGTTGTCGATATTATACTATATAGACCTGGTCGCAATACAGGCTTTTGTGATCTTTGAGGTCACCTTATCTACATTTCTTGAATGTCATGCGTGATTTTCGGCTTTGGTTTGGCTTACGAACGTCACATGTGATTTGACTGCTGCAGTATATCAAATTGACCAGTAGAAATATGCATACCTATCGAAACAACCAAATAACATCTGTCAAATGAGAATAGAGAGTTCAATTTCTCTAGAATACTATACTTACATGATTCAATTTATAAAGCTTCTAGTCATCTCCGTTCTGCTACGGCATCTATAATCTTAGATGTTGGCTTCCACATTTCTTCGTCGGCTTGGCACCTGCCGGATTGCGGGATCTTCAGATCCTTTGAGGCTATACCCAACCGTCCCGCCAGCAAGCGCGGTTAGCCAAGCAGGCCGATCACGACTTGGCGCGTTCTCGATTATTGCCATATCGAGAAAGGCTACCTCCTCTCGGCTCTTGTGATATGCAGGTTGGAGATCCTCGTGGTTCTGTTAAGGGTTTTTATGGGTTTTTTTTTTGGTTTTTTTTTTGGTTTTTTTTTTTTTTTGGGGGGGGGGGGTGGTTTGGCTTAAAATAGGTTCGGTTTTATGGGTTTGTTTTTGGGCATGTATGTCAGCCTTGGCGGGGAATAGTAATACAATGAGACCCCAGATGGCCTCTGGCATGGGTTGTCGTTGACTGCCGGACTGGGGGTTTCAATGGCATATCTGGTTTGAAGGATTATAGTCGAGTTGAGTGCTGGTTCGTTCTGACTGGCTCTGCTTCCGTGTCGTACGGCACTTGCGTGAAGCTATCTGCCATAGGAGTGCGTAAGTGTCAATCCCATCTTGAAGCACTTGACAGATGAGATATGTACAGGAACCTCGAATACAGTGTAACTTCCTACCTGAAGGATCACCCGAGACACGATGTGCCCGATAGTGCTGTATGTTCTCGTGATAGCAGCGTGGCTTTAGGGGCCTTTTCTCAGAGTCTATCTCCCAGGTGTGAGTCCCAAACATTATGGCGTACTGGATGAAGGAGCTCATGTGTTAGGATAGGAGCACTATATAGGACTCAGCTCCTAATTTGTTCCATGCGGCACATATATGAGTCTACTTCGTACTCGAGGAGCTGAGGCAGTGTTGTACAAGTCGTGTTACCCGTGTTTCTAATACGAACACTTGAGAGAGAGCCGTTTTCCCTTGGTGATATATCACCTTACCAAGTAGTAATTACCTAGCTACCCAGGTAGTTTTACAAAATTCCCGGCGGCGCTCACCTGACTGAGTGGCGTATACTATGTTACTAATTGGTATAGGAATATCTCATCGTCGAGGTCTCGTAATACCACAGGCTGTCCCGCTGTGCCTCTTGTAATACGGAGGCTGACCTATATATCTCGTTATATTTGCCGTATCGTATGATTTACATAGTCATAATCCTACTTGTGTCTAAAAGTATGACCTTTGGTAGACTTTAATGTCTACGTGTCTAGACCTTGCCATACTATGGGTGTAAACGTTGAAATTGATATTGTTGGTTGTAAAGTTTTTCGAGTATTTGAAGGATCATAGGGACACGAATCGTCCACAACTGACGATGTGTAACGGGTTTGACTTATAAGTAAATCAGTAGACGGGTTAACCGCAGCGAGGGAGACATAGACATCATTGCCCAGACTCATCACAGTTAACTTGTTGTATCTTCCTACATGCCTATACGTTCGAAAGGTACGGGACGTTTATGGTGTAGGTAGTCTTGTTTGGAAGGGCTCAAAACAAGTACGAGATTCATATGAAATTTATCCATCTTCACTAGGTATTCACCGGTATATTAAGTATATACACTCTGTATAGATACATACCTCCAATGGCTAGAAATCACGCCAATGTAGGTACTTATCAAGATAAACGAAATATAAATCATTCTCAATTGTCAAATACGTGTTTCGGTATGTTCGCCAGGGAGAATTCTATCACTTAGACGAAGCATCAGTTGACCCCCATCTACGGACGTTCGAGAACAATCACGGCCGCACTTCCAAAGACCTGCATTCGGGAAAATCGCTCACTATGTCACCAATGCACCAGTAATAGCGGTATATATGAAGAATTTGACGTCGACTACCACCTTCAGCTCGGTACTCGAATGGGTGAGTTTCATTCAATGCTAGGTTAGCATCAGTGCCTGATATCTGTATATTAAACCATCCCGAGTTGACGGTGTCTGGATTCCCATGTCGGTTGATCATTACGCCGGGACTCTGGAGCGACGCCATTGGACACCGAGCCGGTCTACGATGCGCTCGAGTGACCTCCGTGGAGGGGTACGGGCCGATGCATTTGGCTGCGTCTACGTCGCCTTGGGCATCTAAGGCTGGCTGAGCCGTTTTATTCGCGTTGCGGTCGCATTCCATGGCACACGTAAGGCATAAGAAGAAAAAAAAAGCTGACGTCGGTGACATTTTCACATACACAACGTCGGGAAAAATCTGGAGAAAAAAAAATCAAGCCCGTGACAAGCTTTGTCAGGGTTTCGTTTTTGCCAAAGGAGCGGTCGTCAGCCCCCTTCCCGTGGTCGTAATTCAGGAGTGGCTTTTCTGGCGGTCAAGCGACCACCAACCACACTGACCAACGGCTTGCCGCGCATCGCCATTACCGCCGTCGCGGTGGGGGCCCACCTATGAACCTACCGACGAAGAAGCTTGGAAGGACAAAAAGAGAGAGAGCTTCGACCGCTGACCGGGAAAAAACAAGGTCAGGGAACAAGACAGGGAAAAACGCAGGGTCCACGCAAGCCCCAACGCCCGCCTTCCGCTCCCTCTCTCTTGCCCTCCTTTACCGTAACCCCAGTGTGGAGGGAATGGGGATAGGCATAATAGTTCCAAGCGGTAGTTTCGAACCGCCACGGGGCATTCCGGGGAACCCAAGTCCCGATCGTCGCGCTGCCGAGCCCGAGGCGGTCCGCACGTTATTCCTGCGAATCGGATGGGACCGCCCTCTCCTTTACGTAAGTCCGGGCTCGTGACAACCTTGGGGTTTGGAACGGGGGAAAGTCTTGGCTTTCTCTTCTTCCCCTGACTTCTACCGACAGGCTGACGAAGGAAGAAGGGGGGAAGAAGGGTCAGCTTTCGCCTGGATCGAGGCTGTCGGCAGCGTTTCTACACTAGTTTTTTTTTTCTATTTACGTCTGGCTAATGTAATGGCGATCTACTACACCATTGCACATATGTGTGTGTATGTATGTACGTTTTAGGTTCTGACCTTACCTACACTATCTCTCTTCTCCCTCTCGGTGTCTCAATTTTGCAAAAATGCCAATGCTTAGGGTATTGCTTATATCTTGGCCCTGCGGCGCCTGTCCAATTCGCGCCGCCTGGGCAACAATCTTCTGACGCAACCGGTCCTTTCTGCTGCTTGCTTGCCTGCCTACTCCCTTTTCTTTTCTGATTACGACGTAGCGAGCCTTCGCGCGCCAAGGAAATTATCGAAGATAAAAAAAGGGTCCTTCGCCTCCGCGAAGAGCACAGATCGTCGTTTCGTTTCGTTCGCGACGGGTCTTGGCTTCAAGCGAACCTTAACGCGTTGCTAAATACGTAACCACGAAGAGGCTGAGAAGGTAAGAATTGGGCAAATAGGCAAATAGATTTCCTACTGATGACGGAGGAGGGAAGAGGGATGAGCAAAGACCAAGAAAAGCCCAGAGCCAAGCTTCCGATACGTGTGGTTTATTTGTTTCTCAAATATAGAGGAACGTGACTATACGATCCCGATGGCCGAGAAAGGGAACGGTCAAAGTAATAAAAGTCATTAGGGGCATGTCTATGGCATCTTTGTGGTCGCTTGGCATGACGCGCAAATATAACGTGCCAAGACGACATTGTCTGATGAGGTCTGTCAACTCTTCCTTCGATAGTACAAGGAGTCAAGGACCGTAAACAGAACACTGTATGTAATTATTGTCTTTTCTTCGAGAACGCAAACTCGGATAGTTGCGCTCACCAAGACGCTAGGTAAGAGTATCGTACACATACATGTCAGATGCCCGCCACGATTGCCTCAAGTTTGGTTCTACGTATACACAGGATGGCATGTACTGTACTACCTGGTGTCCCGGTACCTCCCAAACTAAGCGGATGTGCACGCTAGGAGGGAAGCATCATCTTGGCGGCGGAGAAATCGTACAGCCAGATCTGCCATAACCTTCTGGGCAAGCCAAGCCAAGAAATAGACGCTTGCTAGGTTCGATAAGCTTTCAATCTTGCCTGCCCTGACTTTGGTTCGGTTCTAGACATATAGACATATTACCTTCGCTATTCGCGGAGTTAAGCAGCCGCGCGGACTGTCGTCGACGAGCGAGGTCGAGCTCAGTCTAGAGTTAATGCCAACGCGACGGCGTCGTAAAAAGCCCTTTTAGACCTTAGTAGCAGAACCATCGCCTCGGAACCTATCTGAAGGCAATCTATGAGCTAGAGATACCACGTAGAACCCTTCTTGCATTCGACGATTGAACTTAGAATGTTACTCTAGTCAACCTTAGCTTGTCATCGAGCTTCTAGAACAGGCAATAAATAAGGCTTGCCCGATAGACCCTGAGCCATCGAGACGGGAAACCTTTTACTTTTCTCTTATGGGGTCCAAGGATGTACCTGGATCTCGTAGAGGGCATGAGTAAGCGTGAGAAACATAAGACAGGAGAAAAAAGGCTCATATGTTGTACGATATAGCATGGGCGCAACCAACGGCGGTTTCGAGATGAGGCATTTCAAAATAGTAAACAATGATATGTAATAAAATGTTTACTGTACAGTCCTGGTTAGGTTGTTTCAACAAAGAACCAAAGAACCAAGCTTTTTATAGCCGGGTTTCATCGTCATGTTGCCTGCATTGGATCCTTGCTTAAACGCGCACAGGCGCCTCTGGCGTCTTATTACCAAGTCGAATATGTAGGTATCACAAAGGATACAGGATCACTCGTGAGATCCGATTCGTAGGGCTCTAGGAAATGATAAGGTATGGTGTACATCCATGACGAGCGCGGGCCGAGGAACGGCTAAGGAGCGGGAGACGTGGACGGCTGTCTCGCATGAAAATGTCAGATAAGGCGAATTTTACGAGGCTAGAATGACCCTTTTTTGAGGCGAGTCGTGGCGGCGCGACAGCAAGAAGCGAGAGCGCAGTTCGGTCGCTCGGAGACACGAGCGTATCGAATATCGGGAGTAGAATACCGGATAGGAAAAGCTCTCCCCGTGGAGTCTGTTAGGACTAGTTTGGACCCCCATAGAGACCCCCAAGCTAGGAGCGAGTAGCAGTCCTAGGTAAACAAATCATAAATTACGTCCTGAAAAGGAACCACTTAATGTCCGAATAAGAGCCATTGACCACTGATAGCAGCTCGAACGGGGGCCGCGAAATGGGAAAATCTTTTAGCGACACGAGCGGCTCGATCCTCGGATCCTCACCGTATAATTCCATCGTAGTTGCACTGTCCCTTACCACACCAAGTCCCACGTTCTCCGGCTATCCTGAATCCAGGCGCCCGCAAACGGGCGAGGCAATTCTGGCATTCTGGCATTTTAGCGCAATCACGCATACCTGGCCGGGCGACATCCTAGTCGGCACGAATCCCGATTTTCGAAGATTACTTTTTACCGCGAACGTGATTGGCGAAATCGTCAAAGTAAGGGTTCCAGAATCCAGGACCGGATGCATAACTATGTAACAGTAATGATAAGTTTATGATTGCCCACGCGACTACTTGCCTTACGGTGAGCAAGTGAGTGAGTGAGTGATATATGGTAATGCGGCTTGCTACATATTCTTATTTTCCCGAATTTACGGCGGGTATGATGTAGATGAAGACGAGCATACGAGACAGCCGAATAAGGGATAGGGGATAAGGCTCCATCTAATCATCATTCTCCATCGTCTCGCGACGACGAGGCAAATAATCGTTTTCGATAAGGCGAAGATGCCGATGACCGAAAAAAGGCCTTTTGGTCGATCTCTTGAGATCTAACTGTTCCGCCTCACTCGCAGGTTTGGAAACAGATACCTATAGCGTATAGCGTGAAGCCATTGCCATTCCATAGTCATTAAGGTTGGCCCGTCCGCTCTCTCGAACTACCCAAGTAAGGCGCCCCGTACTTAGCTCTTCAGGAAGGGGTTATAGGCGGATATCGGATGTAGAGTTTACTAGATTTGACGGTGGCCACGAGACTCCAAGCGGACAAGCTTGGTGGAGCAGCGGCCATACCGAGCGAATCTCCATCCGAGAAATTGCGGCAGGCCAAATGGCTCTTTTGCCTTTCACCGAGGTCTCCTTTGCCGGAGCGTGTCGGTGTAGAGGGTGCCGCGAGGACAGAAAAAAAAACTTTTAATAAAAATCTAACATCATCTACGTATCAACCTGTACTACCGTCCGAGTGGTCTGTGACCTGTTAGTGACCTCTTAGCTGGGCAGGCTGGGGTATGGAAGCGCAGGATTGGTAAAATGCGGGATTGATCCTGTGGTCCCCATGACGTATGAAAAGTAAGCCACACAAGCCAGAGTCGCAGGATTGCTACCATCGTTACCCGTCGTGTTCAGTGACCAGTGATCCAGCGGTGGATTGAATTTTAACTTCCCACGCTGCCAGGCTGCTTTCGATGGTTCGCGTCAACTCCCTAGTCGCGCTCTGATGCCCTGAAGCTCCGTTCATAGCACGAGAGCGATAGAAATCCGCATTTGGCAGGTCGCCGGCAGGCGATACCATACTGACCATAGTACGTACGGATTCTCCAGGTTAGACAATGACGATTGTCGGTTAATAGGGATGGACTGGCAGGGCGTTTTCTGGATCTCGCAATGGCGGTCTTGGGCAAGTGTTCAGTAGCTAATACATACCTATGCTACTGCGTAATACTCTTAATACCTATCCATATCGCATGGCATGCTCTTAATGAAACAGCAGCTCAAGGTACATCTTGGTCTTAGCAAGATCGGCAAAGTCTTGTGGGTTCCAGCGCCTTTCCGCTTTCGATAGCAGCCTCGTAGAATGGAAAATGGCTCATAATGCTGGTAGTTGAAGCTGTTAGCTGCTGCTACGTCGATAAGTAGGGGAAAGTACCTGGGTTACCCATTCTGTACGTACCGCTGACTAGCCTGGCTAGCATCTCTGCTGCTTTGCAGTATGCAGACTCAAGTGCAGATGGATGTATGGGTGAGTGGATAAGGGTTGCATAGGCACAGTTTACACGCCGCACTGACTCGCTATTAACTGACGACATTGCGCGAGCTGGCACTGTGCAGGGCTAACATGAGCCAAAGCATGGGTGGTCCCAGTCGATGGTTAGCAGCCCTCGCATAAGCCCAAGGGCCTAGAGAGGTTGACCGTGCTTCCCGAATGCAGAGCTCGTGGAATCTTGATTTGGGATGAGCCTGGAAACGAGCAGAAAAAAAACTCTCACACCAAAACAATTAGATCAGAGCTATTCCCATGCCAACCGTCGCATCGGGATAGGCGAAAAATAGGTTAAAATAGGTCAATTGAATAGAATAGATGGGTCTACAGCTTCAGCAGTAACTTCCGCGATATTTTCCTCTAAGCTTTGACTACAAATGACGAATGGGAAAAAGTCGGTGCGCTTGTCTGTCAGTCAGCATCTTGGGAGCAATCGAGTAATTCCCGCAAGATCAGAGAGTTCATGGGTCAGAATGGGTGCAAAGTGCTCTTGCTCTGGAGATGGGATGTGGAGTCCCTGCTGTCCAGGTACCGGATGGTGGAGCCTGCAGGGACCGAGTCACACTGTGGCAACTTTTTGCATCCAGTAAAATAACAAACCTTAACCCGATTCGGTAGGTTAGACATATTAGTTCAGGTACAGTACAATTCCGCACACTAAACTCTGTATGGGATGTGCCGTACCTTTAATCCCTGAGTACTGATGTGCATAGAAAGCAATTTCCCGAAAGAATTGCCTAGGTAGCTTAGGTAAACTTGGCTCTATTTGCTCCATGTAAGTAAACAAACCTTGAGTTTAACAATTTAGAGTTGGGTTTGTGAGTGAAGTTCCTGACGTGAGCTGAACTTGGAAGCATTTTTGATCTTTTTTGGCTGAACTACTGAAGGTACACATTACTTACGCATATTTGCTGATATACATACACGCATTCACTGCTGAAGTGATGCATGGTGTATTCATACTTTAATACCCTACGTACATAATATGTATGTGTAGGTTAGGATTCGAAGTTATTGTAACTTACATTGAACTTAACATATTGACGAATCTGCAATACAATCCATATCTGCAGCTGTAAAATTCGCGCGTTATACGTACATCCGCATACCTGCGTACCTAGAAAATAAGTCAAATAAGGATACAAGTACCCTTGTAGTATTGCGAAGGTCGTCCTAGCTCGGCCAATAGGGATCTACTGGATGTAAAAAAGTGGAAATGGTGGAAACAAACGGAAGGAACAACCCACACTGTATTGCGCTGTACCGATACTTCCATGCTTGGGGTGTGAGCCATTGGGGAGCCACTGGAAGCTTGGTTGACGAAGGCCCCACTTCTCGGAATTAGCTCTTGCTCTTCTCGCTCTATTTTCCACGACTTATTAAAGAAAAAGCTCGCCCACATCGAACGCGCTTTCCTTTCTCCTTCTCATCACGTTGAAGACTTGGTTACGGCTCGTCTGGCTCGTCAATTCCTCCCAAGGTCGTCCGTGGTGCCTTCCGCCCAACTCTCCCCTCTTCTCTCCCCTCTGTGTGATTAGTCTGAACGTCGTCCATCTTATCTCCCCCACGACTCACCTTCACCAAAACATCGTCAGTTTACCTATACAACCAACCTAATCAGCATTCCAGTCGATCCTATTGTCGATTTCTCTGCCCGCCTAACCTGGAGTAATTAATAATTTCACTGGACTCAGTCCTTTATCTGCACATCTATTCAATTTGACATCTGGGTTATCTCGATTTTGTCAACATTAGAAGCTCGCCGCCATGGCTGAGTCCAACAATGCCGCCGCGCCGGCGCTTCACACCAACATAGAGTCGGGCAATTTCAACGAGAAGGAAGCTCACCGTGTCGAGGATCCCGCTCCGGTCAAAACTACTAAGGGCGAAGAGGAAGAAGATGACGAGGACATTGACGCCCTGATCGAGGATCTCGAGTCTCAGGACGGAAACGCCTTTGACGATGAGGAGGAAGGTGACGGGCAGCCTGGTGGCACTGGTCGCGTTGTCCCCGAAGAGATGCTTCAGACTGATACTCGTGTCGGTCTTACGGAAGGTAAGCTTCGATCGCCTTAATTGCTTCAATCAACATTTTCGCCACGGCCGAAATGCTTCGAATTGGAAAAACTAACTGCTCTGCAGCTGAGGTTGGCAACCGTCGCCGAAAGTATGGTCTCAACCAGATGAAGGAGGAGAAGGAGAACCTCATCCTCAAGTTCTTCGTAAGTTCGCATTGTTCTGACCGCCAATTAAATCCAAACTAACATCACGCAGGGTTTCTTTATTGGTCCTATTCAATTCGTTATGGAGGCTGCCGCCGTCCTTGCCGCTGGTTTGGAAGACTGGGTCGATTTCGGTGTCATCTGTGCCTTGTTGCTCCTCAACGCCTGTGTTGGTTTCATCCAGGAATTCCAGGCTGGTTCTATCGTCGACGAATTGAAGAAGACTCTCGCTCTTAAGGCTGTTGTCCTCCGTGACGGCACCCTGAAGGAAGTTGAGGCTCCTCTAGTTGTCCCTGGTGATATCCTCCAAGTTGAGGAGGTGAGTGATTTTCCCTACACTATGTTATCAATGATTTTGCAAATCACTAATTCTCAATCGACAGGGTACCATTATTCCCGCTGACGGCCGAATCGTCACTGACGATGCTTTCCTCCAAGTCGATCAATCTGCCATCACTGGTGAATCTCTCGCCGTTGACAAGCACAAGGGTGACCAATGTTTCGCTTCGTCTGCTGTCAAGCGTGGTGAGGCCTTCATGGTTGTTACCGCCACTGGTGACAACACCTTCGTCGGTCGCGCTGCTGCTCTTGTCAACCAGGCGTCTGCCGGCACTGGTCACTTCACTGAGGTTCTCAACGGTATTGGTACTGTATTGTTGATTCTCGTCGTCTTCACTCTCTTGATCGTCTGGGTTTCGTCTTTCTACCGATCCAACCCGATCGTCGACATTCTTAGGTTCACATTGGCCATCACCATTGTCGGTGTACCCGTCGGTCTTCCTGCCGTCGTCACCACCACCATGGCTGTCGGTGCTGCCTACCTTGCCAAGAAGAAGGCCATCGTCCAGAAGCTCTCTGCCATTGAGTCTCTTGCTGGTGTCGAAATCCTCTGCTCTGACAAGACTGGTACCTTGACCAAGAACAAGCTCTCTCTCTCTGAGCCCTTCACTGTTTCCGGTGTTGACCCTGAGGATCTCATGCTTACTGCCTGTCTCGCGGCTAGCCGCAAGAAGAAGGGTATGGATGCCATTGACAAGGCTTTCCTAAAGTCTCTCAAGTACTATCCTCGTGCCAAGGGTGTCCTCTCCAAGTACATTGTCAAGGACTTCTTCCCCTTCGACCCCGTTTCGAAGAAGGTTACTGCTGTTGTCGAGTCTCCCCAAGGTGAACGCATTACCTGTGTCAAGGGTGCCCCTCTGTTCGTCCTCAAGACCGTTGAGGAAGACCACCCCATCCCCGAGGAGATTGACCAGGCCTACAAGAACAAGGTTGCTGAATTCGCTACTCGTGGTTTCCGTTCTCTTGGTGTTGCCCGCAAGCGTGGTGAAGGTGCCTGGGAAATCCTCGGTATCATGCCTTGCTCTGACCCTCCTCGTCACGACACTGCCCGCACTATCAACGAAGCCAAGCGCCTCGGTCTCTCTATCAAGATGCTTACTGGTGATGCTGTCGGTATCGCTCGTGAGACTTCTCGTCAACTCGGTCTTGGTACCAACGTCTACAACGCCGAGCGCCTTGGTCTTGGTGGCGGCGGTGACATGCCCGGCTCTGAGGTCTACGATTTCGTTGAGGCTGCTGACGGTTTCGCCGAGGTTTTCCCCCAGCACAAGTACAATGTCGTCGAGATTCTGCAACAACGTGGTTACCTGGTTGCCATGACTGGTGACGGTGTCAACGATGCCCCCTCTCTGAAGAAGGCCGATACTGGTATTGCTGTCGAGGGTGCCTCCGACGCTGCCCGATCTGCTGCTGATATCGTCTTCCTTGCTCCTGGTCTTGGCGCTATTATTGATGCCCTTAAGACATCTCGACAGATCTTCCACCGAATGTACGCCTACGTTGTCTACCGTATCGCCCTTTCTCTTCACTTGGAGATCTACCTCGGTCTGTGGATTGCGATCTTGAACCGCTCGCTCAACATTGAGCTTGTCGTCTTCATTGCCATTTTCGCTGACGTTGCTACTCTGGCTATTGCCTACGATAACGCTCCGTACTCCATGAGCCCAGTCAAGTGGAACCTCCCCAAGCTTTGGGGTATGTCCGTCCTCCTCGGTGTCGTCCTTGCTGTCGGTACCTGGATCACTGTTACCACTATGTACGCTCAGGGCGAGAACGGTGGTATTGTTCAGAACAACGGTAACATGGACGAAGTTCTCTTCCTCGAGATCTCCCTCACTGAGAACTGGCTTATCTTCATCACCCGTGCCAACGGTCCCTTCTGGTCGTCGATTCCCTCGTGGCAACTTACCGGCGCCATCCTCCTCGTTGATATCCTAGCCACCTGCTTCACCATCTGGGGTTTCTTCGAGCACGGTGCCCTCACTCACATTGTCGCCGTCGTCCGTATCTGGATTTTCTCCTTCGGCGTGTTCTGCATCATGGGCGGTGTCTACTACATCCTCCAGGACAGCGTTGGATTCGACAACCTCATGCACGGCAAGTCCCCCAAGGGCAGCCAGAAGCAGAGATCTCTCGAAGATTTCGGTAAGTTCCAATTAGCAAAATTTAGAGTTGTGTATATGGAATTTTTAGCTAACGTGTTTCATAGTTGTCTCCCTCCAACGTGTCTCCACCCAACACGAGAAGTCTCAATAGATCATCCCCGGATGAAACCGAATGGCCGCCCCTCAGGTGGCTGACGTCGCCAGGGTTTAGACCTAATCGGTGGTACATACTAATGCCCTTCGGTCTATAGATATATCCTCCGGACAGGCTTGGTTGTTCACTTCATTTCCTTCTTGTAAACTGAAATACCACGGCGTATAGGCCTTCGGTTATGTCATACCCACGTCTCTTAGGCTTAATAAGAATGAAAAAAATACAAAATACCCGGCATGTCTTATGTGACACTGAGTTATGTAATTGCATGTCTTTAAAGTTAGTTATGATAGCTTTCAATGTATATGCGTTAATTCTAACGAGCGAAATTGGTTGGGCAGTCCATCTGTCATCTTAAGTGCATGCTCTTCGATTGGATACTTGTATTACGTCATCCTTCTTTTTATTTTGTTACTGAACACTGTCGTCGTGGCTACATATTTTTTAAGTTTGGAGCTATTTCCTATATAAACCCCCGCTTTAATTATTGTGCCGTCCATGGGTTTTCCATTTGTATGGCTACCTAATTTTCTTTCGTCGACAATTCACGTTCCCTTTTTCTTAAATATCTGCCCTCATCGTCGTGCTACCACGTCTGATCCGCAACCTTTCTAGACATATATCGGACGCACCAGCAAGATGAGCACCAATTTTCAATCTGAGATTCCAGGGTATTTCTGGGGTATGTTTTTTTTTCTCTCTCCCTGAGATGAATATCATTTCATGCCTTACCAGTGCTTTAATATTCTAACATCTATTTTCCCGTAGATCCAGAAAAACAGCGCTACTTCAAAGTGGAACAAAACCATCACGCTGCTCGTCATGACGCGCCTTGGTCTTCTGACAATGTTAAGAAGCGCAAGCTCAATGAAGTGGCCGCAGCTGAGAAAGCCCACTACGAGGCTCGAAGCTTAAGTCGTATCACCCGGTCGAGAGTCTTCAATGAACCGCTGATGGGCGGCTTCCTTGCTCGTGAACATGGCGATGACGTTCGTGATCTCCGCGCTGCAAGTTTTGCACAGGGTTTAGTTGAGAAAGGCAAAACTTCTCTCAGAGAGCGGACGAATAGGAACCTCGAAGCTATGTTTGTCTCTAAGAAGAAGGACGAGAATGGTGTTTATCCGGTAGTGTCATGTAAGTTTTTTATTGGAATCCTTTTAGAATACAAAGGCTGACACGAGACCACATTTGAAGATGGCACATACATTCCTTATATCATCAAATTCTCTATAGCTCGGGATGAAGAGACTGGAAGGTAACATATCACACTATAACCTCTATACATGCTTAGAATCATCCCACTAACAGGATTCTAACGATAGAATGCAAGAGTCTCCAATTGCTCTCGATCTACACAGCTTACTTGTAGAAGATGGCTATCCTGTTATAACAGACATCAAGTGCGATGCAACTGGGAGTAGAGCATTTGTCAGTTCTACCTCTGTCGGCGCCGGGTCTGTAGGCTTCCTCAGCATACGGCTCGACTCGCCGGGGATAGTGTGTGATACAGTTCAATACGCGTATTCGTATTCCTGCCGATCAAACGCCATTTGTACATCACCACCAGGCCAAACTCTCCAATGCTTGATGGGAACAAATTTGGGTCTTGCGGCACTCGATGAACGAAATCACGTAAGGGTGGTTGCAGTCACGGACTTTGACTCTGGGGGAGACTACCGATCATCGGGATCTCACGATATTTTTGGCGTTGACTATCATGTTACCAATCCCAACCTCGTGTTTTTTGGTGGTCGCCCTGGCAAGCTCTGCATTGGTGATCTTCGTCAGAACGACTTTGAGTGGAGCGCTATCCAACTGCCGAAGTCTATCGCGCACGTCAAGGCAGTCAACGACAACCAGGTTTTGGTGGCAGGCCTTGAAAACATGATGTCCGTCTACGACATCCGATTTTGTGACCGCACCACAATCAACGACAACCGAGATATCAAGTCGGGACGAGGCTGCAAGAAGGGCGGTGATCCAATCGTGACAATGCAAGAATACAAGAGCCAGTCTCGCTTCAATACCGGCTTCGACTTCGACCGCACTTTGGGCATAGCGGCGGCAGCTCATGAAGATGGCAAGGTTGTGTTGTATTCCGTGCGCAGTGGTCGCCGCTTGCCGTCCCGAGATATCGACAAAATCCACTCGCGGTGGGGACAGATTGAATGTCTCCAATTCCAGACAATGGAAGATGATCACACGCCGACCTTGTTTGTCGGTGAGGGAAACGACATCAACGCCTTTTCCTTTGGCGTTGACAACCTCGACGATGAGTGTTGATGCCTTCGCTGAATGCTCTTCGTCTTTGTTTTTCGTTTCCTTTGGGGCACGGGGCCTCCTTGAGTTTCTGCTGCATGCTGGACGACAAGCTTGGGTTGCCTACGAAGGAACGAACATTTTGCATCTGAGGGAGGGAGGGATATGAAATAGGCATTTGCATCGTCGTTGGCATGTGAGCCTAGGTAACGACAGATGGGCTAGTTGCATTGGGAGGAAATGATTTGACTTGCATGATACCGGCGTTTGTTATTACATGATACCCGAGCCCTGCCCATAAGGAAGGGCTCGCATTACAGGTTTCCTTTGCCGAAAGCAATACCCCAAGATGAATTTGTCTTTCAGTCATATTATGGCTCTCTTTATCTGCTTGTGATGACGGCCCTTCTCCCACCATGTGCCCCTATCCAAATTTGTCTTTCCACGAGCACAATAATTCACGTATACCCCATTATAGTACTGAGTAGGGCACTGCTTGATCAGCACAATGATTTGTATTCATTCTGCGTTGCCAAGCTTTGTTTTCATGCTCCACAAGACGTACACCAAACAACCTTGTCATCGGATACTGATGTATTAAACTCCTCAGTATATATCTCTCCTACGATGTTCTTCCTAGCCTACCACAGTAGATCGCTATCTTTCCGTTTCTTCACTTTGACCCTACATATATAGCTTCGTGCTCATGCTTTCATCATCCCAAGATCGTGGATATCCATTATTTCAATTTCCTTTCATCAACGCCTCGCTATTATCTTCATTGCCCCCGCGGGATCCCTTATTCCTCCTGGGCAAGAGACCAAGACTAACTAACCCTTCCCACATACATATAAATACACGTACATACATCCATACATAAACACACCCATCATACCTAGGAAAAAAACCCCGCCCCCCCCTCACCCCCCACCGCCCATCTCCCTCGTCCTCGTGCCGACCTTCAAGTTATACGTGCCCCTGAGCCGGGGGAACGCGGCGTCGAACGCGTCGCCCAGCGTCCAGTTCTCGAACCTCCGCAGGTGGCGCTCGAAGACGGGGTTGATCAGCAGCTCGCCGCCGGCCGGGCTCCGGAGCAGCGCGTCGGTGCCCTCGTACGGCCAGTTCAGGCTGATCGTCGTCGTGAACGGGATGAAGAAGTTCTCGAACGGGATCGGTCCTTGCGCTTGTCCCCCCTGCCCCCCTTCCTCTGAGGTGGCGGAAGCGGAAGCAGAAACAGGAGCAGAAGCAAGCCGCTCCCGCATCGCAGGAAACGGCAGATGATCAACCCAAGCCGGGTGCGGCGTCCGCAGCTGGGCCGGGGTAGGGCGCGCGAAGTCCGGCAGCAGCTCGTAGTTCTCGCGCGTGGGGCTGACCTGCCAGCGCATGACGAGGAACATGTAGTACAGCACGGCGACGCGCTCGGGCAGCGTGCTGATGCCCGGGAAGGCGGCGAGGATGTCGGTGAAGACTTTGGATAGCGGGTGCGAGAAGGCGCTGTGCGCCGGGTTCAGGAGCGAGGATACCGACGGGTAGCGCGGGCCTACCACCTCGCGCGCGGGGACCCCTTCGTGGGCACGCTGCCGCCGCTCCGAGAGGAAGTCTAGGAGGAGGTTGTCTAGGGGGCAGGTCGGCGCGCTGTTTTTTATGGGCGCGGTGCGGCCGATCCAGGATGAGGGCGTCGTTGTGGGTGTGTCTACGTTTGGGTTGAGGGGGGTGTATTGCGGGGCGTACTCGATCCGCTGCTGCTGCTGTTGATGATGAGATACTCCATTTTCGATCGCGGTGCCGTTGCGGGAGGGTATGGAGTTCGCGTTGGCGTTGGCGTTCCAGTCGTGCTTCATGGGCAGGTGGTGGTACTCGGGCGTGTCCTGGGGCCCGTCGACGCCGGTTTGCATCCGGCTCACGCGCGCCGAGGGGTCGAGCAGGAAGTCCAGCTTCAGCTGCTCGCCGGCGCCAAGGTCCAGGCCGTGCAGCAGCTCGTGCCGCTGCTGGTTCAGCATCTTGACCTGCGCGAAGTGCGGGCTCGGGTGCGGGTGCGGAGCCTGGGCCTGTGCCTGAGCCTGCCACGACGAAGACTGGTCCGCCATGGTGGACGCGGGCGAGGCGGCGCTCATCGGCGTGGAGGCATTGTAGGTAGCGGTAGTTGGGAGAGAGGGCGACCGCTGCGTAGGCTGGGCGGGCGTGACGTTCGCGAAGTTCGATAAGGGCGGCGTGTTGTAGGCCCCTTCGACTAAGACGAGTCTTGTCAGTCTACTAGATTCCCTTTTCACTGATACGTAGCGGGTATCGTTTCACCTAGTCCCACGAACTGACCTTGCTGATTAGACAATATGGGCTGTATCATGGACATGATAGAAGCTAGGCGGCTCTTGATCTCGGCATTCTCAGCCTCGACGGCCTCCTTCGCCCGTATCACGGCCTGGAGCTCCTGGTAAGGCCGCTGGGACGTCAATTCGTGTATCCGCCTTTCGAGCGTTTCGATCTGGTTCTTGGTACGTTCGCGGATGGCTCGCTGCGCTTCCCGGTCTATCACGAGGAGACGATAGCATTGTTAGCAAAATGTGTATATACTATATAGGTAGGTAGGTAGGTAACGGCGTGACACTAGTATGTGCAATCCTCGAGAGGCAACAAGCTCAAGAGGCAGGCAGGGAGGGAGGAGAGCTGGAGATTGCAACCAATGCAGCGCGGCTTACGAAAGCTTAACTTAATAAGTACGAGACGTTGGTTTTGGTGATTTGGGTTGTATTTTAGGCTTCTAAAAGACGTAGCGGGAGCTAGGATAGGAGCTTAATACCATTGGCTCTCTTCTTCGCAAGCTGTTCAGGCGTCAGGTTAGCCACGCCTCTCGAGCCGGCGCCGAGCCGGCGCTTCTTCGTCCTCTGGTCCTCGACAGGGCCGCCGTCGCCGCCGCCGCCGGCGGAATCCGGGGACAGGCCGCAGCCGTCATCGTGGGAGGAGGAGCAGGGACGAGGAGGAGGAAGGGGAGCGCCGCGCTTGTGGGGACGGCCCGACTCCCCGTTCTCGGAAGGGCTCCCGTGGGTGCTGACGGGACCGCGGCTCGCGGTGGAAGGACGACGATCGGGGATGGCGGCGGTAGCGGCGGAGGTCGAGGTGATGGTAGTAGTAGAAGTGATAGGTGAAGTGGAGAATAAGGAGAAGCCCGAGCCTGCGACGGACGGGTGCATGTCACGGTGGTTAGTAATCCAATGTTACTAGCGACGCGACAGGTGCAATGTCGTGTTATCGTGGCATTCGGCGCAATGCTGCGCAATCGCGTAAATTCCGTATGTCCGGTAGACGATAGTGCGCGTATGCGGCGTGTGGCTTTCCTGGTTGACTGGTCACTGGTCAATCACGATGAATTTCCACATCTGACCCGCCCGGCAAACTCCACCGAGAATGAATAAGATCGTCCAAGCTCCTCCAAACATGAATCAACAGGCCCGAGTGGATCGCTACCAATTTCATTCTTACTCGAGTCAGCAAAACGTCCGACGTAAGCCCCTGCTCCCATCCTGATTGGCCGCTGCCTCATTATTCTGACCCCTATTTCCACCACGTTGGATACAAGCTACAGATTATATTAATTGTCACAAACAAACATCTACTATCCTAGCCCATGATATCATATCCCGAGCTAGGAAATTCTTCGGCATGCGCTCCGTGTTTGTATTAATCTAAGGTGCCAATGCAGGCCTGGGTTATTACCTAGCTCCCTGGCATTTTCAACATGCCCCTGGCCTTTCCAATCACTGTCATGTCGACGAGGCCGATAGCTTTCTCGGGATGTACCTCTTATCTTCATCAATTACTAATACACATCCAATACTAACTTGACTAGTCCGCGGAAGCCCTTGCAAGAGCTTCGTGAAGGTGTGGTGGGAACCGGTATCTCAGCTGGCTTGTATACGTTGTCAAGTCCATGCTGATCTGCTTGAGGTTATCGCACATCATCCGCCGAGTACCCTCGTTGCCACTGAACTGTCCGCTCATGAGTCGTTCCCTCTGTCGAATGCAACACGTGATCGTCCACATCAGTAAGTTAGGTACATTAATGGCAACTGTTTGCGACAGTCCCGAGAACGTAGCGGCGTAATGTCTGATTCTCGTTGGATCGCCATTAGCATCGAGGGGTAGGATCTCGAGCGCCCGAATTTTCTACGTGATTCGTTAGTAAGTTTGTCTAAATATCTAATAGGAACAACAGGAAATACTCACGTCCAGGGCTTCGGGCCACTGACTACCCTCAACCAAGGCCTTGATGTCGCTCATCTGTAGGAGGATGTGGCAAGCAATCCGGTTCTGGTCTTCGATCTTCGTGTAGAACATGGCGTCCTTCTCGTACATCGACATCATCGTCATGGCGAGTTGGATGGGATCATCGATGGATGCCAAGCTCAAACTACTGCCTGGTTGCGCCTCGGGGTCCTTACCATCCGATCTAGGCTTAACTGGCATAAGACGCATAGGATCCTCGCCAATCTCTAGTGAGATAGCCTCACTCAGTGCGCGGCTCACTATGGTTACTACGCTGTCGTAGTCAGCAGCGAGATGGTACAACAACACCGCATCCGTTGTTCGGCCGTTGTCGTCAGCGAACCGGGCCGCTTGTAACGTGACCGTCTTGACGAAGTCGTCTTCCTCGCGGAGTCCGATGAGCGGGGCACGCTCTTCAACTAGACCCGTAATTCGGTGTCCGTCCGGCCGGATGTCGCCGATGAGTTTGCTGAACTCCCTGCTCTCCAAGATGAGCTCCCGCAGAGCTACGTGACAAAGCTCTGCCTGCTGTCGTCCCGCCTCGCCGCCTAGATCGGCATTGAGACAGATTAATGTGAGATAATCGACCGCAGAGGCGACGTCGGCGGCACGGAAATCGCGCGTGTAGTATCCCAGCATACGACCAAAGCTTAGCTGTGGTCTTGAACGGGTATCGTGTGATAAAAGGGAGTCAGCAGTAGTCCAGGGGTCCGCGGGACGTATAAGACCGTAATATTCAAGAGCGATAGAGAAATGGATCGCATCCACGTAGGAAAAGGCGTAAAGGTATGCGATGGCCTGCTCAAACATTCCCGAAAGGATCTGGAGGAAGAAGTACATGCCAAAAGAGCCGTTATCATCTTCGCTTGGCGATTTCGGGAAGTGCTTGAGACCAATTTCCCGTATACTCGTTCGCAGGTCCTGTAATCCGTACGACTCAGCAGCCACTTCTGTTGCCTTGTCGTTTTCACGAGCCAGGTTGAACTGGAGCCATATCCAGTCCTCGATCTCCGTGTTAAGGCCATCGAGACTGCGATTGTTCACGTCGCAACGGCCCACAATCTTGTAGCACGCCATGCGGAATGGGTCGATAGAATTCTCCGGCGCATTGCGAGCTCTTTGGTTATATTCGTTGTTACAACGATCCTGTACTGCGCGCCTCAACCGTCTATCAGGGCTACTCACATACTCGAGGAGGTATGACGCGAAGGTGCGGTCGATGCTCCTGAATGTAGTAGATTGAGTCTTGACATAATCAGCTGCCTCAACAACCTTTCCGGACCGGAGGAGGTAGAACACGATAGCCCAGACGTACTCCCCATCGACTGACTGTAATTCGATATTATCGGGTACGAGATTCTTCCTCGTGTTCCGTAATCGAACGTATGCCTTGATCTTACTGATCACGTCCGGACGACCGCCCAAGTTAGCTTCCCGGGGGTGTTTGGCGATGAGACTCTCGACCTCTTGGAAGAACTTGCCCTCCAAGAAGGAATTGGCCCCATTGAGAATGCGTTTCCTCATTTCTACCGAGCCCGGGGACTTGTCATTCGGATCCAAGTATTTGTCCTTATATTGGCGTTCTTTGGCCGTAGCATCCCCCGCGAAGGTCTCTGCTTCCGGGTTCTCTCCTACGATAGCCATAGCAGCATGATAAGCATCGACCAGTTGCTGGGCGTGTCTATCGCCAGAACTGCCGGCCACTTGCGCGAGCTCATGTAGGATAGGGTACGGTTGCTTCTCGATGCGGGCATGGTTGAGCTGGCGGACACGTTCCGCGAGTCTACCTTGCTTCTCCCTAAGAAATCGATCATCGAACGAAGCAGCACCGTTCAGAGCACCCGGGCTTCCTGCCGTCTCCTGGACGTCCGTGAATTCGGACTGGTGAGAACCAATCTTGCTGGGAGTGCCAATGACTGACTTCTGAAGGTTTGATCGACCAAATGAGCTAGCCTTGATGCCAGGCGCTGTAGATCGCGCGGCCTTAGCTGTTCGTCGCGATCGGCCAAAGCCTGCATGTGACTCTCTGCCAGTGGCTGCGGGTTGTCCTTCCGCAGGTCCATCATCTTTAGTCTTAATACCGAAGTGTTCGTAGATTCTCTTCCTCTGAGCCTCCCACTCCATGTTGATGTTGTCTTCGAGGAAATTATCGAAGTCCCTAGCCGATCTTTCCAAGCCATCAGCGATCATGCTCAAGGTCGTTTTCTTCTGGATGTTCGAGAGATAGGCATCGACGTCGATATCTGAGGCAGCGGGGGCGGGCGCAGGTCGTTCGACGCGGCCTCCGATTCGAACGTCGAAGTCGTTTAAGTCTCTGACGGCTGCTGCTGGCTCGACACCAGAAGCCGCGAGAATGTATCGAGCTTTGTCATGGGCTACAGGATCGGCTCGCGGGCCAAGCTTTCGAAGACGTTGGCGAAGATCTCCCAAGCCAAGCTGAAGGCTGGGAAGGTCTTCGAGGGGAGACTGATCGCTTCCTTGTTTCTTGCTCTTCGAGAGGAGGCTGTCGAAGTAACCTGTAGTATTGCCCTGCGGCAACGTGCTGGCATTGAGCTGGCTATTTCCGAGGATAGACGAGGTTCCTTGAGGTAGGTTATTCGTAGATTGTCCAAGACCAAAGCCAAGGCCGCCAGCAGGCTGCTGGTTCTGCAGAGTCGCGCCAAACATACTTCTTTGCTGGAGTTGTTGTTGCTGCTGCTGTGGCTGCTGAGGTGTTTGAGGTTGTGCTGTGTTGAGCGAACCGAATAGACCTCCTGGTCGAGATTGTTGAGTGTTCGATGTCGCGCCACCAAGGTTGGAGAATGGACTGGTACCTTGAGCTTGCTGAGGTTGTTGTTGTTGCGTTTGATTGGAGGTAGCACCAAACAAGCTACTTCCGAGTTGGGGTTGCTGTGTAGTTTGCTGCGTAGGGCGTCCAAATAGAGAAGAGGTAGACTGGGTAGACTGAGCAGGTTGGCCAGTAGCTGTGTTGGCTGTTGGATTGAGGCTTCCTCCAAACAGACTGCTTCCAGAAGCCTGCCCCGCCGGTTTCGCTCCAAACAGCGACATGTTGGAAAGAAAAACGATAGGTCGGTCACTGTTTGCAGATGGTGGGGTAGTTGCTGCAATTGGTAGCAGCGATTATATCCCGATACCAAGGTAAAGTAATCGGGTATTGGTATTGTGAATTTATGAAGCTGGAAATTTCCTAGCAAGGCTGAAAAACAATCAACAAGGCAAAAACGTTGCTAGTAGCTAGCGCACAGACCATCACACGTACACTAAATCAGGTCAGCTAATACAGTCACTTAATAGTGGACCTTTTCTAGGTACATACCATTAGTAGCTTGCTCCACTGTACCGCCCGGGTTCTATGCTCACATTTCAAGGGTATCTTATCGTCTATATCAACTTCAGAATTCCGAGACTACTGCCTGAGCAGTCTTTTGTAATGACACCAATTGTATCAACAGTTTCACAACTACGTGTTATTCTTTCTAACCACTAGCGTCAGTCTCAACGTATACAGAATACAATACCTAGAATACCCAAACACAAGGTATATGCAAGTCAAACCGTCACCATCCGTACCAAGATGTTAGTCAACTCAATATCATAGCAAGCAAAGTCAAAGACCTCGGGTTTCATCGCGAAAAAGATCATTCTATCATCATTGCCTATACTCCTAGGTGTACCGGAACAATGATATTTTCTCTCTATCCCACCAGTGTCGCGCCTGACAACAATTCCAGTCCATTAAAGGTACCCTTCTAACTCACAAGCAAACCCCCAACCCCTTTTTTTGTTACCCGAGTGAGTTAAGTTACCTCCTATTTTCCGAATTCGTGGTCCCAGGTGCTGGTGGCCGCGTCGATTCTCTGGCGGTAGTCCCGTTGGGTACGGCACTGTTCTAGGAAGACTTCGTACTTGGCATCAAAGAGCTTTTGCTCGTTGGCATCGGTCCCGGGCTTAACGAGCCGGCCAGGTTTGCTCATGCGATCCATGATGGTCCACAGGTTCTCCGTCTTTCCTTCGCCATCTCCGCTCGCTGCCTTCGCACCAAGCATGGCTGCTCCATGTACCACAGCAGCGTGGACGTAACGGGGAATTAGTACCGGCTTGCTGCAGACCGTTGCAATGAGATCCATGAGCATATCATTCTGGCACTGGCTGCCGGACATGAAGATGGTCTGAATGTTGTGACCAGCAGTATTCATGGCTTCGATGATTTGTCGTGTTTGCAGGGCAATAAACTCCATTGTAGCATAGTAGTATAGTGCAAGGCCGTCCACGCTAGAGTCTGGACTGAGCCCGATCACCGCACCCTTCATGTTAGGATCCGCAATAGGCGACCGGTTACCCCATAAGTCGCCGTAGAAGAAGAAGTGTCGGCCAAGGTAGGAGACTGTGGGAGCACTAGTCTTCTCAGCCAGCTCCCTAAGATGGCCATTCATGTAATCATAAATGTTCATATGCATAGCTTCAGCAAGAGGTATCACTTCTTTGTGCGCTGGATGCGTCTCTATGACGTGCCTTAGAAGCTCACCCGTGGCCGACTGACCGCCCTCTGCTAACCAATAATTAGGCAAGAGTACGTCACGGTAAGGTCCCCATACTCCATTTACGAATACAGGCTTCTCGGACATGGCAAGATGGCAAGTAGATGTACCAGCTACGGCAGCAAGCCGAGTAGAGGCTTGGGCAAGGTCGTTCGCGGGAGCGCTCTCGTCGGAATGACCATATTCAGTGTCGACCTTTGCTCCTACAGTACCAACCCAACCAGCATAAGCATCGATGACACCGCTACCTACCGCGATGCCAGCGGGCAGACCTAGTTGCTTACTAGCGTTTTCGGATAGGTGGCCGACAAGCTCGCCAGCACTAAAGTATTTACCATTCTATAAATGAATTAGCGGAACAGTTCAGCCCACAACGAGCTACTGGGGTAGAAGGAGAGCTTACCACTCCATTTACTCCACCCATGCGCCTGAAGTTGTCTTTAGCTAGATCTCCTAGCCCAATCTCATTGAAAAAGTCCTCTTGCCAGCCCTTCTCACTCCCATCTACACCTACTGGGACGTAACCCTGTTTGCATACAGTGCTGCAGAAGCTTCGATTCTCATTGCCCGTGGCTAAGTGAGTCAACGCATCCGACAAGTCGTAGAACTTGCAACGGCTGAAAAGCTCTGGGGGCATGTTGTTCTTCAGCCATAGTACTTTAGGGATCTCCATCTCAATGCTCATCTTGCCTCCAACGTAGCGTAGTAGGTTGTGGCCGGTGCCGTTGATCTTCTCGGTCTCTTGGACGGGACGGTGGTCCAGCCAAAGAATGACGTTTCGGTCGTGGCCATCGTTCTCAAAGTCTGGGCCGGTAACTGTGACGGGTAGGTCATCATCTTCGGAGAAGACTGCTAGGGAGCAAGTAGCGTCGAATCCAATTCCCTTGATGGAGTCGACGTCAACTCCAGACTGGTGTACGACGCGCTGAACGCAATGGCAAATGCAGTGCCAGATATCGGTAGTCGATTGCTCCTAGATGGGTTGTAAGTTAATTTGTTCCTTTGATTAAGACAAAAGCAAGAAGCGGGAGCTTGTAAAAGAGTACGTACATAGTAGCCTACTTGTGGCTGCCATAGCTTGATAGCCTCCGAGGCCAGGGCCTTAATGTCTCCGGACGAGTCTATTAGACAAGCACGAGCGGAACCAGTGCCTACATCGATACCAATATAGTGATCCTGCATGGTAAATGTTGTCAATCAAGTGTGTTCAAGTAGCTTCATAGGAAACATGAACGATTGTTCGTCCAGGGAACGCACAATGTCTTCGAAGTGAATTACGTTCCGGGTACTAAATAGGAAAAGGAACGTCTTTGTGTCAGAACATGGCTTTTAACTCTCAGTCATACAGACGATTCAGGATTATTACTAACTCCATCGTGGGGGAAATAATGCCCTCAACTGGCAGGCACGAACAAGTGAATAGAGTTATTAATCGCACAAGAAACTTTGATCCGTCCAATTGTATGTGTTACTAGGGTTGTACACGATACGCCGTCGATGATACACAGATACACGATAGCTCTTTCCTTGAGGCTTTTCCTTCCGTCGTGCCAATTGCGTCGAAGGAATCGTGTGTGCGTCAGCTTAAGGAGGAAGCCGGGGGAACAATCAAATTCACGCAGGACAAGAACGGACAAGACGGAAAAAGCACTTATGTGGGAGGGCAGATGTAGAAATCTAGAAATTAGAAATTGCCCAAGTATAAAAAAAATTAATAAAAAAAGATAAAACTGTTCAGTGACCCTCGTAGCTTGCCTAGGTGCTTAGGTAGGTGCTCTAGGTGTGAGTTGCTCTAAGAAGCTCCCCCCTTGCTACCCTGCTTGCCCTGCTACCCTCCTTCAACCTTTCTACAGCATACAAGCATACTACTGTACCTGCTATGCAGTGGCTAGCGACTAGCAAGCATCGAAAGTCTGGGAATGGCCTGGGCAAGCCTGGGCCTTGGGCGAAGCAGTTGCCAATCCTACCCAGTTGCAGGGTACACCGCGATACTCTAGTGTCGTCACAAGGTGGGGATGGTGGGGAAGAGAGGCGCTAAAGCCAGCAAGACACAGCGATACCCCGCCAATCCTTGCCCCAATTCATCGAGCTCTTTCCCTCCGCGCGGGATAAGGTTGACTAGCACTTCCTAGCACCAGGTACCTATCCGTACCGACTCACAATCTTCCAACCATCCAGAAACCACCAAACTCTCACACCTGATAGGCATCGTGACTTTTGTTGGGTGACAAACCGCTCCAACCAACTCCACAAATATTCGGGTGAGCCGACAATAACGTGGGAGGCAAGAGAAAAATTTTATTACGAATATTGGAGACCCGTCCTTACCGTCTGGAGTCTTGTCTGCTTGTCCATCTGTCATCTGTCCTGTCTGTCAGAGATCGCACTAAGCAGAATCCACATTACAGCTGTACAACAGGGTTGCTTGGAATCCAATCCTTGGGACGTGATGCACATACTGCGTCCACCGCAACTTGGCTCCGGGAGTTTGCAGGAAGTCCGGTCTTAGGAGGATTGTCACGATGATCTTTTGGTGTGGCAATTCCGCCACTCCCTAAGACCGTCTGGGCTATCGGGCTGTCTGGCCTGTCTAGCCCTCGTTTGTAAGTACTTACATGTAGGCGAGACGACTGCTCCGGTCTGTTTGGTTCGTCAAACCCCCCTCCGCAAGACCGCCGATCAGCCAACATATCAAGTTAAAAGCCGCACGCCAAAAGCAAGGCAAAAGCAGGCAAAGGTTGCTTTCTTCGTGTGAGGGAATAGTAATTAATAAATTCCAAGTCGGAAACTTTTTGCAGAAACGGAAACTGACTGGGTATATCTACGCGAGCAACTCCCAATTCCGAGGTAGGAAACAAATTTTCAGCTAACCTAAGCCATTCGCCCGATGTCCGGAACGCCTACCTAGTAGATAATCGTGGATATTCGTGTAACCATCGTGAAAGTCATCGACTTCGCCATTACGATCGTAGGAATTAGTTTGTGCGTATTTCTCATCCCGTACCCTTGTCCCCCATAGCAGACCTGCAAAACACCCCCTGTGAAACTCCTGTCCGCCGCCTCCCCTATTCTGCATCTCCCGGTTGATCCTCAACAAGTATTACCACCGTTAAGGTTGCCGCGTAAGCCTCGCGGATAGCGCACGCCATGCTGTGTCGCATTAGCCATTAATCGATTAAATACACCATCGTCGTGCGACAGAAACAACTCACCAAGTCCTACTGATGTCCGCCACTACTGCGCTGAGTCCCCAGTGGGAACACCATGCCCGCGCCAAGACTTCGTTGTCGCTATTACCGAATGCTTGGATTACTAGCACTCTCTCCTCGTCGCTATCGTCGATATGATGTGTTGACTTGCTACCGCCAATTGCCAAAGACCCGTTGCTCCTTTTCTTGTCAATAGGCTTACCCCAATCAAGAATATCCACCACTTCATCAACGCTACGGAGGCTATAGACATAATCGAAGAATAGAGGGTGCGGTCCGTCAGAACACGGCCAAGCGCTGATGAACGAGACATCGAATGTCAAATGAAGGGGCCACGACACGCCGTCGATGGCGAATTGTATTGATGCATCGAACCATTTTGGGTTCGCTTCTGGCTTATCAGGAAGCGTCCTAAGATTGATTTGCTCAATTCGTATCGTATCGACGATGTCGTCCATATCTGGTGTAAGTAGATCATAATCTTTGACGGGAAAAACTTTAGAAGGCGGTCCTAAAGGGTCCGACCTATCACTCATCGATATAACGTCCTCTGGTGTTAGGTGATGGTGCCGTGGTTTTTTGGTGCGGATACGGGCGATCTGAGTGCGGCTTAAGTCACTCGTAGGTCGGGCCGGACCAACCCATCCGGCAACCTCAAGACAGGTTGGTGCAAGCACTTTCCCAACAATACAGGTTGAGGCCCAATATGTGTAGGACTTGCGGTATTGAAAGCCGCAGTGAGGATGAAGATGCGTTAGTAAGGCGAGATCGTCTGTTGCCTCGTCGGGATCAACATCGATCAGAGAGTTCATAATAAGATAAGGGAATGTTGGCTACGAATTATTAGCAAGTCCAACAATGTTATGAAAACAAATCAAATAGTAGGCACTTACTCCTGGTAGAACTAGACCACTAAAGAAAGCCATGGCATGCGAACTAACAGGCATCAGGGAGCCCTCCGCATCTCTCAGCTTCAGCTCATCCAAAGTTTCGGGCAGGTTCGGCCATTTCATCATCTGAGCGAATCTCTTCAACATCTTGACCTGCCTCTTTCTTAACTTGAACCGTAGTTTTACCTGATCGGCAGTTTCGCCGTAACTCTCGACACGAACGAAATCCCTCCAGCGCCTAGCAAGTGCTAAATTCCATTGAATCTTAGGTGGTATAGTCGAAATAAGTCTCTCCTTGGCCCAATCCGTGTGGAGCCTCGAATTGATTCGCAACTCCAGCTCGAGACTCAGAAGTAGCTGGTAGAAGAACTTGTGGTATTGCTGCTGATTTTCCGGGCCGGTGTCGTAGATGTACTTCGTCACAACCTGATTCTTCGGATTTGAGAAGTCAATCCAGTCTGAACCCGACAGGCACATAACCAGATCCGTAATCTGTCGTTCCATCGTCTTGTGCGGGTTGAAGACCTTGTCAGGGTCTCGGAGAAATCGTTTGTATATACGATACAGTAATTCATCGTCGTCATCTTCTAAACCAGCTTCCAAATCCTTCAATCGGTCGAAGATCTGAGTCAAACTAACTTCTCTTGGGAGAACCCCAGGATCACGAAGCCCGATAAAAGGCGGTATTGCACTAAAAAGGCCAGCCCAGTGATTTAGAGTAATAGTGCCAGGTCGAGCACCGTATCCAAATGCAAGGCTTGGTTGTTCGAGGGTCTCCCAGGGATAATTGGGCGGCCCAGAACCTTGGATTTTCAGGGTGGTAAGCTGGGTCATCGCATTATGCTGGTTCACGGTGTCTCCCTCATCACCATGGTTGCCTGCCGTTGTGGTGAACAAACCGTAATAATGTTCTGAGGCGTGCGGGATGGGGCGTTTGTGTCCCTTATGTGCCGGCACACCTCTCGAGATAAGCTCCATAGCATGTCCGAGGGTAAGTTCTTCCTCGCTAGACATACCCGACGGTGGCCATTCTGACAAGGGCGCTGGATCATATCTGTGGCCGTTTGAATGCTCCTTGCCCTTGCCTTTAGAGTCACGGGGGTCCGGACGGCGAGGTCGTCTGCGGGACCCGACACTAGTGAGTTCAGGTCGCTCAGACCGCCGTCTTCGAGAAGCTACGTCAACATCGCTAGCCCGTCGCGAAGGCGATGGCTTCTCCTATATAAAACTATAAGTAAATGTGAAGCCTACCTAGTAGTTGTCAAGAAAATACATACAAGCTTGTTGCTTCCTTGCGCGTTGTTAATCCTGCGGATCAGACCGCTCCAAAGCCCTTTCTTCTTTGGTTCGGCCATGGTTATGTCGCATCAAGTTTTGGCCCGGCATAAAGAAATGTAAAGTGCAGAAATATTGAGAATAATTTCAATATATTTCGAGGAGGTTCTTGAATGTCGATATGAATTACTTACGCGTCAGGCCTTGTGGCTGGGCACACTGCACACCTCAGGAACCAAGGCAGCCGGCAAATAACAAACAAGGAAATTGACCTCGAGGTAGGCTTCGGTACTCGGAGCCAAATAAACTCACTCAGCGATTTGATCGTTGTCTCATCTGACAACAACCTTAGAAAAAAGCGGACTAGTATCGCAGAAGCGCAGAAATGATGGATTCAATGTTCAAAGCTGATTTGCGAGATAAAAAGGTACGGAGCTAAATAGACTAATAAGTTCCAGTTGTTGCCGTGGCAGGAGAAATATTTATTGTGTTTTAGGTCCGTCATGTACATGAACGCACAAAACTAGAAGCTGCAGGTGCGTCATATGCACAATCCAGTTAGGAAGGGTCCATCGACGCCAGCCTCAATGCGCTTGCTGCATCATGCTTGAAACGAGTCATTGTATTCAGTGGACTGATTGGATCTAAATCAGAGGAAACAACCATTCAGGAACATAATACGTCGCTGCCACAGATATGAGCAAACCAATCGCTTACATAAACTGCCACTATGTATCTGCGCTATCCACTTACAACATTGAACAGCAACTCCCTTCCTTCATCTTCAGTGTTGGCAAGTTTCCATTTGTGCAACTTTTTGTTTCGGATAATAACAATCTCACCAAGAGCATTGAAGCCCAAGGAATTTTTATGCTCCGTCAAATTCTTCTTTGGTATTTATGCTCTCATACCTTCATGGCTACACATACTATGCGCGCAACAATTTTTGCGAATCCAATACCTCCAATATCCGGGCATCAACCACACCACTAGGCATGCAGTATGCAACGAACAAATTTCTTACACATATTTCCTCCAAGTGGTAACACAAATATTTACTACCGTTAACTTCTTTGCCTCTCTACTCTACATCAACTCGCCAATCGGAAACATGGCCTCGGTTTCATTCAACAGTTGTTTATCCAATCTCGCAAACGCGGCCCGGTACTATAGGCAAGTAGTTAGCTAACATTCTCTCCAACGAAGAAAAAGGAGGGAGAGAGTTATATAAAGGTTGATAGGTCTTACCGAAAACACAAAGTTCAATATCAGAGCGAGCATCAAGGCAGCGCTGACAGCCAGCGGCCCAATCATGTTGTCGAAGTCCTTGCCGCTACGCTCCATGATCATGTCGCGACGCTTGTGTAACATGGTATATCCCCAAACCCCGGCCATAATGGCGATTACGATATAGGCAATGCCCATGCACTCAGCGAGGAAATTCTCTCCCGCTGCTGTGTACAGACTGATTGCCAAACTGCCTAGTAGGATACATATATGCTGCCACTTGAGGAACGTCCGCTCGTTGGCGAGCCACACCTTCGGCTCGACTTGTAGCGGACCCGCGTTTTTGAGCCAAACCTCGGGCTTGGTAACACCTTCAGGGAGCTGCGCCCGTTGTCGCTTGGCCCGGGAATATCGAGACAGAGAAAAGCCGGGGAAGACGGATGAAAGGGTCCCATAGCTTCTCTGCTGTGTTGTACCCTCTTCCTCACCCGGCTCGACATCTTTGTTTACGGCGGTTGGTGGTAGAGAGGCTTTGGCATCCCGAGCGTCTCTAGCAGCTCGCTCCGAGAGATACGACTTCCCGACTGGTGAACTTGTTGCTGGCTTGTAGGAACCCATTTTGGCGGCGGCACCACCACCTAAGAAACTGCCCACGACCATTGCGTCTTCCGCCTGCTGCGCTTTACGCTGCTCTTCTTCGTCGTGCGCCGTTTGCGGATCTTTTCGGATGTCTGTTTCGAGATCGCTGAGCCATAGGGGTAGGTGGTTGACGTAGTCCTCGAAGAGAGATGCGACACCATGAACGAATTTTGAGAACCTCGGAGCTGCATGGACGAGATGAGAAACCATCAAATCCTCTACCCACCTTGGTCGTTTGCGACCACCTTCCTCCTTTAACTTGATCTCCAGGAGTGCATACGGAAATCTCGACACCTCACTCTGGTTTATATTCTTGAATGGAAACGTCATGTTACCGTTATCGATGTCTCTTCGGTGCCACTCCTGAGGATCGCGGCACGGCCGGTCACGATCTAAGGTATCTTCGCGAATAAAGGCAATATCGGTATCAATCGAGATCCGGACGCGGTCATCAGAAGGCTTCTGGAACGCCGTACGGGTATAATTGGCCCTTAGGATCGGTTCGAGCCTGCGCTTGATAATGAAGTCTTGGATCTCTCCCGCAGTAGTCTTGAAAGATTCGATAGCTTCGGCAGACTGGCCTTGTCTTTCCATCTTCTGGATCGTCTTTTCCATCTTGTAATCCCCATCGATGAATTGTTTGATATATTTGTCCTTTATGTGAAACTTCTTCTCCTCGCTGATGCCATTGTCATGTACTATCTTTTGTTCAAGGACAATATCGGGCTTCGAATCCAACTGGCCATACCAGCGCAGTCTCAAAGATGAGGCTTCAACCTGGCGATCTACCTTGATACCATATATTTCAAATTTGGAGTTATCAAAATAGAGGGACGTGATCTTGGGGTCGTTGTTGCCGTCGGGTTCTTTCCCGGCTTGCTGGGTGTAGACAAGCGAAGGCAGGTGTCGCAAGATGGCGGTCTTGACTTCAAGGAGGTTGTCGGGGTGTATCCAAACTGAAAATAGCACATTAGCTTAAATGTAGAGCTACAAGTGTCTCGGGTCCTTACATTTATGAGCGGTGTAACGTTCTCCGTTGTGCACCTCCTGCTGATTCTCCAAGTCCAAATCTAGCGGCTGTCGTTGTTCGCCCTCGTCGAGATTCTGGTTTATGGCATAGTACATCAATGACAGCTTCGTGAGCAGGGGCGAATACGCCTGCTCCGAATTGAAACCATGCTCGGACAAGCTGACCCGCATCATGGGCCGCACCTTATATCGGTCGCCACGCTTGCGGTCGTGCTTCTTCGCGATCTTCAAGAAGCCGGTGTAATTGGCGCTGCTGTACTTCTTCAGCTCCTTGACCTCGTTCGTGATAGAGTCGAGCTCGCTCTTGAGCTCCTTCAGGCGCGCCGTCGTGATGTCGCTCTTGGGCTTTTCCTTGTCGTCGGTCGAAGGCGCCATGTCCTTGAGCTTCTCGAAGGCTACCTCCGCGCGCTCCTTCAGAGAGCTGACGATCTTCTCTTGGAATCGCGCGACTTTGTCGAGCTGCACGTTGAAGATCTCGTCGCAGAACCGGTTCTCGTCGTCCTCGGTCCAGGGCACGTCCTCGTCTTCTCGTCGATCCTCCCGCAGCATCGTCTTCAGCTTCGAGTAGTCGATGTACTGGTCCTTCCATGGCGGGTAGATGGACTCTCGTAGAGTCTTTCCGAACCGCATCTTGGAGATTTCGTGGCTCTGGGGCTTTTTTCGTGCTTTTTTCCTCCTTCAATTGATCACGAGGTTTGGGGGGTTGGTATTGGAGTGCAATTACGTATTGGCACAGACAAGATTCGAATTCAAAACAACAGAAAAAATATACAATTAAATCGAACCCAATTGGGTCAGTTACAGACAGCAGAATACAGATTACGCATACAGAATTCGCAGTCAAGTGTCAAACTGACCGAATTGTCTTGGTACACGAGTAAGTCAAGGAGATTTTGAAGGAAGAAGAGGTTATATTTTGCACAGTACAAATTGCGGACCTGGCTTGTCGCAGCTCTTTCGTCACGACTCTCTGTTACCGGCGGGGCAACGAAACTTACGTATCCCAGCCTGCCCAGCTATTACCTAACCCCTGCCTCCCCTTCCCTCGATCCAGCCCCTAACGCGACCTAGATCTATACTACCCACGGCATAGTCCATTACGAACGAACGAGCTTACTTGCCAATGAAGCCTCGTATCTACAAAACGTGGTTCTAGAGCATCGCGGCTTAAACGACGCTAGAAGAAAAAAAAATACAACTTTGTATGGTGGATACTAGTAAGCGCCTACATGTGAAAGACAACTTCATGATCAACACTAAGGGAAAATATTGCTATGTAGAAACAAAATCTACACGCATGGGTATAGAGATAACTTAAACATGCTATAGCTCTACATGTCCTTCCTCACCGGGTAACATCATTTACATGAAGCTTAAAAGGATCTCTCTGAGAACCCTCAAGAATACACTAGAACCATACCTACATATACTTAAAATATCGCCGTGGATGATCATTCATATATATTCTGTTAAAGCAATCCCTCGGACGAAGTTGTCACAATTCATCAAGTGCCCAAGCAAGATTAAAATACAAAATATATATAAATATCCACCTGACTAAAGTATCATATATACAACCCGTACACTTTCATAATCATGTGAACTCCATGCTCGCGAAAAAAAAAAGGACTGACATAAAAAGGTATTCTGTTTTTCCGAACCGCCTACGAACATTCTCGCCCCTTTTCGTGGTATCGTAAAATCAAATCGTAATAGCAGCGAGCCTGTCCAAAAAATCTAGCTTTTGACATAGCTGTACATGAACTTCGTATCAATCTCGTTGTATAGAAAACTTTTTGTTTTTTCACCCTTTTCACGCCGCGACGACGCTGAGAATCTCCCGCGCCGTATGCTTGATAATGCCACCGGTGACGGGTAGACTAGTGTAGTGAGAGAGGAACAGGTCAACTTCGCGAGCGGCTTGTCGTCCTTCGTTAATACCCCTAGACGACTTTGTTAGTTTATGCTAGTTTGTGGGCGAGTAAATTGGCTTACCAAACGATCAATGACTGGCCACGACGGCAGTCACCGGCTGCGAAGATGCCGGGGACGTTTGTGGCATACGAACCGGGGGGCGTCTTGACATTCTTTCGGGCATCCTTCTCGATCTCTTCACCAAGTACACGAGCCTCAGGACCAAGGAAACCCATAGAGAGAAGGACGAGGTCGGCAGGGAAGAACTGCTTCGTGTCCTCCAGCTTCTTCATATCCCAACCGCCGCTAGCGGACTTGGTCCACTCAACGCGAATGGTGTTGATACCCTTGACACGTCCACTACCGTCGTCGACGAACTCCTCGGACATGATGCAGTATTCGCGAGGGTCCTTACCCATGTGCTGAGCCACTTCCGTGTGACCATAGTCGACACGGTAGATGCGAGGCCACTGTGGCCAGGGGTTATCACGGCCACGCTGTGGCGGAGGCTGGGGCAGAAGTTCGAAGTTAATGACCGATTTCGCACCATGGCGGACAGAAGTACCGATGCAGTCGTTACCAGTGTCACCGCCACCAATAACTACAACATTCTTGTCCTTGGCAGAAAGGTAGGCGCCATCAGCTAGCTCAGAGTCAAGCAGAGACTTGGTGTTCTTGTGCAGGAACTCCATGGCAAAGTGGATGCCTTCTAGGTTGCGACCCTTGATCGGAAGGTCTCGGGCAACGGTGGCACCAGTAGCAATGACGACGGCGTCATTGGCAGCCTTGAGGTCCGTCAACGTGATGTTCTCGCCGATCGTAACACCAGTCTTGAACTGAACACCTTCAGCAGCCATGAAGTCTGTCCTACGCTTTACAACACGCTTATCAAGCTTCATGTTAGGGATACCGTACATAAGCAGACCACCAGCTCGGTCGGCACGTTCGTAGACAGTAACGGTATGTCCGGCTCTGTTCAACTGGTCGGCACAGGCAAGGCCGGCGGGGCCGGAACCGATGATAGCGACCTTCTTGCCAGTTCGGACTTTGGGTGGTCGTGGTACCATCCATCCCATCTCAAAGCCACGGTCGATGATAGCGCACTCGATCGACTTGATACCAACGGGATCCTCGTTGATGCCAAGCACGCAGGCACCTTCACAGGGAGCAGGGCAAACACGACCAGTGAACTCGGGGAAGTTGTTGGTCATGAGCAGACGGTTAAGAGCGTCTTGCCATTGGTTCTGGAAAACCAACTCATTCCACTTCGGAATAATGTTAGAGATCGGGCATCCCGTATCGGATTGACAGAAGGGAACACCACAGTCCATGCAACGAGCTGACTGGTACTTGAGCTCGTCTTCATTTAGACGCTGAGAAAGTTCGGCCCAGTCCTTAGTCCTAGTCTTAGAACTGCGGTATTTCTCTGATCGTCGCTGGTACTTCATGAAACCCTTAGTCTTGTCGAGAACAAGAGCACGCTTCTTCTCGGATGCGTTGTCGCCAACTGTCTCCTCGATATCTTGGAGTTTAGCAGCTTTATCTTCTTTCTTCGCCTGGACACCAGACACGACTGGAAGGTTGTATTCGGCACGCTTAGCCTCGGCAGCCTTAGCAGCTTCCTCCTGGAGGACTCGCTTGTAGTCAACTGGAAGAACCTTGACAAAGCGCGGGAGAGCTCTGTTGAAGTCGACAATAATGCGAGCGGCCAACTCAGATCCAGTGTAGTGATGGTGATCTTCGATAAGGCCGCGGAGGAAGGCAATTTCGGTTGGGTCATCAACCTCAGAAGCTTCGACCATCTCCATGTTGAGCTTGGACATAAAGTCACCATGAATGTCAAGGACATAGGCAATACCTCCCGACATACCGGCGGCAAAGTTGCGACCAGTGCTTCCTAGGATAACCACGCGGCCACCAGTCATGTACTCGCAACCGTGATCACCGATGCCCTCGACAACGGCCGTGGCTCCTGAGTTTCTGACGGCAAACCGCTCGGCTGCGACACCTCGGAAGAAGCAGGTACCGCTGGTTGCTCCGTACAAGCAGACGTTACCAATTAATATGTTCTCCTCTGCTTTGAATACCGCTGTCCGAGGGGGGTAGATAATGAGTCGACCACCAGACAGACCCTTACCAACATAATCATTGGCGTCACCTTCCAGCTCTAATGTAATACCAGGAGCAAGGAAGGCACCAAAAGATTGACCAGCCGAACCCTTGATGTTGACGTGCACCGTATCCATAGGGAGGCCAGCTTCTCCATAACGTTTGGAAATCTGGTACGAAAGCGACGTACCCATAGCACGGTCGGTGTTGACAATGTCACACTCGATGCGGGATGGAAGCCCCTTATCGAGAGTCAACTCAGCTTCAGAAATAAGCTTGTTGTCGAGTCGGACATAAAGGCGGTGATCCTGTTTGCGGACGTTGTATGTGGACACACCGGGTCGAAGCTTATGGGCGGGGGTGAGAATCAGAGAGAGGTCGATATTGGAAGTCTTGTTGGTTCGAAGATCATCTCGGACTTTTAGACACTCAGCATGTCCGACCATTTCGTTGATGGTTCGGAAACCAAGCTGAGCCATGATCGCCCTGAGCTCGTTAGCGACATAGTAGAAGAAGTTGATCACATGTTCAGGCGTTCCAGTGAACTTCTTGCGAAGTTCAGGGTCCTGTGTGGCAATTCCGACCGGGCCTATGGAGAAGTCAGTAATTCATTCGCTAGGAAGGAGTTTCAAGAATCTCTTTCAAAAATAAGATTTTCTTGTGCTGGAGTTTGAAGAAATCATTATAATAACGTGGCTTAAAATGTGCGGACTTACATGTATTTAAGTGACACTTCCTCATCATGATACATCCCATGGCAATCAGAGGCGTTGTAGCGAAACCCCATTCCTCAGCACCAAGCAGACAAGCGATGGCGACATCACGTCCGGTTCGTAATTGGCCGTCAGTTTGGACGCAGACGCGGCCACGCAGATCATTGAGAACCAATGTCTGGTGAGTTTCGGCAAGACCAAGTTCCCACGGGAGACCTGCGTACTTGATTCCGGTCCATCTACTGGCGCCAGTGCCACCGTCGTGACCAGAAATAAGAATGTGGTCAGCCTTGGCCTTAGCAACACCGGAAGCAACGATACCAACTCCTGTCTCGGACACGAGTTTGACGGAGACACGAGATCGTGGGCTTGAGCACTTCAGGTCGTAAATGAGTTGCTTTAGGTCCTCAATGGAGTAGATGTCGTGGTGAGGAGGAGGCGAGATAAGGCCGACACCAGGCGTGGAGTGACGGGTTCGGGCAATGGATTTGGAAACCTTGTGACCAGGGAGTTCACCACCTTCACCAGGCTTGGCACCCTGCGCCATCTTGATCTGGAGCTCGTCGGAGTCTGCAAGGTATGCTGACGTGACACCGAATCGTCCTGAGGCGACCTGCTTGATGGCGGATCTCATGGTATCACCGTTCGGCATTATTTGGGATCGCTCAGGATCCTCACCACCTTCGCCGGTGTTCGATTTACCACCCAATCGATTCATGGCAACGGCTAGGGTAGAGTGAGACTCCATAGAGATCGAACCGTAGGACATCGCTCCTGTGCAGAATCTCGTAACAATAGCGGTCCACGGTTCAACCTGCTCGATCGGAATCGGGTTGCTTTCTTCAAACTTGAAGTCAAGCATGCCACGAAGAGTACACGCCTTGATCTGCTCATATTCAGAGCGCGAGTAAGCCTCATACGATTTGTCGTTTTTGGTGCGGACGGCATCTTGGATATTCGCAATTGAAGTTGGATCATTGATATGTGCCTCACCGCCATCACGCCAGTGGTATTCGCCAGACTCTGGTAGGCCGGGTATGCCGACGGTTTGGCGGGAGGGGAAGCCGCGTTCATGGAAACGGAATGCGTCTTCGGCAATGAGCTCAAAAGTAAGACCCTTAATGCGGGAAGCTGTTCCCCTGAAGCACCGCTCAACAACTTCGTCGTCGACACCGAGTGCTTCGAAGATCTGAGCGCCCTTGTAACTGGCTAGGGTAGAAATACCCATCTTACTCATGACCTTAAGGATACCACCGTCGCATGAGTGCTTGTAGTTGGCGATGAGGGTGTCGTCGGAAAGCTTTTTCCTGATCAAGCCCTCGCGGTTGAGCTTCAGAATACACTCCATCGCAAGATAGGGGTTGATAGCATCGGCACCGTAACCAAGCAGGACACACATGTGGTGAACTTCGCGTGCCTCGGCGGTCTCGAGAACAATAGCCGCCATTGATCGCCACTTGTTGCTTACGAGATGGTGGTGAACCATACCAGAGGCCAGGAGCGATGAAACAGCAATACGGTCGGCGGATGTCTTTCGGTCGGAGAGAACGATAATTCTGTCTCTAGCCTCAATAGCTGCAGTAGCTTCATTGCAGATGAAGTCGAGGTGCTTCATATAGCCAGCAACGCCCTCCGATTTGGGGAAAGTAAGATCAATGGTCTTCACAGTCCAGTCAGGATGTAATTTAGACATATTAGTCAAGGCATTGAACTCAGGGATAGAGAGAATTGGGCTCGGAAGTAGTAAGCGACCGCACTGAGAGGGGTCCATCTCGAGTAAGTTGCCTTGGGGTCCGACATAGCACTCTAGGGACATGACAATAGACTCCCGGATTGGATCGATGGGAGGATTGGTAACTTGAGCGAAGAGCTGTCGGAAGTATTCATAGAGCAGACGAGGTGCTTGAGACAGACAAGCTAATGGGGCGTCGTTGCCCATGGATCCTAATGCTTCCTTTTCATCAGAGGCCATCGGCGCGAGGAGCAGGCTGACCTGTTCGTGGGTGTATCCGAACGCAAGCAATAAGGGGTCTTCCTGAAGGCGCGTAGAATCTGGCTTTGCTGCTACGTCGATGGCTTTCTCCTCAGATACTTGGCTCAGGACCTTGGGTAAGCTAATAAGCTCCTGGTCAATCCAAGTGCGGAAGTCATTGCGGTTAGACACGGTTGACTTGAGTTCCGAGTCGTCGATAAGGCGACCAGCTTGAGTATCAACAAGAAGCATGCGACCTGGTTGCAGACGTCCCTTCTGAACGACCCGTTCGGGATCGACGTGGATTGTACCGACTTCAGAAGCGCAAATAATGCGGTCGTCATCCAAGATATAGTACCGGCAAGGACGTAGACCATTTCGGTCCAAGTTGGCACCGCAAAATCGACCATCGGCGAATGTGAACAAAGCAGGACCATCCCATGGTTCCATTTGGCATGCTGCCCATTCATAGAACGCAGCCTTCTTTGGGTCCATGGCAGTATTACCTTGCCAAGCCTCGGGGACCATCAGCATGACGGCCTCAGGTAGCGAAAGGACGCCATTGATGGTAAGCAGCTCCAAGACGTTATCGAAAGCGGCCGAGTCGGAGCCACCGGCTTCGACGATCGGGTACAGATGCTCAAGCTCATCACCGAAAATATCAGATTGCATGACACCCTCTCGGGCGCGCATCCAATTCTTGTTACCGCGGAGAGTATTAATCTCACCTAAGGGGGCGTTAGACATACGACGTACACAATTAGAGGAATCTAGAACTACACATACCGTTGTGGGCTGCCCATCGAAGTGGTTGGGCACGATCCCATGAAGGGAAGGTATTCGTAGAGAAACGAGAGTGGACGAGGGCAAAATGAGCCTCATAATCGGCATTTACCAAATCATGGTAGTACTGATAAACCTGTACTGGAGCAAGCTGTCCCTTGTACACAATATTCTTGTTTGAAAGGGAGCACAAGTAAAACCAATTATGCAGGCCGATGGAGTGAGTGGCACGCTTTCGAAGGACATATAACTGTCGTTCGAATAGCCGTTCGTCAAATTTCTCTGGGTCCGTCATTTCAGGAGCATTTCCAGAGCCATATGCAGACGCAAGCACAACAAAGGGCTGTAAAATGAATGGCTCGCGCGAGGATGCAGCAGGTCCAAGGAGAGAAGAGTCTACAGGAGGTGATCGCCAACCCAAAACTCTTAATCCTAGCGATTCGGCAATGTCTTCCAATTGCCTCTTCGACTCCTGCAACGTCTCCTCATCCGGCTTGAAGAAAAGGTTTCCCACAGCATACTGTCCTAGAGGGGGTAGTTTGACATTTTCCTCCCGTTCAAAATTCTTGATGAAGAACTTGTGGGGAATTGAAGTCATAACACCAGCACCGTCGCCATCTCGAGCATCAGAACCAACGGCACCCCGATGGGTCATGTTGCAAAGAAGGTTGCGAGCTACATATTGTCAATTAACGAATCCAGGAATGACTTAAGGGGAGAGGGGTTTATGACTGACCATCGCTGACGATTTTGTGGCTCGCCTTGCCCTTAATATGGCTATACGAATGGTTAGTGAGTTACTTCCTATAACAGGCGATATGATTTTATATCATACCAGGCAAAACCGACACCACATGCATCTTTTTCCAAGCTTGGATCGTACAATCCTCTATACAACTGAATTAGTTCCAAGACCACACCACAACCATTGCGATTACTGGGCACATACTGCTTTACCGGAAGGGCGCCGGCCCAGGATTCATTATTATCTGTCTGATATTCATAAGGATGGTAGGCGTCGGCCTCGGAATCTACTTGTGTTTGTCTATCGTCGAAGTCGGCAGGAAGGCCCATGTCAGGCAAACAGATGGATATGGCCAGATGGGGGTATGGAGCACTACGAGGGTCGGAGGTATCTAGATGCCTCTTGGGAAGCGGCCCTGGTGTATACGGTATACGGCGAATGAAAGCAGCTGACGCTGCTTAAACGTCAGGTCAAAGCTAGTCCACAAGTTATGTCAGCTCGTAGTAATTAAGTCTTGGATCGGCAGATGCAAACAACGGTAACAGCGCGAGAGATAACGCAGAACAATGGGTTGATCCGTTGATCCAATGGCGAATAGCGATCCAGGCAACGTTCGATATTGGAGGGTCCAGGGTGGCGGCGATGGATATCCAGTGGGAAGTAGATGCGGGGTGATTGTGATGGTACGCCCAGACTAGATAGACTAGCACCCAAAAGCGATTTCTTTTTTTCCTTCTCCTCTCTTATTTTTTTTCACTGGTGCTCCTTTATCTCTTTTGTATTGTATAGAGCGGAGTTTGCCATGTGATGCTGGCGGCCGAAGCGCAGTAGACAAAACTCTATCCGGACACTAGGACGGGTTGCAAAAATGTCCAACGAGCTTCGCGGGTATCCAATCAGGAAACAACTGAAGCGGATTGCGATTATCTCGTGGCAAAAGGATTCGCGACCCCTTCCCCGCCCTTCAAGTATCCAGAAAGTGTCATTCTGTCCGCTTGACCGAGAAGTAATAAGAGAAAGACGGAACCAAAGTTGGGAATCGTCATTGTCATTGTCAACGACGAATAAAAAGAGAACCAGAAAAAAAAAGCGTGGAATAGCTTCTTCAATATTCTCTATTCTCAATGATGCGCTTAGCCCCGAAAATGCACCACTGGCGTCATTGGGCTTGGATAGACAGCCCACCACGACACACCCATGTAAATGCGAGCTGAATCAGGAAATTGGATTGTCGAATCATAAGTGGTCGCACGTTCGCATAGTGAGAGCGTGGGGAGCGATATGACAACAGCCAATTGAATGGCTTCCAAAAGCAACTATGCGGCTATCGATCTTGCGTCTGATAGGTTGACGATCGTGCATATGATGCCCTTTTTGGCCCGATGCCTCAGTTATCACCGGTACATAAAGTACAGTGAGGGACAAGGGTTGCTGCATTTGGAGGGGCGGAGCGCTTCATCATCCAAGCAGCATACGACTCTTCAACACCAAATTTGACAACCGGTGTATAAAATCCATAGGTGATCGAATTGTTGATCCTCTTTTGCTTTCCGATCCCATTTCCGGTCCATGGACACAGCAGGTACTACTATCCAGGTATTCCGCTTTCCGGTCGACATCCGCCATATTCTCGTCGTGGCCGTTGGCGTCCAGGTCGAAGTGTTTCCCGTTCCGGTAGGGGAAATGTAGAAATATAACTATACTTACAAGTTGAAGTCTTTTTGCGCGATTCGCTTTCTTTTTCCTTTCGACTGAGTGTTCTCGAGAGAAATCGTAATACAAATTCAGGGTCTCAACGAGAAGTTGGGTATTTCGCTAGATGGTCTGGCAAGAGAAAGAAAAAGAAGAGGGAAGAAGCGGACGAAGAGGAGGTGCGGCAATGGCGTGGTTTTTATGGTTGTTACAAGTAGCAGAAAGGAGCCAAGCCGGGTTCTCAGATTTCAAGGCTGTTCAGGTGCGTCTACACAATTTCCTCGAGTAAGAATAGAGAGAGGGAGAAAAATATTTATTCATACCCTTAGTGAACAGTGACAAAAATTGGTATGCCTATGTAGAACCTAACATGGGACATGGGGGAGTTAGATCGGCCTCCTCCACCATTGTACCTTAGTATCCAGTCAGTAATAAGTGTACTAGTGCTTAAGTGGGGGAGGGGGGAGATGGCCGAAGGACGGAACGACCTGGTCTTTCATACCCCGGGCATACTGTTTGCGTCTATTGGTCTATTGGCTTATTTGGCTTAGCACTTAGCGGCTAGTTCGATTCGGTGACGTTACCGGAGGTCAATTGGTATTGCCTTCTGACATAGAGTCATTGAAGATTAACAAATGCGCTATTCTGATTGGCCGAGACTAACAAGGACTATGGCAGTTGCTTGGTTAAACCCATTACATACCTAGTACCATTTAGAATTTTTAGTGCCGCGGTACAGATACCTATACATAACTCGGACGCAACCTAAACTTTGCCTCCAAGTCCTTACACACACATAGTGCAACTCTTAGAGTAGTGTAGAGGCGAGGGAGAGAAGAAAAATATTCGCGCAAATTCGGAATCTGGTAACATATGCACCTACATGACATATAATTATATAACCCTTATCCAATGGGCGTTGCTCTTATTTCTGTGTGATCAAAACAGACGTCGTGAGAGGTAAAGTCAGGAGGATGACCACGTAAGTGCAAGAGATGGTGTAAGGGCGTGATGGTCTTTTCGTACGATTATCAACTTGTAAATTGGGAATTGGAAATTGAGGGACTCTGGATGATACGAGACTGTTTGCTACCTAGTAGTTCAATGTTGCTAGTTGCTATGTTGCTAGTATGTTATACATGGGTTGGTACAATTACTAGGAGATGCAACATGCCATCAAGTCTCTGGATGGTAGCTTTTCTCTGAAGAACCCCTAATTCTCTCTACATATTTCTAGTTACACATGGGCAAACCATTTATTCTAAATTTCGTAATATCAACTTATTTATTTCATGAAGGGAAGGGTCAGATCTTGTCAGCACTATTTTCGGTATTAAAAATCTAACATTCACTCTAACTTGAATTGCGTCTATGTCGTAATGATGCAGTTCGCAAAAAGCTTAGGTGTTTGACTTGCAACCCAGGGCATTGGTTCATTGGTAATCGATTTTCCGAGGATCGTCGTCCACAAGCAGGAGTTTATTCGCTTAGGCGCTACTTGGGGCCACAGCTGATTGATCTTGGCAAATAAGAAATAAAGCAAATCAATAAATTATAATAATTTTAGCTGTGTGCTTGCCGTTCATCGGAGGTGTCCTGTCTTTAAGCTGCGTAGCCGCAAGTGAAGATTTGAGTAACAGAAACGCCCCTCAACGCCATATGGATATAGCTACAGTCCATTCCAGAACGCACCCTGCGCACCCCACACAGACATGCATATCCCGAGCCAGGGGTCTAGCCAGGGAGTAGACAGGGTGTCTGGGACGAAGGCCTCTTCCGTGCAGACGGATTGGCGGGTGGGAAGCAGAGCTGGCCTAAAACGTCGAACGAGTAATTATACCTAAAGAAAGTCCGTCCAGACTACGGGATGGCCCAATCACTTCTGCCAACCCTTGGATCCCGAATCGTAAGAGCGCCATGGTCCGATGTCGCGTTACCCGCTACTGCGGAACACTATTGTTGTGTAATGTATGTATTGGGGGTAATATGCAGCTCGCGATGTGCTAAAATACTAGAGTGCTAGGTTGGGTAGCAGGTGGCAGGGTCCGACGAGAGACGAATGCGCTTACGAGAGCCTCCATTTGGGGCGTGCTGCGTGGCAGCGTGGGGTTTCCCCATCACGAGCAGACAAATACGCACATCTTAAGAGACTTGATTTGAGGAGGCACGGGGGAATCAACCAAGATGCCTCATTTCTTGGAAGTGTCTCATGTCGTATGTACGTCCCTCGTTCAAAGGAGTAATTGCCATTATATCCCGCAATGACGGATGAGCATGTAATCCGTCTGTGCCGAGCTGACGCAGCTGCTTCTTGTTTGCCCACGGGGTCGTGAATCGAACAGCCATAGGAGATAATAACTGAGAATACGGATAATGAGAAATTGTTTTAAAATGTGCTTCGAAGTGTGTAATCGTGTAATCTCATAAGCATGGCTGATCTCCGGACTGTATAAGAAACGATTGACTATAAAATGGTTCTATTGAAGTTATATTCGACCGTACCCCAATATCTATACAACCTCAACTGCTATATTACCTTCTAGGTTAGAGGCGATGAACAACTAGCCAATGAGGCGTTGTTCTAGGCATGCTAGTCTGAGAATTTGGAACAGCCATCTGAGCTCCCAACTGTATTATTCGGTGTTATTCTGCAGGTGAACCTGCATTTCATTTTAAGTAGGACAGGGCGGGCAGTGTTACATACATGCTGAACCGTACATACAGAACCTAGTCGTCGAAGATGTGACCGGGGCTACAAACCTGGTGCTAGGTCGATGTAGGTTGGCTGGCCGCGTGACCTTCCGTACCATTGTGCTGCTTAGTTCGTCCTCTCGCTCGCTTCGAAAGAAAAAAAATTGTAAGTAAAAAAATCGACAACAGCAAATAGCAATAAGCCGCCAATCAGGAGGGTTCTTTATGGCGACAAGTGTTATCTCTTGCGCTAGGCTTGGGATAGTTCCTTGCGAGCCGCTAACGAAGCCGTACATAGCGTAGTATGTACATATGTAGACCCGTAGACCCGTAGTCAATCTAGATCTCGGCGAATATATGACAGAATCGTAACCTCGTTCCGAGCGCAAAGAGCTACGCGTCACGGATGACAGCGTCCTGCGAGAACTTTGGACTTCGTCTGCTTTGTTACTTGAACAGCGGTCACACCCGGCATTTTCGATCAGTCAGTTCCTCTCCCAAGCCGAGCCGACTGACGGAAGGATCCATAGCGAGATCGGCCTTACGACGAAATAAGCTGGAGCAGAGATTCTCCCCTCCTGATCCTTGCGAGCCGCGGAGGGGAGCGGGGCGGACTTAATTAGACTGAAGAGAAGTCCTGGAAAGGCTGACGGGCGACGGCGGGGACAGGGAACATGGAATCAGGCCCTTAGCACGTGCACCACATAACGCACTATGTGATGTATGTATGTGCGAAATACAGTAATAAGAGGAGGTCGGGCGCATTCGTACGTTCGGCGTTTGTTCGTCCTTTGGAAGCGCAAAAGATTTCCACTTTCCACTTCTCGTTCCGAAAACTCCCGTAGTCGATGTAAGTCAAATAACAAGCCTATGGACCAGCCTAAATGAAAATATGCTAGTTGTTCGTTTCATAAGCCGCGGCTCTACTCACCGCTGGGGGTCTCGTACCATACGCTGCATAAGATGCCCTTGACTAGCAATTTAAGGGTATTCTCATTACTTGATGAAAATGTTCTTCACAGCGTTCTCGTTGGTAAGCGTATTTCGGAAAGACATGACTTGTCATAGACATAGGCTAAGAGTCTCAGAGCGTGCCGGGTACGATGTGAGGAGTATGGATATTCAGGAAGACGTGCCTGTAGTCGACTCACATCCGAAATAACGTACGGAGTGACAGCACATATATTACTATTCCGGAAGAGTATTTGATAGTCGAAGCAGTATTGTTGTATCGCAGGCTGCAAGAAGCACTTGACTTCGGAAACCAACATTGAGCGTGGATACGTCCGTTTGAAGTACTTGATCACATGTTTAGGCGAAGGGAGTCCTGGTTAGCCTTGTCGGGTTCCTTCTTTGGGTATTTGCGAAAGTCGGAGTGATGTTGGTCGTGTGTACACAATTTTGTAGATGTTATTCTGGAGTTGTTATTTTCATAAAAGACTTATGCTAGGATGACCATTCATGTACTCATGTAGTATTCAAGGATGCTGAAGGTAAGATGCATACTCCAGGGCTACTACCCCGGACAGCTGGAGAGAATACCTATTGGAAAGTGCATGTCGCCTAGGTAGGTACATACAGTAATTACAGGGCAGCTACGCCTGGGTTACGCTTAGTCATAACCAATTGTAATAATTTTTGGAGCCTCAACATCCCACCTTAGATCCTCTCAGATCTGCGTGTCCGTACTGTTACCGCAACGCTTCTTTTGAGAGCAGTCATTATTCCATTCCTCTTACTGCGGCAGGAAGAAATTAGGCGGGATGTCCTTCATGCCGCCATCTCACAAGACGGCCAATTGCATCTAAGTCCGTCCTAGCCCTAACCTGAACTAACCTCGACCATCATGTTGTCCCTTCTTCCCGACCTAGCACCGCGCGACGTAAGTCAACCCATCTCGGGCCCCTCTCCCCCTACCCCGAGTAGAAACCTCCGCATAACCCTACTAACCATCCCACTTGCCCAGTCCCACGCACTATGGTACACCTCGCCCCGTAACCCGCTCAGCTCCTCCTCCTCCGCCCTCGACGCGTCCGCCTACCCGCCCTCGCCCCTCGCCCCGCAACCGCAGCAACAACCGCACGACCCCTCGGGGCTCTCGCACCGGCGGGGCGCACACCTCCTCGAGCGTTCGCCCCTCGCACGCCTGCGAGCCGACGAGCAGACGCTAGAGCGGCGTCGCGCCAACGTGACCAACTTCGGCGCAGCCTGGCTCAAGCCTCCCGGGATCCCCAAGACGCTGCACCAGCTGCGCGAGGAGCGACGCGAGGCCGAGGAGCATGCCGAGGCCCTGCGGCGCGAGCAGCTGGCACAGGAGCTCGCCGAGGCCGAGGCCGCTGGGGGTGCCGGGGGTGTCGACGCCTTGGTAGACGCGCAGGGAGAGGAGGGCGAGGATGGGGATGGGGTTATGGATGATGTGCAGTTGGACGGGGCGCGGGATCTGGATGAGGATATACCCGAGGCGGATGATTTCGGGGTAGGTTCTGGGTCCGAAGAGGACGATGATGAAGAGGATGAGGATAGCGATGATGATAGTGACGAGGATGATGACGATGACGACGACCCGGAGCAGCGGGCGGCGCATGCACAGCAGCAGCTCATGGCTCAGCGTATGAGGCAAGCCGACGACGCGTTCCGCGAGTCTGTAGCCCGCGGGCGTGACGGTGGGAACTACTACGGCGTCGATGACGAAGTGGACGACGAGGACCAGGCCCAGATGATCGAGGAGGACGACCTGATCGGGCACGGAGACGGCGGAGACATGGACATGGACGGCGACCTGGACGATGAGATACCCGAGGCAGAGGACGCAGGCTACGAGCATACGGACTCGGAGGCGGATCTCAGCAGCGAGGACGACGGTGACGAGCCCGAGATGAGCTTTGCCGCGCAGGTGTCCCAGCCGTCTAGGTACAGGCACAGCTTAGCACGCAGCGATGCGACGCGGCATAGTCTCGCTATTAGCGACATATTATCGCACGACGAGAGCAGCATGCTTCACAGTAGCCCGGAAATCCAGCGGCGGCGAAATAGTGGACCTGCACGCCGTGGTCGAGGCTGAAGAAGGCGAGGCTAACGGAGGCATCTTGCTTTCACTAGGACTGTTCGTTATTGACCATCATCACATACACCACTTGCATTACCTCAAGATACCAAGATACCCCTTTATCATTCATTAATCCTAGCCTACGCCTATGGAGGTCCGTGTAATCAGCCAGCCAAAACTTAATAGTATTTACTATTGCCAAAAAACCCCGAGCAAGAAGGGACGAAGTAGACGATGGATTATGATACATTTAATTACAAACGTCGTATTCTTGACTGGCCAATAATCGTTCTCATATGTACTTCGTGAAACTTCGTCTCGTACCCGTACTTTTTTGCGGCATTACCCTGTGCTTATTCAGAACATCTTCCCACTTTTCCTCTTGCTCAGTCGTACCGTTGAACCGTCTTCATGCCAAAAATAGAAAGATAAAACACGCCACAACGCCATCCGTAATGTGATATAATGCTGCTCGTGTCTAAACCTTGCGTGTAGGTCTATGTTGTTCGTTCAGGGGGTTGGTTGTATGTAGGTAGGTACCCGAACGAGAACGATGTAGGTAGGCGTTCAAAAGAGCCAGACATAGAGGAAGATGAAGATCACGGCGGCGAAAAAACCGAGCCAGACCTTCCAGCCGACGCCCGTCCGCTCAGCCATGACCATCATCCTGTTCATGGTTCCGCGTAGCCTTAACCGCGTCGAGTCGAACGTGTCATTCATCTTCTCCGCGAGCGCCGAGGACTCTCTGATCTCGTCGCCGATAGCCACCGTCATCTTGCGCGGAGCGAAAACACTACGTTAGCATATTCTTTATCGCGGACGTTCTACACCCCCCCTTTTTCGCTCTCATCCACTTCGGCCGTTCGGCCCATCCACGACGCAGACAACTTCGCTGCTCCCCTCTCTTTCTCTGTTTATATTAATAGCATAGTATAAATATGAACTATCATAATAAAGCAAGAGAAACCGCTCCCCCTCAACTTACGCGCAGCATCAACAGCAGTATAAAACTCACATCTTTCAGGACTTTGACCTTCCCTAAGATGCCCTCGACCTGCTGGTCGTTCTGGCTTTCTAACTCGTTGAGCACCGCGTCGCTGTACTGGCCCCTAATTTTTCGACTCGGTATTAGCCCCATCTCCTATCTCTCGTGCAAGTCTTGCCTGGTGGCGTATGAAAGCGGGAGATAGCAATGTAGGATGTACTTTGAATTTGGCGTCGCGGGTCGGAACGACCCTCTGTTCTCTACACCAAGATGATTGCTCGCCGAACCGTTGCTACCTCCGGGGTATCCGTATCCGTAGCCCACGGCTGGGCTGGGTCGTCTCGCAGGGTCGGCGCTGTTGCGGCCGCTGCCACTGTATCCCTCGAACAGAGCGCTGCGGGAGTCCCGTTGGTGGAGCGTGGAGTGGCCAAATCTAAAGCCATTACATTAGCCTCCATTTATCAGCCCTATGCACTGTATACGCGCAAAGATGTTGGTCTGTAGTCAATAGTCCAGCCCTAGGAGACTTTCCCCTTTCCGAGCACAGGCGGCGCGGGTGTGATCTACATAAGATCTCTGGAGCGTCCCAAGGAAAGCATGTCCCCGGGTCTCGTTCCTTGTCGAGGACCCCGACCAAATAATAAACAGTCCCGTTGGCTGATTGATAGGAACTGCAGAAAACACATACCTTGATGCCATGCTGTCGTTACGTGTCGAAGTGGAAAGATGGCAGAAGGGAGAAAAAAAAAAAAATAAAGAGATTAGGTATAAGGTAGCATTAATTTACTGGGGATAAAAGCATTTGCCAGGTGCTGCCACGTGTGGCTACGACGCGCATCGGGTCAGCAATCCTCTTTGAATTTAACGACGTCACCTAATCGAACTAAGCATTCGGGAAGCAAGTAACCTTAACTCAAAACAGGGAACCTAGAAGAGAAGCCGCGTTGAAGTTGTGTCCAAATGACATGTATCGACTCTTTTCTAGCATTACATATTTCTTATTAATAACTTCTCCCCAATTCGATTTAAGAGAATGGATTCATTCATCATATATCACAAGAGGGGTAGTAAACTTCAGATACCACATAAACCCATCATTTCACAAGACTGTATCTAGCGAGCATATATACTCTGAAGCACAAGTCATAATCCTGGGAGATCCAGAAAATTATTAAATAGTCATACATATTTACCAACAGAGAGAAGGCTAGGTAGAAGTATAAGGCATTATAAAAATTCAACAGTATTCTCATTTATAGAACCGGTTTCTCGGCCGTAGTTTTCATTATTATCGAATGGGAATACCTACCTTGGTAGACATCCCCTATAGCTCCTCCTCTTTTCCCGAGATGGCCCGGACTCGACCTATCGCCGCATCCAGAACCACGCCAGTTACCTCACTATCCCCGTACCAAGTTTGCATAACCGTACACCTCCGTTCCATAACACGTCCCATCCTCCTCGCCCACCTTAGCTCCTCGTGGCCTAGATTCCAAATGCTGCTCCGTTCGGTGGACCACAATGGCATTTGAAGCCGGCTGAACGACGAGGTCGTACATCGCTTTACATGTGTGGTAAGGATGTCGATATTAGACCGTAGTATCTAAAAACACAAAAACGATCCGAACACCAAGGAGAGGACCCCAAAATGTATATGGTAGATAATCTCCCTGCCGAATATATACAGCAGTTGTCAAGTTCCCTTTTGTACGCTGACCTGGTAATTGAGATCTCCGAGAAAGAAAATTCTAAGACAGATTCCAACCGAGTTCGGTAGTTAAAAGATAATTATGCACAAAGGATAGTAAAGCTGTAATGCAAGGTCCGCTGAACGCCATTATTTTAGAATCCAAGGACAGGGCGCAAAACACGACGCATGACAGCGTTGTTTTAATAGAAAATATGTTGCGTCCAGTTCGGGTATCATCTGAACATGAATAGAAAAACGAAAGTGAATTTAGAAGTTCTGCGAGATACCGGCACTCTGTTGAGGATAGTGCGATGGGTTCTCGATGCGCGTGTTGCGTCGGGCCGGGTTATCCCGTATTATCGGCTGTCCTCCTAATTCTCCTGGGCGCTGTTGACCGTAAGCGCCGTCAGCATAGGGATTGTTACCACCGTATTGATCGAGATATGCGGGCCCACTATAGGAGCCTGCATTCTCACCAGAACCATCAGATCTTCCAGCAGCACTGTAGGATGACGAGGCATTCGATGGCCCGCGGTGTACGTTACCGTTGCCATTTCCGCGGTTGTCAGCGGCACCCGGGCCCATAGCGCCGAGAATTTCGCCTTCTTGTGGTGAATTAGAGCCTTCGCCCATTAAGCCGTCTCCTGATCTAGTGTCAGAAAAGTTTCCTCTGGTCGGCGAAGTTGCATCAGAGTAAGCCACACCTGCTGCACCGCCCGACATTGTAGTCGAAGCTTTCCTTCCAGTTGAACCAGCCAGAGTAGTTGATCCCCATCCACGGTAACCCGAAGATCCGCCATCTTCCTTCATCTCGTAAGCACCAGCACCTGCACCTGCTCCCATGTCGGGTAAGGTTGGGTCATTATTCGGATTGTAGCTGTAATCTTCCACTTCCTTCCTCCTTTCTTCTGCCGCGTCCCTTCGTTGTTTGCGCTTCCTCCAGAAGAAAATTCCTCCGATAACGAGCAATGCTACAGCAGCGATGGGAACCACAACAGCAACCGCAATTTTGGCCGGCTCGGCTATGGCTCCCGATTGGGCGGCGCTTGAGGTTATGACAGAGCCGGAGGCATCTGTGGAGGTTGACTGTCCTGTGGTTTGTGCGGTGTTGGTATTCAACTGGGTTGAAGTGACCGTGATAAATGCAGTGCTCCCACTTTCATTTGTGCTTATCTGCGTAGTGGTAATCACACTGGACGTCGTCGGCGGAGTTGTTGTTGTCGTCGTTGATGAGGATGGAGTCGTAGTACTAGGTGTTGTAGCCGTTGAGGTAGGTGTAGTAGCAATAGTAGAAGATGGGGTAGTAGTGGAAGTTGGTGTATCGCTAGTGGTAGGAGTTGTGCTGGTGGTTGAGGTAGGGGATTCTGTTGTAGAAGTTGACGTAGGCGTTGTCGCCTGGGTAGTACTAGTAGAAGTAGCCTCAGATGTCGCCGAAGTAGTCGGATCAGCTGAAGTGCTACTAGGCGTAGTTGCGGACGAGCTGTCGGCAGCCGGACTCGAAGCCGTCTCCGGTACGGAATTGTCCGTACTCGTGGCGTTGGTAGACATGGTGAACTGCCTCCCAACTTTCAATCCGAACAAATGACTAGGAGGCGTCATATTAGCATACTTGGGACGAAACGACACGAGGAGATAGCGGTGAAAGGCTTTGAAGATAATTGAAAAGAAGATGGTATAGATGTTAGAGAGGTTAGGCTAAACAAAGCGGAACGCCATTCGGCTGAATGGGGCGTTTGGAGCTGACGGTCCAATGAGGTTATCATGGAATGTGTCGCAAATCGCCACGGCATAAGTTGTGAATGTGCATTAAATGCCATCGCGTGTTTACTTGATGAATAACATAACATAGAAATTAAAAAAACATACCTTTACAGTGAACTACGTGTTAGACGCAGACAACTCAAACTGACTCACAGCCAAAGAAGACTGGATGAGAGTGAGCCGCAACTCTGTTGTGGAATCGACAATTGACCTTGGCTAATGTTTCGAGTTGGGCTTGAGACGCGAACGGGGAGGAGGTCGCCAGGAGGGTGGACGAAAAACGGGATGGGACAAAAGACAAGTACAGGCGCTGAGGTGCAGTGGCCCAGCGGACGGTGGGCAGTCCAGTCTTGATTAGTGTATGGAGAGGGAATTGTAGCAAATGAGCGAACGAATAGGCTAATGCATACGAGGCGATGATCGGTGCAGGGGGTTTCCTTCTTGCGGGTTAAGGCGTGGCTGAGTTCCTCTATTTTTTCCCGCTTGTGCCTCCGGCGCTGTCGTATGTGCAGGAGGATCGAAATTGATAGGGTAGGAATGCAGCGAAGCAGCCAAACCGCACGGATCTAGGAGTACTAGTTGTAACAGGTCTTAGGTGAGTAGAAACAGTGACGAGGGTGATGATGAATTTAGCAAAAACGAAGAACTAGGAGAGTTAGGTGAACTAGGTGCTTATTAGATCATAGGTTCGACAATGTCGTCAGAAGAAAACAAGAGGAGGGAAATGAAAATGAGAAAAAAGATATTAATGAATGACGGAAAAGTTGAAAGAAAATTAGCCCAGGGGCAATTCCTCTAAGTTGAGAAAATACAGAGGTAGGTGCATATGTAGTGACGATTGACAGAAAAAGTTGGAAATTTCCTTGCTGACCGTCGTAACTAGATCCAGTATTGTACCTGTGTAGTACCTGCTACGGCCACGGAGAATCCGGTAAAGGCTCTCAATTGAGTTTTATCTCGCAGCAGCTCGCAGGAACATCCCGGCGCTATGTTGTTTGTTAGTGGTTTCGTTTAGCAGTTACGAGGCACAGCTTGCCCGATAGCAGGTTAGCAGATGCCCTAAATGACCTAGTGCCGCTCTTCCGTACTTCCCCTTAAGGTCTGTGGCTTGCTCATCACCAATATCAATTGATCCAGCGTCGGCATCTGGCATTCGCAACCTACCTACGTAAGTAGTACATGATTCAGCAATCAACTCTGTAGTTGCTTAAACCACCAAGTGTATGTTGTATAGGACTTAACGGAAGAGAGAGAATGTCAACAACTGCCAGAACGGTTAGAGTGTGGGTATGTTTAACTATCAGTTCTTCATTACGAGGGTGAATTATGTTATTTTGCCCCTGACCTAGGTACCAAGACGCTACGTCTTAGTATGCTTCAGTACGGGTTATCTGACGTTGACTTTAAAGAGCTGTTGAACGTCAATTGGGCTACTTCCTGAGGACTGATCCAACCTTCCAAGAAGTTTCTTTAGGTTGCCACGTTTAAACAGGCTTGTTAGTAGCACTAGCTTTATAGTTCAACTTGTCTGTTGTGTCTAGCAACTCTATTTGAATAACGTTGAACCTTGAAAGTTTATACCACGTGTGTTTGAGTTGGCACAGGGGAACAACCTTCGATACGGATGGGCTAGTTGCTAGGTAGTTGCTAGCAACTTCGACAAGTCAGAAATGAACAGCCACACATGATGTTGTATTACCAACTTAGATCTTTATATAGACCATGAGCCCTCTATCTAGCCTACCACAACTCACGTAAGGGCAGATCTCCCGTAAATGGGGTCTCATCTAGCCGCCAGAGAAGCCCCAGAGTTCTCTGCAGTTCCAGCGCAGTTCCAGTGTAGGGCATAGCCCCTCTCCCCTCATGTATGTAACCCATCGATTCTGCACATAAAAACAGCACGAGAATGGCGTTAGCCGGGTCCGCGATATCCATCAACTCAACAAATTCTATCCGGTGGTACGATCGAGTCAGACGAATCGTTGAAATCTTATTCGTGAAGAGATAATCGAATAACTGACAACATAGAAGCGTCAATCATGACTCTGGGGCTCAAAATCCACGTAAAACCCACCAATATAACTAATACACACAAACACACATAATACCAAGCTTATAGTTCTCACCGATGCAGCAACTTCATGTCTATTACGTCGCGGAAATTCAATTATCCAAGAGGAATACGTAATTACCCCGAGTTCCCCATACATGGCGAAAATCATTGGGGATCTTCGATCCGACCTAGCAACCGACGAAACAGAGCTCAAATTGAGTATGCAAGCCTTCCGTCTGGATTCGGAGAACGTTCCGAGGCCAAGAGGATCGTCTAAATCGTGAATCATTTTCTATTTTTTGGTGACATTGTAATGAATATATTCGATGAGTCGATGTCAAGCGTAGACAAAGTTTAAGCAACTTCAATTACAGTGACAGAAGTCTAATATGGTACCTCAAGCACTTCTAAAGCAAAAGTAGATGGTTGCAAACAACCTTAGATTTATAGAATGGGTGATATCACGTCTACGCAACAAGCACTTGCGGGAATATTAAATTAGATATTCTTCAGCAAATACTGTATTCAAGATAATGACAACTTTCCAGTTACACGCCCAATCATTTCCGGAGAAGAAGCATCAACGACACAGTAACAAAAAAGCCAAAGCATTGCATCCATACCTCTTCGAGAACATCAAAAACATCATCACTGCCACGGAAGCTTCCCCTTTTCCGCAAACTCAAACAAAGAAGAGAACCTTATTAAGAACACGCTATGGTACAAGGCAAAAAAGACGAACTTTACAGCAAGGGGGATCCATACAATAATTCACACGCAACGCTCAACACTCCATTCAAACCAACCTGGTTTTATTCTGTTCAAAAAATACCTAATAAGCAAAAAATCCCTAGTTTTACCTCACTCACGGTAAAAATAAACTGCACCGATCCTTCTATAATGTGTTCCCATGCAAGGTTAGATGCTTCGCCGGTCATGATTTGGTTTCCAAATTACCTCCTCCCGGATGGAAGAATATAAAAAGGGCATTAACAGTACATATGTGTTTCTTCAGAGATATACAAGACGGCTGAAGCCTTGCCGTATTTGGTATGTCAAGCCTACGTCAGATTGACCAACTCGCCTTAAGTCCTCATGTTCCACGATGGCTTCAGGTTGTCGGTCATTGCTGCTTGAGTGAACACAGTGTCTCCGGGAAGACGACTGACTCTGCCGGCACCGGCACGGATAGCGCTGAGATTAGCAGACGATATACCGCTACGGTTGCTGACGACACTGCCAGTCTCGCTCATCGAGTCGGGGTCCTTAAACCGACGCGGGGGAGCGAAATCGAGAGCAGTGAATGTTCCTGATTTACGGAGTAGATGACTATATAACGTTAGATATATGGTTCCTTAAATACGGATCAAGGATTATACTTACGGGCTAGGTAACGCAGGAGTCTCGTCGAAAGCACTCACGAGCGGCGAGTGGATGGGAGTGTTCAGCATGTAAGGCTTACGCTCACCAACGGGGCTCTGGGACCGGCCAGCCGCTACATCCTTAAAGGTAGGGGGAGGCGCGAAGTCGACAGAGCCAAATAGAGCCATCGAATCATCCCTTAGCTTGGAGGGCGTGGGTAACGTGTTCAGCGCAGCAGGAGGGGGCATTGGCTTTCGGGGTTTCGTGTTGAAGTTGCGCGGGTTGGAAGCTGATGAATCAGGGCGAGGGCTCATTGCCGCCCATCTGCTGGCAGACATCGTCGAGCCGGCTCTGGGCCTACGAGGACCAGGCATATCCATGCTTCCGTGAGGGAAGCGTCCAGGAGGGCCACGCGGTCCAGGGGGTCCTCGTGGTCCGGGTCCAGGCATAGGTCGTCTATTGCTTGGAGGCGGAGTCATAGCACGACGAGTCACAGGCTGAGCATACGGCATAACAAATGCATTGGTGTCGGGATCGAAGAATGCAGTATCACCGAGGTAGTTGGCGTCGTAGTCTTCATGATAAGCAGGCTGCTGCTGCTGCGGGAGTGGTGGGGGCTTTCCGTTATCCGTCTTGATCTCCTCAAAGTACTCTTTATAGAAAGATCTAATCCTGTTGGCTCTGAACTCAGGGTCCTCGGAGTCAAGGAAGTCCTCAGGAGGTAGAGGACGGAATCCAACAGACAACCTCCGGTTGTCCTGTCCTGGTACGCCCAAGCCAGCCGAGTGTGGGTAATCGTGCTCTTCTGGCATATGCGGCATGTCAATTTCCACTTTAGCCATTTCATGGTCAGGCCCATCAACTTGGAAATGACCCGCATAATTCTGGTAGTCTTGAGCAATGTCCAGTCCAGCAGGCAGGGACTCCTTCCGAGGCGGTCTCGCACCTGATAGATCCGCCGAACTTTGGGAAATACGAGCATCAATAACAGGAGCGGGTCCGGCGATATTCGCCTTATTCGCGTCCATGGATTCATTTGAAAGAGGTCGAGCATTATGGGGACCCTGAGAAGCTGCTGCCGGAGGTTCTTGAATCTCGGGTACTCCAGGGAGAGTGATATTATCATCTGTGAAACGGAACTCATTTTTTGCTGGAGTGGGCACTTCTTCAGCAGAAGTACGACGCGACGGTGGCTGGGCAACGGGAGGCAATTGTTGAAGAGGAGACGGTCCCCGGCGAGGAGGAGGCGGGTTTCTGAACGGATCACGGTCGCTGCTAGCGCGTGTCTTTCCAGATGATACGGTAGAATCCCTATCGAGTCCCTTATTGAAGGAACGCAAAGACCCAACCTCACTACCGCCGTAACTGGTAACAGGTCGGTACGGATCATCTTGGTGAAGGCTCTTCGCAAGAGAGTTCATGGATTCTCGAGACTGGTGCAACGCTGGCGGGAGTAAATAAGGACTGGACAGGTTCATATCCATGGAGAGCTGCATCTTGTGATTTCCATCCTTCTCCTTTGCAAAGTAGCTCTGTCCCTTATTTTTCTTGACGACCACGTTGCCCTCGAAACCAAAGTCCATCGACTTGTACTTGTCCGTCTCATCTTCTCTCCTCTGCCTAACCGTAGTCCGGTGATGCAAATAAACTAGGACAATGATCGCAAGTCCTAGCGGGATGCTATATGAACGTTAGCCACGTCTTGATTCATCTCCACACATACGGCCAGTTCCTTACCAGACACCAAGAATGATCGGAACGGTCGTGGTACCGCCAACTGGCTTCTCGTCAAGATTGTTTTCCCTAGGAACAATTCGGGAAATGGTGTCGGCCCAAAGAGATCCGTGTTCGGCCATTGCTTCCCTTGTCTCCAGCTGGACTGGCTGATCCGTCTCGATATGCAATGCCCGTGAATGAAAGTGATGGTGGCCATGGCCGTGACCGTGGCCACGAGCTTGATGGAAATGACGCCCCGTCATCGCGTCAACTACTCCAACTTGATTCCTTCTCTGAATCCAACCCCGTCCTACAACTAGATTTTAAAGTCGAAAAATTGGTCGGTTCCTAAAACATCGGTTTTGATATATCGTGCCACGCCGCCTAACACTGTGTTGTCGAGGTCGAAGGACGAGCCAGGAACAGCAATTCCTTGATTTCGAAAATTGCAAATATAGCGGGACCGGAATCTATTCTACGAAATCGTCGTCTTGACACTAACGCCTGGATAACGCACAAGGCTGGAAAGAGTGACTTATGGTCGGGGCACAAAAGAATGACTGTAGGTTAGCTGTGAAAGAATGGCACGCCCGCTGGCAGGCAGTTAGGTCTGGATTGACCGGTTGTCGACGAACTCCTGATTAGGCGGTGGATGAGTAGGATGAAGGAAGAGAAAGAACAGAAAGCGAGGGACAAAAAGAAGGTGATTTACCGAGTACAAGCCACAAGGTATCCTTTGATGACGGGGATCAGAAGAACGGACGAATCAGAAGCAAGATTGGGGAAATGAACGAAGGGGGAGTGGAGTCTACAATACATCAAGGTTTACATGAGCTGGATGGGGAAGAAATTCCAATCGAGTAAAGGGCACTGTCCTCACCCACCCAAAGCTCCAATATTCATTAGACCGAAGACACATGTCATTGGCCATGATCGGCAAGAGATACACTGTACCGTCCCTGGCATCGGCCAGGGGGCCCCCTGACGGGCTAGCGCAGGAACCGATTGTTCGTCCAATCGTTCGTATCAATAGAAACGCTGATAACGGGTTAATCCTAAATGAGCTTAGACGATCTGGCCCCCTTTTTTGGTTCCTTGGCCAAGATGCTTGAATTTCTAGGCTGGACCTGGCCAGCTGCTGGCGAAGTTGTTGGCGCGACCAGCACGACTCTATCTCAGTAATCTTCCCCTTTAATTGGCCCCTTGACAAGTTTACATCTTGCTGAGATGAGAAGGAAATATCTATGTACGAATTCCGTCATGCATGAAAGACGATCCCGAACTGTGCTAGGTAGATATTCGTCACATCATCAAACTCTCTAGTCACCACCTATTCCAATTGACCGTTGATCGCTCTACCATAGTAGCATAGTGCTAATAGGTATGTATTCTGTAGTGCTGCGACGAATTCGGGCCTAAACGGGCCTAAGCGGTCCTAGACTTGGAATTCGCCTTTAAACCCGGCCCTACGTAATCCTGTCGCGTCCATTATAAATAGGTACAAGTACGTACGCCGTAGTCAGTCAAGTCGGACGATGAGATCCTACACTGTGAGTTGCTCATTAGGGAGGAATATACAGTAATCAAGAAACCTTGGAAAGATCTCTAAATCCGGGAATTCCCATACAAAGCTTAGCTAGCGCACCAAGCTAATAGTGAAGCCCTGTGTTTCTTTTTAAAACGAGCCCTTGCAATTGGCCATTCAAGTCTCAGCCTCAACAATATAGCTTCAATATTGTTTCATGAATTGCTTCTCTTAAACGAGAAGCCTCGACTGCCTTCCTCAGGTAGGCCTCGTCGTCGGAATGCGGCACAGCCTTGTACCGTCAAGTCTTCACTTCGTAGTATCCTGCCCCATATTCTAATAGCCAACCCTTTTCGATTTTGCTGATGTCGCGGATAAAGATCTTGTTGCCAGTTTCCATTACCTCATGGAAAATTACCCAATCAGCTCTGCGGTTAAACATGAGAGAGCTAGGGTGTGCGTGGAGCGTCGTTCCACCATCAATACTGAGAAAGCTTCCATCAGGCTGCATTCTTGCTGCATGGGCAAAGTAGCCCGTCGTGAGGCATCTTCGAATCTGCTCGCTTTTACCAGCCGTAGATCCCTCGTGACTCTCGTCCACCGTTATCCCAAACCGTTCTAAGTAGCGTTTCAACTGTGCTCTGATGCTCACAGCACGAGTCATAGCCTTGAAATTGATGTAATTGACATAGCAAAATAACGATGGGTCCTTTCGGCCATTTTTCAAAAATGATTGGTAGGTGTTCAAAAGTGTCAGATGATCACCTTCCTCAACCGAAAATCTCCGTCGCCTGGACTCCATCGACTTTTTCTCTCCCTCTCTCTGGATCCATATAGAGCCACCGAGGCTTGTCATTGCTGCTATTGTCAATATCTCGTTGACACAATTAAATGATGGGGCTGAGAGTAATGTTTTTGCCATCATAGGCTCAACCGCGAGTTCTGCCATCCGCATGCCCAGAGGTTTCGTCAGTTTAGCATACTCATCTAAAGCGCCTAATGAAAAGAGTAGTTCAGTTGCTTTAGCCATAAGTTCCGCAGGCGGTGGTGTCAGATAATCGAAGCGCACAACATTATCGATGCCAAGAGCCTTAAGTTGTAAGATAAATGGCGCAAGGTTAGATCGTTGTATTTCTGGAATGTTTGCATCAGGAAGCTCGATGAAGGCATCTTCGGTGTAAAGCCTAAAGCATTTGCCGGGTTTTGTGCGACCGGCTCTTCCCGCACGCTGCAATGCTGCTGCTTTCGAGACGGGCGTCGCAGTCAGTGACTCAATACCGGTTGTAGGGTCGAAAGCCCTTAATTTCACGAAACCAGAGTCTATAACGTAAACGATACCGTCAATTGTGACAGACGCTTCTGCGATATTAGTCGAGAAAATGACCTTTCGCGTATTTTCAGGTGGGCTATCAAAGACGGACATTTGTTGTTCGGTTGATAGTCCCGCGTAGAGTGGCAGGGCCAAAATTGCTTGACATTCCGAAGGAAGCTGAGCTGAGCGTTCTACAACCGCTTGTACGGCTGTATCGATTTCTTCGCGGCCTGTCAGAAAAACAAGAATGTCGCCCTCTGGTTCTTGAGTGTGGATATCAAAAACCGTAGATATCGCCTTTTCGACATAATCATCCGCGGGTGTCTCTAGGTAAAGAGTATCCACTGGGTACATTCTACCTTCAAGGCTGACAATGGAACCAATTTCATTCTTTTCGCCGTCAGAAGATTCTTGCTTATCGGATTCGTCCGAAAAGAAATTCAAGAAATCTTCGGCCTGGAGGGTGGCACTACTGATAATTATTCGTAATTCTGGCCGTCGCTTGCGTATTTTCTTTAGAAGACCAAGGAGAATATCTGTACTTATAGACCTCTCATGAGCTTCATCGACCATAATCACGGAGTAACGTGATAGAAGCGGATCGACCAGGGCTTCTCGAATGAGTAGTCCATCGGTCAAGAACTTGATTCGAGTAACGGCAGATGTTACATCCTCGAACCTAATCGAGTAGCCAACCTCCTTTCCTACCTCGCAGCCATATTCCTCAGCTACTCTGACAGCGACTGTTGTAGCTGCTACTCGTCTTGGCTATTACTAGTTAATATGAAGGGTGTTAAACAAAAATGGGGAGATCTTGCCTGAGTAACAGCTATTGTCTTTCCGTCTGAGCACCATCCTGCATTTTCGAGAAATTGCGGTATTTGTGTGGTCTTGCCGGAGCCTGTTTGGCCAACAACGATTGTGATAGGGTTTTTCTCGATGAGATAAAGCAGGCTATCATGGTGCTTGGCGATAGGCAGTAAAGCTGACGGTTTATGAAGAGCAGGGATGAAATTTGAGTTTAGATCAAAATCACCCATAGTAATTACTAGTCTCGTCAAAGACTTTGCGAATCGTGTTGCTTCACCAACGTCCTGAGTCGTTGTCTTGCGTACCTACCTGGCTCGGTACTTAAGGTAGTAGTTGAAACAATGGACCGTAGATCCATTCCATTCCTTTACCTAAGACCTAGGTGGTACAATGTCTATACGAGTAGCTGAATAGGCCTTCGGATAATATTCGTATAAGAACAGAACTATGAGATTTCCTTTTGAGGGGATGGATGTTGCCGACTCTTTCAAGATTGTCTAATAGATTCGAAGTCTCAGTTGGCTTGTAAAGTCATAAAGCCAAGCTCATGAGCCACAGAATGATGAGTATCTGTGGCGCAGGATCGAGTTAAGCACGACCATCATTGGGCGCTCAGCCCTGTTTGTGGCGGGGAACGTCATGCGCATCGCATCCTTAGAATTCGGGTACCTAGTAGGCAGTCGCAGTTGCCCCTCAGGGCCAAGATGTCATAAGTGCATTATGGGGGCTGTATGGGTTGCATAAGCTAGAGTTATATCACTGTCACTTGCAATAAATCTCCTGTTTTACAATTTAAGCTGGGCCTCAGTAGGCAAACGACGATTCATCACCAATCGTAACCGTAGCAATAATCTTGCTATTCTCCATAACATTGATTGTTCATTTTCTTATTCTATTGCATAACTTCTTAACCTCCCGAGTCCTTTTCTATTTAATCAAGATGTCAGCTCCGACTGATGCGGTAAGTTTCACATGAATTTCTTTGTAGCCAGTTATTGAAGCATTCATGCGACAGCGATCAGTCGCAATCTGCATCTAACTTTCGATCACGTTCTCTGTCGCTGACATCGAACTTGGTAATAATAGAACAAGATCAATCCGTCTTCAACCGTACCCGAGTCTCCTACCACCGTACGCCCGTTCGAGATGGACGACGATGATATTCAAGAGACGGGCGTTCTCGGTGAAGACAACGTCCATCCCACGACTGCGACGTCGACTACTGCCAACCCGACAACAGCCACCGAAGAATCCGCGCCCCCGAAACCTCCTCGGCCACTTACTGAGCAGCAAAAGAATGAACTGATTCTCAAGGAAGCCTTCCCTAACATCGAACTTACGGTTATCAAGGCCGTATTGATTGCGAGTGGCGGTCAAATCGACCCGGCTTTCAACGCACTTTTAGGTGGGTACGATATTACTTGCGATAAGAATGGTTATTGATTATAGAAAAGGTATGAGCGATCCGGATGCTGTCCAAAATGAGCCCGAACATGAGGCTGCCCCTCCACCCCAACCCCCGCGACCAACGGGACCTAGAAGTCCTATGTCGCAGCTGGAGGCAGACGAGCTCTACGCCCGCCAGCTTGCCCAGCACTACGATAGCGTCGGTGCCTACGAAGCGAGAACACAGAATAGGGGTCCCGGTGGCCATTACCAGCGACAGGCAACTGGTCTGAAGCCTAACGAGATGTACGACCGAGAGCACAGTTTCATCGATGACGATCTGCCCGTTATTAAAGAAAACCTGCGCAAAGGGTTTCTCGAGACTCAGACCAAAGTCAATTCTTGGTTTACGACACTAAAGAAGAAGATTGACGGAGAGTACGATGAGAACGAGGATGAGACTCAGCCCTCAAAGAATCAGCGCCAGAGTATGGGTAGGCGCAGCGGGGAAGGCTCGCGAAGAAGCGCGGACTACCATCGCTACGACGCTGATCCGCAAGTTCTCAGCGACGATTTCGCAGGGATGAGGCTTCACCCGGATGGAAGTTAGTGATACCTTATCGCGCCGTGAGGAAGATATATCGTATGGCTAACAGAGACGCAGGATCATCGCAAGAACGTCCATCAAGCAACCCAGTCTACAGACCTCCCCCTTCTATGTCACCGAAACCTGATGGTCGCAAAGTTGCTTTCAAGGACACCGTAGAAGATATCGACCAATACAATGCTTCCCCGAAGATCCCGCCGAAGGATAGTTCAACGCCACCTCCCGGAAAGCAGAGCAAGTGGCAACCTCTATCGTCAGTCGATCCCAGTCCAATCACGGATAATGATCCTTTTAGCCTTGGAGATAGCGAGGATGAGAAGGATACGAAAGACAAGAGTAGCGGAGGTATTAAGATGGAGGATACTGAGAGGCTTAAGCAAGCTACGGCAGATGCTATGGCAGACAGCTTAGTCAGCTCCAACAAAAACGCCGGCGGCAGCAGCAAATAGTGAGTGTACGATTCTACTTTTGGTGGGGAAATATGATGAGGCCGGGATGATGCAAGTTGATTGCACGGTGCGCGGATAGTTCATATGTCCTATCGGCCTTAACACCAAGACATTCGGTGTTCCTTTTCTTTTTTTAATAAAGATGCCCGTCCGGCTCGATGTTTGAGCCGAGTCTGAGTAGGTGTGTCCGGATTTCACATTTCATGGCACCGGGATACGTTTAAAGCCGTGGGGCAAAGATTCCGTATTCCGTACCTACGATAGTCCTACCTAAAGGGGACGACCGTCAAGAACCGCTCCACGCCTATGCCTACGCATGAGAGGAGAAAATAACAATAACTTGATTGGCCATCTGCTCGACAGGCATTCGTATCCGTATTATATCCTTGCTTGTGACACATAAAGTGCGGCCTCCCCCCGAGATTGTCAGCACGATCTTGTCCAGATGCGCTATGTACATACCGGCTCGCTTAGATCCGCAACGTCGCAGCCGTCCACTCCTCCTAAAACTTCTCAGCTCCTTTTCAAGGATGTCCTTTACTATGTAGCCCCGCACACCTCCATGAATCGGAAAGCTTGGTTGATATAATCGATCACATTGCCGTCTGAGAGGTCTGCGCGTAGAACATTCCGATGTAACGTTTATAGCTAATCGTGTATACTACCTGTATAAATACATACCTAGTCTATATATACTAGTTTTTGCTTCCTTTCTTCATGTGACGTTTGCACCTTGTTTAATTATCCCCCCACCCTCTCCCCCTTTTCTCACATATGAGTTTAAATGTCGAAAATCTCAGAATCGTTGGACGCTGGAACGTCCAATGTGGCGAAGTATGGTATACTCGCAGTTACTTTGGTACGCTTGTGAGACCTGAGGCTTTTTACGAACGATAGCTAATATCATGATACTACGCGGCGTAGATAGTTGCGTATCAAGCATATCAAATCATCTATAACCTCTACTTCCATCCTCTGCGTAACTTCCCCGGACCCATACATCATAGGGCGTCGAGATTACCTTGGGCTATCCGGCATGCTACCGGCTCGCAGGCCTTCCATACTCAGAAGCTTCACGACCAGTATGGGTCTGTCGTCCGTATCGGCCCCAACCATCTCTCCTTTACCGACGTCCGGGCATGGAAGGACATCTACGGCCACCGCGTTGGCTCGGAGAGCACCATGAACGAGATGGCTAAGGCTCACACCTTCAACAAGACGATCCGCCATGTCCCAACTTCGATCATAAATGCGGACCGTGAAGAACACTCGCGGTTCCGCCGAGCTCTCTCCCACGGCTTCTCTGATAGCGCAATGCGTCAACAGGAACCTATGATCTCGAAATACGTTGATCTTTTGCTGAAGGTGAGTCCCTACCTAAGCGACCGCAAAACCCATCCGCGTCGTTCCCGCCTCGAGTTGATTGGGCTTGAGACTTGACCTAGGTGCCCCTGAAACAGAAAACCGGGGTGCTCTTTTGCGTCATTCGGCGAACGGACCACTTATATTTCGATGTAGACTAACGAGAGCGTCGCTTAGAGATTACACGAGGAGTGCGGCGATGGAAAGAATAAATTGAATATCGAAGCCTGGTATAACTGGACCACTTTCGATATCATAGGCGATCTCGTCTTCGGCCAGTCATTCCGATGCCTCGAAAATATCCATTATCATCCATGGATCGAGTTCATTTTCAGCAGCGTCCGATTCGGTGCCGTCATTGTCGCGATGACTTACATTGGTTTAAGTGATCTGGTGCAGGTAATAGTTAGGGTCAGTGCAAATGCCGTCAATAGAGTGCAAAAGTATACCGAGGACATGGTAAAGACACGGCTGGCTATGGAGAAGGAGCGTGACGACTTGTTTGAGGGACTTGTCAAGAGGCGCGAGGACTGGGTGAGTGAATGCTTTCCCCACCGCTTGACTGATATTACCTATGATCTTGAATTCTGATCATATCATCAACTCATGTATAGGGCCTGTCGTTTGAGAAGTTGTGCGCATCCGCATTTATTCTTGTGCTGGCCGGATCCGAAACGACAGCAACCACGTTGTCAGGCGCTACGTTTCTCCTCTTGGCCCACCCAGAGATCCTAGAAAAGCTGAAGCACGAGGTTCGCTCGTCGTTCAAGAGCGTTGACGAGATCAATATCAACTCGGTTAACAAGCTGTCATATATGCTTGCGATTCTAAACGAGGCTCTGCGACTTTACCCCCCCGTCACATCGACTTTGGTGCGGACAGTCCCGCCCGGCGGAGATCAGATTGCGGGTCGATTCGTGGCCGGTGGCGTGAGTGCCCGTGCTTACACACATACATGAGCAGAAGATGAAACTGACACACGGCCACATAGACATTTGTCGAGGTCCAGCATTGGGCGATGAACCACAGCAAAGAGAATTGGAAGGATCCGTGGACCTTCAACCCCGACCGGTTCTTAGCGACCCCTGAAGAGGCTGCGAAAGCGGGGAACAAACTCGATGCGCTACAATCTTTCAATGTTGGCCCGAGGAACTGTATCGGCCGAAAGTGAGATACCCCCTGATCCTTGGAATGGACTAGATCGGCTAATGTTCTTCGTCGTTGTGAAGCCTTGCGTATACCGAGATGCGCTTGATCCTAGCCCGCATCATCTACGACTTTGATCTGGAGCTCTCTGACGAGAGTCAACGGTGGATCGAGAGGCAAAAGTCGTTTGCGCTTTGGGACAGGTTAGTATATATTTTCTTCTGCTCTGATCCAGCCAATAGAGGCTTAGAGTGTATCCAATTAACCCGATGTATTGCTGAAACTGCCGAATGGAATCGTCACTAACCCCTGAATCCTAACTCTAGAATCCCTTTGTATGTACACTTAACCCCAGTCAAGCGGTAGTCTCATGTTGTGGTAACCTATGGGTTCTTTTCCACATGTAAGGTATATAGATACCTATGTATAAGACGTGCTACTTAGATGGGCATGAATATGAGCGAAGGAACCGGAGTACATATTGAGGGTTATTCATATTGTCTTGTTTGTAATTATTGGAATTAAATCAAACCATCAGGTTCAATCCACTATCTTATCTACAAAATCACATGACATACACGCCGCCTTTAATGTACGTACATAATTCGGAATTCCCCAACAATTATTCAAGACACGGCCGGCATGAATCGAGCAAAGGCTAATTCCCCAATTATTTAGGCTATCAGAGATCCTAGGCGTAATAGTACTGACATATAGTGTTAAATCGAATCTTGGTGCTGTTCGAAATGTCCAAGTGAGGTTATTCCCACCACCAAAGTTCCTCGACTGTCTTTGGCATTGGTGTTTCGGCTGGGAGTAGTTCTCATCCCGGAAGGATATCGAAAATCATGTCTATTGTCGTATGATACATCTCACCGGCGACGGAAGTGCCTTGGCGCCCACCATAGTTTCCAGTGCTATCAACGGATGGTCGTTAGAAGGGCCGTTTTGGTGTACAGGCTTGCTGCCAATGCCTATCGATCAGTTTGATCTTGAGTTGCCAGGGTTGTAGCCCCATCAGGTTATCTTCCCTCCCTGTCGAGTTAGCAGACGTGCCTTGCACCATCACGTCACGTCGAATGCTGATCTTACTCCAACCCCAGCTGTATCCGCTATTCAGGTCTTCTTGTCCCACCACCGACGATCCTACTATGTTTTCGATAAGAGGCCGATATATGATACGGCGGCATACCACGATTCCTGTGCATACTTCTAGACCGGAAAGCACTCCCGGCCAGACGGTGTCGCTTATATAATGCCTAGGTCAGTCATGAAAAGAATCGGGGGCGAGTCCGAAGCAACGTCATGTGAACGTATAGTTCGTGTCATCTACGCTCTGCCCATTCCCCGCATCCACGTCGGTTCAGACCATCGGTACGCGCAGCTTCTATAGTAGGGGCATCGTAATCTCAGAATAAGAGGATCTAGCAGAACGTTGAATATGCCAATGACCAGGGTAACGGTACCATAGTTGAGACATCTTTCTGTGACAGAGCTATCCCACTTCTTTTCGATGGGGACGCAACTTAGAATGCTAGGAAGCCATACTGCCAGTGCCCAGGACAATACAATTGCACCAGGTATGAAGTGAGTGCTCCGAGCATGCCTTCCAGGAGAATTCTGATTGTAGAGGAAGAGAATCACAATAGCTTATGTTAGGCTCAGCTCCATGAGAGTATGTCAATACGTCGAGCGAATCCAGAAGCACTCACTGGAACATTTGACACTGGCCATCCCGAAGACATAGAAGCTCACGATGACGAAGCTACACTGGGCATCTATATATGAGTTTCCTTCCCAGACCTTGTTTAAGACGTCAAATGCATATTGTAACGGGGTTCTTACCTACGTAGATCTCAACAGGGACATTGAACGGAGGACTACGAACCATCTCTCGTATTAGGCTCAAACCACCAAAATTCTCGGCACCGTGGCACCTGTAGCAACCAGAGCGATGCGTGCTATTAGCGCAGCGCTGCTCCTCCTTCTAGCAGCCTGATCCTTTGGTACGATGGGCTTGGATAGAATGCCTTTGCATACTCAGCCAACTGGGGACTCGAGAGTCATCGAATGGGACGGCGGTGAGGTAGACATCATCAACCACTTCTACAACGTGGAAATTCTTGATAGAATATGGCGCGGGGATATGGCGACGTTCTCGACCTCTACTTTTGGCAACGATAGTGTTTCCTTATGGCAAGTCTTCTCATTTCTTGTCGACATTGGTCCCATATATGCCATCTGGATCTTGGAGTCATACTGCTAGGGGCCCACCCTTGACAGATGGAGATATGAGCACAAAATTCTTTCTGGACGTCGCGAAGTGTGGCTGACAGGGTCTTCGTCTTTTGTGCTAATAAGCCTCAGCGGACTTTGGAAGTTTTGGGCTTCTAGTACTAAGAGCGTGCACGGGGAATCCGTAACACTTGTTGGGAGCGGTGTAGACTTGTTAACGGTCACAAGGTTGTCCCGATATATCCGATCAAGTACAAGGCCTTATATAGCACGAGAGAATATACATCCTCTAGAGTTGAAATAAATCGATTTGGCCCCAAATTGGATATTTCCATGAATCGAGAAAGTGTAGGGGGAATATTACCTAAACGAATCTTGAAATACAGTCGAGTAAATGGGGGAATCCCGAAAGATGACTCGACGAATGATATTTCGGACATTCCTAAATGCTCATGGCTTACACCCCCGTCTTAAAAATCAGATCTGCGAATTTAGCCTTTGGTTGGGGATGGCTTCGAAGCGGTAAAGTTGCAACACGAAAACAGACGTATGGGAAGACGAGGTTGCCGTGATGGGTGCATTAGCTAGCGTAGAAAGAAGAACGTTGAAAATAGATTTTCCTTTTCCAAAAGTTGTGGTGAGTAAGGACACCCGTATTTGATAGGTGATAGGGGATAGGGGCGCGGAGCCGGACGGGGCAAAAAAAGCAGGAGAAGCAAAAGCAGGAGAAGCAAAAGCAAGGGAATAAGACAACTCAGCCGAATCAGCTTTCCTACGTGCGTATAAAATTCAGACGAGGGCAACATTTCTATCTCTATTTCACATACCTACTAGTATTCTACATACAGCTCTTTCTGGCTAGGATCCATACTTTATATATTATCAGACCGCCCTGTTCAGCTCTCTCCCCTCACTATGGCCGAATTCACGTCCACACGCGAGGGCTTTCAACGTGCAATGGAACTGTCCCTCAAAGGCAGCCCCGATGAAGCTAAATCTTACGCGGAATCCACGACACTGCCAACCTTCTACCATGTCATGAACGGCCATCGCCTGGAGTTTGATGTCTATGTTAAGGGTATCGTTGAGTGGCGTGGCAAGGTTAGCGACTACAAACCAGTCGTGTGAGTTGCCGCTTCCTTCATCTATCATACGCATAGGTAGATTAGAGACTCGAAGTTAACATGTGAGGTCTTCCTATTATAGGCACGAGTTTCTTCGCGACGGCGACCAGTTAGCGGCGCGCATGACCGGATCGATTAAGGTCGGCGGTACAGATACTGAATTCGAGAGCTTTATGTTCGGAAAGGTGGATAAGGCCACTGGGAAGATGGAATGGTTGATCGAGCGGTCGGTCTGGGGACCCGTCGCCGGGGCTTGATGTGAAATTGGCTAGGGGATATATATAATACCTGCACATTGTAGCTATTCGGGTAGGTTGGAAATATGATACGACTACACCTTCATGGGCGAGATTGCCGCGATATTGATACGTGCCTTAGTAGCTGAAGTATAAAGGAATGATGATTTGAGAATATTACCATTGGAGAACAGAAGGAAGCAGTAGTAAGACTTCGGTGATAATGCATCCATAATAATGATTGACATCGGAGGCCGATGATCTTAGTAATGACGGAGAAAACAACGGAAGAACCGGCACTCGCCGACCGGTCCCGGGTCTCGGAGGCGACGTCGAGGTCGAAAAGGCACGGGGTGAAGATATGGCTTCTCATTGGCTGGAGTTATCCATGACAAAGAGGAGATGGGAAAAGTAGCTGCGATGCAAAGTGGATCCATTGCCCACTTTGTAAGCTACTAGGTACATACTGCTGCAGCTCATTCCCGAATAAAATCATCGTTTTGAGATGTACTTGTACCGGGTCTGATCGGGGCATCAATCCGCCATGGGCATAAGATGTGCGTGTGTGCCCGTGAAGTACATACGTATCATGTACAGAGTACGGTAAATATCTACGTATGGATACCTGGTAGGCAGTCGCATCCAGCCGGCCTTTTCTTAGTGCCCCACTATGGAATATGTACGTGGTTGTCTTGAACTGAAAAAAATATCAATGCTCCCAAAGCTTGCCTTTATTAATCTAGAAACTCACATATATCGACGGGGCTCAACAAGTTCGGTTCATTACGTACTAAGTATGAAATATAACACTTACCTACGTGATTCGAATGATGAATTCGGTCTTTCTATCCACAACCTCATAGCTACCTAGTACGACAATGCGAAATACCAGTCAGATACCTAGACCTATCGTACTCAGGACCTACTAGGCACATGCAAGCCGTTACTAAGGGCCAGTAAATTGTCACTACCTGAGCACTAGCTTCTCGGCGTTCGAGACTGGCAGTGCCGTACGAGTTTGACGTCTTGTAAAGCACCGAAGCACTTGAAAGCCGCTCGACTCATGGGAATGTCTCCATATTTTCCCATGTAAGGTACCCTCCTATCCCTCCTATCGACCCTATCGATCCTATCGACCCCTCCACGGGATTAAACATCGTCATATTAAAGACTCTGAGGCACGTCCTCGTCACTTTTTTCCTGCGTCACATCCGTCTTTACTTGGACCTATCAGAAGCCTCTCCCTTTCTGCTACCTGCTAGGTAGAGCAGTTTCTAAGCCATTTCATCGGGATAACCAGCCGCTTCATGCAGAGAACAGCATCTCATTCCAACTCCATCTGACCCCCACTCTCTTCCACGGCCGCAGTCATTGGATAAAAGCTCCAGTGCTTTGGGCTTTTTGCGCATCATCTTACCAAACCACTCGGGTTGCCTGAAGCTCTAACTTTAGTACCGACGCGCTGTTATACGACCGGTCAGATCGTCGTGAGCGTGACCCTTTTCCAGTCACCACTCGTAGGTTCTCTATCGTGAGAATTCGGGTTCGGTTTAGAAGGTAGACTATGCCTGTTTGCTACATTTATTAGAACCAGCTTCCCTGTCCTTCATCGAATTGGTCTAATTTAGATTCCTCTATGCAGCATCCCGAGGTGGTGGCCAATATTCCGAAGTTGCAAAGTCGGGCGGGAATCCTGTTCAAGAGCTCTCTCCCTACCGGAACGCCCCCCTCCCCTGGAATTGCCACAGACTCGAATGTTAATTCACTTAGTTTCACTCACCTCTAGGTTTCATCATCATTCTTCCGCTTGTCTCTCGCAGCAACTTCTGAGCCCTCTCCAGCAGAGAATTATATGACTCGGGAGATAGAATTTGAATGCTTAGGCCCTCGTCTCTTACGTCGACCCTCCCGTGCCGCCAGTACACGCCTCCCCTAGTCTCCCCTGCTGCAGCCCGCATCCCTACGTTTAGTTACACACGGAAGACAATCGTCAAAATTATCTACTGAGACACGCCGTCTAAGTAAACAGCCTCCACGGGCTGGTTGCGGGCGCCTCTGCCGCACCATGTAAGTCCCAACCCGATAGCCGTGGACTATCTTTTCCTTCTACCTACTGCACCGGAACATGACTTTCAGCACCGGCAGGGTCCGCTAATACCTCTTCAGGAAGTTCGGCAAGCAAATCCAAAAGCGTCAGCTCGAAGTACCTGAATATGCCGCCAGCTTCGTAAATTATAAGGCGCTCAAAAAGGTATGTTGACCGTTTATTTTGTCTCACCTAGTAGTCAATGGCATTTGTTTTCCGCGGGGCTGTAGGGGAATCCGGACCGTGTCAAGCAGGGAAAAGGCTGAATTGTTATTTGTGCTATGTTAAATGAAACTTGTGTTGCTTGCAAAGTGGGATTGTATCACTAACATTAGCCAATAGCTCATCAAGAAGCTGTCTGCTACCCCGACATTGAGCGCTCAAAATGACCCTCACTTTACTCCCACGCCGGTAGACACCCAAGTTGCTCTACAGGCAAACAAAGCAAAGTTCTTCTTCCAGCTGGTAGGATTTCCCATTTTCTCGTAGATAATCATGTGCTCGCGAATGGCGCTCATAGTACGTAGGAACGAGAATTAGAGAAAGTCAACGCATTCTACCTTCAGAAAGAAGCTGAGGTATGTAAATTTATCGCTGACGGTTGCATTCGAGCCATTGGTACTGATGCAAGTCAAGCTCAAAATTCGACTCAAAACATTGTTAGATAAGAAAAGGGTTCTACAATCTCGTCACGGCGTCTCCAGGCGCTCGGCCAAGTTCACGACTCTAGAAGAAGGGTTCCAACAATTCGCGAATGATCTAAATAAGCTCCAACAATTTGTCGAGATCAATGGGACTGCTTTCTCTAAAATCCTCAAGAAATGGGATAAGACGTCTAAGTCCAAGACGAAAGAGCTGTACCTATCGCGTGCTGTGGAGGTACAGCCATTCTTCAATGCCCCTGTCATCAGCGAACTTTCCGACCAGGCGACGACTAGTCTGCAGGAGCTTGGGGCTTGGGCAGATGGCGATCATGTCCCGTTTGAAGCTCGTTCGGAACACATGGTGAGCAGCCAGCATCTGCTCGGAACGGACGAAGGCGACGCGGATAGTTTGCTCCTGGATACGGCAATCTCTGGTAACTTGGAATCATTGCGAGATCTCCTTTCAAGGATGAGAGCTGGTTCTAATTCGCCGTCCGGGATGGATATTTCTTTGATGGAGAGAGTGACTCGCACTTTTCTCGCTGCTATCCACGAGGCACCGCAGGCTTCTCTTGAAGTTCTGTTGGAGACCGGGCTGGTCGATATCCGATCCGAGGACGACATCAACGAGCGAAACTGCCTCCACCAGGCCACTATTTACGGAAACTCGTTCGTGTTAAATGTTGGCTTGTCGGGGGGAGTCGAGGTTAATAGGACAGATGTGTACGGGCGTGTACCGCTACATTATGCGAGTATGCATGGGCGATTGGATATGCTCGAGCTTCTACTTCGAGGTAAAACCAACTTTGACCCCTTGCTTGATGACATGATACTAAATTTGATGCATAGCCGACCCGACGACAATCGATTTGATCGACCATGACAACTTCACTCCGTTGATTCATGCGATTATCCACGGCCACCTCGCATGCGTCCAACGACTTCTTGCAACCTCATCGCGCTTAGATCCCGTATCAGAGACGGACCACATACCACTCAATCTCGCCTGCGAGCATGGGTCACTTGAAATAGTCAAACTACTCCTGGCTCATGGCGCGCAGATATTGCCTGATGCTGAAGGGCTATATCCACAGCATCTTGTAGCACGGTCGGGCCAAACACCTCGACTACTTCGCTTGTTGCAGGAATATGGTGCTGATTTAGATCAAATCGACAAGTTATATGGCTGGACACCCCTAGTGCATGCGGCGAGTGAGGGGAATGTGCCTTGCTTGGAGGAGCTCTTGAATGTGGGCGTGGATCCTAATATTGTTGACGAGAAAGACTTACCTGCCATGTATTATGCGGCGTGGGAGGGACATCTGGAATGCATCCAGAAGCTTACGCCGTATCAAAAGGGAAACGCGGAGAGTCCCCGTATGATGCAGACCACAGGTCCTCTCCTGGCTCCTTTGGGGAGTGGAAACACACCAGTCCCAATGTCGCTTGATGCCGACGCGATTCCAGTCCTCGAACTTCCGCCGCCGATAATACCTCTACGACGTTACGGCCATAACTTCCTAGATACGAAGGCCGTTATCCAAATTAGCTTCCAGGAGGACGGCGATCACCCATTAGTCTTCTTTCATGATAGCAAGTATCCTGCTGCACGATTAACCATTTCTTCTAAGTTATCAGATCTTATTCCCAAGAATATCATGTTACCTTTCCAAGAAGATACCCGGCTCGTATCTTTCCAGGTCGATAACCTTGATACATTCACCCTCGACTTTGACGTGTTCCCGACCTACGGCGCGAAAATCATCGCAAAGACGGTTGCGCTTCCGAATACTTTCCGAGCTTCTTGGAGTAGTTCAGGAAAATGTTGTCTTCCGCTGTTCGACCCCCGACTCAGAGCGATTGGCCAGATAAGCTTCAATACTCAAGTAATCAAACCTTTCCAGGGAATTCCACTAGAGATTACAGACTTTGAGACCTACTGGAAGGCTACGAGTCAGCTCGATCAAAAACCGACCATGTTTGTTACTGGCTCGAGTTTATCCGGCGACTTTGTTCAGCTATACGTTCAGCATACGAGCGATGGCATCCCCGTTGTATGGCCACAGTGGATGATTCAGTGCGGCGGCATTGATGTATCGATCTCGCGATTGTCATACGAACAATTCTCTACCGTTACATCATCAAATCCAGGGCGAGCTCAACTTTCCTTAGTACCATCCCAGGGCCTTAGCAATATTGCCGATGTTCATCGAGTGCTTAACACGGCGGGCGTATCTCTAGAAGAAGCACTTTCATTACTACCCAACTCAATGCACGTCGACCTCCAGATTATTTATCCATCGGAAGACGAGGAACGAAGGCTAGGGCTAGGACCGACTGTGAACGTAAATAGTTTCGTGGACGCCATACTTACCATGGTATTCGATCACGCGAGAGAACAGAGGGCACAGACGATGTCGGCTCCTGATACTGTTAGATCGGTTGTTTTTAGCTCGTATAACCCTACGCTCTGCACAACTCTGAATTGGAAGCAACCTAACTTCCCCGTGTTCCTCTGCAACGACCTTGGCCGGGAAGATGTTATGCCCTCGCCTAGCGTAATCCAGAGCAGTGGACGGAGAACATTTTCGGTCAAGGAAACAGTACGGATAGCGCAGAGCAACAACTTTATGGGGCTTGTTTGCTGCTCTCGACTGTTGGTAAGTTCATCTCCCTAGGACAGAAAAATAGTCAAAGACGTTTCAAGAACGTTGCTAATATGCGATTAGAATATGGTTCCAGCTCTCGTAGATGCTATTAAGTCCCACGGGCTGGCGTTAGTCGTCGATAAATCGGCCGAGCAAGCTACGGATCCATACCTGCACGCGGATCTCTTCCCCGTCCCCAAGGGCGTCGATGGGTTGTTGAAGGGTAATGGGGTATTGAGATTTAACGAGTCTATAGACGTATAGACAAAAACGCGACCTGGAGTATTAATTACAGCATCAATTGTGGAATCAGTTCCTAAGCTCCGTTTGTGTGCGAATATGTCATAAGACCCGACTTGGCTTATGATAAGGCTCAGGCATAGCACTAAATGAATGATATGAATAAAAACAAGTTACTCGATATTTTTCCATTCAGAACTAGAGCGCCACCGTAGAACGTAGAAGCAAATCCCCACTATGCCCCTATTATGCGCCCTTATACTCGTATTTCAGCGCGCTCAGCTCCCTCTCCGGGTCCACGCTGCCCATCACCATCTTGGCAAGCAGCACGACCCCATACACGATCGCAGGCAGATTGTTCAACCCGACATGGCCCCAGTGCCCCTGCGACGCGCCCGACCTCGTAACTAACCCGGCCACGACCAGCACCGCGCACAGCCCGACGTTCAGATACGGCAGGTACCGCGCCAGCGGCGAATCGCGGTGTCCTTCCGCCCAGAACGGCGTATTCGCTATATCGCCCCGACCCCCACTACCATCACCACCACCGCCGTCGCCGTCATCGTCGCGCTTATACGCTCTTACCCCCGCGTCGCCTCCCCCAGACCCAGACCCAGACCCAGCAGCCCACGCATCCAAAACCCGTATCCCCGTCACCCCCGGAGCGCGGACCCACAGCGTCCAAGCCGTGGCGGCGAGGCTCGTCAGCCCAAGCAGCGCCGTCGACCTATCGGTCCCGGTCCCGCTAGCCCGGTCGGGGGAGACGAGGGCGAGCAGGTACGGCAGCGCGGACACGGCGGGCATGCAGAGTAAAAGGAGGCGGAACTGCGCGTTCCGCGCGTCGTTTTGCCGGGCTAGCGTCGCGATCAGGGTTTCTTGTTCTTGCTCGTCGAGGGTGGTGGGTAAAGCGTCGGGAGATGTATCATTGTCCGAGTCGGAGTCGGCGGGGTAGGCGAAGGTGCGGCGGAGGCGGGAGGTTGGGTTTTGCATCGTTGGTTGTTTGTATGGATTTGAAGTGGGTTGGGTTGGTTGTCTCGGTTGGGTGGGTGGAAGAGGATGCGAGGTGATGCGACGTTTATTTTTTAGGGTTGGAAAGGCATGACAGAGGTAGGATTATGGCTCTTAGGATAGATAAGTGAGCTGTTGCTTGGTGTTTGTTTGCGATCAGGCTGATGTTGAGCTAAGGAAATTAAGTAGCCTTATGACATTGCGACAGATGGGTAGCTAGGAGTGACGTAGGTTATAGTTCAATCACCTAGTACGTAAGCATGTGGCTGAAGCTAGATCCGATCGTGGCTTGCTTCTATAGCCTTATATAAGCCGCATATGTTATACCTCCTGAAAATTAGCGTACTAATGTCAGTATTGTGGTTTGAAGTAGAGGAATAGGTGGCATCTAGTTAATTTCATGTGCTTTTTGCTCTATTATTTGAAATTAAACTGTGATAGATTCTTCTCATAGCTAGGCTGGGCAAGATATCATAACGGGCAAGCTGCTACCCAACCCAGGGCCAGTTCTAGATATTGGATATATAATAAGAATGGCCGGATAATACATGTGGCTCCGGATCAATCCCATGCGTAGCTTCATAAGAGCTTCTCATGACCCGCCTCAGGTTATCTCTCTACCTTTAAATTAGGAGACGAAGAGAGCTAAAGGCTCCATGTCTAAAGAGTTACGATGAACCCAACGACGGTAATGAAGCATGAGAAGATGGTACTAAAAACGAGAATCATATTACTCGGCAGGCACCTCTTTCAAAACGTCTGGATAGGACCAAGAGCGTGCTTGTAAGACCGGATCCATTCCCCCGGCCATTCGCCGAGGGGGATGAATGGTCATGAGGACCGTACATGATATACGGCAAGAGTTGGTGAGAAGCAATATATACAATTCCAAAATCTTGTATAGTGATACCTATACATAATATCTACGCCGTCGGGAACCCCTTAAAGTTCCCATTATTATCGTACTTCGCCTCTGCAAACCGCATTAGTCCCTCGTAGTCCAACGGTCTATCTCACCAATTATCTCAAAAAGGAAAAACAGAATAAGAAAGGGGTAAATAATATAGGAACTTACTAAAAAACGTATAACTCAACGTAACCTCATTAATCCCGCGCATGTTCAGATCATTCAGCAGGTCCGGGTCGAGGTAGAAAAACACGGGCATGTCGACGGTCTCGCCGGCGTTGAGGCGCTGCTCCTCGAAGCAGAAGCACTGGATCTTGCTGAAGTAGGGCGCGACCTGGGCCGGGGTGACGCTGTAGGTGGCGACGCCGATGATGTCGGAGTCGCTCCGGTTCGTCGCCGTGTAGAAGGCGAGCGCGGTCTCGCCCGGCAGCACCCGCACCTCGCGCTGCTGCGGCACGAACTTCCACGGCAGGATGTCCGACACCGACGCGTTGAAGGTCACGCGTATGCGCCGCGCGTCGGTCACGGGGATCACGCGCGACGCCGGGTCGAAGTCGCCGTCGCTCGAGGAGCCGCCGTGGCCCGGCGCGCGGATCGGTTGCCCGCCCCAGCCTGTCGTTTGGCAGATCTGTTTTCGATCCGTGGTTAGCTCTATCTACGTCGCCATTGCCTTATATTATATATGTATATGTGTATATGTGTGGGGTATATCGTGCTGTATACGTGCACGTAAAGTGAGAGTATGCCATACCATCTTATACATGGGAACCGACCCGTAGGAGAAAGCGACGGTACCGAGGATTATGCTGAGCGTATAATACCTATCAAAGCCATTGAGCGACGAACTTGCATAAACTATGGTATTCGACGAAGAGGGAAGTCGTACATCGTCGTCCGGTTCTTATATCTGTAATATTCCGCCATCCGTTCCATCGACGGAGCATCGGCTGCGCCCGTAGTCTGCGGCTTCATCTTCGTCGCGCTATTCGTTACGGTTCTACGTGGGGCTGATGGTTTTGCCCGGGCCAGGGCTCGACGGCATGATGCGCATGCCCATTGCGATGTCGTGCTGGCTCGTAGCGACCTCCACGAGGCCTGGTAAATGTTGTTCATTGTATCTTATAAAAATATGATGCTTGGAAGCTCTGTAGATGTCATCGTGCCATTTGTGGGGTCACATCGAAAAGCTCAAGGTCCCTACGATTTTAGTGGGACTGGTAAGCTTTTGGGGGTCTAGCTAGTGGTCTGCCCCGCTATATCGCTACACACCTACATCCACTAATCGTGGATGTCACAAGCAAAAACCGCCGCTTCCAAATAACATTGACTTCATCACCTTTAATAAAACAGAGAGCGAAGGATTGATTTGCTTTAACTTTCCATTGAACCTTTGGAGCTTTATTCTATTGTACATGTTTTCCTGATTGATTTACTTTAATATATTTAGCTGTTCTGTCAAGGTAAAAGTCGCTTGATATAACCCCTTCTTATCCATGCATTGCTGGAGAGGGTTGAGTCACTTAGTGGTGAGGGAAAGGGGAACATTATCACCTATTACCTAGATAACGATGAGATCCACGACAGCATGTGAAAATTATGCTATTATTCATTTCCATCCTAGGTGTTTTGCTACAGTCTAGGTAGGCAGACTATGAATGTTTCCCGTTCAACGTTTTCTTGCCTGTGCCATTGACCTGTGATGTTATTCTCTTGCTGGTTCTACCGAACATCCCTTCCAGCACATTTATAATGAAAACCTGGACGGCCATGATGATGAGCTTGACGAACAAGTCCATGACTCCCAACGTAGGTTTCTTCCCTCGACTGTATGTCGAGTCCACAAATTCGAAAGGTAACTTTGCTCCAAGGTGGGCGCTTGCCGCATATATCCCGCTGCTAAATCCATCTTCGTGAAACCCATATTTCGTCCATGCACCTGCATAGCTGATTCCTCTCGTATTCTGTATCTTAGGTAAAATTTGCTGCGCCCGAATCGCAGCGGGATTATACAATGGATGTGAATACGAGTATCGACCCTGGACAGTTTCAGGTTTCGGTTCCTGGATGGGATTCAGGGTGACCAAGACGTCACCGAAGCCTTCTCTTGGAATATGTTGAAGAATGTTCATGTTGTACGTCAGTGAGACTTGATCAATATCTTTACCCGTCCAGGGCGATGACACTGTGAGATAATTCCAAGCGGACCATGAGTTTTGACGCTTTGGCATATGCGACAGATCCGAGTGGAGAATGCAGGTGTTCTCCGAAGTTTTGAACGAAGACATGATTGCTTCTTCTTCAGGAGTAGCTGACGGCTTGATAATCTGATAGGCTTGATCTCCATGAGTAGCCAGTATGACATGATCGAATACTTCTGTCTTCCCATTCTCTAGATGTAACCGAACGCGTCCATTTTTGTCATTAGTGAGATGCTTGACAGCTGTCTTCAAGAACAAGTGATTCGGTGGGAATCCATTCATCACTGCGTCGATGTATGATTTTGCGCCGCCTTCTAGAGTAAGCCAGTCTGGCCTGGCGGCAACCGTACTTAAGAGGTGATGATTCCACCTTCATGATACAATTAGTAGCTATAATCCAACGAGGTTAATCAGCCCGACTCACATAAATCGGACAAGCGTGACAGCAGGAAATTCTAATGTACACTTGTCAGGGCTCGTACTCCACACAGCGGCCGTCATAGGTATCAGGTAGTCGTTGCGGAACGTCTCAGAGTACCCTTCCCGATCCAAATACTGGCCAATGGTCTCCATAGGGGCACCTCCCTTGGAATTAGAGTCGTCATCGCCATCGTCGTTTTTGAGCAGGTCCAGAGCAAATTGATTGAAGCGGATGATGTCAAAAATCAATCTCCACATCCTTAAGGAGAAGAGATTACTCTTTTGGCAGAATATAGAGTCTAGGTTTGTCCCTGCCCATTCAAACTTTCCTTTGTCCCGCGAAACACCGAATGTCATCTGAGTGGGCACGGTCTTTACTCCAATATTTTTGAGGAAGTTGATGAAGTTTGCTGAATCCTGTTAGCAAGGCCACATATTTGTAGATCTGTATTTTACGAACGATATGTTGCCGTGTTGAGGACGATGAAGCCCGTGTCTACCAGAGTTGTAAATTTGCCCTTCTTCCATTCTACCGTATTGGTATGACCACCGAGACGGTCAGCCGCCTCGTAGAGATACACATCATGATGGGTCCGATTCAGAGCCCAAAGAGCACCGATTCCAGCAGAACCACTTCCGACAATAGCTACCTTCTTCCTAGGTACCCGGTTAGTGGATGATGTCATGGATCCCTACACGGTAAGAGAGCGTGAAGAGTGAAGAAGTTATAATAATCAACGCGTCAAAATCTCATAAGAAAAATACTGTGGGGAGGAATGTTTGGGTGAAGAAAGGTGATAGTATCAAATGGAGGTCAGTGATCATAGGGCTCTGGCAGCGGAAAGGGAGGCAGGCTAAGAAGTGGCGGCCGACTAGCTATGTAAGTGTACGTCACACGACATTGTCCATCTTCAATAGTTCAGGTATGCCGGCCCATCCGTGACTGAAAGTAGGAAGGCAATGCTGGAAATGTTGGTGATTGGAATGGAAGCTTTGACAAGGCGAGTTTAAATCCGAGGCATGTAAAGGCGGAAACTGCATTTGCTGCATAACACCTTCACATGTACGATTCGGATCGACTCAGGTAGTTGCTGCTCCGGCTGGGATACTTTACACTCACATATTTATTTATATAACCTTGGCACTTGCTTCGATGCTTGAGCTATATCAAGGTTTTGGCAGTTTCGTTAAGCGCACATAGTTGGAATGAATGTTAATTATAAGGAGGAACGAGCGAGTTGATGTTTCAATTCCTTTTATCAAGGTTCAAAGCACTTAGACAGCTGTTAGGTTACATGTCTGTGGGCTGAAACAAGGATCCACCGCCTCTGTAAATATCCAGACTATCGACGCTTTGACTAGGTATAGCCACAAGAGTCTATGACATATTTTTATAGATTCTCTGAGACAGCATCACCAACAGCTTAAGTAATACATGTGTTACCAGTACGATTCAAGTGAGGCTCTTCTGCGCTTGCTTAGCACTGGTAACGGCATAATGAATATACTAACATAGCGTCCGCCACTCATTTCGTATGCAGTTAAATCTTTACTTAAGACTCTTTGCCAAAATCACCGAGGACATTCCAACCAGGACGTTCTTCTCGGGCTTCACCGTTCTAGTCGTCTTATCTTTTTATCGACTAAAACTTAGGGCGGGAATATCTATGAAAACTTTTCGTCTAATCAAGGAATGTCGAGGCTCAACGGGATCGAATATTCAGAGGCGGCAGTCCGCAAAGACGTTCGTCTAATATCCAATTCTTAGAAGCTCCATGTTTCAGTCTGCCCGGCTAATACAACTTCACGTCCGTAGAGAATAGAACGCAGAGCCTAATTATCTGCTTCCGGGGGTTCAACTTTCATGGAGAAGAAAAGGAAGAGGAATGTCAAGAGAAGCACAGGCTTCAATTCATTAAATAAAATTTCTGCCGAATGCGTTTCCCCACCTGATGTGGCTGGGAAATTGTGGCGGGTAAACGGAACGGTCTCAGTAAAACTTACGGTTAGAAATCCAAGACGTTCAAAGTTACATATCCATAGGCGTGGCTCAGGTATGTACACATGTACCTCTTGTACCTTTTATCAGGTTACGCAAACACGCATGATCTTCCTGCAACTTCGATATACCGTTGTACATATCGTGCCTGTAGTCATCCATCTCTAATTCAACCAACCACGTCACCGATTACCTACCTATCCGAAGACCCTCCAAAATCTAGTAAGCAGGCTGCTCGACTATCTTAATTCGACGACCATCTACCACGGCCTCTCCTTTTCCATTAAGATACTCTCCGCGAGAGTCTCGACAAAGCCCAGCCACAGCCAACGAATGAGAGGAAAGGAGCATCTATAATCCAAGAAGGAAATCGATTCAAACCATCATGGCCAACCCCCTCGACACCGACGCCGGCTCCGAGCTCTTCGGCAGCTACGAAGCCGAATTCAAGCTCGTCCAAGCCGACCTGACCCAAAAGCTAGACCAGATCCCCGAGCTGAGCGGCGAGCCGCGCAAATCCGCCATCAGCGCCGCCGAGCGAGCCCTCGAGGAAGCCGACGAACTGGTAATGCGCCCCCCCTTTCCTTTCCTGTCATGACATATCCCTAACCGACGTAAAAATCTCCAACAGCTCGGCCAGATGCGTCTCGAAAAGCAAAACATCCCCTCGTCCACGCGGCCGAAGATCAACCAGCGGTTCCGGAACTTCGAGACGGACGTCGACTCCTACAAGCGCAAGCTCGCTTCCCTGGCCTCCGACCGCGCCGCCCTCTTCGGCAGCCGGTACACGGACGACCCGTCCAAGGCCTCGCCGTCGGACCTGCAGCTCGAGCAGCGCCAGCAGCTGCTCTCGGGCACCGACCGGCTCGACCGGAGCACCCAGCGCCTGCGCTCGAGCCAGGCCCTCGCCAACGAGACCGAGGCCATCGGCGCCGGCACCCTCGCCGACCTGCACGCCCAGCGCGAGCGCATCGCCCACACGGGACAGATCCTGTACGAGAGCGAGGGATATGTGGATAGGAGTGTGAAGACGCTGAGGGGCATGGCTCGTAGGTAATGACTCCCCCCCCCCTTATCCCCGGGAATTATATACGTGTGTATAGAGAGCGTATACCTACGTATATACGTATGTGTACGTGGCGTGGTGAGCATGCGACGTGCTAATGGAATCGATAGGATGGCTACGAATCGGGTGATTACCATCGCCATTATCACGGTGTTGGTGATCCTGATCTTCGCCGTGATCTACAGCAAGTTCAGGTGAACAGGCAAGCACTACGAAGAGAGGAGAGGAGAATCGCTCGCCCTACCGTGCCACCCAACTAGCTGACCACGAAGCTAGGCCGAACCAGTCGGCCGGCCGTGGTTCAGGGGAGAATAGGAGAGACGAGTGGATGTGACATTTGTAAATTTTTTCCATCCTGTATGTCAAGTGTAATGCCGAGAGCAGTTTGCAGTTACAAGAACGGCGTTTTGGGAGCGTTAAACAAGGGGTGGGCCATTGGGAAGATTCTCATTATCACGGTCGTTTCTTCGTACATATTCCCTCCCGTAGTCTTCAGAGACTACGTAACGGATTGGCTTTGACTTCGCATTAATCAAGACTAAAGACGTTTGACGGTTGACGCAACATCTTTATTTTTCGTTCCTAAAAAGAAGAATTCATCTTCATAACCCGTGCCTATGTACGCCTAAAGCCATTAACCGGACTAACAAACACGTCCGTTGAGATACTCGTAACCATCTATGTAGAGCAGCAAGTATGCCGCAAACGGGTATCAAACTCGGTTCAGACTTACGATCCGCTCACCTCCGGCCGGGAGATTTCGGCTTGCCAACCTTGCCTGAGAACGCCGGGCCATGTCTCTTATCCTGCCCGAGCCCTCGTCTCCCAGAAGCGATGCCTCCCTTACCACTTCTCCCTCCGCGCATACCTCCGCCACGATGAGGACGACCTCCTCGAGGGCTGAAACCGCCTCTGCCACCCCTGCTGATTTGTGATTTGATGTTGGAAACATCTTTCTCGTCGACATCCATTTCCGCATCCTCGTCATCGTTTTCGTTCCCTCGCTTATTAGAGAACTTAAGACGCCCGCCTCGTCCCCTGCGTCCGACATCCTTACTCTTGAGAGCCGCGACGTAAGCTCCGACACCGCCCTCCTCTCCACCTTGAGCAGGTGTATCAATAATCATAGCGTCATTGTCGTCGTCCTCTTCGCCCAATATCAACTTGCCGTCCATATCGGTCTTGGCCTTGGTTTTGCCCGCCTTGCGTAATTTCCCAGGCTTTGTAGAGGAGATGTTAGCAAGGGCCTTGCGATCTAATAGGTCGAGAGGTTCGTCATCATCTTCCATGATGTATGTGGAGCCGCCCTTCTGTGCCTTTCGCGACTTTCCGAGGACCTCGGCGTCAGAGTCGTCAGAGGCATCTGATTCTTCGCTACTATATAGCGCCTCGTCATATTCGCTCTCGAATCGACCTCGTCGCTTGCCGGACTGTTGATCATCTTCGTTGCCTGCTTCCTTGGCAGCGTCCTTTCGTCTCTTGCTACGTTCCTTAGTCTTTCGGATGTTGGTTATCAGCTTCCGGTCCGCTTCGGGGCAATTCCTATTGACAACGTCGAATCCGAAGCGTCGGACCATTCGCTCGAGAATATGCTTAACCTTCGCCCTGCAAAAGTGACCTTTGTGCTCGTGTGCCCATACCATCAAGTTTGGAATCATAGTTGGTAAGCGTGGTAACATCAGTTCCGTTGGCAAACTAATCACGCATACCTTCACGAATCCCAAAACACTCCTGACGATCTCTCGGTTGTTAGATGTCAAGAATAGATCCATGGTCTGTACAAGATCACTGAGCACCTCTTGGTTCAGCGTCTCGCGGAACTCGTAGAGAATGCGAGTAAGGGCAGTGATAGAAGCAGATATCATGTGTGGCGTGCTACCCGCAAGTCCGGCACTAACCATAGTGATGTATTCTTCAATACTTGCAGATACGGGTGGTGCATCCTTTGGCATATGAGGAATTTTGCTGTTATCAATAGGGCTGCCCTTCGCTTCTGCTAGTTTCTGGCCCATAAGAACGAGTAGTTCGAAAGCCGAAGTTCTCGCTTTCTCATTTTGCTCTTTGCAGCATATAACTACCTCAGACAATACTGAAGGGATAAAGTGAAGCGACGTAGCAGGGATGAACGGCACCAGCGCAGTAATTGCGGCCAATCGTTCTCTTCGTGCAGGGACCGAGACTTTTTCTGCGCTGGATAGAATCAGGCCTTGCAATTCCCCATTTCGTTCCTGGAGCGCTGCTTTGCCAATCTCTGACTCGGCAAGCCGTGGAATTAATTTGTAGGCTTTCTTCTGTAGCTGGGGGGCGTCATCTCTCACTATGACAAGTGCCGCAATATTAAAGAGAGGACCAAAGCTTTGGCGAGGAAGGTAAATAGACATGGTAATGACCAAATCCATGAGTGTCTGACTCGTAGAGGGCATCTTCTCCTTTGACTTTTGGTTCTTTTCTTTGCTGTCATCAAGTTCAGCTAGTGACGATGCCAACATCGTGCTGACGCGGTCAAATGTCTCAACGAGTTCCTTTTCAGGCGTTATGCTCAGGTAGGAATTGATTGTCTGAAGTATAGGACCCCTGGATTGAGGAAGTGTCTGGCTGTAGACATTGAAAAGAACTGCCAGGAGGTTACCAGCAAAGTTCCCAAGATAGTCTAGATTCTTCTGAGCATCTGATTTCGATACTCGGCTTTTGAGAATCAAACTCTCGTCTTCAAGTGAAACTACATCTTGATTCGATTCAACAAGGGCCTTGAGGGCCCGGCAGACATCAAGTCTAAGTTCGACTTGCTTGTACAAGAGATTAGCGAGCATCTCAGCAAAGACTTGGTCAAATGCTACTGTTAGATCTAAGGGTAGATCGCAAAAGCCGGGTAATATAGACCAGGTTTGGTGTACCAGTGTTTCGTATATCTTAACCTCCATCGTCTTTGCGGCTTCACCGTTGTCCAGAACTCGCTGAAACATAGCCTCACTTAATGGGATGAACTCGGTTTTGAAATACTGGAGATCGGTGTTGCTAGTATAATCTCGGAGGATTGGCAGCATCCAGGCTCTACCAAGCTGGCCCTTAGCTGGCTTGACGAGGTTTAGAGGAAGAACACTGAGGACGGCCTCGGGGCCCATTGCTCGAATCGCTTTCCCGAGAACTTCATCTGCCTCCTTTTTGCCCATAAAAGAATCATTCCCACGAAGTTCGCCAACCGTACGCACAACATTCAGCATCGTCGGGTTGGCACGCCACTTCAGGGCGTCGAAAATGGCACCGAGGACGTTGAATGTTTCCATCCAGGCTGCCTGGTATTGTACGCTGAGGAGGCCTTCGGCAATCTGGGCTATTTGCTCAATCATTTTCTCATCATAGATAGAGGGTTCTACTATGACTTGGTCGGGAATACAGTTCGCCATAAATGATATCAAACATTCCGATGCAGATATTCTTATATTATGTGAAGATGATTCCATAAAACTAGATATCATCCCAAACAAGGCCGGGAGCTTGGAGAACGTCTCTTCGGGCTCGATCTGAGCGGAAACATCGTATCCTCGCGATAATATGGCGATCCAAGGCGGAAGTAATTGGGTATCGTTAGAAGAGGGACGCATCTCAGAGATGATTTCGAGAAGACGGGGCAGTTTAGTAGATGCAACCTCATCGGCCATGCCTTCAAAAATCATCTCGAAGATCTCAAAGACGGCCATTGTCATGTGCTCATTCCCACTCTTCGCAATGTTGAGTAAAAGTTCGCATAGAGCCTCGATATTCTTGCTGGGCCAACCACCGCTCGCCACCGCGACTGTCTTGACAAGCTGCAAGGCGTGTATAAGCGCAGGGTCGTGCTCCGCTGTCGATTTCTTCTGTTTTCTCGACAACGCTGCCTTGTTTGCTATATCCGTCAAGCTTCTCATTGCCGTTTCGGCGCATAGATCCGCTGCTGGGTGATCTAGTGACGGACTCGGAGGGGGATTCTTGAGGACTTTTCGTAAGGCATCTTGCGCCCGCTTTCGCACTTTCGGTCTGTGATCTAGAGCAAGGTTTAAGAGACCTGCGACAGCCCGTCGCGGACTTATCTCACTGGTCGAAAGTTTCCATGCTGCCGAATCCTGTGCAAGAAGTAGCGATTCCAGGCATCCGATTGAAGGCTTCAGCAGCGGCGCTTCAGCGTCTTTGAGTAGTAGGACAGGCGCCAAGAGTGTAAGAATTTGGGTGAATTTAGATCGAAGGAGGGGCTGCGGCGCAAAGGGTGTTACGACATCGAGAAGATAGACGACAGACGGTGTCAATTCTTGGTTGATTTTCCCATTCTCGAGAGATTGATTCAGCAAAGCTAACAAGGCAGCAAAGTGTCCTGTTGCTGTCGGTTGAGTATCCTGTTCTTTAAGTGTTTCCTCAACCGCTTTGAGAATCACCCCAGTCTAGTGCAAAATCCAAGGTCAACAATTCGAAATTGGTTATTCTTTAATATGGGAGATCGACTTACCTGTTGTTGGCTCTGGAGATTCGGCGACCGGATCTTCTCCAGCTTCTCTTCGAGAGTCGCCATTTTGAAAACGCAATCCGTGATTGATTGAATTGGTGAAGTTTCCGAACGATATTCTAATGTTAAGGAATTTTGGAATTTTTTGCTTATCGAGTTCTTATCGGCGTTATCGTTAAGCGTCAAACTCAACCCCACCATGGTTTGGCTTGGCAGAACAGCCCTACGATCCGAGGTACGTACCGGAAACTATAAACTTCCAAGTTCCCTTCTAGTACTGTGTATGCAATTAATGATAATAACCCTCCTAAAGTCGGGCATACCGATAGCATGAATAGAGCATTCATAGCTTTCAGATGTTACTCTCAATATATGATATATGTTAGTTAAATAGCGAGGAATGTATATCATTAACCCCGGTATCATACAACTCCTACTAAAAACAAATTGGTTCCCCTTGACCGGCGGAACTATACTGTGGAAATGTGGAAAACAGTGTTAATACTATCTCATGTAGGTGAGGTAGGTAATATTCAGTCTTTTGACAATAGTAGCTGGTTTTGCTACGATCCATGTTCTAGGCCAAACGTTGTAACCATGACTCTATATGCGATTTGCAAAGGTCATGCTGCGTCTCACCCAACCCAATGTGCACCCAAACGTCATGTTTGGCTGGGTAGCTATTCTCACGAAGCCTTCTGCTTATCATCGGCGTCTCGTATTTGCTCAAGAGAAGTCCTCACCAGCCTCTTCGATGTTGTTCTTGACTCGTACAAGAATCGTAGTCTTCCACTTATCAAGCTTGCTCATCTGGTCGAATTGGAACAATTTGTCCGTAAACTGATCCTGGTCACCCGCTTCGATGGCGGCCGCTAGGTCTGTGAGCAACTGGTGCTCTCGAGTGCTAGGGAATGTCGGGTCTAGATCTCGATACTTCTCAAGCGCGCGATTCGCGGCGACCATATCGCCCGTCGCTAGGTGGCAGATACCCGCCTTGAGGAAGTAGTCTTTGACTGAGTAGCGCATTAGGTTGTTGTTGATGGAGGCTCCTGCGACCTTCTCGTATTGTTCGATCGACTTGTAATAGTCGCCTTCGAGGGCCGCAATGTCTGCTACCTTAAGCCAGAGCTTGTTCGCTAGACTAAATGTGCATTTTAGTGGCCGGTCCTTTTCCGCGTCATCGTGGTATAGGACCCTTACGCTGAAGCATTATCTCCTTCGTACCATCCAGCAGCAGACTCGTAGCATTCGAGCGCACGCTTCGTATCACCCACCTCGTTTTCGAAGACTTCGCCCATATTCTCCTTGTGCTGCGCTGCCCGTCTAAAGTTGCCCTTCTTGCAGTATTGGTTGACAGCGACGTCGAGACATCGCACAGCATCTTCAGGGTTCTCTTTCCGGTAGACTTTAAAGGCATCAACCAAAGTGTTGGCAGCATCGTCGGGTTCGTTCAGCTGTTTTGTTTGCACGGCAGCCGCCTTTTCGAAAGCCTGGCCAGCTTCTCGGTTCATTTTCTGAATCCTGAAGGAATTTGCCGCCTCGATATATAAGTCTGCCGCATTCTGGTACTTGTCTTCTCGGCCGCCGAAGAAACTGAAGCCGCTGGAAGCGCTGGCAAGCGTCTTGTCCGCCTGTATTTGCCATGCGTGTCAGTAGCCGTCTGAGTAGGTGTGGGGGAAGATGGTGGGGCAATCGGACCAACCTTCTGTAGCAAAGCACGAGGATCTCCGGCCATGATGGATTGATTTATCTGTATTATTTATTAGGGCGAAAGGGGAGATAGGAATTATCAGTGTTTGAATTTAACTATTCGCTCTAATGTTGATGACAAAGGAATGAGAATGATAGGGAAGGCGCAGTTTGGAGTTGCGACACGGCTACCTAACATTAGGTAAGTCTCAAGCTATGACATCGCACGTCTCACATCAAAGTACCCCTGTAACGTGTTGCCGGGTACATAAGAGGTACCTCTCAAGTCAATCTATTAGATAAACACAAGCGCAACAAACTAATAAAGTCGATATTTTTAATCAGAAGAAAGGAAAATTAGAAGCGCTGTTAGAATATTATTAGTATTTATGTTGCAACAAACCTTTAAGATTAATAACACGCATTCTATATTGGTAGAGTTCGTCTCGAGTACAATGCATGCGAATGGCTCCGTTCAGCCTCAAGGACTTCATCTCTAACAGGGATCTTCCCTTCGTATTCAATCATTCACGCTTCAAGTGATAAATCGAACAAACCTTTGAGTCCTGGCCATTCCTTGATCTCCCCTATAACAAAACCGTGTGATAGGTCTTCATAGAAATATTTAAACGATTATGAATTCAGCAATATGCAGCCATTGCCGTGCGGCGTTCCGCCGATCACTTCGGTCTGTACGAACTCGCCAACCACATACAACAGCCACCAGCAGCACGAGGAAGAGCTCAAGCTCAGCTCCCCATACGACCCAAGACCTCGAAAGCATCCTCTCGAAGCCAAGTTGGTCCGTCCGCTCCCTCCTACCCCCTCCAGCCTCGGAATCCACAGCTGGCTCTCCAACAATCACCCCACAAACCCTACAGCATCTGCTCCGGCTCTCTGCTCTACCTCCCCCTAGGTCCGCCGAGGAGGAATCGAAAATGCTCTCGACCCTCGAGTCGCAACTCCAATTCGTCCGTGCAATCCGCGAAGTCGACACCACAGGCGTAGAGCCTCTGCGTTCCATCCGCGATGAAACAGCGCAGGGCATGCGTGAGCAGACCATCGGCCTAGACCAACTCCAGGAAGCCCTTGCGAAAGAAGACATCGTCGGGCACGCGCGGCGCCCACGACGGCGGCGGGCAGGAAAAACTGCAGGAAAGAGGGAACAGAAAATAGAGGAGAATACTGATTCTTCAGTAGAAGATTGGGACGTTCTCGGTGGTGCCAGTGAGACGGCAGGGCGATACTTCGTTGTAAGGACCGGATCGACGGATCCAACGCAAGCAGGATAGTAAAGTCATGGCTGGAAACACGAAAAGAAGACTTTCAAAGTAATATTCGTAATAGTATGCATTCTGGTATGTGAATTGGGTATGTGAGTCAAGTAAGTACAAACGTCCGAGCTATACTAACTTCATCCATCCATTCGTATGCCTCCTAACCAGGAATGCTATCACCACCTCCATGGATGGATATTTTGCAGAAGAGAATTCCATAGCCTGCAATCTCTTCCTTCCTAAACCATTGGGGGGAAAAGCCTATGATATAGAACCAACTCCCCATAACCGCCGCCTAAAACAAGAAATACCGGGTATCGTATCCGCCTTGGTGAATCCTAGAAGAGAGATTACCGCCTCGCCGCCAGACGTCCACATTACTTTTTGCCCTTCTTGCCACCTCCTCGCTTGTCAGCATGATTGCCAGCAGAAGCGCCAGCAGAATTGCTTGCGGAATTGCCTGCGGGAACGTCCGCAACCACTCGGATGTGTCCCACCTCGATGGCTTCCTGTTGACGATTGGCACTTACGCCGTTCTTGCCCTTCCATTGTAGCTCACGTTCTTCGTCCAGTTTCTTCAAGGACTCAATCAAGGCAAGCAACTTGCCCTGTCGCTGGGGGATAAGAGAGGTGTCAACGTCCTCCCAACCAACTCGAGAAAGGATATAGCCAACGAGGTAGGCCCATTGAAAGTGGCTAGTGACTATCTCACTCATGTCGAAATTCTGAATGTTCGGCACACCTTGGAGAGGCTGCAAGCCTGCAACACCCATTGGCCAATGACAAGAGCGATAGAGGAAACCAAGCATATGGTCTTGCTTGGAATAGACGTTGATGAAGCGTCCGGCTACGACGCTCTTCATGGCCGAAACAGCCCGAACTTCAGTTGGGCATGGTGCGCCCATCATAATCACGTTCTCTATCAAACCGAACGCTCGCTTCTCGGCTAGGGTCATTAGACAAGCATAAACGGCGCGAGCACCTTGGCTGTATCCCACGAGGGAAACAGGTCTCTCTCCATAAAGTCGATTCATCAGAATGTCGGCGAGCACGTACCCTGCCTTCTCTGCTCGAACCATTCCGATGCACCAAATATTGTCGATGACCTTGCTAACCTTCACGATGCCAACCGGCCACGTGGACTTGCGCAGCCTATCGAAGACTAAGATACAGATTAGCTTGTGCTCTAATTAAATGGGGAAGGAATTCTTACCATTCATTGAAGCCATCTCCTGTCTGGATTCATAACCGGGCAAAGTCCGCAGGGCAGCCATATAGGAACCGCCTATCTTCCTCATTACCTCCAGTTCATACCTCATAACGTATGCCTCGTTCTTGTTACCCAGAACTTTCCAGGGGTCAAGGAAACCGTCGTCGCCAGTTAACATGCCACCAATTCCGATTGTAACTCGCATTCTACGATCCCCGGTGGGCACGTCTTTGGGATCGATAAGTTCTGGCGTATTTTTTCCATGTATGGACACCATACCGAAATCCAGTACGTCCTTCCTATGGGCTTCGATCGACTTGCTGCCTTGCCGGGCTCCATACAGACCGAACAAGGTTCCAACCGCGACCGTGCTGTCATTCATGGGTCCTAGGAGTCCTGCTGTAGCGGAATGGCTAATTACGCGCTTGTTAAACACACTACCGATTCCGGCGGCGCTCAAAGGGGCTGAAAGTGTTCCGGGCTCTCCGCCCAGAGCTGACATAGCCATACCAGGCTTCCAGCGCCGGGAAGTTTTGGCCTCCTCGGCTCGTCTGGCCACAATTTCGTCGACAGGGATACCCATTATGATTCTCGAAAGAGCACAAGCGACTCTTTTTTCGTCGTCCAGGACAATATGCAGCGGGATATCCAATGAAGCAGCTATTCGCACGAGCAGGATCCTGGAGTACAAAGCATATTGGTCCAGTCCAAGAAGGATCAAGAGTGTGCAATGCATGATAAGCATACGCTTCTCCTTAGAACAGTGCTTAAGAAGCGTTACAATCGGAGGGTAAGCCTTCAGGAGCATAGCTTCGACTTCAGCAGGATCAGTAGGCGGGAGGTCGAAAACTAAGATACGATGTTAGCTCTTGCCAAATATCTTGGGGGGATGGGGGGCAGTCAGGTTGATAGAGACGTTAAAGGATAAGCAAAAAACTAGATTTGCTCTTCACTCACGGACCGGCCCCCGAGGAAGGACTTACCACTTGGTGTATTAAGTCTTCCTCTATTAGCATAGCCCGTTTGGGTGTTTGGCTGAGTGTATTGCTGACTCTCTTGGCGACTTTGGTGTTGGTCTTGGTGTTGATTGTGTTGGAAGCCTGGCTGTCTGGCATTACCTCGAGGGTTAGACTGCCCACCACGGCCACCACGGCCACCACGACCACCACGACCGCCACGACCGCCACGACCGCCACGACCGCCACGACCGCCGCGGCCACCATAACCACCCTGGCCACCATTGCCATTGCGATAACCGCCCATGTTGCCCGATGCTCCACCATTTTTGACCGCGATGTCGCCGAATCGCTTGAGTACGCTCAAACGCCATTTATTGAAATGAGCAAGGGCGTCTTTCTTCTGCTCACTGACACCCTCGAGCAGAACGTCTCTGTCTGTCTTTCCTTGTATTTTTCGAAGTTCATCGGCGTCCTTGGGATATTTCCACATATTCTTCGGGACCAAGGCGTATGTGGGCCCGGGGCGTTCAAATAACTGACGATCATTCTCATCATTGAGATTAGGAATGATGTGGCATTGTGTTTGAGGTGGGTTGATTCCTTGGTCATCAGGAAGAATACCTAGGTCGAGACCGTCGAAGTTGTCACGCATCTGCTTCTGCATGTCTTCGATAATCTCATTGATGAGGCGTATGAACTGGAATTTTTGATCCGCATCAAAAACGTCACTAAGGTCGAGCTCAAAGCGTTTGGCCTGACGGCCTCGCGGTGCATTATTTCGCCCCATGCTACCGTCGTCGTCAGATGACGAAAAGTATTGACGTGTTGGTTCCATCGTAAGAAGATGGATGGAAAAGTTAACAAGACGGACACATGAATAGAGTTGGGTTGAGAATGTGCAGGAAACTGCAATGTTGACGTTGCGACTTACTAGGTAAAAAATATTACCTAGGAAGTTCAAAGGGAAGTGCAATGTGTTGCAAAATACCTGGTCACTGGGTATTGGACAAGTAAGTGTAGGTCAGGTTGAGGGGAGTAGGTAGGTAGGGTCTGGTACGATAACCAGAGGTAGACATGTAGGTTAACGAGAGGTGGGGATGCGTGCACCTTGGGTACCTGGTAAGAAATAAGAAGTTGCGTGGAAAAGAAAAAGGAACGCAGGTATAAGATAAGTAGAAAGTGAAGGTGCGAGATGGAAGTAAGAAGGAACGGTAGGAAGTTTGGGAATCTACAAGAATCAGTCGTCACCCACCGCACTGTTCAACTGCCACCAACTTGCAATCGCAATCGCGATACAAGGGCAAGTCACTATAGAAAAGGAAATCGCGGGGTTAAAGTATGCATTACATCTCCAGGGAGATCTGTGCTACAGATTTAAAATACAATAACAAACAGCCTCGACTGTGCGCACATCCCATATCAGATGCATGAACGCGCAGATATCAAATGCTAGCCTTTGTCGTCTAACCACTGCAGCTACCCGAGTTCTTTGGTTTGACGACCGAATACCGCAGTATGAATACTGCCTCGTCAATATATTCAATCCAGCAGCTCCCTTCAATATTTTACGGTACCTATATAGATGTAGTAATCGTCTACTGGGTAGTTTCCTATACGATGACTACCAGAAAAGGGGCAAGAGTGTCTGTGCCTAAACTAGTAGGTAACCTTACCTGCCAGTGCTAGTAGAACAGAATTGGTCAATTCATGTGAGTGCCTACATCAGATGAATTGAACCTTGATGCTCTTGATATATTCGTCTTGGCTCCGGTATCTGAAACACTCCCTAAGTATTATCTATCTGGTAGCAAACTTACCTACCTTCAGCCTCTGAACTCAACCCGGTTCCTGTTAATCCAGCTAGTTTGGCGCCTAGTTACCATTAAAGATACTACATATCGATGTACGTGACACTCAAGATTAAGACTAGACTGCCTAGTATCCCGTCTGTTGGGTCACCGTGATTTATTACTAAGCATCCCTACCCTAGTAGTATATATAGTGATTAAGAAGCATGTGTAAGTTAGATAGCTACCTACCTACCTACTGATATACGCATAGGCAGATTCATGATATTGATGCTAAGCAAATAAATATATGAACCTGCTACATCCGACCACTATTCTCCTTGGATATCTTCATATACCTACTACCTAGTTACTTAAGGTAGATAATATCGCTATGGCTGCCTGGGTATATGCTACCATCCGTGATCCACAAGCTCGGGACCACTTCAGACTAACCAGATGTGCTCCTTGTTTTAATCCGTGAACCTCCAATGACAATAGGAGAAAGAGTAACTCTAACTTCACCGCATTATCCCTATGTGTTCAGTTTCAATTGCCTAAACCGCGTTCTTATATACATTACCCTTCCTACAATCTCATGCTTTGCACCGCTGTTCTCTTTCAGTCTTCATACCTTAAGCGATAGCTACATATATTCTTTCGAGAGATTATTTATATGCCTTCACGTCTACCCTGGCTATCAGCATAGAGGAGTCGATCGGTGCAACACGAAAAGGCTCGATAGCTGAGAAAAACCCATGAGAAAACGGGTCGACGGGACCCATAGTATATTATCATCTCGCTCGTCAAGACTCTTGGCAATCCCTGAAGTATCGGTATACTGCACTCAAGTAGTTAGGTTATAGTTATCAACGTCATAGCCGGAAGGACTATGATAATCGAGTGCAGGAAGCCCTTCATTCATAGACCAGGTCTCTCATGTCGGTTCGATAGTTCGGCTAGAATATGTTTCCTCCTAATTTCAGATAATGTATTATTTCGAGATTGTCAGACTACCAGCTGAGAAGATCCTCTCCTTCATTCACACCCATATTCAAGGTAGAAGGGACCACTCACATTACTCCTAAGTTGCTGCTTAAGCTCCCGCTTTACTTATGATACGAACACTACCTTCATACGATAGGAGGGGTTGAAGACATAAGAACATTCGGTAGTCTGCGGCGCGTTAGAATTCTTAGTGACGGCGCGCCGTGTTACCTTGCCGATGACACGCTATAGTGAACTCGTTACGACTGTGTCCTAAATTCGTCAGCTCTGCTACAATAGCTGAAAAGTTAGTATCTATCAAAATAACCGATAAAGTACTGGGAGGGCCCTCGCAACAGAGTAGTGCTTACACTCTCAAATATTGACAATAATCAATCCATGTTGTATGATTAGGAAGGGACGTCGTCATAGCAAACACCCAATTCTCAGGGATTATAGAATCTCACTTTCCTACCTCAGCATGTTATGAACTTGCATCGAGTAGTTCTTATCAGCAAGGTCTAACCGGCACAAGCAGCTGAGGATTCATATGGTTATTATTAGCCTTGGCACGACTATATCAAATCTGATCGTCTAGGTGCCTAAGTAGATAACCGCGAGGATAGACCAATGAGGTCTAGACGTCCGTCTAAGACCGACTTTGTCGGGGGTCCATTCGGAAGGCGACCGGTATCAAACGCTAGGTATGGCTAGAGCAGCTTTATTTAGTTAGGCACGGACTTCCCCCGAACCCGACCACGAGCCGATGATCCAGAACTCGGGACAAAGTTAACGTGCTCGCTTAATGGGTTGATCTAGGCATCGCAGTGGCGTGATACGTTATAATTATTTCCTTAGGAACCCCACCCGTGATTCTATAGTTCGGGTTCAATGGAAGGTATACATATGTTCGTTGGCATTGACGTTTGGCGTAAGTGCGTCGGAGTTGGAACACATCAAGGCGCGTCGCCTATTGGTCAACCAACCCACGTGCATATGGGGAGCTTTCTTAAAAGGATGAGAGACAGGTACCCAGGTACATATATAGGTGTGCTAACACAGCTCGAAGAAACATGATTGGCCTCAGTTGCTAATCAAGAAGTAGATCGGCTTCGGGTTGGCGTTGAGTAGCCGCCGTTCGTTCGCATTTAACGCGTTCCTCTCATTTCTTCCCATTGTGAGGCAGGAAGTTCGGATCTGGGCAAAGACGCTCATCCATTAAGATTGGGAAAATCCGGGATTTGTTTTAGTTAGGTTAAACTCAGATCTAACTATCACGAAAAATGTCCAGAAATACATAAATCCATATATGGATTCAGGTAAGTGCGGCCGATGCCCACGTGAAATCCAGAACTAAGTCCGCGCTTGCTCAGCTTGAATGCAGGGGTATGTAGGGAAGCTCCTGTCGTCAAGCTGGGGAATGAGTTGAATAGGTATTTTGCCAAATATATACCTCGAGGTACCTTGAAAAACTACTAGTGTCCGCTACAGGTGGGTGATATAACGATAGATCCGATGTATATATCAAGTCACTTTTGACTCGAGGATGTGGGATCATTGGCCGTATCTGTGGGCCCATATGATTTATTGCAGGGTCACTCCTCTAAGTGCTTCAGCTGAGGGGGGGGGTTCAATTGGAAGTTCATCCCGCAACCGGATAATTGAACTCACCTCACCTTAACCAGTCGACCCCTCGACGTCGTAATTTGAAGACAACCGAATTTAGTAGGTCTCCGTGTCATGATGACCTCCACTTAACATCATCCAACTCCCAACATCGGCTCCTTCTACCTTATTCAAACTCTTATCTACCCATCAAGACGGTGGCTGGCCGAGATCTAGCGGGTCTAGCGAGTGGATATTTCATCTCAAGCTTCCCGCACCGGATCTAAGGCTGCAAATACCTCCACGGTTAGCCTACATACAAGTACCAAGGACGGTTGCGTTGGTATGAGTTTTGTCCCTCATGGCCTGCGTCGTACTTCATGAATTAATATCCGCGCTCCAGGTTAGACGGCGCAACAATCACACAGCCCTTCGTCTGGTCGATATATTCCCACCGCACCCATATCGGTGAAGCCGTCTCGCGCATTTCGTTTCGTCACTTGTCCGACCTTCCCCAAGCATCGTCAGTGTATTGTTACACTGGGCTATCTGGTCGCCTAAACCACAACGGGTGTGTAACATTGCACGATAATCCGCAACGGCTTTCAACGAGGCAGGTGTTGAACCCTATTATACCCTATTGGACCTAGGTAACTCGAGGACGGCACAACCGATCAGGACATTCCAAACTGCGTGAGCGGCTCATAGCAGACAGTTCTATAGCTCTCTCTACGTCCTCATCAATATCTTCATCCTTCCCGAACACGGCTTCTTCGATCACGGACCCTCGCCCCGATTACTAGCTATTCCGATCAGAAAATATATCCCTTGATTCCCTACCCCTCTTAAGGATCCTCTTAGATTCCTTGTCGTCGGTTCACGGCTCGATTTAATCTCTGCATAGATATCATAAACGAAGTAAACCCACCCCTTATTACACCATACATACAACTATAGTCATGAGAGCTCTTCGGTGAAGCTCCCCATGCCGACTCTACACACTAGGTTACTAATTATATGTGATCTTGATGCTCGGGTGCGCTTCTTAAGCTCATTTCCTTAAGACTCAGACCGTGCGATTTATATAGCCGAGGATCAAGTCTTGAGTTGGCCACATGCGATCGACAAAATGGAGAGCATCAACATTTCTGTCATCGGGGCCAATGGAGTCGGCAAGTCCCACTTCATACAAAGGGCGATGTCCCTACCACGCGTTCCCGGCCCCAATCCCACAACCGCGCGCATTAATATCGATAATGTGCCTTACGCCGTTACTCTATTTGAGTTGGATCTCGAGTACTTCGACGTAGATCCCGATCGGCAAATTAAGTGGCCAAAGCAGATGGGCGGTGCCATTGTACCGAGTGTAAATGGCGTTTTGCTCTTATACGATGTTACGAACAGGGAGAGCATCATAGAGTTACCTCAAACCCTAAGTAAGTCGTCGTAGACGTCGTTTTATACCCTGAACATCTACAGTGAATTTGAACATGAGCAAAGACTAAATTAAATAGATGCTCTCGTGAATTCGTCATTGCCGGCAGTCCTGGTCGCAACGAAGTGCGATAACCCAGAGAGTTCAAGGCAGATTGACACGGAGGCAGTTGCTGCGGCATGTCAGTCATGCCTTGCAACTTTTAAAACGTCCGCGAACAAACCGGAGAGCGCGAGGATAGCTTTATCTACGCTTCTTAAGGCATTGGTGTTGCGGAGCCTGGGTACGTACTAGCTCAAGGCCGTCCCTCCCCTTACTTAAAGAAATATCTGAAATAAAATCGGTCATGATACGTTAGAAGTTTATATATTCTTGAGGCTTCCTAATTCTTGCTAACGATGACTACAGAGTCGGAGGGTACGGACGGGATAGGTCCGAGGCGCAGGGCAGCTTCGGCTGCGCATCTTGATACCCAACTAGAATCATCAAACGCCCGGCCTTTAAGTCAACATAGCAAACACAGCCGCGCTAGCTCAGATATGTCACTACTCCGGGGCTTTCCAACCCAACCAGGATCGGATTACCGCTCTACAAGGTCACCTCGCGTTGATTATACGGGGAGTCATGTCACCGGCCAATTTCCAGACACTTCAGAAGACGATCCAAACCAGAGCGTTTCGAGTATGCTCCGTACGACGGGCATTAGGTTAGATCGGTCCCAGAATGCTGCCTCGTTCCTCGATGTCGAGGATTCGGATGCGGAATCTATGAGATACTCCGATGACATACCTTTGCTGCAACGAAGCGATGAATCGGTTTTTGAGAGACCGGCAAAGAAACTTGGCGTCACTTTTGACGAGTTAGTAGAACGTCTTGTTGCTCCCAAGATGTCTAGGGCAGACAACAATTTCTTGGATATTTTCCTGTGTCTGTATCGCAAGTTCTCAACGCCTGGACACCTCTTTTCGTCACTTCTATCCCGGCTGGAACGCATCAAGGACGACAAATCTGTCCATTATCTCACTAAGACGGCTACGCAACTTCGAATCATTGAGGTGATTGCAAAGTGGGTCGCGACTTATCCGGGGGACTTTGCGCGGCCTGGGACAAGAAGAAAGTTGGAGGATTTTGTGAGACACTTGTCCACAGAGCCAATCTTTTCCGCGGCCGCACAGCAAATGCGTCGAACATTAGAGTATGCTGTGATCGAGGCAGACGACACAGGTTGGGAGAAAGCTGATAGCGCCGAGGACATCATAGCAGACGAAAGCGAACTGGCTGCAAAAGATGCCTCAAGGCGCTTTGGCGATTTATCAGAAAGCATGAGCTCCCTTGGGGTTGGTGAGCCGATCGAACGCCGACCTTCAGCCAGCTCGTCTCTGCAGACGGATTCCGGGACTGGTGGAAAGATTCATTCGTTCCAATTCCATTCGTACGAGGATTATGAACGAGAGGCGGCGACAATGGTCCCTACGTATACGTTGCCCCTAACCAAATTCCGATATCATATATTCATGGACACGCAGAACGACGACATCGCGGATGAGATGACGCGTATTGATTGGGTCATGTTTTCTTCGATTCGGATACGTGACTTGGTCCGGCACGTCAGCCTATCTACCGAACAGAAGGAGAAGTGCAGAGCCATGAAGAACGTGAACCGCATGATTGCCCATTTCAACCACATTGCGGTCTGGGTTTCCAATTTGGTCCTCATGCGAGATAAAGCCAAGCATCGCGCCCAGATGCTGGAGAAATTTATGAACATCGCCCTGAAGCTAAGGCAGCTAAATAATTACAACGGTCTGGCAGCCGTGCTTGCCGGCATCAACGGAACAGCCATTCACCGTCTTTCCCAGACTAGAGCACTCGTGCCAGCAGATGTCCAAAAACGGTTTGCGAGGTTGGTACTTCTAATGGGAACCCAGAAGAGCCACTTCGCCTATCGACTCGCCTGGGAAAATTCGCCATTACCACGCATACCTTTTATTCCGTTACATCGTAGAGATCTCGTGTCAGCCGAAGAAGGTAGCATGACGCTGGTGGGGCCTCAAGGGGATCGAATAAACTGGAAGAAATTTGAGATTTTAGGAGAAATCCTCCTGCCTATCATGAAGAGCCAGGGCACTCCCTATCCAAACTTATCCAAGCATGATACGGCAAGAGAACTCATTCTAGACTGCCTGATGCCTACGGACGAAGAGGTAATACGGAATTTATTGATTACACGCCCAATTAAGCAGCATACTCACTAACTTGGTAATCTAGGACATCTATCAGCGCAGTATTCAGGTAGAATCTCCTAGCGGTGGCCCTGTGGATCCCGGGAAGAAGAAATTCCCCTGGTTTGCGAAATCATAACGACCACGTTCAGTCTCACTTATGGTCGATAAAGGATTAATTTAATGGCCAATACTAAGAAGGCATGCTTATCGGATCAACGCGGGAGTTGGTGGTAGCCGGGCGACCTTAAACCCTAACCCCTGTTTCTGAATATGACTGTTTCAAGGGTAATGGTAGATTCGACCAGATGGTATATGAGGGACGGCTTTGGTTTTCAGTGTGGCCATTTCAAGCTTTCCAAATTTCCCAGCTATCTTTTCGAATGAAGGGCCAGTTGGCAAGGACTTGGGGCTTCTGGGCTATTCTTTTATTTTCGTAGAATTAGCTCCGTTGCCGCGATTTATTTGGCGCCCGTTCTGTTTTGGTTCTAACCATGGCAAATAATGTACGGATCTCGCGTCGTAGGCTTCGATACACTATTGATATACATACGAGGTATAGAGAGCATGTAAGGTAGCAGCACAGATACCTAAGCATGTGCTTATGTGCTTGCTCAGGGATGTATACCTGCCTAATGATGTCATCACACCCAATACGCCCAATACACCCCGCACATGCTTTTATTTCCCCTCACCAGTAGGTCTATGTACAGTGCATGTATTTCTTTAACAGATTTAAGCATCTGGCGGAGATAAGGACTAATAAGTTCTTCGTACATTCGCCGTGGCCAGACCATTCATAGACCATCCAAAGAACGCAAACATGGGACCCGGCTAGCTCGCTACATCCCACACAGCTACCGACTACTAATCGACTACCAACCCAACGGCTTACCTGAATGAGATAGTCGTGGACAAGCTCTACTCGCGTACCTGATTTGATTTGATCTGATCTGCAGTTCCAGCGCTTGTCGTGTCTTGCGTTGTCACGTCTTTCCTCTTTCCCTTATTAATATCTACACATGTGCCTCTTCTTATCTTGTGCTGTCGAACTCAGTCCCAAGTTGTATTTTCCCGTATCCTACCTAATCCGTCGTGCTATCTTGTCTATCTTGCCTATCTTGCTAAATTTCGAGAGTGCTGCCTCCCGACTGATGAGCTTATGCTAAGTATCTGAGTAATCTTCAAACATGGTTGTGGTCGACAACTACGAATACCTCACCGAGGAGGAGAAGCGTCTCAAGGAGGACGGTAATCGAATCAAATACTGGAAGAAATGGGGACCTTATGTCGCTGAACGACAGTGGGCTACAGGCAAGCCTACCGAGTCAAGGAATCCCCTCTTTCCGATTCCGCCAACTGACTAGTGATGTGCAGTGAGAGAGGACTACAGTGCAGATGGTGATGCTTGGAGCCGTGAGTCCATTATTCTATACTGCATGGTACATTTGTTAACTTGCAGCGACGTACAGATTTCACTCATGATGACGCACGATCTCGAGCTTTCCGCTGGGGTGAAGATGGTATAGCTGGAGTGTCAGATACTCATGGGCTGCAGAACATCGCCTTTGCTTTCTGGAACGAGCAAGAGTCTGTATCAGGAAACACTATAGCACGAATATAGACTTACTGACAATGATTAGTCCTTTCCTCAAAGAACGATTGTTTGGTCTTGCAAACCCCCAAGGCAACCATGGTGAAAGTATCAAAGAAGCTCATTTTCACCTTGATAACACACCTGTAAGCCTTGAATACCATCGCCTATTACTATATGGGTCACGTCACTAACAATTTAAATATAGACAGTAAGAAACATCATAACCTGCCCTATTCGCGCCTTTGCTCACGTTCGTCTAGCACTCCTATATGAAATACCTCTATAAATACCCGCAAAGAGCATTTCCATACAAAGACCTCTTAGATACGAATGCCAAGAGAACGAAAACCGAGAAGGAGTATCAGATCATTGATACTGGCATATTTGACGAGGACAGATATTGGGATATTATTATTGAGACTGCGAAGGAGGCAGACGACCCTGATGAGCTCCTCTTCCGGGTCACAGCATGGAATCGAGGACCGGAACCGGCTCCTCTTCATATCATCCCTCATGTATGGTTCCGAAACACTTGGGCCTGGGGAAGGGAGACTATAGACAAGAAACCGTCTATCTCGGAGTATTCCGAGAACATGGCCAGGTCGAAGCACTGGAAGCTAGGCAACCGATACCTGTTATTGTCACCCTCGCCGGGTGTGGGAACTAGCGGAGAAGATGTGCAGCCCGAGCTCATCTACACCGATAATGACACCAACTATGAGCTTCTATACGGAGGAGAGAACAAGGTTCCTTATGTCAAGGACGCATTCCACAACTACATTGTCGATGGCAAGAAGGAGGCCGTAAACCCAGCTAGGATAGGCACCAAATGTGCGGCCTGGTTCCAATTCAACGAATCAGGGGGTGTCGCTCCCGGTGAATGCGCCGGTACGTCACTGATAACTATTGGCGTGATAGAACATACTAACCCTCTTTATTAGTTGTTCGTTTCCGATTTTCAAGAAAGAACGAGACCTATCTAGACGAAGAGATTTTTGACGATATCGTTGAAAAAAGACGAGAAGAAGCAGATGAATTCTACTACAGGATAAGTCCTTTACCGATGTCCGAAGATCTTCGTAACATCCAACGCCAGGCCTTTTCGGGCATGATGTGGTGTAAGCAATACTACCAGTTCATATGGGACCAATGGGCCAACGGCGACCCTGCTCAACCACCGCCACCACCCGAGAGGAAGGCCATCAGAAACTCGGAATGGAGACACCTATATATTGATGACATCTTGTCTATGCCGGATTCGTGGGAGTATCCCTTCTTCGCAGCCTGGGATTCCGCATTTCACTGCATACCGCTGGCTATGATCGACCCAGAATTTGCGAAGAAGCAGATTGACCTCTTCACCAGGGAATGGTATTGCCATCCAAATGGCCAGCTTCCTGCGTACGTACTTACTTTTTAGCTGTATAATTGGGTAAAACGACTGATCTCGTTATAGATATGAATGGAACTTTGGTGATGTGAACCCTCCGGTTCATGCTTGGGCTACTTTCCGGGTCTTCAAGATTGAGCGAAAGCTATATGGAAGACAAGACATTGACTTTCTTGAGAGGGTATTCCAAAAGCTGCTATTGAACTTCACCTGGTGGGTCAACCGAAAGGATATGGACGGCAAAAATGTCTTCGAGGGAGGTTTCCTCGGTCTAGACAACATCGGCCTCTTTAATCGCTCCGAGCCCTTGCCAACAGGAGGTGTTCTTGAGCAAGCAGACAGCACGGGATGGATGGCGTTCTATTCGCTATGCATGTTAAATATTGCCCTCGAGCTGGCAAAACATCGACGGATTTACGAGGATATCGCCTCGAAGTTCTTCGAACATTTCATATTTATCAGCGATGCCATGACCTTCAAACACGGCGACAAGGACGAAAAGTCCTTATGGAACGACGAAGACGGTTTCTATTACGATGCAATTTCCTGGGGTGGGCCGTGGATTCAACAACTACCCGTCCGATCTTTGGTCGGCCTGATTCCTTTGTACGCAACCCTAACTTTAGAGCCGGAACTGATCAACAAACTGCCGTCTTTCAAAAAGCGTGTGGATTGGTTCATGGAGAACCGATGCGACTTGGCAGAAAGAAATATGGCAAGTATCCGGAAGAGGGGCAAGGGTAACCGAATCCTCCTTTCGATGGTAAGCAAAGATAGGCTGGAGAAGATCTTAAAGCGTATGCTCGACGAAGATGAGTTCTTCAGCGAACATGGCATTCGATCACTTTCGAGATATCATAAAGATAACCCATATTCCATGGACGTGAATGGTCAAAAGTTCACAGTAGGATACGTACCAGGAGACTCAGACAGTGGTCTATTTGGTGGCAATAGCAACTGGAGAGGACCTATTTGGCTCTGTGTTAACTTCCTTCTCGTGGAATCCCTGCAGCGATTCTACCTATTCTACGGACCTAATTTCCAAGTAGAATGCCCTACCGGATCCGGGGAATACATGCATCTTGGACACGTCTCCGAAGAGATCCAGCACCGTCTGCAACACTTGTTCGCCCGTGGCGATGACGGACGTCGGAGCATCAACGCCGGGAACGATACATTGGACTTCGACCCAAACTGGAAAGACTACATGTGGTTCCACGAGTTCTTCGACGGCGACACTGGTCGTGGGTTGGGAGCAACGCACCAATGCGGCTGGACTGGGCTGATCGCCCGCATGATCCACGACACCGGGTAAGTTGGCTTACTTTACATGGTCACCACGTACATCCAGATGCTAACCCTTAGAATAGTATGAGCTGTCGTCTCCCGCAAACACCACGCACCCCAACAGTGGGCATGGCACATTACTTCGACGACGTCTTCCACCGGCACGTCGGAGTGGCGAACGGCTCGTCTAGGCCGCATAAGGGCCATATGCGCCGGTCTTCGACGGCAAGGTCCATTAGCGCCAGAAGCGATTTCGATGCGTCGGTCAATGGCGAAGAGTTCGATGTCCGCAGCGAGGCACCGGATGACCCGGAGCGACAGGCCGCGAGGCGGGAGGCAGATGAGCATTTGAAGAATTATGTCTCGGAGCAGTTGCAGAGGGTCAAGGACCATGATGATGCGTTTGGTAGGTATGCTGACGTAGATGAATATGAGACGCAGGTTTAAGGGGTGTTGTGTTAGGGATCTGGGGTTCAGGGGGGAGAGCTTAGACAGAAGGGTTGGCTCCAACAGAGTGGAATGGAAGAGGGCCTAGAGGACAGAAGAGAAGAGAAGAGACCTGACTTGCTTGCTTGAAGAGCCTAGAGGATACACAGGCGGATATACATTGGTAGGCTGCATACAGATACAAGTACAGATAAATGGTAGAAGGAATACGAGATTACGAACTTAATGAGATTATAGATGATTGGGTGATGTGAAGATTTCTTGGTATACCTAGGTAAAGGCGCTTGAAGCCTAATTGAACTATGTAGGATGTGATCGAGCGCTCAGCTATTTTATTCCATGGCACTGCGGCTGGTAGGTACATGGCTTATGTCCCTACTTGAAGTTAACTTACTACCTTCTTCCAGTCTACTATACTACGTGAGTATATAGGTAGCATTGGGCTAAAAGGAAGCAAGAGAAGTAATATGGATATGCACTAGATATGGTCTACTCTCCTTGAGAAACCCCGTTACGCTGTAGGGCTACCTCCTTATACTGATGTTAGTACACCAATATTGCTTTGACAACGCCTATGTGTAGAAGACCTTGGCTTCTTCTATATTAGTACTTCGTTTAAGTAGGTAAAAATGTTCTCGATTACGTAGGTAGTTCTATGAACGGACGGCCGGAAATGGGGGACGAATGCTTCCTCTATTTTACGAGCCTATGCACAAATGGTATCTCAACGGAGAACCAACCTTCCCGTTGCAAATCGTCTCTCCGTAGCAGCTCCCTCGCTCGCACAAAAGAGAATAGTTTACAGAGTGTCCGTGAGGAGCTTGTTCATCTTGGCAAGCTTGGATGAGACGGAGAGATCGATTGTCCTGTCACCAATTTCCACGACAAGTCCACCAACGATGTCCGGGTTGACTTTGTTGGTGACCTTCAACTTCTTGCCCTGTCCAACGTATTGAGACTTGGAGACGGCAGACTCTAGGCGGGAGAGAATTTTGTTGTCCAATTGCTATGATTCATTAGCATATTCCTGGGCCTTTATACAGATTCCAACTTAAGAATAACGTACCTGGGCGCTGGTAACGATTAACTCAACCTCTCCTCGGGACGCGCTCATGATCTGGGCAAACTTCTCGCAGATTCCCTCGAGAATTCCAAAGCGGTTGTTCTCAGCAAGAGCCGCGAGGAAGTTCTTGACAGTTTCGTTCGCACTCGCGGCGCCCACGTTCTTCTGTAACTCGGCGACGATGGAGCTCTTGTCCTTGTCGGAAAGGGTGGGATTGCTTAGGATTGCGGCGAGCCTGGCATCTTTGGAGACGAGATCGCCTAGGGTGCTCAGAGCCTTTGCTGTCGGGTCAAGGGAGGAAGACTTCACGGCCGCCGTGTACTAAATAGCTCACTGGTCAACACAGCTCGTTTTATAACTGTTCAAAGCCTTCTCCCTAGATTTATTCCCCCCAATTGTAGTCCTCCAAAATCTCCAATAACAAGTACCAAGCTCCGAAAGAGGATTGACATACCAGGGCAGTGGCATAGGTACCGTCGAGACCGTAGACGGCGACGGGGGGTTTGACTGTTTGAGTAGAGGCGGCAGCGGCAGCGGCGTAAGAACGCATGGGAACCCGGGCAAGGGACCGCTGAGGAGCCGCAGCCCGAATTGAGCGGATTGCCTGTCGGGACAGCATGACGGCGAGGATGGGTTGGGTGCTGGATTCGAAGGGATTAAATGTGGTCGTTTCTCAAGCTCGGCTTCAATGAGGTTTCTAAGTCTGTAAGAAATCCAACCGGCGACTTTAGCGGGCCAACCTTACCCGATGTGGGTCTTAAGCATCTTCTGAAAATTGTAGTAATTGTGAACACTGAGCCACATGTCGTGCCACAACACTTTGTGGCTAGGTATGCGTTTGACTCGGCATCCATGCAACGTCGGGCACTTAAGGTTTTGGGAATGACCAATAATTCTCCTTACTTCGCCTTCGTGTCCATTCCTTCATCCTTCGTCATTGGTATAAGCATATAGGTACCTAGGTACGGATACCGCATGACTCCGCCTTCCACCTTTGGTTTTATGGGTCCAAGCGCCCAGCGACTTACCTTTCTTAACAGCCCGAATCTCATTCAGATTCGAATCTTGATCTCTCTCACCGTCAAACATCTTCCAAGACAAGAAGAACCATTTTTCTTGGGCGCGTTTTCTCCCCGCTCAACACAAGTGTTCTTTTTCGCCGTCGCCCTACTTAGAGGGCTTTTGACTTGATTGATTCTTCTCTAGGTATACACACTATTGTGACGCCCACTATCTACCTAGGAACATTTTCCGTCCAATTCTCACATTTTCATCACTATCACCTGCAACAGCAAAATCATTTGCCCTGATCGGTTTGACCGCATTTCAGGTTTTTAATAGACCAAGACGCAGATCGCGTTTGGATACATGAGATGCAATAGCCTGCCATTGTAGCCATCACATCTTTCTTTCACTTCAAGGTTGTACCAGTATCACTCACAGGACCCCTACTTTTTTCACGGTAAGGTTAGGATTACTGTCGTGATGACGAGAGAACGGAAGAAAGTCCCGGCGCCGACCCGTGGCGTGCGGGCTCTAACTCGTCGCGCGAAGATGGATAAACAACACCAGTTACAACAGCAACATGATGACAGATGGCGGAACTTGAATCCTCACAAGAACCCGCCCAAGATGAAACACAAGACAACCTTTGAGTTGGTCGAGAACTCAGACAAGAAGAAGAAACTCGAATGCGAGGTAGCCACACGCTGTATAAAAAAGGCGACAACTGCAGACAATGCTAACTGTCAACAGATTACTACCGACAGAAATCCACCCCCGGGTTTTGAATTCGTTCCCATAGGACACCCAGCACTATCTCACATGTGTAAGGAGATATCCAGAGAACAAGATGCCATGATATTCATCGTCTCTGTGCGTATCGCTATCTCACCATACTCGATGATTTACTAACATGGTTGCCTTAGGACCGCGAGAATCCGAATGCCCTCGAGCACCATATGAACCGAGTTGGTTACCATTATCGGCAAACGATTGTCGAACAAGCCCGCGAGAAGTTGGTAGCTATTGGAAAATCTATCCAAGTCCCAAAACCTCGCAAACCTGGCGAACCGGAACCGATCCCCAAAAACCAAGAGGAAATCGATGCCCAAGCTGATAATGTTCTAAGAGACCTTTTTCCAAGAATTCCTCATACGGACCGACGCGAGATCATTCAACATGCTTTTCGAAAAGTACGTTTCTATTCTCTACAATCCACATTTCTCTTCTGATGTACTAGTACTGACCTTTCCGCAATGCAGGATGGTAAATTCCATGGAGAGTCTAGAGTTGGCATGGTTAAAGAACTGACCTTAGCACGTCGTGTTCAACTCGCTGCGCTTGCTCACATTAGGCACACTCATACTCGTTATGATGAGTTATTAAAAGAGGCTGGTTGGGCTAACGCTCGAAAAGCTGTAGAAAAGCCGTGCCTAGATGTCATCGTCAAGTGGCGAGGAGATGAAGAAACCGGCCGCGACCAGCTGGATGAGATTCTTCGTGAAGTCATTGAGATCACAGATACCGAGGATTCCGAGGATGAGAATCCCATTGTAGAGCCTACCCCGGCTCCTCGCGCTAGCGTGATACCTACTGGAGTATCATCGAGGTACACAACGGATCTAACACATATGGTACCAGCTGATCATCAGTCACCTCGTCAGGCTCGAAGACGTGATCAATCCGTCCCAGGTGCCCCTACGTCATCCAAACAGAAAGCTCTTGCAAGAGCTGAGAAAAGGAGCACTCGGAAGACACAGCGATTCAGGAGATACGCTGCTGCTGCTGAGGCTCTCGCAGGCTCAGCGAATCAGACAAGTCATGACTATGATTCGAATGCGGCTCCCGTTCGTTTCTCTCCCGTTCCAGCGGATTTAACTGGGAGCCCCCATTCTGTTCAGATGCTTGATTACAGCCGCGAGCCAACAGTGGCGGCGCGCGGTACTCCTCACATGGAGCGTGGACCTCAACATTTTGAAGTGCGATCGGGTCTGCAGCGTTTGAATGTCCGTTCTCGGAATGAGAGGATGCCCACAATTCCTCACGATTATCCGGAGGTCAATATGCAAGACTCGCCTCAACGAGTGTATAACCCGGAAAGCCATAGACCCAAAGTTGGGCATGTACCAGCAAACTACGACCACCCGCAGGCTGCGCCCTCGACGGTAAGACATGGATTACAGGACATGTTATTACAGTCTATTGAGCCCGCATCTCAGGATGCTCCCCGGCAACCATATGAGGTTCTTCATACCTCATATGGTTCGCCTCGCCGCTTTGTAGAAGCGCCCCGTATCCTCCCTCGAGCCATTCATGAACCCGCGGACTCTATTCCCCGCCTTCGGTCACCCCCGATCATGAGTAATGGTAATGAGTTGATAGCAGAGCGCCATCGTCGTACCGATTATCCTTCTAAGCATGGCGATGCATCTACCGGACCGGCATTTATCAAACTCAATCGCCACCATTTTGGTGATGATCATCCAGGCGTGCCTGCTGGATTTCCCCCAGATTGGCGTCGTCCTATTGATGTGGGTTTGTACCGCAACCCTCCAGTTCATGGTGAGGGAATGGCACACTACGATGGCGATGCCAGGACAAACCCGATTATTATTGATGATGATGCGCATTACCGACCTCGTCCAGTGTTTGAGGTGCGACGACACCCTAGCGGAGACTACCATGCTCCCCTTTCAAGGCAGGCAGAGGTAATCCCTCACTCTCCTATTCGAAGAGAGACCCGCCTCCAAGATGAACCGCAAGTCGTATATGTTGATACGCCCACTGCTCGGCCGAGAAGCACGGTTGATTATCATGGCTCAGCTCACCCTCTCAGTCATAGATTCAATCCGTATCAGAAGCCAGACGGCCATAGAGTACCGATGTCGGAGCTACGACGTCCTGTTGACGCTTCTGTGCACCATGAGCCTAGTTATCCCAGAGAACCAATGCGTAACCATCACCAAACCCTTGGGCGGGTAAGATCGCCTATTAACACGTTCCGAGAAATGCGGTCCGTTGTGGGGCCAGATCGCCCTAACGTGTAAGTGAACATAATTAAAGATGAAAGTCATACTCTGTCTATGTTATGGGCATTTTGTAGTATCTAGTCTTTTACATGTCTTAACACGAGCTAATATGAATGTAGGCGCTACGCAAACAATTCACACCATTTCCAAGAGCGCTCGGAGTTTGCGCCTTTACCGAGCATGGAACAAGATCGACGAGACGTTCGATATTACAGATTAGGAGAACATCGTGAGGTTGTACATCCTCAGATGGAGTATGAACCCAACCACCACCAATCTCATCTGATCCCTCCTCCACCCCCGGAACATTACGTGGAACGTTACGGGTCTCCACTCCGACAGCAGGTTGCTGAACGTCGCATGGTCTATGTCGACCGTTAATCCTGTGTCGGCGTTGATGAGTTATAGATCGAGCTACGAATTTCCTTGATCCTGATAATGAGGTTGACCAATAGACGGACACTGGACAGCATAACAAAGGAAAAAACGGCGTCGGCATGATTTGGACTAAGTCACATTTGAGATACCCTTTGGCATTGATCGATTTCCCAAGCATCACTGCACAGCCAGGCGTTATTGGCATTTGCATCACGACAAAAGGCGCATAATCGGCACTTAGGCTAGAAGGCTAAGGAGTTAAAGGATTGCATTTTCAGCTTTGGCTAACAAGGTGTGTCGTCCCCAGCTAACAAGGGACAACACACCTTGCCCATCACCAACCAACGCCCTTTATTTGGAACTATTGACAATACAATGGCAACGGAACAATAGTGTGGAATGGAGCCTACCTAGATACAAGCTGAGCAATGAACATTTGCATATGAACACTTTGATTAGTTCTTAAAATTGTGAAGGTATACAGTATTTATGGTTTAATATGATGCTTGTAAGCGACAACCGAGGTATAAAGCGTAGTTGATGCTATCTTGTATCATCCACTTGGGAGTAGGTAGGTATAGAGTATATGGAGTATATAGGTCTTATGAATTAATCGTCTAGGTACTACTACTAGGTAGATTTGAGATAAGACAGGTTTACACATCAGATACATAGGCCTTTTACAAACACCTATTTCTAGCACAATCAGCAGGTAGAGCATAAGATATTGGATGAGTTTCCATTGTCTATTCATTGATTATGATAGCCGAAGCAGCCAACCGTCTTCATGATGCTATTCTATATCACCCTTAAGGTAAACGCCCAAGTTCCAAATCAAAACCGCTCCAAGGGGTACCACCTCGTACTATACACCCGAGATTTCCAACAATTGCTCGTGTTCCGTCCTCGATTATGTAGGGTTGCTCCGTACCTAGTTATATATCTGTGCGCTTCGGCTAGCGGTGCCTAGTTCATGCGGCAAGCATCGCTCTTCGTTCTTGTTCGGGTTCTTGCTCCTGAGGAGCTGCTGCTGCTTGCTGCTCCGTGACCGCGGCCTTGGGTATCTTATTCAGCTTGGTAACCGGTACGTTCGGCAGCGGCGCCGGCCCGTTGACTTCTAGCTCGAGAGCGGCGAGCTCGTCTTCGACTTCGTCCTCGTCCTGGTTTGTTATCCTGCCTCCTAGCATCTCGCTTACTTCCTGTAAAACAGAGACGGGTGTATATTAGCGCGACAGATTCCATAAGTGGAATAAGGGGGTATACGGAGATAAGGATATAAGGGAGAGGAGAGCGATAGGGAGGTAGGTAAGTAGATTGTATAAATTGACCACGTACCTTCTGGTAGGCAATAGCATCGGCAGTCTCGCCCATCAGCTTCTCGACGTGCTCGACGCCGCCCATCTCGGCGTGGATCTCCTTCAGGACCTTGGTGCCCTCCTGCAGGCCGAAGACGACGTCCTTCTGGATGAGGGCGAACTCGACGCTGCGCGTCAGCTGCTCGAGCTGGGCCAGCTGCGCGTCCGTCTTCTCGAGCAGCGACTCCTGGTACTTCTTGCGGCGCAGGGCGAGCAGCGCGCGCTTCTTGTCGCCGGCGGCGAGCATCTGCCGCGCCACCGCCGTCTCCTTGTCCGTCAGCACCGTGATGCGCCGCTGGTACTGGTGCAGCTTGTCGCGCTGGAGTTTGAGGTCGAGGATCGCTCTGTTTTTGTTTTAAGTGAACTTTGTTAATTTTCTTCAGGTGATGATGGTGTGTAAGGGGGGTGAATGAGAAAAAAGGGGACGAACTTGTCCTGGGCGGTTACTCTGCTCTGCTGGTTGCCCATGATCGCCGTACCCTGGAATCTATCGTGGGATCCGAAGCGCGCATTGTCCAGAGGTATTTGTGTGCTTAGATAGGTAATTCACAGGCGAACGCCCAGTAGAAAGGCCGCCTGCTTCGTAATAAGATCCGATATGGTGAGCCTTTTAAGAAGCATGTGTTAAGGAGAGAGGTGCGTGTGTACGTGTACGGCAGGAGGGAAGGACGTCGATGGCATTGCGAGTTTGGAAGGTGGGCATGGGACATGGGTTGGCTTATCGATTGCAGGGAAGAGGCACATTGTACCTTGTATATCGTGCAATGACGCACATCATGTTATTCGGCAACTATCTGATGCTCTAAGGCAACAGAATTCACCCTTCTAAACCTTGTGTCCATGTGGAAACCTCAGTTAAGATGAACTCATTATATATACGCTTCCTATTACTATTATGCGAGAAGGTTTTATGAAAGGAATGCAAAATTTCGTCAAATAATGGGGTTCTAATGTTGTTGTTGTACCTACCTACTTGAATGCAGAGATGTTTGCTGTACGTCCGGTATTCATCAAACTGATTGGTATAAGGTACAACAAGTAGATGTAATCTTGGTACGATATATATCCTTTCTATTGATAGAAGGCACGATCTACATAGGTCCAGTTTAGCTCGATAGGACATCATTTAATACTAAACGGAAAATAACTGTACTTCATAACTCTTTTCTTTGGTGAGAACCCACTCCAATCCGTCAGGGCATTGATGCACTCTAAATGCATTAATCTCAGTATAGTAATAAAGAGACCCACTTTATTTTCAAAGGTCAAAAAGTTCTGATTCAATCCAAGAATTTCTCAACATACAACGACGTCCATCTTTCCATGACATTCATTCAGTTTTCTCACTTGCTACCTAGCAGGTAGCCCATAGCCACAATGCCTCCAAAGTCACTTCACGGCATAGATCGTGACGTCTACCAAATTATCAGAAAACTTGAGGATGACCATGAGCGCAATAACTCCGATAAGGACGGGAGCAAGCCACTGAAGTTTACTATATCTGGCGTCTACGACTCTATCAAGCGCTCCAACTCCAGTCTCGGGCGTTTAAAAAAGCGACCACTAGAAGACTCTATTGAGAGAGTCCTCCGCATACGGAAAGAAGAACGAAAGGAAGAAGACGAAGAAGAGGCTTTAGAGGAAGCTTCCATGGACTCGCCAAAACCCAAGGAACGAGACTATTTTATGCTGAACAAGCAAATGACCAAATCCTGGGATGTACCCAGGAACCACTTAGGGACACCCCCAGAAGCAAGCAACATATGTGGTACCGCCCCAAGAGTTGATACGACCGCGGGATCAACCACTGTCGAGAGACAGCCTAATGGAGAAGCTAGATCGAAAAGGCGAAAGTACGAAAAACCTAAAGAGGATCGCACTCCTCCCAGCGACGTCTCTCTACTCGATCTCGGTGGTATGGATGACGCTATCAGAGTTCTCGCTGAATCAGTTACCTTTCCTATGCGATTTCCGGAAATCTGCTTAGAAAACGATTTAGAGGCTACTCGAGGCGTTCTGTTACATGGACCACCCGGCTGTGGAAAGACCATGCTCGCGAACGCTTATGCTGCCTCGCTTGGCGTGGCGTACATACCGGTTTCGGCTCCTTCGCTAGTCGCTGGTATGTCCGGCGAGTCTGAGAAGAAGATTAGAGAACTATATGATGAAGCAAAATCACTTGCGCCGTGTCTCATCTTCATCGACGAGATTGATGCTATTATGGGGAAGAGAGAAAATGCGCAGAGGGAGATGGAAAAAAGAATAGTGGCGCAGATGTTAACCTGCATGGATGACTTGGCACCCCAAAAATTGGGAGGCAAGTTTGTCGTGACATTGGCCGCGACGAATCGACCAGACAGCATTGACCCGGCTCTTCGAAGAGCAGGACGATTTAACCGAGAGATAAGTCTTGGTATACCGAACGAAGCCTCCCGTGAGGCTATTCTACGAAAGATGCTGTGTAACAGCAAAGTTTCATCAGATTTTGACTACAAACTAATAGCGAAGAGAACCCCTGGCTTCGTCGGTGCCGATTTGAAGGACGTCGTTTCTGTTGCCAAGAACGAAATGGTCAGAGCTACTATGTCCGAGCTGGCATATGCTGGATCTGAAGAGATGGACCTTGATCCAGAGCTCGACGTTGACCTTGAGCCGAACGTCAATCCGGATCAAAATATCTCGCCAGGACTTCGGCTACATCTTTCAATAATGTCGGCTCCTACTGAGGCCGTGTCTAAAGATAAGCTTATGCTCACAATGGAACATATGCTTAGCGCGATCGAGAAAGTCCAACCGTCTAGTAAGAGGGAAGGCTTCACTACGATTCCGGATACAACTTGGGCACATATCGGCGCTCTTCACGACGTTCGGAAGCAACTCATGCTCTCTATAGTAAAGCCTATCCAGAGCCCAGAACGATTCATCAACAAGGGTCTTGAGGCTCCCTCGGGCGTGCTTTTATGGGGACCCCCTGGATGTGGTAAAACTCTACTAGCGAAAGCAGTAGCAAACGAGTCAAAGGCAAATTTTATCTCCGTTAAGGGCCCGGAACTTCTGAACAAGTATGTGGGCGAATCAGAACGCTCGGTCCGTCAGGTATTCAGCCGGGCGCGCTCATCTGCTCCGTGTATTCTATTTTTTGATGAGCTGGATGCTTTAGTACCCCGGCGTGATGGGAGCGGATCCGACGCCAGCGCAAGAGTTGTTAATCAGCTTTTGACGGAGCTCGACGGCATTAATAGTCGGTTAGGTGTCTACGTTGTTGGGGCTACAAACCGACCGGATATGATCGATCCAGCTATCCTACGCCCTGGTCGATTAGGAACAAATATCTTCGTGGACCTTCCCGACGCAGATGGACGAGTTGATATTCTGAAAACTCGCATGAGGCGTCTATTGCCCTCTTACACGGATCATGACACCTTGGAAGCTGTGGCTCGCGACCCACGGTGCACTGGATTCAGCGGTGCCGATATAGATAACCTACACGTGGCAGCCGGTCAGGCTGCGGTGGAGCGCGCTGATGTTAGCGGTCCGGACGTGCTCACCCCTGAGGACTGGGAAGCTGCTCTTAGGAAGATCAAGCCCAGCGTATCCCTTGGTCACTCGACTAAGTTTAGAGAGCTGAAAGACCTAGGTTGGGACTGATTTGCAATACCCTATGCCATGAAAGCAAAACGATACCATATAATCTAAGAGATTTGATCATAACTTCATATGACTCGAGAGCATTGAATCGTGATCGGTCTTCGCCGTGAACCTGAGAAGCCCAGCATGGATTATATTACACTTAACCTTTTGAGTAACTAACATGAGTCGATGCCAATTTTGACCCTAATGCTATGTGAGCAAATCAATTTTTAAAATAATACCAACCCACGTACTCTGCCAAGTACATGTCAAACAAACTTCTATAAATAATTATAGAGATATTTCGATACTAACGCTAGATGTGTTGTATGAATAGTGGGTATAATTCAAGCTCAACTTCATTGGTCAATGGACTAATGGTACTCGACCCATACAAGACAGCACCATACTAATCTAATGTCAAAATATTTTCAAATCCAATTTGACAGAGTCAAACAGGTGTGTAGGCCAGTATCTAATAAGTTTTTAACAAGGTTATTATCACCGCTCATTCGAGTATGTGAAATGCTTACACCGCATATTACCTATACAGAACTGCTTAATTCTGGTTGGTTGAAATGCTCGGTTTTATTCCACAACAGGCATGGTTCTGAAACTACGTGAACTCTAATTGGTCATGCTTTGGGTGGATTTATACAGGTAATATCCAATATCATGGATTGCCTTCTTAAACCCCCTGGCGCTATGTAATAGTCTACTACATATTGTCCTTCATTCTACTTCGAACCTTTCTCTTTGGACACACGTTGCCTTTATTAGTCTTTACATCGCCGGTTCCCCCCTTGTTTGCCACGGAAGAATCAATGATACTGCGCTACAAGCTACGATGGTGGAGTGGGTCTTCAAGAGGCAATAAGAGCTAATTATCGTCTTGGTTCTGAATAGATCCTTACGTTATCATCATCAACAACTACGTCATATACAGCAGCACAATAATTTGGCCAGGGGGGCAATTCCAAGGAACAAACCAGGATTATTGGTCTTTGAAACATGCGCATTATGTTCAAGTATTTGCAACACATTATATTCAATCCAAGCCTCCGCACGAAAGCCTGAACTCCTAGTACTCCGACCAGGTATATGCTGCTCTGAAAGAAGGGGAGATGGGTATGTGTTCGCACCACGGCGGGTGGAAAAACGGTCTAGTAGTCTGTCTATAAGTACAACTGGCCGGTCCTGTCTATGCAATCATGATTGTATTGGTACACGTCTGTTTCGTAACTTCGTCTATGCCGTAGCCTCCTTCAAGAAACTATCAATAGGGTTAGTATTAGGGCTGCTGACTTTCTCAGGAGTATCTGCAACTCACGTAATAAGATCATTCCGGTCCTTGTCCTTCTTGAGACCACCGAAGGCCATCTTGGTACCAGGAATGTACTTCTTGGGGTTCTCTAGGTAGTCGAACTGATGGAGAAGTTAGCAAAGTTGTCCGGGAGTTAGACACCTCCGGATGTCACATACCAAAGTCTTCTCGTCCCAGGTAATACCCTTCTGCTTGTTGGCGTCTGTGTAGGCGAAACCCTCAACCTGACCGGTCTTACGACCGAAGAGACCGTGCAGCGCAGGGCCGACCTTGTTACCCTCGCCCTCTTTCAAAGTGTGGCATTGAGCGCATCGGGTCTTGAAGAGACCGGCACCCTTCTTGGCGTCACCTAGTTAATAGACATGTTAGCTAAGGTATTCTAGCGCCATAGTAAGTGCCCATGATCTAGGATATGGGTTTCAAGGCCAGAGAACCACTCCACGTCGACGCCAAATCATTTGCGGCCTTGAAAACCTTTGTGCGACTGCGTTACAGGCAAGCCGACGTAGCTCCGTAAATAGCGCACGCCGCTGTAACTTTCCTGGGCACCAGATCGCAAGGGATAAATAAGCCCGGAACAAATGCCCGATATGAAATGTATGGGAATATTGTATCCCTCAGAGACATATCGTAGTCGTACAGACAGTGGTGGTGGTTCAATGGCTCGAAGACGGTGACGTGTTGACTTTCTCATGAGGCGAAATCAGGGAATATGCAAGTAGCTAGACCTACCAGGAGCAGAAGGCATTTTGTCGTTTTGGTAGAAAACTGAAAGGACAGAGAGAGAGTATTAATGATTAAGCGCGGCGAGTGAACGCAGGTATGCTGTCGCAAGTAGAACGAGAGTTGATCGTCTAAGTAAAGTGCACTGAGGTTTGTATGAGGACAGGAGAAGGGAAAAGAAAAAAAATCGGCGCAAGGCGTTCTGGGAAATTTTAAGGCGATGAGCTCAGCGTTCAGGGCAATTCGGCAAGGTAGTACGGAAATTTTAGCCACAATGTGGCTCGTGACGAGCACTTTCCGACCAATAGGGTTGAAGTAGAAGTAATACGTTCCCGGGGAAAGCCGGTTTTACAAACACTTGGACGAATATTCCACTGTTCTTTCCTTTCTTCTAGGCTCGATGTACCCACTAAGCCCACTAAACAGCTCACTAAACAGTTTAGTGGGTCATCGATGCGGACGGGAGGAATTTCGGAGTCACAAGCCTAGAAGACTTACGAAAATTTTCGAGGAAACTGACACCAGAATAACGCATGCTTTGTGCCAATTACCTCAATTAACCAATGAACCTTCTTTCCATGAGAATCCATGTCAATCTTAAGGCCTTAAGCCGTTTTGGGTAACTCAAGCGACCGCCACCGACTCCCGATCATTTGGATTGGGAAGGCAAGAGGCTTCACCGGATTGGATCGTAAGAGGTGACCGATGCGAATTTGAATTTCGAAGTTCATGCAAAACGCGCTTAGATCTGCGGTGTATGCCCATTGCTTGCATTGAGACATCGAGACGCGCCTGCATCTTAAGGGACCAATTGGTATACTGTTAGACTGGACTGACTGGACTTGCTACTAATCCTTTAGTGGTGGACTTCTTTCCTAGAGCTTCAATTTCTTTTTACCCCGCGTTAGAACGAAAATTTCAAGTCTCACGATGGCCTCAAAAACGTCATACATCCCGCGATACCTGCTACCTCAATATGGCGCAATATGGCGGACCGTTGCACGTTCCAATGCTTTTACAAGACCCCTAAATGCAGAGCTTGGACAGGTACTAGTGCGTTATGCGTCTAAGACGGCCGCACCGAAAGGAGTACCTCCTAAAGCTGCCTTATTGAAATCGACCGCTGCCAAAGCTGCGAAGCATTCTGCGCCGACGAAACCACCTCCAAAAACCTCACCTCCTAAACCGACTACAGCCCAGCCAGCAACCCCCAAAACTCCTACATCCAAACCGGTACCTACCTCGAGACCGACTCCGGCAGCTTCCGTAACTAAACCGGTCTCGAATTCCGCCACGGCGCCGGAAACCCCGGCTCCTACGGCTAAGCCGATCGCAGCTTCAAAACCTGTAGACCCAACGAAGCCTCTCGTCCTCGAGAAGCCCGAGAGGTTCAACCCCCCATCCCACGGAGCACGGCTCCCGCGCTCGACCCCAAAGCATTATGGCGGGGAGTTATCTGAAGCCGAGTTCCAGGCCCAGAGCGCGAAACAGTATCCTGGTCTACCACCGCCGCCAAATACATGGTCACATTGGTTCCTGAATAATCGGGGTATCCATCTATTCATCACCCTGGTACGTTACATACGCCATCCGCGAATTCCTCAATCTTGATCTAACCTTTTACTAGGGCACCCTTACCTCTCTGGCCCTATACACTTTCATAGCGAACTTCAACGCTAAGTCGCCGTTCGCTGACCTGATTCCGCCCATTTCCGAATTCCCGCGACATCCGTTTCAGTACATCGGGGTAGTTTTCGATGTTATGCGTATGCACGAGGAGCACGAGGCCGCCGTGACAGCCGAGAAGCGCAGGATGCGGGTCGACGACGTAGCCAAGCGGGCCGAGTACCGCAAAGCGCACGGCTTGGACGCCACGCAGGGGTTCTTCGGGAATAGCAGCAGCGGCAGCGGCAGCGGCAAGCCGGTATCTGAACCGGAGACTGTTCCGGTCGTTGTGCCGGAAGCTGCTCCGACTGCCGAATCCACACCGGATGGGAAGCGCAAAAAGTGGTTCGGGATATTTTAGAATAGTGGGCAATATGAGGGGTACCGCAAAAGAAGCAGAAAAGGTTATAGACAGGAAGCAGTAGTTGTTCACGGCCTCCATAGGTGGATGAATCTCTGCTTCGGGACAAGGACAAGGCGTAACCTTGGTTTGATATTGCATTAAAAGTTCATGGTATCGGTAATTGCACGGATCTATCCCAAGTCGACAGCATCTAGACCTTCTAGGACCTCGTCCGCAACGCCCCCCTTCTCCAACACCTTCTGTACCATAGCTCCTAGGACGGCCATCTTAGCCCCTCCCCTCGGTGCCTTCCACACGCCCTCCACGTTATCCGTCTCCGCCGCCCTTGCACCCGGATCCTTCGCCGCCCCCGCGCTCTGACCCCACGCCGCCGCGTTCACCGCGTTCGGCACACCGGGAGCTGTTAGCCGCGAGGGCGGGTCTATTGTTCGTACGGAAAGCAGGCGTAACTGTCTGCTACTTCCCACTTCACCATCCACGTCCATCGCCTCCTGCGACTCGTCCATAGGTGACAATCTCTCTCCTACAGAAACCGCCAGCGCGGTATCCGCAACGGCGAGCTCTTCTTTCGACGGGTCGAATATGATGTTATCGCCCACGGCCATGACCAGCAACGTGACCGGTGGGCGCGAGCTAAGCACGCCGGCTTTTCGCGGGTAGATGAACTGCGAGGCGGCCCAGTCGTCGTCGAACATGGGGTCCTCGTCCGCCTCGGATTTTAACCGGGGCAGACGGGTCGCGAGGAGGGCGAGGTGTGTCGTTAGGCTGAGGAGGGGCAGGGGGTAGGATAGAGGCGGGGAGATGAGGATTATCTAAGATTCGCGGGACGTATATATTAGCCTCAGCTTTAAATACTAGAGAAAAGCTGTTCGGATATAAGGAAAAGACGATGCGAAATATGCGGGAAAAAAACTTACGTCGATGTACAACTTCCAGTGAAACCGCCGGTTGATGCGCAACTTCTGAGTGAACTCGCCGTCGGCTAGCAGCGCCTCGCTCAGCATCGTGGCCAGGAACACGGTGCTGCTGTCGTCGTCGCGGTACCCGGGGATCTCGACCGTGATCTCGACCCAGTCGTTCGAGCCCGCACCACTTCCCCCATCTTTCCCTTCTTCTACTACTTCATTCTCCTCCTCCGCCTGCTCTCTTCCACCACCGCCTTTCTGCTTCCGTCGCAGCTCCTTGTTCTCGTAGAAGTAGTCCAAGTAAGAAACGCGGGCGCGCTTCTCGACCTCGGCTTTCACGCCGACGATGGCCTCGGTGCCGTCCGCGAAGCACACGCGCGCGCTGCCGTTGGCGCCGGGCAGGACCCCGGTCTCGGCCGTCAGCGGCCGGAACTGCGTCGCCGTGCGGCCGTCCGGGCGCACGGGGGGCGTCAGGCGCAGCGTGCTGTGCAGGTAGGCGAGCTCGGCGGGCGAGAGGAGGAGGTGTTGCGTTGTCGAGGACATGGCTGTTTAGGTAGTTTGGCAGGGTGGGATATGTTGGAAGGATGGCAGTCCCGCGGGCTAGATGCGCCGCGGTTTGGATTGAAACTACACAGGTATAGTGTCCCTTATCTGTCGACCCAGGCCTTTTACTAAAGACTTCACTTGCTATCCCCCGACGTTGATGTATCGGATTTCAGTCGCAAGGCTGAGGTGGGAGATTTTTGAGCTGGAGACCAAGTTTGGTAGTTGATTGGCCTAAGCTTATGGTGGGGCAATTTATTTTTGAGAGATCGACGAGGCTAATCGTGGTTCTTATCGATAGTGTATTAGACTAAATATGCCTCTATCCGATTTCCGTCTAGTTACATATCATTATATGATGCAAACTTCGAGCTGAACTTCTCTTCTAGTTCATCATGATATTACGTTCCCTTTGTCTACCTACTCATCTATATTGTAAATCCATACAAAATAGTCCAGGTATCTTCGGATCCATAACGGGGGCAACTACCGAAGAATATACTAGGGGGCTCTCGGAGACAAAACACCACGGGGCAACACAGCGCCGACTCCAGCCCGCGAAGGATGTAGAGCTGTGGATAGCGTCAAAAAGTTGCCGAAATTGGTGACCTCACTTATAGGACATCGGCTCTGGCCTTAGAACTTCAGCTAAGTCTAGCTAAGTGACCAATGTTCTTGTAATAACTGAATAAGCAAGACATGTAGAGAATCTCCGGGTCGAATATGTAAGCAATGTTGATATTCCAAGACATTTACATGTTTAGGGATCTCTAGGTAAAGCTAATAATAGGATTAATCGACATATAAGATGAGGGACAAGACGATGGAGTTTCTTCAAAATAGCCTCAATTTCCTATTTACCCCTTCCCCTATCTGCTTACTCCAACGCCTATCGAGTTGTCTTGTGTAACGTCAGTAGTGCTACGTCATTCGACTATCGTTTATTCTTTTCCAGCATTCCATCAACTAGAATCCCAAACCCCATACCTACGTATACTTCCTTGAGACTCGGGTAGAGAATACTCGTCATACAACATGGCCTTCTCAATACAAAAACTCCTCATCCAGGCTTACATGAAATGGTTCCCAATCCCCCTTCCCCCACCGGACTCCTTCAAGGACCAGACCGTCCTCGTGACGGGAGGAACATCCGGACTAGGGCTCGCAGCCGCGGTACACTTCGTCAATCTAGGCGCCGCTGAGGTCATAATAACGAGTCGTAATTCAGCACGCTCCAAGACAGCCCTCGCAACTATCGAGCGGGAGACGGGAGGTCGCAGTAAAGGCCGCGTCCGGGTGATGGACTTAGACATGAGTCGGTATGCCTCGGTCGTTGCGTTTGCTGAGGAGGTAAAAAAGATCAACCGGGGGAAGGGCGGCATCGACACCGTCGTGCTGAACGCGGGTCTTTCCACCGTGGAGCCTACACGCGGTGAGGAGGGTTGGTAAGACTTCCCAAACTCCAATCCCTTACCCTTTTTTGGACTCTATAAAGATGAGGGAAACGACTGGTCGCAATGCCTGGGTACCTAGGCAGAGAAATGAGCGGGGTTAGCTAATTGGCGAAACAAATCAGGGACCAGAACATCCAAGTCAATACCCTAAGCACGGTACTCCTAGCTCTGCTCCTGCTCCCCTGGATGAAAGCGGAGCGCGCCAACCGTTCGGCTCCCGCGCACTTGGCCGTGGTGGGCTCGGGCCGGCATCTGGAGCCGAATATCCAGGAGTGGAAGGAATGGGCGTCCGAGACCAGCCTCCTGGAGCATTTTAGCAAGCCGGAGAATTGGCCTGGATCGAGCATGATGTACGCGACGACCAAACTGATGGCTCAATATGCGGTCAACGAACTGGTGAAAATGGCATTGGGGCCGGATGGACAGTGAGTGGTTGTTCCATACACTACCCCTATTCACTAAGACCCCCTTCTCCTCCCCCGCCCCCTTTTCCTCCCTACGATGGGTGCTGGTTAACGCTTACAAAAACATCTTGTTAGCCCCGAGGTCATAATTAACACGATGTGCCCGGGACTCGTGGCGTCGGATTTGTCTAGAGATCTAAATAAGATGGGGATCGTTGTCGCTCTCATAGCCCCCATTTTCCTTGGTATCTTCGCTAAGTCGCCGTCGAACGGCGCGAGGACGTACATGGCCGCGTGTTTGACAACGGAGAGCGAACATGTAAGTAGCAACCACCCTCGAATCTCTTCTCAATGGGTGATAAATATGTCCTGGATCATAAGGCCCGTTCAGTTGGTTGACATAATGATTTAACCTCGCAGGGGAAGTTTATCAAGTTCTACAGCTCAGACGCCGACTATCAGGAGTAAGTCTCTTCACTTTCAGGGCTAAACTTGGCATATCAGCATAGCTAACCCGTAGCTTAGAAAGGCAGACGTCGTTATAACCGGCGAGGACGGAAGGGAGATGCAGGCCTTAGTCTGGTCAGAGATGAAGGCTGAATTTACTGCGAAGGTTCCTGAGACAAGGGAAATCTTAAAGTTGTAAGGACGAGTGCTAGGCTATATCAACACACAATCGGGCTTTGCCTTCTTTCTTTTTTCGAGCGATTGTTTAATGTATACATACGGTTTCTACGTATCGTGCGGGTTTAGCAATGTGATCGACCCTTTACGTAGCGCCGAATGCCTCAAGTGTTCCTATATAGTAAATTTTCGCAATCTTATTTCAATCCATCGCTATAGTTGCAGAGCAACTGTTATTATGTAGGTTAAGCTCCATACGCTAGTCTCGCTCTTATAACCCCCTTCAATACAGGAGAACCCAATACTGCTCGCTGGCTATCCTAAACAACATCTCTTTTCAAGGGCATGGCTTCCTCAGTCTCAGCCGGCGTATAATTCGTAGTCTTATTTTCAATGTCTCCTGAAATCCAGGCAGATATCATGCACGAACTCTGGACCAACCGCTGCCACTAGTTCTGCAACCAACGCCTTAGCAGTTCCTTCGCTTGTAATGCTTTCGTTATGCCATTCAAACAGATCTCCCGCATAAATGTAGCCCCGATTAAGGCGCACCGCAATACGATCCAAGTCCATCTGGCTCATTTCCTCAATTGAAGGAATGCCGGGCATGTCACTTTTGAACAGGGGCGATTCTTCGTCGCTATCGCAATCGTCCTCAAGATTCATTTCCTCCTCTGCTCCCCCGGATTCTAATTGCAAAGCTTCTTGCTTCGTGGAGGATTCAGTCTTTGCGATGTTTTCTTCAACCTCTTGGAAATGGAGAAGGCCGTGATCGTCGAATTTCTTGATGATGTCATCGGTGAGTTCCACCCATCCTAGGGTGTCTGGATCGAGAATTTGCTGCGGTGAGAAGTCGATCTTATATTTCATCTTAGGGCATGTGTGGATATAAAAGCCAGGGTACCACCATCTGTTACTTGTCAACATGTATTGCTTAGTTTCAAAGCTCTGCTGTACGTAATCATGTCGCCAACCAATTTATATGTTCTCGTATGAAGATACGTTTGATTACCAAAGGATAAAGACGATTGAATATAATAGAGGGTAAAGAGGTCTCTTTGAGCACGTACCGGTAGCCTCCTTCAATTGCCAGCGCGATCTCTCGTAGAGCCCCCAGCTTTCCGGGGCTGAATCTGTGAATGGATTCATGATATAAAAAGTAGACTGCGCTGACACAGTCTGGAAGAAGGTCCAGGACACCTATCGCTACCAACTGACCGTCAAGTCGGTAACATTGATGAAATGAGCCGAGCTGACGTTCTCGTCCATCCGGCGCCGTAAACTTCTCCCGTCTTATTGGAGAGGAGCAGAGAAACCTCTTGAATCCTTCCCGGGAGATAGACGACGAAGACTCCCGATGGATAATTTTCTGGTAGTTTTCAAAGATGAGAAATTTCTCTTCGGTAAACTCATCAGGCTCTAACGTTACGGTGAAAGTATGGGATGGCTCGGGCGGTTCTTTCAGCAACGACCTCTCAGCTTCATGGATTCTCTCCACTAAATCAAACTCGGTGTCCCGCTTCCGAGCCTGCTCGCGTGACTTCGGATATAAGCGAGCAGCTTCTTTGGCGTAGAAATCGCCTATGATGTACTTGTTGAAGCGGTTGACAGCCTGCCGTTGATCTTTCGTTGGCCGAATACGGCCAGAGTCAAGGCGAATCGTATAATGCGGGCAGCATGCGTCCCGTTGATTTGGTCGATAGAGGAGCGACCCGGACCGCCTCCAACATCGATCCACCAGAGCCTGGTAGCTCGACGGCCTCATAGATGTCGCACGTGCAAAATAGGAGTGGCCTGGAAGGCACAAGTAAGTTAAATTTTGCTCAAATCACGATTGCAAAGTCTAGCATGTGCTTGGCCTGAAAATCCTTGTAAGACGCTACACAAAGTAAAATATTCAACTGATGATACGACAATAACTGGATAATTTACCTGAACCCTCTGAATATCAGTGGTTAGGTAGGTTCGCATACGAAGGCATAAGATCGTGAAGAAATGCTAGCATGGTCGATGTGACACATCCTTTGAGACTGACCGAGACCTTTGCGGCGGCAGTAGCCGCAACTAGATGATTTTCTATAGCCTAGAGAGGATTAGTTGCCGAACCTCTACACATCTGTATCGTGAGTTGTGAAGTCTGGTCTTTCAGCTGAGCTGAGTAAGAGATAGTTGACCTAGAGCGAACATAGGGGTCATCGTCGATCACTTGATCATGCCTGCAGCCAACACCTGATCTGAAAAAGAGGCGGGATGGGAGCATTTCGGAGCACCACGGAAGCGGAAGACATGCGGTGTTAAACCGTTGCTTCCGAGCGAGAATGAATCTGAGGTGGCACGCGATGACACGTCGGCTAGGTAAGAAATGGTGATTGCACGGCCGACAAAGTATGCGCAAGGTAGCGAGATGTTTGGCAGGCTGTGGCTGAATGCCTGGTATTTAATGGTTGCTTGGCATGGGCACCTTCAGTCGCCCTCAGTCGGAGGCGTTGTCGCTTTCACCTAGGTCCCTTACCGGAGCCGTTGCGGCGCTTTTGGAAGCCGCCCAGTGGGCTGGTAGTGGCGCGCCAACGAACCTGACGGAGTGTAGCATTCTCCATAAAACTATATGCAAACTAACTGGCCAACGATAAGGTCGAAATACTGCACGGGTCCGAATGGTTGGTCGAGAAGACGTGAGAGAGCTCAAGCCGGCTTGGGGTACTTTGTGTAGATAGACTTAAAGGCGAAGTTCCAACTCACCAATTGGCGATATATACAAGAATGCATCTTCAGGGGTGGCCTGCATCCTTCAGTAACGCCCCCCGCGCGGTGGCTAGGCTAGGCTAGATTTTTAGATGGTTGAAATGGCTGGATGGTCAGACAGTACGGTATTGCGTAGCGTACTAGGTATGTAGATGGTGCTTGGGTTCGACCGGGATTGAAAGAGTCGGTGTCGAGTCAGACGACGGAGGAATACTGCGTAAGTACAGTGCCCGGTTATCGTAATCTGCGTAGGATATGTACGTATATTCGGTATATCAGTATGGATATTTTAAGAAGTTGAGGTGTCTGCCATCAAAACCCTTGATGTTGGAATTATGGCTTGAGAAAGGTTGCTGTAGCATGGGTGACCTGCATATTGTTTATGTGGCTGTCCAAGTTTAGGTAGTAGGTTAAAGATATCGGGATAATGGAGGCGAAAATAGAAGATATTGGAACTTGATATTCAAAGTTCGGCCAGGTACTACCCAAGTGTGGGTATTTATTCTTTTGGTGGAAGGGTAAAACGCTAAAGATACCTAACGTCACTACATCAAACAGGTGTTAGCTGCAAGTACCTACCTACACACGTTACCTTATTAGCTTGCAGTTTCCTAGGGTAACAGCATCAAGTCACTACTAGGCACTTTAGAGGCTGCATGGTGTTATGCAGGAGCTATGACGAGTTGTGCAACCGAATTCGGTTTCCCGCCTGCTCCTCTAGCTCCTATGAGTAAACCCTATAAGAATGATCAAAGTATGTCAAAGTAAGATTGGTCGAGTGGTACGTGGAAACAGGGCAAGCTGCAAGTATACGAATATAAAGTCTGTCAAGTCTACAGTTACAGTTCCCAAAGCCGGAGGATTTATGTACGTACGGACGCATGTAGGTACTATCACGTAGTCTTAAACAGATGGGATGATTGATCTCCGTCAAACCCAGATGCTACGTCACTGACCCGGTTTGGTTCTATCATGCTGATGGACTTGCTCCTCAACACTTTTTGCCCAGTACTGGCTTTTATCGAGTTGATGATCTTGTCTTAGCCACTTAATACACGTTAGAAACAAGCATATCAACTTAGCATGCATGTCGGTGTCCCCATTCTATACTTACCTAGGTAGCAAGTACTACGATATATAGCAATATTCTCCACGAAGTGGCTTCAATTCGGGAATCGACGGTAGGCTGCAGACGAGGGGCCATATTTACCTTTACATGCCGACCGATACTAGGTAGAAAACAACAGGAATGAGCGCCTCTGAAGAACATTAATGCAACACTACCGTGGGTAAGCTTAAGGGTAACCAACATATATATATATGTGTGTATGATATTGTATACTTATATGTATATTCGAGGTCTCTTGCAAGTACATGTATCCATTTGAGACTTCGAGGCTAAGACGTTTAAGACACTCAAAACTCAAGGGTATGGGTATACACATATAGCTTTCAACCCATAAGATTAGACTTACCCATTCTAATCTCCTCCTATTGCTCTTTCTTTAACGTAAATATGTGAATAACGACCTGCCCTTAGCTACATATAATTAAGGTACAGATGTGGGGTTTGGAAGGAGCGTTGAATATAATTCATCAATCATGTTAAACATCTCAGTGAATGAAGTAAAGAGTTGCAGTTGCAGCATGCAGATAGCGGGGGTGCGGCAAGCCTATCTGGGCTCTCCCATTCCATTTCGAGAAGAAAATTTTTCCTTTCTCTATTTTTGCTCCTCCACTCTCGTGCTTCGTATAATATTAATATTTTATCTCCTTTTCTTTCAACAAATCCTCTACCCAACACGGGCGTTTCGTTAGCTTCGGCCCTTGAGACCCGTAGCCAAAAGTTACTGGGCTTTGGTCCTAGCCTTAGCACTGGCACATGGTTGCTCAGGTGCCCAGGTGGTCTTTGCAGCACGCAATGCCTAGAAATATAGGCGGATAGGCGGTACAATACATACATCCATACCTCAATAAAGGCAGACTGGCTTCAAAATATCCCGCGTATGATCTATACCGAACCACACATGTACATCAACCATCAACCCAAAACACGAAACACAAAGCTCTGGGCACCTGGGCGTGGTTGATCGTTGACATGGTTAAACTAAGTAGGGTAGGTTACCATTAAGCTGTCCTAGCCAAAGCTATGTATGGCTTGCCTTACCTTGTCTTTGTCTTGCCTTGCCTTACCTCACCTGGCATTAGATTCGAAGCTACTTGTATGTTACGTATCGAATGAGATATGTACCTACCTTGGACATGTGGGTGGATGTGCTAGCAGTGAGCACGGTACAGGTTTTAGGGATTTTAGGGTAGGCGCAGGTAGGGACTGGTAAGTATGGGATGTATCCAGGTACCTTCCAGGTAGTCTGGGCCCTGCATCTTACAACCTTACTAAAAAGTAATCGTACCTACCGTTACCTACCGTACTTACCTAGCTCATGCTTTCGCCCTGGTCCGCGGCTCCTCGCTCGTTTCTTAGACTGGGGGCTCCTTTTTTTCTCCCTTCTAAAAAAAGAGGAAGCACTATAAAAACCAACTCTGCCTGCTTTCCCTTGTCGTGCCCCTCCATTTTATTACAGTTATGGCACGAGACTTGCAACGGACGTGCTGGTCCAGCCAGAACAGCAGCCTTTATTGCAGCCTTTATCCTCACTCGTTAGTGGCTTATTCCGAACGTCAACATCGTCCTGGACACCTTACTTCACTTACACCTAGCCCTCGACTTCTTCCTCAGACAAGGAATTGTTCGCTACCTACCTGACCGCTTGCTCTCCTTGTCTGTTTGTCTACTCCCCACAAAAAAAATTCCGCTGCAGAACCAGAAAGAAGTCGGCGTGTGCGACAAGTTCGTCCTACCCTTCCGCTCCTTTGACTGCCTGCAAAAAACCCTCCCCGGATCTGCCGCGCCTCCTTTCCACGCTTCCGTAACGCCTTCGACCCTGCGAGGATAACCCCGAGGTCACACCTGGGTCCGAAAGTGCCTATGTGTATATGTGGACGTACAATTCTGCCAATACCGCTCATTCCATTTTCTTCTTGCTTATTAGGGCCGGATTTCCCTGGGTGCTACAATACCATACATATACCGTATTTGTGTGCATTTGAGCTCTAATTTAAGGAGAAACAACCCCCTGTAGGAAGAGCCAAGTAAGACGGGAAAAGCTAGGCCACTTCACACACACACAACGCCAACATCACGAGAAGACGCGATCATCACACCGCCGCTAATCAACAACACCGACTAATTCTCAGACTACACACGACCATGCAGCTCAACATTCGTCGGTAAACCGCCTTTAGTTCCAGCTCCATCTGGCCGGCACCCTCTACCCAGGATATCCCCTACAACCAAACATCTCAGCTCTCCGTCTCTATCTCCGTCTTATCTACTTCCTAGGTAGAACTGGAACGCACACGCCATTCCTGTCCCTCTATGATCTCTAAAATGGCGTCCGGCTCGTCAAATAACCGCACAATGGAGTCTCGTACTGGTAGAAGCAAACAACGTAAGTTTTGTCACGCTTCTTGACCGATTTGTCTTGATTTGTTCTTGTGGCGCGACAGTTCTGAACCGCCTACCCCGTAGACCAACTGACCCTTAAATTCCCAGGCTACAACGCAAAAGGCGAACGACTAGTGGCCGGAGTGGTGCCTCTCACGGAGGACAGGCTATACGTCTTGCTCATCCAATCGACTAGGAGAAAAGGCTGGGTTATTCCCAAGGGAGGCTGGGAATCAGACGAAGAATGTACGGAGGCTGCCGAACGCGAAGCTTGGGAAGAAGCCGGGATAGTTATCCGTATCGACTATGACCTCGGCGAGGTCGTTGACTCGCGGCCACCTAAAAAGCTATCCAAGGATGCGCCTAAGGCATTATACCGCTTTTACGAAGCCACTGTCCTCACAGAGGAAAGCAACTGGCCCGAGAAGCATAAGAGGGAACGCCAGTGGTTTACGTATTCCCAAGCGAAGGAGGCCCTCTCCGATCGGCCAGAGCTTTTACAGGCTCTTGAGCTATCTACTATGCATAGAACCTAACAATCCGAGTGCTTAAAGGAACCGTATTCAGAAAAGGCTCTATTCGCCTTCTTTCGACGCTCTTCGTCGCCCGATATACGGGTCAGCACTTATCTTTTTCTCTTCTCTCCAATCGATTTATTCGATCCCAGTCCGTTCTGGGGAAACTGCATAGACTAGGGTCCCGGAGTTATTGGTATCTCCCCTCGAGATATTCATTTCCATCGTGTGGCATTGCAATATTATCTCTAGTGCCCATTATTTCTAACCTACTTAGGGAGAAGAACCCAGGTCAAGATGACGAACATTGGCATCGCTAATATTACATTCCTCCCTGCTCTTCGTTGATATTCTCTAATGAAAAGAAGGCATATCGAGCTTGCATAAAACTAGGCGTTGTTGGCAGCACGGGATAGAAGTTGTTGAAATCAAGTTTGGTCGGCAGCGGGCATCACATATACACCTTAGTTGGTCGGGCGTCAAAATCGGTACATCTACAGAACAAGGTAGTACCAAGGAGAAGTTTTCAAGCTTCTCGAAATATTCCACAAAGACCGGGGCGATTTACCGCCACGCTTCCCCATTCCCCAAGCTGATATGCGTGGTGAATACCTACGTAAAAAAAAACGTGTGCAGCTGGATCTTTTTCCTGCATGTCAGTACGTGCTTGCATTAGCAGGTGACATGCAATAAGGGGTCAGATGAGGATCGCGTGTCCCGTAATCCCATGCAAATAGTCCGTGGAGCACGCACTCAATTTCCGTATTCTTCTACCGAGTTCCTTTTCTAGGAGACGGGCCGGCCAGTCGGTACTTGCTCGGTTTGGGGGGTGCTGCCAATAAACAATCCCCTTATCGTGGACGACCGGCCAAAGTAACTAGGTAATGACTCATGATATGTAAACATGTCTCTATTCCCACGAACCAACCACTCCGGGGTAGGGGGGTATTTCGACCGGCGTAGATGTATGTAAGACTATAGTATACCACATAGTAGCAGAATCGGGGGTCCCGAGGCTTCCCGCTAATCTGATATGTCGCCGGGAGGATCGTGCCGAACGTCGGTGCGTGGCATTTATGAATATGTTGGATACGGTACTAGGTAGTTCGAGTAGGGGGTCACATGGTACAATATAAATAAAGTTGGCCACGGCTGGGTTGGGTGTGTAGCCTGCCTACTAGCTATTAATGGAACTATCATGCCTGCAATTATCCGGATGAATTCTTGTCACGTATCGTGTCTTATATCTTGCATCTATCTGGGGTTCTGTTTTTTGCATTGGATTATACGGGATTACGAGGAACCGGCCAAGCAGGATAGGTGGCTAATAAGAGCGGGAGTGAAATATGCTTGGCTTTCCAAGCTATACATGCACGTATCAACCTCGAAGGCTTCCAAGTTGTTTCTCGACCAGGTACTTTACCACCAATACTACTACAAACGCGCGCTAAACACAGACAAACCCGAGCGGTTAAATGCAAGAAAAGTATTTAGACACTAATTCGATATGGTATTCCAGTTCCAGCCACGATTACTTGAGGTATCTCTTCCCCTTCCCCTTCTCCCGCCAGCCTTTAACCCTCTTGTCTTCCCATCTCTTTCTTTTCCTATCCCACATGTCCTTCCTATTACTTCTAGAACCATGGATGTGTGGTATCCTCCCACAAATTACATACCTATACTAACATTCTTCCATTATGTCCCGATCTCAACCTCCTCGATCCGTCCATCTACCCAACCCAGCCTGACGAGCTAGCTGTTCCCAAAAGGCCAATTTGGACCCCTTGTCTCCCTCTTCTCGGGTTCAGAGACGTCTTTGCTCATCCTCGTGCTATTCCTATCACTGTCGACCTCGTCCAACTCCCTCTTTCTCCGCTCCGCCTCCTCTCTCAGCCGCGCCGTAACCCCGTTTAGTCCTGAGCGACCCCTATTAATAATAGCCTCCGCCGCCGAACCTCTTGGGGGACCGTCACGAACACGTGGGAACGTGGCAAAGCTGGTTGGGCCCGCGTTCTTGGGGCGCCGAGGTGGGGATTGACTACCCACGCTCTCGGGACTCGTGGTGTTTGTACGCAAGGAGGCCGTGTTGGTGTTGCGCATCGAAGATACGGTTGCGGAACGAGAGCGTCGCCAGGCTCCCGTAGCCGGCGAGGGCTCGGCCGACTCGATGTCGCTGCTGTCGCGGAATCGGAGACGTTGCTGACTGGTCATTGTGTTCATAGTATACGCAGTACTCGCCGTCCCACTGCGCTTTATCGGGGCTGGCTCCGGCTCTGGGTCTTCAGGTGTTTCCGAGTTTCGGACAGCACGAACGGCTGCTGGTGGCGGCTCCGCAAGTTGAGGTTCTACAGGCGATAGAGACTCGACGGGTTGCGGTTGCGCCTGTACTGGAACAGGTACCGTCACCGCCACCGGTACCGGTACTCGTGCTAGCACCGATGCCACTGGTGCTGTCGACACCTGCGCAGGGAGAGGTGGCGGCGGGGAAGCTAATGGACTTAACAGGGCCTTCTCGTCTTCCTCATTAGCCTTGCCTTTATTACTGCCTACTCTGATAAGCCGTACGCTTGTGGCACTCTTCACGCTATTCTCCTTCTGCAGCCGGAAGCTAGTTGGTGAGACGCCATAGACGTCATCGTTGGAGCTATTAGAGGGCCCTGCGAAGGCACCATCTCTACTGCCGTCTCTGGGACTATAGTTGCTCCTCGCAAACCCAATATCGCTAAAGCTCGGGCTTGCTTCGTTGGTTTTCTTCTTGAGGAAGGGACTTAGGCCCAGGTCCGGAAGTTTGAACTTGTCCATTGGATAACCCGTCCCACCACCGAATGGTGTGAAGCGAAGGCTGGGACTTGCTATCGATCCACGAACAGCAACCGGTTTTTCATATGGCGTACCATATTGTTGTTTTTCGTTATTAGGATTTATTGCTCTGACCAAGGGTTCGCCACTACGCCGCTTCTTGCGTCGATACCGGGCAACGAAGTACGAAGCGATGGCAGTAAGTATAGCAGTGCCGACGACTGACGCCGTAACAATTATGGCAACGTTTGTGCCCGAAACCGAGTTTGATTGCACCTGCGAAACAATAGAATTTGCGTCGCCCTGTTATCTTATGTCAGTTGATCATGATAGAATCCATGAGGGTCGAAAAGATCGGAACACACCCTTATGCCGCTTGCGTCGGCCCTTGCCTCTTGGATTTGACTGGCGGCTATATTTACTGCATTTGACGCGCTCGAGCTTGCTTCTGCCCGAGCGGCACTTATAGCGCTATTTGCGCTGCTCTGGGCACTAGCTAAGTTGGATGAGATACGGCTACTCATGCTTGATAGTGATCGCGAAAGGTCGTCGCTCGCGCGAGCACTGGCCGCGGAGAGGGCGCTCGAGGCCGACGATATAGTCTGCGACAATTGCCGGTTAGCATCGTCGGCATTCTGATTAGCAGACCGGACCGCTTGGTCGGCGGACTGTCGAACGGACTGTGCGGATTGAGATACAAGACTCATGGCCGAAGATGCGCTCGACGAGACGGATGATAGTGCTTGAGTCGCGGATTGCGAAAGCGACTGAAGCTGCTGCGAGAGCGCCTGGACTTGGCCATCGTCCTGACGCTTTTGCGGTTGCGCTGTCGGCTGGGGCGTCGTTAAGGCTGGAGCCGCCTGTTCTTTTGGGTCCCTTCTCGTCGAGTCCGGTATCCTCTCTACTATGAGTCTCCCGACTGTACTGTCCTTTTCGACCACAACATGTTCAAAGTTATTCCATAAAAATGGCTCTTCCCCCCGTGGCGCTTGCGCCACCTTCTGTGGTGACGACCCAGCATCCCCCCGGACCCCTCCAACATCCTCCGTGGCCCATATCCCTATCGTGCCCAGCGCGATTAATAAAGAGCACTGCAAGAGCCTGCTCTGCTGCATCGTTCACGAGCCCATAACGAGTGACTAGAAGCAGAAAATGTCGCTAGGACGATGTCATCAAGACAGAAAAGAAGGTGAAAGAAGGAAGAGAAAAGATTGATGGACTCGGTTGAAACGAGAATCAAGAGAACCAATGTCCAAGCACATGACGGCTGATGGGCACGAACGACAGCTCTTCCCGCTGCCATCTTTGCTCATCCGCCAGGGCCGAGCTACCATGTTGAAAAAACGTGTTCGTTCATGCGATGGGTAGTTGGCGAACCATTGGCGTTGAGTCTGAACCGGGAAACTTGACATTGAGGCCCCTACAAATGCTCAAAATCGTAAACCGGGCTGACCGGGGTATGTATGATCTGCTCAGCTGGCCCAGTCACTCCCCAACCTAGTTTGGGTCAACTGTGTGATCTACGATCAGAAACGAGTTAAAAGGCTGCTGACTAGCTAGACTACGTCCGCTCGAGAGATCTAGGTGAGCCGCATTGAAATCGAGTCCGGATTTGGGCAAGCCGGCATCTTTGCGAACCTGTGACTTGTGACACCATTTGAAGGTGCCTTGTGATTCGTGGTGGTAACCAGGTAACTCATGCTCGACGAACAATTACAATTATGAGGGCTTATTTGTTATCTTGTTTCTAGGTCGACCCGATCTGCGTGAGAAGTTTGAATTGCTATTTGAAGAAGTTGTTTATGGCAAATGCTAAGAAAGAGCGTTTAGTTTCTACCTAAGTTTCCGAAATATAATTGAACTTTCTATGATACCTAGTATAAATGCGACATATCTACATATACCACTTGCAATATACGGATACATGGATATATGCATGTCCCCCTCGGCTGGTTCCCTCTCGGTAACGGTCAATACCGATAGCTGGGGAATGTTTAAAGTTAAATGCTACCATTCATCTGGCATCAAGATTTAGTTAGCACTTTGATACTTGACATACCTAAATTCATCCAATACCCCGTCTTGTGATATTTCAGACGAATTCATTTGAGATGGCACTTAGCCTCTTCCGTGCTCTGAAGCCGCATACAATGTGGCACCACGCAGCACGACTACGTAGTAAGAGCAGGGTACGCTGGTAATGGCTGAAACGTACGGTCGTCCTCAGCCATCCCTTTATCACCGGAAGGCGTAGAGCCGGATAGATATTGTCTCTCGCCTAAGAAAAAAGAAAGTTAAAGGCTCATATAGGTGGCTGTGATACTGTAGTTTTTTCACAGCCAATCGGAAGAGTTCCCCAGAGAGTATTGTACCTACTTGTGATGATTGAGCCAAGATGTCGCCGCATCCTCAGGGAGGGGGGGAATATGAAGATGATTGGCAACCCTCGTAGATCTTGGGCACGTGCTAGTATTTGAGCGGAAGAGCCCCTCAAAGGTGGTAGACAGTGTGTTTGGGAGGAACGACGTGCATACCAACTATGGCATATCGTGTATCTGTCAGTCACACCAACCCTCCAATGTGTCAATGTATCTACTTTTGAATAGTTTCTTATTTGGCAGCCTGCCACGGTGCTATCAACCACCACCAATATCCGTCAATTCCAATCCTGAGTCGTTTACAGATAGCCTGCCAAGTCCGCGAAATGTGTTCGTGTATGAGCGGCATACGATGAATAGACACCAGGTTGATGGCCCCAACATCGCCAAGGATCCCATTCATCAGTCCCAGTTTGAGAGAAATAATACATCCAGCATCGTCGAAGCGCACAAATAACGCGGTAGTCTCCAAACCATCAAAACACCCATGTAAATGCCGAGTCCTTCTAGTGTTGATAGAGGACCATAGAACAACCGATTCTAAAGCATCCGCGTGCTCCTTGAACGCCCATAAAACCATTAATGCGGCAGCTCCCAGTTTCGTCGCCATCGCGGCATTGGGAGTTCAGTGTTTGCGTCGAAACAGCCCTTGTCATTACACATTATTGAGTGTATGTATTTCCTCATGACCTAGAGAAGGACGTTCGCCATTGTTGCGAAAACCGCTCGGCCTCCTTGGCACAACTCTTGTCTCCCGTATCTGAGCAGTGGGCAAATACAACGGCAATATCACCGTCTTTGTATTGCGCGCCATGGTCATTGCTATTGTAGGCATTAATGATGTGTTGAGGAATGATCGCCAACTTTGACAAAATCGTCGGATGCCATTGAACAATATGCTCCTGGTATCTGTTAGAATTCCCTTCTTATGTAAGATAGATGTCAGCAGCGGCGTGGAACCTACCAAAGCATGAGTCTCCGCTTTCTGGAAGTTGTAGCTTCGATATAACGGATCAAACCAGGTATCGAGGAAGAACTTTGCCCATTCGCCGTTTTTTATCACAAAACTTCCCGAAGCAAGACCTTCTTTGTCTTGTGACATGACAAACTCAATATCACTTCCCTTGATATGCGAGAATGTCTTAATGATGCTATCCGGTGGAACCACTGGAAGGTCCTTCAGCATGTTGGCTTCAAGTTTGCTGGCGCTCATGACGTAGTCTTCCACCTTGAGATTTGGGTTCATAATGAACGCGTTCTGGTCAAGGTACCACATGTATTTGCAGTCGGGATATTTCGTGATCGCGTGGCGCATTGCCACGACCTTTGACCAGGACGCAGGTGCCCCATTGAGGTCGTAGTCGCCTACTTTGGCAAGTAATGTGCCGTATCCTATTCGATAATTAGAGAAGAAAGTCCCGGATCTTCAACCTGTAGTTTATCATACCATGCTTTTCCGCATATTGCATCCTATTCTCCCTAATATTCTTGTGATATGCGGAATTATCACTCCCTTCATCGAACACGGTAACTAGTACGACCGCCGGTTTTCCTGATATCGTGTGCTTCGTGTGTTTTGAGCTGCCCGAAAATAGCCATATCAATCCGATAATGATTAGTCCGAACAAAGCAATCGGTCGTAGATGGCTCCTTCGTATTCTCGGTATTCGGGAGGAACGAGGCAAGTAAGGTGGAGGATTCGAACTCTTCCGAGGAGGATAAGCGTAATGCATAATGGATGTCGATTAAGAGAGTGACCTCTCTTAGGATCGTCAGAAAATGAATAAACGTAGAGAGTGTCGGTTAGTTCGCAGATCCGTGGGCTGCTATTAAATTACGGCGTGTGGCAGCAGAGGTCAAGTCCTCTACCCTGATTACGATCGATATCTTGCCCAACTAATAAAAACACGACGACCAAAGGACGCAATTCAAACAGACAACCTCAAGCTATCTGATCAACGAGTGGTTGAGACAAAAAGCGAGCGGTTTGCCCCAATGTCTTGACGTGAGGGACGTGGCCACCTTGGCGCAAATTTGGCACGACGATGTGGTATGTACGGCGTAAAGCACGACAAAGAGGTGATAAGCGAAAGTTGGTTGCGATGATTAGGACTTCGGATGACTGACGGTTTCGAGTGGCATCAAAGTCACCTGAGAAGCTGACAATCAATGACTAAAGGCAAGATAAGTATTAATAGCCGTCGTGTTTGACATGTCGCAAAAAAACCATGTGCACCGCAAGCCCATCGCCAAATTACGGGAAACTCATTTTTGGCTACTTTTTAATTGACCTAAAGCTAAAGTGGCCTGGCCACCCCTGTTGGCCTGGAACGTGCAGAACATTGAACCTCGCGGTCAGTGGTCCCGACCGTTTGACCCCGGGTCGCTTAGCTAATCAAACTAACCTATTCCATCCCTGAATGTATCCATGTACCTTATCAAGTGCCTAAAGGAGAAGGTCCTCAACAGACCCTCAACCAATCAGGCTTCACAATCACTGGGTTAGGGGGGATAATAACGACGTGAGGCTTAGAAGATCGTCTATGGAAGATCGTCTGTATCGAAATAGCCAAACCACACCTCCATATAAAGACCATTGGAATATGGGGAAAGGGTAGTTGAGTCGAATGAGCTCAAAAAGAGCCAATGACGTAAGGCGAGAGATCCGACGTCCTTGCACAAGTCCGCGTACGAATAAGAGCAAGACGCCCAAACTCATCAGATAAGTAGCAAGGTATCAATCTTTGCACACAGACTAGTTGACAAGAAACGGAAGAGCAACTTCAAGGCAACTTAAGAGTGTGCAAGTTCATCGTAATATCGTAATTGGTACAATTCGAAAATTCGGCAAAATGGCAAAACGAACAATATCATGCTTCAAAATCATAGGGCTGTCAATTTCGTTTCGGGACTAATCGTCTTCGTCATCACTATCATCATCGTCATTGTTGTCGCTCTGAACATTCAGAATCCTTTGACTCGCTCTGTCAAGGGTCCTCTCGGTCCACTTTCGCGTGGCCTTCCAAACCGTCTGAAATTGTCAGCAGTATACTAATGCAGCCAAAGATGAAACTTACAAATAAAAACGTGCCGACGCCGATGAGAACAAGAATCAGGTTGATATTCTCCATTCGTTCACGTCCGGTTCCTGCACGACGGCCTCCTCCGCCTATTATGCCACTGGTTCGTAAATTCCACCATTGCCAGGGGCTCATAACGAGAAAGGCCTTGACGAAGCCAAGCAACCCAAGCGAGAAAAGTCCCTTCATAAAGTGAAGAGGCCAGCCTAGGTCGCCCAATATATCATCATCGTCGTCTAGACTGACATGACCAGTCGTAACTGATTCTGCTATTGTGCCGACGGGATCGAGCCACAGGTTGAGAATAGGATCGGCTATAAAACCAAGTAAGAATATAGTGATCACGAGTATGAGTATTGTAAGTCCAAGGGTGACAATTGGGCTTCGGATTCGCTGGGCCCAGGTCATTCGTTCCATTCTATATTGGTACAAGCATCGGTTGCATTTGAAAGCATTTGGGTTCTCATTCATCCAAAGCTTCAAACAACCCTCGTGGACATATTTGACGCTGCCCTTGCACCTGCACGGGTTGATGAGTCGGTCTCCATTCTCGGATATATAGGATCTTTTTGGTCGCCGATTTCGAATACCGTCTAAGAAACCCGTATCTTCGTATGTCGGTTCTACTTCGTCGTGGCAGATCCAGCACATTCGTACATGCTTTTTCGACTCGCTCGCCTTCGGTTCAGCATTTGGATCAGGGCGTCGTTCTGTTCGCTCCGATCTTCCGGGATAATCGTTTCCCGTAGCATTTCCAAAGTAAGAGTGGGAGTCGGTCATATTGGCGACGGGTTCTTTCTCAGACGATGTTGAGTTTTCGTTGGTGTGCTTTAGGAAGAGCAGTAGCTGCGATAAGAATTCGACCGCTGATGTTGTTGCTTAAGAGTACCTCACTGGACATACAGCTAAAACGATTGAAGGAATACGCGAAACATATATAATAAAAACCGAGCATCCCACTCAGAATCTCACCATTGTAGTAGAACCTAGAAATCTATAATTAGAACCACCTAGGTATTGTTCGACGTTCAATACAAAGCGTGTGCTAAGTTGAATAGAGGGTTCAAGCTGATATTGGTCAAAGACTTGACTTGACATAAACAATAAACAATAGGAAACAAAGGTTTGTGTGAAGCGTTGGGAGTCTCCGGACGAAAGTGCAGGCTGCCGTAGGAAGAATCACACTGTGTCGCTATACGGAGTATTGAGCTGTCAACCCATGGAAGCTCGATTCTCTCTTAACCCGGATTTGGTACACTGAGTGTCATTAAAAACTGTTTCGTGGGCCAACATTGGAATACGCAGTATATTCCAGCATGCTCGACGCCTTTGACTCCAACGATGTCTAATGAGCAAACTTATGTTAACGTGTGCTTTCTTCGAGGATCCCGGCTGGAGCTGCCAATTTTTCCAGTCTGTGATTGGAAGTTAAAGTGGCGTAAAATTGTCCTCCGGGAATATTATGTACCTAATGGAAGTAACCCGCTTAGCTTTCTTAGTGCCGGAGTACTGATAATCCGCTTTAGCCGTTGAGACGCATACACAGAGGCCTAAGTACCAAGGTACCTGGTAGGTGCGACACAATTGCGTTGAAGCTCACCCCGGGAGAAGGAGAAGGCGCTATGTAGTAGGTACTGAAGTGTACCTAATGTACCTAAGCTCTGACGCGCAAACTCGCGATGCCTAGCAAGCAACTGTAGCTCTCCACACACAGCTTGAGGTATCGTAGCCTCGCCATCTAATCCACCCAAACCACTTGCACACAACCTTGGAGTCTTTTAGTTTCCCACAGACATCATCCGAAATCCAGCCTCATAATATCTCCTTGCAGCAATGGCGGATCGTTACTCCTTCTCGTTGACCACTTTCTCCCCTAGGTAAATTCCTTTTAAACGATAATATTGCGTTGCGACCCCAAGCTAACTTCCTTGTAGTGGAAAACTAGTCCAGATCGGTATGCTTACTTTCCTGCCAGTCGCATGCCACTAGATGCTGGTGGATGACGAGGAGACTGGTCGTTGCAGTATTTCATGTTGTTTGCTAACGAACCGGTTCGCCAGAATATGCTCTCAACGCAGTCAACCAAGGTGTAACCGCCCTAGGCATCAAGGGTACGTATAAGACTGAAACCACCTCGAACTACATGGCTTACGGTTTGTAGCAACAAATGGCATCGTCCTGGCGACCGAAAAGAAGTCCTCTTCTCCTCTTGCCGACCCCTCCTCCTTGTCCAAGGTCAGCTTGATCACTCCCAACATCGGTATGGTTTATTCTGGAATGGGCCCCGACTACAGAGTGCTAGTGGACAAAGCACGAAAGGTTTCCCATACCGGCTACAAGCGAATTTATAACGAGTACCCGCCCACCAGAATATTGGTACAGGATGTTGCGCGAGTGATGCAGGAAGCCACACAGTCTGGTGGCGTTCGACCGTACGGTGTTAGTCTGCTGATTGCCGGATGGGACGAGGGTATTCTACCGGATGAGGAGTCCGCCGTTGAAGGCGAGATCGAGGGTGAGAAGAAGCCATCGGGCAAGACCGGTGGTATTCTGAGGGGCGGACCTATGCTTTACCAAGTTGATCCGTCTGGAAGTTATTTCCCTTGGAAAGCCACCGCCATCGGCAAGAGCGCAACAACAGCCAAGACTTTCTTGGAGAAGAGATACACGGAGGGTCTAGAGTTGGAAGATGCCGTTCACATTGCACTCCTGACCTTGAAGGAGACCATCGAAGGCGAGATGAACGGAGAGACGATCGAGATTGGTGAGTCGTAACAAAGTGCTTAATTAGAGAACGTGTACTAACCACTCGAAGGCATTGTTGGTCCGCCTGCTGACCACTTACTCGGAGTTGAAGGCGTTCATGGTGCAACCGGTCCACGATTCAGAAAGCTAACTCCACAAGAGATCGAGGACTACCTGACGAATCTATAAGCGTGATCATTACCCGGGTTTCGCAGGAGTTCACGTGTATCATAGAGCAGCATAGAGGGCCCAATTGAGGCAGAATCATCAAGGATCTTTGTCTTTGGTCAATATGAACGAAGTGCGCTGCCCTGCACTTACTCCGCAAACGATTTGTCCTACTCTTAACTGCAAAGATATCCTCGTCCACGCTCTTGCCTCTTTGACTGACAACCCTAGCTGACCATTCGTATTATCGCCAATGACGTATACCTCATGCTCAGAAGTGAGCACGATCATATGTGATTCTCCGACCCCGCAGTCAATTATATCGCTTTCTTTTATTACTACGGGTATCGGACTACCAGATAACCCTTCGAGAATGGCTCTTCGTCCCGGATGTCCGCCCCAAGCATAGAGATCATAGCCTTCCGTCAAGGCAAGGATCAAATATCCAGCGGCAAAGATTTTGATTATCTTGCCGGTCGGTAGGTCCTCCAGTTCTTCTACGAAACCAGGTCTCTCTGCTAGACTATCCCGTTGTAAGTCCTACTTACCCAAAACCAGGTAAGGTGTTAGAAGCTTACCTTGAATTTGTTGCCGATCTTCCGAGGCAATCGCTATAGCGCGCATCTCCCCAAGTCCAGACGCGACCATCTTTTGATAGAGCTACAAAGCCGGTTTCGTATGCTACCAGTTGGACGATTCGGCCCATTCCAGAAAAGTTCTGCTGCTCTGGTCCACTCCCAGAGAACTGAGATCCGTACTGGCAGATTGCATCGTGGCCATCATACTCTAAAACAATGTAAGCGGTATACAAAACCCATGATTGGAATAACATTTACCAGCTATAATGCCATTCCCTGCAAGAGCCGCCGTGAACGAGAGGAACTTCTCCTTGAGATTTGCTCGATTGGCATCGATGAAACCTGCTTGCCGTATTCCGGAGGTAGTTTTGACTACGTAATTCTCGTCAACGTATCTATTCGCGAGCCTAATAGGTAGGAGGGTAAGACTAACCAAAGGTACATTCTAAAAGGGAACATGGGTGTCCGATGAAATCATCTTTCAGGACGGACTGAAACGAGTGGATATCATCAGGTTCAGAAGATGTATCACTCTGCCCGTTATGAAATTGAAGTTGGCCCCAAGCGTTGAAACCAGTCGCAAGCAATTCCATAGCCGCGATCAAACTTGTGATACTAGAATATGACAGTATTGGATAAGTGGGACTTCGAGGTTGGTTTTTTATGCACCACAAGCCTCCTTTAGCCAATCAAATGTATTGGGTAGATGAATATATGCGAGTTCCCCTTCTTGCACTACACTACAACCTCAAAGTGTGTCGCTGCTTCAGACGGCAGCCTTGGAGCCTTACCGATTCAGAGCCCGTCATACTGACCTGTCGTTTCTGCCAACGCATCGAAATGATGTGGACAGTCGAGTAAATCAGTTTGGCTTGTTTTCCCGTTTCCTGTTTTTCGAACACCAAAAGTCATGCAAGGCTTCGCGAGTCCCTTCAAGCAAACTGCACCGAGAAAGACAATAGAAGACTACGCAGCGCACCTCAGTTGGACTAATTTCTTATATTAATTTGAACTCATATCAAATTTTGACAAATATTCACCAAGAGATGTCTTTATCATGGTTGGAAGACTCAAGCTCAGAATATTCAAGCGACGACGACGGTAATTCTCCTACTCGCCGAAACCAGGAAACACCCACTCTACCCCTGGTTGAGCCAAGTGAGGCTGTGGTCGAGGATGGCCTTACTGGAGACAGCCAGGCTACGGAACCAATAGTCATCCATGCTCGCGAATACCAGCTTGAAATGTTTGAAGAAAGCCTCAAACGAAACATAATTGTTACAGTAGGTGGGCAGATGCTGCCTTAACCGAGTCTCTAGGCTTATCAGCTTTTACAGATGGAGACGGGTACTGGGAAAACACAGGTGTAAGTCTACCGACCCGTTGGCGTGCAGCTTTCCCGATCTCGTAAATGTGTAATTAGCCATATTCTACTTCATGCGCGTGCTCACGGCCTTTTTAGCGCCGTCCTCAGAATACAAGCTGAACTTGAAAAGTCGCCAGCCGATAAAGTGAGCCATAAATATGAATTGTTATTTTTCGGTTGTGTCTGATACTAACTTTCACAGATTATTTGGTTCCTAGCTCCCACTCTCGCCCTTTGCGAGCAGCAAGTGAGAGTCCTCAGATCTCAGATTCCCTCTATCCAGATCAAATTTCTCAGTGGCGCAGACGGTATTGATACTTGGACGGATAGTCGTACTTGGAACGACTATCTGAAAAATACCCGTATCGTCGTCTCTACTCATCAAGTTCTCCTAGATGCAACCAGTCATGCATTTGTGCGGATCGATCGACTCTCCCTAGTCGTTCTTGACGAAGGTCAGTGAATCGTCTTCCCACAACACATCATAAGAAGTAACGTTGAACTAAAGTTGGCAGCGCACAACTGTGTCGGGAAACATCCTGGTAGCAAGTTCATGGCCTTGTATCATGACCGCAAAGCTGTTGGCCTTCCTGTTCCGTCAATACTTGGTCTGACAGCGAGTCCTATTATGAATTCGAAGCTTGACGCCCTCGAAATCATCGAAAAGACACTGGATGCTGTTTGCAAAAGCCCAACTATTCACCGAGAAGAGCTTATGTCTATTGTCAAACGACCGATTATGTACTACATTTTCTATTCTCAGCTCGACGATATCCCTCGCACCAGGTCGATGAATAGTTTAGCTGAAGTGTTCCACAATCTGGATATATACAAAGATCCATATATCGTTCGTCTGCAAACAGACAGAAGCGAGCGTAGTCGGGTAGCTATGAAAAGGGCCCTAGAAAAGAGGAGTACCTACGTCTTCAATCAGATGAAATCTTTATGGCGAAAGAGTTCCGAGATCCAGAGAGAGCTTGGATCAGTGAGTAATTTCCCATGACTTCTTTCCCTTCGTCTGAGATCAAACTATATCGGATTTCCTATGTTTGCTTATGGGCGATGAACTTCAGGATTGACGTTTTGGAGTAAAATCGCCCTCATTGCCTTCTTACTTGGTAGCTAGTAATAACTCTATGAAATAGTGGGCTGCGGATTACTTTATATATGCTAGCATATCTAGCTTCCTCGAATCGGTAAAGGAGAATGACTCTTGGTTTCGTGAGTGGGAAATTGAGGAGAAACAATACCTATCAGATGCCTTAGGAAAGATCACTATATCGCGGCCGCCGCCACTTGGAGATAACATACCCGCCGTCGATATCTCGAGCAAAGTCACAGCTCTTATACAGGAGCTCTCAGCTTCAGTTGACGAGATGATAGGTATTATTTTCGTACGGGAGGTCGCTACAGTGGCCGTCTTAGCACATATGCTCTCCATCCATCCCTTGATCAAAGACCGCTTTCGGATTGGAGCCATGATAGGTACGAGTAATCACGCCGCCCGAAAACGAGACATCGGTACCCTCAACAAGAATGGTGGTTATCAAGACCTAGAGAAATTCCAGAACGGAACACTTAACCTCCTCATAGCTACAAGTGTATTAGAAGAGGGTATCGACGTCCCAGCCTGTAATATGGTTATATGTTTCGACAAACCGGACAATTTGAAAGGTTTTATTCAAAGGCGTGGAAGAGCTCGGATGAGAGAATCAAAGCTTGTTCTACTTTTGGATAACCCTACGCGCCAGGTAGATGAATGGACGGCACTCGAGGAAGAAATGAAGAGGCGCTATGAAGAGGATCTGCGGTACATTCAAGAACTCGTAGAGCTTGAAGAATCGGAGCAACCACAAGTTGAACCGCTTTATGTAGCAGAGACCGGCGCACGTATTGACTTTGACCAAGCGAAATCCCATCTGGAACATTTCTGCAGAGGGCTTTCAACTCGACAGTATGCCGATTCGCAACCCTACTATATTTTCAAACGAACGCACACTTGGTTGAACGAATTCCCGAAGATAACTGCAACTGTCGTCCTACCAATGTCACTTTCTCCCGAACTTCGCCGGATAGAGAGCAGTGGATTCTGGTTTTCAGAGAAGAATGCAAGCAAAGATGCTGCCTTCCAAGCATATAAGGCAATATACGAAGCCGGCCTACTCAATGAAAATTTGCTACCCAAGACCCATGAATTCTTGAGAAGCTATGATACAAGGGCTGGGATGGCTGAGGTTCATGAGCGATGGAGCCCATGGACGCGAATTGCGCATGCTTGGGGTCAACAAAAGGAGATTTATCAACGTCGACTACAATTGATAAATCAGAACGGTGGTGTAATGTGTGAATTTGATGTCTCACTGCCTGTACCTTTTCCAGAATTGCCAGGTTTTGACATCTTTTGGGACAAATCGAATTCTTGGCGAGTCGAAATGGGAGGAATGACAGTCGTGTCTGCGACAGATCTCCACGCCGATCAAAGCCCGGCATTGATGGATCTAGCATACGGGCATCGCAAATTGGGTGTACGGGATAGCGCACAAATCTTGCACATTCGATCGCCGACTCAGGATATTCCATTTCACGAGCTTGTCGGTCATAAATGTGTGGAAGGGACCCACCTTGACGACACAGTTCTCATACGATATAACAATGGAATCCCCTTCGTCTTGAAAGCCTGGCTACCCGTTCTCGACCCAGCTATTCCAGTGACGGAAATGCTACGCGAACAACCATCAGATGTCCCTTGGTTGCTGTTAGAGAAATTCTCACGGCGAAAGAATTTCCTTCATCCCGTTCTTCTTGGAGAAACAACACCTACTAAACGAGCTCAAATAGCTATGCCGGCACACCTTTGTCGAATAGATGGCATCCATGCATCCAACGCGTACTTCGGTGCTCTTATTCCCTCGATTACTCATATGGTAGAGATCTACCTAGTTGCAAATGAACTACGCAATACCTTACTGAAAGATGTTGGTTACTCGGACATCTCACTTGTCAGTACCGCCATCAATGCCCCAGGTACTGGGGAGGGAACCAACTACGAAAGAATTGAGTTTCTTGGGGATGCGATTCTTAAAATGTTTACAACGGCCACTGTCACTGCTAATAGTATATCACCATAAATTATGATGCATGGAAATGATGAATGCTGACTTTACACAGATCCTAATTACCCAGAAGGGTTCCTTGACGCTATCAAAACAAGTATAGTATCTAATGCTAGGCTTTGCCGTTCGGCAGTCGAGACTGGCTTGGACAAATTCATTCTCAAAAAGGGGTTTGGGAGCAGGAAATGGCAATCCCTTTACGTGGAAGATCTTGTCAAGGCAGATATAAATGCAGATAATAAACGGACAATGTCAACCAAGACACTTGCAGACGTTGTGGAGGCTTTGATCGGAGCTGCTTTTATAGACGGCGGACTGACTGGAGGACTGGGTGAAGGACTGGCCAAAGCCCTCACTTGTATCCGAATATTCATCCCCGAGGTTGAATGGCGCAGCCTTGAACAATCTCGTGCTGCTTTGTTTAACCAGACTTCACTGAGCACGGAGCTTATCGCCCCTCTCGTCCCTCTGGAACAGCTGATCGGATATTCTTTCAAGAACAAGAACCTACTCGTCGAAGCAGCTACGCATTCCTCATTCGGCTTCGTGAATTCAACGGGATCATGTATGGAGCGTCTAGAGTTCCTTGGAGATGCGGTCCTCGACAATATCGTTGTCACCGTCCTGTGGGATTTCGAACGAGAAATGGACCAGCGGGAGATGCACCTTTTCCGCACCGCCTCCGTCAACGCGGATATCCTCGGCTTCCAGTGCATGGAGTGGACTATCTCGCAGGAGGCCACCGAGATCGCCGAAGACAAGACGACCGTCACAAAGCACGTCGAGATCCCGTTCTGGAAATTCATGCGCCACTCGTCGCGGGAGGTGGGAGTGCGGCAGCAGGCCACGGAGGACATATACACGCGAGAGAAAGAACCGATTCGCGACGCGATAAAGAATAGCCAGGGCTATCCTTGGGTCGAACTCGCTCATCTCCGCATTCCTAAGTGCTTCTCCGACTTCTTCGAGAGCGTGCTCGGCGCCATCTGGGTGGATTCAGGGTCGATGGAGACGTGTGCCCAGTTCGTCGAGAGGGCCGGCATACTGCCGTACCTGCGCCGCATGCTCAGGGACCGCGTCGACGTGCTGCACCCTAAGAACCACCTAGGCATACTAGCGGGGAAGTACACCAAGACGGTGGAATACAGGAACGAAGTCCGCGAAGTGGAAGACGGGTCTAGGGAGCTGTTCTGCAGGATCCTAGTCGACGGAGAAGTTATCGTGGAAGCTGGAGGTGGCGTTACTCCTGAGGAGATACAGACCAAGGCCGCGCACATGGCCTACAAGATCCTCAAGGCCCGCGAGGATAATGGTGAGTTGACTAAAAGTAACGCCAAGGGTGATGTTATCATGACATGAATGGATGTTTGGACGATTGGATGGATTATGAACGTGTCTTAGGTTGCTTTGGAGCGTTAGGCAAACAGGATGTTGACATGTTGAATGTTGAATAACGCGAAACGACCCCTATTTCATAGGTTTTAGTGAATTGGTGATTGGGGAATTGAACACAATCACATATCATCTGCAACTAAAATTATCTGCCATGGCATTCTTGAGGTCATATGCAACCTTTTATGTTGTCATTTGAAATAGACTGGAAAGTAGCACTTGATTACCATGAAATCGTACCCTTTCCCCACCAGCCTGCCAGACATTCTTAGACCCTTTTCAGCCCCCAAGCAAACCGCATTGAAGCATATGTGAGCATATCCCCCTTCAAATCGAGCTTGTGAATATTCCAGTGTGCCTAACCATGATCATACGACTTGACCACTGTCATCATCATCCAGTAACGACTTCCTTCCCATCGGCCATGATCGACGTCTTGTACTGCGAAAACAGCGTTGCTGGATAGGCCATCGAGTCATCTTCATCCACGCTTAACTGTCTTGCGCTCTTGCTTGACGTCCTCATACTCTTCACGCTTACGCTTATGGGCGAAAATTGTGTGGCTAGACTTGGGCTATGTTCCAGTCAGTGATTGTTTGATAAAGTGGCCATCTCAGCAATATAAGTAGGCTTACTTGCTGTAGTCGTTCTGCTGCTAGAGCCGCACTGCTCTCCTGCTTGAGTCCAGCCAGGGGTGCAGATTTTGTACCTTCAGTCTCTTCCTTCTTGATCTTCTGTTCTGATAAACATTGTGAATCAGGATTTGGTTGAGGTGGAGGGATGACTCCTTCCTGCGCTAGAGCCTCTATTGGATGGTTAGTCGAAAAGAAAAAGAAAAGGAGAATGATACCAAAAAAAGGCACGCACCTTTAGAACGATACATGAACTGGAAAACGGCGATAGGTCCATTATCTTTGGGCAAGGGCTTGCTTTGAGTACGATGGAGTGGTCCGACCACCTTTTTTGGAGTTGAGAATCTATTTCGGGAGAATCAGTCAAGGTGCACCTTGCAGATAATATATTGACTCGGAAGAAAGAGAACTTCTCTTACCCAGTACCGTGAGAGACTGTTTTACCCTTCAATGTCTCTTCAGCAAGCGTAAATCCTACTGGAGGAGCATATCGCTTCGGCAATCCGTTGTTGGATTTGATCCCGATAGCTCTATAGACTTTGACCTTAATGGTGCCCATTCCAGCAGCCACTCTGTCCAGGTCGTCGACAATCTTGTCTCTATCTGCATCTTCAACTGTATGGCAATATCATATTTTTGTTAGTCGGCCATGAAAGCTGCAACAGGAGGTGGGATTATGACATACCCTGTGTGATGCCCGTGAATTTGAACCCTTGCTTCACAAGTTGGTCCTTGTCGTCCGTACGAAATAAGTGGCCGATACTGAACTTCCAATCACTAAAGAAAGTGTCACTCTCATAACAATGCTTGCTCAGGCCGGTTGTCCCATCAATAATAGTAATGAATCGTAGGCAATGGTCCTCGTAGCCCCAAGGATACTCATCCGTGACCTTAAGATGAATTCTGAATGGGGAATCGTCTTCGCATTCGATGAACTTGGTGCAGACGGCGGCTTTCTTGTTTTCCTGTTCTTTCTCTGGAGCCTTAGGATCGTCATACTCTACGGCAGCTCGACCATTCATGTGAATAGTCACTTCGACTCCAGGGACCTCGGGGATAATTATTGCCATATTGCCGTGAGGGTGATTCAGGGGAGATAAACAATGTGAAGGCTTTGCTTAGATTGGGTTGCGCCGGATAATAGATGTTCTTTTTTAAAAAAAATATCTTCGGCGATAGATGGTTGCGATGAAGAATTGGGATGGAATAGTGGTGTATTTATAGTATTAGCGACTAGCAGTCGTCGAGGGCAGTGACTGCCATAATCAGTAGCTACCTACTTACCTAGGTACCTAGTAGTTTATATAAAGAGGAAGGTACCTTCCCTAGAAACTATATTTATTGCCTAGTTGCTCCTTCAGTTCCAGAGCTATTTTCATGGTAGTACTCTAAGTTGACAAGAACGACTGAAGGCATTGAGAGGATACGTGATATACAACCCAGGAAACTTTGAGCACTTCAAAGAAACTAACACTGAGCAGTCGTCGGGACTCATTATTTCCTCCTTTTCTTATATCTATTATATAGTAGGTATATATACGTTTATTTCGTCTTTCCTAGATAATATACAGCTTGCTGACTGGTTTGTCTGCTATCTTGCAGTTTGTGATAATGGAAGCCGGTAGACAGAGATGAAGTGAGACGCTTATATATAATTGGCTGAATCAGTGGTGTTGCCTACTAATTGCTAACAAGTACCTAGGTATTTATGTAGGTACAGTGGAAGGTCCGAAGGGCTAAATACCAGGTATGTATTTTCGGGGAATACGTTTTACCAGCACCCGAGCTGCAGGGGCGGTCCCATCGCGGCAGGGACTAGGTCTTGCTGATCTACCAAGAGCATACTGATGCATCATCCAACTCATCCCTGGCACTCTCAACCTTGGAAGTGATAACAACCTTCCTCCAATCGTCGCCCTATTACGAATTGTTTCCAACTCTACCAATTTAATCAGCCTATTTCAAATCGAAAACATCACAAACTCCGTCAATCAATTCGCGATACAACATCGCAAATTCGAATCCAGATTAACGCCTTTCCACACCGAATTACTACCTGTTTCCTAGCTCCAAACCTGCTATTCCGATATCATCATCCTGCACGTTGGCTATCTCGACTTGCGACAGGCTCGTCGTCCTGCTCCATAGGGCTGCCCAGTTTTGTTTTAGGTGATAGAATGACGACGATGAGGTCCCATACATGAGCCTTCTCCTTCGATTGGAAGGAGTCTCACCATGCCACCGGAAGGAGTACTGAGCAATATTCGAGTCTTCATAACATGGGATGACCAGACTGTCTTTGCTGGCGAGGATATCAAGTGTCACATCACTTTCAAAAATATTGCGCCTGGTCCAAACCAGACGAGATCTTCTAGCCAGCAACCGCCGACTATTCCCGAACGATCGAGACAGCCGTCACCCCTACTTAGTCCGAGGACAAAACCGAACAATGGGTTGACACCCCCGGCACCCACGCGAGGACATCGCTCTACCTTATCTCTGACAGTTCCCTCGAGTAGCTCACGATTAAGGGGGCCTCCCCAACAATGGACCCCGACACAATCATCGCCGCAACGGCCTGGCCATGCTCACAAAAGATCACTTTCTATAGTGTCTATAGGATCGGCAGCAACAATCGAAGAACAGTCGCATGGAAAATCATCTCCCGCACGACCTCCACGTCCTCCACGTGGCCATGGAAGGTCTGCGAGTTTACAGATATCACCAAGAGGTGGACTCATAAATGGCCCACAATCAGCGGCCTTGCCAAGTAGACGACCCTTTGGTTCGGAATCCTCACCCTTGTATAACTCCTTTCCCCCAACTAAGCATGGGTTTGGTCGCGCATCGGGTGCCTCGACCGTGCCGAACACACCCGGCTTCAATGGCTCACATCCACCTAAAAGAAGCCCCGGGGCGATGCCGGATTTTAAATTCCCCATGACGCCGTCGCCACAATCAACAGAAGGTGTCTCACCGACAGCCCAGCCGGTAGATTATTTGTCAGCGCCTGGGTCTGGAACGGGTGGGGTTGTAAGTCTCCCAGTGCGTTCAAAGGACCCAATTCCTACCATTACCGAACAATCTGTCCCCGCTGCAGCACGGATATTGTCTGCGGCGAGTATTGCCGGTGGAACTCCTAGGAGTAGTGGCGAGTTTTATTCATTGAGCAATAATTCATCCGAGACATTAGCATCAGAGTATGTGACGCAACCATTACACGGCGGGCGTAGGCCAGCCCACTTACGACGAGGCTCTGGCATGTTAAGCATAAGCCAGGCGCGACTGCCAGAGTCGTTAATGATGGGTTATGCACAGGTGCAAGGTTCCTTCACTCTTGATGGGTCCCTTATCAACTTGGGCCCCTTCGAGGCGGTTAAGCGGAAAGCTGTGTTAGGTGGGCAAGGAGGCGGCGTTATTGGCGTTGAAAGCTCAAAAAGGGCTAGTGGGCTCTTGACCGGCTTTGGCTGGGGAAGTCTCGGGAATTCCATCGGAGAGCTCCTTGGTGGCGGCGAACTCAGTAGCATCAAGCAGATGCGAGGTGTTGCCAGCTCCAAATCCATCCCTCTACTATCAACACCGCAATCGATATTATTCGTGGACTTGCAACTCGCTCCTGGCGAGAGTAGAACTTATGAATATTCGTTCAAATTACCAAAAGGCCTGCCTCCAACACACCGAGGCAAGGCTATGAAGATTTCGTATAGCTTGGTCATTGGCACCCAAAGGCCGGGTGGTACTAAGGAGCAGCAAGTGCGCTCAGTCGAGATTCCATTTCGCGTTTTAGGGAGTGTTAATAGCCATGGCGAGATTCTTGGCCATGACCTACTTTCTCCCTACATCATTCTTCGCGACCTTGCGAAGGTAAAGGCTCTTGATAAATCTGCTATTTATACCCCTTCGAAGAGGCATAAACCCGACCACCCCGGTTCCACGTACAACGGATTCCTTGGTTATGTCGAGGAGCTTCTTGACCGACCCCATCGAGGTCTCGGACTTCTATCCCCAACAGCCACGGCTCCCCAATCCCGCCGCACATCTGCTTTCGAGGAGTCGGCCTCCGCGAAAGACGCCATAGACCTTGCCATTATCCGATCAAATTTGTCGTCTGATTCCGGACAGAGCAGTAACCGCTTCGAAATAGCTCGAAACGGCCGACGCGTTGGCGTCGTCATGCTCGCGCGCCCCGCATACAAGTTAGGAGAGTCGGTAAACATGGCCATCGACTTCACTGGTGCCGAGATTCCGTGTTACGCCATCCACGCAGCCCTAGAGACGGCGGAGCGTGTCGAGCCAACGCTAGCGCTAAGGAGTGAGGCCAGCGTACACAGAGTCACGCGCAAGGTCTACGGCAGCTCCAGCGAGGCCACACTGTTCGCCCGCCGCGTCGTCTTCAGTCCCACCATACCCATCAGCGCGACCCCTGAGTTTGTCACCAGCGGCCTGAGCCTTGAATGGAAGATTAGGATCGAGTTCGTCGTCCCGTCGTCTGCCACAGAAGGCCCCGACCTTGCCGACTCGGATACCGGGACCCAGCCTCATCCGTTGTTAGAGGAGATTTCCCGCGATGAGAGAGGCGGGCTCGTGCTTGTTGCGGCCGAGAACCTGGACTGCGAGAGCTTCGAGGTCGCTGTCCCACTGAGGGTGTATGGCGCGGTATGTAATGGACTCGAGCGTCTTGAGAGAGACGAGGCGCAGCAGGAGGGGCTTGTAGTATAAATATCCCCTTATGTAGGATATGAAAGTGGAGAGGGGGTCAGCGGCGCGATTTGGTATAAGATATCTTCAGGTCTATACGGGCTAGAAAAAAAAGAGGCAAACGAGCAAACCAAACTAACGAACAAGCGGTCGGAGTAAGAAAAAATTATGGGATTGGCGAGGCGGCTCCAAAAACAACAACATCAAACGAGACAAATGTCACCCAGTTGGAATACCTTCAAATATCTATAGATGGATGTATTCTTGTAACCTAGTTTTGGAGATGATGAGATGGCGAGATGGGGACGAGTTGTGCAGTCCCGGTCCCATACGGTCTTATCCCCGTTTATAGAAGTTATGCCAATAGGGCTCAACTCGTCGAATTCATGTAATTATATCGGGCTAGCTAGCTAGGTAGTTATTACCATACCGCGCAGGACTGAGCTTTGCCTATTTTTTTCAAGAATACCTACCTACCTACCAACCTGATCTCCCAATCCACTGTGATTTTGTATGTGCATGTTGCCTCCCTATTTTCTTGGTCGCGGTTTACTTACCTAGGTACATACCCTGCCGAATAGGTAGTGTAGAAGCAAGAAAAGTCAAGCCTTCACGGAAGTCATATGTACAAGCGAAAGAAGAAGCGAAGTTGGAGCAAGTAGATGCCCAATGAAATGGGCAAAAGTCAATTGATGCGGTGTAAACAAAGCGGAAGGCAGCTCCCGTCTCAAGCTGATAGCAATAAAGTCTCCCTACCTCCGATTCCCTACCTAGCGCACATCCCCTCGGCGCTGTTCCCTTATAACTCCTATTTTTGTTTTTCTCCTGCCAAGTGGTATCATATTGAGTAGAAGCCAACGAGTTATGACTCGACAAACGGATAAGAAAAAATAATAAATCCACCATTATCCTAACGCCGTAAGTTGTGTCTACCTCCTCCTAGACACTTTACCGAAAAGAGCGGGAAAAAAGAATGTCCTGAACGCCCGTAGTCACCGACGACTACAACCCTCCATCCTTCCTTCGTCCCTCCTCCCCTTTTACCCACGTCGGCGGCGCAGGACGTATGTCGCGCATTTCGTGATATACAAAACGAATAGTACATACTAATGAAATGACAATTCGAGCTACGTCGAATTCGAATCGCTACTAGAGGCAGCCGCAGACCCTGCTGAAGCTGCTGAAGCTGCCGAAGCTGCCGAAGCTGCTGAACTAGGACGTTTTCTAGGCAAGTCTGGTTCTTGGTCTGAAATCGATCGATAGTTTAGCCGGAGTTTTTCGTCGAGCATAGCAACCAAACGCTCCGAGTACTGGTCGAGCAGGCCGTTCAGCAACGTGTCGCTCATAGCCTTGCTTCGCGTGGCCCGGTCGCCTAATGCAACCGCGGTAAGACGAAGCTCCTGATCTAGCTCAGCTAATACATCCTGGCTGACGGGATCGGAGGAAGCTAGTTTCTTCCGGTAGGTCCGCAGCGTTCGACAAGCCTGCTCTGTAGCCATGTTGAGGGACCCAAACGCTCTCAAATTGCCATTGCTTTTGGTTTTCGCAGAGTTGAGAGCTGGTAGAGACGGGCGCCTCTTTATTCTCGTCTTGGGACTAGCTGGGGGACTAACACACCGGCTATCCTGCGACGGTCGCCTAGACGGGGTATCCTCAACGACAGATAACGATGGACCTGTCTGAAGCGGAGGAACAGGCGTCTTTGCGGAAGAAGACGGTGATGCGGCTGACAAATTAAATATAGACCTCCTCTTTGAGACCGTCCTCGGGGGCGATCGTCGTCCGGCGGATGGGGAAGAGCGCTGGAACTCGGCGAGCTCAGCTTTGGATAGAACGCGCCGAAGAGTAGGTCGAGAAACGGTAGAACTATCTTTAATGGGAGACGGTTCACCGGTAGCAGCACCCCATGATGGATCCTGCAAATCCATCTCCCAGATCATCATCGTACCGTCAGATCCGACACTCACAATCCTCCGCTTACTGTCATTGCTCTCAAGCAATGCTAGGCCATTGATAGATTCCGTATGGCCCCATTCACGATCCAAGAAAGCCCCTGATTGGGCGTCGTATATCCTGATCGACTTATCTGTATTTGAGATGCCCAGAAGAATTGCTGGTTCTTTCTCAGTAGCGGATCGGGCCGTGAGGGAATCCAAAACGACAGATTCGATTCCGGTTTCATCGATACATTTAAATGTATTCGTGAGCTTTCCACCTTCCAAGTCAAATATAGAGACGGACCGATCCATTAATGAAACATACAATGACTTCCCATCCGAGCCCGTCGTCATGTTTGACGGTGTCCCTTTCAGGGGAAGCGTTTTAGAGGGGATAGCCGCCATGGCATCCGGTTCGCCATCTTTCGTTACTAGATCATGGATCTGTAACGTTCTGTCTAGAGAACAAGTTATCACTCTATCCGCTGACGGAACAAGTACTTGGACCACCCTAGCGGCGAACTCGAGCGTTTGAAAATGTTCAAATTCCCCACTTGTCGTCTTGTGGAATAATTGAGCCGTACGGTCTCGACCGCAAGTTGCGATGACAAACTTCGATTTATCCTCATAAGTGTCGATAAATTGGCAATCAGATGCATGTGCTTTCATAGATGCCACACATTTCTGAGTTGAAAAGTCGATGATCTTAACAACGCCAAGTTTATCCCCTGTAACGAAGAATTTGCCGCCCGTCGTAGCTCGGACCAAGGTTAATTGGTTAAGAAGATCAGGCTCGTCCTCAGAATAAGCCTCGTCGAGAGGCACCTGAAAAGAAGATTTTACCTGGCCATCAACATCCCACAATATGACCTGTCCAGATGCGGACCAACTATAAAAATCAGCATCTGGTGCATTCGGGCGCTTGAGAGCATCGACACCCAGAACGGAGTCTTGGTGTCCCGAGATCGGGATAGGTGACGTCAAGTCTACTTTCTCGGGACCTTCTAGTTTCTGGGGGTTCTGGTCAAATTCCCAAACGTGAATAGTCCGTTTAGTATCGACAGTTACCATGTTATCCTCGAGAAATCCCATCGCGAACAGACCCGCAAACGACCCTACGTTTGTTTCTAGGCAGTCCGGATTAGATTCCAAAAAGGAGGTCAGATTAAGGGTCGCCAGTTCCCCCGACCTGCCACCAATATAGACAACATTTTCGCGTATCGCCACGCAGGTTGTGCCAAAACCACTTTCGAGGACATTGGTCAACTTCATCTGCTTGTCCGCATCGTCGAATAGGCATATATCGCCCGTCTCAGAGCAGATGATGGCCTTTGTATCGTCGATAGCGGCGGCGCACGAGAATGTCGCGTCTATCATGTTACCGAGTAACACATTCCGACCGGACAGCGTCTTTTGGTGTGGCTGAGGGGCCGCGTTTGGCTCACCAATGAACTTCTGTTTCACGGGAGACGGCGATTGGCCCTCTTCAACCCTCCACACCTTTACGTGACGTACACCCAAAGTAATTAGGTTGTTCCCCACCCATATCATACCACGAATGTACGATGTGCATCTGTTTTGCTGAAACAGTTTAGCAGCACCTGTTTTGCTGTCTATCTTCCATATGAAGAGGAAGCCGTCGTTCGCAGATCCGAGGGAGGCAAGGTACTTCGAGTCGGGAGACCAAGCAACAGCCTTCACCCCGAACCCGTGCTCGCTAATAGACACGAGCGGGGTATCGGACGAGTTGTCTTCCAGGCTGAAGATGAGCACCCGAGGAGCATAGCCGGTTTCCCCAACGGCTAAAAATCTTCCCTCATTGCTGAGGGCTAGACACGTTGCGGCCTTGATACGTTCTCGACTTGTCCACGTCTTCGACGATGACGTCGGAGATTCGGACCAATCATGGGAACCATGGGATGATTCTCGCAACGAGACTCTATTTCGACTGTCGTTTGCTTTTGGAGTCTGTGTGGGGGTCGAAGGAGAGTAAGGATGCGGAGGGATACTGTAGATGGGGGTGGCAGTTGGGCGAGCTCGGTAAAAGCGCTGAGTATATTCAGCTCCGTCGACGTCGACCACAACCACAGCTCCCCCGGCGATATAGGCGAATAAAGATTTTACGGTGTCGAAACCTGTGGGCGAAACACAGGTAGTGCCGACGACCCGTTTCAAGGAGAGGCGAGGTTCTATCGAGGCTCTGCTACGATAGGGAGTTCGAGTAGGATGGGGCAGGTAAGGCGAGTTCGATGGGGTCAATTTTAGCCGATTCGAAGGAGTGGACGCCATCTTTTTGCCATTGATTGTTTTCTCTCTAGAATGCTATATAGATAGGACTGAAAGGGGGGGGTTGAACTAAAGAGAAGTTTCTTTTCTCAAGTAATATTGCTGGTGCTAGAAATTTCTATGCGGTGAAGTGTCATGGAGATCTGGTTCAAGTCTTGTGGATAAGAGAAGTTTGAAAAGGGCGCAGGCCAAGAGGCTAATTAATACAGTATAACAATGAGAAGAAGGCGTTTGTGTGCCCTCTTTGAGTTATAATAAGGGGATGTGTAAAAATATTAAGAGACAAGAGGCGCAAAAGGAGGAAAGATGAAAGGGTCAAAAGCTATAACAATGTCAACTAGGAAGCTACACCGCGAGTCATTGTTGTTCACTACTTACAGTGACGTGAAAGGAAAATATTGGAGGAAGTCTTATTAGGATTGCATGTAGCTCATGTAGCTCTAGCCGAAGGAAATCACGGAGAAGGACAAAGCCCTAATACTGAAAGGCTATTAGTCGTAGAGGATCTGTTGAGCTTCGCACACCTCGTTCGAGAGAGGGTCTAAAGATAGGTCAAGAGGTCAAGAGGTCAAGAATAGGGCCACCTAGGTATGCAGGCGTCTAGAAAAGAATGTCCATTATAATGCCCATAATGCCCGTTATTTTATCGAGAGCAAAAAAAGCGAAAGCCGATCCCTTAGACCTCTTGCAATTGGGAAGAAGAGGTGGCCAAAGTGGGTTGAAGGGACACAGATTTTCGGGCTCGAAAGCATAACGAGTGGGAAACATAAACCCAACCACCGCTTATGGCCAGAGACTTTTCTTCCATGTGGGTTTTATTGGTTTGTTTTCGCTCACCAGCAAGCTTAGCACTTTAGAACTGACCGGGGTGCTTTGAGTTTGTTGACGGGGAGAGACCGAAACTCTTTTTTCATTGGACTGTTCCTGAATTTGTGCGGGTCCTCCAAATCTCTCTAAACCCTTTTCGGTGTGACGGTTTATCGAAGAAGTCTTAACCCTGATCATAACCCTGGCTTGCCTAGACCTTCCCTGGTCCGCTTGCAGCTCTATGAGGCTGCAAGTTAACAGGGACGTCCAGGACGTCACATCAATTCGTTCCCCCGTATTTTTCCAAAGATACTGTTGTTACCTCTGTTGATATTGTGTCTGTCCCCTATTCGGATAGCGTCCGATCACTCCTTCTGATATAAGACCTAAGCAAATGAACTTTCGTACAAGATAGCATAGGTACCTAACTGAAATGAATTGGAAAATCTTATACACATGGCACCATAGCAACTTCTAGCGCGAGAAATCGTTATCCCATAGCTTGGTAAAACCCCGGTAACTACCGCCGTATCTTTACCCCCGCTAGCTCAGCTAGACTGAGTTCGGTAATGCAGGGCCGCACGGACGACAGTCCGCTCTAGCCGATGAGGTAAGAAAAGACAGGGGATCCCTGAGGTTTCCCGAATATCGTAACGATATCGTAACCCAACCGCTCTCATAACTTTTTCATCACATCTGCACATCTGCAAATCATCCCACTACAACGGACACGCGTACATTAACTTGTCAGCTTGCTCGATGAACTAACGGCCACGAAGCATGTAGAACATGTTCGCCTTTAGGGATCCGATAGTCTGGCTCCAAGCCACTGGCTATTGGTTAGCTAGTCCTCCAGCTCGTTCGTCATAGTGCTCTGTTTAATATCACAGGCTACTTTAGTACCGTGAAGGCTTCGAGATTTTGTTTTATTAGATGGTTACATATCTCCAACTTCGTCTAGGGCCTTGAAATCCAAAACCTCATACACGAATCTTATCATATCCCTTCAAAAGGGTTGCAATGGTACCCCTCACCGTTACTTCCAAAGCCTTGGAGTGGAATGCATTGAATTTGCATTCCAGATTTGTGTGTGCCACCTGGCGTTATCGTCATGCATTATTGTATAAAATTTCGATTTCATTGGTGGTTGATCTTCATTGCGTTTCTCTAAGCATCCTAGGAGAGTACCGGGTGATTCTACCATCATTCTCACAGCTACTGTAGAACGCGGTAAGTTGCGTGCTTCGGGATAGCATGATGATTGCGATTTAGGTTTATAGATGTGAGTGATCACTTTAAATTAAGTAATGAATGCATGAAGATCGATCTACACACTATACACGATAAGCCCTAGTACATAATTTTTATATAGACAGGCATTGTTCTTTATAGGATATTCATGGGTTACAATTTACATTTCAACATTCGACATCAACAGTCAATATTCCTAAATTCTTGCCTAGATGATACAAAGTATAGCATAGAAGGCAGTGTATTGGGATCATTTGAATGTTTATGCTTATTCCGTTCAGTTAAAGCCGAAAGGTTATCTAATCCAGACCCTGAATTATTCGAGTCATTTGACATGGTACTTTCAACCTTCATCGAAACCCAAGAAGTATGAATCAAAGGACGATAATAGTCCGACGAGTTGACTAGTATTGTCTGAGATGGTATATTCTTCAGGATAGTATATAATACAAGTATTGACATAGCCTTGAGTAAAGCAAGACTAGAACCGAGACCTTCGAGCACCCCGATTAGCATCTGGGTCAAAGCGTTTATCAAAAGCCCGGTCAAAAGCGTCCCGATCGGGTTCTCTATCAGAGCTTCTTTTGATCTCCCAGGACTCGTCAGATCCCCTCGCGGAATCCCTGTTATGGCCCTTGCTGAATTTCCTGTTAGGATCCTTACTAAATTTCCTATTAGAGCCCTTATTGAATCTTCTGTTAGACTTCCTGTTCATCTGCATCTTCATCTGCCTATGGAATTCTTCATTGGCATCTATAACATGCTCTTCTTTAGGCTCCTCGACGGACTCTATATTGGGGATCTCCTCGAAGACCGGATCAACGTCTTCATGATAACGTCTTGGTCCCCGTCGTTTCGGCGGCTGCGTTCTCGGGCCCTTTCGAACATTCCAAATCGGATCTCTCACGATACCCTCTTGGCGCCATTTGCGCGGGGGTTTCCTGCCTATTGCCGCCATCTGGCTCCAGATATTCTTGCCGCGGCTGAACCACCGCCGCTGGCGCTCCTCGTCCTCCTCGGGCGAGGGTTGCCAATTGCCCCTAAGAATTCTGCGAATGGCTTCGACGGAGACCATGAACTTATCCGCCAACACCTCCGTCGTGAAGTGGTCGGGAAATTGCGCGTGCAGCGCGCGTATGCCGTCAAGCGCATCCGGCGATAACCGCTTACGCGGCTTCCAGCCCTCCGGGAACTTCTTCTTAAGCGCCTCCTTCTGTATCCGCCAATATTCCTTCTGTTGCTTTCTGGGGAGACGCTTGACTTGTTTCTGTCTTCTTTCCTTCAGGTCCTTCAAGATCTTCAGCCTCTTCAGTCTAGAGGATTCCCTAGGAGGTTTGCGATCTACTTCGGGTTCGTCATGAACTGCGGGCCCGAACTTTAGATTGCGAGGTAAGGGTTCTTGGGGTGGCGATTCTTCTAGATCGGCAACGAGAGAGTCTATGGACTCAGGCGACAAGTCGAGAAGTACACCTGTGCTTTTCGCTTTCTCATAATCGCGAGTAGAGGTATCAAGCGCCTCTACGCTAGGTTGGTTTACCGTTTCATCGTTAGTTTGTTTCTTTTGCGTAGCTCTTGGTGCTTGGTGAGTAGCCAACGATTGTGAAGGTAATTCCCTGGGTACTATTACTCTTGATGGTACCCGTCGTGGATAGCTCAAGGCTGCAGTAGCAGTATAAGGTCTAGTCAAGATGAATTGTGACCGAAGAGCAACAGCTCTTGTGTATCGAGGTTGAAATGTTCGTGGAGTCGTAACAGTTGAATCAGAAAGCCGTAAATCTGTAAGGCTTTGGATAAAGACCCTTAGAGGAGTTGTGCGGCATGAGCAACTCATTATAATCCTCGAGCGTGGATTGCTTGAGTTAAGACGAAGATATTGATAACTTTTTTTTTCTCTATCAAATTATTTTATCAAGACTATCGTATGCGGGGCTCAACGGTTAAACTGCATACGTGTGAGCGATATGCAATTAGAGGATATTATAGTTCCACTACTTTTATGTTACGGGGGTGTATACGTAGCAGAGCTAAGTTGGAAAAGGGGGACGATGGGTGCGACTTGACTCGCCAACTACGTCAACGTCTTGACAATACCTTGTGATAATGATGGGATTCTCTTTGAACTCAATTATTCTTGGGTGAAAGCTTGAGTGGAATGATTTAAATAGTCATAAGTGACCATGGTGCCACCTAGTCAATTAACAGCACATATATGTACCTCATGCTATCTGACTATCATGAATCAATTTGAAATGTTCTCTCATCTTCGTGATGGGATCTCTATAAACTCATTCATAAACTAGTTGATTTCTGTGCTACTATCCACTGCTTTCGTTTCTACATAGGAAGTGTCTCATACTCCGTAAGAATTCAGTCATTCCTTATTTCATCTAACTTAAGCAGTTTTTCTGTCATGGTATTAGCACATGATGGAAATATCAATGAACCCGACTGGCGAGAATTTTGGGGTGTGAAGTTCAAGTGGACTCCAGAGCACTTGACATCTAAAGACTTCGAGCATCTAATACGTACCTACGACACCGTCGCCACTGATGCCGTCGAAAGATTAGACCAAATCTCCCATCTATCTTCTAAGATAGAGGTCCCTGGGGACAGAGACGACGCGCCAATACCAGAGAAGAAAGTCCGACGAGATCTATACGAACTTCTCAAACAACATGGGACAACCGATGAGAAGCTCAAGAGACTCTGGAGTGAGGTCAACACGGTCCCGGATTGGGTTGACTGGGAACAGATAGAAAGGGGGCAGAAGGTATTTTACCGATACGGAGGCCCCGCCATCACATCTGTGAGCGATCCAAAACCTAAGATCAGTAGTAAACCCCGAGTCAAGAGATCTCAACTGACGTGGATGTTACCTATAGTTAACATTCCTATCCCTATTAGGCGGCATGGGAAGCGGGCGAACCGTCGAGACGCTCGACCGCACCGGCGGTTTCGGGGCGGACGTAGTCCGACGCCGGCTCCTAGAAACGACGCAGCACACCCTCAACATAACGCGCGACCTCGCGTCCATCAAGCCCGGCGGCGACGGCTTCGTAGACTCGATCCGGGTGCGCCTGCTGCACGCGACAGTGCGCCGGCGCGTCATGCGGATGGCCTCGTCTCGACCGGGGTACTATGACACGCAAGCCCTGGGCGTCCCGATCAACGACCTCGACTGCATCGGCACCGTCAACGCCTTCTCGGCCACCGTGCTGTGGATGGGGCTCCCGCGACAGGGCATATATCCGCGACGGCGCGAGATCGCGGACTACCTCGCGCTCTGGCGGTACGTCGCGTACCTCATGGGGACGCCGCACGACTGGCTGTCCACACCCGAGTCGGCGAGGCGGATGATGGAGTCGCTGCTGGTCGCGGAGATCCAGCCCACGCGCGCGTCCGCGAACCTCGCCAACAACATCATCACGGGCCTGCAGGGGCAGCCGCCGACGTACGCCTCGCGCGGCTTCATGTGCGCGCAGACGCACTGGCTCAACGGGCGCGAGCTGTCCGAGGCCCTGGCCATCGACCGCCCGAGCCTGTGGTACTTCGCCCTCGTGCTCGGGCAGTGCGTCATGTTCATGGCGCTCAGCTACGTGAACCGCAGCATCGGCTATCTCGACGAGCGAAATATCAAGGTGAGTTCCCATATACCCACCTACCTCTCTACCTACCTAGATAGGCATCCCCCCTCCCGAGATTCGCCTTAGCCTCGTGAGGAGGCTGTGTCGTCGTAGTCCCACTTCGACTCCCACCGCCGAGGCGCCAAATACCCGAGTACGCCGGAACCGCTATTTTCCATTGCTGCCTTTTTGCCCATCTAGCCTCTCGCACTATGGCAAGTGGATAAGTTCGCATTAGACACTAACGTCCTTTTACGATGCGGCCACTACACGTATGCGTGATCAAGCGATCTGCGCCATCTCACACCCCGCGCTCCCGGGTCATAGATACGTGTTTGCATCGTCAGAACTAGCCAACTTACTTACGTACTCATAGCTAGTCCGTAAAGCGCTCTACCAGATTTTGCTGCTGGATAAATCCAAAGGCGCGCTGGGGTACACTTCCAAGTTCAATATAAGGTACCTCCCCTCGTTCGCCAAGACGACGACGGATCGCGGTGCGCCGGCGAGCCGCGAGACGCAGGATACGCTTGGCAAAGCGGAATGCACGGCGCTGATGTCGTTGTTCGCCTCTGCGGCTCTCGTCAGCGCTTCGGTATGGTATTGTGTGAAAGCTGTGAGATGGCTAGTTAGTAATTGATTGGAAGGTAATCATTAGCCTCGAGAGTCCTATTTACCTTACAGGTTAGAGCTAAATCCCCCTAGTTTGTTCAAACATCCCATAAATCGTGGCGATGCTCTCGTAGATACACGTGTTAGTAGTGATTTGAATTCGACTAGGCGTTTTAGTCGATTCGTAAAGGATGCTAAACGAAACAGCAGGAGAGATGAAACTCAACAAACATATGCGAATCCTGCAGGTTGGCACGGTGGCTTGGAGGCTGAACGGAAGATTTACCTACCCAGTTAGGTCACACTAACGCCGCAAATCCGCCCAGAGGCCATAGACACGGGCAAATCGCTTTGTACACTTCATATTGATATTAATCGAACTTCTGAGCTCTATTGAACGCTGGTACAATATGGACGGTCCCATCCTCTTGTCCTGCTCTTCGTTTCTGGCATCTCAACAATATGTAACGAAAACTCCCAATACGATCCATTCTATCCCTCGTATGCTTCTGTTGCTCTCATGAACAATGCTATGCCGTGACAAACCCCTCCGAGTGTTGACCTAGACCTCGGACTCGAGCGCCAATGATGAACCCCGCCGTAACGCCAAACTGGACCTGATTGTAACGGAAATATGCACTTTTCTTTAGAAGACTTTGATGCCCGTAAGCATGAAAACATGAAATCCCTATTCCATCAGCTCGACGGGAGGTCGGGCGGTATGCGCTTTGATGGGGCCTTCCTGGCTACTGGGGCTCAGCTCCATAGGATCGTCTGTCATATCATCGACGGATATGGCGGGTAAGTTCGGGCTACCGCCATGCTCGTCGGGATGGTAGATTAGAGTGCTACTCCTACTCCTAGTCCTGAATACCGAAGCGCCATCGACAGGAGAGACTGGAGAAGCTTCCGCTGGGGCGGCTTGATGACGTAGTTTCGACAAGGCTTCTGCGAGATCCTCTGCGTGTACCAGCTTGTTCGGGGCATCCTCTAACTTCATCTCCCAGCCGTGAGGCGGTGAGGGTGGCGGGCTGATGAAAAACAGCTTCCCGGCGTCGGGAAGCTTCAGATGCTCATTTTCGTGTAGATCTAATGGGGTGGGTTGGCCAAAGTAGACTTTACACCGCTCACCCATGATCGCCTCGCCGTCCCATACTGCTCGTACCCTAATTGCAGATTGCTCGTCGAAGAACGAGACTACGATACGGCGGAAGGACTTTAACGGCGACCAAGTGTATACGGGCGCTGTGGCTTGGATGAGCTCGCGGAGAGTTTGTAGGTTGTCGGGGCGGAAGATCTCAGTATCGTTTAGGTTGGTGATAAGTAGGGTGTTCGTGGGTGGCGTTGGTTGGGTCAGAGGAGGTAAGCTAGAGAAATCTAGTGATAAAGATCTAGATGACCCGCGACGTTCCATGAGGGGCCGCGCGGGTGAGGAGGGAGTAGACGTAGGTGATTGAGACCCGGACATGATTGACTGTCGTAGGTCGGCCTCGGATTCTCTTTGAAGTGGGACAATTGTGTGGGCGAACTGACGTCTACCAACGGAATACCTTCTGTTGTAGTAGTAGAAGCGTAGTTCCAAATCTGAAGTCCGTGTTTGATTGAGTTTCTGGTGATTTGGTTTTGGTTGTAGTTGTAGGAATGTAAACGAGGGGGGGAAAGAGATGGTGGTGTCGTGGAATTATGTATTGATCCGTTGGTGGCTGCGCAAAGTAGTAGAGTCAAATCACAGACAGACAATTCCTAAACACACCCTGCACATGCTAGTCGATCAGGTTGATATGGCGGATGGGTGGATGAGTGAGTAGGTACTTAGGTACACTTGACTAGTAGTAGATACCTAGGTACCTAGCGGACAGTGACCGTTAAAGGTCCCGGACCGTTTCGCCTGGAAAAAAAGAGACGTTGAACCGCCTCAGTGGATGCACAGTGCCACACAGTAAACCTAGCAAATACCCCAGCCATTGGAGTGGTCCCACTAACTTATCTGGTAGCTGGCGCTATCCCGCGAATCGACTTGGCCTTTAGCCCCAGCTCGCCGCTGTTGTTACCACTAACAACAGGGGGCGGCTATGCATGGGTGGTACGTATGCAGCTTGTGAGCTGGTATGCGTGTTAATGTTAATTCTCATTGCCATTGACCGCAGCAATCATTTGAATGATTCTCTGTTAACCATCGTACGTAAGGGGACAGTGATAGTCTAACAATATCGATGGATCATTCAACAATCTTAATTTCCCAACGATACTAGACGATGCTAAGCCATCGGTCAGTTGCTACTATGTACAGCTTAGGCCATCTTCATAGCATCGAACCAAATGATTCAAAGTGTTGTCACGAGAATCAACCTTATCGGCAAAGGCATTTACCGTTCTCGGCGTCGTGTGGAAGTTCGATCCATGGATGCTGTCGAGCTTGGTACTTCTATGCTATTGGTTGTAGCATGAATAGTAGTTGTATAGTTTCAAATCTGGAGTCGATACTGTATTTGTGTTGGCAATTGATCAATAAAACGCTATACGGCCAATTGAACCTTCCGTAACCATAAAGTTTCCAAAGTTTATTGTCTGTTGTACGACTTACCTAAGCCGCCAATGAGAAACATCTTATTGCTTTAAATTCGCCTCATACGCAACCTCGCTTCTAGGGGCTATCCATGATAGGATTGCATGCACATCCATGACAACTACGATATGTGCTATGGTAATCATCGCATGCTACGTTGGCAAGGGCAAGGTATGTAAACGCCGTCGGGTTATAACCTCGATTAATATGGGAATATTAGGTGCCGTACGCAGGTACAGCCGGGAATTCGTTGTCACAACATATTCGATGTCTTAGAGGCTTATTATCTCCATTTTCTCGCGGATATACTACCCAGGTAGGTACGTGACAACACACTGCATCTCTATCGACGTCTTCGCAACAATGCCCATCGCTTACCAAGGGTATAGAGCAAAACATGACGAGACTTTAAGACGATAGGCGTATCTCGGCGCCAATTCCGTTGAAACCTAAGATGAATCGCAATATGAAGTGAAAAAGAACTATTGATGATTGGGGTAGGTATAATGCAATCTGGAATTCCGAAGCGAAAGTCGGGTCCTGCATAGCCCCGTTGGCCTCTCCCCCACAATGGACTAGCATAACGCCGGCGTATCGCAAGCCGAGACCGTCTGATCGGCAAATTCAATGTTGCTATGGTGTGGCGTAACAACACCGGCCTTCCGTCGCACATTCCAGAATATCTTGAATATCTTGGTGTGACCCCGGATGGTTCCCTCTCGACGAAATTAATTCGGTTGACTTAGCCATCTTCAATTTTGTCAGCCGTCAAACTTATTGTTCATCTGTTATATGCCACGTGACACTATGCATGCAGTTCATATACGGATCCTCCGAGACGAGACCGTTTCTTGTCTCTCGTGTTAGCGGAGTCAGACGATATCCCGCACCCGAGAAAACTTTGCCTTTGCACTGCCCGGACTAACGCCGGATCAGATGGAAGAAATTGCACAATCTGTTTTACCAGTACCAACTTTTCTCTGACCTCCTATCCCTTGGTGCCTGGGCATTGCTAGTTTGGTAGGCATTGTATTTTGCACCTTTGGTCTCGTGAGTCGTGAGCCATGAGCCATGAGCCATATAGGAATATGAGGAAGAGTCCGATGCGTTCTTCGTTAACCATATACTTACCGACTTATACCCACTTAGAAGATGACATGTAGTCAGCTAACGCCTTAGCTACGGCCATGCACCCAGACACTTTCTGTGGCGTGGTGGTACCTCAACCTTTTTGATATGTTTCTTTCATGCACGCCACCATCGGGCTTATGTACCACGTGGTTAATATATCTCCATTGCCAAGCCCAAGGGAGTGGATGGTTGATTCGCGAGCTGACACACCTCATTGAATATGCCATCGTCATCATAGTCGGACTCAAATATATCGTGATATGTAAGCTTAGCATCCATATGTGAATGACTAGGGCCGTGCTAAGGTCATGCCGAAGCCACGCTTTCGATGTGACGATGCTCCCTCATATAGAAGTGCTTTTTGTGCCTTGTTAGTATACAGCTTGTCATATCCCTACCAGACACATCGGCAGCGTCCCATGTGTGAGAGGAGATGGCTTGGTATTCTTCATGCACCGTAGTTCTTAACATCGTCGATTCTCATCCGAAGTTCCTAGCCGTTTCTATCGCACCTGGGGCTGTCTGAATGACAAGTAGGCGCCGGAACCCCGTCGGACGCACGGTCTAGGTGGCTCCATTCTAGCTATTGTATCCGTCTGTTTCTTTCCCTGGAATTCCTATCGTATCTCCACACCGAGTTTCTCCACCAAAGATTCCCGGACCTTTTCATGCAGGTAATTTGCTTCTTTATTCGACAAGGTCCGCTCGAGGCTGCGGTAGTTGATACGATATGCCATACTCTTCCTGCCGGTCTTGGGATGCGTGAACTGGTCGAGTAATTTCGCATCTTCAACCACATCGCCGGCTACGCTGCGGAGGATTTCCATAAAGTCATTCTCGCACCATTTATACTTGTTCGCTTTCGTGTCGCCGCTCTCCACGAACGACGACGGCAGCCAGAACGATATGTCCTTCGCGCAGGCGGGGTACTTGGAGAATGGCACAAAAGGCTTTAAGGAATCTAGGTTGTCCGACATGCCCTTGAACTGGTTGTACCAGCGCTCGTCCTGCGACCAAAAGAGCCGGATGTCTGGTATCTGGAAGAGTAGCATGGCGATCCTCTCGAGGCCGACGCCGAAGGCCCAGCCTAGCTGGTTCGGCACGCCTGCGTTAATGTATAGGTCCTGCTTGACCACACCGCAACCAAGCACTTCAAGCCAGTCTCCGTCATAGTAGACCTCGAGTTCCCAGGAGGGACTAGTAAAGGGGAAGTACGCCTCGACCCACCGCACTTGAAGCGGCTCACCGACGTAGTTAGGATCGGCCCTCACGGCAGCGGCCTTGGCGCGCGTGAATATCTCTACGACCATAAGCTCCAGCGACCGCTTAAGATGTGCGGAAATGGCCTCGACCTCTGCCGGGGAATGATGAGCCTCTTGCCGAGGGTTCCTCTCGTCGTGGAAAGGGGGGTTAGGGTCCTGTACCTCAATGGGGTGGTCCGGCAATTTTTCTAGGTCCGACAGGATAGCCGCCGTAGCGTCCCCATTCGCTACCTTGGCGCGGTCCCACGACCGCGCACCCTCTACCTGGTGGAATATGGGGTAGTGGCTCTTATCAATTTCATCGCGGCGGTATACGTCGGCGCTAATTAGGTAGCCTTCGCTGAGGTTCGCCCGGAAGACGTCAGCTTGATGGGCGCTTGTGTGCGTGCGTAGTAGCGTATCGCCGTTGATGTAGTACGTATCCCCCTTCGCTCGGCCGGGATGGTCCTTAGGAAAGCCTAAAGAATCGAAGTTCTGATGTGTGGTTACAACCGGGTTAAATTCGTTGTGGTAATTATAGGTCGGCGGCGGGAAGACAGATTCGATGATCTGCCGGGTTATGTAAATGGGGTGATCTTTTTGGAGATGTAATCGGCGGGGGATTTTGTCGATGACGTTTGGAGGTATGTTGAACCAAGAATCTGTCTTGTACGAGGTGCCATTGATTTCAACAGTATCTCGAGACGTTGAAATCGCTCGGTGGTGTACCACTGGAATAGCTAGGGACGTTCAGCTCTTGAAGTGCATGAGGTGTGATGCACGATGCTAATTGGACACACCTCGCGACAAGATTATGCTATTATTTATTTGCTGCAAGAGAGCAAACCTGTTGCCATTGGAACTGTTAGCAATTGAGCTAGTTGTACATTTCGCTCGAAGACATGATGTACAAAGCCGTCTTGCCAGCAACATTGTTGCAAATAGCTTCAGGCTGTTGTTGGTGCCGTTGAAGCTACGGGTAGAGCTTGATAGTTGAGATACTTCAAATGTTGAGGCTCTTTTCTCGTGGTTGAGCTTGCACACAAAATTCACAAAATTCGCAAACTTCGCAAACCTTAAGTGGGATGATCTACAGGGACATCTTGTACTGGGTACATGGCAGTTGAGGATTTAGCCAATAAGGAACACTCCTTTGGCAAGAAACTTACAGCAATGCATGCGGAAGCAACCCTGGAGTAAAGCTAGTGCGAAGTACCGCGGTACATGGAGATAATCGCACTCGCCCGAAAAGCGCGGCCGCGCTTTGACGGTCTCCAATTTTCTCGGTCGAAAAAGCGCCGCACGAAAAATAATAACCGGTTAAGCCGAAGTCGTTTTTGTCTTCCTCGATCCTTTGGATGACTCGAAAAAATACATGCCGTCAGGTTAACCGCCAACTTTTCCTCCGAGCTGGATTCGCAATTGCACCATTCTTTATGTCTTGGGCTCGCTGTATTTGGTAGGTGAAGCATACATGGACTTTCTACTACCTATACAATATTCCTTACTACATTACTCTTTTCGACCCTTCATATAAGCAGAGCAGGGAAAAAAAAAGGAAAAAGGAAAAACAGTAAGCAGAGGCATAGGGATGGTGCTTTCTGCCCGCTCATTCTTCTACCTACGCCACTTTCGTCTAGTGTAACCCTTCCCAGCACAAAGATGGAGTCCGTTACCACTCCCCGGACCTCCAATGAGTCTCCGGTAGCCGCCTCCGCCGCGGCCGCGGCCGCCAAGCCCAAGAATCTGGAGAAGAAGAAGGCGGCATTGGCGCACGAGAGGATCTCGTATCCCTTCTGGTTCGGAGGCAGCGCGAGCAGCTTCGCCGCGTGCGTCACCCACCCGCTCGATCTCGGTACGTTGCGAACTCTGTCTTCTTCCACCTCCAGCTCTTAGCCTGACCGAGGACGCTTCACCGCTTCACCGACGGCTAACTAGTCCCGATGTGTAGTCAAGGTGCGGCTGCAACTGCGGTCCGGCGACGCCCCTAAGAACATGAGCGGGACCTTCATGCACATCGTGCGATCGCAAGGGATCCTAGGTCTCTATAATGGGCTGACGGCATCGCTCCTCCGCCAAATGACGTACTCGACGGTGCGTTTCGGCGTATACGAGGAGCTCAAGCGACGGTCGACGCCCGAAGGCACGAAGCCGTCCCTCCCGCTCCTCATCGGGCTCTCCACCTTCTCCGGTTTCCTCGGCGGCATATCGGGCAACGCGGCCGACGTCACCAACGTGCGGATGCAGCAAGACTCGGCGCTCCCGCCCGCCCAGCGGAGGGGGTACAAGCACGGACTAGACGGTATGTTCCGCATGCTGCGCGAGGAGGGCGTGAAGAGTTGGTTCCGTGGCGTGCTACCCAACAGCACGCGCGCCGCGCTCATGAACGCCAGCCAGCTGGCCAGCTACGACACGTTCAAAGCCTTCCTGATCACGTACACGCCCCTCGGCGACACCACCACGACGCACTTTGCTAGCTCGCTGCTCGCCGGCTTCGTAGCCACCACGGTATGCTCCCCCGTCGACGTCATCAAGAGCCGGGTGATGAGCACGAGCCACGAACAAGGGATCGCCCATCTGCTGCGCGAGATCTACGCCAAGGAGGGCGTGACGTGGATGTTCAAAGGATGGGTGCCGGCCTTTTTGAGGTTGGGACCGTGAGTATTACCCACTTCAACTAGTTCCCCATTCCCGGAGTAGTAGTAATAATTAGTTGCTAACGACGGGATAGACAAACGATATGTACATTCTTATTCCTAGAGGCGCACCGCAAAGGCTACAGAAAACTCAAGGGGCTCGAAGACTGAGCGGAGCTTGAATAATACTTACTTGCTTACAGACCAGCTCTCCATACAGCACTGATAGAAAGGACTGGATATAGAGATTATACCTTGGAAAGACGGCGTTTTCAGAATGGGTTTTCTGCATGACCACAGGCGTTTGGGCGGCATGATACTCTTACAGTTGGATAAATAGTAGAATAAGCAAATAAACCTTTATATGATTTGCATTATGTGATCTTTTCCTAGACTATTATTCCTCGAGGATGTGCAATTGCCACGTGAAGAATTCAAAGCATCATGCATGCAAGACCCTTTTCCCCAGACTAGCGTCTCCTAAACTCCGTACCATGCAATGAAATCAGAGACCCAATCTCAGGAGAACCAATTCTCGAACTTGATCTAGTGTCGTTTATCCATATTGTACAAGTAGCTTGGTGCCGCTACTCTCTCCAGATGTATCGAGTTCATCTAACATAGCGCACCGTCTAATTCCATCCGCTCGAGCCGGAGTTGCCGTACGGTGTCGTTCCATAGGCTGTCGCACCACCACCCCAAGCGCTAGCACCTCCGGTGTTACCGTAAGGTGTAGTGTAGCCTTGATCTAAGTAGTTCGCGCCTCCATCCATCGCGTCAGGGCTTCGGGGGCCGTCGTAGTCGCCGTTCATGCCATCGTTCTCACCGAGCCCGTGGATAAGCCCAGCCAACTTGCGCTGTATTTCCTTGACGCCCTCCAAAACAATCGTATCGGAAGAAATGTTGCCAATGCCCTCGACCTCGAAGTAGAATCGCGACGGAACAGCATCGTAATCGAAGATCTCGTTATCGCCGAGGGGCTCTTCGAGATCCGCGTACTTCGACTTCGGCCTACCAGAAGAGTTAATATTTCACATACAAGAGGAAGGAGAGGAGACCGGAGAACTAACCATTCATCCTGTATATGCTCGGGGTCCTCGTGCCAGAGATCAATGTGATGAAGGTTGTTGTGAGGGTCATACTCGAACCCAATGGCAGCAGCTGGGGACCACTTGGCATGCTCCTTCGCAATACCCTTCTTGGCAATGCATGTAAGCTTGAGCTCTTGTCCTTTACGCAGCTTGCAGATCAACGAGCCGAGGTGATCTGGATCGGTGATGACAGGGTTGCCAATAAGGTTGTTAGGTCTCTCTTGACGAACTAACAAATCTCTGGCGTAAACCTTCATAATATCATCCGTAGTGCACTTAGCATGTAGATCCAGAATCACACTGCATCGTTCACAGTTCTGGTCACAGTCGCAATCTCGCGAGTAGTTGAGCTGATCGATGTTGCTCGAGTTAAGGGGGATTAGTCCGAGTCTGTGGGAAATGAATTCGTCGGCAAGAACAGAGCTGTTGACTTCGATCTCGACAAGATCGATCGCGACGGTGGGAACTTCCGCATGCATGACGCGACGGAGGCCATTGGCAAGTGACAAGTCAACATTACTCAGCTCGAAATCGACATGGATTTCGTCGACCTATGGTATACAATTATCAACATGAAATCCTGAAGGACGTGATAGCAACGACATGGCTTACCGCAGACACCTGGACCTTGGGTCCAAAGTCATCCTTGAAGTCGCCATCCATCATGTGGTCGTACTCCATCGTGGCGAGAACACAGCGCGACTGGCTGCGGTGTCGTGGCTTGACGTGATATAGGCAGATAAAGTATGGTTTTAAATCGCAATGCAATCTTGAGGATATCGCGATGCGAAAATCAAGAGGGGTGGTTCGTTCTTTTGCGATTATTGTTGAACAAGGAAGATTACCAAACTTTCCAAGGCTGAAAGGTTTCCAGAATACATCAGCTACGGTAGGTGGGCCTTGCGTAGAGCGTGAATGCGCTAACCCTTTCTTGTGCTAGTGCCGTATGGAAAAAGTGTGCATGCAAGGGGTACCGATACAGTAGGTACGTACCGCACAATGACGTTGGTGGGCTGGTGGGTAGGTGCCGAGCTCATGTGAAATTGCATGAACATACCGGTACATAAACTCCATCGGTTTGAATTGAATTGAATTACTCCATGGTGCATCAAATTGGATTGGGATGAAGATATCTAGAGACTTGACTAGTCGTGACGTTGGTGGTACTCTACACGGAATACAGAATATTCCATATGGCGCTTTAAGAGCAAATCAAATCGGATCATTGAGCATCAAGCAAACCATCTCCTCAAGTAGCTCTAGGAAGTCATATCAAGAGCTAGGAATTACGAGTAGATGAATAGGAATAACCTGAAATGTAGGTAGTAAGGATGAATGCTTGAGCTTGGTTATCACCAATCATGAACCTTCCTCGCGACCCTGGACAGGCCAGAGACAGCAATGAAAATTCGCGTCACCTGGAGGCAGTGTGATACCAGGGACACAGTGGGAGCGATCATGCGCAAGCACAGAGGATGCGCTCCCTAGGTGCAAAAATAAGAATAATCACGATTGAGTCCAAGTAGGACTCTTTCAGAGATTAAACTGAAAAGAACAGATACTACACTTGATCTAAGCCAAAAGGCAAAGAGAGCTGAAGAAGAAAGGAAAAAAGGAAGAGAAAGTGAGAGGAAGAGCTGAGATTATATACCCTTGGGCCAGGTCGCACAGGGCGGTGGCGCTAGGCAGAAAGATAATGCCCCACCTGCCCACTAAGAAGCAACTGCCACCGTCAGCCGTCAGTATTCTACCGGCAAGTGACACCAGTGCGGGAGGGTGGGCCAATAGGTAGACACAGCTCCGCTTAACCAAAAATTTATTTGTATCGCCTCCATCTTTGCACATAGTAAGAGGCTTTAAACACCGTCCACTCAAGTTCCCCTCTCGAAAGCCATACGCTTCGAATCCGACATCATGTTAAAACAGGTCATTTCTAGGTCGTCCAGAGCTCTATCATCCAGCTCAAGAACAATTGCGCGACGGTCTCTATTACGGACGCAATTTTCTCCGGCACCTTCAACCTCCCTACAATCTGCATTCCGCCCAAGCCTAAGATGGTATAGCGACCAGACAGAGACGACAGCGAAGAAGGAAGGCGAAGAACCAACTGCTGAAACAGAGGCCAAGGAAGCCCAGGAGACCCAAGAGACCCAAGAGACCCAGCAGAATGAAACTTCCAATGCGCCGTCAGATGTCGAGGCTGAGCTTAAGAAGAAGCTAGAAGCTAAAGAGAAGGAAGTCATCGATTGGAAGGTGAGTGCGCCGAATGCGCCACACAATAGTATAGGTGGAGAAGTCTAATATTTCATGCAGGACAAGTACCTCCGGTCAGTAGCCGACTTTCGCAACCTTCAAGACCGCACACAGAGGGACATGAAGTCGGCACGCGACTTCGCTATCCAGAGATTCGCCAAGGACCTGGTAGATAGTGTCGACAATTTGGATCGGGCTTTGATAATGGGCCAAGAGAAGATCAAGTCGACGGAAGAAGACAAAAAGAACGAGGATCTAATCAACTTCTACGAGGGTGTCAAGATGACCGAAACCAACATGCTACAGACCTTACAGAAGCATGGCTTGGAGCGGTTCGATCCCGAGGGACAGAAATTCGACCCTAATGAGCATGAGGCAACCTTCATGACCCCGATGCCCGGCAAGGAAGACAATACTGTCTTTCATGTCCAGCAGAAGGGATTCAAGTTGAACGGAAGGGTCCTTCGAGCCGCCAAGGTGGGCGTAGTAAAGAGTCAATGAACGACCTAACGACTTGAATGATCATGATTACGATCCACTCACTACCACTCACCACTACCACCACTGTATAATATTGAAAAGACCTTGTACACCACCATCACGATGAGGTCGGCGTTGGGTAATGTATATAAAATGCTCCTCTCACGAAAAGGCGGCCGGCGGAGACGACTACTTACATAGTACGCATGATATGGCATGGCTGTTGATACCAAACAGCTTCTCTCGATCTATATAGATTCAGGGTTCAGGGTTCTTAGGGGTATTATGATGTGCAGAGCGGATTTGCACGCTAAGGATAAGGGCGGCCTACCTAGGAATCTAATGAATATAAAAACCTCCTCCTCGTATCCGACACTAGAGGTACGCGAGCAACCTGCGTTTACTATCAGGGGCACTAGGATCATAATTATATTAATTTCCATGACGACTTGGCTCAAACGTGCTAACGCATATACAGCAACGTCCTATTAGATTCGATTACCAGTAGCAACCAGAAGTACTTCGATGACCTCCACTATAATACAGTTTTACCACTGCACCATTTGAAGCTTCCAATAACAGGGCCAAATGCGACATACCTACCTAACGTACATATTGTTGGTTTATATGATTGATCATGTGTGCACGGACCAATGGGGTACCTACACACAGCTGGACAGACGCCTGAACGGACCACTGGATGACCGACGACGAACTTAGTTTTAACTTCATTTTATTTTATTTCACACATCATTCGTTTTGTCCAGGCTCCCCAAATAAACACGGGCCCTGAACAACATCACGCAATCATGTCGCTAGCACCGGCCAGCTCGAAGGACGGCTTCTCCTACGCCGGAGACTTGTTCGTCGAGGCTAGCGGCCACAATCGTCACCGGCGAGCTACCATACCCGAGCTCAAGGACCACTTCAAATCCGGCTCTGACAAGGATCATCCAGCTCATTGGTTCGAGGCTCAATGTATCCACTACGGCTTGCAGCCTTCCAAGACCAAGGCCGTTGCTCGCATGCGCCTATTTGATGCTGTCAACGGAGGTAAACTCGCCGTCCCGTCCCACATCAAGAAGCTCGAGTCCGAACTCAAGAAGGAGTGGACCAAGAACGAGCGCGAAGCCAAGAAGGCTATCAAGGACACATCGTTATCTGCAGCCAAATCTACGAAGCGCAAGGCCGCAGCTGATTCGGTTGATCTGACCCTTAACGTCGGCGGCATCAACATAACAGTCTCGGCCAATAGTGCAGCCAAAAAGTCCAAGACGACTACCAAAGCCACATCAGCACCTAAGACTTCAAAGACTACCACTACACCAAAGACAGCCACACCAAAGGCCACCCCGTCCAGCACAGCCAAATCTAAGGCTAAAGCCCCCGCATCGTCCCAGAAAAAAGCATCCTCAGCAGTATCTTCTTCTGCTCCTGCCCTTTCCACGCCCACTGCCAGAGGTCGCACACCCGGCGGTCGTGGCGGAATTCACCAAGGTCCCGGTCGCAGCAGCGTCCCGGCGCCTTCACCAAGCCCGGCCCCACCGCGACGTACCCAACCCGCCTTCGCCCGCTGCAGTCGAGGCCGGGGCCAGGGATCAAGCTTTAATACTTCGCAGCGCATGGGTCACAACGACGGCCTGGTTTATCTTAGTAGCGACGACGACTATAGTGGATATGGTGGCGGCTCCGTCAAGGACGAGGACGAGGACGAGGATGCGGATGAGTTGAAACCGCTAGGCCTTCTCAACGGCCGCTACACCCTCTCCAGCGACGAGGATATGGCGTATGGATATGACCTCTCCCTAGTCTTGACGCTGAACGGAAGCCAGCTTTGGGGCTCCTTCGACCTCGGCATCGTGCGTGGCGTTCTCAGACTTGAGAACCGACCGTACATGTCTTCCTACGAAAGCCTCGATTTTAATTGGCGCGGTAGGCAGGATGACGCGGGAAAGATCTCATTCGGAGATAACAACTGGGGATGGATCAAATTCCTGGGCGACGGCAAGATCACGGGCTTCCTGAGCGGCTACGATATCCCGTTTACGGGCCAGCGGATGCCTGGCCAGGGCACGAGGAGCGAGATCGACGCCGCCACGATGAGGGCTGAGTGGAACTGCTACACCTACGAGTTGTATACCGAGGAGAGTAGCGGATGGTACTAAGAGATCGTGCCTGCATTGCACCGGAGTTATAACAGAGGTTGGCTCGGGACTTTGCGTGCCCTGGAGACAATTGAATTCTACAGGTTTTTCGGATCACGGGACGGTTGAAATTGGTGCCGCGGCTTCTTGCCTACTGTGTACAAGTTGTGTAATACATCAGAATAGCACTTATAATCACGATTAAGAAATTGGATGCCCTAATACCACGGATCACGAGGAACTAGAAGACATCAACAAGAGTTTGGGGGGAAATAATTTGCATTTATGCAATGGACCTAAGGTCTCATGAAAAGGGGGAAATTCAGCTAGTGTACATGAAGGGAATAATGTACAAAAGCTCTGCTCCGCTACTTTCGATATCTCACTGGAATCGGGGCGAGTCACAACCCTTATCTTCCGCTGCTTTAGACGTAGTCAAGGAGAGTCACATCCTATGTTTGGCTGATTTAGACGTTCGGCGAACAGCCAAGGCCAGTCGCAACCCAGGTCCAACGGGCCAAAAATGGTAGTCGTTGGTACAGTAAGAGAAGAGATCGAATAAGCCAGCACATGTTGTATAGTCCAACATGTGTCTATGGACTTATTCGTATCACGGGTTGCTACACACTATGACCAATGTGTGCTCACTAGTCGTGATGTTATGTCGTAAAATGAGAACTTCCAAATAACTCGAAAACCTTTTGACTGATAAATGAGACGATGGGCGACGTATTGGTATCATCGTGAGGTACACACTCCGAATGCGTACTCAACAAATAGGATCGACTGACGATAGAGATCCACGTCGCAAGAACAATGTAAGTGTGTTGATAAGACAGGTCTAAGAAGACTTGCCACCCTGCTCGCCCTGCTTGGAGCTCTCGCCAACCTCCTCTTGAACGTATCGAGACGAATCACCTCGCTTCATGTCCTTCTCGACCTTAGGGCTAGCGTCGTAGAAGTCTCGCGAGTCGTTCTCGCCGAGGTGAGACATGCTCTTGGAGTGATTCATAAACTGCGTAAACGCGAGATCGAACTGGCAGCCCTCGCGCGCAACCCATGTGCCCTTGGGACTCTTGCTCCGCTGGATGGGGCTCGCGTTGTATATATCACCGCTATCCTCAGACTCGCGACGCAAAGGCACGGACGAAGTAGCACCAGGCTCGAAGACGGAGACGTGGTTGTGTTGCAAGCTCAGGCTCGACATCTGCTGGAGATCATCGGCAGCAGCAGTATCATTACCACCGCTGGCGGCGGAGACAGTCGACGCGGTATCAGTAAGGGGCACAGCGCGGTTAACCGCATCGTACACCTCATCGAAGTTACTCTTGCCAACCATAAAGCACTCCTCAGTAATCTCCTGCTCGAGGCGCTTGATATGCTCCTCCATCCCCGCGCGCTTCTGCAAGGACTCGTTAACACGCATCGTCGCGCCGTCCACCTTCGCTTTGACATCCATGACCCGACTAATCAAATGCTCGCGCACGCGGCCGTCGCGGTACTTGCGGCGCTCCTCCGCATCCTCGGCTTCCTTGCGCGCGGCCTCGGCGGCGGCGGCGCGTTCCTTCTTCTTCTCCTTGTGCGCGCGGGCGCGCGCCTCGCGGCGCAGGTTCAGGAGCGGGATATAGGTGTCCTTCAGGGCGCGGCGCTCGAGCTCCAGTTTCTCGATGTGCAGCTTCTGCGCGGCGATGATGGTCTGTTGTTCTTTGTCTTGGGCCTCGAGCTGCGCGACGAGTTGCAGTTGCTGGTCTAGGTAGGTGCCGTGGCGGTCAACGGCTTCGGTGCCGGTGATACCGGGAGGGGCTTGCGCTCCGACGACGCGTTTCACGTCAGACTAGGGGGGGGGATGGGTTAGTGATGATCTGTTAGGATGGCCTTATATATATATATATTCGGTGCTGATCAGGGGAGAGTGCGAGTGGAGTTTGTTCTTACCAGAGTGTAGCGCTCGTCGGCGCCGGCGGTCGGCAGGTCCATGACACGGTGCGGAGTCGGATGCATACGAGAGTAGAGTTCAAGGAAAGTGTTCGTCTTGAACGGCATTTCAGGAATGCCAGGCGGAGTGTAGACGATGGACGGGCTGGTAGGGACGTTGTACTCGGGGGTGACCGGCTCGCCGTTATTCTGGTCGAACTGAGACTTCGCGTCGTAGATATAGGTAGGGTACTTGTCAGGACGGAAAGAGGACGCCTCGGGGCGGACACGGGTTTGCTTGGCCAGAACCTGTCGGAGTCAGCGAGTAAATTCTACATAGAATGGAGCCGTAAGGGAAAGTAGAAAGACAGGGCAGAGAGAAAAATAAATGATAAAAAACTTACACCTTGGGGATCCTTCAGATGATCGGTATTCCAACGACTAGCACCTCGAGAAAAGTGAAGGAAATCTTCTGGTGTAATTCTAGCGCTGGGTGCGGAACCCTCAACATCATCGGGATCACCGCCCCAGCCAGGGTGCGGCGGAATCTTCCTGAGTTCCTTGCTGGGGATACCTTTCAGATCATCGGCTTGGGTACGCTTGGTAACGAGATGCTCTCCACTGAATGTGTATGTTAGTGATATGTCTACACGGAAATATCCTCATGAACAGTGGGATAAAAATAAGCGGTTAGCAGATCACGTACCGATGCATCCAATCTGCTAACGGGTATCCTTCTTGTCCTGCCACAGGACCGCGCAGCGCCGAATAGCCTCGGATGAAACTGGTTGGGACAGTAGGTGTCTCCTCCTTCTTGTTCGCTTTGGTCATCTTCTTGGACTCCATCGCGGCTGTTGTGTTCTTGGGTCGCAAGTACCCAACATCTACTAATGGAGCTTCTGGGTCTAGGTTTGTGTAAAATCGCATATTACCTCTCATGTAGTCTTTGCCGGGGACTACAACCGCCCGGCTAGAGAAGTAATGACACGCTAGACGAGGGAGTCAACACAATTGCATTATTGGCACGTCGGTAGCAATTAGTTTCAAGGGACACTTACCAGAAGACGCTCCGTCTTGGGGGGCCGTCGGCTGTGAAGCCATCGGCGACATACTGTGTGTTTGGTAGGTTGCTTGATCGTTTAGAATAATTGTTGGCTTTGACTTTGACATCGATACCAGAAAACGTCAAACATGAATTTTGCTTGGTAGTGAGTGGTTGAAGGGAAAGTAAAAGAATAAAAAAGGGACGGTTTTTTTTTCGTACTTAACCACCAAAAACTCTCACAATCATCCCGCCGTAGCAGTACCTTGGGGCAGAAAAACGCTGACTCATAGTACGTACGTACTAGTTAGTGGTCCGGCGTAAGTTATCGTATCTACCTACTGTGCACACGAAGTTGCTGAGCAACCGATGTCAGTATATTGTGAAGTAGGTACACACAATACAAGTGTGAATGCGTTATCAAGTGTTGATAACTGCTTTATACGACCGACGACGTGATCCCCTTAAGAAATAATACGGCTCGTAGAATGTGATAACCAGTATATATAAAGAACATATGTATAGATATAGCATAGAATAATCAATGTACTGAAGGGAAGTTATGGGGGCCCCTTACTCCCTAATTCATAATATTCATGAACTTGAAAACATCGGTGTATTATCGTCTTTATCGTCCACTATAAGTTTGCTCATCCAAGGTCTAGCAAATATTGATAGCAAAGCATGACATTGTTAAATGTTAATATGCGGTAGGGTTCTCACTTTTTTGCCTTGCCTTTTCCTCCAGTAGCCCTACCCTTACGCCCTTTTGCTGGCTTTTCCTCTTCGTCGTCATCGGCCTTAGCAGCTTTCTTTCCAGCCTTCTTTGCCTTTGGCTTTTTGATATATTTGTCCTTCTCGATATCAACATCGTCGTCATCCGCAGCTTCAGCAGCTTCGACTATCTCCGCACCATCGTCTTCATCATCCATTGCTTCCTCGAGATCTGGCTTGTCTTTGGCGACCTTATTCGGAGCCACCACGCTGCTAGCCTTCATGAAGGGAATTGGATGGGACATTACGTTGTACCTATATATGTTAGCCTAGATATTGAGTTCTGTTACACGTTTCCCACTTACAATCTTGTAAAAGTAGCCTTGGTCTGTGTATCAATGGCGACGTGTTCTTCGTCTTGAGGACCGACGCCGAGTTCTTTGATAGAATCGAAGTCTTCTCTAGTGAGAAAGTAGCTATCCATAAGATTGATAACCTCTTCGACGGACTCCTTGCCTTCATCGGCGAGTCTTTTTATGAGCCGTGTCCAGAGTACCGGTAGGTATTGCTGACGAATCTCGTGATGGTCGCCAGAGGACCTAAGTCGCATGTGTGAATGAATTTCGCGGATATATCTACCCAGCTTTCCATATTTACTGTTGTTGCCAAGCCAGGAGGTGAAGTTCGATCCTATCAGCTGGCCAGCTACGAAGCTAGCCGGCCGAACCGTGCTGAAGACCGCGTGAGTGGGCATCAAACTCCAGTGTTGCTGTGGGCCGTGAATCATCCGGTCTACAAGGTCACCATCGCTGATACTCTCTGCCGCCTTATCGACCATTTCTAGGGCCTTCAGGTTTTGCTCACGTTTATTGTATTGGTTCAGGTTCAGGACGGCTGGTTTCGTTCGAAGGTAGTTCTCTTGTATCATCAAATAGCTGAATTCATGGTCGTTGAAATAGAGCTCAATCTTATCATTGAGCGTAGCCTTGCTAGCCGGAGAGAAGAGACCGCCGCCGAGCATCTTCTGGCAGATATCCCACGGTTTTAGCACAATCGACTTCTCCCAGGCCTTTGACATATTTTTGCTCTGGCTAAAGTCCATCGACGACTGGTCCAGCTTGACTGTGGATAACATGTTGATGATCTGCCTGATATCCCGATTGCTACCTTCGACAAGGGCGTCGAGCACTTGCGGAGACAGCTTCAGCCCTTCACGATGGCAAATGGTCATCATTCGAGAGCGGATCTGGTCAACTGTTGGTCGCTGGAACTTGACGTCGAAGGCCACAAAATCGAAGGGTTTCATTTTCGGCAACTTTCGCTCGTTGCAGATCAAAATAAGGGGCACTTCGGTCTTTTTGCAGAATTTTGCAAGGGCACCCACGCCTCCACGGTCGCCAGCCGACATTCCATCGACTTCATCCATGACAAGGACGATGTTCTTCTTTTCCCTATCGACCTTCTTTCCATCCCCAGCAAAGAAACCAAGCAGGGATGTATTGTTCATAACCTCGCTGACACCTGATTCCACGAGCTTTTTGCTACGCGTGTCGCTGGCGTTGCTCTCTAAGACGTCGTAACCTTCGAGCTTGGCAGCAAGATGCGCTGCGGTTGTTTTGCCAATGCCCGGAGGCCCAGAGACGATGATAGCACGGGCACCACCCATACCATCCGCGCCTCGCTTTTGGAAGTTGTATTTACGATGCTTAGGCCAGTTTTTTAGCCAGTTCTGGATTTTCTCGACGGCTGCCTTATTGCCACAGATGTGGCTTGGTTGAGTTGGAGCATACTTCACCGTCCAGAGTTGAGAAAGGGGGGCCGGAGGGGTCTGAGCAGCGCCACCAGCACCACGTGCGACGGCTGCCTTTCGTACTTTCTCTGCTTCTACCTTTCGTCTTTTTTCTTCTTGTTCCATCTCCGCCGCTTGTTGTTTAGCTTTTTCCTCTTCCAATTTTCGTTTTTCTCGGAGCTTCTCGGCACCCTTTCCGGAACCGCCGCCAGGAGGTAGGCGACGAATCAGTTCAAATAAGCCCTCTTCGTTAATAGTCTTCGTACCATACTGGCGAATCTTAGCAAGTTTGCTAGGTCCGGCATCTTCACCTAGAACCACATAGCTAGTTTTGCTGCTTGGAGCACCGGTGATTTTCCCTCCATATCGCTTCACCAGGGCCTGGGCATCCTCACGTGCAATAGTAGATAATTGGCCAGTAAAAACAAAGGTCAGACCAGCAAGACAGTCTTCTTCTCCTTCAGGCAGTTCGGCAGTAGGGTTGGGTGCCGGGCCAGAATTTCCTCCCCCCGCCTTTCTCCAGTCAAACTTGGCGTCTGGGTCTTTGGCCGGCGGTGTTGGTGGTCTAACCATGGGGATGTCATCCAAGATTGCTTGAATCTCTGTGGATTCTGTTTCTTCTGCCTTCTTTGTTCTCGGGGCTCTAGGTTTCTTCGCTGCTGGCTTCTTACGGGACGGGGGTTCATCCTCGTCATCCTCTTCGCTAGATGCCGCATCTGGTGTCTTTCTTTTCTTGGCCGAAGCAGAAGCTGCACCACTTTTTACAGGCTTCGATGTAATTGGTTTTTCATCTCGGTTGGTTGGTTTGCTACGAGAAGCAATTCTCTTGGGCTTCGGAAGAAAATCTTCTTCACTATCCTCCTCGACGTAATCGTCATTTTTTCTTTTATTACGACCCCTTGCATCCGCGGCGAAAATGTCGTCCCCGGCGTCTTCGTCTTCGTCTACGAAAGCATCGTCCTCATCTTCAGGGTCTTGTCGCTTGGGCTTAGTCGAAGAACGCTTCTTTGGTTGGGTTTCATCGTTCTTGCTCGTGGTCGCAGCTTCGTTGATGACAGTTTTCTTGTGCCTAGGACTAGACCGTACTTCAACTTTGGGTTTCGGCTGTGACTTGGTTTCGGGCTTCGCAGCTGGTTGATTTTTAGACTTGGTTGAAGCAAAGTATTCACTTGCTGTTGTAGCAGTCCCCTGAACCTTCTCGTCGCCAACACTGGATTGTAGCTTAGCAAGGGGTTGACTTTTCGACTCAGGGCAGGAATACTACTTACGCTGCCTTCTTTCTTGGGGTAGATCTAGTAGCTAGTTTCTTCGTCCTTGATGGCTAGTTAGCTTCCATCCAACAATCGTACTTAGTAGATCATACGATTTCTACTTACTCAACTACATCTTCATCCTCATCACTGTCCTCTACGACCTTTCGTACTTCTAGTAGCTAACATTAGTGTGGTCATGATTAGACGCTGAGGAGCACACACTGTTACGTCTCTTAGTAGATTCGTCTTCCGCTTTAGCTTTCTTCGGTGCTGGTTTCGAAGGTGCTGCGGCACCACCCTTAGGCCCGAAGAAAGAACGAATATCCGCCATGCCAATTAGGTTCACGATGTGTTTGCGGATCGAGGAAATAGTCGGTTGTTGCTAAAGGGGGTAGTGTTTCGCAAGAAAAACGGATCGTCTATCAAAATGCTTGACGCGAATTATGACGCGCTGAACATCCTGGACTAATCCTTGAGCGGACCTGCAGTCTTAATGGGAATTATGTAAGCCGCGAATGAAGCACGGGCCACAGACGCCTAGGCTGCCACTACCTAGTACTTCCAAAGAAGTACCTACGTACTTCACTAGCGGCTAACAACCCGCATTTAGCTGCGGTGGATCTTTAGAAGCTTTTGACCTCGACCTTTGAAATTTCTAGAGCCGCGAAGTTATGACCAGAGCGGACAGAGCTTTTGCATATTGAGCATTTTGATCCCGTCAAAATGCGTCCCAATGGCCCGTCATGTCTTACCAGCGTATTTCGATCCCTTAGAATATCCCACGCTCCGACTGCGCGACCATCAATAAGACCTAACACCTCGATTGTGTCCGAAAAGATTCCATGCCGACAAAATGTCCGGTCTTTTTCGGCCACGGCTTCAATGGCCGGTAACTGGCTAGAGCCCAATTTAAATCGCAAGGATAAGATGATGAAGGGGCGGCCAAGGGTGCCAACTGGCGGCTCTGTCAAAGGGACGACGGTGATATGGGGCGACTACGGGTTACGGATGGTCGATCACCACCGAAGGATTAGCGCAAAACAACTGAAGATAGCAGAGGATACCATCAAGCAAAGGTTACGTGGTCAGAAGTATCGACTCTACAAGAGAGTATGCTGCAATATCGGCGTATTCGTTAGCGGCAACGAGGTTTGCCTCTCCGTGTCCACCCTTCGCGCTGGCTTTTTGGCTAACCTCTGTTGATAGATGCGAATGGGTAAAGGAAAGGGTTCGTTTGACCACTGGGCCGCAAGAGTAGCAGTGAATCAGATCGTCCTAGAGTTGAGAGGATTGATTCACGAACAAGTTGTCCGGGACGCATTCCGGTTAGCGGGTCATAAACTACCTGGTAAGCAAGATGCAACATTGTATGGGTATATCAGCTACATTAACACCATTTCTAGGACAATGGGAGTTTGTAAAGAAAGGCGAGCCGCCTGTAGTCGGAATTACCAAGCTAGATGGGATCACACTGGAAGAGTTAAAGAGGCCAAGGCGGAAGGTCCCTGCAGAGTCGCTCAGCCCAGTTCCTCCGCAAGCCTCAAGTTCGGAGACTCAACGAACACCCTTGGATCTTCCTTGATCCCGAGGTACTGTATTCCGTGTAAAAGTAAGGTATATAAAAATTGCCTCTGGCCATATCCGATATTACATTATGGATACCGTGAGGGCCAGTTCTATACTTCTCATAAGCTCACATCTTAAGATTGACGGCAGCGAGTACTGGGGAGTCGAAATAATGGACACCTACCACCATGTCTACGAAGGTAGTATTGTCTAGTCTATAGGGGAAGTTACGGTTCAATCTTATGAAGGTAGGTATGGCCGACGTCAACGGAACGTTAACCCAAATACTACTAGGTACTTCGAATTCCAGCGCTAGGTATTTCTAGAGGTACGCGGGCACGCACCTAAGCAGTCTTCGTGCTTGTTCCTTCCCTCGACCCCTTTTAGAAGCACCTATAAATTTTCCAAGTTAGGCATGACGATCGAGATCCCTTCCTCCTTGTCATTTCTCTTCACAAATCTACCTACCGACCTTCCTACCTTTAAAGTATGTAGGCATCTGTAACAATTACACAGACCTGCAATTATACCTCACTTGCCTATTCGGCTACTCATATGGATATTCATACTACCTATGCAACAAAAGATATGCACAGCATCGAGTGCTTCAGACAGGCTTCTTCGCATGCGCAGACTTGTTCTTGCTCTCGTTCAGGGAAGGGATAGGGACACGGTGATCACTCCGCCTTGCCATGGCCGATTATACGGAGCTTGAACTCAAGACTTTTGAACTTTCTAGTAGAGATTCTAATTCATCTTTATCCGTGACTTCCCTTGCGTTAATCTCTGGCCTTCCCCCTTTCCAATACCCTCCCGAAGAACTTTACCAGTTGATTAAGTCGAAACAGTTGTGGCTCATATCTCCGGGTATCTGCCGAATACAGATATCGGTATGCCAAGATCATGTATCCATGGCGTCAGAGGAAAGTGATGGTGGATTCCTGGAACATCTAGCCGATGCGATCTGCCAGTGCTCTGTAGGTCAAAAGTCATTGCCGACATTCCTTAGTGCTGTCACTTACATGCGACAATCTAGCTCTGGCCTGTCCTTGGACTCACAATCAAACAAGAGGACATACAATACCAACCCCTGTACGACGGCGCGCCAAACCTCTATTTCATCATCGAGCATTCCCAAAAGTCGTCTCTACTTCTCTCACCTCCACAAAGTCCTACTGCCCGCTTTAATGGGGTAGAATGTCTATTTCGCTATCAATCAAACTATTCCGAAGTTTCCTGTGCCGCCTCCAAACAATATGATATATGCAATACAGATATCGACGGCTCTTCCCCCGAGACTACCATACAACTCGAAGATTTAAGTACCACTAATACTTCCTGCGAAGATGAGATGACAGATAACCACTGGCATAACCTAATGATTGACACAGCAATAACCCGAACTCAGCAACAATGGGATGATGCGGCTTATTTGGCTCAAATGGCCCTACATGTGACCATTGGGATAAGGAAACGCACGCGTGGTTTGCGATTGTTCCAGCTCGATAACAGGCCTTCACTGCTCGAGCTAGCCCCTGCTATTTGGAATGCTCATTACTTTGAGGTCTCATATCCCCCTTTCCGAGAGTCGAGGTTATAACTAACGATAATAACTAGGCGGTGACATCTCATGTAGCTAATTTTCCTATCATTTCGAATATCCTAGCAACTTCTCCTTGGGGCCAGTCATCATCTCTCAGACAGAAGAGCACGAAGCTATTAATAGATGATGCCCGTTCTGAACAACCCGAAGACGGCGAAGAACCAGAGGGAGAATTGAATCTCTATCAGAGATCTGTCCAGCGAAGACTTTGGGGTTTACTACAAACAACATTAAAACCAAGCACTGGTATAAAGAATGTTAATTTAAGCGATAATCCGTGGAAGACCAAATTTACTAATGAAACCTTCGGGTTTAGATTAATGGAAACAGATGGGCTCGGTGAATTCGGAATTGATTCAGCTAATTTGTTTGACGGTACAAGTAGTGATAATACTGTTTTCGATGACTTCCCTGAAGATGGGCGCCTATCGCATGGATTCATGGGATACCGAATCGGGGATGCTAGCGGCGAGTCCGATATAGCGACAGAATATCAGCAGTGGTGGTATAGGAGAGAGGATCTTCATCTAGGAACCACCCACACAACAGAAGAAGCCCAGCCCGAAGACCTCGACAATCACTCAGACCTGAATCACTCGAGTTCCTTTCTAAGCCAACCCTCATCAAGGTCCAGCGAACTGCTCGACGTATCACCTATCTGTCAAAGCTTTTCTAGCGATTTAACGGGACCTATTATTAACGTCGACAATTTACATCCATCTGGCCATTTTCACGTCGAGACTATACATGGCACGTCGAATGAGACCTCACATAAATTAGAAAGTGTTCCTTGGCATGAAGACTATCATACCATGTGGCCAAATGAGGTTGTTATGGGTGATAGTCATTGCCAGGACGAAGATATGGGTTCTCAGGCTCCACAAATGTATGAATATTGACAGAAAATGTAACCAACAAATACACAATAATTAAGGTGCTAGACGCGGCCTGCTGTCATCAAAGCACTTCTAAATTCCACCATCCTGTATCTATCACTCCCTTCTCTCTTCTACACTGGAAATATGGATACCCAGACCATGAAGTTTGAGTCGCCCAATTTTCTGGAAGCTCTCTATCCCCATTCTTGATGTTTTCGTATCTTGGTATATCGTATCCATCGAAAGAACTCCGGAGGTATTCGATCGGGATATGTTGTGGGTAGTGTAATTGCCGAGTTCCAACGACACCCGTAATCCGGCCTTCGTCGTGATTGTTCTTTCGCAGACTATCTTTATCGTGCTGCCGGCGGCTTCGCCCCTGATTTCTTGCTGTCCTTGGGTTCTTTCTTCTTCTTTTGCTCAGGTTTCATAGTCGCGTAGTGTATGTACCAGATGAGTACAGACTGAAGGATCAGCGCGACGAGGATGACAACAAGAATAGTGAAAAGGTACGGCTGGTCGTTTAAAGTGGCAACGGCTGCGTCCGTGGCGCCAATCTTGGCCATGAAACCAAATTGACCCGACATTTTGAATTATATTCGGTGTTGCAACGACTTAAGACTTCGCAAACGGAGTGAGATTTAATTAATCGACTTCAAGCCGGAGGGTTCTCGATACGACGAATGGGAGCGAATGATCAAACGAGAGAAATTAAGCGCTTGTAAGAGAATTATGGTGCACCAGTCACACTTATAATGAAGAAAAGGAGAGGGAAAAGTGATGATAGCTTCACTTTTCTTTTTCTTCGGAATTAGGATAGAAGAGAAGACGAACAACCAGCTGAGTTGGGTAAAAGAGTCTAGAATTAGAATAAGTTGAAGGAGTAAGAGAAACGTAAGCAATCCTACACAGCGTTTTGGTTTTGCGCAGTTATGAGACAAGCGCCCACCTATTGCTTGCGGTCTCGACTGACTGGCAATCGGCGACAATCCCTGTGAAACTCTCGTGTTTCAGACCTGCGGCAAGAATCGACTGATTGGTAATAGCCAATCAAAGACGAAGAAAGAACAGCTCTCCGGACCCACTCTGATGAGGTCTCGAGTGCGATTCGTAAAGGAGTTTCATTCTGGCAATTGCGCCGCAACTCTGGAGAGGAAAGCCGCTACAAATTAGGCTTTCAGGTGAAATAGAGGATTCAGTTGATCATGCCATCTCTGAAGCTTGATCAATCTGTTGTGGAAAGAAGCTCCCCCTTGCTATCCTTAGGTACCAAGGTACTAGCCATTGAAAGATAAACCAATCAAAACGAGGCACTAAATCTGTGTAACCTACGTAATACCGGGGAGTGGGTCTATCGGGGGATTGTAAATCCGAATTAAGTATCGAGATTCTGAAAAATAATTTCGATATGCTTGATATGTACCAATTGAAGGTCCATACTTCCACGCGACAATACACCCCGCACGCCATTGCAGCCATAATTGGGCCGATATTTAGAGGCTGGGGATGCGATGAGCGTAGCAAGACCAGCACGGTGTCTGCTCTCCAGGCGGTTCGCTGTCGTGGCCAAACCAGCAGCACCACCACCGCAATGTCACGCCTCCTTCCATAGCTCGGCGCAGCTCGCCTCGAGGCGAAAACCCCGATTCAAGAGCATACGAGCTGAGGAAATGGGTCTTACCACACCGGAGAAGGTGGAGGAATATGGCAACAAGACGTTTCCCCGTTATACGCCGGAAGAGATGGAGATCTTACAGAAGAAGTACACACCCGAGCAGATGGCAGCCCTAGAAGCCGGTGAAGCGGCTATCGACCCCAGGGATTTGACGATACAAGGTCGAGTACGGAGAGACCCTTATAAATTGCCGTATATGGACGACTTCAGCAAGATCTACCCCATTATCGACAAGCGCCCTAAAATCTACCCTCCCCCAAACCCACGCGCCCGGTTCATGACGGAGGAGGAGGACGCCCTTGACCTGGAGAGGCGCCTTGAGGCATTGATTCCAAAAGACGTGAATTTCGAGGGCATGTCAGCGAATGAGATAAAGGGCATACTAGAGCAGCGCGTCGATTTCCCGATGGAGGAAGCGAAGTACTTTCTCGAGCCCGAGACTATGATGTACACCAACGGTCCGACGAACTCGGCTGTTGCGCCGGCCCTAGGTAAAAAGTTAGCTGGCGTAGCGGGCCTGTACAAGCCGCCGGTCGATCCGGCGGATGAAGGCTTGGACGACCAGGGCATATACCAGCAGGTGAAGCGGCGGACGGGCCTGACCGTTCAGGATATCCTAAACATCAGCACCAAGGTCCTCGTCGTCCGTTACGTCCACAACCAGACGCGTTTAGGCAAGATCCGCAGCACGTGGATATTGGCCATCGCCGGCAACGGCAACGGCCGCCTCGGCGTCGGCGAGGCCAAGTCCGTCGAGCTCGAAGTTGCGAAGCAGAAGGCGAAGCTCCTTGCCATCCAGAACATGCAGCCGATCCGCAGGTATGAGAGTCGGACGATTTACGGCTCGGTGAAGGGCAAGGTCGGCGCGACCATCGTCCAAATCGACGCCCGTCCACCTGGTGAGTTATATATCGAAAGTCTTTTTTTACTGTATGCTACCTAAACGTGGCGCGCGCTAACGTCTCCCGAAGGATTTGGCCTGCGCGCCTCCCATCGTCTCTTCGAGATCTTCCGCGCCGTGGGCATCAAAGACATAGCGGCCAAGATGCCGCGGTCAAGAAACCCAATGAACTCTGTCAAGGCCTGCGTACAGGCTCTGCTAAGCCAGAAGGATCCCGAGGAGCTCGCTCTTGGTAGGGGAAAGAAGTTGGTGGACGTGCGGAAGGTGTACTACGGCGGAAACGTGCATTGATACACCACCTAGCCGGCCAACTTAAGTGTATAAATATTATGCGGGTGAAAAGCCTACATTGATATAAATGAAGTTAAGAAGTTAAAATAAGCCAACTTAAGTGTAGCGCGTGCATCTGGTTTATTGATTTGGGTATCTCGTGCGATATGCTACGTAGCCACGCCGCCTCCGCCGAGCGCTCATTCATCATTTTTAGGCGCATGTTCTCTGATGACATAATGGTCGTGGTCAAGATATCCATCCCTTTCAGGCCGGTAAGACCTGATTACCGTAGACTCAAGCAAGGAATGCTTCTTCTCGCAGCTTCAACTGCTTAGAGACACCTTAAGTTAACATGCGCCGCGATTCCTGTCAATTGACAACGCGATACCCTAGTTGCCACGCCACGAATCAAAACGCCGAAAGCATGCGGCGCAAATTTCATCTTGCCTCTGCTATCGTTCGACGCTCGCTCAACCCCTGGCCTGATCGCCCCAATCGATTTCCTGCTGCAGCACGATGCTGTAGACGCTGGCCTTGAGCAGCGTGAATACTAAGCTCGTCTTGCGCTCGAGCTCGCGCAGGCCGTCGAGGATCTCGGTGGTCGGCTGCCCGGCCATGGTGTCGAGGACGCCGGCGAGCTGTGTTCACGTTAACAACCAAGTGTCAGCTCAGCTCGGAGTCTCGTGCCACTCTAGTGCCAATAAGGGAAAATGGAAAAGAGAACTCAATGGAAACATGACGGAGGAAGGAAATTGCGGTGGCGTGTTGCGTATATGCGCGTGTATATGTAGGTGATATAAGCTGACGCATGACCGCGATAATGGCTATATTATAATGAACATAGGAAAGATGACGCACGGCCTACCTTCTTCATGTTCTCGGCGAGCCGCTCGTATTCCTCGAGGACCTCCTGCTCCAGCGGTGAGAGCTCGGGCGGAGATAGTAGGGGATTTTGCGCCTGACTTTCCATCGCGAGATGATTATGGTGGTAGTTGAACTGGAAAACACGCAATGAAGTTGCACGTGTTTTTGAAAACGCGTGTTATTCACGAGGGGTCGTTTTCTTCGTGTAACACTCAGATATTAAGCTGAAATTCCCCCGCCAGTGACGTTAAGTTGCGCTTGCAGCACAAATAGTTTGGTGCGGTACGTAAAGTATGTACATATGCACCTAGCCTGATCAGGTAAGGCAACCCCGTACCCGGGAAGTGGATCAGGAACCCATAATCGGCGATAAGATAAAAATAGCCAATCGCGTGTCATAGTTTCGTAAGGGCAGGACCGAAATGGCTTTTTAGGATTTTAGAAGTCCCTTCGTATATCCGAGGCACGTCCTTCAGAAGGTCAACCCCAGAATTGGACATCTCACCGAGCCTCTCTTCTCATCAAACATCTTCAGTCTTTGTGTGAGCAATGCGCCGCATTTCCGAGTCGTCGACTGTTAGTCCGAACTCCGACGGCTGAAACATAGCAGGACACAAATAACAATGGATTGTAACTTATTCTCGTGTCGTCCGTTTGCGTCGGCCGATCGAATCTCGGTAGGGCTCATTGGCTCATGACTTATAGGAAAGACTGTTAAGAGAACAACCTTACCCTAACATCCATTTTTACTACCACTTGCCAGCATGTCTGCCAACTAGTAGACTTTATAGTCCAAGCCCCAAAATACTGCCAGGGACTTGATGGGTTTCATTAGATCATCGTCCACTAAGTTGATCATCAAAGTATCCTACACTAGCTCGGCCACGTCTGCCCAATCTGTCAGTTCGGTTTCCGACCTACCGAGTCTCGGCCGGTGCTCAGATGACCTGCCCAACGCCGCCTTTTCCTTACACGAGAGGATGCTTTTAGGATCCCATTTTGAATTCAGTAGACTGCCTGCTCTTTTCTTCGCCTGCCACTTTCTGGCCCCCATTTCGACTCACTTTTTTTTTTCAGCTACGCATGAAGTTGCCTTGCCCAAAGCTCAGCTCGTAGTATTTCTTCTTTAGTTTTTGAGATTTTCAAAATCCCATCACACTGTTCAGTCTAATTTTACGGCGAGAGACACAGCCGATGCGGAGGAAAGCCATGGTAGAACTTGAAACTACAGTTGCTATTGAATTTCCGCAATTCCCAAAGCTTCCAGCCGAGCTAAGGCTTCTAATCTGGCAGTTTGCTCTTCCCCACCGAGTTTTCGAGATCCGAAGGGAGACGGTGTCTATTAGGCAGGACGGCGAGGCGGACGTTACCAAGGAACTGGATCACGACGCTTGGCGCGTCCGTAGCTCAGACCTAGTGGCCGTGCTGTTAGCCCCGCCAGCCATACGTTCGGTATGTCGCGAGGCAAGGAGATTCGCTTCGCGGACTGGATCGTGGAAATGTGTTGGGAGTCGTCCTCGTGGTACCGGTCGAGTTATTAGGTTAGCGACATGGTTCGACTCTTCGACCGATACGCTCTGTTTCGATGACTCGGCCATTCAGAACGTCCCGGTGGAGACTACGGAACGAAATGGCCTCTCGATACCACACGTCACCAACCCTGCCGTGACGAGATTCTACTTCGCCAGTTCTCCGTCGAGTCCCATCTGTATAAGCCTCGCAGCATTAGCGGGGGCTTCGGGGAAGTTCTTTGTGGAGCAGTGGAAACGTAAGCGAGGCTTCTGGTCCGGCGTGCCGCATTACCAGTTCTACCACGATAGCATACTGATGCATCTGGGTAGATCTCCCAAGGTGCATGAGATATTTGGGAAGGGCACAGATATGTGTCATACCCTTCTAGTTGATGCTCAAGATCGTGGGAAACTTCGACAACTAAGAAAGTTGTACGTGGAGGAATCCGATCCAGCCTTCTTCCAGGTCAGTACCCCGGGCTTTTCATCCCTTTTTTAGTCAGGGAGTAGTCCTCTCGAAATTCGACTTTGAAGTGTTTGCCACCTGTCCAATTCCCACCCTCTCAAAGCAACCGACATTTTGAATCACTGAAAAGAACAGATACTGACACGTAAAGGTAACAGAGGAGAGTTGCAGACTGGCTCGAAGATATTATAAACCCAGAAGAAGGATACGTTCAGCAGTGTTTCAAAGACCTGAAGGATCTTTGGCTTAAAGGGCAAGAAGATGTGCCATCCTCGGCTCTAGTACTCTCACCAGATCGGGCAAACATTCAGATGAGGTCCCTGATCGAACCCGGTGCCGTACTTCACACGATACAGAAATTTGACCACGCCCACGACTGGTGTAAGGAGACCGTGAAGGCGATGCCGGACATGCAGCTCGTAGTCCATTTTCGATTGTGTATCACAAACCATGATCATGAGCGTGACCAGAAGACTAAGAGCCTTGAGAATTAAATGTTAATAGGGAGAGCAATCCGCCCCTGAATCTTGTATATACATTTAAGCTAAATATAACATGTTACATAATGCCTGCTCGTCGCAATGCATGTCTGTGTCTCTAAACCGTGTTCCCACGTCTCACATTCGTCGCCCAGTTAGGCGGCCTACCCTTCTTGAGCTTATAGATCCGGAAGACAGCCTTACACGCGCCCATCCATCCAAGCTGTTCCCTGCGCCACTTCTTCTTCCCGGCGTTCTTAAACATCTTCTCCACCATCATACCCGGCGGCTCATCCCACTCCTCTAATCCATATCCATCATCAGACTCGCACTCCACCATCCCAGGCCCCACGCCCGTCCCATCCATCCTAGTCCGCACCCTCCTCCTCGCCAACCCCGGCGCCCCCGCCCTCCCCTCAAACTCCGGCATCGAAATCCCCTCTTCTTCCTCCTCATCATGCTTCTCCTCCCCCGCCGCGCTGCCGTTACTACTACTGCTAGCGACCTCGATCCAAACCTCGGCCTTGCGAATCGAGTCCGCGTAGATGATGATTATCGCGATAACGACTAACGGGATGGACACGGCCCAGAAGACGAAGAACTGGCTCCCGCCCGGGTTGAACGGGTCGCTCATCGACAGGATGCTGGATACGATGGACAAGGGCAGGAGGATCCCGCCCATGTAGGATACCCGGTCCAGGCTCTGCTGGTTCTGCTCCGAGGCGACGGGGGAGCGGTGGGAGGTCTGCGGCGGTAGGCCGGTGGCGGCGAATTGGGCGCGGGGGTTGGACGCTGAGGATGACGGGGAAGGGGATGTGGGTATGCTTTGTGTGGTGGTGATGGTGGTGGGAGGCAGGTTGAGGTAGCTGAGTAGGCTGACGCGCCGGCTCAGGCGCGAGAGGAGAGATTCCCAGGCCGGTGCGGCGGATGATTTGACGTAGCTGCCTTCGGGCGCCTTGTCGCGGAATTCGGATTGGCTTAGGTTTCGCTCGAGGCTGTTCTGTACCTGCCGGTATAAAGAGCCCGTTTCAGATGAGTTGAAGGGGAGGTCCGCGGCAGGCAGCGCTTCGAAGAACTCGATCCACTGGTGTATGGCGATGTCTTCGATAAGCGTCGGCTGGTCTATGGACACGTGCTCGTCGATTTCTTCCATTAGGCTTTGGTATAGAAGGGTCTCCAAGCTCGAAATCTCATCCCTATCGCTGCTAGTGTGTTCGCTGTGTAGCGTATCGCTACCGACGCTGCTTCCCTTCGCCTTTCCGGCGTCGGGGATCAGGGAGGTGTTGACCGGCCCTGATGAGGGATAGGCTGCTTTGCGGAACTCGGAGGAGGGTCGTGTCCACGTTGGGCGGTCTAGGAGCAGAACTAGGGTCAAGTAAGTACTTAGATTCATGATGGTGATAAGCATATATAGACGGCTTACCATCTGCCTTAGAACCTAACCAAACCGAAGCACGGCAGAACATGACACATCCCCCATCGTTCGATATCACGTGTGTAGGCGCTTCGCTAACGATATCACCGCCAGCACCAGCCCTCGGCACATCCAAAGAAGTCTGCCTGCCGGTAGTAGTAGTCGTCGTCGTTGCCATCCTCCTCGCCGACGTCAACAGCTCCGGGTACTCGAAGCAAGCGTACTTAGCTTTCTTAGCCGAAGCGTCGCTCATATCACCGGCTCTACGCATACTCCGTTTGATTAGCGGCGTATAAGCCCGCCTCGCCACGTGTGCCTCGAGGAAGCGCACGTCGACGCCGAGCTCGTCTCGCAGAACCGGCAGGTACTCCGCGGGCAAGCCTTGGATGACGAATACGCGACGCCCTCGGATCCGCGCGTCTTCTTCCCCTTGGAAAATGCTCGCGCGCAGCTCCTCCGCGCCGCTGATGCGCTTCCGAACGCAGCCCCGTTGCTGGTCCGTCCAATCCAGCACGTAAGCCGGGCCGAGCAGGTCGAGCTGCTGCTGTTCTAAGCTGATATCCGGCGGCGGTATCTTCGCGATAGCGCGGTCGGACTCCGTGTGAGATATCGGCATGGTAAGGGTATGGCCGCTAATGCGTCCCGGAGGCGCTCTTGGCACATCCTTCTCGCGGGTATTCGGATGCGCCATGGTGGGCTGGATCAAACCACGTCATGTAGAGCGCGTTTCATCAAAGTTCGCGTCCTCGGGGAGGACAGGAAGTAACTTTCTAAATTTGCCTAGTATCTTTATGCCCAGTTCCTAGGTAATCACGATGCCATAGTCGCTAATCGCTATCGCCAATAATAGCGCCAGCTGTAAACTCGGATACTGGATACTGGATATTATGAAATAATTCGCGGTTCCGAGAGTGTTCTTGCGCGCAAGTACACTATGTAAAAGCCAAAATCTCTGCGTATCCTAGGATGACGATCCTACACGAGTTTTGGGAAGGCGCCCCCAGAACGGTACAAGACTAAGGCGAGTCCTAATAAAAGTAATAGCTAGGTAGGATATGGTCGTTTGTCCTCCAACAGCTAAAAGAAGAACGTCTAATTTTATGAGATTTACCTCGGAACGAACCGAATATAAGCGACCTAGATCAGTTTTCGGCTTAGGAAATGTCAGGACGTAGGACAAATGTCTATTATAGAAAAAGGCCGCCAGCCTCGTGTTGGAAAGGAGGTCACAGGGTTGAATGACCCAATACAACCCTCCGCGGCAAAGGTCATCCGATCAGCATGGTGTCAGCCGCAAGCCGCATCACGATCCCCAGTCCCGGGGTTGAACGTTTTAACTATCTGTATATTTTGTATCAATTTACATAGAGGTACGTACATAGTAGATTTGGCATGTTCGCCTTTGCTTTTTTTCGGTTTAATACATCAGACGCCGTGTAACATGGGAAAGGGGTGAGAGGAGGGCAATTAATTTAATAAACCAAGGGGCAGAGAATCAGAAGATACATCCAACGACGAAGCACGGGATAAAAGTAGCCGGGTGGAAAGGCGAAAAGGCATACAGCTCAGCTAACTAGTTAATGAATGCTATGTCAATCAGGCAAGCAGCGTGGGCCGTTTCAAGTCTTTTTAAGACAACAACATCGACGATAAGCAAGCCTTATTTGCAATGGTCATACAAGCCACTTTACTAATCCGCGGTCCCTTTTCTGATCTCTCGCCCGAAACTCCACATACCGAATAACGCCGTACATATGAATGCTTGATGCCGCCATAGCCCCTTTCCCTCTTGTGCTCAGTCCTGGTCGCAATCTTTAACATGAAAGGTGGTGGAGGAATCTCGTCAATAAATGCTGATATGGGTTTTTTTTCTTTGCTTTCAAGGTTCATAGTACAATTCATCAGTAATCCATCAATCAATGCTGATAACAAAACCATACAACTCGATGGTCGTAAGCTTGGTAGAAAGAACAGTTCTACTGCTAAGCGCTAAGTCGATGTAAGGCAGAGAATCGCTGTATAGATCGAGGTGTACTTCTCAACAATCACCTGTCGCTGTCATAATCATCGCCCTCGTGGTGTAATGTTATACTGTTGAATTCTTCAAAAGGATCGACAGTCTCGTTACCAGGTGTCGCAAGCTCGCTGTCCAATGGAACACCTTTGGAGAATGCCAACTGCCTTGAACCAGTGATATCGACGCTCTCACTCTCCTTGACGTTTCTAAAATTGACCGTGTCGACCCCGCGACCCGCATGCGGAACTATTGGTGGCTTCATATGTCGAATAAGGGCCCACTGAGTTGTCCGGAAGAAAGGATGGCCCTTGATATCGGAAGCTCCGGCCCTCGCACCCAATCTCCTCGTCTCATCCTTGATTAGCAATTTCCGTATTAACGACTTGCAAAGACTAATTGACGGTTAGTATAAGCACGGTAAAACAACTCCTCGGTCTAAACATACTGTGAAATTTGGGGTGCTCCGGAGTGCTCCGGAAACGGTATCTCTTCTCGAAGAATGTTGGCAAAAGTCGCATTACGATTCTTTCCCTTGAAGGGCGTGGTGCCGTATAGCATCTCGTATATCAAGATACCGAGGGTCCACCAATCGACGGCACTTGTGTGCCCGCTGCCCTTGATGACTTCTGGAGCGATATATTCCTCAGTACCCACAAACGAGTTCGTTCTGAAGTTGGCGATACACGATTTCGTATCTATCGTAGGGAGCGACGAGGTACTTGCACCATTCTTTCCCATAATCATGGTAGGCTTACCGCCGGGATCCGACTGTTTCGAGAGGTCAAAATCAGAAAGCATAATGTGTCCTGATTGGTGAAGCAAGATATCTGTAGAGTATATTAGCACGGCTCGTGTAAGAATAAGAGACAAACATACTCTCTGGCTTCAGGTCCCTATATATGAATCCCATCAAGTGAAGGTATTCTAGAGCTGCCGTGACCTCGGCAGCATAAAAGCGAGCATCGTCTTCGGGGATACATTTGCCTGGGCGGGTCTGTAATGCTCGGAAGAATTCCCCACCGCTACAATATTCCATACACAGGTATAGATGATCTTCGGATTGGAAAGAGTGGTATAGGGTTACGATAAAAGGGTGGTTACTCGTCGCCAAGATTTCCTGCTCGGCCAATGCCCTCTTGATCTTGTTACGTTTGATCATCTCCTTCTTGCTCAGAACTGCTTGGGTAAGTATAAATCTATAAATATCCAGAGAAGATGTTTACCTTTCATAGCATAGAGTCTAGAACTCTTCTTCTCCCTTACGAGGTAAACCTTTCCAACGTCACCCTTTCCAATGAGCTTAATCTTGTCGAAACTGGCGGGGCTGACCTCTACGGTGCGGACTTTGATCGAGTTGGAGCTGTACGTCCTACGAAACGCTAGGGAATTGGGGTTTGGCGGCGGAGGAAGCGCTCCGAGGCCATCATTCTCAGGTACGGCAAGCGTTCCGGCCTCGGCGAGTGCGGCTTTGGCATCGATGAACCCTAAAGAGGCAGCATTTGTTCCCTGGATTAAGGGTTCTTTTCCCAGCTCTGCAGTGGCCGGCCTCTCTCCGCTGCCCTTCCCTTGGTTAAAGAGGCCCTGAGCATTAGGGGCACTCGCAACTCTCCGCAATTTCCTCGCCAGCTCTTCCTTCGTAGCATTTGTGGCTTGCTCCTTTGCGCCGTCGGGACCGTGGATCTTTAAACTAGGAGTGTCGGGAGGACTCGGCGGCACGGAGCCTTCGTTATGATGTCGGAGTCCGGGTTGGCCCTGATGGGCGAAATATGGATTCGCATGGGCAGTGGGGCTGAGAGCGTCGTCTAGGGGATTTCCCTCGCTCGCGGTGGTAGTCGACCTAATTCTACCGACATTGGTAAAAAATTTCCTGGACTGACGAAAGCCAACTTTGCCCTCCGATTTCAAGGCATGGTCGAGGTTCTTCTCCTTATCTCCATTGGTATTAGAAGTGTTTATCCGGAAGAAATTCTTCAACTTTTGGTTGAAATGGCTGTTATGGCTATTGGTGCCGGCAGAGGTGGGTGACTTGATGGGCATGTTGTCGGTGGTGTGAGCGGTGTTGTTGGTATTGTCGCCTAGGCTGGGGTCCCTTAGGTCAACATTCGGATGATGCCATGATGTAAACCGCTTTCTGATTCTAAAATGAGGGCCTCGTCGATTGACGGATGTTGCAACGGATGTTGTTGGTGAGGGAGGATTGTTAGTATTTGGGGATGGATGATTGAGGTTGGAATGGTGTTCAATTGACTCGTCGGACCCCATGTCGGCGGTAGCGCGGCGGCAGCAACCCAGCTTCTACCTATCGTATGGCGGCTGGATCTGCCCAACTGGGACTGGTGCTAGGATGGTCTCGGGGGGGCAGGGCAAACTAATCGCACTATGCTCACTTGGTATGGCCTTCGGTCACTGGAAGCGAGGGGCTAAAGGGGCCGGGTCTGGGTGATTTTGAGTGGGCTTAGTCCCACTTTGGGATACGTTGCGTCCAGTTCCCTCTGATTTGGTCTAGGTTTGGTTGCTTGCTAATCAAGGTCCAGTAGACACTACTGCCCGTCCCATCAAGCTCGGGAACATGGGGTCTCTTAGATCGTAAATGTGCCAATACTCCCGACCCAAATCTCTTCTTCAAACTTTCCCACTTGCCACCTGTCGCAGTAATACGAAGAAAGCTTTCCGAAGGGCTTTTTCGGGTGCGTATGTGTGTATGAAGGTATGTATGTATGGATGAATCATGAATGAACGAATAGACGAATAAAATGTACTGGACGTTTGGTAGAAACAGGCAATCAGGTTCCGCAAGTTCCCAGGGTCTAGCAAGTGTGTTTTCCGATTGTTGCGGATGCGCTAATAAAGCACGAGCCTGCGTCGTACGCGACAAGTCTAGACGCTCCTAGCTAGAACTGATCGGTCCGCATGAACATTGGTTGGAGTGAGTTCATGGGTGATTCAGGAATTAATCCGTCCAAGCAAAATGCCCAGCCCAGGTAAGTCCCAGGTAAAGGGGTTAACAAGCGGAATGGGAATAAGGAAACTTTAGATTAACAGAAGGAAATCGAATTTAGGAATGACGAATACTTCTGAAGTTGAAGGGATGCGATTTCCCTTCTGATGGATTTGAATGATTATGATTAGAAAGATTTCAAAGTTCGGGCTTAAGAAACGCCTTTAGTTCTCCAGGGGCTTACTTGCCTCAAATGGATCTTAGCAGGTACTACATCTATATGTACAGGGCTGCTGTGCTGTAAATGCATATACAGTGCATAGCCCTGTGTTCGAGGACCTTCAGGGCTCTTTCCAGATGCAATGCCACCCGTTATTCCCTATTTCCGTATTTATAGCTACTACTACTACATATATACATACGTAGGTACCTCCATATTCAATTAATTATCGATAATTGGTACAATTCACTTTGCCATATACATACATATGTATATATCCTATAGGTAATACATGGAATGAAAGTGAAATTGCTAGTTGTTTGCTATTGTCATCTTCTGATATCCTATTAAAAGACATTCATTCATACGTAACTATGTACCAATAGTAGAATAAACGGGCTCCAACAATGCTACCTTGCCGAGTCAATGCCGGCTATGTTCATTACGTCATAAGGTGAAACTGTCAAATCCTAAGGGCTGGATGTCCGTTATTAGGAGTCCAGTGAGGAGACGTTAGGGGCGGTTGAGAGGGGCCGGGATCCAAATTGATTGGTCAGCCGCCGGCACTTCACGCCTTTGGTCTCTAACAACTTTAGCTTTGTAACGCATTGCATTTTTAATAAGAGTCAATGCGGCACACGCATCTATGTACCTTGACTGCTTTCGAGGTATCATACAACAGTCACAATAGAAGCATCTCAAAGCCAAAGGAATTGCCGGTCATATGCCGAGATATCTTTTGGGAAACGTTCATTCCTAAATTCATCTTCAACGAAATAAAAGGCGAGCCAAAATTGATAGGTAGGTACCTGGTTTGTATTAAGAGGTACGTGGCCACGCGACTTATCCTTTCAAAGCCATGCTCTGAGACCTGGCCAATAAAGCCAACGGCGAGCCGTTGAACTTAATGAAACTGCGGCTCGGCACGGAGTAAGCCAATAAGGCCGAGTCGAGTCTATCGAGGCATACAAAGGTTCAACTGCTTTGATTGTTGTGGTTCAGGAAATTCCCAGTGTCTGCTTTGTATATTCCTCTTCGAATGGAGCATTTTCCTCCTGTTGAATAAGAAGCTGCTTCAATTTCCGCTTCCTTTCCTTGTACTGATGGTCATCCTCGAATTGCTGCTCCTTGACTGACGGCGTAACCTGTTTGCCATCTTTGTCAAAAAGGTATTTCGGGAGTCCATCAGAATTGCGCTTTAGTGCTGAGATGCCGTCATTTTGGTAACCCTCTCCCATGTGCCACACAAGCGACCTAAAGTGTGCTTTCTCCATATGCTCGTCGAACCACGGATTTGCAGGGAACTCAATGGGGTTCTTCCTTGCTCCGCATCTTCCCCATCGGCAAGCCAGCGGCTCCTCCTCCCCATGAACGAGATCGATATGTTTGCGTAGCGCTTTCATGTTTTGTAGTTCTGCCGGACACGTTCTGCTTGGTGAATATCGCCATTCACATAAAAAGGGTAAGTATTGAGCGTTGGCCCGCAGGTACTGTTCCCTAGCCGATGGTAGAAGGGTGCGCGGAGGTCTCCCGCGCCGCTTCGCTTCTTTGGACTGGGTTTTCTTAGGCTCGGTAGGCTTTGCGCTTTCTCCGCCGCCTCCTTTGACATCTACATAGGCCATCCCGGGTTTCCAGCCCCTCGGTCTGCCTCTCTTCTTGGGTTGAGGACTGGTACCTCCAATCTCATTTTCTGCGGAAGGCAGAGAGCCAGATGTTATTTTCCCAGGAGTAATCGATGCTAGTCCCGATCGCACCTCCCGGCTTTTATCCTTGGGCGGCCTTCCTCGTCGAGGTTGAGACGGTGAAGGTGATGAAGTAGATCGGATATGTACGGCTAATTTTGTGTGCTGTGATGGCGATAATGCTATAGTTGTAGTTGAACCTTGAACCTTCGGTTCTGTGGTCGGACTTTGTTGTGATTGAGATGATGGATGTGATAGTAATGTCTTAGGGCCGCTATTAATGCGTGGTTGAAAGATGTCTGAAATAATAGGGGGAACAGTGGAACTTCTCCCAGCTTCTTTGAGATCATCAGGAACATTGCTGGCATTGGCGGCATTGGCGGTATTGGCTTGGTGGGTAGCCCCTGCCTCAGCCCGCTCCGCCACATTGTTATCAGCCATCGCGATCCCAGGTTTCCTCTATTGCCGTATATGAGTAAATATCCTTATTCTTTATTCCTCATTGCTGATGTTTAGTGACTAGAACTAGAGTGCTTCATAATCAAAACTTACAGTATTGATTCTTCCCCATATTCTTCAAAATATAAGACGTATAAAAGCCAGGCATTCAGGTGAGGCTCAGACGCGTCTTAACCGAGCCGGATTGCACGAAGTGCCCGTAACAAAAGTTTAGTGGGGACTGTATTCAGTAGTAACAACTAACGGCCAGGTGGGCTTTGTGGCCATGGCTCCTACATACATGGCTGTACCTAGGTACTACTAGCTAGATAGGTACATAGTACTATGTACATTCAAGCCCTCCCTCACTTAGGTAGGTAGGTAGTTACTGATGCTGCGCGTCACCACTCTTGAGGAACCAAGACGTTTGCATGCTATTTGATCGGTAGAGGATTGCGACATCTGCTAGAATTTGTCATCAGAACTCCAACTATCCTATTTGAACGTAGAATTAATAATCGATATCGCAATATACCCCCTCCTAGGAAGCTTTATAATTGTCGTCTAACCTTCGTTAGAACTGTCTCTAGATATTATAAGTGAGCTTCAATAGCCCGTCTAAATCATAAGGACATCTTCCTCCAAGAGCAACCCAGCTAGTCTAAACTTCTACTTAGTGTTCCCAAAAATATCTACGTCTTTCGCAAAGCAATTTAGCACAATGTCTTCTAAATTCTTCGCCGTCGTTGCTGGTGCTGGCCCCGGCACTGGCAGAGCCTGCGCTATCCGATTCGCCAAGTCATATCCCGTAGTGCTCTTAACTCGCAAGCCCGAGTCGTACCAAGATACCGTTGCCGAGATCAACAACTCTGGCGGTAAAGCCATTGGCATCAGCGCAGACACCTCGGATGTCAAGTCGTTAAACGCAGCATTCGAGAAGATCGCCAAGGAGCTGCCTGGTTCAAAACTCGCCGCGGCCATCTACAATGTTGGCGCTGGCTTTCAGAGGAAGCCATTCCTCGAGTTGAGTGCCGAAGATTTCGATGTCGCAGTTGGCGGTAATGCGTATGTTTCCGAATGTCCAACGTGCTTTGTTCATCTGGGTTAAACGTTTTAACAGGCGAGGCCTCTTCAATTTCGCCCAGAAGACCCTACCATTGCTTCTAGAATCTGTTTCCGACTCTGAACACCCGCCCACGTTGCTCATCACGGGTGCTACGGCTTCTGTCAGAGGTTCGTATATGTTCTCCACGATGGCAGCCAGCATGTTTGCTCGACGAGCCCTCGGTCAGTCTCTGGCACGGGAGTTCGGACCTAAAGGAGTACATGTGGCACACGCTATCATCGACGGTGTCATTGATATCCCGAGGACGAGCCACTACAATGTCAACAACGGCGTCGAGGATAGCAAGTTAAGAGCCGATGCGGTTAGTATTCGAACAATCCGAAGCCGTATTACAATGTTGACTAGAAAAACTAGATTGCCGAGAGCTACTGGAATTTACACACTCAGCACCGTTCTGCATTTACCCAAGAAGTCGACATGCGACCTTATGTTGAGAAGTGGTGAGAGGAGACCAGGGACACAATTGGCTCCTTCTGAAACAACCTGGGCTTTCTCAATATCCATGACCATGCTCACAAATCGCAATGACTTGAGCTCGTGCATATAGCTTCATGAATAAGAGGGCATGCCTAACGGCTAGAAAACTGATCGCTCGGTTTGCCTAGGCCTTGTCTTTCTTTGTAGAGTTATAAGAACGGATATCATAAAATCTTACTGCAATGAATTGAATGATGTTAATACGTCGTATTAACCGTAATGCGGGCGACGAAGGTACAGCATCTGAAAGAATGAATGATGGAGTATATCTCGAATTTGTTTCCGATTAGTACAATCTTTAGAATCCTAAGCTGGTAGACTAAACCCGTCAATTCCATGGCGAATTTGTGTTGTCTCGCATGGTCCAGAAGACTAACAGTAGCTCAACCCTATACGAGTTTGCTCTGGCCTAAACGTAACGGCATCATCAAGCTGTCGATATGTCGTTATCCTTGACGCGTCGCTTGTATTGAGTATCCATCTTTATGATGGAAACTCTACTGGTTGACCCAGACTTTTTTGGTTTTAGCTTTATTACCCCATGGTGTTGGAGGTAAGAACTTCAAGCGCCCGCAGTCACGGGAGTACCATCTCCGGTATCCGGAGGTTGGTGTGAATCGGCAGAGTAACCCGCGGCCGCAGCTAAACGGTCCGCTTCCTTCTTGTCTCGGATGGCCTGTGTCTCTTGCCTTAGCCTTTCTAGATTCCAAGCGCCGTCGTCTTCCTCATCCTCGTCTTCTTCTTCTTCTTCGGAGTCTTCTCCGTATCTCCAGTTACCACTTTCGAATAGAGCACGTCCGGTCGACTCCTTAGCTTGTCGAGCTTGTTCTTCGGCGGCCTTCTTGTCTAACCGGTCCTTCTTCCACTTGGCGAATGTCTCTGGGGTGACAGGTGTGAGCGTTCCCGTCAACTTGTGCCGCTCCGATTCTAAGAAGTCTTCAAGAGTCAAAGTCTTGAGCGGCGACTTGTCCATGAGAGCTTTCTCAGCTGCGCGCTGCTCTTTGGTCTTGAGTACGAAACTATGTTGACAAAGTTAGATAAACCACGCGATGCGTTTTGAGTTAGGGATAACATTGCGGGGCCAACTTACCCCGGTGGAAGTGCGTGCTTGTATTTGCACTTGTTGCCGTCATTGGGACATGTCCAGAACCAACCGTATTTCCCGTCTTCGATTGCCTCGATGAAGTATTTGCAAACTTTGTCGGTAGTGGTGACTTGGTTGCCCTTCTTAGAAAGAATCACCTTTTTTAACTTCTCCTCGTCCCAGTCTGCAGACGTCTCCTGCTTTTTCTTTTCCTCTTCGTCAGCCCGACCGTCGGTGTACAGATTCTTCTTTTCGGTCTTTCGTTCAACCGAGAGGTCGTGTGCGAACTTGCACTTCTTCCCCTTTTCGCAATTGCCCTTCTTGAAGAATATACAGACAACGGTTTTGGGATCGACACCGAAAGGGACTTTCTGTATCTGGGCTGGTTTGTTGAGAAGTGCTTCGGTCTCCCGCTTGGCGTCCTCGGCAGCCTTCTTCTCTCGGGCGCGAGCTTCCTTCTCTGCTTGCTTCTTCTTCTCTTCCGCGCTACCTCCAGCTTTGGCCGTCGCCTGAATCTGCTTGATATGTTTTTGGGCAACCGAACCCTTCTTGTTTTTCATACCAAATGTCTTGTCTTCGGCAACCTTTGTGGCAGAAGGTTTCTTGCCTTTGACATCATCTTTCTTCTTTGGAGGCATACTGACTGGCAGTAACCCAGAGGGTTGAGAACTCGGAAATGGGCTATGGGTTTTCGAAATGTGGGAATAGAGACTTCACTAGAAATTGCCTAGGGGTTAGTCGGTCAATTGGAGAAGAGAGTTGAGCCGCTGCTAGGTTATAGCGAGGCGTTTCTACATAGTAGGAACAAATTGGTAAAAGAGGGCAATCGTAATTGAACTTCACTAAATGAGACAGTATGTATTAGTGGGTTGGTGGGCTATAATACTAGCGGGGAAAATCTAAGAACCAATCATTGATGGGATAGGCATGCGGATTCTGAGACTACGTCACATGATCAAAGATGTGGCACCTTCCAGCAACTGGAAGAAACAAGACTTAGCCACATGGATGTCATTGGGTGTACCTGCCAATGTACCTGGGTACCCACCTTCGCCAAGGCCAAGTACCGTCGTACTGACTTACGTTGTCCCTCTGTACGTAACCGTGAAGCTGTTTGAATTGAGAAGCTCCAAGCTGGCCTCAATCATTCGACATGGGAATAAAAGTGTAAATAAATTCACCTACATCACATCGCATTATCGCCAACACGATACCACACTTCCACGTTCGTTTCTGTCCCTATTCTCACGAGACATCAGTGACGAAGCACTTCGTCGCAAATTTACAACGTGCGTCTCACGCAACCTTGAAGCTAGCAATGACAAATAATTAACATCCTATGTTAGGTTAACTCTCCGAAACATCGAGCAGACAATTTCGAAGCGCACCATTCACCATGATTTCTGACGACGACCTGTATACCCTCGCCCTATTCCTTGGCTCGGTGGCCGTGGTTCTCATCGTTCTGTACCACTTCTTCGAAGTCAATTCGCGCGAGGATGAGGTGCCGATTACCACCGAGAAGGGCGCAAAACCTCCCGGCGCGTCAAAGTGAGAACAACAACAAACTGGACCAAGGGCTTATGGATATATCCTGGACTTGGCCGTGCACAAGATGAGGAAGGCTCTCTTGATACTTGGTGGCGGGCCTACGTACGATTTGGGAGGGCACTCAGATACATGTCACGTACCTAGGTTATTTGGGACTCGACTCCATGACAATGCTTCTGATCAAAATCGGAGACAATCTATTTGATCAGTTGGACTTGGCATACATGATTTCGGGGGATTTCAACAGGTGGACCAATGCAGGTTGCGTCAGAGGACTTCCTGTACCTGTATCAATGATTTATGTGTATAGCTCCATGGTTATATGAAGATCAAACTGAGCAAAGTTGATTTGCTATCAACACCAATCATTATCATACGTGTGAACCATGTGTATTTACCGATAAGTATTAAAACATGGTTAGGTGCATACTTAGACAAAGCATATGTAGGGTACTTATATATACCTAACTCAGGTAGGTATCCATTAATCAGACCCGGATCATAACCATTTCTTCGATATGTATGCAGTGTAGGCGTTGCAAGAGAATCAGTTTAAGCAGGACTCTACACTAATGTGCAGCTGGTGAGCCTTCTGTGAGTCTAATCCAAATCAGGTAGTTTCGCGCCACGTAATGTGGGGACGACAATAGGCTCCACTCGACGGGGTCTTAGTGGCTGACTAGGCGACTCATTGTTTTCCAACGGTCCTCCCTCCCTCGCGCTGCTTTCTTATTTGATTTCCTTTCAAACACGACTCAACTTCAATCCATCTTCTCTCCAACTTTACCGAGAGATTCACAAAGTCGTCTTATTCTTTTACCAGCACTTCATCGCAAAGGAGACAACGTCGATAAAGTTCTTTTTAATATTATCATTTTATTCTCTATCGGCTGCATCCAACTTCGTCAGCCATCCATATTATCATCATTCATATCGGCTTGCCAACCAGCCGAATTACTTTGACAATATTTTATCAGCGCTTCTACCACTGTACCCAAACATTCCGCCACCTTCTCCATCTTCCATCGCGCGTACTTCTAATTAAAAATCCTCAGCACCGCGAAATTGTAAAGGTTTCATTTTCGCTGCTGCAAGATACTGCCGCCCTCGTACGCTCTTGCGCCCATTCAAACACACCACCCGTTGGGCCGAATAGCCTGATCATTCAACACGCGTATTCGCTGTGCTATTTTCACACGCTTCGCACAACAACTTCTATTTAAAACCATAATCAACAGCCATCAAAATGTCCGGAAAGCTCGACCAGTCTCTTGACGAAATCGTCTCAACCCAACGTCGCGTCGGCGGCGGCGGCCGTGGTGGTCGACCCCAGCGCCGATCCGTCGGACGTGCTGCCAAAGCGGCACCTGTTGGCGGCGTTCAGAAGACGCCCAAGCTGACTCGTGCCGCCGCGGCGAAGCAGAACACCGCCAAGGCAGCCGGTGGTAACGGAGAAAGCAAGGTGGTGGTTAGCAACCTGGTGAGTTGTCCACGATCTAGATTATGTTTCTAATTCTTACTAACCCGGTTTTAGCCCAAGGATGTTAACGAAGGCCAAATTAAGGTATGTTTCCTGAGGCTTTCGCCCGCGGAATTTCGTCGACATCTTCCTTGAATCGTACGCTCCTATTGTAGAACGATCGACATAATTATCCTTGTCCTCTTACTTAGAGATGGCTCATCCTGGCTACTCTGGGGTAACCAAATCGCTTACGCTCCTCCCTTGACGATGTACGCGCTTCATGCGACTACTATGTCGGGAGTTGAAGCTGTCCTAGTCGCGAGTCAATATTGTACGTCTTTTGGCAGGCTTGGCAACCCTCCACTATTTGGCTACAATTCGCGCACTCAGATGGACAATAGCATACCTTCACGAGTTTGTTATCTCAACCCGCGGGATTACTATCCTTGCCGGATCATCCTGTGTAGGGCAATGCAACACAGCGAGCATGGCAGTGAGCAACAGCGCTACAATAAACAGCAGCCCTAGGGGTTATTCTATTCTATCGACACCAACCCGGAGGTTGGTGACATTGGGTCTGCAGCGGACTAACCAAAGCAAGTCATCTGACCTTGTTGGCTGAACTTGGTGGCATCTTATGTCAGCCATGGCTCGGAGATTATCTTGTGGAACGATGTGGTGGTTCATCATCCCGAGTAGATCTAACCTTGCTACGATGCGTGGAGATTAGTCTGTGTTGAGGCGGTGTTCGGCTTTTGGGGGTTGTACATGCTCTATTGGATTCGGTGCTGGCTACTAACGCTCACTGCGTGCTCGTTGATGCTGATTTTACCTCGGATACGTACCGTAGACGATTCTCTATTTGCCAGGATTACTCGATGGTCGATATTGCTTACCGCGTTCTACGCGCTTCGAATGGATTTCAGGAGACTAACATTCGTGCCCTCCATAGGAGTACTTCGCAACTTCAGTTGGCCCCATCAAGCGTGTGGAGCTTTCCTACGGCCCGAATAGCATCAGCCGTGGAATTGCTACCGTCACCTTCTCTAAGCTTGACGGTGCTAGCAAGGCATTCAACGCCTTGAACGGTCTTCTGGTCGACAATCGCCCTATCAAGGTAGATATGCTCTATTTCTTATGGCTATACATTATATACTAATATCACAAAGATCGAGATTGTGGTCAGCGCGGCTAAGGCAGCCGAAATTGCCCCCCCAGCTAAGACTCTTACCGAACGCATTACCCAACCCAAGGCTCAGCCCAAGTCTGCAGCCAACGACAAGAAGAAGGAAGCGGCAGGAAAGGCAGTTGGTTCTGGTGCTCGCGGCCGCAAGCGACGTGGTGGACCTCGCAGCGGTCGCCCGGCGAAGAAGACAGCTGAAGAGTTGGACGAGGAGATGGCCGATTACTTCGAGGCTGGCAACCAGAACGAGAATGCCAATGGTAACGCACCTGCTGCCACCAACGGTGATGCCCCTATGGAGGACGAGATTCTAGTATGTGCTTCAGTGGAATAATCCGAATTCCTCCCTGCTAATCATGGTATAGTGAACGAATCGCATGAATGTGGACTATTTGAAGTTCGCAGTTGGGTTGGTGGTCCGGCTTTCCAATCGGGGTTTGTTCCTTTGCTCATGTTACGGCTCGGGTTTGCTTTCTTTCTACTGAATTTGGCAATGGGTGCATGAAGGGAACGCGCGGATCTGAAGGAGGAAGCAGGTATACCAGTCGAGATGCTCAATAGCCTATGCAGATAACCGTCCTGCTGAATGAAACGGCACTATTCCCAGGTCTTATTCGTTTGCAAAGTGTATGATTTTCCGCTCAACGTGAATTTCCTTAGCAAATTGGTAGTTTAATTTTGGCTGCTCTGCTTGGTTCTTTAGATTGACTACAGTCAATGTGTATCACTATTCCTTGAACGAAAGGTCGTATTGATTCCAAAGGTCTTGTAAAATCCATGATATCACTTCTAGTTCCCTCTACATCCATTGACTAGTTAGCATGTCACCTACACAAAAGGTATGTAAATATTGGATACAGCATAGTCACCCCATCAAAGTTGGGGTTCAAGCTGTCAATGCAATACGGTAATGAGACGGAGAAGAACAGTTCAGGGGGGAAGAAATGGGAAAAGCGTTTTATTCATCATCAGGCATCTAAAGGACCTTCTCAAACGGAAGTCCCTGAAATCCTTTTTCTACCTTCTATTTATGAAAGGTCTTGGACGAGATGCAAATGTCTCATGTACAAAGGAGAAGAGGATTGTGCCGGCGTCTGGCACACCTTGCGGCCAATGGCCAATAAGCAATGCCCAACCTAGACGGTAGACTTCTTGAACCTAAGATCTCGTTAGTCTGTCACATCTCACGTCTATTTAAGCAGATACACTTACTTGTTGACAACTCGTTCGATACCGTCACAGCCCATTCGCAGGACTTCCATCTTGGGGCCGTATGAGAAGCGGACGACTATTATGGACTGTCAGAAACCAGCGAAGAGAAAAGATAACATGTCAAAGGGGGTAAACTCACAATGGTGGCAAGGGCTATCGAACAAGTCTCGGCGACGGGAAGGGTTCAAGTCGAAGAAGATACCGGGAACGACGATGACCTTCTCTTCCAAGCAAGCCTGGAAAAAGTTCAGACCGTCGGAGATAGGGCCAGGGAGACCCTCGAGGTTCAACCACAAGTAGAAGGTGCTGTCAGGGACGTACTTGATTACGAATCCCATATCTCGGAGGCGCTTAACGACGTAATCTCGCTTGTCCTAAATTGAAAAGGCACGTCAATCTATGTTCAGACGCAACAGATGTCAAAGACTACTACTAACTCTGAAGTGGTGCTGAAGAGCTTCCATCTCCTTGCGGACGAGGGAAGGCTCTAGCATAGGAATTGCCGCCTCCTGGAAAGGGGCGTTGGCTCCACCATCAAGGTACGAACCACAAGAGCCGATGCTTGAAGTAACAAATTAGCTTGCACTTCCTAAATGACATAGCTTAATGAACTTACGCTTTGATGAATTCCTTGGGACCCAGGATCCAGGCGATACGCCATCCAGGGAGACGGAAGCGCTTGGTGAGTCCGTCGATAATGAGTACGTCATCCTCGTCCACATCTTCGATGTTCTCGGCAGCGGAAATGGTAGTACCGTCGCAGTCACTGGTGTAGTTGTAACCAGAGTAGAATTCGTCGCTAACCAAAGTCGCGCGTCCACGGCAGATATCCTGAATCTCAGCCAACTCGGGGTTGGCAACAACTCGACCAGTGGGGTTACGCGGGTTAGAGGTGATAATGACAGAGGTACCTCGGGCAATCTCCCGAGCGATCACATCGGGATGGATATGGTAACCGTCTTCCTCTGAGAGAGGAGTCGGGATGGCCGCAAACTATTTGTTATTAGCAAGCTTCATACTCGAGCGGGTCGGAATTATCTTACGTTCTTAAAGAGAGATAACATCTCGTTGTAGGCGGTGTAATCCGGAATGAAGAATCCGACGTAGGCATTGTTCAACACGGCCGCAATGCGGATCAGACCTGCTCGTCCACCAGGGACGATAGCAACGTTCTCCCATGAATACTGACTGTCCTTGCCCTGACGGTGCATCTCGTTGTACATTCTGGCAACGGCGGCACGTAGGGGTTTGATACCGGCAGTGGGACCATACTCTCGGAGGGCGACAGAGACATCTATGGTGTGGGGACGTTCGAAGCAGCCCTCGATGTCATCTTCAACCTCGGGGGCACCTTGACCAAGGTTTGCCCACTTCTCAGGCTCCTCGAGGAAGCCATACTCAGCAGCTCGCTCAGTACACCAGACTACACCAGTGGAAGCACGTGAAGCATCCAGACCAGCGTGGGGAAGGTGGCCTGGATTAGCCGCACGGAACTGACGATGAATTTTAGAGCTCGTCTCTGCCAAGAAATATCATTAGCGACCTATTATATCTTAAGTGAGACATGCCGCCGCAACGATGTGAAGTCCACGTTTGCCAAGCGCCAAGACCGCCACGAGCTATACATGATATACATGATATGTATACCATCATGGCCGGGCACAAGCACAGTTGGAACGTGCAATTCTTGGCGGGTATTACAGCATAATCAATATAGGGAATTTAAATGTCTATCCATACCATTGGCACTCGGGTCACCGATGCTAAAGCGACGGCGCGGCACACCAGTGTTTCGGTTCCTATTATTGAGTTTTAGTAAGAGTTCGTAAATCCATAACTAAGAAATGTGGCTAGTGAAGATTTTCGAATTTGACGTCATCAGACAAGAGAAGGAAAAACATGCGACGAAGAAGGAAAATTCAACTAGATAAGGTATTGATTAGGGAAGGACTTACATGGAAAACTTGCGGTTGTTAAACGACATCTTGGTGATTTCCTGAGCCTAACTAGTATGCGACGTTTAGTGCTGAAAGAGAAGGTTAGAAAAAATAGACTGGTTAAAGTAAGGTGAAAATTTGCATCGACGGTGAATTGCCGATTAGTCAAGAAGGACGGCAGTCCCTTTTAAAAAAAAAAGGGAAGATGGGAAAAGTGTAGAGTCGACGCAGGATAAATCCAGCTTTAGAAAGATCGGGAAGAGGGGAGGATGATATCGCGATAGTTGTCGGTGTGTTCTTTGGGTTCTAAAATAAAGTGGGGGTGGGACAGAAGAGGAACTTCGGTCCTAGTGGGTTAGGCCTGAGTTGGGGTGGATCATCAAGAAAAAAATGTACAAGATGTACGGCCAATATGAAGGGAGTTTAATGTCATGGGACGTAGGCTAGTGATCAAATACAAGCTGACATCCAATTATTAACCTACCTTCGTTCAAGTGCACGAAAGAAAAAAGGAAGAAAAAACTTCTTCACGTTCAAGCAGGACAGTGCTTGATAGAGGGGTAGCCAGGGGTACGTACTGTGAAAGTTGGGGTACCTCAAGCAGTACCCAAGTTGAGCAGGTACGGTGCACGTAGCTTATTGCCGTTCAGAATAAACGGCAAACCGGCAGAGAACTTGCAAAGCTTGCTAAGTATTTAAGTACATACTATCTTTAAGCACGGCAATTGAACGTTTTGGAACATTCAATGACTTGAAGCGCATAGAGCGCGCACACGGTGCTGACGCCACAGTACCTACTAGGTAAGTAGATTCATCAAATTGAGAATAACCTGGAAATACAGATTACAACAGATACAGGATGGCTCCAATTGGCATTGCGGAATGGCACACTGATCGATCTACATATGCAAGGTATGCAACCCGACAGTGTGCATAATAAGGATCCAAGTAACATTGCTTTGCCCCCTTTGCATATACAGTAAGTGGTACGGATCCGTACCTACAGATGAATGTACTCCTATATTCGTACGTAGGTCACTTTTGAAACCTCACCATGGAAGAAACCGGAATTCATATTGAAACGACGACAACATATCCCTACCCACGTAGCTACGCGGCCTTTCTCACATTGCCCCTATCTACCCGGCCGCAGCAAGAGACAATTGTCCGCGAGGGAGACAGCGATTGATATTCCCTATTCGTGCCACTACAAGTCTTGGAACTCCAACTCTCCATGATTTGCCTTCCCGACTTGTTCGCTTGCAGGCAAATAAGCAATATCGGACATTAACATCTCGATCATGAGATGTCTGGTACCTACATATTACCTGAGGCAGTTTCATTTGTCAATTAGGTACCTGTCTAATAAGTAAGGTAGCTTGAGTAGATACCTAACGTGCCTAACCAGCCATATCAGCTAACATGATTACGGTTACCCAGACTGCAAGCCAGTCGAGTGGCTGTCGTAGCTGTCTCAGCCGATTTTCGTCTGTCCTGCCTGTCGTGACGAGGGGCTGAAAACACCCCTCATCGGCATTGCCGCCTTTTGTACTTCCGCTTTTAGACAGACATGCAGTCAAGTCTTGCGGTTGAGTCTGCCAAAATTACGTAAGATTGTTTAGTGCCCCGCATTTGCCTAGAGAACTGCATGAGAACAGGCTTTTCCCTTAACTTAAAATTGCAGGCGGTAGTGAAGGGCAGAAACGACCAAACGCGTTCCAAAGTCAATTAACGCGTCCCCCATACTCTTGGCATTTTAGCTTGCTTCGCCAAACCTTCAATCAATATTCAGGATATTCCGGCTCTGAATTCTTTATATTTCCACAACCAACTGCAATAGGACATATCAGAAACTAAAGAGCAGCCAAAATGGCTCTTATAGTTGATAAACACCGGCCACGCTCTCTCGATTCTCTAACCTACCACTCGGAATTGTCTGAGAGGCTTCGGTCCTTAGTACGTATATGTAGCTCCAGCCTCCGCGCTTGCCTCGTACTGATAGGATCCGATCTAATAACCCATATCACAGGCCCAAAGCGGTGATTTCCCTCACCTATTAGTCTACGGTCCCTCTGGTGCGGGCAAGAAGACTCGTATTGTCGCCACCCTAAAAGAACTGTACGGCCCCGGTGTCGAGAAGATCAAGATCGATGCCCGAGTCTTTCAAACCACTAGCAATCGCAAGCTAGAATTCAATATCGTGGCCTCCGTTTACCATCTCGAGATAACACCTTCGGATGTTGGGAACTATGATCGAGTTGTCATACAAGATCTACTCAAAGAGGTCGCTCAGACCCAACAAGTCGACCAGTCAGCCAAGCAAAAATTCAAGGTCGTTGTCATCAATGAGGCCGACCATTTAACTCGAGACGCCCAGGCAGCTCTAAGAAGGACGATGGAGAAATATAGCCCGAATCTGCGGTTGATACTGCTAGCTAACAGCACGGCCAACATCATCGCGCCCATCCGAAGTCGAACTCTCCTTGTGCGAGTTCCCGCGCCAACGGTTGATGAGATCGCAAATGTCCTAGCAGATTCAGCCAAGAAGGAGGGCTGGCCTGTGGTTAAGGGATTGCATAAAAGGATTGCCGAAGAAAGTGGCCGAAATCTAAGAAGGGCATTGCTAATGTACGAGGCCGTGCATGCCCAAAAGTGCGTTTCCCGCTATACTCCAAGATGCTAGTTTCGCAGTCCCCTAACTAATACTAATGAATTGTAGTGAGAAAGTTACCGACGACACACCAATTCCGCCTCCGGATTGGGAGGCATTGATCTCACAGATTGCTAAGGAGATCAAGGAGGAACACTCACCCGCCCGCATCTTGCAAGTTCGATCCAAGCTATATGACCTACTCACACACTGCATACCACCTTCTATCATACTCAAGACGCTGACCTTTAAGCTCATCGTAAACATCGATGACGATCTGAAATCCGAGGTCATCAAGTGGTCTGCATTTTATGAGCACAGAATAAGAATGGGGAGCAAGGTCATCTTCCACCTGGAGGCGTTTGTCGCTAAGTATATGCGAATAATGGAGATGTATTTAATGAGTATGGAAATGTGAGTGGGCTTACTGTTCAACGAAAAAAAAAAGATTTATGCAAATAGCTTGGGGCTCGTGGAGTAAGCTCACGGAGTAACGGCTGGTTTTATGGCTATGGTTCGGCAAAAAGCTAGTACTTCGAAGATAACCGTGACGCATTCTGCAGCAATGATATCCGCCTTGGCTTGAATTGATAAACCAGTTCCACTATCGGAGACGTCTCAACAAAAACAACAAAACACAAAAACATGAAAGCAATCACTGCTAGGCATGAGTTCGATCGTACGCCCAACCCTGCGGTAACCGGTGTTTCGGAGACGTCGTTGACCACATTTTTTCCCCGAAAGGCCGAATTTGGTCCCGGCCCGCATGAGGTGTCGTCTCCTGAGGGTCGCATCCGGCAATGAACATGTTGAAGTATCCGAATGCCGGCAGCTTGGTTACCAGCCGGAGCGACGGTGGGGCACATGAGGCTCTAAGCTCGCATGCGTAGACATAGCCGTGACCATACGGAATTTTTAGATGTACCTCGGCTAGAAGAAATTTAGTATATCATACATACATACATACCCAGGGTATCCATACGGATCGGAAAGGCTTCAATGGGGCAGTATAGCGCCTCCAAATCCCTTCTCACGATAACCTAGGTATAGCCTAGGTATAACTCGGACAAGGGCACGCTGTACAATGGTAGTATCAGGTAGGCACCGACGTTTTTAACTTCAACATCCATCAAGATATACGCCTAGGTATATATAGATGTTTATGTATGTGCCAAGCTATATACATATGTATCACACCTGGTCGACCGGAACACCCTAGCTTCCCCCACAATCTTGCTATCGCGAACTGGAGTTCGAGACATGGGCAGATGGAAGCTTGGCGAGGAGTGACGGCATGGCGACATTTCTATCGTTTGACCCGTCTCAATATGGAATCGGGATCCAACGATAGGTAAAATTCGGGACCGGAGATACTGATGGCACCTTATTATTCGCTGGTGAATGGGCGGACACCACGGACACGTACTGAAACACATGTACCATTCGTACATACCTAGTAGCCCTAAACGAGCCGAGACTTCGATGTCATGTATTTATGTAAGCAACGTCAACTCGTATGGATTCAATTGGGTGCGCACGAGGGCAACGGAGCTACGGAGATATTTAGTATAATGATTAGCGTACTAAAACGGCTGCAAGAGCTTGTCTAGCTTGTCTAGCTTGTCTGGTAACCCTTGGAGGTCTGAGAGCGGATGCGGGGAGGGAATGGGGCGAGGGGTCGAGAGGGCGGGGAGAAGGGGTTTGGAGTCGTCGGTCCCCGTAGTTGGGAATTTGGTGGACATGGATACTGAGCAGGGTGTGTGAGATAGAGACGCGACTAATAGGGGTTGCAGAGTTATCACAAACTAAAAAACCAATAAATCACGACAGTGAGACGGGACATTGTACATTTTATGCTCGACGTATGTTTACTATACCCCCTTACGCTCGACCGTTACATCAAGTGACACGTTCGCTACCTGGCTACCTGCTTCATGTAGGTAGCCTTCTCTAGTTCTTGAGGCGCCGGGAACCAACAGGCGGTTCCAAAAACAGAGCCCCGGATGAACGGTTCTCGTCAGCCTACCAATGGTTGGCCCGGATTGACTCTCGGCCGCTTGCTTGCTTGCTTGCAGTTCTCTTTATTTATGTAGACCCTGCAAACCTGCATAGGCGGACCGTTATATCGGTATATGAGTTAGAATTGTCTACATTTCAAGTTGTGTTTTGAAGACATTCCCTGTCTGTAAATGAAATTAGTCAACGCCCGTGCAGTTACATGGTGTGACTTTCCTATGATAGCGACATGTTAGATTAGACATTCATCAAGTTTCGCTCTCAATGGCGCCTGTTTATTATAGGCGCATGTGTTGGTGCGCCTACTTCGAGTGACAAGGGCGTAAATCCCAACTTATCACCACCCACGTCCGGTCCAAAGGGTTTCTCGACGTAGGACGTTCTAAATTCACAGCTAGCCTATCCCGCCTGTCTACCCAAAGTACAGTACATGGCATTATATAGTAGGGTGGTTTAGAAGGGTGTGAGGTCAATACTGACCTGCGTATGTCAAAAGTCAGGTGAATCTGCAATCAGTGATTGCGCCGCTCGCGGACAAACCCTGTACAAGCTTGGGGCGCACTCTTACACTACACCCCCATAGACCATCGTGTAAGTCTAGAATGGGGAGAGACCTGGGGAGTGTTGAAAGACGGGGATTCGATAGAGACGAACGGTCGAGCGGAAGAGAAATATAGACCCACATGGCGTTCAACGACCCCCGGTCCGAGTCGGCGTATCCATTTTCCCCAACGCAGTCCAGTCAAGTGCTAACGGTATCTGATTATTTGGACCGCCCTGACTAGTAACTGTTCTAGGTTGGTAGTGGCTGGTCGGGATTTGGGGAATTTCGAGACTATAGGGGGCTAAGATGGAATGACGCCTGCTCGTGCTTTCCCACGCTTTCCCATGGAGGGCTACGCTTGTCTAGAGCTCGCCTGACTTTTACGGGGTGCAGGTACCTAACTGTACTTTACGCTGTACCTGCCGTACCGGGGACTGCATATGGGAATGTACTATACAATGCAAGTGTTGCGCTACGTTCCGTCCCTGCCCATTCTTCCCAATACTTTTTGCCGTAATACAAAAAGTGCCTCGTCCTCGTTTCTCTCACCAAATCTAGCTCTTACTCACTCTTCGTTATTGCTTTTTGTCTTTCCTGCTGTAACTCTGCTACTTCCCAAGCTTCGTCCGAAGCTGTAGTCATCCTTCCGTCGTATATATAAACTCATATCGATTACCTTACCCCGAATATATAGCGCCAATCCTTCTTACGTCTACATCTTCTTCATAACTGCTACCCCGCAGTGTCAACCCACAAAGCAACACCACCGCCGCCGCTACAACCACCAGCTACCAACATCACCAACTGCAACTACACCATCAACTCTACCCCACCATCATCATGGGTGACCAAGTCAAGGCCCCGGTGGTCGCTGAGGCCCACCTGGTCGACACCTACCGTGAGTTCTCTCATCTGCGCTCAAGCGTCTAGAAGTCAAAGCTCTCCGATGCTGACCATAATGCCCGCAGATCCTCCACAGAAAATGCTTGACAGTGAGTCCCCTCGATCGCAAAATGCACTATTCTTCAGGTGATGCGCGGAATACATTGTGCTGACATAATATGAACCTAGAGCACCCTAGTAAACCTCATCTTAGCGGTAAGATTGAGCTTGATTCTTAGGTATATAGAATTATGAACGCAGCCTTTCTAATACGCATGGTAGGCATCGAGGAGTACCAGCAACTTTACAAGGAGTCTATCACAGAACCCGAGAAGTTCTTCGGCAAGAAGGCAAGGGAATTGTTAACATGGCAACGGGATTTCGACACCGTTCGTACCGGATCCCTGACTAACGGCGACGTGGCCTGGTTCGTCGAGGGCCAGCTCAACGCCTCCTACAACTTAGTTGACCGACACGCTTTCAAGGACCCCAACAAGGTCGCGATCATCTACGAGGCTGATGAGCCGAATGAGGGCCGGAACCTAACTTATGGCGAGCTCCTTCGCGAAGTTAGCAGGGTTGCCCACGTCCTCAAGAAGATGGGTGTTCGAAAAGGCGACACCGTTGCTATCTACCTACCCATGATCCCAGAGGCAATCATTGCTTTCCTTGCAGTTATACGCATTGGCGCCATACACTCTGTCGTGTTCGCCGGTTTCTCCGCCGATTCTCTCCGCGATCGTGTTATCGACGCGCAGTCCAAAGTGGTCATTACCACGGACGAGGGAAAGCGAGGGGGTAAATTAATCGGTACTAAGAAGATTGTGGATGATGCGCTCAAGCAGTGTCCTGATGTCACGGGTGTGCTCGTTTTCAAGCGTACTGGTGCCGATATCCCCTGGACCTCTGGCCGTGACCTGTGGTGGCACGAGGAAGTCGAGAAGTGGCCATCGTACATTGCCCCTGAAGTTATGAACGCTGAGGACCCTCTCTTCCTACTATACACGTCTGGCTCGACTGGAAAACCAAAGGGTGTTATGCACACTACTGCCGGATATCTCCTCGGTGCCGCGCTGACTGGAAAGTACGTATTCGATATCCATGACGGAGACCGATATTTCTGCGGTGGAGATGTCGGTTGGATTACCGGCCACACCTACGTCGTTTATGCGCCTCTGCTCCTCGGTGTATCTACCGTAGTCTTTGAAGGAACCCCCGCTTACCCGAATTTCTCACGATATTGGGAGATAATTGAGAAGCATGAAGTCACTCAATTTTATGTTGCACCAACGGCGCTAAGGTTATTGAAGCGTGCCGGTGACGATTTCGTCAAGGCGCATATGCCGAAACTGAGAGTGCTGGGTTCAGTCGGCGAACCCATCGCCGCTGAAGTATGGAAGTGGTATTTCGAAGTTGTAGGCAAGGAAGAAGCGCAGATTGTCGATGTGAGTCTCTTATTCTCACTTTTTCAAAAGGGCAAATTCTAACAGGACAGACCTATTGGCAAACCGAGACCGGCTCAAATGTGATCACCCCCCTGGCAGGAGTAACACCGACTAAGCCCGGCAGTGCTTCTTTGCCTTTCTTCGGCATAGAACCTGCCATAATTGACCCCGTTTCCGGTGAGGAGATACACGGGAATGATGTTGAGGGTGTGCTAGCTTTTAAGCAACCGTGGCCTAGCATGGCGCGCACTGTCTGGGGTGCGCATAAGAGATATATGGACACGTATCTGAACGTCTATAAAGGTTACTATGTAAGTGAACGGCACGGAATAGCTTCTTCAAGATTACTAACCACTTCAAGTTCACTGGTGACGGAGCTGGTCGTGATCACGAGGGCTTTTACTGGATCCGGGGACGAGTGGACGACGTGGTCAACGTCAGTGGACACCGTCTGTCAACCGCAGAAATAGAAGCTGCTCTGATTGAGCACCACTCCGTAGCCGAAGCCGCCGTAGTTGGCGTTGCTGATGAGTTGACGGGACAAGCGGTCAACGCGTTCGTAGCGATCAAGAATGGTAGCGAGGCCTCGGATGCGCTAAGAAAGGAATTCATCCTACAAGTACGAAAGAGCATCGGACCCTTTGCCGCACCTAAGGCGGTATACATCGTGCCGGACTTGCCCAAGACGCGCAGTGGCAAGATCATGCGCCGTATCTTGAGAAAGATCTTGGCCGGCGAGGAAGACCAACTTGGCGACACGACAACTGTTAGTACCCCTCCCCTATGATTATCTTGGAAGTCTGCTAATCATTATGTAATAGCTATCCGACCCATCCGTGGTCGACAAGATTATTGCCGTCGTCAAGGAGACCCGAAAGAAGTAAAGACTGAGGCGGTGCTGAATTTTTTTCAACTTCTGATACCATCCTGTGTTAGATATGTGGCACGTGTGGAACGCGGGGGATTCAACCTGTTCCCTTTTTTTTAGGGTGGTCCAGGTATAATGGTGAATTCGAAGATTTCACGCGCGCGTTTCGAGCAATGGAAACGAGCTTTAGATATTATAGTTGAACAGCACCCCGCCAACAAAAAATTGAAAAACAATCTGAATCGACTAATTGTAATTTTGTAAAAAGAGTGGTGATGCAAGTTTTCCTTGGCGGATCGCTGCCCCATCCCTTAGTCACACAAAGTGCTAAGCTGGCCCATCGTTATCGTATGGGCCTCATCCTAACAGATCCAGGTATATCATTATATAAAAGTGGCATGGTGTGAGATCGTCTCAAGTTCGTTGTGTACACGTCTAGAATCCTATCCGAATAGCCGATTTCAATTGTAAATATGTGAGCAACTAGAAAGACCAAGACTTGGAGACGCGTCACTCGTGCCACTTGGAGTTAGCACTGGCGACCCGATCCCCTTGGCAAAGTCTTGAGTATAGGACTGGCGTCAGCGCCGTGTGCCGTCAAAGAGACACATGGTTATACTTTCGGGGATAAGCGAACACGAGGCTGTTTAGACTCAATGAAGAAAGAAGGGAATGGCGGAGGAGCGTGTCACAGCATGAAAGGGAAAAAAAGGGACACTGGTATCAGGGCCAGTCACTGCAGGCGTTGAGGTTTATATTCTTGACACTGCAGTCTGCAAGCGCGGCACGGACCGGCGGAGACACGGTCGAGACAATTGGAGAGAAGCACATTTATCATAAAATGGCCAAATGTATGGACGGCATGCTGCATGGTAATCATTGTTTAATATAAACAGCGTTCTTTTTGGCTCGCTTGGTGATATGCCGGAATTCCACATTTTCTGGAGTCGCAAGGCTAGTATGGCAGCCTTCTGAAACAGGACAATGACCTTAGAGGTCTGAACGGACGAACAGCCGGACATGAGCGTACCTAGGTTGGTCTCCATAATTAAGGAAAATAAGAGCAGGGATATTTCGCCTCAAGGTCTCATCAACACATGCTGATAGGTACCTATGTATCACGAGTTTAGTCCATAGTGTCTCTCAGCAATTGTAGATTGGTAATTCACAGACTTTCGTGGAAATTGTCTCGCTGAGTGACGGATGGTTTTGCTAACGAATCTGGTCTTCTCGTATAAGTTGGTACTAACAGCAAGCACGATGTAAATCCGCTGACTGCCAAGCCGGCTCGCGGGTTTTAAGTATCATGTACCTATCGAATAAGACCCCGGATCTTACAGTAGCAGTGAGTAGCAGTTGAGTAGCAGTTGCCCCCGCCCAGCCCGCCTTCGAGGCCGGTCTCACCTGCTATTTATCAATATTCAAATCAAAACAGGGATATGATTGGCTTAATTGCTTATGCAGGACTCAGCAAGCAACTCTCATCGCACATCCCTCCACCACTCCGCCATCCTCGCATATTCCTCTCTCCTCTTTTTTTAATGTCTTGTCTTTTGAGGGTCTTGGGTTCTTGGGTTCTTTGGTCGAGGCCTGCGCTGCGCAGCCACACATCCAATCTTTCCCTTCTCCAACCTCTTTTCGTTCTTTTCTCTATGCCGTCTAATCCGTAATTGAAACATTTCACTGCTTTCATGTTTCCTTTGCCGTCATTTCCCCATCATCAAGCAGGCACTTTAGTTTTGACCCTATCTCCAGATTATTGGACGGGATCATTTTAGCGTTTAAGGCTCCGGTGTTCCCATGCCTTATTCATGAGGATTGGCAAACGGAAAACAGGTTCAGCCCGGCAGCACCTAATTCTCCAATTCCTCCAGGTCCTTGGAATTGCAAGCTTAGAAATCTAAGACCAAGCCTCTTCTAACGTTGCTACAAAGCAGCGATAGTTGGCTTCTAGATTTTACTCGACCCGGCCCCCTACGGCTTCTGCTTCTCGTTTCACTTTACTTCTGTTCCCCTTCTTTCTTGGAAAGCTTGGCCCTAGTTTGAAGCTATTAAATGCTCTCCGGCGGACGGTCAGAAGACGATAGTTCTTAATTTTTTAATTTCCCACTTCCTAAAATTCGAGGCGCCCGTGGCGATACAATCCGGATCGCGCCGTCGCATGGGGTCTTGAGAACAAGTTATTGTCCTCGAAGCAGGGCTTCACCCCATTCGAATATGCGCGGCATCTTCAAGGCCGCGGCCATTGTCTTATCACTTATATCGCAATCCTCGCATGCGCATTCGGTTAAAAGAAATGCGTTGAATTATATTAGTCGCCTCGATAATCCCGTGATCCATACCGCCTCTAATCGAGTACACGCCTATTCCTCATTTGACCTCACATTCCTACTTCATAACGAACAAGACAAGGTTCGAATAACGTTAGAACCTAACCATGATGTGCTTTTCGACTCCGCTACTGTGCGGTATATCGGCGCTGACGGCTCCGTACGCGAGGAGAACATAGATAGGATGGATCATAGGGTATTCAAGGGTCACGCATTCGTACAGCATCCAGAGCACTTGGAATGGATTAATTCAGGTTGGGCAAGAGTCACAGTTTACCGAGATGGACCGACGCCGTTGTTCGAGGGCACATTTCGCGTCAATGGGAACCAACATCACATTCAGACCAGTTCTAATTATAGGCAAACGCAACACGAAGATGACCCCACCGCGGACGTGGCAGATGATGAATATATGGTGGTTTGGAGAGATTCAGACATCAAACCGAATTCGTACGATGTCTCGGAACTGAAGCGCGGGCTGGGTGAAAACTCATGTTCTTATGATACGCTGGACTTCAACAACGAAGATCAGCATCCGGTTCATCGCGGCTTGGATCTTCGTGATATGTCGGCTGTGGACTCAACTAAGCTCTTTGGGCGCCAGATCGACGGAACAACCGGCAATAATGGTGCTGGTGTCAACCTAGCCCAAAGCATTGGGTCCACTGAGGGCTGTCCTACCACTCGCAAGGTAGCTCTGGTAGGTATCGCAACGGATTGCACGTATACGGCCCAGTTTAACGACAACAGCGATGTACGTTCCAACATCATCCAACAGGTCAATTCAGCATCAGCAGTCTACGAGAGCTCGTTTAATATCTCCTTGGGTATCCAAAACCTGACTATCAGCGACAAGAATTGTCCGGGGACACCGACACAAAATGAACCGTGGAACGTCCCGTGTAGCAACAGTGTCACAATCACAGATCGTCTTAACCTATTTTCGGCGTGGAGAAATCAGCATAACGATACCAACGCATACTGGACACTCTTAAGCACATGCAATACCGATGCCGCTGTAGGATTAGCATGGTTGGGTCAACTTTGCTCTCAGTCGACAAGCACCTCGAGTGGAGGGAATGAGACGATTGGGGGAGCTAACGTCGTCGTTCGAACCTCAACTGAATGGCAAGTGTTTGCTCACGAATCGGGTCACACCTTCGGTGCCGTCCACGATTGTACGTCCGATACTTGCGCGGACGGTACATCATCGATGCAGAAATGTTGCCCACTGAGCACTTCTTCGTGTAATGCTAACGGCGGCTTCATCATGAATCCTTCTACGGCACAAGGCATCACTCAATTCTCGCCTTGCACTATTGGCAACATCTGCTCGGCGATGGGACGAAATAGTGTTAGGTCGACCTGCTTGAGTAACAACCAAAACGTCGTGACAATAACGGGAAGTCAATGTGGAAATGGCATCGTAGAGGCTGGCGAGCAGTGCGATTGTGGTGGTACGAGCGGGTGCGGCAACAATACCTGTTGTGATGCAACAACATGCAAGTTCAAGGACAACGCCGTATGTGATCCGTCTAACGAGGATTGCTGTTCGGACCAATGCCAGTTTAAGTCGTCAGGGTCGGTTTGTCGAGACAGCACTGGGTCATGTGATCCTTCAGAGACTTGCAGTGGCACATCCGGAGCGTGCCCTGCTGATGTCAAGGCGCCGGATGGCCAGTCTTGTGGCTCTAGTGGTGCTGGCTTAACATGTGCTTCTGGACAGTGTACTTCTCGCGATCAACAATGCTCGGCGCTCGTAGGATCAGTGACGAACAATAGCGATACGAAAGCCTGCGACTCGCAGACCTGTCAAGTTCGCTGCTCCTCATCTCAACTTGGACCGAACGCTTGCTATGATATGCAGCAGAACTTTCTGGACGGCACTCCTTGTGAAGGTGGTGGACACTGCTCTAATGGGAACTGCGAGGGATCTAGTTTCGTCGACCAGGTCGGATCCTTTTTCTCTGATAATAAGAATATCATCATTCCCGTAGCTGCATCTGTCGGCGGCCTTCTTCTCATCGGTCTTAGCTGTTGTATGATAACATCATGCCGGCGTAGGGCGCGGAGAAGAAAGATAGCGAAGACAGTCCAACCTAGCGGTAGTTGGGTAGGCGGAAACGGCGCCCCATTTGCAGCGAATTCCGTCTTGCGCCCACCACCGGCGGCCCGATCAGTTGGAAGCCGGAGGACAAGGCAACAGCCCTGGCAGGACGGACCTCAGTGGGGCCAGAGAGCACCTTCAATGAGATATGCTTAATAAAACTCGCTGTTAGAAGAAGAACCTGGGCTGGTAACTGGGGGATCTGGGAAACTCGAGTCACAGGATAAAAGACTCATTTTGCAATGACCTTATAGAGGAATATCATGGAGGTTCATCATATCATGGCGTTTTGGGCGTTCAAAGCCAAGCATGCATATTTGGAACCCGGGATAACGAGCTTTGGATTATTCGGACTTCTTTTTATAATAACACGGGGGTCATATCTTAGCACATATATATGCCCCTTTCCCGTTGGATATGATAGGAAACCGGGAAACAAATCGTGTGTTTATAAGAGAAGCAGACAAGATTTACTGTATAAAAAGGGAGGAGCCTTTTAAGTATTATTACTGCTCTCTAGATGACGAATGATCATGAAACGAAAATAACAAGAACAAACACACTTTAAGCCGCCGACTCTACCCCTTCTCCCCTCCTATAGGGGTTTTGCATTTGCATGCGTTCTGCCGTGACTGTGTAATCCTTTAATGCCGAATGTTTGTTTCTCAGTTTGTAATGACGTTTGTTCGATGAGAGAAATGACGCACACACTTGGGGTATCCATTAGGGCGGTAGGGGAACTGAGCAGAGAGCGTACCGTGCGCCTGTACCGCGGACTCGGGCTCTGTTCCTTCCCATGTCCTCTCGATAGCGAGGTGCTCGAGCGGAGAGACGGCACGTCAGGTCGCGCTGCTTCTAGAATCCCCTTCCAGTCTTGTATCTATATCTAGGGTTTGGACGAAATCACCTCTACTAACCGTCCTTCTGACTCCTCATCCCGTCTCATCTCTTGAAACCCTGCCACCTCCGACGGCCCCAGATGGCCTCGTAGAAGGGCCTCGTAACGTCACATAGCTGGCTAGAAAACAACGTTCCTGTCGAATCGAGCAGCCCGAGACACCTCCCCTTTCTCCAAGGACGAACACAACTATCACCGCCGAGCCGCGACCGCTGTCCCGCCCGACGAGGCCAATCACCGCGTGTCCTTCCTAGAGGGGCGGCCGGGCGTAGACACGCTAGCCACCCGCGAAGCAGGAACACCGCCCCGCTGCGGCTTCTTCGAGAACTGCTCGAGACCGCAGAGCATGCGCATATATCGTAAACGGGTTGCTGGTATACTCTGATGTTGTCTGTTAAGGAGGGGCATTGAATAATAGGGGGGGGGGAAGGGGAAGGGGTAGGAGAATACCTCATTATCTCGCTGCGCTGCCATCATGAGCAGCTCCGGACTATCGAGAACCTGGGAAGCCATACGGCGTCTCTCCACCGTGGAGAAGGCCTCCTTCCTGGAGCTTCTAGGCGATGTCTGTCAGTTACCTCCTATACAACGCACGCATGTACGTATGCGGCACGGCATCTTGGTCGAAAAGAAATACCAATACTGGCTGAAAGACGTATGGGGGAATAAGTGAGGCAAGGAAACTCGAAGTACTAAGGTGATGAGACAGTATACGTACCCGCCCTTCCGATACTTCTTACCGCCCTCGCTCGGCCAGTCGCCGCCGCTCCCTTCGGACGATTCATAAGGGTCCTTGCCCCGAGCCTGTCGATCCCGCATTTCGGGCGTGAACGACTCGACTGGCGCCGCGGTCGCCCCCGGCACTGGCATACCGATGGGCGGTCTAGCAGAGCCAAAGCCTCCTGCGCCGGTCTGGTGGGCGCTCATCGTTCTTCTCGTGGGTCACTCTCCCTTTCTCCCTTCCTCTATCCAGTCTCCCCGGGTCTCGCTAGCTCGAGACTATTGGTGGGTATCTAAGGCAAACTAGGGAAACGCTCTCGTCGGCGGGCGAATAGATGCTTATCTAGTTAAATTTCTGGCGATTATGGAGAAGTATACGGTTCCAAGTTATGATGTGTATGTAAGAAGGGTGAATGTATACTTGGGATTGTGCACTTGGCCTAATAGGGCTTTTTGTGGGGGGGAGGAACGGAGTATTACTGCGTAACTGCGTAATGCAAGCGCTGGGAAGCTGGCCCCCCGCGTAGTCGTAGTTCCCTCCCGTCGGGTGTGGGGGAGCTGAATATAGCACAGTACAGTGTACCGTACCTCTCTAACTTTAGATAGGAGACGAGTGGTCTTTTAACACGTCATAGTAGATCTGAGATGTGAGAAGATATGTAAGAAATGATCAGTCGAAGAGATTAGCTAAGATATATTTTCACCCTTTCCCGCTTTGACTCCAACCTACATACAGTACCATACAAATTCAACTTATACTATATAACCCAGCCGCGGGGTAAAAAGTAATATTTACATACATAAGCTACTAATAAAAATAGATTTGATAATTGTTCAAGCAACTAATCAGATGCATATTTTCAGAGACTAAATCTACACCCTTCACTATCTTTACACTACCCCTGACTGTAGGCATGCTTACTTTATCTAAGGGCCATCTAAGGGTACCCATGTGTTCCCTTTGAAGCGCACCTGTCTAGATGTCGAGAGAGCTCTGAGCTCTAACGATCGTCTCGTTGACTATCGAAACTAGACACCTGGAATACGGGGCCTAGCACTCCCGCTGAGTTATGCGCGCCAATCGGCGCCCCGCGGGCGAGATTCTCCCGAATGGGACAGCTTTCCGCAACCCGCGCCGGTCCCCGGTGGGTCATGATACGCTGAGGGGGAAAAGTCATGTAGCGGCCCATATGAATAACATGAAAGACCCGGGCTCAAAATAAGTCGTTCTCTCGAGTCTTTCTCCTATTCCTGAGCCTATCATATTTCCAACGGGGAACGTAATCGTCCATAATGACCACCTTCACGAAAATCACCGGGGATGAGACCCCTCTCATCGAAGTGGACGCCTCGAAGCGCCTGTCCAAGATAGATCCCATGATATATGGAGGCTTCACCGAGTAAGAGCAGCTAACATTCCAAAATCCTCGCAAATCTCTATATACATACATGTCCAAACATCCGCATACATATACATATATAACACATCCTATAATGACCAACCTCACTCACAAACACCACCAGGCACATGGGCCGCTGCATCTACGGCGGCATCTACGAGCCGGGTTCGCCACACGCCGACGCCGACGGCTTCCGGACGGACGTGCTCGCGGCGCTGCGCGAGCTCGACATCCCCGTGGTGCGGTATCCGGGCGGCAACTTCGTAGCGACGTACCACTGGCAAGACGGGATCGGGCCCCGAGCTAACCGCCCGAAACGGCCCGAGCTGGCCTGGCTCGGCGTCGAGCCGAACCAGTTCGGCACCGACGAGTTCATGCGCTGGCTCGACGCGCTCTCCGCGGGGAAGCCGCGCCGCGTCGAGCCGTACCTGTGCCTGAACTTCGGCACGGGCACGCTGGACGAGGCGCTCGCCTGGGTCGAGTACTGCAACGGCACGCGGGACACCTACTACGCGAACCTGCGGCGCGCGAACGGGCACCCGGACCCCTACCGCGTGCGCTACTGGGCCCTGGGCAACGAGGTCTGGGGCCCGTGGCAGGTCGAGCAGATGACGAAGGAGGACTACGCGAAGAAGGCGGCGCAGTGGGCCAAGGCCCTGCGGCTGCTCGACCCGGATATCCAGCTCATCCTCTGCGGCCAGGACGGCCAGAGCAGCTGGGACCACCACGTGCTGAACCAATGCGTCGGCTGGGCCGACATGCACAGCATCCACATCTACACGGCCTCCAACAACCACCTGAAAAACGCGACGGCCCCTCTGGCCGCCGAGCGCGCGATCCAGATCACAGCGTCGCTCATCGACCTCGCGCGCATCGAGAACGCCATCCCCCCGACCAAGCCCGCGACCAAGATCTGCTTCGACGAGTGGAACGTGTGGGACCCGGAGCGCGCCCCCGGCGACAAGGGCGCCGAGGAGCAGTACACGCTATCTGACGCCCTGGCCGTCGCGTCCTGGCTGAACGTGTTCGTGCGGCAGGCGCGGTACCTCGGCATGGCCAACATCGCGCAGACCGTCAACGTCATTTCGCCGCTCATGACTACGCACGAAGGCGTCGTGCGTCAGTCCACCTGGTGGCCGCTCCTGCTGTTTAGTAAGTACATGCGCGGATGCACCGTCGCCGCCCACGTGCGCTCCGGCTCCTACGTCGGCGAGACGCAGCCCGCCTGGCTGCAGGGCACGCTGGGCGAGGACGGCGCGCCGTGGTTGGATGTCAGCGCTACGCTAGGGGACGACGGGTTCGTGAATTTGGCCGTGGCTAACATTAGCGAGACGGAGGACTTCGCCGTGGATCTAAAGGGTGCGGGGAGTGATGTGTCCGTCTACACCGTATCTGGCTCTGGAGTGAATGCGACGAATAAAGAGGGTAAGGAAGAGGTTGGCTTATCCGAAGGGAAATGGAACGGAAAGGGGAAATATACGTTCGCGAAGCACACATTCACGCTGTTGAGATGGAAGGCATAAGCTAGGGCGGCAAGTCATAATAGGTACGAGCTACGATGGGCGAGAACATAGCACAGCGGAGCAATAGTGTTCGAACATAATAAAATTTTATCTGACAGGACTCGTACAAGTGTTTCCTAGGCCAAAACAAAAGCTTAAGCAGCAGTGCCATGGTATGCGATGAGGGCCGGGATTTTGCTCTTTGTATGACATTGAACAGCGTCGTTGAGGTTGATGGAACGTTGACGGGATGTGTGTTTGCGCCAAACCAGAATCCGTCAGTACCTTGATGCAAACTTGGCTTCGAAGAGGTCGTAAGGTTTGTCCCTCTCTTGAGGTATAATCACCATATCCTTTGCAACGATATGACGTTTATATAAATGGGTGAGTTCCGTTAACGCCTTACAATGCTTCATCCCGATATGCGTTAGTGGTAGTTGGTAAGTGCAAGTAAACTCGTCTTGGATTCTCGACTGTTCATAGAAAGTGGGTCATCGGTTCTGATGGTACCCTGGTGTGTTCGAATCGACATCGTTCGCTTTCGAGTGAATGAAGTCTAGTAATGGTCGTCTTGTGTGGACAACGACCTATTACGCTCATTCGATTTGTTAGTTAGGTTTCTTCTCTTTCTCATACCTGTCTCCAAAGCTTGCGAATTTGGAGTTCGTGGTTATTGCTCGGTGTGTTTGCGGTAATAAAATCCCAAGATGTCCTACGGCTTTGCTCTCTCGGCAACTCTCCTGTTGATGCGACGGCTCTCTGCTGACGCCCGTATAAGCAGACTTCTCCCGCTTCCCGCAAATAGCCTCGGCTGTATATGCGCAAAGCGCGGTTATCCGGACGTGTTCTGGCAGCAGCCGTCGTCATGCCAACCGGGCCGAGTAGGTTGGGTTCCGTCACGGCTGCATCTACAAAACATTATAAATGCGAGTGATCTTACGCTATCATCTGAAGTTGATAACGGCGAGCTGATTTCATTAGCTCGAATTCGATTGAACGATTCGGGCAGGTATATTGGGCGCAAGCGACAACTTACTCGACTGTTGACCCCATATGCTAACTTGTGACCTGTCGCATCCCATCCCAAGCAATGTTCGTCCTCCTCGTCCGATTCAGGATTCATTCGTGGGCTGAACCAGCCAGGATGAGGGATTCGACTCCAACTTGCACGCGGAATACTACATTCTCCTACCTTCCAAATTAGAATCCTCTCGCTCGTAGCTCCAGCAATGAACGCGCCATCGGGTGTGAAAGCAAGAGCGACGATAGGCGGTCCCATGGTCATCGAACATTTCGCTTTCCCGTCAGTAGCAAGTGCATTCCATATAAAGACTGCTCCGTCCTCCCCACCAGAAGCTAAAAGCCGCTCGTCGCCTAAAGGTTGTTGTTGTAGTGGTTGCCAAGCTAAGGCAGTGACTGCGTCACAGTGTGCTTTTATCTCACGTCGTTTACCGTTGTTATCCCATATCTAATATAGTACCTGTTAGAAGTTCACATCATTTTTTTTTTCCCTGGGTAATTACTTACGTCGACATAGCCTTTCTCTCCGCAAGTAGCCGCTAACGAACTTCTCCAGTCAAATTGCACCTGTGTTAAGCTGTCGTCTTCACGAATAGCGAATTTCTTCAACTCCTTAATCTCGCCCTCAGCGCATTTTAGAGCCATAAGTACATCGCCACCGCATAGTAAGAACTCGGATTCGCTTGTCCATGCTGCGTCCAGGGGTTCACTGTGTAAATCATGTTGAGACAGAAAGTAGCTCATCGAGTTTGCTGTCACAGCATGATACACAGTTATTAGAGCCCCACCGTTCTCCGGCGCAATTCCTAGAATAGCGGCATTGTTAGGATTCCAACGCAGTTTGATGACGGGAGGTTCGGCGACCTCGAAACCCTGCAGGTGAGAACCTTCGGGAGTCCAAAGGCTGATCCGGGCTTTCGAGTCCGAATCGGTAGCTACTGCAATGGCCGACCCGTCCCAATTCCAAGCCATGGCGGTGACGGTGGCTTTAGTGTGGGTGTCCTCTTCGAGTAAGGTGTGAAAATCATTGAAATTTGGAGCGACACCATTCACGTGACCATCAGATGCAAGGTCGGTTGTGGCTACACGCGAAACGTTCCAGATTCGGGCTAGCGCATCGGTTCCAGCAGCCGCCAAGATGGTGGGATCTCGGGGATGCCACTGGCAATGCAGGAGCACAGGCGCGCTTTCGCCATTAATTCCAGCCAATGCCGTGGTTGGAGAAGAAGTTGGTGCATCATCAAGCCTCTGGACGCCCAGGGGGATGAAAGTGGTCTCGGTAGCCAATTCTTCGACTTTTTCAATCTGCGTGCCCTGCTCGGGCCCATCAGTACGGGGAGTTGGCGTCGGCGCCTGTTCGCCTTCCTGGGGGGACGGGTAAGCGTGGTTGTCATGGTTCTGCCCGTCAAGTTCCATTGGAGTTGTGGCTGCATCCACCCCATTTTCGTAGCCGTTGCTAAGTCTTGGTCGCTTAGCTGGTGAACCATTGAGAAGCGGCGCCTGCGGTTGCTTGTCAATTTGACGTTTTCGGTTATTTTCTACCTCACCCCCGGACGTAGTTGTTGCCGTTGCTGGTAATTCGGCGACTTGCTTGTCATCTTGATCCATCGAATCTGCTTGCTGCTGCTCATCTTCTAGCTGCTGGTGAAGTGGCGGATGTGCGTGCACTGGACCAAATATCCCTAGCTGCATCGCCTCGGCCAGTGCCGCTACTGCGGCGTCACGAGGTACCTGCACAGAAAATAAAACTGTCAGTGCCCATTTGACCGGATCCCGGGCGAGATTGGAGAAGATCAAATTTCGCCTTCATCGCAACCCGTGTCGGATTCGTGTCTCGCTCGATGCATCTCAAGCAAAAGCGGATAGAAGTTTTTTTTTCTTTCTTTAAGAATAGGAACAACTTACTTGTGACTGCGCATGATCACGTTCTAATGAATTATACAGTAGACCCTTGTTGATAACATTGACTAGCGCATGGCTTTTGACATGTTGCGCGAAATCTAGCTGTCGGTGAGGTTCCTCGACGTGCCACTCTTTCTGGAATTTGACGGCTGTCTCTCGATAATCTGCAACCTCAGGTTAGTTTGACTGCGGCCGTCCATGTCACCACCACACATCAAAATAGCTATATAGCTCGAGATTTGCGAAATGGTCAGATATGTTAGCAAATGTTACGTACTGCCTTCGATTAAATATCTATAATATCATGTCAATAACCTAGTGCAGAGTGAAAGCATAGAAATGACAGAGGTAGGGAGAGACGACCAAAACCGACACAGGGTACGGTTTGGTGTTGAAGAAACCGGGGATACCTAAGCGGAAAAAATAACAACATACCTCCAAATCAAGAAATTGACTCGGTTAGAGTCAAGATACTCTTTCATTGTAGCAAACGTCAAAGCGACGGGATTTATACGATCTTACTATGGGCTTACTCGTCGGACAGAGGCGTCAAGATATTAGGATAAGCGGCATTTGGCGATTTGTTGTGAGGATGGTGAAGGAAAGAAGACAACGAGATTTTGACAGTGAGGCCTTGGAACGATTAAGATGCATGGCCCATGGGTCGGGGCCAAGCTAACTCAACTTCCCTTGTAGATCCACCCATTTTCATCCTAGTACGGAGTACCTGAATACCTAAATACTTCGATGTTCCGGCCTAAAATGTTGCAGATTGCTTACATCTAAAAGTACCTCCCAGTACGTAGATACTTACTTAACTTTGCATGATGAGTGGTACAAAGTTCTTGATGGAGACTGCGACTGCTAGTTGAGGGCATGTACCTGTGGTACACATTCGTAAAGGAATTCGACATCGACTATTGTCAAGGAGATTAAAAATAAAAATTTGTCGAAAATAATATCGTCGAGGTTATTGTCAATTCTAACATGCAATACCAAAATGCATAAAAAAGAAGAAAAAAAAGTAAAAAGAACTTGCATGGTTTCGCCTTGTCGAGTCACCTTATCTGCTCGTAAGAACACAATCGTCGACGTGACCAGGTACAGATTTGCAAGTCGAACGGAAATCTCTGAAAGTGTGCAGGGTCCTGCTTCGGGGGCGCCTTTGATTACAGTGTACATAAGTAGGGCTGTTGCTCCGCTGCGGTTTTTTGGTTTTGGCTGGGCTGGGCATCAGTCGACCTTGGTTCCGTATTAAGGACGCATCTCTTATTCAGGTAAAATCACAGTCCTATCAAACTGCATTGACGAATTGCTTTGCTGCAAGCACTCGAATCAAAACTTTGTCCGAATCAGGTTCGACGGGCTCGACGGGTTCGACATTGTAGCCTGCTACTCTCTCTTTTCTGCATCATCACTCATACTATGTACGTACAGTGCCTCGGTATTGTCTAATCTACCGTCTCCTTTCGCCAGTGACCCACGCGGCAGGGCGTTTCCTGGCGCTGCAGGTGTTCTGCTGGCGGGTAGGAGGATGAACGGAGAGGCTAGCCTTTATTTTGCTAGGTATCCATAATGGATTTTTGCTAGGGAAACAAGACGGCTGAGCCTATCACTTTAAACAATGGAAACGACAGCGAAACTCCAGACGACTCCACAACAAATGGTCCAGGGTTCTGCCATTTTTATTAATCCGTCATCCTAGCTTGGCTAACTGGCTAACTAGGTAGGCTTGGCTGGGGTACTCCCGGAATCGACAGGAATCTTAGATCTCCTAGTCACAGAAGAAGACGGGAAAAAATAGTCATGACCAACGTGACGAGTAATTTTATTAACTGAATTGATAGATAGCTTGTCCCGGTAGTTAATATCGATCTAAGATTTTAACATCCGAGGTAAGTTACCAGCATATGCTGTACGAAATGCCCATAAGTAATAATAAGCACAGTAGCGTATGATCTCAAAAAGGTACATGAAGAATAAGGAGTTGGAATTTTAATCTGAGTTCCGTACCGAGCTTAGGCAAGGAAACATCACATCGTCTGGACGATCTTTAAGTCTTTTGCCATCCGACTAACGAATCGCCTAATCTATTTTGGGATTAGTGCATTGAAAATAGGTCTGCGCACCCCTGCAGGAATTTCGCGGTCCTAGAAGCCCAGGAAGCCCTGGAGGTTCGGGGCTAAACTGCAGGTGGTTCAAGCTGGTTCAAGCTGGAGGGCCATGCACACGGACAACCCTTACGCTCCGTTCGGTAGATTCGGAGGGATTAGGTAGACGAGATGAATGCGTGTAGTTACGTGTTGTGGATAGATAAAGTCTGCCAGAAACCCTAGGAATCCCGAGATCTCGTTGGTATGAAGTATAATTTTGTATAGGATTCAATGTTCAATCTTGATGTTCAAAGTTATACCGTAGAAGGCTTAAGGTTCAACTGTACATGCCGTTGCGGTACGTACCTGGCTACGTTTTAACATTAAACAAAAAAGTGTCAGGCTTGGCTAATCAAGTGCAGGTGAACCCCGTTTCTAAATTCTACATTGTACAAGCCAACGGAATCAAAGCACAGACCACGTTAGGCGACTACCAGCCTTACTCAATCGTAAGGTTCTCACTGACCACTGACCATTTGATATGTGCGCCTCGACGCGATCCCGAATAACCGACTTCTGACAAACTCTGCTCCAAACTCAAGTCTCGAATATCCAGCCGCCACAATGCCTCCGCGAATAAACATTCCTCCTGTCACTCGCGTAGTGCTTGTGGTTCTGCTTCTGCAGTCCGTACTCAGCGCTGCCGTGCGCTATCGCCAGTGGTCCGCACATTCCGAAATCGTCGTCGAATGGCTCACCCTCATACCACAGCTATCGCTATTTTATCCTTGGACCTTCCTGTCGGCTACGCTGGTAGAGAATAATATCTTTACGTTGGGGATCGCAGGCCTCACTCTCTACCATGGGGGGAAGTACTTGGAACGAGCTTGGTCGTCTAGGGAGTTCGCCAAGTTCCTTCTCGTGGCCGCTTTGATTCCGAATACGCTGACCTTCTTGGTTCTCGTCACACTGTTCACGATTACTCGGAATGAGGATTGGACGTAAGTCATGTTTTTTGGAGCTTCAACCTATCTGCAACGGTATATCAGGATGGATGGGCTGACATGATAAATATAGATTGATGACCATTGCTGGCACGATTCCGCTTCAAATTTCTTTTCTCGTCGCTTTCAGCCAGCTTGTTCCGGCGCATACCGTCACACTCTTCCGAGGTGTTTTGTCTATGCGCGTACCCCGATTCCCTCTTCTTTACGTCGGCCTCGTCGCGGTACTATCCCTAACGCCATTGCTCACGAGCGCGTCTCTACTTTTGGCTATATTTGGTCTCTTGGCAAGCTGGACTTACTTGCGATTCTATAAAACCGTCTTTCCGGATCTCGATTCTTCCCAGCCGACCTCTATGCGCGGAGACGCTAGCGAGACGTTCGCCTTTGCCGAATTTTTCCCTGGTCCCCTTAAACCATTCATTGCAGTAATTACAGATCAGATATTCAACGTGTTGGTGGCAATGCGAATATGCACACCTTTCTCCCAGGCTGATATCTCTGCCGCGCAAAATGGTAACTTTATGCAGCGCACTGGCCACGGAGGTGTTAGAGCCGAAGCTGAGAGACGGAGAGCCCTAGCTTTGAAGGTGCTTGACCAACGGCTACATGCCGCCACTGCAGGAACCAGTGGCACTTCGCGAAGCCAATCCCAACCTCCTAATCAACCTTCTGGCCCGACGATACAAACCCAGCCACAAGCAAATGCGCAGGCGGCGATGACATCACAACCGACTGCAGTATTGGGAGAGACCAACTACAATCCTGACCAAGACCATGACAAAGGCGATTCTTGAAGTGACTAGTTCTTGATGGAGATATGGAGGATGTCCCTATAATCTGGGCTCCGAATCCTCTTAGCCCAGGTCAGAATACGTGTGTATTTCTACAACAGGAGCACTTGCGAGTTCGGAGTTGGGATTAGAGCATCAGGCATCTGGATCTTGGGTCTAGCGGGTGGAGCATTCTTGATCTAGCAACGCCGAAATTTCGGCTGTGTTAGATATTCACGAAGCGGCCGGATAGTTATCAGTCCTGGGCTGACTGGTTGCGCAAAAGCCGTTGTCTAAAAGATAGTGATCAAGATTACACGGTTAGTTTGTGTTGAGGGATGGCGAACGGAACTTGGTGTTTGGCACTTTATGTCAGTTCCTACAATGCATATAATATTAGTACTGTTTAGCGGTTGGATAATAGGACATGAGATCATACACCATACAGTTATTTACTTGTTCCCCTATTCTGTGACCCTGATTTCGATGTTGAATGGCTATTTACACAGGCCTCTTGTTGGCTCAAAATAAGTTATTTCTCGGCAAAACCCGCAACGTAAGTATACTTAGATAACGGGTATGTAATTGAAATGAGAGTCTCTATGTGTGGTTCTTACTCTCATTAACAAAGAAATAGTGAGATATATGATTTTGATCCATCATATCTGCTAAACAGGAAATTGCCTCATGTTATATAAGCACTATTCCGTTAAATCATCGCCCTTAATCTTTAAACCTTTGCTAGAGCCACCACCTATCTGTCCCACCTATAAGTTCCAAGTTTTACAGTCTTATGTATGTAGCCCCTTTCAGTCCTCAACGGATGACATGAGACAAGGCCGACGCCAACTCAGATGTGGCGTCAAGTTGCGGCTTGAGATATCCACCTGGGGAAGCTGTCATATTGGAAGAGCCCCAGTGGTCGGGTAGCACTCAAGTGGCTTAGGCTGTACGTCAGTCGGTTTGGGGGGGGGGGGGGGGGGGGGGAAACCACAAACAGGCACATATTGTAAGACCTTGTAAAAAATACCAAGGTACCAAGGTAAAAAGTTTTTTCCCCCCAAAATGTGAACAACCGGAACGGA